TAAACTAGAATAAGAAAATAGATTTTTATAAAAAAAATCTATAAAAAACTTTTATAAAAATCTTTATAAAAATTATAATATTATAATATGAATCTAGTATATTTTATTTATTTTATTTATCTATTTTATTTATTTTATTTATTTAATTTATTTAATCTATTTAATCTGTTTAATCTGCTTTATTTTAATAATCTAATTATTTTTTAAATTACTTTATATATAATTTATAATCTTTTTAATTATTTATTTATTTCTAATTTTATTAATAGCTCTTTAAGTTATATTTTATTTATAAATCTAAGAATAGTCTAATTCAGAAGAAATAATAAAATAAAAATAATATATTTATTTTTAATATTCTAATTAATAATTAATATATAGTTTTTCTAGTATTTTATAATATAATTAAAATATATAACTAAAATAGAATAATAATTATATATTTATATATATATTTTTTACTATAAGAATAATAATTATATATTTATATATATATTTTTTACTATAAGAATAATAATTTTATAAAAAGCTGAATTTTATTAATATAATTAAAATTTTCTTATTATTTTTAATAAATAATAATAAAAAGATATTAATTCTTTTTTTAATTATATTTTTTAATCTAAAAAGCTTTTTTATATATATTTTTAGATAATAATAAAAATAGTCAGATTAATAATTATTTAATCTAAATATATTTTAATTATACTAGAGCTTAAAAAAATATAATAAATAAATCTTAATATTAAAAATAATTAAAATAATAAATTATTTAATTTTTAGTTATATTATAATTAGATATAAAAATTTTCTTAATCTAATTATAATCTGATGATTAGATATAAAAATTCTAATTAACCTGATCTGATCTGGCTGTTAGCCACTCTAATTATAGATTATAATGATATTTTTATAAAGAATTTTTAATTTAATTTTATTTATATATTTATAAAAAAAACTAAGTATAGCTTATTATTTATAGACTAATAATTAAATTCAAAAATTAAATAATATTCTTAAGTAGTACTTATAAAATTATATTAATTTTAAATAAAATAATTAAATAAATTTATTATTTATTATAGAATTTATATATAATAATATTTTATAAATCTTTATAAAAAATTACTTTTTTATATTATTATAGCAGAATACTTATAAATAATTAAAATAAATCTTTATAAAAAAAAAACGGAGATTAAAGTTTCTAAATAAATTAAATATATTTAAAAAATTTATATTAAAATAAAAAAAATTTTAATCTTTATTTATAACAAATAGAAATAGTTTTATAATTATAAAAAATAAATAAAAAGCTTTATATTAAAAAAGATAATTTAGTTATTTATAAAATATTTTTTAAAAAAATAAATTAATAAAAAGCTAGATCTATAAAACAGAGAATCTTATTATATTATTGAATAAATAAATTTATAAGTCTATAGACTGAAATTATTTATAAAATTATAAATATATAATATATTTTATATATTATTATTTTATAAATATTATAAAATAAATAGAGTAAACTTATAGAAGTATTTTTTTTTATAAAAGTAATTATAAATATTATCTAAAATTTTTATTAATCTTATAAAATTAAAATAGATTTTTAAAAATTTTAATTAAATAAAAAAATTATTTTAATAAAAATAATATCTAAAACTTAGCTATAAATTTATATTATTTATAATTATATAAAAAATTTATCTATAAGTATAATCTTTATTTAAAAAATAAAAAAAAATAAAATAATAAAATAATAAAAACAATTATCTATAAGAAATCTTATTTAATTATAATTTAAAATATAAGATTAATAAGTATTTATAAAAATAAAAATAAATTAATTAATTACTTAGTTTATAAAAAATAGATTTTATAATTAATTTAAATATAATTATTATATCTTTATTTATAATTATTATTAATATATGTTATAAATATTCTTAAGTCTAAGAGATTATAATATATATTATATATTTAATTAAAAAAGAAACTAATCAGTTCTAGTTATAAGAAAAATCTTATAAAACTAAGCTTAAATCTTTAGTTAATAATAATTATTATATTTAATAAAAAATATAAATCTTATTATTAATTATATAATTTAATATTTTTCTAATTAGATAGAGACTATAATTTTATTTAAAAAAATAAATTTAATAGAATTATTAATATATTTATAAAAATACTAATAAACTAGTTTATTATAGATAGATTTATAAATTAAATTAAAATGTAGTTTATAATTTTAATATTCTGTAAGATAGATTAATTTTAAATAAATTTAAATATATTTTTTAAAAGAAAATTTATTTATTCATAGTCTATAAATCACAGAAATAATAAGAATATTATTTAGAATAATAATATTATAATAATAATAAATAATAAAAGAAGTATAGAAGAATAAAATTATAAAAAACTAGATTATTTTAAAAATTTTAATTAGTAAAATAATAAATTATATATAAATTAATTTTTTATATTCTGTAAAGAAGACAGATATCTATTATAAAAGAAAAAGAAAAAAGAATTATAAAAATAATAATATTAATATTAATAACAGCAGCAGCAGCGGCAGCAGAGATAATAATAATAATAATAATAATAGTAATAATAATAATAATAGAAATAATTATAGAAACAGACTAATTCAGCTTTATATTAATTATAAAATATAAAATAAATTTTTCTAAGAAATTATTTATCGCGGAGATTTATAGAAAAAAAAATAAAAAATAAAAAAAGAAAAAAAGTAAAAGTCTTATAATAAATATAATAAATCTTTTATAAAAAAAATATATATATAATATAATAAGAAAAATACTAAAATAATTAATTATAATTTCTGGATTAAATTATATATCTCAGACTTATAAAATAATAAATATTTATAAATTAATATAGGATTATAAAGCATTGTATTCTATAATTCAATATAAATATTTTAGATTTATAAAAATATAAATAGCTGCAAGAGTATATACAGCTATAAAAATATAAAATAATTATAAGAATATAAAACAACTATAAGAATATAAATAATTATAAGAATATATATAATTATAAATATAAATAACTATAAGAATTCGTTAAATAAGTATTTATTTATAATAATAATAATAATAATTAAAAGAGAGAAGTCACAGAGTAGAAAGAGTTTGAAAAAAAAGAATTTAATAAAAATATTTTTTCTTAAAGTTTTAAGTTTCAAGTCTTAAGCTCTGATTTATATCTAAATTAAAAATATTATATTATATTTATTATTTAATTATAATTATAGAAATATTTATTATATTTATTATCTGGCTATAATTACAGAAACTTAAAATATAATAAGAAAGAATATATTTATAATTATACAGAATAATTATCACAGTAAATTTATATAAAAAAATATTAACAAAAAAACTATTTTTTTTAATTAACTTTCTTATAAAGAAAATTTCATAGCAGAGATTTTAATAATATTTAATTTTTTATAAATAATAATCTTAAAGACTAAGATTCTAAAAAAAAGATAATTATAAAACTGATAATTTTTATAATATTTATAATATTTATAATATTTATAATATTTATAATATATTATATTATAAGAAATACTTATACTATAAAAATAGTTTCTTATAAAATAATTATACTAATATAATATATAACTCACTGAATTCTTATAAATATATTTATTTATAAAAAAAGCTAGATAAAAGACTAGTAATAATATTTTAAGTAATATAAATATTATCTTAATTTTATAATAAATATACTTTCTTTATACTATCTCAACACACACCCTTATACTGCTAGTCAGAAAATAAAAAAATTAATAATAATTAATTAATCTAATTAATATCTTATCTTAATATTATAATAATTAAAATATATTATTTCTAATATATTATATCTATCAAGAATCTGTATAAATTATTAATTAATTTATAATTATTAATTTTTTAATTATATCTAATTTTTCTAATCTATAATTAAGATTAATCAAAATAATCTTTTAATTATAATCTATTCTTTATCATATAATTAAGAGAGTTTTTATATCTTAATCTAACTGTCAGATTATAGTTAAGATTAGGTTAAGATATAACAGTTAGGTATAACCACTCTAACCCGCTGCAACTGGGACCCCGGCCTGTACAATATTATGGGACCAATATTATGATGACGGGTGGGCTAGGCGGGAGTGGGTGAACTAATGTCCGACTGTCTTGTTTTACCCCCCAGTACAGAGTTATGCAAGCACAGATTCCTTTGATACCTTATCATTCATGGGCGGTGATCTGGAAGACTTAACACGCTGGGTGCTGAATCAAGTCCTCTCGTGCTGCTACCGAACGGCCTGTGAGTTGATGTCCACTCCGGACACAATAGCATGCATCCATAGCTGTTTATTTACTACAGGTCAGATTAAGGACTGCCAGTCTTCCACCCCTTCGGCGCCCGCCTACACGCCCCATCCGACTTGTATCTGGTGCGGACAATTTAACATTATTATTGATTTCACGCTGGGCTTTGTCCCCATCATGCCACACCTATGTGGGAGGTTAATTTTTGCCTGTAGGGCTTCATTTCGCATTGACACCCTTGCTCTGCCAGTAACCTGCAGAATATCGCAATGAATAGACAGAGCCTACCAACATTTGTGGACCTCACGGAGGCTTCTGATCCAAGCTGCCTACCGAATCAAAATGGATCGGAATCGAGATTCAAATACAAAGTTGATGTCTTCCAGATTTCACCAACATACGCGCTGGAATTGCTGTGCACTGGCATCGAGATGCTGGTGTGCCAAACCGCAGAAGAGGCGAGCCATTTTCAAGCTCCTTCAAGTATCCGAACCCAAGGAGACAGTATGTCTAGTGGGGAGTCCACACCGATAAAATTCACTGAACTACATTTTTCCCCAACAAACTATGATGGAGTAAGTCGTGATATGATCCAGCAGAGCGTGCTATCTAAAAGGTTTTTTTCGAAACGCCAACCCCTCGTCACGCTCGAAGAATATCTGTTGCGTCTCCACCAGTTCTGTCCGATGTCTACGGGGGTTTACCTTGCGACAAGCATGTACATTATGCGAATGGCGACCGTTGAGCGGGTGATAAATGTGAGCCGGCGAAACATGCACCGTCTGGTGCTTGCTGGAATTCAAGTGGCGATGAAAACATTGGAAGATCTCAGCTATCCCCATAGCCGGATCGCCAAGGTTGGTGGGGTGACTGAGCGTGAGCTTTCCAAGCTCGAGATTAGTTTTTGTTTCCTGGCAGATTTCGAATTACGAGTCGATGCGAAGACTTTGGTCGACCAAGTAAGGCTACTTCAAGGGCCAGCAGTTCCTTGCGAGGATCACCCCCAATGACTGAAACTATAACATCGATGGATGGAATGTGCTGGTATTTCGCGGCTTTTTGCGAAGTGAGAGGTGTGCTCCATTTGGACCGGTTTTATAGGTATCTGATAAGCCAGAGAGTTACGCCAACCTAGTCGAGCCTGCTGGGAACTAGGTAGGAGAGAGTTGTGGGTTGGCTCATGAACCTTCATTTTGGACGGCCCTTCTTCCTCCAACTACTCGTGCTTCATTGTCGATCTTCTTGACTGGGAGGACGAACGAACGATGAACTTTGCGCGTTCCTCCAATGCGCGGATCTCAATACGGCTGCCTAGCTAGCCCCCACCTGGAGATCCGCGCTGAGTAATCCCTATCTGAGTGCGGCTGAGAGGTCAAATGTTGGTCTCGTTTCTGCTCGAAAATGTTGTGGAGTGGACAGGCATTGCAGGTAGCTGTCTGAATAGTAGTCATAAAAGGACAGGCTAATTGTTCATAAAAGGTATCCCATGTCAAGTGGGTGGAGTGGTATCTAGTGGTGGAGGTGGTAAGCTGTGAACTACTCCGTAGATACTTTGTAAATGGCGGCTCGGGAAGGGGAGGCTGATTATTGAACCCCGTTACTCGTTCTCCGTGCTCCGTAGGATCCCCGGGCCCACGGTACACCCGCCATACTACGTACCACACACCACACACCAACACCCACACTCAGCTGCTCCTTCGCCCCCATCTCTTCCTGTTCTCTTCTGTCCTCTTCCCTTCGTTTTAGTTCTGGAGAGGAAATACCCAATCCCAAACTCTATTTGTTGACGTCGCAATGCTGCTTTAGGTCGCGCTAAAAGAGAAAATACAGACTTGCTTGACTAGCCACCGCCAAACGCTTCCCCATCCCCCTGCTTTTTCCAGACGCTACCTTTTGCGGATCAGGAATATACGCGCCGGGCTACTCTCAGAGTTTAACACACCCCTGTCGCAAATATAAATGTCTTCTGGGGCTCTTTCGACTGTTCCGCAGAGCAGCGGGAGCTCTGCTGGTCTGGGCTCGAGTCCACTTTCCGTGCCCAGCGGCAAAGCTACCATCAGTCCACCGAAACTGACGCAGCAAGATGCGACCATGGAGCTCAAGAGCATGAAACCCCAGCGTGCTGTCAAGGGCTCAATTCCCATCGGGGAGGATATTATGCAGATTGCTCGTATCGGGGAGGTTGCGGCCATGCAAAAATTGTTTGACGAGAAGAAGTTCCACCCCAATCACAAAGATGAAGAGGGAATCACCCCGTTGCATGTGCGTATCAATGAAAGGAAGCCCCATCTTTATTCTCGAGACCGACTTCATGGAGCGTTGGCTGATATAACAATATCTGATTTAGTGGGCTGCTATCAACAACCAGTATGCTATGTGCAAGTTCCTACTCGACTCTGGTGCCGATGTCAATGCAAAAGGAGGGGAGTCAGTAGCTTCGCCTGCGATGTGGGCAGCTCAGCGATGTCATTATTACATTGTACACCTTTTGCTCCAGCACGGTGCGGATCCTCTGCTCACCGACGTCCAAGGCTACAACATCCTACATCTAGCTACTATTGACGGGAATGCTTTCCTGCTTGTGCTCCTTCTGCACCAAGAAATTCCGGTTGATGTCACAGATCAACAAGGTCATACAGGATTGATGTGGGCGGCATACAAGGGATTCCCTGCCTGTGTAGATCTATTTTTGCGCTGGGGCGCTAATGCAAATGCTGTTGATGACAGCGGCTTGACTCCCCTACATTGGGCCTTGGTGAAAGGATCACTGCCCTGTGTTCAGAAACTCATCGAATACGGCGCCGATAGGTCTTCAAAGACAAGGGACGGCAAAACACCAGCGACTGTAGCGGGCGAGATGAATACAACTCGCGTGTGGTATCGGGCTCTTGACGAGTGTGGCTATGATTTTGATGGGAATACAAAGATCCTTTCCCTTGGGTTGACGTCCTGGGTGCGGAGCAAGAGTGCGATGTCCAAATTCTTCTTTCTGTGGCCCTTCTTCATGGTGTTCACGGCTGTCTGGATTCTTAGCAATATGGTTGTATTCGCTGCTGTCCCGATCACGCTCGTGACGATTTATGGACTACAATGGCTAGCTCAGAAAGTTGCTAGCCAAGGACTTTCGGAGTACAGGATACTCCAGAAGACGGTATGCCTCCAATCCTTCCTGCGCTTCTAACCTGCCCCTGTTACTGATCTGCTACCTAGCCGTATTTGTCGGGTGTCTTTGCAGGGACCTTATTTTGGGTCGGTGTGAGATATGTTTTCCGCGTGCTGCCAGGTAGGGGTTGTCTGTTTTCTTTGGTTGTTTTGTCCTGTCTCCCACACCTCGACCCCCTGTAAAGGGGTTTTTTTCCCGGTACTGATGAACTTGGCCTAGCGACGTATTTTTCTTCCCCAGTCTTAAATGTTTGTTTTGTGCTCTTCTTCTCCCTGACGACTTATTTCTATTTTTCATCCATGGTTGAAGACCCCGGCTTTGTTCCAAAACTTGGTAGCCGTAACCAGCAACGAGCGGTCATTGCGGAGCTTTTTGAACAATGGAAGTTCGATGAAGAAAATTTCTGTGTCGCGTGCATGATCCGAAAGCCATTGCGGAGCAAGCATTGCAAGCGGTGTGGCCGCTGTGTTGCAAAGCATGATCAGTAAGGATTTGGCTTCATGGTGAAAATGCATAAACACTGACCTTTTACAGCCATTGCCCGTGGATCGATAACTGTGTAGGAGCTAACAATCTGCGTCATTTTGTTCTATACATCACCTGCCTGGAAGTAGGCATTATTCTGTTTGTGCAACTGACCTTCTCATGTGAGTGGCATCCTCCACCCCTTCCTTTTCAATGCCCGATGTACAATTTTAGCTAACAGGCTTTATAAGACCTCACTAATTTGCCAGCACCTGTCGATCCAAAGTGCAATATCATTAATGATGGGTTATGTAATTTTGTGCTCCGTGATACCTTTACTCTTGTTCTTGATTTATGGATTATCATTCAGCTGGTCTGGATTACTATGCTTTGTGCTGTTCAACTTGTTCAGATTTCACGGAACCAGACGACCTTCGAGAACATGCGCGGACACTCAATTGACAGGAGCTATCCAAGTTCGCGCGCTTTTGCCTCAGCTGTTGCCGCTGGTACGACTTCATTCGATGCAGCTGGACTATCGTCTGGCGGACAAGGCCCAAACCCGGCTCTTGCGTCCAGTGCTTCGAATCGACACCGGAGACATGGATGCTTGCAGCAGTGGTCCTCCCTTCTCGGCGTTGACACATTTTTTGCGACTGCGCGAGACGGGCTGCGAGACGGACCACGGGCTGCTCGGACTAAAAATCCCTTTTCTCGGGGTATCATAACCAACTGGAGAGATTTCTGGTGCGACCCGGCCCCGTATTTTGGGCAGCGGGAACCGGGGTCTGGTATGCTCGGTGGTGAAGTGATCAACTATAATCAGATGTACGAGATGCCTTCGCGAATGTACAGTGGTGGGGGGTATCGAAGCCTGGCCAACGACGACCCGGAGCAAAATGCATGAAGATGCCTTCTCTCTCGTGACAAATCAACCTCTTGACTTGTTCCTTCTATGGAACTATATTGCCTTCTCTACGCGATATAACGAATGCCGGACGAATTCTTTCTTGCAATGATATGTTTAGCTGGAATTGATGGCTACCGATGATGTCTTATCTCCCCCGATGTGCCCCCGTATTAACTTCATGTATTATTTATTTGTATATGGAGACTGGTATATTAGTAGATAACGATGGTGATCTTCTAGACCATTGGTAGGAAACTTAAAAACGTTCAAAACTGCACCCTGATGCCTGGTGCGTCTACTAGAGGCGACAGCCTGTCATCCATTGTAACCAGTATTGCAACGACTGGCAACCGTTGAATTCAGGTAGTACCGCTGTGCAGTATCTAACATGGAACGCTAGGATCCGGGTACAACTAAATGTCAAGAGGTGATTTAATGACCTAGGGCACAGAGTACATACTCCTATCTTTTCCTAAGCCCTGATTTCGAAGGAAAAGCCACACCGTTGTGATAATGGGATTCTGACAGCAAGACTTGTACTCAGTGGAGGAATTAGCATCCGACAGCGACAGAGAACAGCCAGTAGGTACCTAGTTTGTGGTGAGATTATTACATTATTGTATGGCGGTACTTACCTAGAACTGACTACTACTTACACTAAGTCCTGGTCCTAGTACAAAGTTCTCCGTATCTATAGGCGGTGCATACCGTATGCAATGTGTACCATACAGAATTTGGTACGGAACCAAGGCGGTCCTCAAGCCGCCGCCGAAAGATCCGATGTCGCAAGAAACATTCTTATTTCTTCCTGGCCGTGGGTACCTACTAGTTTCAATTTTGGGGAGGCCGTCAAATTACATAGCCTCAAGTCATCCCGCCACGCTAAGATCTTATCTCGGCAGGAGCAATTTGACGGGACTTATCCTGCCTCGCTCCGGTTTCTGTAGCGTAATAGTAGGCGCCGAAAGGTGCCTAGAACTAGGTAAGAAGATGTGGGAGGTACTGGGCGCTATAATAAGTCCTACTACTAGTAGTAGGTATAGATGCATCGTATGTATAGTGCAACCGTCACACTGATAGATTAGGCCTGCTAGAAAGTGGGAGTAGAGCGTACTGGAAGAAGTGCTCTGGCTACTATCCCACTACTTAGTGGTATTCCCGGTGCCCGTTCCACCCTCTCAGGACTCGGAGCTCCTCCATTGGACGGATACCTTAAGAGTGGTTCGGTTACGACCCTGAACAATAGGTACTAATACCAAGGATGCTGGTAAGGCTCAAGAGTACCAGAAATCCTTGGTCAAAAAGTGGGCGGGCTGCCAGCTTTGCAATTAATTATTCATAGGTTATTGACGGTTGGAGCTGTTGCTGATTGATTAGGGCAAGTCAGGCAACCCGGCAAAAAAAAAATTCAAGAGACATCAGAATATCTTGTACCATGCAGATCACCCCCCATAGACAATAGGCCCAGGACATCGGTACCTGGCATTAATATTGCTTAGCTCTGGTGTCAAGAATCGGCGCTTGAGTGATTGCCACATCACACTACCTTGAGTATGCTGTGGTTTCTGGTTAGTCTCAACGCCTCATCCTGGTAAAGCTTCATGCAAGCTGCATTTTGAGGTGTGGAGGTCTCATCGGAGTCCGCAGGACTAAATGTGCACAAGCATGTTCATTGCTAGCCCCCCCCCCCCCCCCTTTTTTTTTTCATGTTAGATATGAATTGTAGCATCCCAGCCCAACAATTTCCCCCTTTGGGGGGGAACATCCAATGCTAATCTGTTACGATAATGGCCGCGGCTTGTTTGCGCATGGATGTTCTGTGTACGGAGTAGCTGGCCTAGATCAAAAAAAAAAAAAAAAAAAAGGATCAGCGATGACACCTACCTACAAAGCAGTAGTGGCCTGGAAGTTGACCGACTGTTCCAGCCATCCAGGTCGCATACATCCGCACACAGAGACGGCTAGTCAGATTGAGTAATTTTCCCAGATTAACCATTACTATCTCCTTGGTTCCCGCACACCAGAGGGAGGAAAGAATTAATGATACCATCGAATCCTCTTAGCTAGGTGGCGACCATGGCGCACGTAAGAAAACATAGCATGACGTGCGAGGGCTTGTAGGACAAATATCAGCGCGGACGACGATATATTGCCTTGGCTATCCAGACTCACATCCCCCAGCTAAGTATAGATTTATCTTAGGGCAGAAATCCCTCATGACCTGACCATTGAACGGGCTGTTATCCAGACCGGGCAGTAGATACTGATAGATACGCAGTACGGAGTACCTCCCCCCCCCCCCTCCCCCTTCTCCCCTTTCTTTCATTTTCCAAGTTCTTAGGGTCTTGGTATTGTGGGAACTGAGAGGGTAAAGCGGGGCCGCTGAGAAGTATTCTGTATCAATCAACAGGAGTTAGTTAGCCGATCAGTGGCCTAAATCTTCTCGTTGGAGGTGTTTCATAGACCAATTTCTTTGGCGGGATGTATGGGAGAACTCCGAGAAAATCCCTCGGATGCCGAGTCAGAAGATGGAGAAACGGACCGTGAGCCAAAAAAAAAAAAAAAAAAAGGCAAAAATCCGAACTAAATGGTCCTGTTGTTTACGGTGTGCTTGGGGTACCGAAGCGAGTGTGGGAGACTAGTACCGAGAGACGACCATGATCAACCCGCATGGCCCCCTCATCGTAATCAATCAGTCAGTGGGTCTTTCTTCCATTCCTGTGGCACTGTTTCGGTGACCGTCATCCTTGGCAGCGAATGACGATGGACCTAGGGAGTGGGCAACCCAACGGAAAAACAAAAAAAAAAGAGCGCGTCTGGCACGGCCAGCCATCAGCCATGGACCCGATGGGCGGAACCGAATCCTGTGCAGTGGGTGGCGCCATCAGATAACGAGCGAAAATTTTTATCTGATCAGATTATCAGGATCCCCCCCCCCCAACAAATTCTGTGGTCAACCTTGGTTGTGTCTGTGAAAGTCTACGAAGCTGTCGCCCCCCCCCCCCTTCCTTTTTCCGCCCATTTACCACGCCGGGATAAATTGGTGCCAATTGATCAATTGAGTATCTGGAATGGTCGAGGGAGAATTCCTCATGTCTCTCCCTCTTTTCCCCTAGTGCAAAGACACCTCTCCATTAATTGCGTATTCCTGGCGGTCGTTAATCAGATCAGTGCCAATTAGCCTGGCCGCTTGACGTCAGTGGGCCTGTGCTAGGCCGGCGGTTGTGCAACCAGCCCGTCTGCCTCTTCCCCAGGAACAAGCACGCACACACACACACACACACACACACACACACACAAAACTTTGTAATTTCGTATGGTTTCAGCTACAATCCCATGTCAGGGGAGAAGGCAAACAAAAAGTACCTAGCAACCACGTGTTAATATTCTCTTACACGAAAATAATGGATGAAAGAAGCATTGGGAGTCACTTATGTATTCCAACTTCTATTCAATGTACAACTTCTGACTGGCCATTTATCTATGGCTCGAGGATTGCATAATTGCGAAGCATCATGATGAGGAGGGGTAGTATGTAACGGTAGTAGCGGTAGCTGGGTAGGAGAGGTAGTGAAACAGAATGATGACCAACAACAAATAGATGATCCTTCCTTGCCAATTATTATTCTCCTTTGGCACCTGGGACACCCACATTTCCCGGCCCTTTCTTTTGTCGGGGCAATAGTAAGAAAAGAAAACGAAAAAGAAACTGTCCCCGTTAGCGCCAACCATGCGCCTAGAAAGCGGATCCTGCACGGGTTTCCGATCCGACGAAGATTTTACAGCATAGCGCGAAACTTCATGGCCGGCACCGTTGCGCCCGCAAGCTGCTCTCCAAAGATCGAGTTCACCATCTCTCCACCTCGGGCGGCCAGCACCGACAAAAGGCTGTCACTCAGTCCGTGGGTCTTCTCATTACAGCCCTGAAGCCAGATGCCAGCATCCGCGCTGACCTTACTGGTATCCATATCAACCCGGTAATCCCGACTTGGGTTCCACTCCTCCTGGCCCGCTGGCCGCAGGTGCTGCACGTTTCTCAGCAACTGCTCGTGTGCGTTGCGGTAATAACCCGTTGCCACCATCAAGGCATCCACCTCTAACGTCTCCTTGCCATCGCCGACAAGGCTGTCCGCTCCATCCTTGGCGGCTCTGACGTGAATCCGCATTCGACTCTGAGGTCCATGATGTTCGACCCGGGTGATCTTGCGCCCGGGGAGGACACGATGTTGCCATTGCGTCTCGTCGGGGTTCTTGACCCTCTGGACATACATATCGTGGAAGATCTCTTCGATAAGCTCAAGACGTACCACGCTGTAGTTGGTGGCCTTGTCAGCCTTGAGAGAACGCTGGCGCTCGGAGGCGGAGAGATTGTAGAACTTGTCGACTCTTTCGGGGTTGAACACTTCATTGACGCTAGATCGTTCCGTTAGTTAGGCAAAACCAAGTGAGGGAGATGTACTTACAAAGGCGAGTCATCACTGGGCCGCATGGCCGTATCTCTCATGATCAAAGTTGTCTTCGACTTGGGGTATCGCTTTTGCAGGTCATGGAAGATCTCAGCAGCACTCTGACCGCTTCCAAGGACGGCAATATTGTAAGCTTCGCCCTCATTCTTCAGCAGGTTTGGCAGGTGAGTGCAATATTGGGAGGAGTGCATGATCCTGTGGTCCTGAGGTAGGCCCGGGGGCAACTTTGCCCGGCCACCAAGTGCAACCACTACCTTGCGCGCCCTTCTCGTGGAGATCTCTCCCGTTTCAATGTTCCGAGAGCGCACGGTAAAAAAGTCGACAACCGAGCTGGTAGGGTCAGTCTTGCCGGGGACCACATCTACCACATCCTCCCCATAAGACACGACGTCCGAGAATTGTTGCGCACACCACCGCATGTAGTCTTCAAACTCCAACCGAGCCGGTAGGAATGTTCCCAGGTTGGTGAAATGGATCAGACGACCCTTCTGGTGCAAGTAGTTGAGGAAAGTGAAGCTGCTTCGGGGATCACGGAGAGTCGCCAGGTCCTTGACGAAAGAGATCTGCATCCTGGAGCCAGGCACCAGCATGCCCGAGTGCCAGGCGAACTGCTTCTGCCGCTCGAGGAAGCAGACCTTGGGTTGCGACACGGAACCCAAGGTAGACTTGTTCAGGCAGGGATCCAAGGCATCGTGCAACGCAATTGCAATGGCTAGAGATGCAGGACCAAATCCCACGCAGAGCAGATCATGGAGCTCGTCCTGGGGTGTAGCTCGTAGTCGGGAAGGCTCCCGCTGCTGCTTGAGGGGCATGTCGCGAGGACCATGGAAGCTCACCTCGGGCTTCCGTACCACAGGTTCCATTGCTGTAAGCTGACAGGTAAATAGAAGGAAGAAAGATATGAGATTGATGTATGGGAAGGAAGCGCCGTGCTCAAGGTGTGATGAGCAAGCCAAGGGGCAGAAGACGCAATGACGAAGGGATTCCGGACGAAGGTGGGAGAGAAACCGCGGCAAGTGGTGGGCAAGGGTCGTAATTATATGCCCCGGTGGATAAATGCATGGAGGGAGGGGGGACTTCTAACTTCGTCCTGTTCTCCGTCCGTTGGAGCCAAATGCGTAAGAGTTAAAATAAAACAAATAAAATATAGAAGAGAAAAAATAGAGTACAGTATTCAAAATAACAAAAACAGAAATCTAGAGGAGGTGGGGAAGGAACACTAGAATAATAATTAAAAAAGAAAAGGAAAAAGAAAAAGAAAAGGAAAATAAAAAAAAGGGAAAGGAAAATAATTATTAGGAAACAAGGCCCAAGCAGTTTTCTGAAGCAGCGGATCCCGTAAAGGCGGGTTTTTTGCAAGGCGCAACAAGAACAGCAGCCGGCGGTGGTTCTTTTCTGACAGCGGGCCGGGAATGGCGGACTTGATAGGCATTCCTCGGTTCCACTTGCGAACGCGAAGAAACGTGGTTATGATTGCGTCCTCTTTACTTTACTAGACTTGACTCGACTTGACTTCACTTGACTTGACTTGACTTTACGTACTCCTTCCGACGTGGGACTGCGAGAGCTCTTGCTGCTGAAGCTGCCAGTGCCCTACTACGACGCATCCAGCCTACCTCCTACATACAAGATCGACTCTTCCTTCTGCCAGAGCACGCACGATCCAGGATAAACCGGGGGGAAAAAACTACCAAGCAGTACGGAGTAGGCACGGGCATTTTCTCGGAGATAAGATGACTGATCACGCCCAGAATCATAGCCACTCCACGCTTGTAGTACTAGTAGTAGTTCTAGTACAGATATGTAAGTATGGAGGGGTGGGGAGGGAGCGAGGGAAGGAGGGTCACGCCACTGCTATCCCCATTACTACCGATGAGTTTGCCCACGGTCCACGATCGAGACGCTTTTAGACGCGTCTAGAGAAGAAAGCAAAGAAAGACGTCCTCAGGCAAGCGGGAGGTAAGTGTGTGAAGAGTGAAGAGTCATCCTACCACTTACCTAAGAGAGTACGTGATGTCTCCGACCCCCAAGAAGGCACCGCCCCGCAGTAGTTCGGATGAACACTCGAGTTACAAATTACACTGTACGGAGTACGAGACCACTACTACCTACCTTACCTAGTACTACTAGTATTAGGTATGTATCTACTCCATTGCAGACTTCCAGTGGGAAGAGTACCGAGTCATAATATCTTGGGAGTGGGACGATGGACGCTTAGATTAGATCCGCAGTCGCCCGATGTCGGGAATTTCGAACTGGGCTGCACTCTGCAGGGCCCCTCCCGCGTAGTAGTAGGTAAGTATTCGTCTCGTACGGACGCCCGCCTGACAATACCTACCATGTCCACACCATCCATCCATCCATCCATCTCTAGATGACACCGCTCACCCCCAGTTTTATGCAATCAAATGGAGCCGACAATCCAAGGCTGCATGTGTCTTCTTTCTGCGAGGGGTCCATCCACGTTTCCCTGCTCCTCTCGGTAGTCGGTACTACCGATGGTAGTGGGTGGGGTCCCAAGTCGACAGATCCAGAGGCAACCACGGAGAACGTTTATATGCAATGGAAAGCTCTCCCGTCGTTCTTCTATAGTATCCGGGATCTAGGCATGAATAGGAGAGTCGTACATGGCAGCCCGCTGAACAGTGACCGGAGAGCCACACAGCTCGTCCCGCATATGCATGCAAGATTTTAACATCTTCCCCAAGTATGAAGTATACTCGGTTGGTTGGTTTGTCTAGTACATACATATACGAGGCGGCTGACCGTTCATACCGAGAACCACCCTCGCTGATCCTTCCGGGAGGTCTCGATGATTAATTGCTCAAGTCTGAATGGCCGGTGGACGAGCCACCGTTGCTACTAACACTGCCGTGGTAAACGCCAATCTCTGTCTAACTGGTACCAGGCTTCCCTACCCCCCGGTCATCTTCAGTACTGTCTTCCTGCTGTTCCTCCTAGACTGATGATCCGTGCTTGGGTTGGGACTACGCTTATGATTCGAAAGACACCCCTTGTCCCCAAGCCTCCTGGGAAACGAGGCTCGCCAGACGCATCACGCAGGCCTCTGCATATGTGCACAAAAGAGACAGATTCCAGTAGGAGGTAGGTCAATATTTAAGGCTTCATATCCGAATCTGCCTCGGGTGAAGAGCTGAGGTGACCTCCAAGTAGAGACTGACTGGTTAGGTATAGGTAGGTACTTGCTAGTAGCATACTTGTGTGTTAGTATCTACCTAAGATCGACAGACCCCTGCTGGGTCCTCTGTGTCTTGGGTACCTACGTAAGTAGGTACTACTTCCATACCTAGGTAGGCGCTCGTCACACTAAACTGTACGGTAGGTACATCGCATCCGTAAAGTACTAAGGCACAATAGGCCGCTAAGCTACCCCGCCCAGAGGAGCCCCTCCTTTTGTCCCAGATGTGAGCAACAATTGTATGATTACTACTGACAAGACAATGAGCTAACGGACTAAGGGCGGGGATCTTGCATATTCTCACTCGTCTATGGAACTAGTCAAAGTTACGTGATGGGGAGGGTGGTCGCTTTGGTGGTGGAGCAAGAGCTCGATCGAATCTTCACTTCAAAGGCGTCAATTCATCGGCATCAGGTTTCTACTAGCCTAACCCTTAACCGACCTTTTGTTTGGGCCTGAACCTTCACCGGTGAGCGGCTTACTTGGGTACTACTATCACCAAATCCCCAACCCTTCGAGTATCGGGTGTTATGTCCGAGGTGGATCTACCAGCATACGCTATCTACCCCTCACCATGCCCGAGTACCTACGCTACTACTTAGTGGTGCCTATCTACCTGGTCTTTCCTCGAGATTATAAATGCCAGCACGCTGGTTGGCTCTTGGAGTAAACGATGCACCGACAGCCTTAATACTTCCAGTCACAGGGATGTGCTTACATCCGTGCCTTGAATCACAAGCGCCCACAGCATGACGAAAAGCATCACGGTTATGAGATCACTCGGCTTTTCCCATTGCATGGAAGACCTTCCTGTCTGAAAGCACGATGGTTTCCATTGTTCTGTTCTAAGATGACAGAAACCTACACGGCAAAGACTTTCGCCCTTGTCCCGTCTTGCTCAAGCGCTTTCCTTTTCCATGACTGGTCATATACCTGCATGGTGGTTGGTTTACTCCACGGCAGCCTTGACCGGATCGAATAGAAGGGGGCGGTCCAATGGCGCGTACATGGTCCCACCCCCCGAGGGGACTGTATCTTCTGCCATGGCCTGTTATCCTGTTCTCAACTTGATTAAAGGTGCCCTGTTCTTGTGCCCAGAAGAAAAGTTGACCAGACTCGCATCATAGCCTGGCCTGGGGGGGCTGGCTCTCCACCTCGTCATATTGTATGCTTCAGATGATAACCAATGCAGGAAAGTGCTGCGAGTATCTGCATGCACGACAATCAGGCATTGCAGCCATAGCAAATCACCATAAATTAGCCTTGAAATTTGCCCTTCCCAGTGTATACTTGCCACGATGCTTCATCAAGGTATTCAGTGTAAAGATAAATGAATGGCATCTATGGGTGCGATGAAAATCAGTGGTTGTTGCGGCACAAAAGCAGCCCCGGGAAGAAAAGCTATGATTCAGTAAGCCTCTCTTTATCGACACATTCCAAACCCCGATAATATGAAGAAAGCAATGAAAGCGTAATGATGTCCATCATCTACGTTAACTCACAGTCTTTGCCACGGATATATAGAATGGCCCCTCACTCCCAGCCATGCTCTGAGAAAGTGCTTAGAGTCTCGAAGCTGGGGATTTATCCCGGCTTCCCTTCTGCACCTTTTATCGACACCGTTACTAACAAACGAGGAGCTTGGTCTACTGCGGTCCCAAGCTATTACACCTATCTGCCTTCACCACTACGCTCTAACGTGGCGAGATCTTCAATTGACAACCCTGTTCATACAAAACTGATTTATAGGCGTCTTTGGTGGGTAGTCAGAGCGTCTACCTTGCTAGTCTGAAACCTTATCTACGTGATTTCAATATGACCGGTTAGCTAGAAGTTAAACTATATTTCCTAGATCTATATGATGCTTCCTGTCCTAGCACACAGATTGTTGATGGTGAGTTATGCCTGGCCACTGCAACCGAGCACAAAGAAAGCTCAGGTCTATTGTCTAGGTCTATCTAGAACGGAAAGAGTAGGGATTTTAGTAGACTTATCTTCTTGTCTGCCAATAACTTTTGAGCATGTCTTGTTCTTATTTGTAGAGTGTATATTTCCCATCACCATCTTGGGGTCTGAAAATAGTCTTCACCTCGTACATAACTTCGCCTCCAATCATGCCTGATTAAGCCTCCAGATATGCAGGTCTAATTTTGAGATGTCAGCGACTACTGTACGGTCATAAGTAAGAGCAGCATTGATTTCGTACTGCCTCTGGCTAATGCTATATGTAATGACTGTTTGATCAGTATATCTTATGAAAGTATCACCCCTTGCTTTCCAAGAATATCCATCAACGACTACTTCCGGTATGGTTTGTATAGAATGCATGGTCCTTCAAGCCGGCTGTTTTGGCAAGCTTTGCACCTGCGTATCTTTCGTAAAGCACAGTGTGGAGAAGACTATCAGTCCGTAAAGCAGTTGAAAAGTCACATCTTCTCTCAGACTGCAAAGCTGATGACTTTTGAACCGCTTGCAAATATCCTGATTCGAGCTCCGTTTCCAGGAAGAGGTGGCTTCAGGCCGCCTGGGATGTCGGAGGCGGTCACTGGCAGGCGCCAACCTCAGGCACCCTGACAAGTATTATTCTCTTGGATCTGGGCTGTACCCATTCTGCCAACCCTTGTCTTGCCGCAGGTGGTCAAGACAACTTATTGTGACATCTCAAGCATAGACTGTTTATTGGGACACTCTTGTTGAATAGTTAGTTGAAGGCCCGACACTGCAAACTTTCACATAATGCAACAAGGGCACGCATATATTAATGTGTGAGTATGGATATAGTACATACGCACCGGCTATCCTACCAGGAAGCTCAGAACCCGGCCAGTGGGCTGATATATAGATCCTTAACAATGCACCTGGTCCCCTTACTTCTATGTCCTTAGTGGACTGCAAGTCATTGAGTGCTCATGCATTTATATTGGCATACTGGCACATCCAGATAGCCGAATTGGATCAAATTATCTCCCTCGCCGTATCACTGGGTGGAGAGTTCAGGCGCTTGAAGCTCCCTGGGTTTCCAGCGATGCGGTGTGCCCCCTGGAGTGGATTGAGGTGCTTATTGACGCCTATAAAGAGGGGGTCCCCTCCGCTCAACAATCCCGATTATATTTCCCAGTTTGCAAATCACCTTGTTAGACCACCAATGTTTTGGCATCGGCCTAGAAAAGAATACACTGAAGCAAGCAAGAACATCATGAACAGCAACATAATTATAATGCCTGGTTTGATGCCCTATCTGATCTACCCTGGTGGCTAAAATCCTGTCCACGAGTTAACTGTCATAAAGAAAACGGCAAAGGATAGCCTCAGTAGTCTGTTATCCACCATCCGAGCCACTTATGCCTGATTCCACACGCTGACTCCTATTGGCACAGACAATCGCAACCGTGAAAGATCAAACTGCACCCCGACGATGTGGTATACAGTCAGTCTCCTGCTACAGAAAGACACACTGGATTGAAGTCACCCAGACTAAACATTGCTCCTCGAGTCATGGATCGATCGCTCGGACTGGCGGCCCATTTTCCAAGGTGTTCAACAGAACCAGATTCCCTGGCATTCCCTGGCAATGCACATCGAGGCGACTTGAGTCTCTGAGCCCGGAAAGGTGATTGCAAGGGCCCACATTATCTCGCAGCTTTCGGGGCCTAGTGAAAAGGCTGATTGATGTGCGTATGGTGGACCACCATATCAGCTCACTTCCCAAAAATCGCCAAAGAGGGTTTCAAGGTAGGCGGCTCAGAACTAGCGGGCATCCCGTGCAGTGAGATGGAGATGGAGATCGAGATAAATCCGGACGCAGATGGAAGCCGACGGAACATGTCATATTATTATTTCGCGGCCGATGGGCGTGGAGATGCCAGATTAGATTTTGGGGTAATTGGGCCCAAAGATCGGCTGAGCGCTTGCCCGAAGAGATTGTGGGTACGTATTGACCTACTTTGCACCCCGTCCTGACCGCCAAGAAACGGCTACTACTAGATGCACTGTGGAAGGAAGAGATGCCTGAGCCCTGAAGGCGTGGTGTAAGGGGTGAGATTAATGTATGCATCACAAACCATTGCTGGGCTGACTATGACTCTGGTTATCCAACTTCATTGTTTGCTTGCTAACTTTGTCCTGGGAAAGAGGGACGAGCAGTGAGCACTAAACTCATGCTGAGGGCGTTTAATTGGGTTTCGAAATGAGGGATGGGCGGTTCCCAATAGATTGATTGAATCAAGGGTTGGGCCAACAGCCTGGATCCGCTCAATAATTGCCCAAAGGTCTGAGGACAGTTTAAGGCCACAAGTGCACCACCCCTTTGAAGATTGGGGACAGGCTCCAGGAATCAATCGGTATACCCTGTTTTGATCGTTGCTTATAAGGTGATCAAATATATATACGATTCGTTATGACGAGTTGAGGACACAACTGATCTATATCACCGAGCCACCCACAAAAAGAAACAAAAGAAAGCAAATATATATGTATAAAAGAGCGTGCAAACAAGTAAGTAGAAGGCATAAGGTAAGCATGACCCCCAAAAGCCTACACTGGGATGCAGAATAGATGATCATCAAAGCCCTGACCATTTATTGCCTGAGGCGACCGGACCGTCCTGTTTCCCTGAAGCACTGAAGCCCGGAATCTAAAGGTTGTGTGGGGGAGATACCGGATCTCGAGGCAAATGGTGTATTCGGAGTGCGTTAAGTTCCCGCAGTTACTGTTTCTTCGATGACGTATGATACCAAAGGGGGGATTTGGTAGGTATGTCCGCCACACTCTGTATGGGGGGAAACGGTTTATCTGAGAAATAATCGATCCATGATGGCGATCTCCTACGTCAGATATACTTGATCTGGACACGTCGACGATGGGTGGGCGACACGTGTTGCTGAGGGATGAAGTCGGACCGTGAAGAGTTGTATCTACAACTTACAATCTACTCCCGCTTACTACGGAGTAGAATCTGGCAGACGCGGGAGAAGAAGCACAAGGTACCTGGTCGACACCCAGGGACGCCGAAAATTCCATCAGGTAAATGTTAGTACTGTGTACATACCCCGTGGAAACTGGAAGCACCATCGAAGCGCGGAAAGAGCGGAGTGGGAACCCTAAGAAAGCATGCCCAAGCCGCCCTGTGCCCGAACGATTCAACGAAGACAAGTGCGGGAAAGAAACAGAAAAGAAACGAAAAGCTTAAATAAAAAAGGGAAAAGGGAAAAGGGCGGAAAATAAAAACGAATACAAGGAGGAAGGACTGGGCTGACCAATCGACCCTTTGCCACCACCTTTTCATGCTTATTTATTTACCAGCAGGTATGTACTCTCCGTACATACTTACTTGCACAGCTGACAGGATTTCAGTGGCGATTATTCAGGGTACGGGGAAGCAGGAAGATTGGTTTCAAAACTCAAGTAGCTCATAGTGGCCATGATAAACCTGGTAAATATATCAGCGCACATGCAAGGGAGTAGAATAAACTAAAAAGGCTGAGTCGATCCGGCGCCCCCGCGTGTCTTATCAACATTATCGATAACTATTTACTCCGTAGAGTCACTCCGTGTTTAATATTATTGTTGACGATTGGGGAGGGGCGGCAGCGGCAGATGGAACCGAAATCTGGTTCCCGGCCCAGCCCTGGTACTGCCTAGTACGGAGTCCTGGTGAACTGGAGTTGGATGACAGTCAGACTTCAGATGATTATTGCAAATGAATCTAACATACCAAAGTGCTTTTTGTATATAGCGTACCGATACAGTATATAAAGTCAATCTCTAGATAGCAGAAATTGCTGTATAGGTAGGTAGTGGTGGTGGTAGGTGTAGTACCTTACTAATACCTCCAGTACCCGGTATGTAATGTGGTATCTATCGTATGATCCACGGGAGGGATTTGAGGGCCCGAGAGAGAGGGGAGGGGACTGGAGGGGGAAAGGAAGAGAAGGGGAGGAACCCTTGGGGGGAGAGGGGGGGGGTTTACGCGTGACGCTCCCGGAGCTAGACCCAAAGGAGCGGGGCAACAACAACAAACGACGCGAACTTGGCGCGTGGGAGAGAAACAAAGGCCCCACGCCGGGGATTGGCTGGGCGCGCGCGAGCAAAAGAGAGGCTTCCAACTGGCTGGGTACCTGAACCAAGTCCTGCCTATGGATGGCTGCCCTGCGCCCGCGACCTCCAGCCAGTCAGTCCGCCAGTCAGTAGTGGTAGTAGGTGACTACTACTACTACTATGTTGACTCGCTTCTTTTTTTTCCCTACTTGTCTCCCCAAGTCTCTCCCATCACAATCCCTCCTCTATCCATGACTACTAATACTACACTACTACTACGACTACTACTATCACCATCACTACTACTACTACTAGTACTATCGCTCCCCGCCAACCTTAACCTCTCGAAACTCTCCTCCCGTAAGGGAAACCCATCGGGCCATTGATTTACCATTATTGAAGGCTGGCTTTGCATACCGCAACTTCCGTCCCAGCGCCGCCAGCCCCTCCCTCCGTCCAGTCCGTCCGCGACCATCATCTCACACCATTCTCACTCTCCCGACCACTGCGACGGTGCACCCACCCACCCACCTTTCATCCCTTTCTTCGTCTCGACTCCTCTTCTTCTTCGCGTGGCTGTCTGATTCTTTTTTTGGCCCCCCCGTCGAGCCCCCCCCCTTGCGCTGTCAGTCCCTCCGTCGGAGAAGTTCGATCATTCAGGTTTTAAAGGAAGGAAGGGAGACGGAAGGGAGGCGACCATCTTGCTGCCGCCGGTGTCCTTTCTATCAAATCAAAATCATCCCTCTTACATCCCTCTCTGCAAGTCGCTCCCTCCCCAGCTGCGCATCGGTTGCTGTTGGTCGCTGTCTTGGAATTTCTCGCGTCGGCCTTGTCGCGCACATCCCCGTCCTGCGTGCGCCGCATCGTCGCGTCGCGCCTGCTTGTTTTGACGCCCGCATTGTCACCCTGAAACATTCCCGCTTATCGATCGGTTTCGTTCAACGACGCTGCGCAGACTCGAAGAGACATCGTGTTTCAGGCGCGTGGCCCCGTGCCCGAGAGCGCGAAGAGAGCCGTTTGTGTCTACCTTCTCCCACGCTCTTTTGAGGTGTATGGAGGTTTTTACAAGCGCTTTCGAAGCCCCCGTGGTCTCGGAATAAGCTGGTGATGTGCATCCATCTTCTGTTTCGCATTACCGACTTGTTTTGCCTGGACCCTATCACAGGCGCGGAGCCTTACTTTCTTAGCATTCCACTGCGGTCGACAACAACCTCCGACCCCGTTTCTGGTTAAGACAGGAGGAGGAAGAGAGGAGAGCACCGCCACAGGCTCTGTTTGTCGTACCCGCCTGTTGTTGTGAACGCACATTGCGGTATTCGTCGTGAGCTGATCCGCATCGTATCTTGTCGACCTCATTGCACTACAGCCCATAATCGACTGCTGGAGTGAGGGTTTCTCTACCTTAGTACACCCTAGAGGATCATATCATTGCGCTGCCTCTACAAACCGATATACACAATGGTTGCGACGTTTTCGCCGCACCGCGATGCGGGTGGCACGTTACACTTGCCCTCGCACCCTGGTATTCACCATATGGATGCTAACTCGGCCATCCGACAACTGCGCCGGTCATTGTCCCGTTCACCTTCCAAGAGTTCCAACTTCCCATTGCTTGCCTCCCGAAATCACTCGCCATCGAAAACAGCACCATATATCTCGTCTCCTTTGTCACCGTCACGAAGATCCGCACAAAGCAACTTCGTCCTTTTCCCGAGCTCCTCTCATCAGTCTCCATTCGCAGTGCCGTATCCTCCTAGCGCTAAGATAACAAGACCTACAATGCGCCGTGTGCGGACGTCTCCAAGAAGTCCTGTGAAGCGTGCTTTGAATATCTGCACGGACCACGGAAACGCGAAGCCTGCGCAGTCAATCCCAACAACCCCCGGCGTGGAAAATACCCCCACAAGTCCGGCGCCTACTCAAGTGGAAAATGTACCTGACGACACCTGTCTCGATGACACGTCCGCATGCACAGAGCCCACCCTGGCACCGCGTACATCACTCTCTCGAATCGAGAAGCGGCGCAGTGGGACTTTCGGCTCATATGCCACAGTTAGCCCATTGAAAAGGAGCGATGGAATCATGAACTTGGATCGGGTGTCTCGCGGTAGTCCTTCGGCCAAGAGGCGAAGTGTCCATGCTGCCAACTTGTCGGGTGAGTTCAGCATATTTGACAATGAAGACTCTCCGAATATTGTTGAGGACGCTCGAGTTGAGTCTTCAGCAGAGACCAACACGCCCACGTTTCCCACCGCCATAACCCCATTCAGCCCCTTTGCCACCATCCCCAAAAGATCATCCTCGTTACGGCGATCTACTCTTCAGCAGCGCCAAAGTGATCGCTCCCTTTTCGCTAGAGCAAAGGCCATGGGCGAAATGCCTGAGGCTCCAGACATCGGGACCCCTCTCACAGTTCGGCCACGCATGTCTTTGGATCACAGCCTTTTCCAGCCTAACAGGGACAGCCCTTTCTCATCTCGACCGACGCCTGGTAGCCCGTTATTTGCATCGACTGGCAACAATACTGAGCAGCCCCGCCCCGCCGCCCACCCGTTGTCCAGGACCATCACTCAATCGTCATCTGGATCCAGTCTAGCGGACGACTCTCCCACACATGAGCCCATTCATAAGGGCGATCGCCCGAGAGGGATTTTCAATTTCTCTAAATCTCTCCCTGCGGGGGCCACTCGGCCTGTTCCGGTGCGACATCTCAATCGTGAAGATTCAACATCCTCCGTTGACTCCTTTGCTACGCCCGAGAACTATAAGTTGGTCAAGCCTCTTCCTGCGGCGTTCATGTCAACTGGTCTCATATCGAAAAAGAACCGTAACGCTGAGGATTCCCGGAACACGCTAGGATTCAGCAAAAACATGCCAGATACCCCGTGTAAACGGCCCATTAACCTTTTCCCCACTGGTGGATCAAAATTACAGGGGGACCGACCTCTAGACATAACAAACCTTGCTCAGCAGTCGGATGCGATACCTCCATCGCCGTTCAATCCCCCCAGCTCGCGTCCGAAACCCGGACCTTTTGCTCGAGGCATGGGTATTTTCGGCAACTCTTTTAACAGACCCGAGGTGTCACGACGTGGCAGCTTTGCGAGTACTGATGGCGAGGAGTTATTGCCATCTCAATCACCCTGCGGCCGGCAGAACAGCCAACCACTAAGCGAGTCTGACTTTCCCCCGACGCCAACCAAGCAGACATTTTTCCCCTCTCGAACCTATCCGCCCCAAGTCTCACAGATCGCTTCTCTTGAAAGATTAGCAGAGGCTAAGGGAGTCAATTCAAGTCCCCTGCATGACAGGTTTCAGCGTGGCTCTCCACGTACTCCGCAGGATCATTTCTTCCCTGATCCGAGTGGGCTCTCGATTTCTAACGACCAGCAGTCTATTAAACCCGACTTTAATTCCTCTAACTTGCCGGCGACTCCCACTGGCCCTCGTGACTCATTCCAGTCTGGGAAACGTCCCAGCCTTCCGTTGGCTGGGTATCATGCGCCAGATGTAGACCCTAGCTTAACCTCACGTTTCGAGCGGGTTGAGCTGGTTGGGACTGGAGAATTTTCTCAGGTTTACCGTGTTGCTGAGCCTCACGACACACCGAAGCCCCCTCTTTTCCCGGATGACGCGCATCCTCCCAAAACATTGCCTGAACAGGTATGGGCTGTCAAGAAGTCAAAACAACCGTATTCGGGCCTGAAGGACCGCGAACGTCGCATCCGTGAGGTGGATGTTCTCAAGTCGCTGACCAACTCTGATCACATCATCTCCTTCATCAATAGTTGGGAAGATTACGGGCATCTTTATATTCAGACAGAGTTTTGCGAGGAAGGGAGTTTGGACGTGTTCCTGGCCCAAGTTGGACTCAAGGCAAGACTAGATGATTTTCGGATCTGGAAAATTTTGTTGGAGTTGTCCATGGTAGGTTTGCTGATCTTGGAAGCTGGTCAAATCGGACGTTGAGGATCGTGCTAACCGTAACGATAGGGTTTAAAGCACATCCATGACATGGGGTTCATCCACCTCGACTTAAAGCCGGCCAATATCCTAATAACCTTTGAGGGCGTCTTGAAGATTGCTGATTTTGGCATGGCCGCACGTTGGCCAGCAGAAGATGGAATCGACGGCGAGGGCGATCGGGAATACATTGGGCCGGAAATCTTAATGGGCCGCTTTGACAAACCGGCCGACCTTTTCTCGCTAGGCCTGATCATGTTTGAGATTGCTGGGAATGTCGAGCTGCCGGACAATGGCCTCTCATGGCAGAAGCTCCGTAATGGGGACATGAGCGACATTCCCAGTCTGACATGGAGCTTTGAGACCAGCATTTTCCGCGACGCGTCCGGTAATCCGATATCAGAAGAGCCCTCGTTCGAAGAATTATGTACATCCGACTTTGGGGACGACGATTTCGGTGCAGACAGTTTTCTCGGAGGCCGGTCGTCAAATAAGCGACAAGCAGTCCCAGTCATTCGGACAGGAGAGCTCGTTGATCCTCCTGACTTCATGGTTGATGCCGGCCACGAGCAGGCCTTGGATAAGATCGTGCGATGGATGATCTCACCGGAGCCGCTTGATCGACCCACAGCGGATCAAGTGCTGGAGACGTACGGAGTCCAATTTGTTGCCTGCCGGCGCCGCGCTGGAGCCATCGTTTACGAAGGCAACTGGGGCCCTGCCGACGATGTCCTGGCAGAGGACGCCGAGATGATCGATGTTTAATCATCACGACTTGACATATCTAGTGCATTTGGACGGAGTTGGCGCTTTCCTTTACAATACCATCTAATGACGGCGTTTATGCGAGAATCCGAACTTTTGATCTTAATGTCCATTTCCCTCGATGACCCAGATGTGATCGGGATGCCTCACCCACCATCCTTCATGATTCGGACGACGAGAGACTTGACTAGTCTCCTGGAGGGGTGGCCGTCCACTCATTTCCTACGATATTTCTTTTGTTAGTGAGCCATTGATTTAGCGATTATGATGGGTTCTTCTTTCCTCTGTCGCGTTCCCTTCCCTTCTCAATGTACTTATGTCTTCTGCATGATTGGATCCTTGCCACTGGAGACGGACGAGGCAGGATGTCATGCGGTTTGCTTTGCTGGCGCCCTTTGCGGCCCTTTTATTTTCCTCCCCTCCCTCCATATGTTTTGATTGATGTTGACGTTTCTTTTGTTGGAGTGACTTGAGGGTCTGGAGTAGTTCCTCCCTGCTCATGCACTTGGGGCGTTTGACGATGACTATAACCAGTTACCCTACCATGCATGACTACTATGTATTCCATATCCTTGGCCTTGAGCTTTTCTCTTCGCTACCATGTCTTTACTTCTTGTGTCTTCCCACCCTCCTCCCCCAATTCCCCTTGTGACACTACGCTCCTCTATATGTCCTTGGCAGAAAGGAAACCGCCTCGATGTGATCAAGCCGGCTTGAGAGCAGCATAATGTTTGTGAATTAGATGTTGAAATGCACCTCCACCCTGGATGGACACCGCATGATTGATTCCCTGTAGTGTAGCGTGAATAAGTATTAGTAGCTAAGTAGGGCGGGCAGCCGTCGGAGTCTCGCCAAGGCGACCGGCCGGTCGCCTTGGCTTGGCGGTAGCTGCTGCTTCTTCGCCTCCGCAAGTTGCCATTCATTTCACCTACGAACCACTCTCTACCCTCCCGACTTGCAACGGCTACGGTCGCTCTCCACTGCCTCACTCGGAGCGAAATTGGCTCTTTATCTATTAGTCCCTCGACCACTCAAGCAATTGCCATCCCCAGCCCATCACTGGCTGGTCTTACCTCAGGTCCGCGGCGATAATGCGCGACTCGGCCTGAAGGCCTCATCATCGACGCACGCACGCACGCATTCGATCTGGGCTTCGCACCACCGAGTGTCACAGTCCTCACGCCGGCGACATTGAAGTCACAGAAGTCGCAGCCTGATTCCCTGGGGTAATATATTCTCTCCTGGCTCCTATTCTCCCCTACGCGCCATGGATCACAGGACGTTCGTGTCGGACTCTCTCCTCCGCCTGACGAACGCGTCGGACCCTACCGTCGTCGACTTTGTGCTTGCCACTGCTACATCCGCGAAATCGGCCACCGCCTTGCAAGATAAACTGCTCCCTTTCCTGGACGGCAGCTCCGGGGACATCGGCTCGTTCTGTGGGGAACTCTACCGACGGGTTGGTGCGGGCGCGGAGAATGGATCCAGCTCTGGCAATGCCACCGTGGCAGCCAAAACCCAAGCTGGCACTATGTCGAAGAAAAAATACCGGCTTTTGGAAATGGAAGATGACGTACCGGAGTCTCGGGGCTCTTTGGCTCCCGTGAATGTTGAGGCCGACAGGGAGAGACGCAGACGGAGAGACAAAGACCGGAATAATGGCCGGAACGCCAAGGATACGGAGAGCGGTCGCAGCCGCTGGGAGAAGGACGAGAGTCGCAAGCGCGACCGCAGTAGCGGGGAGGCATCTCGTGATCGCCCCCGCACGAAGAAGCTGCGACAACGGGATGCGGGAGACTTTGACGACCGCTGGGGGGATGAGGAAGTTTTCGAGGACGAGCTCTATGATAACGACGAGCAGGCAGGCGATTTCGAAGAGTCACCTACGAAACGGACTCGGCTAGACGATGGGTCTGCGTCACCTCGGTCGAACGCTTCCGCAGATCTAGACCCAGAGACTGCAAAGGAGCGGGACCGGAAACGAGACCTCGAGGAACGCGATGAGTTTGCGAGGCGGCTAGCCAAGAAGGATGATGGCAAAACGAAAAAAATCGTGGAGGACCGCACCAGGGATGGCGAGGCCGCTCGGCGACGGGCTTTGGCGGACGACTCTTCGGCTCGAGCTACTGTCATGCCCGAGCTTAGGATGCGCTCTCGGCAGGAATATCTCAAGAAACGGGAGACCGAACGCCTGGCCTTGTTGCGCAGGCAGGTCGTGGAGGAGACGGCGGAGCTGCGCGACAATCCCAGCCTGACGCGGAGGGAGAAGGAGGAGTTCGCTCGGAATCGAGAGGTGCTGCGGATCGCCGAGGAACGCCTGCGAATTGATGACCACCGCGATGGCTACATGATGCCTGAGGACTACATTACAGAAAAGGGCAAGATTGATAGGAAGAAAAAGGAAGATGCGCTCTACAGGCGGTATGTGGACCGGGATGAGCAAGGCCAGGAGCGGTTCATTACGGAGCACGAGGAGTGGGAGTTGGAGCAGACTGCCAAGGCAAAAGCACAGATCAGTCGGGCTGAATTTGTAGACGAGGGTGACTACGAGTACGTGTTCGACGACTCGCAGAAAATAAATTTCGTCATGGATGCCAAGATGGAGGGCACACAAAAACCCATGACCCAGGAGCAACGGAGGCTTCAGGAGCAGATTGATGCGGCGGAGAAGAAGGCGCAGTCGATGGAGGAAACGCGGAAAAGCCTGCCCATCTATCAGTTCCGGGAGCAGATCATTCAAGCGGTGCACGACCACCAGGTGCTGATCATCGTGGGAGAGACCGGTTCGGGTAAGACAACACAGATTCCTCAATATCTTCATGAGGCTGGATTCACCAAAGGCGGCTTGAAGGTCGGATGCACGCAGCCGCGACGAGTCGCTGCCATGAGTGTTGCCGCTCGAGTGGCGGAAGAAATGGGGGTGAAGCTGGGCAACGAGGTTGGATACGCCATTCGATTCGAGGATAACACGAGCGACAAGACCGTGCTAAAGTATATGACGGATGGTATGCTGTTGCGAGAGCTCTTGACAGAGCCCGACCTGGGCCAGTACTCCGCATTGATGATCGATGAGGCGCACGAACGGACGGTGCCTACAGATATCGCTTGTGGACTCCTGAAGGATATCGCGAAAGCGCGGCCGGACCTCAAACTGCTCATTTCCTCGGCCACAATGGATGCCCAGAAGTTCCAACAGTACTTTGATGACGCGCCTATCTTCAACATCCCTGGCCGCCGGTACCCCGTCGATATCCATTACACCTCGCAGCCAGAGGCAAACTACCTGGCTGCGGCCATCACCACTGTCTTCCAGATTCACGTCACTCAGGGCCCCGGGGATATATTGGTGTTTTTGACTGGTCAGGAAGAGATCGAAGCAGCGGAACAGAGTCTCCAGGAAACAGCGCGAAAACTGGGGAGCAAGATTCCGGAGATGATAATCTGCCCGATCTATGCCAACCTCCCGTCCGAGCTTCAGACGAAGATATTCGAACCGACGCCACCGAAAGCACGGAAGGTGGTGCTGGCGACAAACATAGCGGAAACCAGTCTGACGATTGATGGGATCGTCTACGTGATCGACCCGGGCTTTGTCAAGGAGAATGTCTTCAACCCGCGGACTGGAATGGAAAGCTTAGTGGTGACACCATGTTCGCGAGCGTCTGCCAACCAGAGAGCCGGTCGTGCTGGCCGTGTCGGACCGGGGAAATGTTTCCGACTGTACACCAAGTGGGCTTACCACAACGAGCTGGAAGAAAGCACGACGCCGGAAATCCAGCGGACGAACCTGAACAGCGTCATTCTGATGCTGAAGTCCCTCGGAATCGACCAACTACTTGACTTCGACTTCATGGACCCCCCGCCGGCGGAGACGATTATCCGTGCGCTGGAGCAGCTCTACGCCCTGGGAGCGCTGAACGACCGAGGCGAGCTGACCAAAATTGGGCGGCAAATGGCGGAGTTCCCGACGGACCCCATGCTCGCCAAGGCAATTCTGGCAGCGGACAAGTACGGCTGTGTGGAAGAGGTTCTGTCGATCGTGTCGATGCTGGGAGAAGCGAGCGCTCTGTTCTTCCGACCCAAGGACAAGAAGATCCATGCGGACAGCGCACGCAACCGCTTCACCGTCAAAGACGGTGGTGACCACCTCACACTTCTCAATATCTGGAACCAATGGGTGGACTCAGATTTCAGCGTTGTATGGGCCAAGGAGAACTTCCTGCAGCAGCGGAGCCTGACGCGCGCGCGCGATGTTCGCGACCAGCTGGCGAAGCTGTGCGACCGGGTCGAGGTCACGGTCAGTACTAGCGGATCGAACAACCTGCAGCCGATCCAGAAGGCGATTACGGCAGGGTTCTTCCCGAATGCGGCCCGGCTGCAACGCGGGGGGGACAGCTATCGCACAGTGAAGAATGGGCAGACGGTGTACCTGCACCCGTCGAGCACACTGTTCGAAGTGAACCCACGATGGGTGATCTACTTCGAACTGGTGCTAACGAGCAAGGAGTATATGCGCAGCAACATGCCGTTGCAGGCGGAGTGGCTGGTAGAAGTGGCCCCGCACTATTACAAGAAGAAGGATCTGGAGACACTGGGCGTGGAGAAGAAGATGAAAGGACAGGGGGCGGCGGGCGAAAAGAGTCGAAATTGAGTGGTGAGTGAGTGATGGTTGGCTGTCTAAATAGACAGTGTATGATTGATTGATTTCCTGTAGATACCTCTCCCCCTTCTCCGCAGTGTGTATACGCCACCCATGTTACAATTCCGTACTCCATATCTAGATATGCATATCTACACACATTTCATTATGACTCCCAATTTAGTTAGTATACCACTCCGGAGTACCGTGTTGTGGAAAGGCCAATCACCGGGCCTGGATTGCCACGCAGGCCGTTGACCGCGGCTCGCAAGCGGGTAGACAACCTCGGCTGTCACAGCGCGGCCAACCGAACCCAACTTAAACCAGCCCCCCGACCCCGGATTCCAGATTCCACCTTCCAGCGTCATCTGATCCACTCCACTCGACTTAACCACCCGGACAACAACCCAACCTCCAACCCTCAACCCCCAGAAAACCTCACGACCACAATGTCCCAAGCCTTCACCCCCGCCGACGTCGCCGCCCACAACTCCCCAGACAAGGGTCTCTACATCATCATCGACAGCAACGTCTACGACGTCACCCAGTTCGTCGACGAGCATCCCGGCGGCGCCAAGATCCTGAAACGCGTGGCCGGCAAGGACGCGTCCAAGCAGTTCTGGAAGGTGAGTTGATACCTATGGGTTGAGCCTGGTTCTTGGGGATCGCTCGATACATACATGCATACGGGCATGCATACACCAGATGACGTGAGCAGAAGGCTGACATGTGCTTTCTAGTACCACAATGAGGGTGTTTTGAAGAAGTATACCCCCAAGTTGAAGGTCGGGGAGGTGAAGGAGGCGGCGAAGTTGTGAGGAGGTGGAAGGGAAGGAAGGAAGTGAAGGAAGAAGAAAAGGCCACTGATATGCACCGGACGGACGGGCGGGCGGGATTTGGGCTAAGTACCTATCTCTGCATCATACATTTTGGTTACTCGGTATAGAGAGGATGGGGTTGGTCAGGACGTGGGTGCTATAGAGCAACAGAGCACAGAGAAAGGGTGCATTACGAGCGCTAAAGGGCAAATCTCCTCTTTTTATGATAGGCTGTTTTATTTGGTATTGGGGTTTGTGTTGTAGTTACATGTTGCGGAAGCGAATATTGAACAAGATTAAATATAAGGTTTCTCACATTGTGTCTGTGGATTAGGAGGAGGGCCAACATTTCAAATCGGCTATGGTGTGAGACTGGCTAGTATAGAAGGCCGTCTCCAGGTAATGAAACATTAATAATACTATCCGCTAAAGCGTAGGGAGAGAGAGAGAGAGAGAGTGTGTGTGTGTGTGTGTGGGGGGGGGGGTGTATCAGTGGGCATCAAGCCCTATGTTGCGACGTGCAAATCTCACATATATGCAGCAGCAAACGATGTTTTCGGTTACTGGGCACTGCCCCGTTTAGAATCCCCCGAACGGATCAACATGGCGAAGGGACCCGCCTTCTCCAAATGGGGAGAGGGACTCCAGCTCCTGACTCGCACTCCAAGCGCTCGACGCCTTTCTGACGTGTCGCGCTGGACGGGGACCTTTGTGTCCGTTGGCCTGGTCAATAAAAGCCTCCATTCGAACAGTGCCGATAGCGTCGAAAAAGTTCCCTGTTCCCATGCTGGCCTCTGAAGTGCGGCGAGTGACACTGCTTCGACTGCTGTTGAGCCCCTGACCGTATGAGGGGGTGTATGTCTCTGAGGAGCCCCGCGTTGTGGCTACCGACGGCATCGTGCCCTGGCTGGAGAAGCTGCGGATGATAGGTATTCGGGGAGCAGTGTTGCTCCGCTTGCGGGCATGATTCGAGAATCGTGGCACGGTCGGCGGATCGGCGGCGTCGATTGAACCGACCGGTTCTAGCTCATTGGGAAGCTCAGGGACGGGCTCGGGCTGACTGAGAAGAGATCGCTTTCCCTTAGGTCGCGGCCGAGGTCGACCCTTGGCTATCCGAATCGAATCACGGATCGGATTGCGTCGCAATGTTGCTGTGGGTGCTGGGGAGGTGAACTCCTCCTGTGGGACCGGGGGAAGGGTATCCAGGTCATGAAGTCCCATGGAAGAGTGACTGAGGAAAGACAACGCTGTCAACCAGATGTAATGCCGCTCAATGGTCGTGGCAGTGAACTTCAGGGCGCGTTGAGGTGTCAGGATTAATATCGATCGATTAAAGTTGTGTTGTGGGTTGAGCCCTTTAGGCAGCGGATTGTCATCTTTGACATCGAGGACGGACTGGATGATCACTGCTCCGGTGTCAGCACAGCGCGGCTTGAGAAAAATTCGGATATGAATAAGGAAGACCTACACTTTCGACCGCTCTTACCAAGCAGCGCTGGCCCGCTGGTCGGCTGCTTGCTGCTCCACATGACGGCGCGCTCATAAGGTGCTAGCCAGACCCATCGTCTGTGCCTCGCGCCGCTGTTGGTTATATTGGCAGACACTTCATCGGCGTTGCGGCCCTCCCAATTGTCCTTGGGCTCGCCGACACCACCAAATGATCTCCGTCTCCGGATGTACTTGTACATCCACTCCCCAACCATCGTCTGCGCAATGGCATCCACAACGCTCGTGGGCTGGACAGTTGTCGCCGTGGAATCATGCCGCCCATGTGCGAAGGGGCGAGACACAGTTGGAGGGTAAGCCGACCGTCTTTGAACAGCCCGTCCTCCTGAGGGCGCGGTAATATTGTCGAATGGAAGGGGGGGATGCTGAGGGCTGTCCGGGGTATAGGACGATGTGGACATCGTGGGTGATGACCGGTCGTGATGCTCCGTTTGTGACATCGCAGCTGCAGATCGGACGCGCCGCAAAGTTGGGCGTCGGATAATTGATGCCCGTCCGCGATCAGAGAAGTTTCGAGGGTTGGATGGTGTCGGGCTCTGACGACCATCGCTTCCGTTGCCGGGGAATTTCCGTGAACTGAATCGCATCGGCACAGGGATTGGGGGAGCGATACTAGATGCACTAGTACTATCAATGCTGGGCTCGCTGGGACTTCGCACACGAGCCTTCTGATATGTAGCTGCCCCGCTAGAAATTATTGCTGTCTTGCGGATATCTTGCTGCCGTGCTCCAGAGACCCCAAACCCAAACCGTTGGCTCCAAGAAGGTGCGGCTGTGTCTTTGGAACTTTGGTCAATTGACGTTCTGGACTGCTGGGTTTCCTCTTCTCGCAGATTCTCATCGACTTCAGGAAGTACAGCCTCGTCCAAGCTGGAACGCGTCGAGACTAGCTTTCCTCTCTTTAGTGTATACGAAGCAAATGGGCGATTGAGAAGTTCATCATCGCTAAAGATGTCATTAGTCGACTCGGGTAGCTCTTCGTCACTTGCCTGATCATCAAACCCAGCAAAGAGGCTACTGGATCGTGGGGGCCGCCTAAGCTCTGACTTGGACTCTTCGGACAGAGGCCCGTTGTCATTGTTTCCCGGGTAGGCTTGCACCGGATCAACTGTCTTAATGCGCAGTGAATGTTTGCTCTCCCTATTTTTGGCCCTTGGAGGAGGCGCGCGGTAAGGTTGAATAGCATGGTCTTCAGTGCTCTTGTCGAATGGGAGATCCGGTATCGCTGACGGAAGTAGACTGGCCGGCAACTTTACAGCCCGCTGGCCAATCCGAATCTCCTCTGTTTGTATACCAATCGTTCGGCTGTCAACCTCGAAACCCAGATTGGCCTGGCAAGAAGCACTCTTCGTTTGAGGAGGCAGAACCACGCTTCCTCGAGGGGAGGATGGTTCTGAACCTGGTGGGTGTATCGCAATCATGGGAATCCCAAGTGCGGACGATTTCACGTCGGTTGCCGCGACATTGACCCTAGTGTCGTCCGTTTCTGTGACTGGAGGTTGGACGGTCTGCACGGAAACTGACACCATTTCAACCTGATCCGAGGCCAATTGTGGTGTTGTCTCATCGAACTTAGGCGTCCATGGGGGAGTGGGAAGATCCTCAACAGTTTGACAAGACGCCGAGATCATATCGATTGTGAGAGTTGAAGTTTTGGGTTGATACAGACAGGATATCTCTCCGTCATCGGGTGATTCAGTATCCTGATCACAGGCATGAAGCTCAGACTTTGATGTCAGCGAGGGTGACGGAGGGGGCGAATACTGGATTCCTGTATCACGGTACATGAATGCTGCTGTAGCTACCTTCAAGGGACTGCTAGGCTCTGAGTTGCCCTCAGACCTGAACCCGTAGCCGTCAGCACTCGCAAGAGAAAGTCCGAGAATCTTTCTCGCTTTCGCGCCCATGCTCATTGTGCGAGACAACTGTGAATGAACCGAGGCCGGGCGCTCTTCTGGGAGCGCCTCGGGCGAGTCAGGTGTAAAATCGGCATCGAGAGACTCGAACTCGTCTTCCTCATCAAATGCTAGCTCCTGTGCCAGACTCAATCCCTCACTCTTGATACCGGGGACGTTAACGACACTGGCCATAGAGTATCGCACATTATGGTAGTCAAGCTCATCGCCGTTATCACTGCTCATACTCGTGACACTAGTCCGGCGTCGCCCTTGACTGCTCGAATGAGCGCTAGCAGAGTCGCTATCTTTGCCCCCGGCCATTTCTCGCATCGGGTCAGTGTCAATTGCTTTAGCATCTCGGTATGGTTGAAATGAGCCAGCTGCCTGGGCGGCCGCTACCTCGTTCAAAACAACCTTTAAGCGCCCCTCTACCACATGGACTTTTCGTTCCAGGCTCCTGCGCTCGCCTTCCCATGCCTCCTTGTCGTGATCCCAAAGTTGTACTGTTCTGTTGATGTCGTCTTCCTGACTCCGCGCCTTCTTTTGCACTTGCTCTAACTTTTTGCGAACGTCTGAAATACTCTCGAGTGCCTCGTCGCGCTCCCGCGCTAGCTCAGTGATAGCTGATGACGTACCACCCTCCAGTAGCTGTAACTGATGCCTGAGCGACCGGGCCTCTTTGGTACTCTTCGACAGACGCTCGTTGAGACCTTCACTCTCTATTCGTGAATCGTCCAGACTTCGCTCCAGGAAGTCAATGGCCTTAGTCCGGTTTTCTACATCCCGACGCAGCGAAAGGATCTCGGAGACAAGAGATGCATGGAGCGTGGGCGTGAACCGTCGCGGATCTAGCGGTGATAGAGTATCCTCGTCGGCGATGTCGTCCGAGTCACTGCGTCCATCAGGCGAGAAGTTTAGGATTGGCAGCGAGTTAGGCGAAGATGATTGCTCGGGGGAGGAGTCTGCCCGAACGTGTATTGAAGGTGGTCGTCGAGGTGTTGTAGAGGGCGTCGGAAATGCTCTCGCCGCTGGAGGGCTTGAGTAAAGGGTATCGGTAGCCATCGCGTTCTCGCTCAAGGTGACTGGACTTCGACAGTCCAAATCATGCCCGTAATGGCGACAGGGCGATCAGAAACCGTAGGGTTGCGTCATGCACTTTCCATGGACTTTACATATGCTCTACTCTCCAGGTCTCCCAGCAAGGTCCGGTCCAACCGGTCAAACGGTGGGAGAATACTGGCCAGCAGCTGCAAGGGTCGCCGATTGGGACTTCGCGACGACTAAGCATTTGGCAAGGCTCATGATCCTGGTCAGCCAGCATGTTCGCTTTTGGTGGAGCCAACAAACGTGGCTGGGAGTAGGGTTGGAAGCCGGAAGGGGCATGCAGATAAGAGAACATTCACCTACAGTCAAATGACAGCTCGGCACGGAGTACTTGCCTCCTCTAGAAGTCTGAAGGCTGACTAGAGCTTGATAGGCGCGTCAATGCGGACGTCAAGTCTCGAGAGAAGAAGGGGGGAGCGAATTATGAACTGGATCGAGTTCTTGACGCCCGGGGGGGGGAGGGGGGCCAGATGGATGTTTGGAGAAACGGGATGGGATTGACCACGGATGATCAAGAAAGTCGTAGCGGCGTCGTGAAGTCCGATAGCAAATTATCTCCCACAGGCGCTGAAAGCCCAGACAAAGATCTGAAGGGGGGGAGGAGGGAGATTGTCTGCCAGGACACCCGTTAGATCATGCCGGATCAAGAGCTAAACTAGGCCACTAGGCCTTGCACAAGAACCTTGTCCATAGTCCGTATATCGGGCGAGGGGAGACCAGCCATCCTGTCGTCGACAGTGGAGAAGCTGTCCGCTAGAGCAAGCTAGAGAGTTAGATCCGTCCGGACTCCAGGGGTGTTCGTTAGGGGGGGGAGGAGGATGGATGGGGAATCGAGTCCAGCTCCACGTACCCAATGACTACTAGTGAATACTCCACCGGAGCTTGCTACTTTGCGACTGGCACACAACGATCCCGATCCAATAGGTAAGTGATAAAGGATATGTCGGACGGAGCGATGGATCAGCTGCAGTCGCAGGCGAATGGAATGGTGGGAGACCACCGTAGTGGTATGGAGTCAACCATCGCTCTCCGGAGTTTGTTGAAGATCGTGGCCAATGGAGCATCAAGGCCCAAAAGGGAGGAAGTGAGGAAGGGGATGGAGAGGTGAAGAAAGGGAGGCGAATCTGAAACAGGGCGACAGGCATTATCCAGCAAGCCGCGGGAAAGGGGAGAGAAGGTTAAAAAAAATAAAGGAAAAAGAAAAAAAGGAGGTCGTCCGTTTGGACGGGGGAGGTTAGATAGCCCGCAGATCATCAGTAGCAACCTACCAAAGGAGCGGGAAACAAAGGGGAAAAGAAATAAAATAAAATAAAATCGACCTAAATAAAGACACTAAAGTAGAAGCCGAGAAAAGACCAGGCGCTGAGGCAGGTCGGACTCGGCGGAGGGAAAGGGAAATTGGCCAGCTGAATGGAGAGTCCGAGTACGGCGTAGCTACTCCGTAGATACACACACAGTACATAAGTACAATAATAATGGGTTGGGTTTGACGGCAGTTCGTGTCATCACACTAGTCCGGGCCCACTGATTGGCTCGGTGGGATCCTCGCCTCTAGACAGATTTCGATTCCCGGGTTGGTTGTGTTGGTGTCTGGTGAAAACCCCGAATCTAAGCCTAGATAGTTAGTATCTAGATAATTAATATCATCTGTGGTCTTCGGGCTAGTAGAACTCCTTAGATACTCCGTATAGGATCAGAGGACCCGACAGGGATTCGTTCCCCAAGGGGAAAATAATAATCAAAAAGCACTCGCTAGATACCCGCTAGGCACATCAATCGTATGATTGGGACGGGAGAGAAAGGCCTCGGAATATCTATCATCTCCATCTCCATCTCAGAGCCAGCATTGTATCCCCAATAATGGCCCCTAGTGAGCCCGTGGTCCGTGTTTCAGAGTTCATCGTCTAGATACATACCTAGTGGCTACGATGTAGCATTAGGCTTCTCACTAGGTAGCCCTACGCAGCTGCCTACGGCCCTGCGCATCCCATCGAGTCGAGGCGAAGTGCCCGCCTGCATGTTACACCCGATCTGCTGCCAACTCCGTGAAGTGTACCTACCTAGATAGACAGTAGACCAGGCCGTCAGGGATTATCATGGTGGTCCGGGCTAATGGATTCAGCTGCAGCCGGTAGCCTGGTCGATACGGAGTAGGCAGATACATACCTACATGGCATGCGAGGTTATAATCTCCGCGCTTCCATAGGTTTGCCACGTCCTTAGCCGAATCCAAACAGAATCCCAGGTGGGCGGCGGGGAAAGATCCTTGGGTGCTTCCGTCCAGCTTAGCTCTCCACTTATCATTTCCACCGTTCCCTGGTTCAGGACCACTGAGGGAGGCGGCCCGGTGCTCAACTTTTGGGTGGTGTCCCCATTCCGGAAATTAGAGGCGGGGTTGGTGACCCTTCCTTAGGTAGGACTAAGGAAGTAGTACTACCGTAAGTATCTACAGAGTACCTCATACCTTGTAAGCTCAGGAGCTGCCCTTGCTGTGGCGCGCTGCAAAAAATCCTCCCTTGATCACATCACGTCCGTGTCGACGGGACGGGATGGCTTATCGATTCCTGTCACCGCATATCGCGGTTTTCGGGTGGATATCCAATAACAATACCGGGCCTTGGCGGTTACCATTGGACTATACAGTACACGGTATCTAGATGGATACTGTGTAAGTATACACACACACACACACATCCTGTCGGCGATGACTTGCGGGCGGTCCGTGATGCAAGGTGATGATGTGCGTTAGATCGTAAAGTGGCCTGGCTATCAAGCCGTGGACAAGAGTCAGCCGAATCAGCTTCCGACTTTCTTCTCCGGCTCAATTTAAGAGAACGTGAGCCCCAGCTTCCAGGCCAATTGGATTCCAGCCTAATCGGCCGTAGTCAGTAGCACTAGTCACCACCGGCTTCATCCTTGGCGACCCACGCGGCAAGACAGACTGCCACTGGACTGGAATTTGCGCCTCGCCCTCCCTCCTCGGCTCGCTCAGGAGAGGGGACAGGAGAAACTGACAGGTCACCGTGCGTTACCCAGCCGACTGCGGGCAAAAAAATTAATAAGATGAATAATAATATTAGGCAGTGATGTGATGGTGGTGAACAGACTCGAGAAGGACGCGAGTCTCTTTCCCGGGATGCGTTTTTCGCCAATAATAATGCCTCGATGGAGAGTAGTGGTATCCATGTGTCGCTGCCTCGCTGGTCTAGGCTTGGTCCAAGTAATGCCTGTCTCGGATGTCGCGCGGATCCCTTGGCCTTGGAAGTTGGGGCACCCTAGCCACAAATCCCGAGGGTGATCACAAGAATAGTAATGGCGTCGTCTTGTTTGGACCGGAGCACAGGCTGCACACAGTGCATACATAACCTGTAAGTACCTAGGTACCTGAACTCAGGTGCAAACGAAGGGAGCCGAATTCGAGGTCATGCCGTTGGACGATCATCGGGCTGCAGCTGTCAATATCTATGAAGGGGGAACTAAAAGGCGCGCCCTGGTCAGTCAACGATGAACGGGGACGTTAATGTAATGCAATGCAGGGCCAGGGATGCTCGGTCCTTCAGGCCCTCAGCGGCTCAGGGACTGGGAGATGCGACCCTTCCTGTAGTATGTACCTCCTTTGTACCTAGTTACATAACTAGGTACGGAGTAGTACTCAACCTGAAGCAGCGAACAGGTGAGAATGTGACAGCTCCAAGGATCACCACGGAGCGTGCGGGGGGAATCTCTTTTAATCCTCTCCGTGCCATTCGCACAGCAGAAAGGCACCTGTCAGGCATCTAGGCATCTAGGCATCTAGGCAGCGAGGCAGCGCGGCAGCCAACGTCACGGGTCCTGGAGTCCCGTCATTACTTACTCATCAACTCCTCCGTACTACTATTCACTCCCCCCTCCGATGACGACTGATTGAAGTGTTAGACTCTGACACAATTCTGGAATGCGTCCGTGTCGGGTCCCTTACATCCAAGAGCCTTACTGCAGTACGTAAGTGCTCCATACACACAGGCAGTTACCAAACTCGTGTAACAAGGCCCACGGACGGTCTTCCCCGAACCCTGCGCCAGTTACATATCCAGAAAAGGTTACGCCACACGCGTCAAATTTCATCACCATGCCGATCAATCCGCTCCCCCAAGTACTCTTCTTCGATGTCTTTGGCACCGTCGTGGAATGGCGCTTTTGTGTCACCAAGGCTCTAGTGGAAGCGGCCGAACTCGCCCTCCTTGACCCTGAAAAGCGGCTACCAGCGAACCTACACGAACGGGCAGAAGGCATGACCTTTCGGGACTGGCAGGTCATTGTTGAAGAATGGCGTAAATCCTATGGCCAATTTACGAGGAACTTTGACCCCTCGCATGGCTTCGTCTCGGTGGATGATCATCACTACACGGCAATCCACAAGCTACTCCAGCAGCGAGGTCTCGAAGACTTGTTTACAGACGACGAGAGATGGAACCTTGCGCTCTGTTGGCATCGCCTGGAACCGTGGCCAGATTCCGTGGAAGGTCTGAGGTTGCTGAATCGTCGGTTTTGTACCTGCACATTATCTAATGGCAACATGTCCCTCCTGGAGGATCTCCGGAACTACGGTTCTTTGCCCTTCACGGACGTGGCTAGTGCAGAGCAGTTTGGTGCTTACAAGCCATCACCTCAGGTATATCAGGGAGCAGCCAGCCGGTTTGGCTTGGAAACTAGCCAGTGTGCCATGGTAGCGGCGCATTTATACGACCTCAAAGCGGCGAAAGCTCTGGGATTCTCCACTATATATGTGGAACGAGCCCAAGAGGAGGCATTTACTGCTGCGCAGATAGCTGAAGCCAAGCAGGAGGGTTTTGTCGATCAATGGATCAGTCTCGGCTCTGACGGCTTGATTGAAGTAGCCAGGCAGTTTGGCACTCCCGCAGAGGCGAGCTCGTAGGCTCATACTGCACAAATTACTTGAACATAGCTGCTGCTGTCCGGAGTACATATGTCCTTTGTCCAGTATGAACAAAAGGGACCCATAGGGTAGAGGGTAGAGGATAGAGATCCTGGTTTGAACTGATCATCATGGCGCTACCAGGGTGCGGAGATACCCGTGTATACGAAGTACTCTCAAGGTATATACTTTCTATCAATCATCCCTCTAGGTCAACCCCGCATGACGAGATCCGATGGGCGCCGATTTGTCAGCACCCTATGCTTTAACGTACCAGTTCAGCATCGGTCGAGACCCTATATATATCCCACTCGTTTGTCTCGGAAGCCGTCAGGATCTCCCTTTTCTATGGTCTTCGTGAAAACATCGATTGCCTGTGCAGCGTACGAATAGCCGGCTTACCAACAGAATGGCGGAACCAGTAAAAGTCCCCTTCACCAAGATCCAACCAGACATGAAATGCTAAGGATACAGGAATTCAAAGTACATCGCCATGCAGATGCAGACGGTCACTTCCGGCGCAAGGACTCTGTCTTCCGCTCGTTCGTATCAGGGGGTCCCAACGCGTTATTCCCTGCCGAGAAAAACCGCTACGTGCTATACCTGAACTATGGATGCCCGTGGGCACATCGGACCAACTTGGTTCGATCGCTCAAAGGCCTTGAGGACCTCATTCAACTGGTCGTCCTTGACCCGGAACTGGGACCCGACGGCTGGTTCTTCTCTGGTCGAAATGGATCCGCAGAACGGGATCCCTTGTATGGATTCACCAAGTTGAGCCAATTCTACTTCAAGGCGAATCCAGGTTATGAAGGACGTTACACGGTTCCGATGCTGTGGGATAAGAAGAAGGAAACCATCGTGAACAACGAAAGTAGCGAAATCATCCGGATGTTTTACATTGGCTTCGACCATCTTCTGCCGGAGGAGCTGCGTGAAATTAGCCGGCCCGGCGGGGGATTTTACCCTGCTCACCTGAGGCCGGAAATCGATGCGATGAATGAATGGGTGTATCACAAGATCAACAATGGGGTGTATAAGACTGGCTTTGCCACGACTCAAGAGGCCTATGACGAGAATGTTTACCCGCTGTTTGAAGCACTGGACCGTGTTGAGCAGCACCTAGGGCATCAGCCGTACTTGTTCGGGGAGAATATCACCGAGGCGGACATCCGACTATACACAACCATTTGTCGGTTCGACGTGGCTTATTATCTGATTTTCCGGTGCAACCTGAGGATGATCCGGCACGATTATCCGCGAATCGACCGTTGGTATCGACGGTTATACTATGATGAAACGGAACGCACCCGAGGCGGAGCATTTAAGAAGACGACCTTTTTGGAGCTTGTATGTGCATTGCTGATACCGGGGGTGGCAATTGCTAACAGCATTGGGCAGTATAAGATCAACTATCTGAAGGCGTTAGGGAAGCGATCGGGCAGCACTCAGACGATTATCCCTGCCGGTCCATCTCCCGACATCCTGCCTTTGGAGGCGTAGTTGATGACGATGATCACCAGTGGCGCGTGGGTAGATTTGAGCTGGGACGGGGCACTCTTTTTTGCGTCACTTGGGTCGAGGGGAGGCCTACCTCTCATGGTTCCAGAATGTCTCTTGCAACCGAGTTTCGCTTTTTGATTGTTGTCGGTACAGGCGATAGGAGAACGGCATCATCTCCTACGGCTTCTCGAAATATCACGGTCGATGCAGACAGATCATAGAGCCAATGTAGCTACAGTCACTCGCCTCGCGTGGCCAGTCCGATGAAACACGGGGCATCCATCCCAGTAGGTCTATCTCAAGAGGAGGGGGTCATTAATGCGGCATTAGACTTTACTAGACACAGCCAGAGGCGGTTAAGCGACCAACGGGAAGAGGGATCTGAAGCCGGAGACCAAAAATTTGAGGGGTTTCCCGCTCTTTCCGAGGGCCTTGCGGGATACGCCTTTGCGTGCTAGTAGAACGTGATAACTCAGAAGTACTAGCAGCTTCCCACAGGCATGGATTTGCTTCTAGCTTTTCTTGGCGCGTCTGCCAGTCGTCATTAAGAAATCGATATGGAGCGGGAGGAGGAGGAGGGGAGATGGGTACCGGACTACCGGGTGCAAAAGAGAAGCAGAAATAGAATATGAATTAGGGTGTTAGTTAGCCTGCTCCGGTCTAGGCATTTTCTTGTCGTAGACTAGTAGGGAGGACTTTGCATTAAATCATGCCCTCTGCAATAGTACGCCTTTTTTTCTTCGGTGTGACTGCGGAGAATCTAGGTAGGTAGGTAGATAGGTGAATCATAGCGAACAATTTCTACAGTATGTGGGAAGGTGGGAGGTAGGAGGTGGGCTGTGAGCTGTGCACGCTATACGGTAGATGGGGACGGTGGAAGAAAGAAGATGCCAGAGCCCGTCTAGAAGGACTTGAGACGCTGTAGTGTGGAGGCAGGTAGCGAGGCGTTTTCAGGGGGTCCGAACTATATTACCTATCTGTTATTAATCCAGGGTGAGTTCAGGAGTGGCCGAGCCCACCCAACACAGAGGCAAGCCGTATATGCATGCATGCATGATTACCATCTAGATGCTGGGTGGAATAGTACAGTACACTACCTTATGGAGTGAAAATATCAAAGAAACACGGAGATAGGGTGCTTGTAGCCTTGTGGCACTCCGTTCACCTGTCACCCTGATTATCTAGGAGCTGTCAGTTCAGGATGCACGGGGATCCAAAGCCATGTGTAAGGTGGGCGGTGTTAGTCTACTTGTCTGTTAGTGACCCAGAACTGTGGGACCCCCCCCCCCCCTTGAACCGGTTCCCCGTCTCGGCCTGGGAGTTGTCATCTCTGGAATTGGGATGGGCAGCGCGATCAAGCTGCATGCACTAGTAGGTTAAGGCCATGCATGGTGAGTGGATAATGTATGTAAGTTATGTCCCTGCCATGTGTGTACTATCTATCTAGTACATAAGTACTAGGTAGGTAACAGGACCCTGTTATGCAGAGGTTATTCTAGACTCGAAGCAGGTACTCTGTACTAGTAACTCCAGTACCTAGGTACCTTACAGTACCGCCTTGGCCACAGCCATACCAAACAAAGAATACCAAAATACCACCTACTAATAGTAAGGACTTCGTTGAACTTGCCTACTACTACTAGGCATATGGGCAGAAAAGGACTAGTTACTCCTCCGTACCTAGTTATGCTTCATTGCCAACAACTACACATCATGTTTCGCCCTGATTATTCACCTTGTGGTGCCTCTTCCGGACTAGCCGTGTATTTGTCCGCCGTTGAAGACGTACGAGTCAGTTTGATTGTGATGAGACGAAAACTAGCCTGGTAGCGCCGGCTCAGCTCAAGGGGGGAATCAGCAAAGTCAAAATGATGTCAAGAACCAGAGTAGATACAAGAAGGGTCGGAGGTCCCGTCAGGGTCAAAGTTTTCCTGTGGGATTACCTACCTACCTACCTACCTACCTGTCATGATGTCGATGCTCCCACGATGACCTCCCACGAGGGCGCATCTGGACCACGGACCGCCGTCGAGGTACCTACCTAGTCCCCGAAAGCTAGCCACGTGGAAGGAAACGGGGCCGGGATATTGTTCGAATGTAGATACCCGTTGAAACTTGAAAGATGGACCGCGGAGGGATGGGATCGCGTTCCCGGTGGATTGTGCTGTTGATTAAATTATATTAAACCAGTTGTCAAGGCCGGTTTAGACACCCGAGAGGGAAGGTGCTTCAAGGAGCGAGCGCCTATCGTCACCTACAGATAGTACTTAGATACACTACGGAGTGTGAGTACCGCCCAGGAGATTACCCGCCGCGGTTGAAATGCCCAATGGCCCTCGGCGGTTTATCAAAAGGCAAAACACCCACAAGTGCGCTCAAATGTAATCCGATCCAACGACTACGACATAGTACAAACGGAATCCCTCTGTGCCAAGTCTCTTCCTCCCCCTCCCCAACCTGCTCATCTTCTCGGCCCCGAGAATGAGAGTTTGATGAGGATTTGGGTGCGTCGCTGTACCACCGGTAAGCAGCAGGTAAGCTCTGAGCACTGGCACAGGAAAGGAATCCAGGACATACAGGAACCAACGCGCGCTATGGACCGGCCCGGTACTGATCAGTCCCTCCCTCCAACAGAAGCACTTGGTCGCTTACCTACTCAATTACCGTTGCAGAATAGTTAACTACATAGCGAGCTGGGCTATTAGTAATTGCGACAGCCGGATGTCCGTCACTAGTTATGTCATCTTGACTATCGAATAGGTCATGAATGGTGGCTTTGGCTTCCGATAAGTCTTTCGGTGATGCAGAGGTAATAGGGGTTGGATGTCCCCACCAGCTGCCTCCACGGGTATTCCTAGCGTGACTGGATCGAAATTTTTGTCAAACGTCATATACCCGCGATGGAGTCTTTGTTTTGGTTTGCCTCCCCCCCTAGTCTTTGGATACTTGAAGTTCTTGAACTTGGTCACCATCGAGATTGGACTCCCAATTGTGGTCAAGTACTGATATAATACCCAGTGAGATGCTTAAGCCTCCCTCTCCCATTTGGTTCAAACCCACAAGCCACGGCTTGCGCCAGGTACCGCCGTCCGGTTTGAAGGAAGATGGGGAAGTTGCGTTTGGTGAATCCCGACAATAATAATAAGGGAGATTAGCTTTAGTCCGATTCCCCAGGGGCCGCGGAATGTTCTATCCTTCTCCCCGTCGCGTTGGAGTGGAACTACGACTCTTAGGGCATCGTCAACCGTGAAAATCCTCCTGCGCGGGATGGATGGGTCATCGTGTATCTCAATTCCACCCATACACGTTAGACGAGTTCTCTATGAAGCTTCCCAGGTCGCTGGCTCGAGGTTGAAACTTGGATGACCAGCGTTGAGGTCCTAGTTTCTATGGGCAGTGTAAAGCAAATAGCAGATAGCACCTCCTGGTGGCAGGTACGGAGTCCGCAGAGTTAAAATGCTGTTTACGAATCCCCGACCCAACTGGCAATCGGGCCAATACCGTGCCCGATTACCAGCCTTGAACTTACCTACTTTAGTGTACCCATGCGCCCACTTCGTGTCTACCCGAAACCATCTCAAGACTGACCTCAACCTAGGAGGGAACTCCTGTCCTCACCGTAGAAAGACAAAGGATTCGAGGTGGGACAGGGACAGACCATGACTGACACTCCTCATATACGGAGTAACGCATAGGGTGAAAGTCACGGGCAGGGCGGGCAGGCAGCAGTCGCAGTCGCAGTCCAACTTGCTCAATGGAAAGGTATCTAATAGTTAATAGTGACATGCGTGCGCTTTGGAACTGTCTCCATTCCTCGTGGTCTAGAATTTCAACTGGTTCTGACATATGTGTTCCCATTGATCTCATGAGAGAACTTTAATCTGAAGCCTGTTTCATTACAACACTTTCATGGAGTTGGCATGAACTCTGTGGCTTAATGTATGTACCTCTTGGTTCCTTGGCTTTGAGTAGTAGCTGGCGCAGCATGAGAAACATTTCGCATCCATGTCTGCCTTAGTAGCAGTACCTTGCTGTCGCATAGATTGTATCGTAATAAGAACATCTTGTACCTTCCTACTTGTAACTACTTACCTACTATCTTCATGTGCACCTTCTTGCACCTTCTTGTACTTTCTCGTACCTCTCATGTACTCCGTGCCTGGGTAGGTAAGGTAGAGTCTCCACTACCGGACGGGAGTCCTCCATACCTGGTACCAAGGTTACTGTACTGTACCATACCGAGCCTCCCACAACCTGAAGTTACCACTCGGTCCCCCCCGTGGGTCTCTTTCGCAGCATTGTCCAGCTCCAGATTACCCAGAGTGCCTTACCTACTCCGTACAACTACTAGTATTCCCCTCCTCCCGGTCGGTTTACTTCCACCCCCTCCTCTTAGTTACCTCTTACCTAGTAGTAGGTACTTACTTACTTGCTGCTACCCCCTCTGTACTTCTCCTCACTCACTGAATCTCTCTCTCCCTCCCTCCCTCCCTCCCTCTCTCTCACTTACGACCTCTTCAACTCTCGTTTTCAATCGTGTCTGTTCGATAGGGATTATCCTATCATCCTACAGACTCCTTGGCCCAGACTAGCGCTTGGATTCCTTCCAGCAAGAAACTACCTAAACCGCGGCTGCTGGTCTCCGGCAGGGATCATCGTCTCCGCCGCTTCATTATCTATCCTCCTCTATCCTAGTCGTCTTTTTTTTTAATTTTTTCCCCTTCTCTCCCAAAACCTTTCCCTCCACCCCCCTCTCTCCTCACCTCTGTCACTTCTTCTCGCCCCCCCTCCAAGCCTGCTCATTCTCTATTCCTATCTCCTCAATTCTCACTGGGAACCTCCTCCCTCTCTAACCCGCTTCCATCATAATTGGGGGTTACCCCTCTTCCGGTGTCTCTTGCTGGCCAAGCCTATTTTACCTCCTTGGTCCTGCGCCTCCCTCCCCCCCCCCCCCCCCTCTCTCCCCCTCCACTCTCGCCAACCCAGATAACGAAGTCACTCATCTTTGCAGTCTGCGGATACCTCTCATACATCCGCTGCTGGCGATCATCTTCTGCATCTTACCCCTCACGTGGCGGAATCACTTTGAGGCAAACCTACTGTGTGTCTCGAAGCTCGGGCGAGCCCCGTATATCTTATTTTCTTACGTTCGCGCGGAGTTACGGGCCAGCTAAACCAAGTCAACTCCGCCCGCTTGTGCCATTCTGCAGCTGTGGGTGGCCGCTTATTTGAGATCATTCGAGTCGAATCGAGAGGTTCTCGTTCAACTTATTTTTCTTCCCACCCATCGTTGCTTTTTCCGCATTATTGGTTTAAAGGTCGCAGTAACGCACCTCACCCGGCGACTTCTTAGTCGCTTCTCTCTCTCTGGCCTTTCCCTTCCATTTTACTCTCCCAATTACACATCGAAGGTACGTGTTTTCGTCCGTCTTCTGCTGAAGTCGATTTATCTGGTCGATGCCGCCGCGAACATGCGATGCGAGCTTAGATAGCGGTCTAAAGGCAAAGAATTCCGGTGGCTAATCGCACTACCCAAATAGCCGTCCCTCTTAGGACCCCAGCGTTTCGCAAATCGCAACGCTCCGTTCCCGCGTCCGTGCTCACCGTGGAGCCTTCATAGATCTCTTTGCTTTTCTCTTCTCCTCGTCTTTCTCTCTCCTACCCCTGTGGTCCTTTTCCACGTCGGCTATCTTCATTTGCATATCGGATACCCCAAAGTTATTTCGCTACCTTCAAGTAATACGTCGCCATGTCGGGAAAAATGACGCTGTACAAATTGGTGGTGCTAGGGGATGGTGGTGTCGGGAAAACAGCTCTCACTATCCAGGTTAGCCATCCACGTTTCCGCCTGTGGTGATGTTCTGACAACTGATTTGTGAACTTTTTCGCTTGACCAATAGCTTTGTTTGAATCACTTCGTCGAGACATATGACCCGACCATCGAAGACTCCTACCGCAAACAGGTGGTGATTGACCAACAATCGTGCATGTTGGAAGTTCTGGACACCGCAGGTCAAGAGGAGTATACGGCGCTAAGGGATCAATGGATTCGTGACGGTGAGGGCTTTGTCCTCGTCTACAGCATCACCTCGAGAGCCTCTTTTTCTCGGATACAGAAGTTTTATAATCAGATCAAGATGGTTAAGGAGTCGGCCAACTCGGGATCCCCCTCCGGCGCCAGTTACCTAGGATCTCCGATTCACACACCCTCGGGCCCCCCGCTTCCAGTACCAGTCATGCTGGTCGGCAACAAAAGCGACAAAGCCGTCGAGCGCGCGGTTTCGGCCCAGGAGGGACAGGCACTTGCGAAAGATCTGGGCTGCGAATTCGTGGAGGCGTCGGCCAAGAACTGCATCAATGTCGAAAAGGCCTTCTACGACGTAGTGCGAATGCTCCGACAACAGCGCCAGCAACAGCAGGGTCGATCCCAGGACAAACGGCCGACAGGCCCTATGCGTGATCCCGGCCCTGAATATCCTAGATCGTTTCGGCCCGACCGGGCGGGAGGTCATCGCCGTGCGTTCAAGTGCACAATTCTGTGATCAAGTGGCCCCGCATGGTCCATGCGGCTGGCTGATTGATTCTATTCCTGGTCTTCCAGGTATTGGCCAAGCTGCTGCAAGGAGCGCAAGGCATCTGCCTTTGTTCCTAAACTTGTCGGTGTTCCGATTGTCCCTTCCACGCCTGATCTTGCATCTGGCCCGACATTTCTATTTTGTTTTCTTCTCACGAGCGCATACGGGTCAATCCCCCGGGCTGAACCCTCCTTCCTATGTCCATATTGGCTGCTTGGCACCATGCCGTTCATCAGGCACCATATGCAGAGCACGGCCTCCTTTTTTATTTCTTTTTCTTATTGTCCCTTTTTTTTTCTATTTTTCCTCCCTCCCGATTCCCTTTTCTCGCGGATGCCCAACCTGCGTGGATGCAGGTGTGGGTTGACGGGATGTGCTTGACGCATGAACCATGCTTGTTTATTAATAGTATTATATGTGCGGGAGGTGATTTTTTTCGTGTCCATGGCAGGGTGTTTCGGCTACATTGGGGGGACTTTACGTTTCAAGGGGCTGGGAATCAAGGAGCTGATGGGACCATAGAACGATGCGCACTCTCTGTTCTTTTCGTATTTGGCTTTGTTTGTTCGGTGCCCCTTGGCTCAACCCCAACCCCCTGGATATTCATCATGCTCTCCCGATTTGCCCTGTGTTGCTTTTGTGGATTCGCCGCATTGATCGCGTGTGAAGGGTCAGAAGAGGACTGCGGGAACAGAGCGGCGCGGGAGAGGGGGGGTATGGTGGACGGTGGACGGTGGTGGATGGTGGTTGGTGGGTGGGACCGAGGAGCAGTAGCGGATGTGGAGCTCTTCAGGTAGCGAGGATGGCTGACAGTCGACCGTTTAGCAGGCATTGCGATATGATACCCTACGGCTGAGCTTTGAGTTGTGATTTTCAATGCATTTGCATTACCACCAAGGAACCAAGAAAAGGGATCCGACTATTTGAGTTAACCAATAGAATGCAATGTAAAAAAGAATGAATATGTATTATCTTACCATCAACCAGCCAGTGGGTGGTAGTCTTTTTCTTGCCTTGTCAGTAATGTAGGTAGTAGTAATACGACTACTCCCAACGAGAGAACAAGCAAGAAAGGAAACGAAAAGGCCATTGCAGACCTGAGGCAGCGATACCGGTCGCAGCCTGGGAGCCTGGGAGCCTTGGAGCCTGGGAGGGTCAGATGATCCGCGCGAGGCTCGGCGTGCGGGGAACGCTAACCCATTCCGGCCTCCCAGCTTGGAGTCGTAGACTCATGATTCTCCCCTCTTCTCTTCTCTCCTCCCCTCTTCCCCTCCCCGTTTGACGCAGCTCTAGTTTTCGGGGAGGGTCCTGTCAGCACAATGGTGGTTGGCTACCAGCAACCTCCGCCACCCCCGAGTTTCCCTCGTCACGCATGCGACATGTGCTAAGTGACCTTGGTTCCCCACCATGCCGGCGGTGCCACTACTCCGTTCCTACTACTTAGTCTCCTATCTAATAGAAACCAGCATACCCTCCGATGCAGGCCAGGCACCGGTGCAAATGCTAATACGCTTAGTCTAGGCGCGCCTCAGAGCCGTCCAGGACAACGCGTCCACTGCGTCCACTTTTTCGCCTACCCGCGGAATGTGACATGAATTAACCGCCGAGCATCTGCAGGAGGGCCCTCATCTTCACACCGGACACCGCTCGAAACGGTTGGATCATGTTTGATGATCGCTTGGGCCCATTTTTTTAGCTCTTGTGCCCCCTGGACCATCGGTTTCCCCGATTCCCTATTCCCGACCTCGTCTGTCCTTGAGGACGGCAACCCCTTCTTGTGCTAGCATCGCCATCTATTCAGGATGTCACTCCATCCGCAACAATTGACACACAATACCTCTCTTCGAGACCCGGAACGGTTCTGGGCTCGCCATGCAGAGCGACTACATTGGCATAAGAAACCTTCTCATGTCATCAGCCATCAAACTAAAGTCTTGCCCAGCGGGGCCCGCCATGATCATTGGACTTGGTTCCCAGACGGAGAGATATCTACGACGTACAATTGTGTCGACCGGCACGTACAGCAAGGAAATGGAGACAATGTGGCCATCATCTGGGATTCTCCAGTGACAGGAGTCAAGGAAACGTTCACTTACAAACGGCTATTGGATGAGGTAGAGGTTCTGGCCGGGGTACTGAGGGAGGAGGGTGTTCTAAAAGGCGACGTGATCATTATTTACAGTGAGCCCAACCCTCTACCAAACGAACCAGACCCTGACGAAGAACAGTGCCCATGATTCCTGCGGCCCTTATTGCTGCTCTGGCGATCGCGCGCTTGGGTGCAATCCATGCAGCGGTCTTTGGAGGATTCGCGGCCAAGTCACTCGCTCAGCGTATCGAAGCAGCGAAACCACGCGCTGTCATGACGGCATCGTGCGGTATCGAAGGATCAAAAGGACCCATCGCGTATCGACCATTAGTGGAGGGGGCCATTAAGCTGAGTAGTATCAAGCCTGAGAAGGTGATCATCTGGCAGAGGGATCAGTTGCGATGGAATAATCCCGACAAACTAAGTGGCCAGCGGAACTGGCAGCGGCTGGTCAAGAGCGCGCGCATGCGTGGAATCAGGGCCGAACCAGTGCCTACAAAAAGCACAGACGGTTTATATATTATCTACACTAGCGGTATGACTCGAACATAAAGCCAGCTCCGTGGTACAACTGATATTGAGGATAATTCCAGGCACTACGGGATCGCCCAAGGGAGTTTTCCGGGAAGCAGGCGGACATGCGGTAGGACTTCAACTATCGATTCAGTACATTTTTGGCATCCAGGGGCCTGGCAATGTCATGTTCTGCGCCTCTGATATTGGATGGGTTGTTGGTCATTCGTACATCTTGTATGGACCTCTCTTGGTCGGTGCAACGACGGTCCTCTTTGAGGGAAAACCAATTGGGACTCCTGATGCCGGCACGTTCTGGAGAATCATTGAGGAGCACAAAGCCAACGTATTATTCACGGCACCTACGGCCATGCGGGCGATCCGTAAAGATGATCCGGATAATTGCTGCTTGGAAGTAGTTGCTCGACGTGGCGGGCTCCGACACTTCCGCGCCCTCTTTCTTGCAGGAGAACGGAGCGAACCCAGCATTGTCCAAGCCTATCAAAAGCTCCTAGGCCAATATGCCGCCCCTGGAGCCATGGTTGTGGACAACTGGTGGTCGTCTGAATCTGGGTCTCCAATCTCTGCTCTGGCGCTAAGGAGCGCCGCAGCGATGGAGCCGTCGCTACCTAATGACAATACAGCGTCGCCACTGAGTGTCCGACCAGGGTCAGCCGGACTACCTATGCCTGGATTTGACGTGCGCATTGTTGACGACGAGGGAAGAGAGGTTTCGCGAGGCACGATGGGCAACATCGTTATGGGCATCCCCCTAGCGCCGACGGCGTTCACACAGCTATTCAACGATGACGAACGATTTTACCGCAGTTATCTGCTTAGATTCCAAGGGAAATGGGTCGATACAGGAGACGCGGGGCTCATCGATGAGGATGGCTATGTACATATCATGGCACGGTCGGACGACATCATTAATGTAGCCGCGCATCGCTTCAGTACCGGTAAGGACCTTCTCTATTTGCCCTTACCATCCATAATCAAGGTCACATCAGAAGGCGAAGTGCTAACTGTTGGTCTGAAAAAAACTTCCAGGAGCCATAGAGCAAGCAATTCTTTCTCATCCGGCGATTGGCGAGGCCAGTGTAGTCGGGATCCCGGACCCGCTGAAGGGCCATCTGCCGTTTGCATTTGTTCAGCCTCGAATGGAGGGAGAACCGCTACCTGCAGCGCCGCCCATGGAACTGTTTCAGGAAGTAAACCGGTTGGTGCGGGAACAGATTGGGGCGATCGCGACCCTCGGGGGCATGATCCAAGGCCGGGGGATGATCCCCAAGACGCGCAGTGGAAAGACGTTGCGACGGGTGCTGCGGGAGCTGGTTGAGCATGCGGTGCGCGGGGAGTACGGATTGCCAGTGAACGTGCCGCCGACAGTCGAAGATGCAGAAGTGGTGGACGCAGCGCGACGGCGGGTGCGCGAGTACTTTGAGCGCCCTAGTCGGGCGAAGCTGTAGCGAGTACCGAACTGACTGTTCTGCTCGGAAGCCGATGCCCGAATTAACTAATGTGGAGCGAGGGAAGTGTTCAATCGTGTTGAAAAAGGTGTCTGAATTCTGATCAGAGACGTGACTCGAACATTAAAGTTATACACAGGAAATGGAAGCCATGAACCGGAAGCCAAGCCAAGCGATGCAAAGCAACAGACCAATATGAATCATTGAAGAGTAGAAAAGGAAAAGATTCAAGAAAAAAAAAAAGCGAAGAACAAACATAGGCATCAAGAAGGTAGGAAGTAGATAAAAAGGTATAAAGCACGGTTATTTGTCAGTCGTGAAATCTCGACACCAACAAAGGAAACACCAATTAAATCGTCAACTACCACCACGGTCCCACCAGCAGCATTCATGCGCGTGGTACATCCAAATCCAAAAAAGAAACTAAATCAACCTAGTATAGGTTGAGGTAGGTACTCGGGTGGTAAATTGTTAAACCCAAAACCCAATTCTCATTGTCAAAAGGGCATCCTGGACTCGAAGCTCGCTCGAACTCAAGTCACTTACAAGAGGTAAGCGACGAGAGCGAAGACGGAAGCCAACCCGGCACCGGCGCCAACAGCGGCGCGAGAAGCAGCACCGGTGTAGACGGGAGCAGAGGGGGTGGTGGCGGAGCCCGACTGGACAGGGGAGACACCCTCGGGGTTGGTGCTGGAAGAGCCGGAGGAGCTGGCAGACGAGCCAGCGGCGGCAGCGCCGGAAGGAGCGGCGGCGGCGCTGGAGGCAGCAGCGGGCTTGGAGGAGGCGGGCTTGCTAGCCAGGGCGGAGGAGGAGATCAGGGGACGAGAAGAGGGGTGGAAGGGAGTGGGGGTCGCGGAGGAGGAGACGACCGGGGTGGTGGCACCGATGGCACCGGCACCAGCACCCTCGCCAGAGCCCTTGGAACCGCTGGGGGAGGGACCAGTGCCAATGGCACCAGCTCCGCTGGGTCCGGCGGAAGCAGCGGCGGAAGCGCCAGCGGCACCAGCGCCAGAGCCGGAAGTTTCGCTGGGGGAAGCTCCAGAGCCGACAGCGGCGGCACCGCTGGGGGAGGAGCCAGAACCGGCGGCAGCGCCGCTGGGAGAAGCAGTACCGGAACCGGAGCCGGAGCCCTCACTGGGAGAGGCGCCAGTGCCGATGGCCGCAGCGCCGCTGGGGGAGGCACCGGAGCCGGCGGCAGCACCGCTGGGGGAAGCAGCACCGGAGCCCGAGCCGGAGGAGGCTTCACTGGGGGAAGCACCGGAGCCGGCGGCGGCACCGCTAGGGGAGGAGGCACCGGAGCCAGAGCCGGAGGAGGCAGACTCGGTGGGGGAGGGACCGGTACCGATGGCAGCGACACCGTTGGGCTCGGAGGCGGTGGAGGTGGCAGCAGCGGCAGTGGCGGCAGTGGCGGAGCTGTTGATGTGATGTCAGTTGGCTGATGATTATTGATTTATTGATTGATTGATTGATTGATTGATAGGCACGAGACACGGGACACGGGACACATACCACTTGTCACAGTGGGTCAGGGTAGAGGTGACCAGGGGAGTGGAGTAGGTGTAAGCGGTGCCGGAGATGGTGACGGTGGTGGGCTTCAGGTGAGGGTCAGCATTGAAGAATAACCAGAGGGTGTTCACTGTTGACACATACCTGAGCAGCGGCAGGGCTGGACTCGCTGCCACTTCCGCTGCCGACAGCGAGCGTGGTGGCCTTGGGACAGAAAGTGGTGTATTCCGTGACGGTGACGGTCTTGTACTCGGTAGCAATGGCACCGGCAGCCAGGGAGGCAACGACAGCAGCGGAGGAAACACGCATTTTGAATGACGTCGAAAGACTGAACAGACAATCTCTTTCTTTTCTTTTTCTTTTTCTTTTTCTTTCTCGGAGGAGCAAAGAGTGACTGACTGACTGAGTCGGGAAAGAATGTACTCGGTTGAATAATAACCGGGGGGGGGGGAGCTGAAACAGCGAGTGAGTGAGGGAGTGGAAGAGAAGAGAAAAGAGCGAGGGACTTCTAGAGAGGGAGAAGAGGAGGAGAAAAGGAGAGCAGAGGGCGGGCCCATCAGGATTAATATAACGATTAATCTCCCGATGGAGGCCTGGAGGACCTCTTGTGTTTCTTTGTTTTTTTCCCTCTCATGCCCCTTTCGCTCCCCTTACGGCTTACGGGGGAGGGAACAAGTGGGCGCTGGGCAGGTCTGGGGGCCATGGATACCGCCCATTACCGCAATACCGTACCGTCCCGCTCCTGGGCAAGTCTCCACGCTCATTTCGTTTGTTCCTGTTCCTGCCTGTTCCTGCAGGAACACAACCACCAAAATGGTGGGGACGGCAGCACTAGTCGTCCTCCGTTAGTCCCTCCGTACCGTTAACTGCAGTAGTGCTGCTCTTCGTAGTTAGCCCCCAGCAGGCACCGTCCTGCTTTTGGTCTGATGAAACACCGCCAATTAATGGGCCGGCGGTGCTGGTCTCGATCCCTCACTAGAGTCACTTCCGCCGTGTCTTTCCCCTCACTATCCACAATTCCAGAGACAAGAACAAGGGTTCTGGGTGCAATAGTACATGGTCTGATGCTGAATATAGATACATAGTACATCCATGGATGGTACTATCTATCCACTCGATAGCTAGATCCCTCACAAGGTTAAGCTTCAGCTCGACTCCTGAGAATCATTGCCCCCTTGGGCATCGGCCCATCAACCGCTATTCTTACTTAGGTTCAAACCTGACACTGCGATTCGGGAGAGTTTGGTTCGTTCCCCCGTCTGGAAGTGATAGCAAGGGATCTACGGAGATCATCATAGATATATCAGAGAGTTGAGTTCATGACATGGCAGCTTCATTGGAATCCTGTAGGGCATCTCTATCTATAGATAACTAACATGCATGATGACGACGACGACAAGGATCACTCCGTCGACGACCGACCTCACACCCACACCCACACCCACACAAACAAACAAACACACACACACACACACACACACACACACAAAATTCCAATCGGATGGTTCCTTGTTCCTAAATGGATGGTTGGAGGCGGGAACAGGTCCGCATCGCCCGGGACAGCCAGCCAAGGCCAGCCATCCACGAGAACTGCCACGGTTCAAACGCCCTTCTTCATCTTGGATTTAGTTGTGTGATGAAGAAGGGAAAAGAAGGAAAGGAGCGACTCGCGGAAATCCGCGCGCTGAAAAGGCTAAGCGAGCGGGATTCGGATTATCCCGCGTTCCGAGGAGTCACGAGGTCCGACGGGGATGCTAGTCCGGAAACGGACTGGCGGGCAGGCGGGAAGCGCTTCCCGCGGGCAACGGGCAAGTCGAAGCTGCGATATCACTTGGCCGCCCGAGCTGATAGGAACCGCCGCGCCATCTCCTTGCTTTATCGCTGAGGCGTCGGCTGCTTCGTCGAACCTTCTTTCCCTCTTCCTCTTCTTCCTCTTCCTTTCCCTCTTCCTTTTCTTCTCCCCTCATCTTCCCTCCAGTCGCATTCAATTCACCTCCCCTCCTCCTTTCAACCCCCTCACCATCATCATGTTGTTGGGCCGTTGTGGACGCCAGGCCTCGCGCCTGCTCCCGCGCACTGCAAGCTCCGCCGCCAGGTCGGCTGCCATTCCTCTCCAACTCCGCCCAGCTTCGGCTCTCCTGGTTCGACAGCCCATGCAGGCTCGTGGTGTCTCCTCTTCCAGTCGGGAGGGACAGCAGAACGTGCGTACCCCCCTGTCGCGCAGGATCGGTGCAATACCGCACCCTTCCTCGTGGTCTGATGTCATACCATCCCAATCGTACCATGTCTTCTAACGCCGTCTCCAGTTGCTCTCCGCACCCCTCGAGGAGGCCGACCCCGCCATCCACGACATTCTCCAAAAGGTAAGGCAGCAATGGCCGAGCCCCAGTCTACCTACATGAGCTCACCGGAAGCAGGAGAAAAAACGCCAGCAGCATTTCATCAACCTGATCCCCTCCGAGAACTTCACCTCGCAAGCTGTTCTCGATGCGCTGGGCAGCGTCATGCAGAGTGAGTCGTGGCACTGGTCGAGCGCAAAGCTCCTCGAGCTAACCAGAGACTAGACAAATACTCCGAGGGATACCCCGGTGCCAGATACTACGGAGGAAACGAACACATTGACGCGTCCGAGCGACTATGTCAGCAGCGCGCCCTGGAGACATTTGGCCTCAACCCGGAGGAATGGGGCGTGAACGTCCAACGTGAGCTTCCCCGGGGAGACATAGATAGATATATATGGGCAATTGTACTGACCGCAGTAGCGCTATCCGGCTCCCCGGCCAACCTCTATGCTATCTCCGCCATCCTAAACACGCACGACCGCCTGATGGGCCTGGACTTGCCCCACGGTGGCCATCTGTCCCACGGCTACCAGACCCCCACCAAGAAGATCTCCTTCATCTCCAAATACTTCGAAACCCTGCCTTACCGCCTCGATGAGACTACCGGTCTCATTGACTACGACAGCCTGGAGAAGCAGGCCCTCCTCTACCGCCCCAAGCTCATCATTGCCGGTACCTCGGCATACAGTCGCCTAATCGACTACCCCCGCATGCGCCAGATTGCCGACGCGGCCGGCGCGTATCTGCTGAGTGACATGGCCCACATCTCCGGTCTGGTGGCCGCCGGTGTGCTCCCGTCGCCCTTTGCCCACTCGGACATCGTGACGACCACCACACACAAGTCCCTGCGGGGTCCCCGCGGAGCCATGATCTTCTACCGGAAGGGGATCCGGCGGACAGACAAGAAGGGCAACCCGGAGATGTACGACCTGGAGAACCCGATCAACGCGTCCGTCTTCCCCGGACACCAGGGTGGCCCCCACAACCACACCATCACCGCCCTGGCGGTGGCACTGAAGCAAGCGCAGTCGCCCGAGTTCAAGACCTACCAGGGAACGGTTTTGTCCAACGCGAAGGCCCTGGCAGAGCGTCTGGGCAACCCGCTTAGCAACGGCGGCCTGGGATACAACATCGTCTCCGGTGGCACGGACAACCACCTGGTCCTGGTGGACCTGAAGAACCGTGGCGTCGACGGCGCGCGCGTGGAGCGGGTGCTGGAGCTGTGCGGGGTGGCCAGCAACAAGAACACGGTGCCGGGTGACAAGTCGGCGCTGAAGCCCGGGGGTCTGCGTCTGGGTACGCCGGCCATGACGACGCGGGGCTTCCAGCCGGAGGACTTCCGCCGGGTAGCGGACATTGTCGACCGGGCGGTGATCATCACGCAGAAGCTTGACAAGGCGGCCAAGGAGAGCGCGACGGCCAAGGGAGTGAAGAACCCGAACACGGTCAAGGCATTCCTGGACTACGTGCGCGAGGGCGAGGAGATCCCGGAGATCGTGTTGCTGCGCCAGGAGGTGGAGGACTGGGCGGGTACATTTAGTCTGCCATGGGCGAAGGATGAGTAGGCGTCATGATTTTAACGGCTTATGTTTTGCTTGCTGGGTTGGTTTCTTATGAGTGCATGCCTGTACAAATGTTCAACACATGGTAGATTTTTTTTTATTCCTAATAATTGTGTCGCAGGTTCGAGTATAGCTAGGCACTAGGTATGAGCACCCTGTGTAGTGTGTACGATAGGATAGAGACGGGGAAGTCCTGTTAACTCAGGCCGATAAGCGCGCCGATCGGGGAAGTCCTGGAGCCTTGTTGCCTCGCCTTTTCCCCGGCTTATCTCCGCATTCATTCAGCATCCCTTTCTTTCCTCTCCCTTGCTCCCTCGGTCTCTCTGTTTTCTGCCACGGGATAATTGGAATCAGAACGCAATCATGCAGGTCAGCGAGGTACGTCTTCCAAGCGATGCTCCAGCCTTTGCAATCGACTCCGTACTGGGTAACGAACTAACCACTCACCAGCTCTACACCTACCCCATCAAGTCCCTCCAAGGGGTCCCTTTGACCACCGCCAAACTCACCACGCGCGGCTTCCCCTACGACCGCCGCTTCATGCTGTTGAAAGTCATCCCCGGCGACGACAATGGCTCCGAAACTCTTCAGAACATGCACGTCCCTCACTTCCCGGAGATGTCCCTCTTCCACACGGATCTCATCAACCCCTCCGATGACGGCACGCAACCGGGCCGAATCATCGTGACGTATCGACCGCCCGGCGACGAGGCGAAGATCCGAACCCTCCAAGTCCCCCTGCAGCCGGACGCCCGGGGCCTGGAGGAATTGGCCATCGTGATGCACCAGAGTCCCACCAAGGGATACAACATGGGACCAAGATACAATGACTGGTTCAGTGCATGTTTCGGATACCGTGTGGTGTTGGCATATTTGGGCCCGCATTCGAGGCGCGTATTGGGGACTTTTGCGCCGGAGAAAAGTGCTGCGCATAAGGGGCGTCGCAGGACGGGGGTGAATATTATCGCTACTAATAATGATAGGGATCATGGTAATAAGAGCTGGGTGAGCATGAGGGCCGTGGGCGGGCTGGCGTGTGTGACGCTGTTGTTGAACTTTGTTGCCACTGCCGGTGCCGGGGAGGTATCAGCGATGGCGATGTTGCCTAGTGTGGTGGCTACGGCGATGGCCGTGGCTCTGTCGATGGTGATTCGGTATGGGGGTAAACGGGGCAGAGGTGAAGGCATCACCTTTGCAGATACGGCACCGTACTTGCTGGTGTCGCAGACGTCGGTGGATAACGTGTCGGCGCGGCTGGCGGGCGACGAGGAGATGGACGTGACCAAGTTCCGGCCGAACGTGGTGGTGGCCGGGGCGGAGACCGCGTTTGAGGAGGACTTTTGGGCGGAAGTGCAAGTCGGACGCGATGAGCAGCCGGCGAGGCTGTTGCTCACGGCCAACTGCGTCCGGTGTCAGAGTCTCAATGTCGACTACGCGACGGGGAAGATGGGCACGGGGGAGAGCGGCACAGTGCTGAAGAAGCTGATGAAGGACCGTCGGGTCGATAAGGGAGCCAAGTTCAGCCCGGTGTTTGGCCGGTATGTGTTTCTGGACAGTGTTTCGGAGGGCCAGATGGTGCGTGTGGGCGATGAGGTTGTGGTGTCGAGGCGGGCGGAGGAGCGAATGGTATATGGTGAGTTTTATCCTTTCTTTCGTACCTGAATCTATTGACTGACTGATATTTGTATAGACTGGCCGGGATTGACCAACTGACGTTGGTCTTGAGATGAAGGTTGATGAGTATGGGATGTATCAGCCCACGCGTAGAGTGAACCACAGTCCTCTCTGTACTAAGCACGGAGTTGTAGGTCGGGAATGTAGTGGTACCGCCTTTGTACCTTGGTACATGCCCATGTGGTAGGTACCTGGTACATCGAGAGCTACCTGCTAGCATAATATATGGTTAACTTCCCCACCCGCATCTCCTCTTCTTGCCCGCCCCTCCCCCACCACTTTACCACGAGCAACAACCAACACTCCATATATACCATCACCGCCATGAGCGAATTCCCCCCCGCTAGTCTACGCCCCCTCATCGAGGAGGTCTTTGATCTCCTCCGCACCCGCAAGGAGACCGTCTCTGTCGCGGAGACCGTACGGCCCCTCTCTCACCTCACCCCCCATCACAATCATTAACCACCAGCACCAGGCATCTGGCGGCCTCATCTCTGCCTGTCTCCTCTCCACTCCTGGCGCCTCTTCCATCTACAAGGGTGGTTTAACCGTACGAAGTCTCCCATCTACCCCAACCAAGCACATGACCTAGCACACCTACACACCCCCAACACTGATCAATAACCCCACACCCGGTTCACCAGGTCTATACCCTCGACTCCCGGATAGTCTACGCCGGATGGACGCCCGCCCATCTGGAGACCTACTCGGGCCCCACGCCGACCATCGTGGCCGGACTCGCCGAGAACGTGCGTCCGAAGCTGGGATCGACCTACACGATCTGTGAGAGCGGGACAGCGGGACCGACGGGAGGCACCACGCGGAATCGGACTCCGTGAGTTCTTCCCTCCCTCCATCCATTCTTTCGTTCTGGGGTGCTGAGCCACTCGATAGAGGGTATGTGGCGCTGGCGGTGTCGACACCGTCTGGGACGGTGACGCGGGAGGTTGAGACGGGCAGTGCCGAGAGGGAACGGAATATGGTTCTGTTTGCGAGGGAGGGGTTGCGTCTGTTGAGGGATGTGCTGGTTGGGGAGGTGCAGGTGCAGGTGCAGGTGTAGGTGGTGGCAGTACGTTGGTATTTGGTGTGAGGGAACCGTGGGCAGTGAGCGTTGTCGGATCCATGGGTGGGAGGTGCTAGTTGGCGTTGCAGATTTAGGTTCTGGTGCTGCTTCTATTTATATTATGCTATGTCTCTACCGGTGTACAGCGTAAACAACTTTGGTAAAGACGTGTTGGCGTCGTGGGAACGACGGGGCAGGGTATGTTCTGTATCCATCTGAAGGAGATTGGACGTGGCTCTTAGCGGAGGACGGAGTATATAGATATATGGCACTTGATTGTTTAATCATTGTGTAAGCCCACGAGAACATGTAACAGCAGGCTGAAGAACTACGTAAAGTGGTAAGGAATACGATAAATACCGTCCATACGGCAAATCGGCACCGCCGCCGGTGGGGCACCGCCACAGCGGTTACTTTGCACTAGGCCGAGAGGCCCCGCCCGCCCAATGGGCAGCGATGGCCGGAGCGCCTTTCTGCCCTACGGCGGGCCGAATTATCTCATCGTGGGACCAACTGTGGCGCAGCCGTCCTCTCAGCAGTCGTTCTTGTCTCACTCTCACTCTCACTCTCTGTCGCTCACGCCCTCCGAAAGATCTTCCTCCTCTTCAACCACCGTCTCGCTTGGCTTTCTTCTCATTCTTCAACCCCTTTTGGCCCCCTGCATATCCCACTACATCCCTCACATCACACACCTCCCCGCTAAAGCCTCATCTTCCCCCCCGTGGTCATTTTCCTATCGCGCATCGATCCATACTTCAGCCCCTCCTATCCGTCTTTTCTCGTCCGCTTCCCTCCCCCCGCGGGGTCATGGACTACTCCGTCAACCTCCGCCGCAAGGATACCACCAAGGGTCCGCCCTTGAGGATCCTCTCGCTGGGTACGTATTTGTTGTACTTGTGCTTCGCTGTCTCGATGTGTCATCCGCATGCGATCCGCTAACTGATAATTCACGTAATCACAGATGGCGGCGGCGTGCGTGGTTACTCCATGCTTATCATCCTCCAAGAACTCATGTACCGCATCTACGTCGAATGCGAAGGCAAAGCCCCCCGTCGCGATGAGATCCCCAAGCCTTGCGACCACTTCGACCTGATCGTCGGCACCGGCACCGGCGGTCTGATCGCCCTCATGCTGGGTCGTCTGCGCCTCGACCTCGAGACCTGCAAGGACGTCTACGTCCGCATGACCCGCCGCGTCTTCGAGACCGACAAAACTATCGCCGGCATCCCCTTCCGCTCCACTCTCTTCAAGGCCTCCCGCCTCGAGGAGGCCATCCGCGAATGCGTCCGCGAACATACTGTCTTCGAGGCCGAGGGCAACGATATGAGCCCCACTGGACGGAATTCCCTGGGCAGCCCTCCGTTCAGCCCAAATTCCATGTCGATTCCCCAGCGCTCGGGGAGTCGGGCCAGTTTCAGCACCAACGCTTCACATTCGTCGGGGCACGGGAGCCAGCGCAATTCTACCTTCGTGAATGGGCTGCGCTGGGGGAATCCGGATGCGCTGCTGTATGACAACCGCGAATATCGTACGAAGACGTATGTCATCACTCCTTCTTTTGTATCGATGCGGTCTATGTACTAACGAGTCAGTGCTGTGACTACACTCTACAAGGGCACCACTAGCCGCAACGGCTCATCCGTCTTCCTACGGTCCTACGACTCGCGCAAAGAACCCCCACCCGAATTTAACTGCACCATCTGGCAAGCGGGCCGCGCCACCTCGGCCACAGGGATGGCCTTCAAACCCATCCAGATCGGCCAACACGTCTTCATCGATGAGGGGGCCGGCACCTATAACCCCGCGCCACAGGTCCTGGAGGAGACTATCAACGAGTGGCCCGGTCGCGAGGTGGGTGCGTTCGTCAGTGTGGGCACCGGCAAGCGGCCCCCGGGCACGAACAATCGGCAGCACGAGTGGTGGGAGGACTTTTTCGGGGATGCGCTGGGCACCTTTGCGGAGGCGCGCCGGCGTCTCATCGCTAAGATCGAGGGCTGCGAGGACATCCACCTGGCGATGCTGCGCGACCATCTGGCCAAGCGCAACGTCAATAAGGACAACTACTACCGACTCAACGTCGAGGTGGGTGTTGGCGAGTTTGGCATGAACGAATGGAACCGGCTGGCCGACATCAGCACCAACACCCGGCGCTATCTGACGCGACCGGAGGTGAAGCGACAGATTCTCGACGCGGGCGTCAAATTCGCCAAGATCGAGCGCCAGAACCGTCGCCTGGCCGAGCATGCGGCGGCGGGCCATGAGCATCCGTTCGACGACAGCTCCTCCATTCTGCAGAGTCCCGTGCTGTCGGTGCCGCCGCCGTCGAACCCGATGGCCGTGGAGCTGCCCGCCGAACTCCCGGGCGACTTTGTGCCATATCATATCGTGACGGAAGACGCCCTGCCGGCGCATCCGACGCCGCAGGATGGCCTCCATCCCTCTCCGGCGCGGGTATCCGGCGATTTGAGCCCGACAGGCAGTCGGCCCAGTTCACAGGCCTACGGGTCATCGCGACCCAGCATGGAGCATGTGCATGATGGCCACCCCCCGCCGGTGCCCCCCAAGACGCCCATCCCGTATCCGTCGGAGTATCCTAGTGAGCTGGGCGGGATCCCGATGCCGATGCCGCTGGCGATACACCATGGGACGAGTGGGAGCGGGAGTGGCAAGGTGCGACCGCCGTATCCGGTGGACGAGCCGCCGGTGGTGAACAAGCAGCGGAAGCCCAGCTATCACGTACGATGAACGGATGACGATGGTGTTGACGATGTTGACGATTCTTTTTTCTTTTTTTTTTTTTTTACTTACTTACTTCTCCTGTATCTTTTGATGGATGTGTATGATGGAGAGGCGTTCCTTACAGTGGATCGACAGGATGAGCGTTACCGGTTATGATTTGATGGATACCCTAATGGCACTGCAATTAATAAAAATTAATATGGGGCTGACACCGAGGGATTTTTGGGGGGGGGGGGTTTACTGTAGATACACCGTACTGCGTAGGATAGAAAGAAGTAATTACTTAGCATTGCCCCGGGAAACGAGCAGCGCCAACCGTGGTTCCAACCGTGTACAGCCGCCAGTGACAGTCGCCCACCCGTGGCGCTTTCCCGCCCCAGCCTCTTTCCTCTTTTCTTTCTTCCTTGTCTCAGTCTCACGGCATCACTATCTTTCTAGTCTACTCGCACAATCTCTCTTTCTCTCCCTTTCTCTCCCGGTCCTACTCCCCCCCCCCCCAACCACCCTTCTTTGTTGTCTTCCTCCCCCTCTTGACACATTCCGATCCCACGGTGCCCACGGCCACGAGGCTGTCAGTCCTCGTCGATCCGCCGCCCGCATTCCTCGACCCGCCGTCGCATCCAAAGTGGCCATCCTGAAATCTGACTGCAGCTACGACCATCTGGCGCCCCCAGCCCAGTCAACCAACCCATGGCTGTCTAGCGCCCACTAATTATATCCTTCGCTTATCTGACGCCAACCTGTCCCCCCTATCCATCCTTCCATCCATTCAGCCAGCCAGCCAGCCAGCCAGCCAGCCATCCATCTTTCTCCTCCCTCCCTCCCGTCCACACACGCCACAACTTCTCCAACCCTCCAACCCTCCTTCGCCGTCTCCGTCTCCGTCTCCTCTCCGAAGCGACGAAAGAAACAATAAAGACACTGCAGGCAGTGTCCTCCTAATGCAGGCCGGAGCGACCGCATTCAACACCCCCGAATAACCCATCCATCCATCCCCCACGGACATGGACATAGACATGGACACGTCGCTGCACAGCGCAGCTCTACATCTCCTGGCCGCCCGCGCCGACAGCTCCGCCCGTCCGGCGTCATACAAAATTATCGGGATCTGTCTGGCGGTGGCCTCGGGTCTCTTCATCGGGGTGTCGTTCGTGCTTAAGAAGACGGGCCTGCTGCGCGCCAACGTCAAATATAACGAGGAGGCCGGCGAAGGGTATGGGTACCTCAAGAACATGTACTGGTGGGGCGGGATGACCCTGATGATTATCGGGGAGCTGTGCAACTTCGTCGCCTACGCCTTCGTCGATGCGATTCTGGTCACGCCGCTGGGCGCGCTGACGGTCGTCGTCACCACGGTGCTGTCGGCGATCTTCCTGAAGGAGCGGCTGAGTTTTGTCGGCAAGGTCGGTTGTTTCTGCTGTATCATCGGTAGTGTGGTCATTGCGCTGAATGCGCCGGAGCAGTCGTCCGTGAGCGACATCCAGGAGATGAAGAAGTATGTGATCGCGCCGGGGTTCTTGGTCTACGCCGGCCTGATTATTGTCGGGTGCGTGGTCACCGCTGTGTGGCTGGGGCCGCGTTATGGGAAGAAGAGCATGTTCGTGTATATCAGCATTTGCTCGTTGATCGGCGGCCTGAGTGTCGTGGCCACCCAGGGCCTGGGGTCGGCCATTCTGGCCCAGATTAACGGCGAGGCCCAGTTCAACCAGTGGTTTATGTATGTCTTGCTTGCGTTTGTGATCACGACCCTGTTGACCGAGATCATCTACCTGAACGTGCGTATTCACCCATCCCTCCCTCTTTCCTCTTGGATTGACTAGACCGCTAACCCGTCCGGCTACAGAAAGCCCTCAACATCTTCAACGCTGCTCTCGTCACGCCCACCTACTACGTCATGTTTACCAGTTCCACCATCATCACCTCCGCGGTCTTGTTCCAGGGCTTCAAGGGTTCCGTCACCGCGATTATCACAGTGATCATGGGCTTTTTGGTGATCTGCGCCGGGGTCGTCTTGCTGCAACTATCCAAGTCCGCGAAGGACGTCCCTGATGCCGCCGTTTTCAAGGGTGACCTCGATCAGCTCCGGGAAGTCGCCAACCAGGAGGAGTCCGAGACCGAGCCCAAGGCCGATTCCATTCGCGGCGCCGCCGCAATCATTCGACGCATCTCGACTCCGCGACGCACTATGGAGGTCGAGGAGGCCCGGCGCTACTTCCGCGAACGCAGCGAAGATATGAAACCGCCAGCCGAGAACGAGATCATCGAATGGGACGGCCTGCGCCGGCGCAAGACTGTTGTCGGCGAGGGTCCGACCATGGCGGGGACCCGCAGTCTGCGCAGTCCATCTATTAAGCAGCCGTTTCCGCCTCTAGGCATGTCGCGCGTGCCGGAAGAGGGGCCCGACGAGCCAGAGCGACCAGACACCAAGCAGAGCAACCACTCTTTCCTCGACGACCTCCGGTCCCGCGCGAACAGCCTTTTTCATCCAGCCTGGCAGCCGATCGAGGACGGGCATGCTAACCAGGACCCGGTGTCGTTGACGTCGATGCCGGCGCACAAACAGCACCCGGATACCAGCTACTCCCACGCCATCACCCAGGACGGATCACGCAGCAACACCCCGTGGACTGACGATGACCACGCAGCCCCGGATCCGCCGCCGCACGGCACGCGACGACAGTTCTCGTTCAACACGATGTTGCACCGCATGAAGGCGGGCCACGAGCCGGTCCCACCCCGCAGCTTCCACCGACATACGCCCCAGAATTCCCAGACCATCACGGAGGAGGAACGACTGGGGCTGGTGCGGGGCGATTCCCGAGGCGAGTCGGGGCCGGACGAGGCGGACGAGAAGCTGGATCGGATGTATTCAAGCGACGGACTGGACGAGGGGCCAGGCAGTCTGCCGTCCGGACACTCCCCGGAGCAGCACCGGCTGTATTCTAGCGAGTCGTTGTACCCAGCCCGGCTGCGGGTGAATCCACTGCCACCGCTGCCCGACGAGGAGCCCCTCGCGGATCCGTACGCGCCCGTGGAGCTTCCATCGCCGCGACACGAGTCCCACAGCAGTCGAGGGACCCTCTCGTCCCCGCCGCGGGGCGTAGGATGGCGGCGCCACGGGTCGGCGAGTAGCGGGGGAAGTCTCCCCGGGCGACGCGGGGCGTTTATATAGGTTCGACCATTTATGATCATGTATGTATGATATGACCCGATACGAGCCACACGACACAGAATAATGTATATACGACGATTTATAGAATAATGGAATCGCAGCAATGTCACGATGCGGGCGTGGTCGTAGGTGTAGTCGTAGGAGCCGTTCCATTCGCAGTCGCCTTCATCAACCCAAAGACGCTCTTCTGATTCGGCACGAGATGAGCGGCATATTTCGCTTCGGAGAGACGTTTCCCGGCCGCAATGCTATCGAGGACCCTACACAATACAAAATCACAGTTAGTCACTTCACTTCCACCGCAAGCTCCCATCCATCCATCCAACCCACCACCACCACCATAAATGAAAGACAGAAAGACAGAAAAAAAAATACCTACCACTGGACCCTCACCAACTTAATCCCCTTCCACCCGGCGCGCTGAATCTCCTTCTGCAGTTTCCCCGCCGCGAGACCCCCGCCGGCGCCGCCCCGACCGGGGCCGGAATTCGGCTGGCCGACGACGAGATGCGTGACTTTTCGGTTCAGGGCGATGGCGAGGGAGGCACCGTGGGCGACGAGCAGGCGTTTGAGCTTGTGGTCTGATATGTGCGGGGTTGTTTGACCGTTGATGTGGATGGTGAGGTTGGTGAGGATTTGGGGTGGGGATGAGGATGGGGATATTGATGAAGTAGGGTGGGGATGGGGATTGGGATGGGAATCGGCGGGTGTAGATGTCGATGTAGACGTAGACGTAGCTGCAGGTGTAGGTATAGATGCAGATGTAACGGGAGCTGTAGCTGTAGCTGTAGACGTAGAGGTAGGCGACTCAATTGTTGACATCGGCAAGCACGATGCGCCGGAAGAAGCAGCAGCAGCAGCAACAGCCTGCGACTCAACCCTCATCCTCTTCCCCATCTTCCCCTCCTCTCCCAAGGAACCAAAAGCCTCATTTGTCTCCCTCTTCCGAACCTGTCCGAACATACTCCGTATATCCCTCTGCTTTCGCTGCTGTCCGTCATCCCGACCGACATTCGCATTCGCATTGCCTATCCCCATCATGGGCCTCCTCCCCGACAATAAAGAAAAGGAGGAAGAAGAAGAAGAAGAAGAAGAAGAAGGAAGAGAAGGAGACTCAAAAACCCATTCCCCCCGTGAACCTTCCTCCCCACCATTACCGCCAGATTTTATCCCCGTGCCCGTTCGATTTCCCCCCAAAACAGAGATAGACGTACAGTCGCCATCGCGCGACCCGAACTGGCGAGTGAGTTTTTGGCGCCGGGTGTCGCGCCAGGCAGAGCCGCGGGCGGAGTCGGCGACTTGATGGCCGGTGGCGGAGGTGTTCCAGACGTCGAAGGTGAGGTGGTTGGTGGGTGTTATTTGGGGGTTGGTGGGCATTGTTCGTGTCGTGGTGATGGGAAGATTGTGGGAGGTGGTGTTGATTTGTTGATGTGGAATTGGTTGTGATGGGTGATGGGTGGGTCATGTGATCTGTCTGCTGTTCTTGTTTTGCTTTGCGACATGTGTTTTACCTATGTTGAGGTGGAAGGGTATATATACGGTGAGATGTAGTGAGTGGGTTGGTTCTATCTATGGGTGAATTGGATATGCTGTCATTGGATTATGTATCACGAGTGGTTAATATACGGGGTCAATAATAATAAGTAGTACTCTTAAAATCCAAGTGGATGATGATGGTGGATGGAGTGAGGACGCCACAGCAAAAATATACTTCTACTCTTAACCATGCCCATAACCATAACCATAACCATCATAATTACTACAACAACAATAACATCAACATAACACACTAGTTATATACATATATACTTACTACTGGGATAAACAAGCTATTCATGCATGTACCTTAACCTTCCCTCCCCTCCTCTCCATCAAAGCCTGACAAAGCTACTGTACTGTTCCCAACAATCAATTAACTAAGTTACCTCACATATCCGTCCGTAGCAGGACAGCAGACGGCAGACAGCCTTCAGTAAGGCAAAGCAAGGCAAGGCAAGGCAAGTTAAGGTAACATTCATTCATTCATTCATTCTTTCTTTCTGCACATACTGGATCCAGTCTAGCCGGGTGCCCGCTGTCCGCTGTCCGCTGCCCACAGCCCACAGCCCACAGCCCACAGCCCACAGCTCACAGCATATGCAATAATCTGCACTCAGGACTCAGGGCTAGAGGTAGTAAGTAAGTAAGTATGTATGTATGTATGTACACCGACATTACTTATTATTATCATTATCCCATCTCAGCATCCAGCACCAGCATGCTCAGAACAGAACAGGACAGGACAGGACAGACAAGACAAGACAGAACAGGAAAGAACAGGAAAAGCGCATCGAATTCGCCTCCCCTCCCAACCTGTGAGATAATCAGGACTCAAAGTAGTACAGGGTGTATGCATGCATGCATGCATGCATGTATGCATGTATGCATCGAAACAAGACGGTAAGCTTCCAGCCGAAAGAAAGACGGTGAGAGCGTGGTGGTGGTGGTGGTGGCGGGGGGCTGGACTGGACTGGGCTGGGCGCTTACTGACTGACTGACGACTGACTTGAGTGTCTGGTTGTCTGTACAGATGTACAGTACATATGTACTATATGTATGCAGGTATGTCGGAAGGTAAAGGTGGAATCAAGGGATGGGAGGAGGAGGCGGTTACGGATCCGATGGGCTTGGTTGGGATCACCTGGACTGGCCAGGACGGGATAGCCCCGAACAGGGAACTACGGTAGGGGTCTACTTAGGTACCTACCCATGTATGTACTTGTCTATATTTAGGGTATGATGGGGGATGGGGGGAGGGCGGAAATGGCACGGTATGTATGTATGTATGTATGTATGTATGTAGGTGCTCTGGATGTGCAGGAGATCGACCTGATGGCTGACGCACATATGTAGTATGTACCTACCTAATATGTATGTATGTGCGTACAGAGAGGGTTGGCAGTCGAGACTCTGGGGGGGGGGGGGGGGATTGGGTGGCTATCTATCTAGCTATCTATCTATCTGTCTGTCTATCTGCTTGCACCCATGCCGTGCATACGCCGCAGAAAGTATCCTTCGTACGGATATACCCTTAGTAGTAGTACTATCTATCTATGTAGTCCTACGGAGTACGGTGATGGCGGAGAAAGGAAGGAAGTGCATACAGACATGCGCCGGACAGACCGCGTCGGTCCTACCGGGGTAGTACCCAGGAAGTACCCTGGAGGCGTGAGAACTGAAGACCAAGACCAAGACCAAGACCAACCCAACCCAACCCAACCCAACCCTGCACGCGCATATGCATCACGGGTTGTTGCAGCTGAAACCGCCAGGACACCGTCTGGGATCACGCAAGGATGGAGCGTTGCGCACTGGAGCGGTCTGGGGGGAGAAGGCATTGGGGGACTTTTGTCTCGATGGAGGACGAGAAAGAGAAGTGTCATTGTCGTCAGGTCGAATGACCACGGCCACGTCCCTCGCGGGATGAATGGATGGATGGATGGGTGGATGGATGATAGGAGTCGAGGCTGCCAAGTCAACGGAAGTAATTACTTACTCTTCGGTCTCCCCCAAGAGAGAACCCAAGGTAGGGTTAAGTGTCTAGCCCGCGTTACTTACGTGGTCGCCTCCACCGCCAGTCGCCCGCCAGCGCCCATCCACCGGCCCTGCAGCTCGTCCAATCATCGCTGCGGCGCTCCCCTCCAGCCGACGAGGTCCGTGTCGCTTTGGCGCTGATCATCCAGTTGCGTTCCTAATCGATGGTGTCTGTGTGTAGCCTCCAATGCCTCCAATGCCTGGGGTGCCCACGCTGGCCCACGAACGTCTAGAGACCAGCCGGATTGCCTGATTCGGTAGGTCAGCTTCCTCCTCCTCCCGGCACTTACACAGTATCTGTATGTAAGTACGGACGGTAACTACCGCAGGTTTCCCCTTTTTAGTAATCTATACCCCCCCCTCCCCGGATCAAGATGGGGAAGAATGCCGTGATCCCTTCCTCGATCTAGGCTGAGTGAGGCATGGATGATGATGATGATGATGATGATGATGATGATGACGATGACGATTTGCCACGGAGACATGGATGGACATTGGATACTAATAATGGTTAGCCCCGAACAAGGTAGCGTGACATCGACTGATTATTTGACAGGATTCGGCGCGCGCCCACAATCCGATTCTTCACTGGTCTGGCGGGCGCAGACGGTGAGACAATCGGGATATTAAGGTTGCAGTAAGGGCAGGCCCAGCTGGGCTGCTGGACGCAGTCATCGGTGAGGTAATGGCCTACAGGCACCAGCCACACTGACCGCACCGGTCTCCGCGTTAGCAGCGAGCAGAAGGATCAGGAATCCGCACCCATAGGAAGGAGCCCCGCGAGGCGACCTGGACTCTGGAGAATCCTAAAGCTTAGTTAGTGGGATGCCCTATCCACCTGTGCAGTCGATCGTGCACGGGTAACGACGGAACATGCAATGTAAGGTTAATTACTGCGTGCAGCGGGCTGGCCACTGGCAGCGCGAGCGCCGGTCCCCCTCCGTCCTATCGCCTCGGTACCATTTTGTCGGCTGAGCTGATTCACTACTCTATCGCCCATCCTCCTAACGGCACTAGCCAGTTTGATGCGACGCTATCCATCCCAGGTATGCCTCGGATGCGCCAGCCAATTGGCCCGGTCGCAGTCCAGGGAGATTGAGCTGATTTCCTCCGGCCCTCGCACGTCCAATCGACTCCGTCCGATTCCGTCCGGATCGAAGCGATGGACTCGGTCTGAACTCGGGGGTTGCTCTGCCTGCGCCCTGCTCGAATGCGACCGGGGTTAATTAGTGGCCTGGAGGGGGGGGGGAAACACGGCCAATCGAGAGACGGGCGGGCTGACTGGAATGTTAGACCCGGGGCAGTCAGATCATCATCGCTCGTGCTGACAGTTTCACAAGACCAGGTGATGATTGGGGGCCATCATCGTCCTCTGGATCGGGTCGAGGGAGGGATTGCGCATCGGCCTCGGTCTGGATAACACGGAATCGTAGTATGGCGCGCCCTCTTGGGAATCAGGAGAGGCTGCTGCTGAGCCTGGGCATTCTAGAATCGGGACTAACGCCCGTCGGTGACTTGCTTTGTCAGGAAGCAACCAGCTAACCTAGTTAATAGTCTAAGGGCTCGCTAGTCCGGAACTGCCCTCGACCGGTTATTCCCGCAGGCGACGTTGCACAGCAGGCGCAATTTAACCCTCGCTGTAATCCGGAGATTCAGCGTCCGGCTGGCCATCCGCGTGAGCAGTGACTACCTAGGGAAGCGTTGGTGCAGGGGGTCGACAGGGGTGTAGGCAGATAGATAGATAGATAGATAGTGTGTGGGATCTGGACAGTGCGTCTATACTCCGTAACCTCCGTGGGTGTAGATTGTGTACGGTGTGTGTACCCCGTTGCGGTTGAGCAGGGAAGGAATGGATAATGGTGAGGATCCTCCATGATCCGTTACCCGGCTCGGGCAACTGCTAGTCTGCTAGCGCACTGCTCGATCAGTCGACCCGTCCCGGGGTACAGACGACAGGCCCGGCTAGCATCTGCACCGTGCCCAGTGCGCGCACACACACACACACACACACGCTGCCTCGGTACGGTCCCAAGGTGGCTGCAGGGGCCAGGAGGTCAAATGGTGAAGAATAAGGAAACAGTTCGCAGGCGCGCGTGCGGTAACCTGTAGGAGTAGGACTAGAGTAGGCTATGCCGCTGTAGGCAGGCTGTACGCTCCTCCCGCCCGCCTAAGCGGTTCCTTGGTGGTGGTGCTGCTTGCATGGCCGCTGCAGGTACAGCCGAGGGCATGACAGGTGAATTGTCGCTAGCGGGACGAACATCTGGAACTAGCCAGGGAGGGACAGTGAGGAAGCTAGCACGGCGAGGGCAGAGTCGATAGTGCTCGAGATTGAGTCCTATCCACTAGATACCTGCGACTCGAGACCAGCTACTTCTGATGGTGTGGGGTTGTTGGGGTGGGAAAGAGGAGGAGGAGGGAGAGGAGGGGAAGAAAGATTATACACGCGCTGGGAACATAGCGGGAGCATAGTGAGAGGACTGTGCCGAGGAGACGAAAAGTCAGTCAGTTAGTACAAGTTAGTCCTCGGAGTTAGATTGTTAGTAGGTACTTACTATACTAGATAGATACTGAGTAGACTAGGAAGCACACTGATAGATACTCCGTACCTAGTAGTAGTAGTAGTAGTAGTAGTAGTTACCTAGATACTAGGTAGATACTCTTCGCGCTCACAGGGACTAGAGGCCCCACCCAGCGCCCCGGAGTAATTCCTATCCTTCAGAATCCAGATCATCCAGGATGCATGATCCATGCATGATCCCTCAGCACCGGCCATCGGAGGAGTGGTTGAGGACTTCCGGTGCATCAGGGATGGGGGGCAGTGGAGGATGGACCTAGCGCGCGTAGAGGAGTCGACTGCTCAGTGGTATCTAGTGAGTGTGTTGGTGTGTTAGTGTCTCGCGGACCCCAAGTGTTAATAAACGGGGTGGATAGATTAAGAGCAGGCAAGGCAGAACTGAATAATGAAGAAACCGAGGATGATTGATCATTGCCAGTGAACCGTGCATTTACGAAATCCGGCCTAGCGTGGCAGGGATGGCCCGGCCAGCCTCGGCCACTCACACACGGCCTGGCCCCTCCGGCGGGCGGGCGGTTGGCTCCGCCGATGGCTGACTTATCCACCGCGATGCTAGTGGAGGGGGGCTAGCCCGGCACTAAAAGTACTAAACCCACTAATCCCCCTTTTAGTGCCTGCCGGTCGGGCCAGTTGGGAATCGCCGGGACATGCGGAAACACTGACAGACTGACACTGACGCTACTACTGACAGACATTGCTGTCCGTGACCACTTCCTAACTCGATCCTCCCTAGTCTTTGGTCCTGGCGTGTCTATCAGTATTCAGCCTTCTATCTAGTAGATAGATAGTATCTATCTACTCCGTACTCCGTACTCCGTGCTGAGGGTTACTCCCCTCCTGGGACTGGGTAGGTGACAGTTAGCGCAGGCCAGCACAGGCCAGCACAGGCCAGCCCAGGCCAGCCCGGGATCCAGGATCCAGGACCCAGGATGGCCATGGCCAGCATAGCATGGCTCTGCTCGGCGCTGGCTGCGGTGGCCATGTCAAGACGCCCTCGTTGCGCCTCCCGATTGGCCCCGCTGGCGCTGTCTGATTCAACTGAAGCTGAATAACTCCGTCGTGGCCAACCACCGTCTCCCTTAACCCTGTATCCTTCGTCAGGACGAGCCATAGCCCCGCAAGATCGGCTGTATGTACGACGGCTGCGGGTGTCGGGCCGTCGGTAGCGGACTTCTTCCAAGCCTGACTAGATGGATATATCCAACCTGTTCAACCATCATTATCTATCCAAGGTACATTGCCCCGTACCTACCGACACACATGGTCCGCCAGGCAGGTCCATCGTTGTTCTCGATTATCTATCCTCCGGGCGGAGGTGAGACGGGGTAAAAAAAAAACAGGAAAGAAAGAAAGAAGGAACGAAAACTCCCCTGGCGGACAAACAGCCAGCCAGCTAGGTAGATCCTCATCTCACCCTGCACGGCACCGAGCAATCCCCGGCTGGTATAACTTAGACGAACTCCGACGGTCATTCACCCTGGTCGATCAGGATTGACGTCCGGGACCAACCCACCCGGACTTCTCATGGTCGCCATGGGAGGATGAACTACTGGTAGTGATGGACGAAGTGTGGAGTGCAGAGGAACTAGATACTCCATCGGAGGGGAGAAGATGGGCAAGAGAAGCCCGACACTATGAGGGCAACACGGGCCTCTGGGTGCGGCGTGCTTTCAAGCAAGAGGGTGGTTGACTGCCAGATGATAGATGTGCATACGGTTTCACCTTTGGCGCGGATATACATGCATACCCATCATGCCCACGCCCACGCCCACGCCCACACCCACCACGTACAGTAGAAGTAGGTAAGTCGTATGTATGTACCTATGTATGTACGTGGAACATGTGGCCATGACAGAACTGGATGTCAATGGGGGTTCGTCTACCAGACGGGGGTGGCTTTCCTTGAACTGAAGGAAGCGGGAGATTGTCTAAATGCAGTCTGTCATGCCCGACATAGACGGCGTCCACTTCCCTGGCGTCCACTTCCCTGGAGAGGAGAGGGGGAGTAGCTTGTCGCCGGATGCTTTGCCAGCCGGACTGTGTACCCAAGAGAGAGAGTGTGTGAGAGAGAGAGTGTGTGTGTGTCAATCCGTCAGTCCGTCAGGAGGAAGCTAGCTTGCTACCTAGCTACTTAGTTCGCTGGGTAGCTCGTCGCTACCACCACTATAAGAGGTACTATACCGTAGACGCGGTAAACGGTCGGAAATAAAAAAAAAAACGACTGGTCAAATGAGGTGTCGTCGCACCCCATCGACCGTCGTACTCCGTCCGCAATCCGCAACCCTAACCTGTCACCTCACCCTCACCCTCATTCTCACTCTCACTCTCACTCTCACCGCAGACAGGCAGCAGACCAAGGCCTTGTCCGAACAATGGGGAGGGGAGAAAGAAAGGACCCCGTTCCCGTACCTCTGATACTGTAGAGTATTCCATAGTCCAGGCGCGTCCGGGCCAGTCGAGCAGAGGGCGAGAGTGGGGATTGTGTCGTGGACCCGATCGCTAGTCCCCTCCACCTCACGCAAGGGGTCGCGAGGAGGTGCTGCAGGCCCGCAGGAAGAAGGTTCCCGGGCCTATCGTCTGCGCGCCCCTCCGTCAGCCGAGCATGAACAGCTGGAATGATAGGGCTTGTCAGTCAAATGACAGTCGCCCTTCCCCCTCCCTCCCTCTCGCCGGAAAAGAAAACTGAACCAGCGGTGAGGCCTGGAGGTGAGTTCGTGCCCTTGCGCCTGAGGTTGCGCGCCCGAGTTCGGGTTTCATCGCGTACGTGCCTACACCGAGTCGTTCTCGACTCCCGGATGAAACGGCCGGAGAGAAAGAGACAGAGAGACAGAGAGAGAGAGAACAAAAAAAAGAGAAAGAAGAATATCTATCTAGCGGCAAAGAAGGAAACCACAGAACAGCTCAGAAGAGGAGACCTAGAGTGGATCGATCAATGCCTCACCGTCTCCATCCATCGAGCTAGTTGAATGATGTACATCAGGATGTACCCATAATCAGTCATCGTGCGGAGAGCTCACTGTGGTTCATCTACTAGGTATCTAGATCCTTCTGGAGGAAGCTCCTCTGGAGACCTTTCTTCGTCTCCTCCTGCCCTACTCCGTAGAACGAAGGCAAATGCGCCTATCTGTGCAACCTTCCCCTCCCATGATGATCGATGGGTAAGAAAGATTACCCCAGAGACCCCTCCCCAACCATCATGGTCGATTCCGACCAGTGGCATCACCCGTCGACTCTGACGTACCGACCAGGTAAGTCAGTATCTACCTTAGTTTTCTAGTCAGTCAGTCTGTCAGTCAGTCAGTAGGTAAGACCGGTAAAAAGCAGGTCGATTAGGCGCCAACTCCACGGACCCGAGGGGATAAAACACCAACGGATCTGAACGAATCTGGAAATTAACTCCCGATCCCTCACATTGATGATGACGAGCCCCTCCTGGCTATCTACCTGGTTCTGGAGACTACTGAAGGAGGTCTGCACATACATACATACACCCATCCATCCATAGATAGTAAGTAGGCAGGCAGGCATGTACCAATCTACTAGCCCATGCTAAACTGGCTCGTGAAACGCCCCCATCCCACCAATGGCACTGCGAACGATGCAATGGCGGGGCAGCCTCCCTCCTCAGCGGAGAATTAGGAGGGGGAAAAAAAAAGGTCGGGGAGGGAGGGTGGCCAGGGTCGTGGTCAAGGTCGATACCCGGGGTTGGGCTCTTGACCGACTCTGCTGGTCTGATGTATCCAACGAGCCGCCTCCTCTGGTGCGACGAGGGCATTTTCCGCGACTGGCTTGCTGGATATCTCAAGGAGGACAGATTACTATCCCGACCGGTCTACCCCGACTAGGGTGGGCATTTCTGCTTTTTTTTTTTTTTTTGATTATATTATTATTATTTTTGAAATATTATTCCTCTCTCTCTCTTCTTTCCCCCTCGACCCCCTTTATTGGAAGGGCTGGATTGATTGATTCATTCATTCATCGAAGGCTGGGTGGAGGAGGAGGAGGAGGAACAAAACGGTACTATATGGCAGAGAACCATGAATCGATCCGTTTCGACCCAAAGGAGGAAAAGCAAAGGAAACGATCTGGCCAAGCAAGCGCATGTGTGTGCGTGCGGGATGCCCCGTCCCAGGTATCCATGTACGGAGGACCGTACCTACTTTGTAGGTAAAGTAGGTAAAGTAGGTACTATCCAAATCATCACCGGTCGGGAATCTGAAGAAAGACGACTGACACATTGGCCGACTGGAACTAGCGCCCCGGGGGAAAGTAGGATGGCTTCCTACGAGGGACAGGAGGTAACTACGACGGTGGACGGTGTATTGTGGAAGAGGAAGAAGAAGAAGAAGAAAAAAAAAAAAAGGCCAGAAGAACAGACCTGATCGACTGTTGCTCGCACGCCACCTTGATTTCGTGGTGGCCTCTCAACCAGTGGTTCCGGCGGCCATCTGCACGAATCCCTGCCATGCTGCCTCATCCTGGTCGTTTCTTCTGCTCTGTGTGTAACCAAAGAAGTGGCTGCGCTTGCTTGCAGCGACCGGCCTTACTGGATTGGCAGCATTTTGCCGCCATTAACTGCCTATTCACTTCGTGACGGGCAGAATCTTCTTCTTCGACGACTTACCTCCTACTATTCTAGATACCTCCTAGATAGCTAGATTCAGCATCCAGAGACGGTGCTTCTCTCCCCTCCTTTGCCTGACCCCGTCCGATTATTCCCTGACCCCTTGATGGCGCATTGGATGTCCCAACAGAATCCGGTCGGATGAATGAATAAATAACTGAATGACCTCATCTGATCTTTCCATTTCTTGCCCCCTCCCTCTCCCCATCTCTCTCTCGGTCGGGAAGAGAGGGAGTTCTCTCTTCCGCCATGACCAGTCACACCAGACTCGTCTGATCCTGGTGACTTGTCAGTCCTTCTTCGAGGACGACCTCATCGCCGTAGCACACTACCTACACTGCGTTGCGTAGGTTGGACTGGCGGGGCCCGCACCCTAACGCCCTCCAGATCGTCCCGAAAGCCTTAAATTATTTGATCGCACACACCACCAGCCCCAAAAGCCAAGCCCCCCCCCTCTCTCTCCCCCCCGGCCAATGGATCCCTCACCACCTGAAGGGGGGGCGAGGATCCACTTGGCCGGGAGGCTATTCCTGGCTGGCGTCTGCTAGTCTGCCCGCGGAGGCCCCCTAGCAAAGATCTCGTATTGCGCGAAAGAAAGAGAGATAGAGAGAGATAGACATAGAAAAGAGGAGGAGAAGAAGAAGGAGAAGAAGAAGAAGAAGTCGTCAATCTTAATATTCATCTTGTTGGTTAATTGATTAATTGATTGATTGATTGATACTGACTGACTCGCTCGCCCGTCCGTCCGTCTTCGGAACGGTGCATAGAAGGGATGCCAAAATGCTGTAATGATGGAAAAAAGAAGGAATGGAACCCCCAGGATGAAAGAATGAGTAATACACCATACGTATCCACCCATCCATCCCTTGTCATCCTCCCCCCCGGTCGCTCCTCCACTCACGGGTTTCCCGACCTGACCATCTCTCGTTGTAAAGTAAGCATCTACATCTCATCTCCTCCCTTCCTTGCCAAGTCACCGCCATTCCAGTGACACGGTCCTTTTCGGCGGTTCTCTCGTTTCCAAGGAGTGAGGCAAAACCCGACCGGGCGGGACGATGACAAGTAAACCCAGTGCCCCGACCAGGTCCATAGGACGTTAGGTAAACAGACGATAGTGGTAAGTTTATAGTTGATACTCCATAGTCGGTAATGGTCGATATGCTGGATCGCAAGGTTTGCTTCCAGATAGTTCGCTCGTTGGTCTGTGTTGAACGCTTCCCGCTGCTACACATACTCCACGATCCACACCGTTTAGACTGCGCGAATCTTGCATCTGCTCTATTGTTGGCGTTGCGGCGGTGGTCGTTTACCGATTCTTACATACTTACTTACTTACTGACTACTGACTACTTTACTGACCTGCCTGCGGCACCTCCGTACTAGGCAAGTAGGTACCAAATTAGTAGTATCTATTCCCAGACCAAGACCCCGATCCTAGCCCATCGCCGTGCCGCTGATTGGTCCGCGGGGCTCTCAGGGCCCCTTCAGCCTTTCATTGCGTACAGTAAGTAAGTATGGAGTAGGTACGGAGTCAGTACCACCAAGGAAGGGGGGAAAAAAAAGAGTCAGAGGTGCATTCTCTACCATGCAGTCGAGCTTGCCCTCAGGTCAGCACTCTATGTATGTACGTATCATGTAACTAGGCTGTAGGCTGTAGGTACTCCGTTCCGGACCTACCTATATACCTACCGCCAGACTGACTGACTCGTGCGGGTTCAACCATCCAACGATTTACACGAGAGAATAAGGATACCTTACAGCATGCCGGCTGGCCGGTCGGCAAGCAGGGTTATCGCTCATCCGTCCCCCCGTCATCACACACACCACACACGGTATCTGTCTGTCTGTCTGTCTGTCTGTCTGTATGCACAGTGTTAATCCATCCTTGAGCGGTATTCCGTACCTACCTCACCCATTCATCCAGGTATGTAGGTACAGGTCGTCAGGTCGTAGGTAAGTAGGTGGTAGAATTACCCAGGTAAACAGAAAACCGAATATACTGGTGAGTGAGAGTAATCTAGTAGCTTGGTCCGTATCTCACTAGCATCTCATGGACGATTCTGGCCCATGGGTCCTGACCATTGGCTGGTCGCTCCGTTGGCAGACCATCCTTGGTACGCGGTGTGGGACCCGTGGCCATCGTGGAGACAGCTGTTCGAACCTGGACGCCTGTCATCCGTCATCTGGCGGCCTGCGCTGGTTCCGTGGTTCTTCACGCCCACAACGACCTTAGTACCTTAGTACGTATCTTGTATTGACGAGAACCGACGGACACAGGCCTGCTGATCCGCGGGTCACGTTTCGAAAAGGAAGATAGACTTTGTAGAGAACAAACGAAAAAGAAAACAAGACAGTAAGTAGCAGCAGCAGCAACCTGCACCGAAGCCCGGCTCGATCTGCCACAATCTCAGACCGACCAAATCAGCGCCGAGCATGGCGGGTCCAACGTGAAGGGGAAAGAAGAACAAGAAGAAGAATTGCATTTGCCCTCGGTTTGCGTCGTTTTTTCGATCGCCCTCCAATCGATCCAGCATCATCCCGGCAGCGCAGGACGATCGAATGACTTACAGCAACGCGATCGGTCCCAACAGTTCACTGTGGCTCCCGACTATCGCGCGGTCAATGGGAAGTGAAGGACTCGCTAACTTTGAACTCTTTTCCATTTTTCTATTTTCTATTTTTCTTTTTCTTTTTCTTTTTTTTTTTAAATTATCATGTATCTTGTTATTATATTACTGTATATTATTTGATGTCCTCTTGTTTGATTTTGATGTCTCCAATTTGGGGGAGTTTTGCATGCTCTTCCCTCTCATTTCCCTCCGGTTGGGTTTGATTTTGATTTTCATTTTGCACTTTCACACCAATGTTTACTCATTCATTGCCTTCCCTTTCTTTCCTTTTCATCATTTCCCCTTTATCTCAAGTAAAACTCTTAGTTAGGCCCTCCTCGCGGGAGCATTTTTTGCTTTCTTCTTTTTGCTTTTTTTTTTTTTTTTTTTTATTACTGTACCTACTTACTTACGGGGTAAAAGCTGGTAGGTACCTAGATACTATCTACCTAGTGACCATCCGGGTATATTAGCTTATTTTATTTTATTTTTATTTTTATTTTATTTTATTCTTTTTTAGTTATTGTTCCTAGATGATAATTATTATTATTTCCCTGGCGCGTACGTACTATGGAGGCGGTAGTAGGGAGAGGCAATCCGGAGCAAGTCAATAGGATTCCCATTGAATGATCTCATCTTATTTCAGATTGTTTTTTCCTAATCAGATCGGTCTCCCGAGGAAGTCACTCGGCGCCTCTGTTTGGATCTGCTCTCTGCCTCTGCCCGCGTTGAATTGTTTCTTAATGGTGGCTCGACCCTGCAGAAGAGGGACGTCTCTCGGTCTTGTCTTCTGTACCATCATCACTCACGCTGGTGTCTTTGTTTCTTCGACCTACCTTAACCTTAGCCATCGATCTTATTGTTTACCTTCCCACGGGTACGTTGACGGTTGATCCCCTTGGAATTTCTCCTGCGCACGCCCTGCCCGCCTGTCTACCTTCTATATTCTACACTACATACACTCTACATTGCACTACATCTCATCTCATCTCATCTCATCTCATCTCACCTCCGGCTGTCACCTGTATTCCTTCTACCACTACCTGCCAGTGCCGCTAGGTACTATTTTCTCCCCCCCCCCCCTCTTTCCCACCCACCCACCCCCTCCCCCTTCCCCTCCAGCCAATCTGAGGCCGGTGTGCAGACTCAACATCGGTTGGATCATCGCCCTTTTGGCCCAAACGGTGGTTCCTGTCCGGCGTCTTGTTTAGCTTATCCGGCTGATGGTCCTTGCTTCGTGGCGGATTTACGGAATCCTCGCTGTCTGAGCTTGACACTGCGCTTGTGGACTGGACCCTGCTAGAAGGCAGAACCAGACTTGCCGCTGGAGAGGAAGGCGAGCAGCAGGAGCAGCAGCCGATCCCACGGTGTATCTTCCGCAAGACGCACGGTTGTTGTCTCCCAGAAAATCCCACTCCCCTTCTGCTCTTTTTTAGTTGCGGGATCCACACCTGACTGTTTCCTTTTTCTCTCATTTTCCCATTTCCGCTTTGGATTTTATTGTCCTGGCTATTTCGAGCTATTTTGTGATTTTTATTCTGGCTTCTGATTTGGACCTTTTGGATTTCGGGTTCGATTTCAATTTCGATTTTTTTCTCTCTCTCTCTCTCATTTCCATTATTATTATTTTTTTTTTATTTCCCTGTCCTTCTTATTTCACCCCCCCCTCTCTTCCCAATCCATTCCCCTCTTAGCTGTTGGGGGTTTCTGCTGACGTCCGATTTTCTATTTTCCGCTTTATAAGGAAAGGACCTACTACCACGACCACGACCACGACCACCAACCCATCGATCACTACCACTACCACCACTACTACTTCCTAGCCCATAAGTAGTTATAGTGACGGACGGTCCCAGTGATCCACTGCCCAGTCCCTCCCCCCTCCCCTCCTCCCAGTCCCAAGCTCCCTTTGCCTCGTTCTCCAGAACCGACTCCAAACGGACCCGCGACCAGACGGACCCGGCCGAGGCTGTCGCCTAGATATTGATTACCCTCCCCATAATAAAAGGGAAAGGACCAAACGCAGAAGGACGGACCGCCAGCACGACAAGCTATAAGGCTAGCAGCATCAGAGACATTTTACAGCCGACAATTGCCTTGCAGCTTCTCTTACATTCCCGCACCGCAGGTCTCAAAAGAAACTGACTGGTGATCGAGAAACGATCCAAACACACGTGTTGGTATGTGGTGTATTTTTGTTCTGTCTCTGTCTCTGTTTCTTGTTTCTGGCTTCTGTCTCTCTGTTGCCCACTCTCCGTTCCCTCTCCCGTTCTGGCTTGCCTTGCAGCCACGCGCTCTCTTCCCGGGTCTGGTCTGGTCTGGTCTGGTCTGGTTCTGGTTCTGGTGCTGGTGGTTGTGTTGTGTTGTGTTGTGTTGTGTCTCTGGCCTGGCTGTCCTTGCTGCGGTACGCGCCCAGCCGCCCGAGGACCGACCAACCAACCAACCAACCAACCAACCCCCCATGGCCGAGGGACGGCTACTGCAGCGAGGTGCTCTGGATTGTCTTTGCTCCACCTGCAACCAAACCGATTTCACGACGTGCCGTGGGTTTAGAATCCGAGAAGAAACAGCCTCCCCTTTCTAGAACGGTCGTGACCTTCTTCTGCCTGCCACCTCCCCTCCCCCTTCTTCCCCCCTTTGTTCCACTTGTCACCGTCAGTCATTGATTGCGGTGAGAGATGAGATGGGGGGGTGTTGGGATCGGAAGCACCCGTGCAGCCGAGCCGGGGAGATCCTCAGGCTCCGAGGGGAGACCAGCACCAGCACCAGCAAACCCAGGCAGAAGAACCCACCCCAGCCTCCCACTAAAACGCGGAAGCTGAGCGGCCGGCCCCCTCCCTTCCCTTGGCTCAGTCCCGTCTGTTCCCTTCGCTCCCCTTCTCTCTGGACTCTTCCTCTCCTGTCAGTTCAGTTCCCCTCCCCGAACCCAGCCTTTCCCCTCCTCGGCCAGCCAGCCGTTCGTTCCCTTTCTCGCCCACTCATTCGCTGTCCACGGGTCGGAGCTGTCTCTCTCCTCTCCCTCTCCCTCTCTCTAACTGCCTCCCCTCTGTCAAGGGGGACAGCAGAGCTAGACCGAACAACAGCACCACCACCACCACACCACGTTGGCTCTGCTTAGTTTGGTATGCGCTTTACCTCTTCCATTATTTCCCCCTACCTGTCTCCCCCCTTCCCATCGTATCTAAATCATGAACCATGATGTCTCCCAACCTTGGCCTTTTTTTTTTTTCCCGTCCTCTCCAGATCTTAGACGATCGATGAGGTCCAGGTCCCGAAGGCAGAGAGAACCCCCCGCTGCAGAGGAGCTTCAGGCTAAGCCCGGGGGCGCCTGCGTTTGCTGTCCTGCCCCAGCCTCCACTTTTCGCCTACTATGATCTGCTTGCTGCTGCTGCTGCAGCGCTGCAGTCATGCCTGCCCTGCCCTGCCCTGCCCTGCCCTGCCCTGCCCTGCCCTGCCCTGCCGTCTTCCCCTCCCACCGCCTTGGACCTTCTGCTCGGTCATGATCGCCCACGTCGGGACTGTCTGAGATTTGGCCCATCGGCTCCCCATTTTCTTTTTTCCCTCTTGGGATTTTTAATGCACTCCATTTTCTTTTTCCCCCTCCCCTACCCATTTGGTCCTTTTTTGCCCTCTTTGGTTTTATTTTATTTTATTATTGGCATTTTCTCGTCCTTCCCCCCTCCCTCAATTTCCACCCTAACCCCGATAATTTCCATTTGCCTTCTTCCCTGGTTCGGATTGCTATTTTTTTCCTGGTTCCCACCGTCTCCTCCCTTGTCCGCCTCCGTTAGTGTACCATCCCTTCCGTTTGACGCCTTCTTATACATACACCTCCACCTCTTCTGCTTCCCTCTTCTCCCCTCCCCTCTCCCCCCCATTCCTCATCATCAACCATCACGACCTCATCGCATTTCTGTTGCTTTTCTCGCGATACGATTATGACCACGACTTGAACGCTTTGCTTACTTGTCCCTTTTTGCCGGTTTTGTCCAGATTAACTCGCCTGTGGTTGTTGACATCCCCCATCTGTAGAGCAGTTATACTGCCCTCGCCTCCCTCCCCCACCACCCATCGTTCTCAACGACCTGCTACGACCTGTTACGACGCCTTACGAGTCCGCTCCCGCCTCCAATCTCGTCGCTGAAGCGCCCACACTGCGCGTCTGCCTCACGCCTTCTGCTTGTGCGATCCGTTTTTGTTGAGGCCTGGAAGACCTTCGACGTTTGATGCTGGACTGTCACGTCGTCTTTCCCCGCTCCACTCTTACGACTTGAAACGAGACCCATGATTGTGTGCTTCTGATTTGGCTGAGCGATTTCTGTTAACCATCCGCAAGCGCTTGTTGTCCTGCTTTCATGGTTCTGCCTGCCACGACCAAGATCCTCGAACCTGTCTGGATTTAGATTTCTGTCTGCAATCACTGCATAGCGATTTTCTCGGTCCAGTTGCGCCTGCGATCTTCAAGCGTCTTACGGTTACGACTTCTCACGAGCTTGCCACGATTGCACATCACTGCATGTTCTGCATTGCCTGTTAAAGCTTCTTTTGTTCGACTCTTGCAGCCAATTGTCTTCTTTGCCTCACCAGTCCGACCTTGCCTCAGTCTTGGTCTATCTTACGACAGAAAACCAGCCAAAACCCTTCCTCGTTCTTTGCGTGTTAACTAACCCCCGATCGTCTGATCACAGACCCAACAAAAGATAAGCAAAAAAAAAAATCAAGCCACCTCCACTTTCTTACGGCACGCCGGACGCATCTTGAGTCCGACGTCCAACCGCCCCCGTTTCTTGCACTTTCTATAGCCGTTACCCCCGCCAACCGAAAAGCTGGAGCTGCCGTCGATCTCGCAGGTCCACACCAGAGGTCCTGTTGATATACCTTGGTACAACCACCACGCCGCAGAAAGGCCTCTATTGTCTGGCGACAAACTCCCGGCTCTCAGTCTACCGACGGCCTCTCAGGCCATCTCGGGTCAGTCCTATCGGACTAGCTACGAAGACCCGTCGGCCCTTGGTTCCAACAACACCAGCGCTCGCACAAGTTTGTCCGGAGTCGCGCCTGTGGTTTCCGAAGCCAGAAGCCCGCCGCCGTCGTCTGCAGACCTCACGGCAGGTGGTCAGGGCCGGCTTTCTTTGGATTCTTCCGCTCCCCAAGAATACTCTTTGCAACACACCCCGGTGAGCGACAGTTACTATCAGAGTCAGACCCCAATTGGCAGCATGAACCAAACACAACCGTACATCGATGTCCACCCCGCGCATCTTTCGTCTGCACAGTCGTATGCATCTCATGCCGCCACTGCCGGAGGAATTGCGCACTATCCGCAATACCACCAACAGCCCCCTGTCCTGCAGCCCGCATCGACCACATATGGACCGGCTAGCTCCTACTCCCAGTACGCCTATCCCGGTGGAGTGACGTCGTCCCAGGCAGGACCGCAACCCCCAACGACGTCGATGAGTGGCGGGGTTGCCGCACAATTGCTTCCCCTACCAGGTAAGTTCATGTCCTGCTGCGCCAATCCTTAGGGCAGCCTGATACTGACGGCACCCCCTTAGCTGTGACAAACCATACTGTAGCTCCTCCAGGATATGGAAACACTACCGGAACTCCTTTGCAGGGATATGTGTACGATACGACCGGTCAGGTCGCTCCTCCTGGAGCGAAGCCGCGGGTCACCGCAACCCTGTGGGAAGATGAAGGTAGCCTCTGCTACCAGGTGGAGGCCAAAGGCGTGTGTGTGGCACGTAGAGAAGGTGAATATTTTGCCCCCTCCGCCCCCGGGCAGCTGATGAGTGTGGTATACGCACGAGGGCGCTCATACTAATCATTAATACCAGACAACCACATGATCAACGGAACCAAGCTTCTTAACGTTGCCGGCATGACGAGAGGTCGCCGGGATGGTATTCTCAAGAGCGAGAAGATCCGCCATGTTGTCAAGATCGGCCCGATGCATTTGAAGGGCGTGTGGTACGACTTCAGTTCTCGCGAAACCCCCCCCATTCCGCTAATGATTCGCATAGGATCCCCTTCGAGCGTGCTCTGGAGTTTGCCAACAAGGAGAAAATCACGGACCTCCTGTATCCCTTGTTCGTTCACAACATCGGCGGTCTGTTGTATCACCCTACCAACCAGAACCGGACGAACATGGTTGTGCAGGAGTCGCAACAGCGACGACTAGAAGGCCCTCAGGCACCCAGAGCATCCCAGGGTCCCCAACCGCCAGCTTTGCATCATCATCACTCCTTGCAAGCCACCGTTCCTTCCCATATGCCTCAACCCCACACAATGGCTACCCAGCCGGGGGGTCGACCATCGCTTGATCGTGCGCATACGTTCCCTACTCCGCCTGCCAGTGCCTCGAGCCTCATCCCCATCACCAATCAAAGTAACTCCTACGATTGGAACAGCCAAGGGATGAGCTCTGGAGTCCCGAATACCCAGCCGCTCTCCATTGACACGGCCCTGAGCAATGCGCGATCGATGCCGACTACCCCTGCCACCACGCCCCCGGGCAACAACCTCCAGGGAATGCAGTCATTCCAAGGCCAGTCCGGGTATGACTCGAAACCGTACTACTCGGCTGCTCCACCGTCTCACCCCCACTATGCTTCCCAGCAACCACTGGCTCCGACCGGCATGGCCTCCTACGGGCAGGCGATGCAGTCCCATCCCTACATCAAGAGCGAAATGGGACCCCCGTCGAGCCGGACGCCCGGCGGCCAGCCCGAAACCGAGACGGCCGACGTGAAGCCGGAACGTTATTCCCAGAGCAACGGCCATGTTGGTAGCAATGGGGGTGAGTCTGTCCCAGAGCACGAGTCGGAGTACGTGCAGCACGACAGCGCTGGCTACAACACCAGCCGCGGCTCATACACCTACACGACCAACCCTTCGGTGGGCAGTCTGACGGGTGATCACTCCCAGCTTACGCCGGAAATCACGGGATCCCCGACCCAGCAGAGCGGCTCTGGCCGGATGACGCCTCGTACGAGCGGCGGCCCCCCGCCCCCGTGGGCCTCGGGATACAGCACGCCGCCGCGTCCCGCCGCTGCCAGTAGTCTGTACAACATCGTGAGCGACACCCGGGGAACCTCGGGCAACGGGACGACCTCGGATAACTACTCCGTGGCGTCGAACTCTGCGTCCGGATACTCGACTGGCATGAACGGATCGCTGGGCTCGAACAAGCGGATGCGTGAAGACGACGACGTGGACCGGATTTCTCGCCCCGACAGCCGCGGCACCGAGTATGATGGCAAGCGCCGCAAGACATTGAGCGAAACGTCCGTCGGTGGACCGGTGGGCGGCGTGCCTCTCGCGCTGCAGCCCATGAAGGCTGGCGGCGTCATGTCTCGTCGTCGGTAGCCGTCCCTCTGAGACGTCGAAGAAAGACAAAACAAACCAAAAGAAAAAAAAAAAAAAGCGAAAATCCGAAGGGAAGACAAAAACGATTCTGTCATAGGTAATCACCTCTCTTTCTCGGAGTGCATTGGGGGCTTTTCCTTTAGTTGCTTTATAATAGACTACACATTCGACACGGCTCTGGAGACGGCGGGCCTAGGCCAGTTTCGCCACGGAGAGAGATGTCGGGAATGGATGGGTGCATTCCTGGACCCGTGTCGGGGCCAGGCTTTCGATCGTTTAATGTCTTCTGTTGCCCCGCGTGTCGGGGCTGTGTGTTATCTGGGTTGCTGGGTCGAGCGAGGGATGGTCAGCGTTACGGTGCTTTTGGTCATCTTGGGGAATGTGTGCGATTGGGTGAACGTTTCTTGACCGGTTATATTTAACGACCATGATGTCACGAATTTCCTTTGACGAGAACTCTCTATACTGTTGTGGCTTTTTTTTTTTTTTTCTTTTCTTTCTCCCTTCATGCATCCAGGGCCGGCCATCGGGTCGGTTGGTCGGGCCCTGGGTTTCTGTGCGTCTCTGTTTTTCATTCATTGTATGGGCATCCAAAATTTTCAATTCCCTGGGTTCTTTCAGACCTATCAGACGTTCTGCCGGAGTAGTCGCAGTAGTCGCAGTAGTCGCAGCATTAGCAGCACCAGTTGAGCAGGATGCTGCTTGCAGTCACGGGCTGCTACTGCCTGAAGACGGTTTCTACACTGTATCTCGCATACTCATACATACTCGCATGTACTATACTATGACATGATTTAAACTCCTTCACGTGGACCTGGAATTCCAACAAAAACAATCCAGACGATGACAGCGGGCATATATGCCAGGATCCGGATGTTAGTTAGGGCTGGCTATCCACCCCCCTCGGGTAATTACAATTGATAGTAGTAAGTATCTAGTAGTAGTAGTAGGTAGTGCTGATCGCTGATCATCGATCATCGATCATCGATCATCCCCCGCATTTACCCCAGACTTGCGATTTGCTACTCGTTACCTGCCACTTGCCAATCAAGTCCAACCCAATTCGTCAATTCAATAGCCGGGCTGTCTGCAGATCGGCAGGCTGGGTGAGGGGCTTATACTCTGTTGGTCTGGTCGCTGATCCGAGGGGGGGGGGGAATCATCCCCGCCCACCTCTTGCGGGTCGATCGCGAAGGGTAGTTCTGGAACAGGGAGGGAAGGAACTGGCGATGCCGGATTGGATTGGATTGGATTGTCTCTGTTCACGAGAAAGAGTTGTCTGGATGACTGGATGACTGGATGACTGGCTGGATGTGTGTATGCGTGTCTGTCCTATCTGATTTCGCAGTGAGGGGGATGCTCGTGTGGGGAGTCTGGAGACAGGGGGAGTAGAAAGAGAAGTAGAGAGAGGAGTAGAGAGAGGAAGAGGAGAGGATTCCGCCCAAACGGGCAACATTCCACGCGGGGAACCTTTCCAAGGGGATGATTGGAGTAAGGCGTTTATTTGAGAGGGGGAAGTGACAGGAGGATGTTTGTGACTTCGGAAGTCATTCCAGAAAACTCAGGATTCGACACGTGGACAGAGATGGTCTATAACATTCAAGAAGGAGCAAAGAATGGGAAAGAATGAATATGAAATCAAATCAGATAACCCCATCCATCCAAGTCACCCTCATCCCTCGCATACACACATAGATACATACAAGCCATCCAACCCAGCCAGCCAAACCCACAACCACAAACCGAGCAACAAGGAAGAAGCAACATGTAATTTTAATCTAACCCAACAGATCAAAAATACAGGAGTAATAGTAGTATCCCCACCCCCACCCAACGCAAGTCAAATCAAGTCAAGTCAAAGACAAACAGTCCAAACCACAAAATCTAAGCCATCCAGCCATGTTTGTTCCACATCTAAACGGAAGGCAAGCAAGCAACCCAAACATCCCATTCAATCAACTCAAACGAAAATATGAAAGTATGAAACTGTGAAAGAAAGCAAAACATCTATCGATGAGATGAATCAAATCAAGGCAACTTCTTCGCGGCCTGAACCTGCGCAAAGATCAGCTGCCAGAGATCAAGCCACTGCTGCTGTTTATACGAGGGGACCTTGTGGGGCTCGCGGAAGGTCGATTGGAGGATATCGCGGATGCGCAGGCTGAGGGTTTTCAAGGCGAGCATGGATTTCCAGTCGCGGATGGAGAAGCGGATGCGGTTGGCGTCGATGGTGATGACGCCGGAGTACATCTGTTTATTATTATTATTATTATTAGAAATAGATCAGGAGAAGAAGAATGAGACGAGGAAAGTGGAGGGTTTGAATATTCATTTTGATGGGGATGGGGGTTGCAGCAGAGGGGGAAAAGGGAGGGGATAATACCTTGAACTCAGCCTCACCACACAACAAGGCAATGGCGAAGTCATCCACGGCGGTGGTCTCAAAGGCGTTGTAGTTCTTGTTGCGGCCCTGCATGATATGGTAATACGAGAGCCATCTGACGGACCCGTCGGGGTGCTTGTTGACGGAGGTCGGGTGGAGAGAGACCGATTGGTTGTTGGCGACGTTGCGCCAGCCCTTGCCGTCGCGGGTCAGGAGTTTCGGGTAGAAGCTCCAGGCGATGACGGAGTTGACGACGGTGTCGTTGATGCTGTTGTGGTCGTATTCGTCTGGGATGGTGAAGAACTGGCGCGAGCGGTTGCTGGAGCGAGATCTGGGGGCGGTTAGTTCGGTCTGTAGTTAACTAGTGGGTGGATGGGGAGACGGACCGGTTGAGGGAGGCCTTTTGAGCCGGGTCCAGGGTCAACAGGCCCGTGTCGGCGATGGAGACGATCAGCTGCATCTTGACGTCTTCGATGTTGAGGAGCGTCTGCGAGCTGAGGAAGTTCTTCCGGCAGAAGGCGTACTCGCTCACCCCGGGCGTGTTGCGCGCGCGTTTCCACGCGCAGTACGCGTTGTACACGGTGAGCAGGTCCGAGTCACCTAGTGGTTGTGAGTGGGAGGATCAATGGTTACAGGGACTGGGGAGCATGGATGCACCTTTACGGAAGGATAGCCGCGCGACGTCTTTCTGGCTGTTGGATCCCATGGTGTTGACAAAGGGCGATTTGGAGGAGAGAATGGCTGCGATGCTGACGGCGGCGTCCAGGCATCGGAAGAATGCGCCATGGATGATCAGCTTCCCCAGGAAGACGTCCAGGGGTAGCTTGGCCAGCTGCAACCCAAGAGGCGTCAGGTTCTCTGCGTTCGTCAGAGCCTTAACCTCCTTCAAGGAGTCAATGGCGCGACGGATGTTCTTGGGCGACGGCGGGTCCAGGGCTTCCAGCAGCGTCGGTTCCACCTCGCCCAGCTTGCAGATCTTGACTCGAAGCACCAGGTCCTGAAGGGACAGTCGCAGCATCTCGGGGGTCTGCTGTTCGGCAAGCTACAGGTTGTCAGTAAGACTGTGTGTGCGACGATTGTGGAACTCATCCATACCAGCTTTTCGTGTCGGTGCTTGGTAAACAGATGGAAGCAGATTCCATTCTGCACACGACCGGCTCGTCCTCGTCGCTGCTTCGCGTTGGCTCGCGAGATGAATGTCTCGACCAGCCTGGAGAGCTGGCGTCGCTCGTCAAACCTGGGCTCTGTCAGTGGAGTTCAACCGAACTGAGCTGCTACTATGCTGTTATACTCACCGCATGCTCTTCTCCTTTCCTGCGTCAATCACGGCAGTGATGTCCGGAATAGTGATACCTGGCACGCATTAGCTCGCTGTGGATACCTACCCCCATGAGGAACGCAATACCTGTCTCTGCAATGTTGGTGGCAATCACAATTTTTCTCATGCCCTCAGGGGGCACAACGAATGCCTTCTCCTGGTCTTCGCTCGCGATGGACGAGTGAAGGGCGTGCACAATCCACCCCTTCTGGAAGATCGGATCAGACAGAATCTCGTCGTTCAGGCGACGGATCTCCGCCATACCGGGCATGAAGATAAGGATCGCTTTGCTGTAGTGCGTCATGTCAGGCGACGATGCGATCTGGACAACCAGCTTCTTGATAAGCTGGTAGTCCAGGCGGTATTCGTCCAGGTTCATGACAGTCTCTCTGGTCTGCTTGGAATATCCATCGAGCGTAGCCAGAAGACCGCCGGGTGTATCGCCCTGGGCCGCTTCGAGCTCGTCGGAATCTTCCTCGAGGGTCACATTCGACTCGTTCTCCAGCAGGCGGTAGTTTGTCATTTCTACGGCATCTTCCAGGAACTTCATCTCCACGGGGAAAGTCCGGCCTGGGATATTCAGCACCGGGACGCCCCCCAGGTAGGTCGAGAAGCGCTGCGCCTCGAGCGTGGCGGACATGAGGATCAACTTCAGGTCAGGCCGCCTCTGCATCAAGCGGCGAAGGACGATGAGAAGGAAATCGCTGTCGATCGAACGTTCGTGCACCTCATCGAGAACAACATGGGTGATGTCCCGGAAGTCGTCCGGACGCTCCAGCATTCGCACCACGACTCCCGTAGTCCTGTCCCAGTTAGCGTAATCCCAAATCAAATCGACAGTGGCTCAGAGCATACGCGAAGACAAGTCTCGTCGACTGACTGACTTTGCTCTCCAACCGGACGGCGAAACCGATGAGCGAGCGCGCCGTGCCGACATCGTTCTTGTTCTCGCCCAATTCCTCGCTCACTCGACGGGCGAGAGAAATCGCTGAGATCCTGCGAGGTTCTGTCACGTAGATTTTGCAGGGATGGCCCTGCATCATCTCATGCTCCAAGATGAACGACGGGATCTGCGTACTCTTACCACTTCCTGTCTCGCTGCAAATGATCAGCGCACGGTGGGTGTCCAGCGTGTGGAGAATCTCATCCCGGAAGTTCCAGATGGGCAGGTTCATTCTGCCTAGGGCCATGTACTGGAACGAGGCAGTGGATGCCTTTTCAGTCCAGATCCTGGTCAGCTCTGCATTAGGTTCGGAACTGTCCTTCATGCTGGGTCCCCGTACAGGGGATTCTGGCTTGCTGGACGTCCCGTTTCGCCTCCGGAAGTTATGGGACAAGACCACATCATCTTCGAAGGAACCGTGATTATCTTGTACGAGCTTCTTCAAATCCCTGACCACCTGCTTGTCGATCCCATCCTCTTGAAGCTTTTTGGCCTCGGCAAATTCGGTCCAGAGTTCCCTCCACGCGGCCGGAAGGCGTAGGTAAGCCTTGCCTTCCTTGGAGCTCTGGGGGAATATGACGAAAAGAGCCAGAGTTGAGACAAAAGCTTCGGCCTGCTGGGAAGTGGGCGTCGCCACCGAGTCCATGGAGACGAAAGTGGCGTAGGCGTTCGAGTTGTGCGTTGTAGTCTCCCATACAAAAGGGAAGGGGGTCTCCTGCGGCTTCGACCATCGAACTTCAATCGCTTGCTTGTTCGAATGTGATGAAGCGGATGAGTTTTTGAATGTGATCTTACACCCCGTATCCCTAGCCACACCTCTTAGCCTCCCTGAACCTCACCTCCAAGCGACCTGTACGACATACCTGGCTTTGCACGTTTCCTCCAGCACTCGTCGGGGGCTCAGCCCCGTCCATTTCCCAAAGTCGCGCATCTTGACGAAGGCTTTGTTTAACTCTTCAGTTAAGACGCCGACCTCCAAGCCGGGCTCCTCGTCTTGGAACATGTCCCCTAGCAGGTCGACGTTTTCCTCCGTGTCGAGCGGTGGCGCGCTGTCGTCTTCCAACTCTGCTTTCTTCTCGGGCTCCTCTAGGGCCGCTTTCTCCTCGGGCTGAACGCGCCGGACAAAAGCAGCCTCTTTGCGGAGGTCGTCGAGTTTGTCCATCCACTTGTATTCGGCCTCGTGCCGGTCAAACAACACGTCATTTTCGATGCTGGCAACCTTGCGTTGGAGCTTCGCTATCTGAGGATCCTGCACATCGGCCTCTACCGGCTTACGGCTTCCTTTCTTGCCCTTCCTGGGCTGGTCAAACAATTCTGGTCGCAGGCCATACAGCCGGGTTTGCAGGTCCAAATACTTCGGGACCAGGGTGTCCGGGTCCAGCGAGCTGTCCGAGTCGTACGGGCTCGACTGGAGAGAAATACTGGGCTCCTTTACTGGGCTTTTGGGCTTTTTCAGTTTGCTATTAGGCGGGGCCAGATTTGGAGTAGAGGATTGTGATGGCTCACGATCTGGTGCCTGTTAGCCATCCAGTCCTTACGGGATACCAAGCGTCTAAGATTACCGGTTATCCAGGAGATGTGTTTATCTGACTCGTTGCGCTGCTGCTGCGCATTTGGCTGCATGTAGGAGGGGAGTTCCTTGGGGGTGCAATGCATCGCGAGCCAGTCCAGGGCCTCGTCCAGGTTGCAGACCACCTCCCTATTGGTCGTGGCGAAATTACCCGAGAAGTAGACCAGCAGGTGTTTCAGCGACTCATTTACTTTGTCCTCCGGGAAGCCGAGTTTGAGGAGGGTCTCTTTGAGGGTCCACAGCCTCATATACAGCTCTTCCTCGGAGATGGGCTTCTTCTGGCCCCCCGCCTCCCTTCCGGGAACGGGGCTGAGCTCACGCTCCTCGTTCTCCGCCAGACTCAGGATGGAGTTCAGCACCTCCGTGGGGAACCACTCTAGCAGATTGATAGAAACGGACTGCTGCCGGAGGACTCGTCGTTCCGTCTCCAGTTTCGTGACCTGGCGGGCGGCGTCACTCCGGCACTTGGAGGCATATTTTTCCACCAGCAGTTGCAGTTCGGCATCCTCCAGGTGTTTCTCGAGTTCCTCGGGGGTATAGTTCTGTAATGACGACGATGACGCCGCCTCTTGCGTGGGCTCTACTGTCGGTTGGGCTCCCTCCGCGGGGGTCGGTCGTTCGCTTTCCGACACCGACTTGGAATCCGCGGCCGAGACGGGAGCGGACGACTCGGCAGTCTTGGGCTTGGAGGGCACGGAGACGGTTGCGAAACCCCGGGCGGGATTGGAGGCAGGCTTCTTCTTTTTGCGGTTGTTTGGTGGCATGATTTTAGGCGAGAGCGGAGGGGAGCCGCACCGTGCGGGTTTGGAGGGGATTCCCTATCTACCAGGACAGGCAGAGAGGACGGGCGGAGGAGAGACCAGATCAGACAGCGATGGCGAGCGTGACTTTATTTTGTGAGCAGGGGATAGTTGAGGTGGGCAGATGGGGGGATCGTTTGAAGAGAGAACAAAGTGTGAAGAAGAGGAGGGAAGTTGAGCGGCGGCGGCGGAGCTTCCCCCACAACGCCGCAAAACTTTTATGACAACATCAGCGGCCCCATTCGTGCCCATTCATTCCTCTTCTGCCAACTCCTCCCCCCCCCAAACCATGCTCCTGGCCACCACCTAACATGGACGATTTTCCATGGGATCAGGTGGACGCAGGCGACCTGGACGGCCTGCGGGTCGTTCTCTTCTCCAGCTCGACTGCTCGCAGAATTCGCGCTCTTCAGGACCTTCGTGAGAGAATTGGTGCGTGCGATCAAAAGCCCAGCCCAGCCCCTCCTCTCGTGCTTTCCTCCCCAGACTGACTCTCGCCCTCTGTTCGGCCCTTCCCAGGCTCCAACGTACAACCACAAACCTATCAGCCTCTCATTGGCCTCCTCTTCAAAACATACCCTCGCTACGTCGATCGCCCGTCTCGCCAGGCCGTCCAGCAATGCCTCCGTTCGCTGCTCAAGGCCCCCGTCTCGGCCGACGACCTGAAATATCTCACCCAGAAACTGCTGGCGGAGGCCGCTAAACCCGCCCTCGCGCCTGGTCCGGCCCTGGTCCTGGCGGAATGGTGCTCAATTGTCCTCCAAATCCTGGCGGAAGATCCCGAGACCCCGCTATCCGCCGTTCTGGACACCATCGCCGTCGACGCAAAGGCCCTAGAAATCTGCTTGGCCTCCAACCCCAAACCGGCCGTGAAGATCTCCGCTCTCCGAGTCACCAGACGCGCCCTCCGGGCCACCTTCTCGTCCGCTACCTGGGGCGATGATGCCGTTCGTGAGTCTGTTCGCCGGCTGACGAGCGACTCGGCTGCGGGCCAGAAGAACGCCCCCTTCCTCGGTGTGATCTCCGGAGTCAGCGCACGGCTTCCGACCAAGAAACCGATCGTTGAGGAGGAGAAGAAGGCGGTCCTCGCATTCTACGTCAAGGAGTTGGTGGGCTCGAAAGCCGCCCCGCCGGCTCATATTGCGGATGGGCTGGGTGACTTCTTCGCCTCTTTCGTTACATATGAGGATATTGCGTCCGAGTTGATACCGCCCTTTGAGAAGTCTATGCTGCGGTCGCCCGAAGTCGTCTTCAGTGGCCTGTTGCCTTCTCTGTGCGCCTCATTGCCGGATGGCATTGACATGTCGGAACTTCTGCATTCTCGCCTGTTGAAGCACCTGCTATCAAGCATGAAGTCAAACAACCCAGTCATTAGACAAGGTGCCGTTCGCTCGTTCGAGTCGCTGCTGTCCAAATCCAAGGACCAGGCCTTACTCATCAAGATCACGAGCGAAGTTATGGGCCCCCTCAAGACTCAGAAGATCACCAATCCGGAACAACGCGCGGTGTACGCCCAGGCACTTGCTGCGATATCGCCTTCGGTGGACCTGTCGAAGGACGTGGTCCAGGGCTTTGTGCCCGTGTTTTCGCGTGAGTCAAACGAGGCCGCTCTGGAGCAGGAAATCAAGTCTTTCTGCAAGCACCTGGCTTTCCTTGTCCAGTCCAACGTGAAGATCAGTGATGACGCTATCAATGCCATCGTGAAGGGATCGTCCGATAAGCGTGTCCCATTCAAGAAGCTTTGGCAGCTCAATGTCAGTGAGGTAATATGGCAAGTTGAACCCTCGACCTTGGCGAACAGTGAGGTTCAGCCGTTGGTGAGCAAGTTCCTTGGCAAGATGAAGGAATTGTACAACGAAGTCTTCGCCAATCCTCTGCCTTCGGCTCAGGGCGGCTACCTGTCAACGGCCCATGTCTACCTGGCCCTTCTAGAGCGCTCATCCGCTGTGCAGAGCTTCGACAAGGCCGCGTGGGAGGAGACTGTAGCGCAATCGATGGTGCTAGCCCCCAAGCCGTCTTTCCTTCTCAACCCAAAGGCGTACTCCAAGTTGACTGCCCAAGCCGAGATCCAGTGGGCCGTGAGAGCCCTAGCTGCTGTCACCACTGGTTCCAAGTTTGAAAAGGCCGATGATGCGGCCAAGACCGCTTGGGCTCAGGCGTTTATTTACAACGTCGTGGCCCCCGGGCTCCACTCGAGTTTCCGGGAAGAAACGACGCGAGTCTTGACGGACGTTCATATGAAGAATGTGGGCAGCATAGGCCCCACGGTCACGAGTGCTCTGTGGACTTGGACCCTGTCTTTCAGAACTGGTGAAAAAGAATCCGCACCAGTCTCTGCAGGACCAGAGAGTCAAAGGTTCCTTCATCTCGTGGTCAAGGCCATCTGCCCCCCTGCCTCTGCTTTGCAGACACTGGAAAACGCTACCGCTGACTTGAAGAATCAACTCATTGGGTTGCTGGTTCTTTGTCGTCCCGAGCTGATTCCCAACACCTCGTGGATCGCGTCTTGTCTTAGAACTGGCACAGACCCCGGTGACCTCGTGCGGGAATTCCCAGACCGGTGCCTGGAACAGCTGACTCGCTTGCAAGAGGTATGCATATTGCTCCAATGGTGACTACATGCGGCTCGAGGATCGCCCACTAACTACTTACAGGACCCCATTCAGTCTCAGGTGCCCGAAATCGATTCTGCGATTTGGAGCGCGGCAGGTGAGCTGGCATTTGTGGCGCCTGATGCCATGGTCCCTCGACTTGCCAGCCAAATCCAGGATGACCTGAACGCTTCGCGCTTGTCCAAGTTCACGGCAACCGATGTTGCCATCGCTCGCACTCCGGAGGGAACCATGTTCGTTGACGTCCTCAGCACAAAGTCGAAACAGTCAACCTTCGATAAGAATACCAAAGACTACGACATTCTAAAGTGGGAGGAAGAGCTACGGTCACAGCTTACGGATAAGAAGGGCCAGAAGCAGAAGAAGCTTACTGCGGAAGAGCAGTCCAAGGTCAAGGCCCAGCTGGCCAAGGAGTCCAAGATCCGTGAAGAAGTCCTTCGGGAGATCAAGAGGATTGAGAGAGGATCTGGAATCATCCAGGGCCTTGCGGATGGGCCCGCCGTCGATGCGGATGGCTGGATCAACCCCGCTGTGAGCTCTCTGCTCTCTCTGACCGAAGCCGGTGCAGGCTTGTTTACTGGGGACGTTGTATCCAAAGCATACATCAAGTGTGCGGAGAAGTTGTCATCGCGCCTCGGACCCCTGCGGCCTTTCGTGGGTATCGCAACGCTGCGAGCAATTGGCAAGAGTCATCTGCCTCTGGAAATGGAAATAGAGCCTCTCGGACAGCTTGTGACCAGAATCCTTTATCGCTTGCGTTTTGCGTCTGAGCAGCGCCCTCTTGATAGCTCGTCTCTAGCCTATGTTCTTCCTCTCCTCTTCCTGGTGCTAAGCCGGAACGGAATCGACGAGCAAAAGGGAGAGGTTGAAGGCGAGCAAGTTCTTTTGGCCATCGAAGTATTGTCCTTCCATTCAGGATCCTTTGCCGATCGACGTCTGCCTCGGGAAGAAGTCTTGAACAACTTGCTCTCGGCGATGCAGAAGTACACGCAACACTACAAGCTCATCAAGGACACTCTCTTCGACTTCGGCAGGTGTATCGCCCCGAACATCACCAGAGCCGAGTTGGACATTCTTCTCAAGGGCACGATCGTCTCCGACGTGACTGTTCGTACATCGGTTCTGCAGGTCATCGAAGCGGAGATTGACCTGACAGACCTTGATTTCTCCGAGCACATTTGGCTGGAATGCCATGACCATGTGGAGGAGAACTCTGAAATCGCCGAAAATATCTGGGAAGAAAACGCTCTTGAGGTCGACGACTCTGCCTTTGGCAAGATTATCCCATACCTTGCCTCGAAGGATTCGCAGCTCAGGGGTGCTGCCGCTCGCGCGTTGGCACATGCGATTGCGACGAACCCGACAGTGTTCGATGATATTTTTGCCGAGCTACAGTCAAAGTACACTGTTGAGATTCAGCCCAAGGCACCCGAGACTGACAGTTACGGAATGCCCAAGAAGATGGACGTGACCGACCAATGGGAGTTCCGCAGCGGTATTGCCCTTGCCTTCGAGGCCATGACCGATCTCTTCGAGGGTGAGCAGATCGTCTCTTTCCTCCGCTTCTTGATCGAGAGGGGTCCTCTCATCGATAAGAGCTCTGTGGTCCGAGCACAAATGGCCGAGGGTGGTAAATCTGTTATCGCTGCGCGTGGCCAGCAGAAGGTTGAGGAACTGATGAAGCTCTTGGAAACCACCTTGGAGACTTCCGATAAGGGAAGCGAGACGTCTGACCTCCTGAACGAGGCCGTCGTGGTTCTGTATGGATCGTTGGCCCAGCATCTGAACGCGGACGATCCCCGCCTGCAGGCAGTCATCAAGCGACTCATGGACACTCTCCCTACTCCGTCGGAAACGGTGCAGTCTGCTGCCTCTGGATGTCTGCCACCCCTCATCCGACTTTCCCGCGCCCAGAGCGGACAGTACGTTCGAGACATGCTTGACCAGCTTCTGCAGTCGAAGAAGTACGCCACGCAACGTGGTGCAGCTTACGGACTGGCTGGTATCGTCAGCGGCAGAGGTATCATCACATTGCGCGAATTCCAGGTCATGTCGCATCTGCGTGATGCCTCGGAGAACAAGAAAGAGCCGCACCAGAGGCAAGGCACCCTGTTGGCATACGAGCTGTTTGCGACTATTCTGGGACGGACTTTCGAACCATATGTCATTCGGATTGTTCCTCAGCTGCTCGCTGGGTTTGGAGATGTTAACCCCGATGTGCGTGACGCCTGCCTCGATGCATCAAAGGCGTGCTTCTCGAACCTTAGCTCTTACGGCGTTAAGAAAATCCTTCCCACTCTTCTCGACGGTCTCGACGACACCCAATGGCGCAGTCAGAAGGGAGCCTGCGATCTCCTGGGAGCGATGGCTTACCTTGATCCTCAGCAGCTGGCGGCCAGCCTTCCTGACATCATTCCCCCGCTCACGGTGGTGCTCAACGACACCCACAAGGAAGTGCGTAACGCTGCAAACCGCAGTCTTCAGCGGTTCGGTGAAGTCATCAGCAACCCAGAGGTGAAGAGCTTGGTGAACGTACTTCTGAAGGCATTGAGTGACCCGACGAAATACACGGACGAGGCTCTGGATTCCCTTATCAAGGTGTCCTTTGTCCATTACCTGGATGCCCCGTCATTGGCTCTGGTTGTGCGCATCCTTGAGCGTGGTCTCGGCGATAGGTCGAACACGAAACGGAAGGCCGCTCAGATTATCGGCAGTTTGGCTCATCTTACTGAGCGCAAGGATCTTATCTCTCACTTGCCAATCATCGTTTCTGGCTTGCAGTTGGCCATCGTTGACCCTGTGCCCACTACTCGCGCCACCGCTTCCAAGGCTCTTGGTTCGCTCATCGAGAAGCTCGGAGAAGACGCTCTTCCGGACCTTATCCCCAACCTCATGGCCACCCTCAAGTCGGATACCGGCGCTGGCGACAGACTGGGATCCGCTCAGGCCCTTTCGGAGGTTCTGGCAGGTCTGGGTACGACCAGACTCGAGGAGACGCTGCCTACTATCTTGCAGAACGTATCCAGCTCGAAGCCTGCGGTTCGCGAGGGCTTCATGACGCTCTTCATCTTCCTTCCCGCCTGTTTCGGAAACAGCTTCGCAAACTATCTCAGCAAAATCATCCCTCCTATCCTTGCTGGTTTGGCTGACGATATTGACTCGATCCGTGAAACGTCTCTCAAGGCGGGTCGCTTGCTGGTCAAGAACTTCTCCTCGAAGGCTATTGATCTCCTTCTGCCTGAACTTGAACGCGGTCTTGCGGATGACAGTTACCGCATCCGACTCAGCTCCGTCGAGTTGGTTGGTGACCTTCTCTTCAGTCTCACAGGTATCACAGCCAAGGCTGATGCCGAAGAGGAAGAGGAGGAAGCCGCCCAAGCCGGACAGTCGCTGCTCGAAGTTCTCGGAGAGGAGCGCAGGGACAAGGTCTTGTCTGCACTGTTCATCTGCCGCTGCGATACTTCGGGTCTCGTTAAGAGCGCTGCCATGGGTGTTTGGAAGGCGCTTGTTGCTTCTCCCAAGATTCTCAAGGATATGGTTCCCACCCTGTCTCAGTTCATCATCCGCCGCCTCGGTTCTTCCAACATGGAGCACAAGGTTATCGCAAGTAACGCATTGGGAGACCTTATCAAGAAGGCTGGAGAGTCGGTTCTCTCGACTTTGCTGCCTTCTCTCGAGGAAGGTCTTCAGTCCTCCCCCGATGTGGACGTCAAGCAAGGTATTTGCATTGCTTTGAAGGAACTTATTGCTTCTGCATCGGTTGAGGCCCTGGAGGATTACGAGAAGGTTCTTATCTCGACCGTGCGCGTGGCTCTTGTTGATAACGACGAGGATGTCCGTGAGGCTGCGGCCGAAGCCTTCGATTCTTTGCAGCAGATCCTGGGCAAGAAGGCTGTCGACCAGGTCTTGCCTCATCTCCTACTCCTTCTGAGAAACAACGAGGACGCCGAGCAGGCACTATCGGCTCTTTTGACCCTCCTCACCGAAGAGACCCGGGCGAACATCATCCTCCCCAATCTCATCCCGACTCTCCTCACTTCACCTATTTCCGCATTCAACGCGAGGGCTCTTGCCTCCCTGGCCGAAGTGGCGGCCTCTGCTATGACCCGCAGACTGCCCACTATCCTCAACTCCTTGATGGACGATATTGTGTCTACTAAGGATGATTCTCTCCTGGAAGAACTGAGCAATGCGTTTGACACCATCTTGGTGTCAGTTGATGAGTACGACGGTCTCAATGTCATTATCAATGTCATGATGACTATGCTGAAGCACGATGACCATCACCGTCGTGCTGCTGCGGCCGTGCATCTCAACAAGTTCTTCTCCGATGCTGACATCGATTACTCGAGGTACCATCAAGATCTGATTCGCGTCCTGCTCATCTCCTTCGGTGACCACGACAAGAATGTCGTCAAGGCGGCGTGGTCAGCGATGAGTGGACTCACGTCCCATCTTCGCAAAGAGGAGATGGAAGTGCTCACCATCCCCACCCGCCAGATCTTGCGGAGCGTTGGAGTCCCCGGGGCCAACCTTCCTGGCTTCAGCCTGCCCAAGGGTATCACCGCCATTCTACCCATCTTCTTGCAGGGTCTTCTGAACGGCACCGTCGACCAGCGTACGCAGGCCGCCCTCGCCATCGGCGACATCATCGATCGCACCGGTGCGGACTCTCTGAAGTTGTTCGTGACCCAGATCACTGGTCCGCTCATTCGTGTCGTGTCCGAGCGATCGGTGGATATCAAATGTAAGCCAATCTACTTCCATCACTCTTAGCCGATTTTTACATGATGCTAATGCACGTCACTAGGTGCTATTTTCTCCACCCTTAACAAGCTCCTGGAGAAAATTCCTCTGGCCGTCAAGCCATTCTTGCCACAACTTCAGCGTACCTTTGCGCGTGGTCTGGCCGATGCGTCTAGCGAGACTCTTCGTAACAGAGCGGCCAAGGGTCTCGGTATTCTGATCACCTTGACCCCGAGAGTCGACCCTCTTATTGCGGAACTCATCACGGGTACCAAGACCCCCGATATCGGTGTGAGAAACGCGATGATGAAGGCGCTTCAAGAGGTGGTGGGCAAGGCGGGTGCAAACATGAGCGAGGCGTCGAAGAATGCCATCCTCACCCTCATTGACGACGATGCCAGCGACCAGACAGACGCTGTGGCCATTACCAACGCCAAGTTGCTCGGCGCCCTGGTCAAGGTTCTTCCCGCAGCCACGGCAGGCCCCTTGATCAAGAACCGAGTCCTTTCGGCCAACCTTTCCCACGCCTCGATCCTGGGACTGAATGCTCTGTTGGTTGAATCGCCGTCGTCCTTGACCGAGAGCTTCTCTGCCGAGACTCTGGCAGTCATCACCCAGGGCCTTACGAACAAGGATGTAAGTTATTTCTGTCCCCATGTTGCGAGAAGAGATACTAATCCGAGACAGCCTTTCATTTCCGACAACAGCGTGCTCGCCGCCGGAAAGTACCTTCTGATCGAGGATGAGCATCATAACTTCGAGGTCAACAAGGCCATCTTCGAGGCCTTGGCTCCTTGCATCCAGGTCGGGACGCCCGCGGACACCCGGCGGTTGACTCTGGTGGTGGTGCGCACGGTTACCCGGCTTCACCCCGAGTTGACTCGGCCGCATCTGGCCCTCCTGGCACCGCCCATTTTTGCCAGCGTTCGCGACGTGGTCATCCCTGTCAAGCTCGCGGCGGAGGCCGCCTTCCTGGCGATCTTCTCGGTGGAGGAGTCCGAGGGAGCCGTGTTCGACAAGTACATGGCCGGAGCGGGCACAGCGCTTGCTCCCGGGCCCAAGCGGAGCATGTCAGATTACTTCAAGCGTGTTGCGCTGCGTCTGGCCAGTCAGGCCCGCGAGCGCAAGGAGGCGGAAGGTGGACAAGGAGGGTTGGGTCTGTCCAATGATGAGGCGGACGACGAGAAGGAATTGTGGAGCATTGGTAAGGTTGAGCTGGACGGGTCGTTTGGAGAGGAGTGAGTAGGTGGTTGGTCTACGAGGTACATGACGTTTGACTAGATCTACTATACCCATGTGTTGAGTGGGGACATATACATGATGTTGCTGAAAGACCGCGGGGGGAGAAAAAGTCGTATGGAGTATGTTTTTTTGAAGATGACCAATGCATTGTATCGATGATGTCTTACAGTTCGCGATGGCCAATCGCGTCATGGATGCGTAGAGGCTCGAACGGGTTTAGCGCCCGTCGGTCACGTGGAGAAGCAACGGATGGAGAAGAAGAAGTGGTGTAAATAGAACCGCGTCCCAGGACAAGATGGCCAACCAGTAGGTAGATGGTATGAATTTTTAACAGGTCAGCACAAGAGATGCCCTGTGGACGTAGCATTGTATCTACGATGATGATGATATCACGTTGCGGCTCCGGGGATGGTTCCCCAGATCGGGCTAGGCGGCTGGGGCACGAGCCCTAAGGCCCTAAGGAGGGTTTGGCGGATCTCGCTTAGCAGCACAGTGGCTTAGCTAATCGGCGGGCGTATCTCAAACTCCTCAGCAGGGAATTCTACCCGTCGTCGAGTGCAACGAACATCATCCGCCAACGACCGTCGATACGCCGTCAAGATGTGAGTGCTCATCTTCGCCTGTTGCCTTGATAGTGCTGCTGGACCTGCTCGACGGGAAATATCGTCCTTCCATGGCTTCGATTCCCCCTTCCCTCGCGGGCATCCACCCACCAGGCGCTTTCGCAGCAGCAGCCCCCCCGACCGGTTTGGATCTCATACTGACCGACTGCTTTTGCACCACAGGGTCAACCTTCGCACCCAGAAGCGCCTGGCCGCCTCCGTGGTTGGCTGCGGCAAGCGCAAGATTTGGCTCGATCCCAATGAGATGAACGAGATCTCCAACGCCAACTCCCGCCAGACCATCCGCAAGCTCGTCAGCGATGGCCTCATCATCCGCAAGCCCGTCACCATGCACTCCCGCACCCGTGCCCGCGAGCTCGCTGCCGCCCGCAGAATCGGCAGACACCGTGGTCTCGGTAAGCGCAAGGGTACCAAGGAGGCTCGTATGCCCAGGTATGCACATCGTCTTCCCCTCGGAGAGTGCACTGCAAGGATTTTTTTTTTTCACCCCCACGGGGGCTACCCACCAACGCCATCATACGCCCGGAAGGATCTAGAATTTGGGGGGGACACTGTGCATGGATGAGTGCTGATGGATATTCGATTAAAGCCAGGTCCTCTGGATGCGCCGCATGCGTGTTCTCCGTCGCCTGCTCGTCCGTTACCGTGCCTCCGGCAAGATCGACAAGCACCTTTACCACGAGCTCTACCACCTGAGCAAGGGTAACACCTTCAAGCACAAGCGTGCCCTCGTTGAGCACGTAAGTTCCGCCTCTTGCTATTGCTGTTGAAGAGATGGGTTCTACCACTTCGTGGCCCCCGCATGAATTAGAAAAGGGGCTGAAGGGGCGACCCCGCCCCATGGAAATGTGAACATCGCGACTAACGTGGTCTTTTTTTCTGCACCCTACAGATCCAGAAGGCCAAGGCCGAGAGACACCGTGAGCGTGTCCTCAAGGAGGAGATGGACGCCAAGCGTGCCAAGAACAAGGCTCTCCGTGAGCGCCGGTTGGAGCGCAAGGAGGCCAAGCACAACGCTCTTGCCGCCGAGCCCCAGGAGTAAATTTCCTCAGTTGACGAACTTTGGCGGTGCGGAGGTTGAAACGGGGGGGAATCGGTCAGCCCACGGGATCAGGTCGACCACTCCGTTTTCGTTGCCGGTCTGGCTCGGTGGCTTGATTCATCCGGGACGGTTTTTTCTCTGGATCGTATCGGGAACCTGGAACGGGGTTTGGGATCAGGATCAGGGACATGCATCATCCTCATCCCCATCTCTTCCCCTCGGGGGAGAGCATGTGAAAGGACAACGCAAAAAAGGAAAAAGACCTACTCTTAAAGCAAAACAATGGCATGGCGCTTTGTGTGATACGAAATTTCCATTTTATTTCTTCTTTATCCTCCCGTCCGTCCGTCCGTCCGTCTTTCTTCTTCTCGGTCCTCCGTCTCGTCCCATCCCATCCAATCCAGCGAACACCCACCCCCGGATGTTCCTTCCTTCCCGGCTCCAATCTTCCCCCATGCGCCCAAAGCTTAGCTTCTTCTGCCTTGTTGAATAATTAATGTCGTAACGCGTCCTGAATATCACTTGGAGGGTTATGTTCGGTCAAAAGTCAACTCTAATAGTCCCCTCCCCCGTCCCCACATCGACATCATTAAATCTTAGTCTTGCAGGTGCCAGGTGGGTATTGGATCGACTGCATAGCATTGGCCATGTCATGTCCTAATATTATTGTGTCAGGCGTCTGGCTTATGTCCCTCCTGGGTAGTACTTGGCGCCTCTTAGGAGACAAATCAGCCGTTGTTCTCCACGCCCGATCTCCGCGTTTTTCTTGCCTGGGTGTCTGACATCGTACCCAGTATGGCTGGGATGGTAGTATCTATCTATCTATCTATAAATCTACATCTATCATTCCATCACAATAATGTCAACGTCAGTGAAATGTCACTGAGCATATCAATTTTCACAAAACGGTTGAGTGCTGATTGAAATTGTGGATTTTCTTCCCCGCCTACCTGCCTTGATGCCTCAGGCCTGAAAATTTGTTCAATTTTTTCCTCTGCATGAGGTGTGATGTCATGACAATCAATGGGTGTGAAAACTCACGACTTATTGTTAAAATGTCACCGGGTAATCTATTATCTATGTACTTTACTGGTGTATATTTCTGTATTTGTGTATCCAGCATGGAATGAAAATTTTGTCTTGCCAACGAAATAGCCTGGAGAATTGCTAGGTGTTGAGCGGCTACTAAACTGAAGTAACGGTCGTAGTATATATATCATATCCCGGGGTAGATTCTATAGTAGTATGGGTGGGGAATCACAAGCACTAGTAAGAATATCTATCTATCCTTGTTCTTTTGAATAGCAGCTTGGCAAAAAATATATTTGCTGGTTCTTAACACGTAACTTAACTTATCACACTGCAATTTACTGGATCTTATGGGATAAATGTAGATAGATATCACTCATCCATCCATCCATTCATTCATCCATATCCCCACCAAAGAAAAGCACCTATCATACACACACAGACAAACAGACAGACAAACAGACATAGTACAACCCCACCAAATGAACACCATCAAATGCCAGCAACAACAGGCAAAATCAAAATCAAAATAAATAAATCAAAAGAAAACAAAACACACCAGATCCAGATCCAGATCTAAAATACACAAACCGCATGTACGTTCATTCCTTCCCAAGTCATGTTAGAACAGAAGTGCCATGCAAAAAGAAGACAAGGAGGAGGAAAAAAAACAAAAATAAAAACAAACATAATGGTTCGTGTCATGTGTCTCGTGCTTTTTCTTTTCCATACGTCGTAGAGGTTAGTGTGGTTAGTGGGTGAGGAGGGAGAGGGAGGTTGGGAGATATGGGGATTGGGAGGTAAACAGATGGGTGTGTGTATGCGGGGAGAAAGCAGTAGCAGTAGTTAAGACAGGAAGTAGTGTCTCAGGTTCTGGTTGTGTCGTGTGGGTGCTCCAAATCAATTTTAGTAGGACTACGGCGTGGCATGGCGATGAGGGGGACATTCCAGGTCGAACGGGTCACTTCTAGTGCTCAGTCTGGCGACGGGCTCGCTGGGATCGCAGGACTCGAGCTCCGCCACGGTGAACGGGTAACTGAGTCTCTGGGTCTGCAGGCTGCTGCTGGCGCTGCTCCGGCCCGGGAGAATGAGGGTGCTGCCCAGACTGAGGTCGCTGTACATGGAGTTCCACGCAACAGAGGCGGGACGTTGCGACATCTCTGGCTGTCGCGACAGCGTAGTGGTGGCATTGCCGACGCCGTAGTAGGTCGGGGCAGGATCGGCGAACGGATCGCGAAGTATGCCCGCTAAGCTGGCGACACTTCCTCGGGATCGGGAGACATACTTGGCCTCTGCAGAGTCGGTGAAGGGGTTGGATTGTGGTAAGATGGGGCTCAGACGCGAGGAGGCCCGGTTGGTCTGGTAGCTGTCTTCGGGCTTGGTGATCGGGACCGCAATGTGGCTGGGGAGTGAGTGGGTGGAGGAGGCATCGGAGAGGAAGGACCCTCGAGACTGATACCCTTGATGTGAGGCTGCGGAGGAAGTATCGGGGTGTCCGCGTCCGTGTCCGTGTCCGTCTTGCAGGTGCTCTTCACTCGTGCCCGAGGCCAGTCCGCCGTGGAGATTGCGTCGTTTGTGGCGGAATAGAAAGTACCCGATTGCGAGTGCAAGAGCAACGAATGCTACTCCGCCGAGGACGCCACCTAAGATGGTGCGGAGAGGTGCGCTGTTGCTGCCGTGATCAGATGTGTCTATCAGACCGTGGGGCGAGGTATTGTTGGAGGTCACCGCACGCGTCGTCGTTGATTCCGCAATGAAGAGATCCGTACTGGAGGACGCTGAAGTGAGAGATGTAGACGTAGGAGGGGCTGCAGTCGTTTCTGGCGCGGCGGAAACTAGCAAATGAGTCGAGGAGGCTGAGGTGGATGACTGCGGTTCGTGGGATGTCGCGCGGGTCGACGACGAGGCTGGCATGTGAAGATGGGGGCCATGTTCCGTAAAAGAGAGGCGGAAGGCGCTGGGCGTTCTTAAAACGGTGGAGGCAGTGCTGGAGGCAACCAGGGGCTCAGCAAAAGGGGGCAGTAATGACTGTGGAGTTGTTGTAGTAGTAGTAGTTGTTGTTGTTGCGGTGTCCAAAGGCGTTGGGAGCCATGTGTTTGATGCGGGAGACTCGGTGGCTGCGGATGTCCCGATCGAGGTGGTGATTGAGGTCTGAGACGCGGCTGAAGTCTGGGACGTAACTGAGGTCCAGGTCGCACTGGAAGCCAACGGCAAGACCGAAGGCACGACGTCGTCCGAGTGCCGCGGGGCTTTTGTACATCTTAAACCCTGATAGACGAGGATGGAAGACGTCGACACGGACATGTCGCCAAGCCCGCAGGCCGGAGGACGCGACTGGGCAGTCTGCTAGTAGATGCGAGAAGGGACGGAGTGGGAAGCCAATGTTTGCTGCATGGAGGACCAGGTATGATCGAAAAGAACGAAGGAATCCCTGGGTTTCAGGCGGGAGGGCGCGTAAAGAGCGGTGGCCCCGAGGCAATGGTGGTTGGGAGATGGTCCTCGTGGTGGTGAACGAGCGACTCACAAAGGAATGGAAGGGGGAATACAAGGGAAGAAGAAAGCAAATCCCAACATGCTACTAAGACGGTCGTCTCATTGCTCTTGTTGCTCTCTACCGGGAGGAGAAGACCGACAGGCCATGACAGCAGATGTCAGAGGCGATGGCCCGGCGGGAGGGCGCCTGTTTCAGGCCGGCGCTGGTGAAGCAGAGGGCCAAAACGTGAGATGGATGGGTTGAAGGCGTAGGGTACGTGGTGTGTGCTGTGAGGAAGGGGCCATGAGAAAGAAAAGGGACACCAGGGAAAAGAAAACTACCAGGGGGGTTTCTCGGAGATAAACAAGGGAAACCGGTTGTGTTTGGCCAGGCGCTGAGTCCAAGCTCCTCCGTGCCCTACATGGGCCGGTGCAGAATAGACGCAGGGGATGCGAGACCGTTGTCGAGCCTGGGATGAAACCATCGCCATCTCAGACAGGCCAAGACAGCCAATCTACTTTGTACAGTCCATCAATATTGCAGGTCGGAGGGAGGGAGGGAGGGAGGGGGTTAGACGCCTCCCCCCTAGCGTGACCTAGGAGGAGAGGGATGGGAGGGGATGGAGAGAAGAGATGGATGGGTGGGGCCGGTTGGTCAGTGGTCACATCATGAAGAAAGTGTCTGATGGAGTGTTTCATCTGAAGAAAGACGATGGACAGATGGATTGGGTGGAACAAAATGGATCCTGGATGAATGAATGTGAAGAAGAAGAGAGAGTGAATGATGGTTGGTTCCATGACGAGGAGGAGGAGGAGGAGGAGGGTATGATTGGTGCAGCCATCATCGACAGGTTGCACTAGTCCAAAGCAGGGTTAGTGCCGAACTGCTATCTGGCGCCGTCTGAGTCAGCAGGCACTTGGCCCGATCGGGCGGCGACCATCTTTTCGGGCGGGTTTTTGGCTTTGGCCGTTTTACGTTTTGCCTCTGGAGATGGAGATGCGATTAGAGTTGCAACAGGGACTGAAGAGATGCAGTAGTCCTCTGTCCTTCTATCCTCCATGCAGTGACTGATACCATCAGTCGGCTTCAACTTGGTTTGTGATGTGATGTGATGTTCAGCACATTCCCAAGGATCGGCCCAAACTCCACCCCCCGTGATTGTATTGTTGTTGTATTGTCCCTGAGTGTCTGGGGGAAAAGAAGGGCCAGTCGGTTACGTAGGGATCGGATGCTGGCTCTGGATGACCCCAAGAATCGGGACACTGCTGGACAGCCATGGTTCCTCGGCCTTCGAAAGTTCCCCAAGGTTTCCTTCCCCCCCGCAGCAGAAGGCAAGAGGCGACAAGATTATTGTTGAGGAAGAGATATCCACCGGCTGCTGGACGGAGAATGAGAGAATGAGGAAAGGACCAACTACTGCCTGCTACGACTAGACGACGACTACTAGTGACCAGGGAGCGAGTCTCTCCAGCCATCCAGCATCCGCCATCCTCGATCGCCTTTTCCCCTCCTTCTCTCTCTCTCTCTCTCTCTCTCTCTCTCTTCCTCTCTCTTCCTCTCTCTCCTTCTTTCTTCCTTCTCTCCTCCTCCTCCTTATCTTTCTCAATGCATGACTCCCTCCCTCTCTCCCATCCCAGCCAACCATCCTGTCATCCCATCTAACATCCAACAATCAATCATTCAATATCCAACACTGGGCTGGCCCGTTTCTATTCAGCCTCCCCACGCTGGTTGATTTATTGACTCCCCCGTCAGCCGTGCATCTCCACCCTCTTCCCTTCCCCTCCCCCCCCCCTCTCTTCCTCCACGATCCCATGTGATCAACGACTTCGCCTCCTTCCTAGTGCTGAAAGTCGTGGTTTCCATTACAATTGCGCCTCTTTGGGTCGGGTACCCGTTTGTCTTTGCGCATAGATCCGCGTCGAGGGATCTAGTAGGTCCGCCGTCATGTTTGGTTGGTGCAATGTGTTAGGTAAGGCGTCCCCCGCACTGTCCCTGGCTTATCCTCATCCTCTCGTGCCTTTGCCTCCCCTCGCCTGCCTCTTCTCCTATGTCCCCTGGTGGCCCCCATCAGTCCTGCAGACATGTTCAGGGACGGTGATACGAAGTGGCTGGCACACAATCGGTGCTGTCATGTGGTGGTGGGTGTTGGTGGTGTTGGTGGTGTGATGCCAGCCCCCCTTCCCCGGCCCCCCGGTCGCTCCATGGCCGAATGCCTTGCCCAGACTGGTGCCTGAATTTCCTTTCATCAGCCATCCATTGCCTCATGACATTCAGGCACTCACCCTCGTGGCCCTGACTCAATGGATCATGCTATCCAATCGGACCTGTCCCAATACTGACTTTCGCTGCTGCTGCTGCTGCTGCTGCTGCAGGCCTTCCCTCAGTGAGCTCCGAGCCTGAGAAGGAACGACCTCCCCCTCCTCCCCCCACCCCCCTAGATTTCCCCGTCTATCACCTGCCCGACATCTCGGATAAGAACCCAGAAGAATCCCTGACGCAGCTCAACGAAGTTCTGGGCTCCATCAAACGCCCCTCCGATATCAACCCTCAGAAATTTGAGGCGCTGAACCTGAAGCTGGAAGAGAATGTGCCGGCCGCGCGGATCGTTCGCCAGAACGGGCCAAACACAGCCCCATCGCTGCCATGGGAGAACATGTCTGCCCGGTCGTCCCCGGTGGATGAAGACGGCTGTCCGATTCTGATGGACAATGGCAATCCATATCCGTCTCGGGACCGATTCGAGGTGCTGCAGAACGAACTCCTGCTGGACAACGATGATGCGTTCCGCGAGGTTGGCAGGCTGGCTCCCCGTGAAGGCCGCGAAAGGGTCCGTGTCACCCAAACAAGGAAGTTCTGGACTGGGCTGGAGCGGATGGCCCAGTACTGGGACACCAGCTTGGACAACTACTATGAGCGCCCCAAAAACCCCCCGCGACATGCACCGGTCCACGAGAGCGAGGACAGGATGCAGACGGATGAAGAAGACCAGCCGGAGACATCCATGGATGTAGACCAATCGCCGCCAGGACAGAGCTCTGCCGAGAGCCCCAACTCGCATTCGGAGGAGCATGAGGAAATGGTCCGGATGTACAAAGGTCGCCGCCTGGGGACCGGGAATGAAATGCCGGATGAGGTGCGCGACGAGACCGTCCGGGCTCTGACCGAAATGGCGGCATGGCCCTTTGGCTGCCAGGCGGCGCTGCCTATCTCCCCGCCTCGGTTGGCCGTCAAGAACTTGCTCTTTCCTGTCCGACACACCTTCCAGGCCGCACGCTCCCCCAAGGACCGCCAGCTAGCACGAAGCGGTGTCATCGAGGGCCCTGTCTTCGCGGCTCAGTGCCGTCCCGAGACCACCTTCCGGGGACCACAGAATTCCCCGGGCTCTGGCCTGGGGGACGTGTGTGACCTGCTCCGCGAGGTGGGTGCCATGCTTCTGACAGCCCAGGAACGGGGAAGACAGGGACTCACCGAGGTGCGGCCGGGCGAAGGCAAGTGGTGGACAACGGTGCCTCGGTGGGGTGGCGCTCCCAATGATACGGTGGGCGATGATCACAAGGACAGCAGCGAGGAGGACAAGCCGGCCTCGGAGTTTGGTAACGCCCGCAAACGCTCCAAGTACGAGCATCCATTCCTGGCAACTCGTCGACCAAGCGCCGGGCGGAAATTGAGTAACAGCGAGAAGTGGAAGCTTGTGCAGCCCGGGCCTAGTCTCTGGGATAGGCGGATGAGGTATATCCAAATTGGCAAACCGTTTGACAGTCCGTTTGACGACGTAAGTAGTTGTGCTCCCGAATGTACCCGGCTGGGCTGACGATGGCAGATCTACATGGTATCCTCCATCAACCATCACCTGGCCATCCTCCACTTGCGCGTGCACCGACGCTATCTGGAGACCATCACCAAGGGATCAAGCACCTTCCCCCCCGTCACCGACAGCCTGGACCAGCCGTGGTATGTCCTACAGCTTCGGCGCACCAAGTGGTACGACCTCTTCGACGCGCAAGATCGAGTCGAGGTGTTCAAGGGCATCTGGGGCATCCTTCATTATCTTCTGCGGCAGCAGCAGGTGACTGCGCTTTTAAACTGACACGTTCTGATTGCTCGATATACCTATTTGCTTCTTGGGTTCTGATTTTTCTAGACGACCAAGGTCCATCAACGTCTGGCATCTGCATGGCAATGTATGTGGTACACTGAGTGGCAAGGCTCTCTTAGGCGGGTCGCATTGTTTTTCTTTTCGCATCTTCAGGCATCTTCACGGCCCGGAACCGTGGCAATGCATATAGAATGGCATACCTACTACATACGTTGCGGGTTACACAAGGCTACTCGACCTTGGGAAATCAACTCTATTCTAGGAAAGGCAATGCCAGTCCCCTCACCATCGTCGGGTCCAGTGTTCGCGCTGCCCATGTCCCTGTAGCTATCCGGATCGTCACAACGGAGGTGCATCTGCTGCAGCATGCAACCACCACTGCACCGGCATGGGGAACTGCAACAAGCGACCGAATCCGGTAGGTCTAGCAGCATTGACAGCCTTCAGCCATCCCCATCCGGATCTGTACATACGCCCGCCCACCTCCCTCCCTCCCTGTACCTGTACCTGTACCTGTATACTGAAAACTCCACGACCATCAGCACGGAGTCCGCCGTCACTCTTCTGCAGCCACTGTAGCCACTATACATACGTACATACATACATACATCCCTACCTACGGTAGGAACGGCACACAAGTGACTGAATTTCAATCCCAGCCAGCCCACACCACCCACCACCAATCACCACCACCACAAATCAAAGCAATCTGACACGTAGGTACCTACCTATCTCTAACACACACACACACATGCCTAGAGAGCAATGACCAAGCCCGAAACAAAAGCAAAAGCAAAAGAAAGAAGAGAAGGTCGGTCCTTTAACACGGAGTACTGTGGATAGCTGAGTAGGTAGGTAGAATACACCTGACATGCATTAGGTTGTAAGTGCAGTAGTGAGGCAAACCCAAACTTCCATTTATTCATTTATTCCACCTAGGTAGGTAGTCAGTCATCTCCCTCCCTCCCTCCCTAACTCTGTAGGTACTCTACTCTACTCTACCCCAGTAAGTAGGCAAGTAAGCACACAAGCCAACCCTCGGTTTGTCCACAATTCGGAAATTCCTAAGTAGCTTCTAAGTATATAATGCACCATATAGGGAGGGGGTAAGGCTAACCAAACCACTTCACCTCTCTCTCCCTCTCTCTTTTGTACGGAGTACCTATCTATCTATGTATATCCAATCTCCCTCTCAGCCGTGCCGCCCGACAATCCACCAAAAAAAAAAAAAAAAAAAAAAAAAAAAAAAAAAAAAAAAAAACACCCCATAAATTGGATTAGCAATTCGGCATATCCGTCAGCGATGAGGGAGGGGAAAGGCAGAGGGGGGGGGGGGGGGGTTTCCGAACAGGTATGTACAGTAGGATTGTAGGATTGCAGGATTGATTGTAAGGCAGGAAGGATCAGAGGTAAGGTGGTATGTACGGTAGGGCGAAGGCGATTGCGGCGCTCGGGCCGCGTGCGATCACTTGATCGGGCGGGGGTGATTGGTGCATCTGGGGTGTATGTTCGCATGGAAGATTTGATGATTGATGCGGGTGGGAGGGATACATATACTACTTACTTATTTATTTACATGGATATACATGTCGTTTGGGGGTTGGGGGTGGATAGGTATTGTAGATGGATGGATGAGTGGGTGGGTGGGTGGATAGATGTGTGAGTGTCTGTGTGTCTGTGTGTCTGGGTGGGAACTGTAGGTAAGTAAGTAATTGTTAAATTAAAATAGATGGGTCGATTCGATTATCTACTGGAGAAAGATGGTTGCATACATCTAGTCTGTTAGACTGTTCTGGATATCCAGGGTTTTAGGTATGGATGGATGTATGAGTTGGGTAAGGTAAGTAAGTACGTTACCTCTGCATCAATCTTACACTGCCGCACTCAGGCACGCACATGCACCAGAACCATTTCAAAGCAACATGACAGGCCCTCGCGCTTCTCGAAGGAGAAGAAGAAAACGAAGAAACTCAACCTAACCTTCAAGCTCCTGCCGCATCGAAAGTAAATCTAACTGGACCAGAGGGTCCGTCATGATGGTTCGCCCACCCGTCTTTCGACCTCTCCCGTCCGCCGTCCGCCATCCGCCACACAACCACATCCATGGTACCACCGTAAGTAAGCGCCAAAGTAGGCGACGACGAGCAAAAGGCAACGACCGAGCTCAGCCCTTCTCGATGCGATGATAAGATCCAAAGAAAACATATCGAGGCGCGATTGATTCCTTCGGTAGATGCGGGGAGCCAAGTTCAACCAGTCAGATTGCTCGTGGAGAGTGAGGCAGGCTCCCTTTCGCTCTCTTTGTCTATACTTATCATTTTTTCCCTCTCTCGGTTAGAAGACTGGTCTACGATGGCACTGCGCTTTGCTCGCTCGCGCTCGCTCCTTGCCTGTCTATCTATCTATCTATCTATCTATTTGCCTATCCGACTATCTGGCCGTTGATCGTTTGATCTATGGGGTCAGGTCACTCACTTATTGAACTACAAGTAGGAAAGTAGGTGACTACATACATCGATGTGCGAAGCTATGTATTTGTATACCTACCGTACTGCGTATACTTGCAGATACTGTACACATGTACCACTTAGTACTTACTTATTACTTACTACCTACCTACCTACTAGTAGGTAGGCAAATCCTGGGGCCGGAGTTCTTCTCCGAGGGTGGATTCATGTATGTATGCAGGCGCAAGTGCAAGTAAGTACGTAGCACACAGCTGCTTCGTACCTGCTTTCTGTCATGAAGAGAAAGGGGGATGGATGGATGGGCATGATGCAGCCCCCGCTTCCTTTGGGATTCTTCTTCTTCTTCTTCTTCTTTTTCTTGTCTCTCTAATGTACCTAGGTAGTACCTACTTGGTGCGTAGGTAGTCTGTACATATATGTATGCCATAATATGCATATATACCCCGTTCATACTACTTTCATATCGATGTACATGTACATGTCAATGTATTCTTAGCTATGTACATATTTATAGTAGCCTAGATATCCTCATACTCTAGGATGTGCCGTGTGTACACCATGGCTATTAGCAAAAGGCCATCATCACTGTAACGTCGTCTGGGTCTCTCCTTTAGGATTAATCACTAAGGAGAGAGACTCAGTCCCAGTGCCCAAGACACTGGTAACTAATGAGTGGGTCAGCCTGTCAGCCTGTCAGGATGCAAGCAAGTACTATCTACATAGTACATACGTAAGTAGGGAGGGGAGCTGGTAACTACCACTGCCACTACCACCTAGATACCTAGTAGAGGGTCCCACCATCCCTCCCCAGCTATTCCATACATAGTCTACTCCGTATACAGAAAAATTACCTCCTCAGAACAGTAGTAATAGACTCTAGTAATCCAAACACATGGCTGCTGATCAGGGGAAGCGGATGGCACACAGGCCAAGTCGGTACTTTTGCATCCGAGACATGCCCAAGGGAGTAAATGGTAGAACGGGATGCTGGGTTGGTCGACAGGCTAGGGACTAGTACCTCCGTCGTACTATGTCTGAGAAGGCAGTAGGTACGGAGTAGATAGATACTATCTCGGTGGTGGATTAGTATAAGATTAGGAGGAATCGAACCGAGTCAGTGCCTGCCTGCCGACCGGCCGGCCTTCCCCCCCCCCTGAAATTTAATCTTCATGGTGGTGGCGGCGGGAATGGAGTGTTATTAAAAAAAAAAAAACAGATTCGGTATGGCTTGGGGGAGGAACTAGCCCGGGCGGGTGGATGGGCCGAGACAGGACCTAAATAATAACAACAACAACAATAATAATAATAATAATATAATCAGTCCGTCAACAGTCGGTCTAGGTGAGTAAGTAGGTAGGTAGGTACTTAGGTAGATCTTAAAATAACATGGCAGAGAGTGGTTGGTACGGAGTAGATACCTGGTTAGATAGATAGATAGATGGATGGATGGATGGATGGCTGGCTGGCTGGCTGGACTCCGCACGCGTGGCTCCCCGTCGTATATGTGCCCGTTTCTGATACAGCATGGATACCGGGATGGAAATGTATCCTCCCCGTCTCCGTACCGAGTATCGAGCTGGATCTTCACGCTCTGATCATCTTTTTTTCACTCAGCAGTCAGCACTCTCCAGCCCATCTAAGGTAGGTAAGTATTTACTGTACTCCGTACAGTACATAATAGTATTCACCCGGCCGCTGAGTTCTGGGGACGCTTTGTCCAGATGCTGATCCTCGTAAATTGGCATCTCCGCCATGTCCTACGGGGATGGCCATTGGCTCCCCGCCTCGGGCACGGTGCCATGGTGTTGTATAGATAGCCGGTGGTTTGTTTCCCACGGTCGAACTTCCGATTTTGGCCTTTTGCGGCCAAAACCAGCCAAGGGGGGGGGGGGGGGGGGGGAAGAAAATGAAAGCGAGAACTAATGATGAAGACGGGACACCCTCCCGTCTGTCTCTATCTAGTCCCCAGACCAGATCTCCTTCAATGCCCGTCACGCGACTGGGTGTCAGCGATCGCATCGGATGGGATGACTCTCCACCACATACTACCTACACTAAGTTTCTACGAAGGGCTAGAGATATTACTGCGGGGGACTGCAACAACGCCAATGCATATGCAATATGACAGGAGTCGTCTTCGTCAGGGAGACTTTGAGAGCATTGTCTCTCCTGTTTCCAGCAACAAATAACAAATAACAAACAACAATTGTCTGCTTTGTACATACTCCGTACGGAGATGTATGTATGTATGTATTACTGACATACATACTGTACATGCGCATGTACGTCAGAGCGGACTCCCCCGTCCGTCCCCATACATGAGATAGATGTAAGCAAGCAAGCAGACAAGCAGACAGGTAGGTACCTAAGTACGATCCTCCCCACCCGGTTCCCTGTTAGACTTCTCGCGCCGTGCCGGAGTTGCTCGGCGCGTGAGGGCCCTGGTCGCAAAAAGGAGGTTGCGGAGGGTTCCAGACCAGTGGGAATGTGATCAGTCCAGTGGCGCCCAGGGAAATAACACGCGCCCGGCCGGCGTCACAGTGGTGGAAGGCTCGCCGCCGTCTGTCTGTCGCGTGCGAATCGAATCCCATTGTCGACCTGACACCTGGGGGGGATGTACTTACATAGGTACTGTAAGTGTAATGAATGTATGTGCTCCGTACATTGATCGAGAATGGATCGATGCCGATGGCGTTGCGATAATGACCACCACAGAAAGTGGAAACATGTCAAACAGCTTCCCGGGCCCGTCACCGCGGCCCGTCCAGCAGCAAGATGGCGGTTCGTATTATTATTATTATTATTTTTAAATTCTTCTTCTTCATCAATCCCTGCCTGGCGCCTGGAGTAAGTAGATAGTAGTAATGGAACGGACTCCTGGGGCTTTACTGGAGGGCTGGGTGAAACCGTCTTGCCGTTTGCACACAGACCATGATGGGCACTGTTGGTGCCCGAATGGTCGCTCGCCCTGTGTCTGTGCATGGGCTAACTAGCGTTTACAGCAGGAGAGACTGGCTTACTTCTGACAGACAGACAGCCCATACGGAGTACCAGGTACCAGCAGCTGAGGGAGGGGATGACAGCAGCAAAACAAGGAAGCTGTTCTAGGTCCTCCGTGGGAATCAGCCAACCCCCCCCCCTCCCCTTTCCTTAGGGTGGGTGGTTGGAGATTACGCAGCGCAATTCCTGGACATCGGGTTCCTCCCTTGGTCCTGGTCGGCGATTCGGGATAGATGGACTCTCCCGAGCAGATGGGTAGTAGTTGTTATAGCGGTACTCCGTAGGAGGAGTAGCACTACCACTATCTACCACTGCTTCTCAAGTAGGACCAGAAAGGGTAGTAAGCCGAAGAGGGCCTCGGGGACCTCCCGCAGAACCCCAGCGAAACCTGGAATCTGGATCATCAACTTACATACTGTATCTATCTACGGAGTACTCCTTACTACTTACTACTTTTTACTAGATAAGTAACACATGGATGGAGCACTCGGAACCTGCAGATCCCCATGCGGTTAGCGCGTATGCACGCTTCTGCCCCCCCCGAAGACCGTCCTTACCTGCAGAAATGCTACTTGCTCCATCGCAGCAGTGTAGTACTACCTTCTAGTCGGTATGTATGTAATGGACATCACGCAAATGTTTTCGAGACATCCAACGCCCTTGGTTCTTCATACGAACTGTGGGTTTTCGACGATGTGGGGAGTTGGGGTGGTATGTGCGCCCTTTTTCTTCCTTCTTTTTCCCCCATCCCCCAGCCAGGATGGTTTCATAACGTCGAAGACCATCCAACATCACGTAACCCCAGGTAAGCCGGGAGGGAATCATGACAATCCCAATACTAACATCAATACTAATGCATACCTGCAGTTGCGCCCCTGTTGCACAGAACTCGTAGGACGAAAGCCCTCAATACTGCACGAAAGGGGCACACTGCACATGCAGGCAGTAAGATTGGGAGATCGGTTCCTGGATTCCCGACTGCGTATGGAGTCCCTAGGCCATCGGTCAAACCTTCTCACCTCCTCGCGTACCCCAATCAAAGCAATCGAACCGTCTGGTAGCTCAACCGATCGCTCCTCGATAAGGTTGGTGTAGGAAGTTAGCCGAAAGCCTGGGGGGGTGGGAGGTATGGAGTGGCATGAGACGAATCGAATGAAGAGAGGGAGGGGGGGGGCAGGGGCCGCACTAGATATCGAACAGGTCATTATGCACTCATGATAAAGATTCTTTCGCCACTTGACTCCTCTCTCACCAAGGGATTAGGATTAGGATCAGGATCCGTGGGAAGTGGGCAGTGGGCACGGCACTGGACCGGTATGAACCAAGATGCCCAAGATAGATCCACGTGGAGGGTTGTGAAAAGCACATGAGACTATCGGCTGCCTCGATGTACAATTGTACATACCTACATACATGGAACGTCGGTCCTGTGAGGTGTTGGTGGTCCCAGTGAGAGAGATGGGCTACTAGTTGCCAGTTGGGTCTGGCTGCACTTGCACCTTCCCTGCCCTGAACCCCAAGCCCTTGGTGATGCTCCACTGTCGGAGAAGCCTGCGATGAGATTGATACGATAATCAGCCTCACTGGGACACGTACTCCATACGGAGTAGTTGATGAGGGATCAACGCAATAACAAGGCTTTAGCTCTCCTTAGGCTAGTAGTAGGAGTGAATCTCAAATAATTTTAACCCGATCCCCTCCCCCCCTAGATCGACATTATACCCATGACCAATGGCGTCATTCACTGTTCAACATCATCGGACCGTCACTAGCATTCTATCCAGTGGCCATCTTCGTCGCGATTTGCAATTCAGGAAGACACACGGGATGGAGAGGTATCTCCCTTCAACTCTTCATTCTGCGTGATAGGCTCGATCGAATCGCAGTGGATGGATACCCTTTGGGGAAAGGGGGAGCAACCCTCGGGCCCAGCATCCATAACTCGATATTTCATACTTGGTCACGCCCATTGACAGTTATGTATCTCCCGGTCCTGGAGAGTGGATGGCCAATTTGATATTGCGGCTGTGACCTGCCCCATCGCAAGTATCGCGACTACGACTAATTGCTACTAGTAACCAGCCGCCAAGAAACCCCAGCCTCACTTTCGCCAGCGATCCCACCGCCCAGTAGAATTATGATCCGCTCCGAACCACCGTCTCGGAGTCACAAGGCGGGTTGTCCCGCTGTCACTTCCTCAGAAGCCAGTCTGGATCGCGAGGGAGGGTGTGCTGGCCGATCCCTTCCATCCTTCCATTGGCCGTCCTCCCTATACGGCCGATATCTCTGGTCCAGCACGGGCAAAAGAAAAAGATTGGCTGGTACGGACGTGATGATAGCCTGACACACACCCCATGACCTCCCCTCCCCTAAGAACACGAACAACTCGACACCTGGATAGTACAGGCCTGGCCTGGCCTGGCCTTGCCTACGGAGTACTCGGACTGTCGGACTCCCGTACCGTAGACACACTAGATAGAAACTGAGGGGTAAGAGAGAGAGGCTTGACGGTCGGTCATTGCTGGACAAATGATAGGCCTGAGACATGGAATTGATCTGCAACCCGGCCCTGCGAAGACCTACCGGTGGTCCTGTAGCGGCCTGTAGCGGCCTGAGAAGGGCGCCCGGGCCTCTGGATGACCGCATCCCCATCCCATCTGCCTGCTTGCTGGTCATCAGCCTGTCTGTCTGTCTCTATCTCTGTCTGCCTACCTCTCAGCTCTCCAGCGAAGTTGCCGACCAGCATGATGCCATACCATGCCATACTATGTACCCTCCATCCGGAATAGTACTCCGAACACCGTCCCTCCCCTCCAGACATGTGTGTGCGGACGCAGGACGGAGTTCGGCAATTAATCTCGACGACCAACTACTATGCACAATATCTACCGATACATGAGGTGGTGGGTGGACCGGGCCTTTCTGGTGTTCGGCCTACATACCCATACATATGTACATACCTACAGGTTGCAGACAATCGAGAAGATAGATCCAGTGGAGGGGGTGCTGCTTACCTACCTACCTACTCACCTAGTACCTAGGTATGTATGTACTTGCTTTTGGGCGTTTGCAGACCGCCTGCCGATGATACCAATATCATCCAGAATGTTAGACAGCAGCACCCGCACCAGTGTTGTCTATGTATCCAGTAGTAGTATCTAGGTAGGTAGGTAGGTAGGTAGGTACAGAGTACTCGTGACCCTGCTGTATCCTCCCACATATTTGCAATAGCGCCCCCCCCCCCAACAAAAGGTATCTACCCGCGTAACTCTGGTTCTCTTTCTCTTTCTCTCATCGCTCCCTCTCACCCCGTTGGGTGTTGAGCGACCGGTACGGAGTACAGAGTACAGTACAGGGCTATCCCTTGCTTCTGGCGCTTGATCATACGTACCACCTAGTTAATGTACCTACCTACTTACTACTTACTATCGCGACCTGCCACATAGCGTCCAACGGAGCACAGTATGCGCATCATCCGCAACTAACTTCGGCGGTCGCCCCAGCCTTGCAGGATCTTCGTCCTGAGGAAAACCTGGACGGGAATCGTTGTGAATCCAGCAGCCTGCTCTGTGCGGTAACTACATAGATATCGTCATCAAGAATCAAAATTCCATGGGGGACTGAACTGAATCACCGGGCACGATAAGAATCTCCCCCCAGATATAGCGGAGCCCGTGGTGGATGGACATCGGAAGACCCAAGAACCGCAACATGCCGCCAACCGATGGCGGGTGGTTCCAGGAGACGGGATCATGGGAAGTCGCTAAAAAAGGCGGATGGCGGATCGCCCGAATGAGGGAGACCGTGAATCCGTTGGCTCTGGGCCACTCTGGAGGGGCGGTAATGTATGTATCCAAGTATTACCTCGAGAGGCCATCGCTCAATCAGATGCCCAGGTTGCATCTACGGAGTACTCCGTGCCTGTCGCACTCCGCTGAATAAGCAAATCGTCGGGGGCCTGGGGGTAGGGATCCTGGGTTTGGATGGGATGCTCGAGGCGTCGAGTGGTCTCGATAGTCCTGTTTAGCCTATGCCCCTGTCAATCAAGGGGCTTGCTTGGGAACGAGAATGAGAATGCGACGAACAAAGAAGGAAAGGGAAGGGAAGCAGCAGCAGCAGCAGCAGTGGCGAGTATTGGATTGGATAGGATAATAATAAAATAATAATAACAATAATAATAATTAATGTACTGACTAGCAGCCAAGAAGATCCATCACGATCATGCCGCCAAATTGCCCCTCCATTTTTTCCGATGCCGAGATTATGTATGCCTGCCTGCCTGCCTGCCTGCCTGCCTGCCGAAATTTTGGGGACGGGTACGTAGGAGTTAGATAGATAGATAGTAGTTAGTTAGTTAAGCGGTAGGACGGTGTGCTCTCAATTACTTACCCCACTAACGAGGGTGATCGGGCTGCTGCACTTGCCCAGTAGCAATGATTCATTCACCACCCACTCGGCAGTCCGAGCGACAACCACCACCACCACAACAGCATCATGTTATCATCTCGCTACATGACTTGCTGTGAGCTTGTGAGCCTGTGAGTGTGATGGTCATTCAGCCCAAGTCAGTCAGTGCGCCCCGCCCCGGCTGCTTTCTTTTCCTTCCTTTTTGCCTGCCTCTTTCCCTCCTTTCCCCGCCACCCGCCTCTGGTCCTTTTCCCCTTTCCGTACGAGTGGAGCGCGTTCTCTCGGGTCTCACCATCTGAGGCTCAAGCTGGGAATCCTGCCACCGCCACGGAGTAGACCGAGTCCACTATCGCATTTTATTACTGAGGGTACGGAGTACATAGGAGGTAGGTAGTAGGTATCACGGGATGGGACTGCGAGTGGCAAATCGGGTAGGTTGAATGAATGACCCTTGCCCACACTCCTATTGGCACCGTCCACGCCAATCTCATATATCGATGGAGAATGGATGGATAAGTCTATATTGGGGGTAGGCCCGAGACGTTGTTTGCCGAGTGTAATCCGAACGACAAAGAAAGACAGGTCTCCGCGCCTTTCCCCTCTCCCAGCCAGGTTTGACGGAGGCCCCTACCCAAGGTTCTCTTCCGCAAGTTACCGTCCTTCGGGCCACCGCGGATAAATCAGCGGCTGTCCCTGGAGAGAACCATGTCTCCAGTCCCGGCGGAGAACCAGGGAACAGTAATGGTCGGTTTGCTTTTTGGCCGGATAGGTAAACAGGTAATCAATCACGGGCATCTAAGTATCTGTAGTAGATAAGGTAGAGAGAGAAGGTCCTACCCTACCTGGAGACGGTGTATGGCGCAAGCATCATTGACGCAGACCGATGGCAGGGGCCTCCCTGGATGACCTAATCAAATCATCCCGGCGCTTCGATTTCTTTGTGGGCGCAAGTTGCAACTTGGCACCCGAACGGTGACTCCTCGTCCAAACACGCTGGTTACCTACCGACTGCCCTTGTGTTCCGGACTGGTGCCTGGGACAGGACCAGGGGGGATCAAAGCTCCCTTCCTCCATCATTTTGTGCGTTGAGGATTTGCCCGGAGCCGGTGTTCAAGATGAATTGAACTGAACTGAACTGGCTGGCTGGCTGGCTTGTATGAAAATGGATGTCTTCAATGTCTTCAATGTCTTCAGTATGTACTCCGTACCTACTCTGTATGTATGGAAGGACGTCGCTTCTCCGCCTTTTCGAAGCGCTCGTCAGCTCCTTCGTCCATGCAGAACTCTGCCGAGTAAGTAGGTATCTAGATAGATACCCTGAGTCTGCCCGATTGATGCATATCGGCATGCACGGCATGGGTCTAGCGAGTCAAAACCCTTGATTCCTGCGACCCAGTGACACCCGAACAAGGTGGATGATGCTCACCGTCTTCTGCTGCTCCTGCGTGGGGCGCCTCCGTCGTTCAGCACCTCCCCCTGGGTCGCATCATGCATCCCATCCCATCCCCTCACCCTCTTCTCCCCCCCCTCCTGACCCCGGGGAAGTCCTCCTCAAGGAGAGCTGTCGTTCCCCATACGTAGGCTTCGAATGCATCTTCTTCTTTTCCTTCTCCCAGTCCAAGCCATGCTATTTAAATAGGTCGGGGATGGATAGATCAATGTGTGTTCCACCTCCACCGTAGACACAAATTGACTTTCAAATCCGAGGTCGGTCCACCGTAACGATAGCGGATACCCCCTTGCCAATAATCAGGTGAATTAAGCTGGACCACAAAGAGTGCACCATAGACCGATGGGCACCAACAGACCGAAAGAATGAACCTGAGAGGCTGTGTGGGTTGACAGCAAGCATGTCTCGAGTGTGTAAACTTCCGTGCGTTACCTCCTACAAAGTAGTTAAGTCATCCATCAAACCAGCCCTTCCTTCCCATCGGCTGTGGCTGATCCATCTGGCTCGCCATTTCATGTTCGGTTTCAGTTTTGGCTTTGCAGACTTGGGCGAATCTTCAGCAGCAGCTGCGCGACACGTTAGGAGAATGATAGGGCGAAGTGCTAGACAACACCTTCATACATGCTTCGTACATGCTAACCCACCGACTACTCGAAGATACATATGATCGCGCTCCCCTCAATTTACACCATCACCACACTACTGCCTGCCACCACCACCGCCGCCGCCGTTTGTCCTCCTCTCTCCTCCTCCCTATCGGCCACGGGGATTACCCCTCGAGATTTTGGGCACCGATCAGTTTGCGACCAGCTTATTATTCCTGACCCTGACCCTGACCTTGACCCTGGCCCTCCCGAAGAAAAACCGTCCAGAACCGGACCCGAAACACACCCCCCCCCCTCCAATCAGCTACCTATCATCTAATTATCTTCTACTTAAGTAAGTAGTGTAGTAGCACTATCTGCCAACGGTGGGTGCAGTGATTGACGTTGGGTCACACCCTTTTTTAATTCTCCAGTCCACCCACCCATGTGGCACTGAGGAGGACCGGAGCTGATTGCGGGCCCCCAACAGATCAAAAAAACCGACGGTACCCAGTCAATTCCTTCTGTTCAGAAGACTGCACAGTACACAGCTGTGAGTGGGGTTTTCATTCTTCTTTATTTTGCGAATCTCATTTTAGCCCGCCCCGGTTCAGTACCAGCTCCAGTCGCGGCTCCACTTTCTGCCCTTCTTTTGTTTTTCTTTGGTCTGTCACCCAGAACCCAAGAGCCGAAATCGAGATAGCGAATTTGACGAGGGAGCGGAGCGAGAGTGAGAGGCAAAGAGAGTAAGTGAGAGGGCAAAAGGGAGAGGGAAAAAAAAACACACACGACTCCCCCCCCTTCCCCCCCCAAAAAGAAAAACAAAAAACAAATTAAATATTAAAAAACAGAAGAGAGAAAAAAAAAGACGAAGAAAAAAAATAAAAAATAAAAGCCAGGACGGCCCAGACGAATTAAAAAGGCGATCTGTCAATTCTGGTGGCTTGTGTTAATTCATGCAAACCAGGATCCTGGTTCAGGGTTACAAGGTCCAGTCCCATTAGAAGAAGGCGTGCGTCAAAAGGAAAGAAGAAAGAAGAAGAAGAAGAAAATAAGACGGAAAAGCGCAACAGACAGAGAAGGGAATCAATCCCCCAAGCGGAAACCCCAGGGACGACGCGGAGAAAAGAGCAACTCAACTGGTCTGCTGCTGCTGCTGCTGCTGCTGCTACTGCTGTTGTTGTTGTTGTTGCTGTCTTTGTTCTGGCGGGTATCGTTATTATCATCATCATTATTATCATTATTATTTTTCATCACCTGGAGGTAAGGATCGCACTCCGCCTGTTTGTCTATCTGTCTGTCTGTCAGTCAGTCAGTGTCTCTCGCATTCGCATTCTCTCCTCTCCTCAGTTCTCTCCCTCTCCTCTTTCTTGTTTCCCCATCCCCTCCCTCCCTCCCTTCCTCCCTCTCCCAGTCTCTAGTCTCATGGGCCCAATTCCTCCTCCACCAAGGAAGGGGAAAGAAAAAGAGGGGCATGCAGACACGCCCTCATCTGCCACCATCACTCTTCAAAGCATACCAACCACTACCACCACCACACCCACCCACTGTACTATGATCAACCTCCTCCTCCGCATGCCTGCCTGGCCGTTTGCTTGATAGTTCATTTTCTTTGTCATCGCGGCCATTTCCCTTCCCTTTCTCCGCACCGTCACACCCCCCTAGGTAGATACATCGTCATCATTCTTTCGAGTTTCGATCCCGTCTCTACCCCATCAGATCCGTCAATCCACTCCTGCCGAGCCGCCGACCAACTACTGACTCTGAACTGTTGCTCCCCAAGTGACCGGACGGGAACTCTTTTTCCATTTGGTTTTTTTCTTCAACCTGCCATTTCCAGTTTAAACTCGTCGAGGATCCGTCGCTCGCCTTTCCAGACACCGGTCCTCTTTGGGCCCCCCCCTCCCCCCTCTCCCCCCTCCGAAATCCAAATCCAAATCCCTCCATCCTTTTCTTTTTCTTCTTATTAAGGAAAAGGACGCCCGCGAACCTCTCTCCCTCGCCCTTCCCACCGTTCGATCGACCTTTTTTATTTTTATTTCTATTTTTCGTTTTTCGCACCGGCCGACCCGGCAGCTTGGCTTAGCTACTTCCTACTACCTCACTCTAGGTAAGGTAGATAGCTAAGTTAGTTATCTGCCGCCTGATCGGACTGCGCCAGGCACTGTAAGTGCCAAACACCCGCTGTATTTTATTTTGCATCCCGGGATCGAAGTGTAAGTACATTCATTACCTTACCGATCTTTACCACTCTTCCCAGTTCCAACCACACGCGGGTTTTGGTTTTGGTTTTGGTTTTCGTTATTTTTGTTGTTGTTGTTGCTGTTGCTGCTGCTCATCCATCCTGTTCCGGTTCTTCTTCCATTACATTTGATTTGATTTGGTTTGGTTTCATCTGGTTTGCCTGTCCTCGGTATTGTATTCGATTCGATCTGGTGTCCCCCCCTCTCTTTTCCACTGTCTGTTGCCAATCGTGGAATTGTTGTCATGATGGATGCGCCAGACGGGCACCGATCACGAATCCATGGACCGACCCCCGATGGCTCCCATGGGTGCTGGCTGTCTTGAGATCCCCCGATCGGAGTGTCAGACAGAGGCAGCAGTAGTGCCACTAGGTACTCCTGTACGCCATACCTGCTGAAGCCCGAAAGATCACTCGATCACTCCCCTAGGTGCCTAGCCAGGTGCCGAGGTCGGGACACTAAGGTGTCGCGGTGCTATCCATTTGGCTACTGGGCCTTTAGGGATTGCAGTACCTTGATTCGGCACCTTGCACAGCACCAGGGTCGGTGTGTCCACTCCATCATTGATTGATTACCTTACTTAGTCGCGCCGCGGATCGTCTTTCTTTCCACCCCCCCCCCTGTTATCCGGTTATACTACCTACCACCATCTCTTAGCACTCTGACACTATTACATCTGCCTCTTGTGTATGATCATCGTGCTATTATTATTATTTGGGTCTTTTTTATTTTATTTTTTTATTTTTTATTGTCATCATCCCTCTTATTACGAAACACCGCCTTTGGCAGCTCCAATTTCATCCCCTCCTCCATTCTCTCATGTGGTTCTGCCATTGCTTTAATTATTATTATTATTATTATCTGCTGTCACTCCTCCGCTCCGCTTTCCCCCCCCCTCCCCCCTCCCCCTCTCTCCATCTCTCCCTCTCTCTCTCTCTTTTTTTTTTTTCGCTTCCTTGGTTTCGCTGATCGCTTGACCGTTGCTCAACCGACTTCCGCTAATTACCTGTGTCAAGCTAACTATTGCAAAGCTACCGGCTTGTGTCTTGCGCCAGGATCAGGATTCCCCGACCGATCTTCTACCCCTCCTTGTGCTGTTATTGAAACGGGATTGCGGCGAGATATTCCCCTTGGCTAAACGCAAGCCCCTCGAGACTACCGTTGACAGGCAAGGAAAGGACCGCCCACCTTCGAAACCCCCGCCCCGCAAGTTCGCCGAATACCCGGATCGAAACGGTGTGCCTTGTGCTTTCACACGTCCCACAACCCCCCCGGTCGCACAACACGGTTTTGGTATTCGTTTCGGACGTCATGTCCTCCTGACTGTATGACTGTCGCTTTAAGTCGCCCGCCTACCGTGGATTCACGGCAATCCGGACCTATCGACCGCAATCGCGGACCTTTGACCACCGAACTCGTCGCAGTAGACGACAAGCAGAGACAGCTCCCGGTCAATTTTGGTGCTTTGTCTCCAATGCATCCTCGAATGCCGCATCCCGACGGATCGCATGGTCCGCCCAATGCGCATGGAATATATGAGCAGCCATGGCGACCTTCATTTTCGTCTCCATATGACAGTCATCCTGCGGAACAGCGTCGCACGTCAAACGCTCCTCAGCCCACATTGCCCCCTCATGGATTGCCCCCCCATGGGTATCCTGTCATCCCAAACCGCGACTTGCCACAGCTTCCACCAGATGGCCCGTATGGCCGACAAAGCAGCTTACCTGGCCCAGCGCATACCCCTCCAGAGGCTCCAACTCCTCACCAAGTCTTCCGTCCCATGAATGGGACGCCGAACGAAAGCCCCCCCCATTCGGCACCCCCCGATTACCGCCCGCGAATGTCTTTCACCCCTCATGAGTCGCACAGCAATGGGGAACCTCCGCTTCCCCCGCACACATTACCACCTAGTCAATATACCACCCCGGTTCCTCATATGTCACATACCCCCACGCCCTACGAACCGGGTTATTACGCAAGCCAGGCCTACGGAATACGCCATCGGAAAGCCGCGCGAGCTCAGCAGGTAAACCATAATCCACATGAACACGAGGCAGCTTGGCCCCTAGAGACAATTCTGGCTGACTTGCGGCATTTGCCTATTCTGAAGGCCTGCGATCAATGTCGAGCAAGAAAGGCAAAATGTGATGAGGGGCGTCCTGCTTGTAGCCATTGCAAAGAGAATAGTTTAATATGCGTCTACAAAGAAGTCCCCCCCCACAAGTCTGTGAACCAACCATTGCCCTTAATTGTTTTCTGGTGGCAACTGGCGGACACGTGCTGACGATGGAAATAGGCAAGAAAAGGCGACACAGGCGGTTATGGACCGCCTTGGTCTGATAGAAGACGGCATGAACGAAAAACTTAGTCGTATACTGAGTCTCCAAGTAGAGCAATCCAACCTTCTCACTCAGATGTCTGCAGAATCTAGGTTGAAAGAGCCCAAGGCCATATACAACGGAGAGCCGGAAAAGCACTCAATTAGTCGTTTACTTAAACCGGACATGGCGGAAATTTTACAGAAGACGGAAGAGAAGGATGAACAGGTGAGTCAGATTGTGGGACAAGAGTTGGAAAGAGCCGAGGGGGAAAAGCTCCTGCTAGGCGAAGATGGTGAACTTTCAATCCCCGTCGATCATACCACCGCAGCTCACAAATTGCTTGCCTGGCCCGCTATCAAGAGCCTTCTTGAGCCGAGAGAGTATGTTGAGGACTACGTTATGAGGCTCGAGGAGGACCGAGGTCTGATCCGTGTCTACGGGCGCGGAGAAGGGGATGATGCCAGCGAGAGCAAACCTATCAACGAGAGCAGGCCCATGGCATACCCGACTTCCCACCCGAGCTTCGATCAAGCTTACAAGAATGATATTCCTCCTAATGGGACATGGGGCTCTGGTGCAAACCAAAACGGCACTCGTTTCCAACCACGAAGCGATGCCCTTGATGAATCCGGTATATTCACCACAGATCCTGACGACGTCCGCCGCTACTACCAGAGCTATCTCAATCATATACACAAGCTTCATCCGTTTCTGAACCAAGGCGAACTGCAAACTAGCGTTGATGATTTCATCGAGTTTTATTGCCCGCAGAAGAACCCCGGCCCAGCAAACATCTTGAACAGCAATAGTGCAATCGAATTGCCGCGAGCCACAAAACGAAAGCGTTCATGCGAAACGCTACAAGGTGCGGGGTGCGACGTGCCATACTCCCCCGGTTTCAGACACGAACGCCCAGTCGGTCGCCGCATTGAAAAATCGCTGAAAAACGCCGTCATTCTCCTGGTCCTTGCACTTGGTAGTATCTGCGAAATTCGTGGGGCTGTTCCTGGCCCCGTCACTGATACGCCCGTAGACTACCGCAAGCAGAAAATTCCTGGGCCTTCCACACGCAGCATTCTGTCGCCGGCAAATGGCGAATCTATCATTGAATCGCAAGGAAGCCTGTACTCAAAAAGTAACTCCTTCTCATCCCCGGTCGACGGTCGGAAGGGCTCATTGGACCGTCAGTCTTTTCTGGATAACCGACACCTACGAAACGTGGATGTCATTCCTGGATTGGCCTATTATGCATATGCCTCGCAGATTCTCGGCAGTCTTCAAGGGGCGAATGGATTGGTCCACGTCCAGGCAGCTTTGCTAGCAGGGCTTTATGCAGGGCAGTTAGCGCACCCTTTCCAGAGCCATGGATGGATTTACCAAGCGGCTAGAGGGTGCCAAGTTTTGGTCCGGACGTATGTGTTACCCCAACCCCCATGAATTGGCTCCTCGCCGTCTGACCAGACCCAGGAGACGTTATGAAACGATGAGTGATGGCCCGCTGAAAGACCTCTATGATTTTGCATACTGGACTTGTCTACAACTAGAAAGGTATGAGCACGCCATGTCTGACTTTCGCTGGAGTGCCCTCGGGATTAATGAATTATGGATCTAGTGACATCCTTGCCGAGCTAGATCTTCCGGCCAGTGGTATATCTCGATCAGAATCACGCATTGCACTGCCCAAGGGCCGAAACCTCTCTTTACCGAATGACGTGACCGCGCCCAGTACGGTCATGATGTTCTTCTATTGCGCCCAGATTCACCTGAGAAAGGTTCTCAATCGTGTTCATACCGACCTTTACAAAGTTGAAAGTGAGTTTATTATCGCTAAACTGGGCCAGCCAAACCTGCTGCTTTTACTAATTCCGGGCTGTAGAACAAGGACAAGGTCAAGGCCCCCCCGGCCGTTGGTCTGCCAACGTACTGGAGGTCCTGAGCATGAACCTCGAGCTGTGGAGAAGTAGCCTCCCTGACTCGATGAAGTGGAAGGATGGGGACCCGCCATCAAACGACATCAACGTGGCCAGGATGCGGGCCAAGTACTATGGCGCGCGCTATATCATCCACCGGCCACTTCTTTACATCGCCCTTCATTATGGTCCCTCAATGTCGATAAATTCGCCCGCTGGCTCTACAGTTTCTGGTCCGAAGTCGCAGCAGGTTTCCCCTTCGCTGACTCACAGTCAACGTGCTACTAACATGGTACGATTGTCGAGTGAGGCGGGTCCAGCAAGCCGAAGCGCCCAAACTCCGAATCCCGGGTGGACAGCGTATGCATACCGCGACCTCAGCCCAAAGATACGAAGAGCGTGCAAAGTGTGTATTGACTCGGCTATTCTGAGTACAATTGCTTTTGATGGGCTCAATGGTCGACCAGTGGTGACCAACATTTTCGGAACGGCCCACGCGTAAGTTTAGACTCGAGACATCTCCCCACTATCGGAATTGGTACTGACCACTATTTCTAGACAATTCGGTAATCTGCTTGTATTGTCCGCTGCTTACATGTCAAGTCTATCTGAGCTGGTTGACCGCGCTGAACTTGATCAGCTTTTCAAGCGAACAACCAGATTCCTCCTGCAGAGCGCCGAGATCTCACCTAGTCTTCGAGCCGACGCGAGAATCCTTAGCGAGATCTACGAGAAAATCTTTGGCGAACCAATAAAGATTGACTAAGGTTGTAATGTGTTGACTGCTTGAAGTTGCCTTAGGATCACCCGGGAACGAAATCTGTCTGAGGGGCCTGATATTGTTTCCTTTCCTGCTCTTCTTTTCCTCGTCTCCGACAATACCCTGAATCCTTTCTTACGCCATGAATTCGCCGGGAAAGAGCCCTCCTTGCTTCCTTGATTCTTCCTAATACGACCTAGCCAAGGGTCCCTTGTTTGGAATTCTTATACAACGTGTCATACCCGGGGAGCCTCTCATGGTGGTTCATTGCCCCCTCCCCTCTGTTAATGATTGGCCATTCTTAGAGCGTGCCGGTGATGTGCATCTTGGATTAACTGTCTCGGTGGATATTTGAAATTAGCTTCATTCCTATATGTTGGAATTTTTGACCTTCATCGTTTGGGCTTGCTTAGGTGTTTTTTTTTGTTTCTTTTTTTCACTACTTTTTTTTATTTTCTTTGCTTTTCGTTCTATTTTCGTTTTTGCTTTTGGCGTCAAGTGGCGTTGGCTGCATCCTGTTCTCGGACGGGAACAGGCTGGGGGGTATATCTGATTGCATTTCAGCGGATCAAGGATGAAGCCCCCACTGGAGGATTCAAATCGACGGCCATACAGTGCATGATTTTTTTTTTTTTTTTTCATTTTTTTCTATTGTCACCGAGTGGGATGGCTGTGTGACTACCTTGATAGTATCTGGGTGGCGGCGTCTGCGCCCACTCCCGCTCATCCGTCCCATGTTTGAGGGATAGGGGATAGAGATAGGGATAGGGATAGGGATAGGATAGGTTAGGTTAGGTAACATACCTAGTAGTAGGTATGTAGTATGGGGCGTTCGATGGCCGACGCTCGCTCATTGCTCCAATTGGATAATTGCTTGTTTGGGAGTCTGTATGGACCGAGGACTGCATTCACGTTGCATGAGGTCCCGGACAAGAGTCGTAGCCATGGATCCATGGATCCATCGATGGGTAGGTGCGTAGAATGTGCTGGCCCGTCTGTCTATTCGATGAACTTTGTCAATTTGCTCAACTTGTAAGTCGTCTGGGCCGCTATTCTCGCCGCTTCTGCGAAGCTACTTTACTGCCATTTATGCGGCCATCCCAATTGGGAAAAAGTGAGAGACGCTCTGTACATAGGTCGGCTTTATTGCCTTTGCCTTCTATGTATATATGTGCATGTCTACTCCATACATGTATCCGACTACTACTTACTTATTGAGTATGTACTAGTACCGACTGCTGTTGTACAGTGTTTCCTAGCGTGGTGGCACAGCAGCTGTCTAAGACCTACCTTAGTAGTAGGTATGTACAGGGGTTGGTACGGAGTACCAGTCAATCAGACGGCTGTCAGCCGCTACTTTACCTTGACATACATACATACATACATACATACATACATACGTATATAGAGCAGGGATGTGGATGTGGGTGTGGATGTGGGTGTGGGTATGGTTGTCCTTTTGAAGAGCTCGTTACCAATAGATAGAGTGCGCAAACTCCCCAGTCGTCATGCATGCATGCAGCCCCGGTTTAAAACAGCAGAAGGTGAAGGGGAAAGTGTGCCCTTGATCCGCGCGCGATGGTACAGATATGATTTGTTTGCCCTGAGGCTCACATTATCTGTCTGACTGTTTGTCTGTAGGGTTTGTTGTCTTGTCTACGGAGCACATATTGATATTGATAGTCTGTTCTTGGACGATATTTTCAGTTCTTGTTTCTGGGTGGTTTGGACTTTGGGTTCGTGGCTGAGGATTTGGTTCGTTGATGATTGGGTTTTGTTGGTGAGGATTACTCGCTTTATGGATATGGATGGGTGTTATTGGTTTGCATGTTAATGTGGTTGGATCTGGGGAGTAGTTTTGATGGATATAGTGCGGATGCAGTTGTAGACGGAGTAGTGTGGTGAGATTCTTGTATAGTATCTCGGCTTCGGTTCCTTTTCATTTCTTTGTTTCATTATTAGAGCGCACCATTGTGGATATTAATTGTCAACAGCTGTTGGATTATCATGGGTCCAAGAAGGAGCCAATACCATCCAAGTAGCGAGCTGTCCGGCGACTAGATAGATACGTAGGGAGGTATTATGTCTTGCATGCATGCAGATTAGTTGGATGTGCATACCGGCGAGGTGTTGTAGTCCGTCCGTACATGCCGCTGGAATCCACTCCGATCGGGTCGGAGATATCTTTTCTGTCCTATTTGGGACTGGTTATAGATGTGTTGAATGCGTGAGTGTGGTTTATTATTCCGCGAGTTCTGGGTATCGTTGTTGGGAAGGGGGGTATTCCGGACTCCAGTATCTTAAAGATACAAAAGATACTTTCATCAGATGATGGATGGATAGATCGAGACAGATAACCACGATAGATCGGGCGGGACAATATGACGTATCACGGCGATGGAGAGAAGCTCTGATCATTGATGGGAGCCACCGTGGGGGGATCGCCAATCGGGTGATTTGGACGGGGGCAGCAGAACGAGGCTCGAATTCTGATCGGACCAGGTTGTCTGAATGCTGTGATGGTGATGATGATGATGAAGTAGTCAAGTAGACTGGAGAGTCTAGCCAGTCAAGTCAGTCAGTCAAGTCAGTCAGCCACCCTTCCTCACGTGCCCGGGTTCTCCCCGCCCCAGCCTCACCGCGAGTTTCCCTTCTTCTGCTGCTGCTTCGGCTGCTGCTGGCTTGCATTCTTTCTCTCTGCAACCTCGTCATCGGCTTCCATCTCAGATCCGATCAATTCTTCCCTCCCGCATCTAGCATCTGATCTGATCTCTGTGATACCCCACATTCCTCTTCCCATCAAGCGTCCAAGCTCTTCCTCTTCAACGTTCAAATCCCAGTACCCACGGACTCTCTCGCTCAGTCCTCGTCTAGTCCATCGCGCCCCATCCTGGTCCGTCCTGGCCCAGCACGCTAACCCGGTTAGTGGCCGATTGTCTGGAGCAACCGACCGTGCAGTCAGTCAGTAGCTAGCTAGTCGCCAGCTTCTCTGCTGCTGAGGGCTGAGGGTTGAGGGCTGAACCGCTGAAGTTGCTGACCAGATCAGCCCGTGGTTCTGTGGTTCTTGTCTCCGCCCCCCCCCTTGGGTCCTCCGATTCCCGCGTGAAAAAGAACCACGGTTCACAACTTGTTTACTTTCCCTCCTCTGCCCATCGCAAAAACAACCCGCCCGCCGATCTATAACCGCCATCCTCGCTTTCTCTTTCCGACCTCCAACTCCCCAACCACCCCTCCCCTCTCTCCCTCCCTCCCGCCCTTCCTTTCCCTCTCTTCCTCTCTTTCCCTCTTCTAGGCTCCATTGTTATTATCGTGACTCCCCTCATTCCATTTAATCCCATCCTTCACTCCCTCTCCAAGTCACGATTCAACCGCCCGGTTCGGCAATCGCGTCTACCCTCAATTCCACATGGTTGCCTGAGTCGCTAGAGCTTGGATCGCTCGCTGCCCACCATGTTCAAGGGCCTTTTCGGTGGGAACCGCTCGTCCTCCGATGTCCGCAGCACTTCCAGCTCGAAGAGCGGTAGCCGTCGCAAAACCGACTCGAAGTCTTCGACAGTGAGTCGCAAGTCCTCACGGGGTGACGACCGTGATCGTGGCTTGGGCGACCTGTCGACCTACCGATCCTCGAGCAGCCGTAGCAAGCGCTATGCGCCCAGTGCGGCGGGGGAGTCGGTCGCTTCGAGTTATGCGACGGCGGACCAGGGTCCTCCAATCGAATCCGAACGGATCGTGATAGAACGCGCGCCCAGGCGCAGGGACTCCGAAGAAACCGACCGTCGCGATCGGTACCGAGACAATGGTGATGGGGAGGAAAAACCTTACCGCAGGCGCGACAGAGTGCGATCGCCGAGTCGGGAGCGCGAGCGGACCAGAACAGAGCGGGAGGAGCGGGTGAGTGAGACCGTCTCTCGCGATCGAGATGACGGTCGGCCCCAGCGACGACGGACGCAATCGGGCGATATGTACGCCTCGCCGATAACTACAGGCACGCCGACGTCTGGGGCTGACGCTAGCTTCTTTAACGCGCCTCCTCACCACTACCTTCCGAGCACTTCGATGCCCAGCTCGCCAAATGTGCACGCATTTTACGATCCTCATGTGCCGCAGCAATTCCCCGGCCAATTCCCGACCTATGTTGCTGAGCCGTACCGACCACCTCATCCTGCGGGCGAAGCGGCGGAATACTACGGGGACCAGGGACAGTCTGTCCAAGACCAGCCAGGAGTTCGACCCAAGCCTCCACTGGTAATTCCCGAAGACCAAGCGCATCTCATGACAGCGTCTCCTGTAGCTAACCCGCCGCCGGAGCCCAGTAGCATGGGGCAGGTTGGTGCTGCTGCCGCCTACTTTACGGAGGACGCGGATCTGGGAATTGAACAACCCGAGCAATCCACTATTACTCCTGCGTCCAAGCCGCCAAAGCTATCGAAGCCAACAAGGCCGCCGAAACCCTCTGTACAGACAGGAATGTCAAGACCCCCAATGGTTACAGCAACTGCGGCGACTACTGATCTTGCAGAGCATAGCTTCTCGGAGTCCCCTTCAACCTATGTACCACCTAGCTCCTCGAGCCCTCCAAAACCGTCCCATTCTCACGCCATGGGCACTACAGTCGGTGCAGCGGCCGCGGGTGCAGCAGCTGGTTATATGATGGGTCATCATCACCAGTCCTCCGCAAGCGTACACTCTTCCCAATACACAATGCAAAACTACGAACAGGCTTCTCAGAACAGTCCGTCATACCCAGGCCCCTCGATGTACCCACCTCAACAAGGCCCTGAGTTCTTCACTGCGGGTCCCGGGGCACCGGGTTACGCTGCCAGTCCTCTACACCCAGAGCATGCTGCCCTGTACCACGCTACGCCTCTTCAGTCGGGAGGCTTGGCTTTCCAGCGCCGTCAAAAGGGCCCGTTGGACAAATTCATAGACTTTTGGAAGGATCCGGAGGGTGTCGGCGAGTTTGAGGACTATACCGAGACCATTGGAATTTGCAAGTACTGCTTTGACCCCGGTTCGACATCGCGGGACGCACCTCGCAGGCATAACCACGCGCGCCGTCGCCGCTCTGCCGATCGCTATAGCAGCAGCTCCCGTGTCGATAAGACGAATCGCTACCCATCGTCGGAGGACGAGGGTAGACGTCGCAAGAGCTCACCAAGAAACTCATGGATTCCTGGGTTTATTGGTGGGTATGCCGTCAAGTCGATGTTTAGTAGCAAGGACTTTGATGAGACGTATAGTGTTCGATCAGGGCGAGTAGCGGGCTCTCGGAATTCTGTGCACGAGAGCGAGGGTGCATCTTCATCCGGCCGACGAAGCCAAACATCCCGCGGCGTTCACAGACGATCTTATCGCAGCCGATCCCGTGAACGCACCGACCAGAGCTCTTATCATTCGGACTCAAAGACGACCAAATACGACGAATCCCGACGACGTTCTCGCTCGCGCTCCCGATCTTCATCCATAACCCAGCGGCATGCTGCCCTTAGGGATGCGGCCTTGGGCGCAGCGGTAGGGACGGCGACTCTGTCAGCATATGAATCGCATCATCAAACCAGCAGCCGCAGCTCAGTATCAAGGAGGTCCAAATCCAGAAAAACATCTTCCTCCGATGAGTCGGTTCTCGACATTTCAAGACCCGCCCGAAAGGCCCAGAGCAGCGGGTTAAGTTCTTTTTTCACCGCGTCATCTGAGAATCGGCGGAAGCGACAGACTAAGAAGCGAAGGAGTCTCTTTTCCTTTAACAACTCTTCGTCATCTTCTCTGGATGCAGACTTAGCCTTCGGGTCTGGATACGCCAAGCGCAAGTCGGACAAGTCTAAGAGGCGAAACAGGAAAGAAAAGGAAGATGTTGATATGGCATTGCTGGGGCTTGGTGCTGCTGCAACAGCGTTGGCGGCCTCATCCCATCGAAGAAGTCGACGAGCTGGAGAGGTCCTGGCCCGTAAGGATTCTCGATTGGGACAGTCGGATTACGCCTCTTCTGCTACCAATGACGAGGGCTGGGAGGATCTTGACTCAGGAGACCAGTCCTCCTCGAGCGTCAACTCTGGTCTTGCATTTGGAAGCAGTGGACGCTTCCCCAGTAGTGGTTCACAATCGTCTGATTCCGGAACTTCGAAGTGGACTTGGGGATGGGGTAGCAAGAAAAGCAAGAAGGAGAAGAAAAAGAGAAGATCTCGATCGTCCGAGAGTCGCTTCCCTGCAGAGGCCGCGGTGGTGGCTGGTCTCGGCACGGCCGCCTTGGCTTCGGCATATAATCGCGACTCAAAGACCGATGCAGCAAGTAGCACTGGAAGCCTTCAACAAGTGGCACCGGTTCCTACCAGTGATCCTTCGCGGTTCGATACTGTCAATGTGTCGTCCTTCCCCCCTCCCCAGCCGACCTTAGTCCGGCCTGGGCCTATTCCCCTACAGCAACCCCAACCGGTGACGCCGGTCTCCCAGGCCGTATACACCACCCAAGGAGAATCCATTCATGCCTATAGTGCACCTGACGTACCGCCATCATCTGGAAGCTCTTTCATGCCTTATGAAACCCAACTGTACAGTTCGAGAAATGATAGGTGGGACCAGCAGAGCTCGGAATTCCTTGAGAGAAGCGACGTCTCCTCGAGAATCAATCGTCCACACCGCCGGAGTGACTCCTCTCCCGTCTTCCATACAGAGCCCCTAGAGACTATGTCGACTTCAACCGTTAAACGTCGCTCGACGATCAAAGACCAAGCATCAGTTCAATTCGACTTGACCGAGGAGCAGGCGGATAAGGAGCGACGTGCGAGCCGCCGGGAAAGATCGAGACGTGATGACGAGCGGCAGGATGCAGTGCAGCTCATAGACCGTGAGCACGAGATGGCTGTTCGTGATGCTGAGCGCCAAGCAAGCCGCCAGAGAGAACAGGACTATGAAATCTCAAGAGCCGAAGAAGATAATTCCCGGAAAGAGAGAGATAGTTCATCTCGGATTGGCAGCGTGGCTATAGGTGCGATCAGTGGTGTTACTGCTATCACAATGCTATCTGGACAGAGCTCCCACGATGATGCCTCCGAAACTGCCAGCCAACGACGCCACGAGGAGCGCCGAGAAAAGCGTCGGGCAGAAAGACGCCGCGTTCCCGAGTCAGACTCCATATCGTCGAGCCTGCCAATGTCTGAGGTCTCGCAAGAAGTGGTTGAAGAGCGCCCGCACTCAGGCCGTGATACAGAGAACGCGAAGCCATCTTCATCTCCATCCCGTCGAAGTCCTCGCAGGAAGCCCGTTTACGAGGACTATGCACAGTTCTTCGCTCCTGAAGAGCTGCGTTATAGCCCAGACACTTACGCTCGTCGAGAGCCTACTTCAATGCCCACCATTATTGAAGCAGAGCCGTCCAATGAATTCTCACCTGTGACCGAGGAACCACATCCAGATTATGCTGGTGGCTTGCCGTGGCCCGTGCCTGAGTTACGGCTTACTGAACCCACACCTCCTCAAAGCGTGATTGGAGCCAGAGAGACCTCGTCGCCGAGAATCTTGGTCCCAGGACGACCAAAAGAGGATGGCAAGCCCGAAAGGCAGACAACTGGCTCCCGCGTCTCATGGGGCGAGCATGAGATGCACGAATATGAAGTGCCCTCGACATCCTCCGAGCTTGAATCGATAGACCAGGATATCAGAGGCTTTCAGTCTGACAGCCAACTCGAGCGAATAGTTGCAGAAGATATCCAAGAACGTCCGACCAGTTTTGCACCCGAGCCCCCATCCACAAGTGTACCAAGCATGGTGGGGGCGGATATCGAGTTTGCTGCTACTGTTGCTGCGGCGGCTGCGGCGGCTGGATTCGATCCCTCGCTTGTGACAGATAACCCGACATACCATACTAGAGCCTCACCCCCCACGCCAGAGACTAAGGTGAAGTTTGTCTCACCGTGGGAGGAAGTTGCTTACTCCCGCCCGGCGCCCCATGGATTTGTTGAAGGCGAAGTCGAAACACCGGACGAAAGTAAAAGTGAACAAGTGGCTCCAGAGCAACTCATTGAAGATCGACCATTTTACTCTGAGCCTGAGCCGCTCGTTTCTCGTGAGCCTAGTGCGCAGCGACAGCAGTCAATTGCCCAAGAAGTCATCGGACATCTGAGTCGCAGGAGAGAAACTGAAGGTAACGGCAGCGTAAAGGAAGACTCAACTGTTGGCAGTAATAAACGGGACAGGAGGTCCGTTGGCCGCCACGAGGAATCGGAACCCGAGCCCCTTCAGGAGGTTCTTTCTATGCCTGGTGGATTCGAGACGGAAGATTCACCCGACAAGTCCAGGGGTATTAACGACCCAAGCACTACGCCAAGGGAGATTCCAGTGTCTATCGTTTCAGCAGCTGCCACTGGAGAACGTGCAGCGCCAACAACCGAAGAGAAGCTGGAGCAGGATAGCGATGATTACCAAGAAAGGGACGATGCTAGCTCAGTTGCAGTCGAGGGAGATTCTGCCGAGGGGAAGAAGAAGCGACGGAAGAGGCGTTCCAAGCGGGATAGCGACAATGTCGAGGATTCGGTTTCCACTACCTCTTCGTCCGCACGAACCCGTGATAGCAGTGGCAAACGCAGAAGTACTGATGATAAGGCAAAAGAGACGCGGTCTGGAGGATTCCTGAGCAACCTGTTCGGGTCCAGGGTTTCTGAACCGATAGAAAAACAGAGATCATCCTCTGCTGACAGGCGTTCCTCCCGTGAAGTCCAGTCAGAGATTGGTTCTCGACGCAAAGAGAAATCATCAAGGCGTCGCAGCTCCAGTCGAGGAGATACGTTGGACAACGAATCTCGAGTCCGGGATGAGCGCAGCGCACTTGCGGACAAGGAAAACATTAACATTGAGGATTATAAGTCCAGCAGGCATCGAAGGAAAGAAAGCCGGCGACAGGGATACGAGGATATCGTGGAATCGGGTAAATCGAGGGAGTTTGAGAAGGTATAGTGCTTAGTTGTCTTTCCCATTTACCTGTAAATTGGCCACGGGCCATTCGCTGCCCTGGTTATTCCCATATCCGTTTTGAGAGAATATGTATGACGCATATACTAAAAGCTTCTTTTCTTCTTTCCCACGTGCAGGAACGGGAAAAATCCCAAGACGACGAACAGCGGTCTTTTTTAGTGGAAGGCCCCGAAATGCCAGTCAAGGTAGACGAGGGTGATGATCATCACGGTGCTTCGGGGCGAGTGGATCGTGAGATTCTTTCAGGATTGGGACTAGATATCTTGGAGCAGCGGCCCAGAAGTCGCTCTACCTCGCCTCCCGCGTCGGCGAAGACCGTCGATCCGGCCCCCAAGTCTCAAAGTAGACCAACATCGCCCGAGATGGCCCGATCCCCAGAAGGGGACCAAGGTCAGCGATCTCGACGGTCGTCTGTCCTGCGGACGACCGAGTCCCCTACCGCTGTGCCACTGCACTTCCGTCGACCGCCAACATCTCCCAGACTCCATCGTTCTTCTTCAGTCTCTTCTATCGTGCCAACGTCTCCCGGCTCGCCGACTCATGGACGTCAGCGTCGTCCAGTCTCAACCGAGTTCATAAGCTCGCGTGAAATCCGGCCCTTGTGGCTTGTTGCGAAACATGGTGCTAACAAGACAGAGACTGAATCGGACGAGCCACTGCCTTCCCTACCATCAAGCAGGTCTTCCTCAGCGCATGCGTCAGTCGAAGATCTCACAGCCCTACCGGATGAGAAGAAATGGGAAATGGTCGATCTCAGTCAGTACGTACGAGGGCCACCAAGTCTCAATGATATAAAGATGCCTGTTGCGAGAAACCATGGCAGTGACGAGTCTCAGTATGACTTCCTCGACTCTCAAGAAGGCACTCCGACTGCACCGACCTTTGACCAGACCGTTCATCACTCCCCGCCCAAGAAAGAGAAGTTAAATTATGAGTTTCACTCTGCTTCCGAGCTTTTACAGGACCCGAGTACTTATGTCGAGCTACCTCTTTCGACAACTCGCGCTCTTCCCTCGACTGAAGTGTCGGCAGTGGATATCAGAGACAAGGATGGCAAGGAGTGCAAATCAGAGGATATGCAACCAATTTCTGAATGCCGGCCGTCTACTCCGGAGAACAAGGCCGTTGATGCGGAAGACATGTCAGAGGTTACACCGACACAAGCAAAGTCCAGTCCTGTGATCTATTCATCTACCTTTGACAAGAGCCCGGAACTTGCCGAATCTGTCGACGCTCCTGTCGTTGCTGCTGTCAATGCAAGTGTCAATTCCCAATCTGACTATCCTGACAATGAAAAGCAGACACCCTCCGACATCAAGCAAAACATTGAAGAGGGAGGGGAAAGTGCCGGTGATATTGTGGAGAAGAGCGCCCGTCTACCTGACTCGGAAATGTCAGCTACAGAGAAGGACCGGGAAGCTTCACCGATTCAGGAGACGGCCCATACAGACTTCACGGCTATCGCCAACGCCGCTGTTGCAGCAGTCGGGTTTATGGCAGGAAAAGGCGATTTATGCAAAGAGTCACATACTCGGGCAATTAATCAGGTCAATGACGATCTGAATGCGACAATGGATGAGGACAAGGACCCAGAAGGGCCCTCGGATGAACTTATGTCTGCAGTCGAAAGGCCTAGCACGGCGATCGAAGTGAACCCTGAAAGCGACGTCCCGGCCGTAAGGGCGGATGAACAACACAGCCAAGAACAAGAACAGACAGATCCTGGGGCCCCTGTTACATCAGAGAAATCCGAAGAACTCCTCATCGAAGCGGAACAGCCCGAGCTAGAGCCTGCCAGTGCTGAAGCAGCTGCCGAGGCTAGCGAGCCGGTGACCGAAGAACCTACCAGAACCTTGGATGAAACAACAGAAACATTTGCCGAACCAAGCATTGAGTCCAAAGAGCAAGAGGAGCCGGAGAAAGCCACGTCTGTTGCTGTGGACAGCTCAGAGCCTGTAGTGGAGAACAAGCTCAAAGATGGCGATCAAAGCGCCGAAGCGCACCCTGAGGAACCAAAGGACGACATGCCTACGCCCGTCATATCCGAGGATGTCTCCGCCGAAACCGTACAGAATGAGAAAGAGACAGCCGCAGAAGACGCTACTACATACAATGCTGAGCCTGCATCGAATGATACAAGCAAAACTGCCGGTGATCTTGCCGAGGCCGTTTTCGATGTAACTGAGCCAACTGTTCCCGAGGATACCCCTTCGGAGCTCAGAGACCAGGATGCAAAGATTGTTATGGGGATAGTGCCTACCACAGACTTGGCTGACAAAGACCGCGATGAGCCCGCAGAGGGTGAGCATGTGCCTGATCTATCTGGTGAAGCCTCCGAAGCGAAACAGGAGATAGAGTTGGTGAAATCAGAGGATGCCCCCACCAGCATGGAACCCACAACGGAAGCAACAGATAGCCTTCCCCAAGAGCCTGCCGAACAACCTGAAGACTCCAATGTCGATTCGCCCGCCCCATCGTCTTCCAAGAAGAAGAAGGGCAAGAAAAAGAAGAAGGGCAAGAGCATTGATCTAGGTACCCAGGAGCCATCACCATCCGTTGAAGAGGCCGTTTTGCCGTCCGAAGAGCAAACCCCGGAAGATACTCCAGAGCCTGCGCAAGTTGAGATGACAAATGAGCCTGAACGTGGTCCACAGGAGTCTGCCCCAATTGAGCAAGCCACTGCCAATGTCCCCGAAGAGGCTGCTGTAGAGACAGAGAACTTGCTTGAATCTGAGTCTCAAGGAATGCCCTCTGTGGAAATCTCTCCGTCTCTCCATGAGCCTACTGTAGAGACTGAGAAGACACATGAAGCGGGTACTGAGGCGCTGCCGTTGACTGAGAAATTCATCCCGGTCGAGGAATCTCTCACAAAGGCCGAGCAGACAAGCGAGCCTGTGTCGGAAGAGACTCCTGCTATTGAACAGCCCATAGTGCCCGAGCAGCCAAGTGAGCCGGTGTCTCAAGAAACTCCAGCGATCGAACAACCCATAGAATCTGAGCAGCCAAGCGAAACGGTATCTCAGGAAGCGCCAGCAGTTGAGCAGCCAGGTGAGCCCGTGTCTCAAGAAGTGCCAACAATTGAACTGCCTACAGCGACCGAGCAGCCAAGCGAGCCCGCATCAGAGACCCCAGCAGTTGAAGAGTTCGGAGTCACTGAACAGCCAAGTGAGCCATCTCAAGAAACACCAACAGCTGAACAGCCTGCTGTATTAGAGGACACCGCGTTGGAGGCTTCTAAGATAGACGATAGCCACCAGACACCCGAGCAATTGGACGCAGCCAACCCTGAAGTCGCACCCGCTGCGGATGCTGGAGAAACAGGTTCGGATGCCGCATCCTCTTCTAAGAAGGCCAAGAAAAAGAAGAAGAGAAAGAGCAACAGTGCTGCTACGGGAATGAGCACCGAAGGGCCATCCGAAGCCGAGCCCACAAATGTTTCAGACGAAGTTGTCACGGAAAATAAGACCCAGTCTACTGAGGTATCTGAGGCAAAGGAAGACGTGAAGTCTTTTGATGATGCTAACATTGAGAACGCGGCAGAAGCAAGCAAAGAGTATAAGGAGATAGAGCTTGTGAAGCTTCTTGAGGAAACTACTGCAGAAGGGGAAAAACTCACAGTTGAGGAGTCTACTGATGCAGCAACAGAGGCTACTAGAGCTACAGAGGAAGACTTGAAGCCTTCTGAGGAACAGACTCATCCCGCGAATGAGGAGTCCGCTCATACTACTACCACCGAGGTCGCTGAGCGCCAAGAAGAGCCTGAAGTCACCCATACAGCCGAAGTATTCCTTGCAGAGGACATCGCAGTGCACGCAATCGAAGCTGGAGAAGATAGCAAGGAGTCACAGGTCCGCGAGGAACTGCCAGAATCTACTACGGAGCCCCTCATCGCCCAGGAGCATCAAGAGGCTACTGAAAATGCTACAGAACTCGCAGAGGGCGAAGCTTCACTCCCACAGCAAGATTTTGAAGTGTTCCCGAATGCTCAAATAGAAGATACTGTGCCGACAGAAAGCCTAGAGGAAGCGCCCATTGACAAGCAAAACAACGATCCGGTCGACCTTGATAATGTAGCACGACAGCAGGATGAAAGCCAAGAAAGGGAATTCCAGAACGAGGAAGAGCAGCAAACACCCGAGCATGCGACAGAAAAGAGTGTCCCAGCTGCCGAGGCCGAGCCTCATGGCGACAAGGAAACGCTCCCACACCTACCTGCCCCTGATAATCCAGCAGAGATGGCGCTGAAATATGGTGCAAAGGAAGACGATTCACAGGCTGCCACTGCGGATTCAGAGATACCTTTGTCACACAAGATTAGCAAGAAAAAGAAGAAAAACAAGCGCAAGAGCACCGTCGAGGCCTCGCAGGAAATTGAGCCAGTGGAAGCCTTGCCACCGACTTCCTCGGCTGAGGTTATGCCCGGTGCTTTCATCGAGACCTCGCAAGGGATTGATTCAGTGGATGCTCTGCCACCAACTTCCTCGGCTGAGGTCATGCCTGGTACTTTCGTCGAGGCTGAAAATGATCCCGCTACTGAAGCCGTGTCCGTGACTGAGGCTGAACCAGCTGCGACTGGCGATGAACTGTCTGAGTTGAAACAGCTGGATGACGTCCCCGAGGAACTCAAGGAAGAGCCAAAGGATGACAGGGCAATTGATCTGGAACCTGCGGTCAGCACAGCAGGGGACGATTCTCAAACAGTTGACCTGGCCGGAAACACCCAGGAAGTCGAGCCAGAGGAGGTCATGGAGGAGCAGCCGAAGAAGAAGAGCAAGAAGAAGAAAAATCGCAAATCCTCTGGCTTGACCGATTCTCAGCCTGAGCCCGAGGTCGAGCAGTCCGAGCCCAACCAAGAACCGCCCCAAACAAGCGGTGAACTGCCATCCGCCGCCCTGGAGACTGAGGAACCACCCCAGCAAGATATCTCCGACGGAGCAACCGCGGAGCCCCTCGCTGAAGCCACCCTTGATGAGACAAAAGAGCCGGTGGAGAACGTCGAGACCAATGACGACACACCACATGTGCCCGAGCAATCAGCGGTCGAGCCTGCGCCTGAACATGAGCCTGAATCGGAAGCGGGGAACCCTACGCCGACCGGTAAAAAGGGCAAGAAAAATAAGAAGAAGAAGAAGCAAAGCCGGCCATCCTCACCTGAAGGGATTTCGACACCCGCTGAGCCTTCCTTAGACGACGCTGAGCCTGCAATTGAAAGCGTCGAAGCCCCTGTCGACACCGAAGAGATTCCTGCCTCTACCGATCAGGATCAAAAGCAAGAAGAGGCAGCCGAGGTCCCTGAGCTCGCCGATACACCCGAGGCTCCACAAGAGCAAGCGCCAGCTTCTCCCCCCATGACCCCTGCTCAAAAGAAGAAGGCAAAGAAGGAAAAGAAGAAGCTACAGAAGCGGCAGGCTGAATCCGCTGTCGCGACTCCCGCATCCGAACCTGAATCTTGGGCAATTCCTGATGAAACTGCGCAAGGTAACTTGGCTCCCGTTGAGGAACCTTCCTCTCTGTCGTCGGAGAAAGTGGATCTTGCTGCCGGTGAAGAGCCAAAGATAGAAGATGAGCCTGCCCCGGAGCAGCCCAAGGACGTTGGTACTGAAGAGCCCACTTCTGGGATCTCAGTTGAGGAATTGACAAGCCATGTACCCGAGGATGTGCCTGAAGCTGCAGCTGTAGATACCCTACCAGATGACGAGGTAGCTTCGGGAGATGCAGAGGCTTCGCAGCCAGCAGAAGAACAAGCTACTGACCAAACACCTGGCGAGATGGAACAAGAACCCTTCAACGAGGAATTGACTAATCCTGACCTTCAACTAGCCCCAGAGCAACCGGCGGAAGAAATTGAAAGAATTGCTCTTGGTGAGAAGACCGCAGAGACAGATGCTGAAAGTCCGGAGCCTGAAGCAGATAATGCGGTGGAATCAATCGTCGCAAACGAGGAGCCGCAGCAAGACAAGTTAGAGTCTGTGGAGCAAGCACAAGAACAACCCGAAAACGCTACATCTACCGATGCGACGTCGGAAGCTCTTAACGATGAGGCGCTCAATGACGAAGTCGAAAAAATTCACGCAGGGCCAACAGAAGACATCATTGTCAGTGAGCATGCCGCCGATTCAGGTGCAGCAGCCTTAGAAAGTGTGCCACTGGATGACGCGACGGGTACAGAAACCCCCCAGAGGGAGGTTCCAACGGAAGCTTCTGGCATAGACACGCAGGAAGAGATCAAGAGCAATGACGCTTCAACTATCGATGCTGACTTGCAGGAGCCTGCCCAGGAAGACGTTCAGCCTTCGTCTTCAGCCAAGTCGAAAAAGGACAAGAAGAAAAAGAAGAAGCGTCAGTCGACCACCGCTGAAGAATCCCAGCCTGAACCCGCGCAAGGTAATGATGGCATTGAACCTCCGTCTGAAGCAGACGCGGTGTCTATCCCACCTCCCACAGATCCAGAGACGATTTCTGTGACCCAAGGCGCGAACGAACCCGAAAATACCATTCCAGAAAAGCCTTCACAGGAATTCAAGGAGCCTGAAAGCCAAACGGTAGAGCCAGTGCAGGAGACCCCGACATCAACGTCCAAGAAGAAGGCTAAAAAAGACAAGAAGAAGCGCAAGTCCGTCTCTTTCGTGGATGCGGAGCCTACGACACAGCCAACTGAGCCCAGCGATCCCACGGAAAACGCAGACGAAACTCCTCAACTGGAAGGCGAACAAATGCCTGAAGAAAACGGCCATGCTGAAATTATTCAAGATGTCGATACTACCAATGGTGGGGAGGCACAGAAGAGCGAACCAATCGTTATGGATCCGGTTGAAGAAACGCATAGTATGCCTGAAAGCAGCGAAGGCGCTATGGCTGCCGAAATCGCCTCGCAAACTGATGCTGAACAGTTGCCTGAATTCGCAACCGAAGCACAGGCCGAGGAAACGGAAGACCAGGCAGCTTCTAAGGATATGCAGGAAGTACTCCCCGAAGTGGAGGAGCTCAAGCAGGAAGTCTCAGTCCCCACCTTCACTGAAGACCCTTCTGCTGTTGCTGAGGAAGGTGAACCAAGCAAGGAACTGGAGCCAGATGGCGAAATTATCACGGAAAAGGTTGAGGCTTTGGAGACTGAAGCTGGTCCTGAAGCTGATGTTGGCCAATCCGAAACCGCTGGAACAGAGCCTGAAGCTGTAACTGTTGAAGCTGAGCAAGATACCGGGTCTTCAAAACTCAAGAAGAAAAGGAAGAAGAAGAAGAGCAAGTCCGCGGAGTCCAACGCGGAGGCGAATGAAGATGTTCTTCCCACAGTTCCTGATTTCGGCACCAGCAATGTTCCGAGTGAACCCGACACTCCGGTCGAACCTGGTACTCCCGCTGAGCCTGATACTCTCGCTGAGCCTGCCACTCCTGCCGAGATCGATATGCCGGCTGAAGAGATCCCTGTCGATACTTCGGGATTTGATGCGAGAGAATCCGAAGATGTTGCTCCGGAGCCTGAAAAGATCGAAGAAGCCCCTCCTATGTCGGCGAAAGCGAAAAAGAAGGCAAAGAAGGACAAAAAGCGCCAGTCCAAAAGCCTGGGAGCTGCCATAGAGCCTGCTGTGGAAGAGCCTCAACCCTCCGTTGCGCCTGAATCAACGCCCCCAGTTGAAGAATTTCAAGTCTCGAGCGAAACTCAAGTGCCAAGCGAAACGGAACGCGCGGAAATGTCCCCTGAGACGGCAATCTTACCTGCTGAAGATGACGGTAAAGACAATCAGTCCCACGGCACCGAAATCCACGGCGAGAACGATAAAGATCTGACTTGGACTGATGACATGGTATCTCCGCAGGTAGAGCAAGAGCAAGCGAGTTCTTTCGCTTGCCCACCCCAACTCGAGCCTGAGAATGTCGAAAGCGACCCAGTTTCCATTCCCTCCGACGAAGAACGCAAACCCGTTGAGCTGGATGCCAATGTGCCAAGCCAAGATGAACCATCAACAGCCAACGTACCGGAGGAAGCGGGTGATGGAGATAAGCTATGCACGCCCGCAGTTGAAACTATTCAGGCTGTAGACGAAGAGACTGGAGCAGTGTCAGTGCAGGAAGAGGAGGAGTCCAATAGTGAGCGAAATGTTGCGGAAGGATTGAGTCAGGAGGTGGTAGGAGACGTGGAACAACAAATGCCAACGGGGGAAGATTCCGAGCAGATGGTTGAACAGCCTGCGAGTGAAGAACAACCATTTGGTGTCGAAGTGGAAGACAAATCAGCGCATGGCCTTCCAGAGACGGGCGAGGAAACGATTACGGCAGAGCCTGAAACCACGCAGGAACTAGAGTCGTTGGAGGAAAAGACGCCGGATATTGCAGGTCCTGCAAATGATGTGCAAGAACCGCCGAAGAAAAAAAGCAAAAAAGACAAGAAAAAGCAGCGTAAGGCACAGAAAGCGGCTGCTTTGCAGGAAGCTGAACCGGATGTCGCTACGCAGGGTGAGGAGGAACCAGTTACTACAGACTTGCCTGGCGATCGGCCAGTGGAACCCGAGCCCACGGGCCCCGGAATGGAGGTAGACATGGATGCAACTCTTGAGCGAGCTGTCGAGGATGAATCGAATCAACCCGACCCTGATACCGTTGTCGAGAATGAGGGTCGCGCAGACGAAGTTGATGTCTCGAGTACTTCTCGTCTTGAGTCCAACGTCGATGATGGCGTTTCGGCTTTAGACTCTGCGGTTACGGAGCGGAACCGTGAGGAGGACAAGCTAGAGGAATCTGCTGCTAGCCCTGAAGTTTCTGTCCTGCAGGCTGCTGAAGCAGAAGTTCCAACCGAAACCCAGGATACCACCCCCGAAGTTCCTATCCCAGAGGCTGCCGAAACAGAAGTCCCAGCTGAAACCCAGGAGCCGCCCGCTGACACCGCCTCTAATAAGAAGAAGAAAAGCAAGAAAAACAAAAAGAAAGCTTCTGCCGACGTTGAAGAAGAGCCCAAGGCCGAACAGGTGGTTGGACTCTCTGGTGACAAGAAAGAAGCATTCGAAGCCGTTGTCTCTGAGCCACTGGAATTGACAGATGCGCCCGTCGAACGGTCTTCTGAAATAGAGGAACACAAGGATGATCCAGAGACTCCGGTAGAGGTTGTTCAAGAGGAAAAGACCATTGAGCCATCTGCGACGCGTGACCTGCCTGGTCTGGATGGGGAGGCCCTCGAACAAGAACCCGAGGCTCCTCGAGAACTTGAGACTTCTCATGTAGTAGAGGTTCTGCAGGGACAAGAAGACCCAGAGGATTCGCGTGCACCAGAGACTTCCCAGATACCAGAGGCTCTGCAGGAACCAGAGGCTACGCAAGAGCCAGAAGCTCCTCAAGAGCTGGAGGTCTCCCAAGAACCAGAGACTTTTCAAGAGCCAGCGGCTTCACCAGCACTAGAGGCCCCGCAAGTAGTTGAGACTCTTCAAGAGCCAGATGACTTGCAAGAACAAGAGGCCTCCCGGATATTAGAGGCTTCTCAAGAACTGGTCACTCCACAAGAGCCAGAGGCATCGCAAGAGCTAGAGATTTCTCAAATACCAGAGGCTCTTCAGGAACCAGAGGCTGCACAAGTACCTGAAACCCCTCGAGAGCCAGGGGTTTCTCAAGAGCCAGAGGCCACCCAGGAGCCAGAGGATCTGTACGTTCCCGAGGTTCCTCAGGCACCAGAAGTTCCTCAACTAGATGCTACGCAAGAACCAGAGGCGCTGTCCAAGCAAGTGTTCGAGGACCTCGAGTCTCTGCGTGATAACAATACTTCCTCATTTGCTGCTGAAGCAAACGTTCAAGAATCGGCTGAGGCGGTTCAGGATGAGGTAGCTACAGGGATGCCCCTATCCCGCAAAGAATCCAAGAAGAAAAGGAAGAAGGCAAAGAAACAGGCCAAGAACGAGCAGGAAGAGATCTCTACGCCAGTTCCGGTTGAGGCGACAATTCCTGCGGAAATCCCAGCAGAGTGGGCAAAGGATAATGACTTCCCTCAAATATCTGCTGAAGAACCGAGAGGCTTTACAGAGGAGAAGGAATCGGAAAGCCAAGTGCTGCAGCATGAGAAAGACAAGGATCAATTCCAGGCCCCGCAGGATGAGGGGAACGAACCGACCCTGGATGCGAACAAGCCTAGTGAACTCGACCAGGTGCTAGCTGAAGACGACCAGAAGGATGTGCCTCTTGTGAAAGACTCAGGCGTAGAAATGGCTACGTTGGACGCTGACATTGAAGCCTCAAAAGAAGAAAACCTTGAGAGTGTCGAAGAGCGAGTGGATGCCCTTCCAGAACAGACGTTGACAACGATACCATTGAAAAAGATGTCTAAGAAGGAACGGAGGAAAGCTAAGCAAAATGCGGAGCAGGAAGTCGTCGACGCTTCACAGCCACTACGACTAGAGATCGAAGAAAAAGCTACAGGAGATCTTCACGTTGTCCAAGACCAAAACACGGAAACTTCCGATCCTCTGACCGCTGAGCCTGAGGTTGAAGATGTCACTGCTTCGAAGTCACGGAAAGAAAAGAAAAAGAAGCGTAAGGGAAATGACATAAAAGAGCCGGGAGTTGAAAGGTCCAATGAGTGGGATGCTATCGATCCTTCAGTACAAGAAACCGAAGCCCCGGTTGGGGAACAACCTACAGGGGACGGCGAGTATTGGCCTACGATAGACTGGGAGAAAAAGCAGTCTGATGCGACGGAACAGTCTCCGGACTCGTCGCCTGAAGCTCGTGTGGCTCCCTTTGAGCCAGGGATTGCCGAATTTGACGAGTCTGCAACTCCAGAGGGTGTCACTCGGCGGGCAAGCACAGCCAGAAGAGCCAGAGCGGCCAGGATGCTTCGCTACCAGGGAAAGAACGCCGAAGTTTCTGGCAACACCGAGCAGGCACTGGGACCGGAGGCTACTACCAATGAAGAACCTGTTGCCGAGCCCGCTACAGAACATGCTGCGCACAAATTGGAAGGCTCTATCTTCGAGAAACCGAGCACCGAGATTCTTGATACAGAGTCCAACAACCAGAGTAAAGTTGCTAACATTTTTCCCGACCTGGAGCGAGGCTTTTTCCGTCGGCCTGGTCTGATTGATGCGCCTGGGTCAGTAAAAGATGGGGCTGAGGAAGAGACTTTCGATCAGGAAGCGAATCGCGACAGCGAGAAAGTCTTGGAAGCTCCCATCGCTACCACAGGAGCCAGTCCGCAGGATGATACCAATGTCACTACGGAACCGAGCCATGCTGTAGAGTCTGAACCGTCCTCTACACCAGACGAGCCCATGCTTGAAGTTGAGGTGAACCCGTCATACAATGTCTCCGTGCTTTCAGACGGGCCAGATGAGGGAACCCGACAAATCGATATCCAGTGGGGGGAAGAAAAGGATAAAGCCGAAACAACGATTCCGGATCTGTCCCCTCATCGCGAGGTCCCTTTATACGCACCATCGCCCACCCATGAGCGACCGTCGGCACTCGTTCGGTCTTCACCTCCGATTGAGTTGGAAATGGAAGCAGAACGCGCGTCGCCCACATGTGAGCTACGACGCAGTCCATCGATCCACGGGCGGCACAACCACAATCATCCCCCACGACCGTGGTCGTTGGAGGCCGACCCGAGCACTGAGTCAAAGCCGTCGTCGCCGCAGCCATCGTCACTCTTCGGTGGACCAGCAGACATGGATCGGGAGAGCGTCTCGCCGCCGCGAACCCCATTACAGACCATCAAGGAGTACTCTGAGCCCGAGAACCGAGCGGAGCGATCCACTGAGGCCGGTTCCACGGTTCGCGGACGCGGCACGCCCCGTCTGGAGATGAAGCCCGAACATGTGCTTCCACGCCCTGAAACGCCAACGCGAATGTTTACGGACAATGCGCTAGCGCGACAGGCGTGGCCGACACGGGGCAGGGAGACAGAGGTGGATGTCAAGAAGCGCAGGCCAGAGGGCCGGCTGATGGAGAAGAGTAGTGGATGGGCTGGGGAGGTGCTGGGGACGCCGGAGAAGGAGATGCCGATTCTGCGACCCAGTGGTAGTGTGCGGAGCATGCGAAGCGCGCATAGTGTACATAGTGTACACAGTGTACACAGCGTCCACAGCACGGCCAGCGCGACCAGCACCAACAACAACAATAACCCACGGGGGCTGCGACGCAGCCTTCGCAGTGCCAGCGGCGACTTGCGGGCGGCCAGCCAGGCACAGGCGCAGGACAGCGACGACCAATCAGAGCGCAAGCCCCAGCCTCCCGTCGCTTCTCCTCCTTCCGACCTCAACATCGAGCGCATCGCTTCTTCCTCCTCCTACGACCCCGTCACCGACAAGGGCAAGCGCCCCCTTCGAAACATGACGGATGTCTATGTAAGTTACCTTTATTTATTTTTAGTAGTGGATCCCATTCCGTGTCATTCCCACTGCCCCCGCATTCTGTCCGCTGACCGCCGTGTGTTTACTACGTAGGAGGGTTGGGGGGAAACGCCCAGCTCACCCCGGTCGCCTAGCCGACCGCCCAGCGTCCGCCACCGCCGAAGCATGCAACACCTCCAGGAAATGGAGACTCGCCTTGACCAACTCATCTCGGAAAATCGCCTGCTTGCCGCTGCCCGCGATGAAGCTGAAGACAAGCTCCGCAATGTCAGCGTCGCCCGCCGCAAGAGCGACCATGCCCTCAACACCCGCGACGCCGACTTGCGCGACCGCGAAGCCGAGGTGGAACAATTGAAGAGCTCGCTCGAGTGGCTGCAGAAGGAAGTGGCCCGCCTCACGGACGAAAACGAAGGGATTCTGATCACAAGCTCCAACCTCACTGCCACTCATGCGCAGGAGGTCCATACCATGCGGGATACCTTCGATCGTCAGGTAGACGAATTGCGTCGGGGAAATCAACAACTGTCGGCGGAGATGCACACTCGGGTGCGCGAAGAGGTGGACGCAGCGTTGGCACAAAAGGATATGGAACTGCGGCGGCTGCGCGAGGAGCTGGAGACCGCCCGCGACAAAGTGAAGCAACTACAGCAGCAGATTGCAGCGGCAATGCAGGACGACGTTCTCGTCTTCCGAGATGAGGATTACTTCGATGCGGCGTGCCAAAAGCTTTGCGGGCATGTCCAGCAATGGGTCCTCCGGTTCTCAAAACATTCCGATCACCGTCGCTGCCGCAAGCTCGCCGATCTACAGGACGAGAAGATTGCCGATCGGTTTGACAACGCCATTCTGGATGGCTCCGATGTCGACACCTATCTCGGCGACCGGGTTCGTCGCCGCGATGTGTTTATGTCTATCGTCATGACCATGGTCTGGGAGTTCATCTTCACGCGATACCTGTTCGGCATGGATCGCGAACAACGGCAGAAGCTCAAGTCTCTAGAGAAACAGCTGGCAGACATCGGTCCGCGCAGCGCCATTCATCGGTGGCGAGCCACTACCCTGACGCTGCTATCAAAGCGGCCAACTTTCTCGAAGCAGCGTGAGAGCGACACCGAAGCGGTCGCGTTGGAGATCTTCGGCACTCTATCGCGGCTCCTCCCGCCCCCGAGCAATGTCGAGGCCCAGCTGCTGGACTCCCTGCGTAAGGTGCTGCGGGTTGCGGTCCACCTGTCCATTGAGATGCGCACTCAGCTGGCGGAGTACATCATGCTTCCGCCATTGCAACCCGAGTATGACACCAATGGCGACCTGTCGCGACAGGTGTACTTCAATGCCTCGTTGATGAACGAGCGCAGTGGCGAAACGACGTCGAACGAAGAACTGGAAACCCAGCAGGCGGTGGTGCGGGTTGTCCTGTTCCCCCTGGTGGTGAAGAAGGGCAATGACCGGGGCGAGGGCGAAGACGAGGTGGTCGTTTGCCCGGCGCAGGTCCTCATTGCCCGGCCCAACAAGGACAAGAAGCTGGTCAAAATGCTCAGCGGCGATCGCATGTCTCTGGATACGGCGCGATCGGTTCACAGCGTCGCTCCATCGTCGACCATGGATATGAGTAATGTGGTCTGAGGCGTCACACTCGGGCCACCGTACTCTGAAGATCTGTGGAAGCAAGTGACCACTGAAGTCCGGGGTGTTGTCTTGATTTCTTTTTCTGTCTCATTGGCAAAAAAGTACTTGGCGTCCGGGGGATGGGGATGGATGCGAAAGGATAATGAATTAATGTTTTGGATGGTTGCTTGGAGCGTTGCTATGATTTGCGTTCTCATATATCCCCAATTTTTGTTTTTGTTTCTCTTCTGTTTTTATTTCTTTTCTTCTGTTTCACATTGACGACGTCCATGATGATGCCTGATATCTACTCTAGAGCTGACGATATTGACGGCCTGATTTCTTTTTTCCCCACTACTTTTTTTTAATAGTGAATTTTTCTGGAATGTACTTATGTACCATGGACTAGGAAGTCTGTATCTACGTGATGAAACAATGAATGAAGTGTTCCAATTATACTGTTGATTATTGTATCAGATTTTCGGGGCGCCCCGGAATTGCCCTGGAATGGGCAGCGGAGATGAAGTCATGATGACCGGGCAAACTCCGTACGGCTAGTGTATTGAATACTATACTCATTCCCGGCCAGACCCGGGGGCCGGAAGACCCCGCCCGTCGTCAGCGCCGTCAGAGCCGTAAGATTACGCCCGGGCAGCGTCACCGCCCCGTAAGGAGGAGCTCGTATTGGGCAATCTGCCGGGCGGTCGGGCGCCTGGCGAGTCCCTCTGGCGCTCGGCGTCTTCCCTGCTTTTTCCACCTCTCCTTCTCCTTCTCCTCCTCCTCCTCCTCATCATCCTTCGCGTCACTGCCGGCTGCTCTGCTGCGTCCTCCCCTTGGCAACGCACCCAGTCACTCTTGCCATCTGGAATTTAATTTCCCCTCAAATTGCTCGCGTGCCCCCGTCCCCTCGCCGAAAACAAGCCTGCCTGCCTGCCTGCCCCCTCCGCATCGATCGAGTCGCCGAACGGGTCCTCGTCAGCCTTGGCCTTCTTCCCACCCGCGCTAGACTTGCCGTTCCTTGACGTGGGCGGCTGTCATTGGGCCTCGCGTGCCCTCCCCTGAGTGGGCGATCGGGCTTCTCTGCTCCCTCCTCGTCCCTCCATTAGTCCATTCGCACCACGCCTCTATCTATCTAGCTGCTCAGCTGCTGGCGCTACTGCTGCTGCTGCTGGATGCCCCGGTTACGGTTGTGGTCCTGAAGCCACTAGCACACGACGAGCCTAGGACCTCACCAACTCGCCCACCTTCCGCCCACCCTGCGCACACACTACGCAAACACTACCGTCTGCTCCCGGACATCGACCGTGCTCGGCCCTCGAACGATTAATATTGATGGATCGCTTGCTCGACGCTTTCCGCCTCCGGTCTGCCTCCAGTCGAAGATTCTGACCTCGCGCTTCCTTGCGTCTGACAGCCTGTCGAATTCTGACTGTCGTCCGCCATTCCTCCTGCCAACCTGCCAATAGCAGGCCCAATCCTCCCTCCCACGACAACCACCGGCCAACCGTCCTCCTCCCGCAAGTCCCCGTTCCAGCCAACCCGACGCTGGCTACCTGGATCGACAGCGTTCCCCGTGAACACTAACGGGCTCGGAGCTTGTTCTAGACGTTCCATCTCACCGTCTTCTGATCGAGTTGAGTTATGTGCACTGCTGCGCCCGCGTTGACGGCTTCGGTCTGCCTGGATTATTACTTGGTTTCCTGAGTCCCGCGAAAACAATTCACTCCGCTTGGTGGCTGCGCTTCCTCCCCTCGTTGCTCCCCCCTCATCCCCCTCGCGGTGTCGATACTCCCCCATCTGGTAATCTAAAGTGCATCGGCAGCATGTGGCTGTTGTTTATTCGTCTGCCAACTCGCTTGACTGTGTAACGTGGTTTTTTGTACGACATCCCTGAAGACGATTTGTCCTCCAGTACGGCGACCACTTAGCTCTCGTCGCTGCTTCGAGCGCCGAATCTCCTGACGTCCTTTCGGTTTCGTCTTCTGCTTATCCCCCCCCCTCCCCTCCCTTGGTCCCGGTATTCCCGCCGCTGGGTGGCTCACCGATATTTTATTGTTTTGATTTTCCGTTTTTGACTTTTCCCACTCCCCTGTACGGACCCTTGTCCCGGTTCCCTCTCGGACTTCGTGATTTCTAGAGCGTCTGGTCAGCGTGTTCTGGCTGGGCAGAGATCATGGCAGCGGAGTCCGAGAGGTCACCTTATCCCAACGGGACCTCTGGTGGATCTCGTGTGGCCCAAGTTGATGAGGCTGCCTCATCTGCACCACGCCGATCTGCCAGTGAGAGTGACATGATGGAAGTGCCACGTTCAACCTTCAGATCCCAAGTTCAGGGCTCGGCCGCGTCACAGATGCCTAAATACACGCAGGCGGTTCCTGGCGCAGCCGCCTCGACAACAAACTCGGCTATATCCTCCCGCGAGTCCTCCCCCGTGCGTTCCTCCCGTCGCCCGCGCAACTCGAGTGCAACTCCTCGACTGTCCTCTCGGTCTCGCAAAGGCAGCGTAGACCACAGCCCGAATCGTTCCATCGCGAGTGGCAATCCTGGGTCGGGCACGCTCCCCTCCGCCACGGTCGTGCAACGAGCGCTGTCCCAGAACAGCAAACCCCCCGTCCTCAGCCCACCCCCCAATGCCGAGGCGACCTCCGATGTGCCCAGTCCGGACAAGTCCACCATGCCATTATGGGCCACATCACGTCGGTCGGAGCAGGAACCCTCCCTGCCGAATACCTCCATCAAACGATCGATGCCCCTGCAGGACGACCTTGCGACGAAGACTGCACCCCGTGCCGTGAACCGGGGTATCAACGGACAGAGCTCTGCTCTGGAAACCGTTCAGGAGATGGCGAGTGATCAGTCCACGCCATCGACCGATACCATCCTGAATGCACCCCTGAAGGAGGAGTCCCGGTTACAAAAGATTGATGAGGACGCGACGCCCCGGGCTTCGAGGATAATGAACAACGAGAGTGGTAGCGACAGCGGGGGAAACAAGAGCTCCGAACCGATGGAGGGGAACCGCCGTCATGCTTCGTCGGGGGCGAGGGGGCCCAACACCCTCCTCCCCAAAAGATCATCTACGTCGCTGAGCGGTGGTCCTCGGGCCAAACCGACCGACGGGTCGGTGCGGAACATGATCGTCGAGACCGAGACCGTCAGTTCAATCCCTCAGGTTTCCCTCGGTGTCGCCACCGGTGACCGAGGCAACACCGGCCGACTTGACACCGGCACTCTGCGCATGAAGCCTAGCACCGAGACAATCCGCCCAAAGAAGGAGAAGAAGCGAACGCGCAAGCCTGCGACTTTGGCTAGCGGCGCTGCGTCTTCCAAAGCGGACATCTTCGAGGCCAAGGTGGCCAGTGCTGTGGACGAAGCCGATGTTTCCGACTCTGACGAGACTTTCGTGTATGAATCCAACCCGCCGGACCCTTATCCAGTTCGGCAGAACCGGTACCATTCTCGGACCCCCAGCGCGACATCGATGGCCAGCCAGGTGGACCAGCTGGCGGGTCGCAGTCGTCCCGGGATCCGGGATGGCAACCACAGCGTGACAGGCAAGCGAAGCATGAAGTTCACCAACAATACGTTTACCAGCGCAGCGGATGATCCTGGCGAGGAGAGCACTCGCAGTCACCCCCGCGTCGACGGTGGCGGCACGCACACTCCCCGTCACCATCATATCGGGCGATATGGGCGCAACAACAACCTGTATCCGTCCCTGTTCGACAGCGACTCGCCGTTCCCTCAGTCTCAGGCGCACGCCAAGTCCCCGCGGCATTTTATTGGGAACGGATACCGGCAGTCCAGACACCCCGGGTCTCGCGCTGCCCCCAACTACCGCACCATCAACGGATCCAAGAAGGCGAGCGATGTCTATGGATATGATTTCGACGCCGAAGGTGCGGATGATGAGCGGACGCCGCTGGTGGGATCTCCGCGTGTGACACGGAGCCGGCACGGCAATCGGCGCCCCAACAGTGCGAGTCTACGCCAAATGGAATACATGCAACAGCGGCAGCGAGGGTGCTTCTCTCGGTACGGGGCTTGTGTGGTCATCAGCTTCTTGCTGTTTCTGCTCGTTGGCGGCATGACCTCCTTTGTCATCGCTTCCACTAAGACCCTCGTGGAAGTCGAGATTCTTGAAATCCAGAACGTCCTCGCTTCCGAACAAGAGATCATGTTGGATCTGAATGTGCAGGCCATCAACCCCAATCTCTTCCCTGTGACGATTGATGATATGGATATGAACATCTTCGCCAAGAGTCGATTTGTTGGGACCGACAAATTATGGCACGACCACAGTTTGGATCCGAACGACTTTCCCCGTGTTGAGGACAGCAGGAAACGCGCCGCAATAGCTCGCCTGGCTCGCTGTGCCAGCGATGCAGGTTGTCCGTCCGATGAGACATTGTCAGACCTCTCATCGAATGGGGGCAAAGGCATCGACAAGGGCACAGATCCTATCCCGAGCGATCCAGCGGGCGATCCTCAGACCATGTTGCTCGGCCGTGTCTTCCGCTTTGACTCTCCTCTGTCCTTCGAGCCATCTCCGTGGAACTACATGGCCTCGACTTCAAAGGGTCAAATCCGGCTTGCTCGCCCCGGGAACAAGACGGAAGAAGGTGGCACGGAACGGTGGGAGCGGGTGCTCCAGCATCAATTCGACCTGATCGTCCGTGGTGTTGTCAAGTATCAACTTCCTCTGAGTTCCCGGGTTCACTCCGCATCCGTGAGTTCTAGCTTCAAAGTGACACCCGACGGAGACAACGACACCGGGGATGATGATCACAAGGAAACTCCGGTGCTGAATGGCACTGTGGGGATTTCAGGATCCAGGTCTTTTCGCCGGACACTGCGAGAAAGATCCGAACTTCCAGAGAGTCGGACCTTGGATGCTGTGCGAAAAACCCTGAATTATGTCAAACGAACATTCACGGCTTAATGCTTTCTTGTATAACACGACTGCTGGTCATGACCTGCATGGCATGGCGCCTGGATTTCCCATCGTATCTTGTCCCAATACCTACTGCGTTGGCCCTGGTTTTCGCTTGCGTTCGAGCGTTCGAGCGTTCGAGCGCTCCATCATCGCCGCCTGCCTCTTGCTCGACGGCTTTCTTGTACTGGATGTGGACGGACTGACATGAGGTCGGCCTCTTATCGCGTTGGCCCTGGCTCGGCCCGCCACGCGAGCAAGACCCTCGCCCATGTCGACGGACACTTGCGCATGGCAACATGCGTTTATGCTTTATGGTCTTTCCTTTGTTGAAATGACGTTATTTTTTCTGGAAACCTACCTAGCGATTGGATTAAATTCCCGACTGATGTGTGACGAACTGATATTCCATCATGAAACGGCAGCAAAAAAGCGTGGAGAACGGCAACAGTTTTTTCTTTTTTTCTACAAAAAGACGTGACGTATGCATCAGCACGGCGCTTACACTTTTGGGGAGTTCTTCACTATTTATCCATCTATCTTGCTTGATTCGCATCGTTTCCTGGCCGGGTCGGAGGGGCTTGTTTGATTAGAGAGAGGCCGGCCGGTAGACGGCGGTGGTTTCACGTGTTGTTCTTCTCTAGCTCACGCATGGCTGTGCTGAGCGACTTTGCTCTGCTCCGCGATGCTCTGCTTCATGCCCTGTATCTATGTATGTGTGTACATAATATGCTATATCGGGGACAGGGAAGTGTGTCTTTGATAGATGACCTTGACCTTGACTTTGACTTTGCAGATAGGCTGTAATGATATGTAAGTATACAGTGTGATCGACCAGTGTGTCTGTATTAGATGAGCATATTTTCCCAGCTGTATTCGGTAGTTTTATCCCGTTCCGTGATGGCTACAAGTCCTAGACATAATAAGCAAGACCGTATTGTCACGTCAACCTGAAATCCGACAAACACTTTTGAATCCGGACACCCGCGGGAGTGTCTGAACTCCATTCATTCACCATAAATCCAGGCCCTCGCTCACCACAATGTATGTACAGCTCCACAGTTCACACCGATGTATGTTCCTGAATAGCACAATGAATATTTCCTCCCGAAGAACCCCACAGCGTTAACAAACACTTAATTGCAACTATACCTAAAAGCATCCAACCTGCATCAGTAGGGTATTTACCTATCTAACTAGCTAAATTCCTTGCTAGCTCGTAGCTAGTACGCATTAGAGGATAGTCAGTCCCTGAGAAACAAGGAAACAGATCAAACACCATCCATCAAACACCATCCATCTATCTGGATATCAATCCCCCCCTTCCCCCCCCCCCGCTCATCCAAATGTCCAATCCCAACTAGGTACTCCGTAGGTACATAGTAGATAATAACTGCGCCACATCACCCAGCCCCAGCCCCAGCCCCAGCCCCAACCCAGCCACACGATATGCGCATACCATCCGGATTCCGGAACATTAATGCAATAATGCAATAATGCAACAATAGCAATGTATAACCACCTATGAAGAACGGCCACGGAGACGAGCAAGCCCGTCTCCCGGCCGAAAGGGAGAAATAATAAGGTTGTGAGAAGTAATAGATGCAGATCATGGGGTATTGCATTGTGGAGATACTACAGACTACAGAGGTAGGGAGTAACTAGGGAGTATATAGGTAGGTAGATAGGTAGGTAGAGTAAGTGAGTGAGGGAGTGGCTAGCAGTGGCTATTTTCTTTGTGCGGAGCTTGCTGTGGACTGTGGGCCGAGTAGATGGATAGGATCTGGATATCTGGATATCTATAGTATCTAGATAGTACGGAGTACTTATCGTGCCATCGCGCATTTACGTGGGTAGGTCGGAGGAGGTACTTTGTTCTCACCGCTAGATTGGATTCTAGTGTATGGGTTAGTGTCAAGCAAGTATGCCGGTAGATAGATACGGCATCCATCCGGCTATACTTAGCTACAACGACCAACTTACCGGTATCCAACTAACTACCTGATACCGATTTGAGAATGTATAAGGCTGGATGTACATGTACTTATGTACATTTACCTACCTACCTAGTACGGATCATTCCCAGTAAGTACCTAGGTCAAGCAAGATCTGGCAAGATGACCTGTCTGTCTGTCTGGCTGTCTGTCTGTCTGGCTGGGACACGTCAAGTCAAGTGAACGATTCATATTTATCCATCTCGGGCTTTGTCTGACAGGCAGGCAACCAGCCCAGCAGCCCCGTCCATCCATCGAAATCCCGACCGGGTTCTCCTGCAGAGGGGGGCAGATGGCATTCATTTTCCATTTCCGGGAAGTGAAGGAGCCGCTAAATGAGTAAGATAGACGTCAGGTGGAGGGATCGCCGGGGGGGACGGAGTCCATGGTACTTATGTAGTTACTTAGGTGGTTGCATATTTACCTACCTACCGTGGTCCAGGATGAAGTACATGTATTCTCTACGTCTCCGGACTAACGACCACGGCGAGATCTATCGCATTCTGCAAGATCTTCCCGAGGCGAAATCCGGGAACGGGCCACCCGGGATATGCAGGGAGATAAGTATACGTAAGTACGTCGGTGTGAGACGGTGGGGTGGCTGGCATGAGCTAAACATTCGGTGTCCAGGTGCGTAAGCTCGTTAAGCGCGTCAAATTAATTTCAATTCCATCGGGTAGAAACATGTCCAATCCATTGCAAATCATACACAATCGTTATGTCGTCAGGTCATAAGGCCCATTCGAAATGTGAATCAAAAACCAAAGGAAGAAAACGGAGAAAGAAGTATTGTAAAAATCACAACGGCCGATGTTACGCAAACACGCGGTTGATACCCTTGACGAGTTGCTCGAACCGGTCTGCCAATGGATCATCGTCGGGCTCGGGCAGGAGGCGTCCTTGCGGGTCAAACCGGTCGGGCAGGTCAATCGTGGATTCCGAGTCCGACTCGGCCCCATAAGTGCAATCCTGAGCTTTCGACCAATCCAAGGAGTATGGCTCAGACGAGGAGTGACGGCGGGGTCGGGGCCGGCTGCGACTTCCGTGTATCAACTCGACGGTGGAATCGCTATCATCAGTTTCATATCCGAGATCCCTCTGGCGTTCCTGTTCCGCATGTAGATTGAAGGCAACCGACTTCGGCCTGGCGGGCTGGCTGACTGCGCGCGGTCGCCTTTTCGCACGGGGCGTTCTTGGCGGCGACGGTACTTCTAGACCTGAAGCATATCGTAAGCACAGACTCTTAGGGAGTGGCGCTCTGCCTGAACCCACCATCAAGTATGCGGTCTTGGGCTGTGGGGCGGGGAGAGTTTGATGCACTCACATTCTCATCTGCCCTCCGAGGCCGAGGCGCGTACGTATCCGGTCCTGGGCGCGCGGCATAGTCGTAAGACTGTGGAGGCACCGCGCCAGGTGGGGGTGGATAGTCGGCCGGGCTGTAGGACGCTGGTTCTGGGCCTGGCGCAGAGCCCGGGGGAGGGGGGAAGTAGTTGTTGTTTGGATAATACTGATGATCATCGATCGGCCGTGGCGCGGTTGCAGGAGAGGGCGCATAAGGCGGGTTGTTGTACGAGCCGTCATATGGTCCCCGGTGTCCATCGTCGTCCGACTCTAGCAGAGCCATCAGCCTATGGATACATCCCGTACGAGCTCTGACGCAGTCTTTGCTTACCAGGCCTGTCTTTGTCCCTCTCCGCCTTCTTGCGCTCATTATGTTGTGAAAGCTTGTGGGCCGCATAGCCTACCCCTCCGGCGGCTAACGCGGCCTCGGCGATGCCACGAGAGCGGCTGCGATGCCGGTCATGACGACTTCGATGTCTTCTACGGCTGCCGCTGTCCGAGTCAGAAGAGTCGCTGCTGTACCGCACCCCCCGGCCGCGACTGCGGCTGCGGCTGCGAGCCCGATGCGAAGAGGCAAATCCGGCCGCACCGCTTGCCACGGGGTCAGAAGCATCCGAGTAGTAACCATGCGGCGTCACCGGTCGGCCGTAGTAGTTGGCAGGTATGTTTCCATGAACTGGATGATCGCCGTACTCAATCAATCCAGGCGACTCCCGTCTTGGGTCCGGGTAGATGTCCGACGCGGCTCTGCTTCGCGATCTCGACCTTCGGCGCTCTCTGCGGCGTGTCTCATCTTCTTCTTTCTTCTCTTTGTTCTTCTCATACAGCCCGGTGACAGCGGCGGTTCCCAGTCCAGCGGCTACCACAGGGAGCGCTTTTCTGAGGGCGCTGTGTGATCGTGACCGATCCCGTCGGTGCGAGCGTGAACGGCTGCGGGCCTTCTCTACAAGACCTGCCACTGCCGCTCCAGCCAGACCAGCCTCAGCCATGTGCTTCTTGCGCTCGGACTGGCTGCGTCTCTCCTCATCAGTACCCTTGACCGACCTCCTGCGGGAGCTGGAGGCGTGACGATGACGCGAGCGGCTCCGTCGTTCTTTGTTCGAGTTCGACTTATTTCGCGCCAACGCCACGGCTCCAGCGATGGCGGCAGCGCCCAGGCCAAGTTCTGCGAGAGTCCGCGCACGAGAATGAGAGTGAGACCGGCTGCGGCTGCGACGGCCATGGCTGCGATGATAGTGACGGTGGTGGCGTGAGTGAGACCTCCGGCCATCGTCAAATGAGTGAGAGCGATGTCGGCTTTTGCTGCGATAGTGGTCCCTTGCACGCGAGACTGCTTCCGCCGCAACTGCACCCAAAGCCCCCGCGCCCACGTCCCGCCCTAGACGGCCAATCCCGCCCGAGACTTCCTCCCCCTCCTTTTTTCGGTGGTTGCGGAGGAGCTCTGCGGCACCAACTCCCACCAAGGCACCCTCCGCCAGATGGCGCCGGTGTTGGGGGTCGTCATATTCTCTGACTTCCTTGCGAATGTAGACCATGCTGTCATCACTGCTGTACTCATCTTGACCCTCCCGGCGACGGGTGGCCTGGGAGACGGAGTCACTGGGGCTGATCTCACGCCGAGTACGCCGGTCATCATCATACTCCCGAACTCGGCGATGATAGTAGTATCCTCCCGGCTCCCTGTCCACCTCGGACCGACGAATAACTTCGTAGTCGGATTCCCGCGGGTTGACGTAGACTGGCCCTCGCGCTTGAAGAAAGATTACCGGCTGGGCTTCACGAATGACAACGGGGGCGGGGTAGCTGTGAATGTGCTCGGGCACGCTGTACTCACGTTCGTAGTAGTCTCTCTCCGAGCGATAGTCAAACGGACGCGACTCGTAATCGACCTCACGTTCGTAGCGCTGCACCATGACGGGCTCCTCCCGGTCGACTGAGCGGCGGATCACCACCTCCCGATCCCCAGGGTCGTCGCGGCGGTGGAAAAAATCGCGATCATGCTCATCTTCCGAGGGAATGACGTAACGCTTGATGGACACGGAAGACCGGGGTTCGTCCCAGTCGCGCTCGCGCTCGCGCTCTCGCTCTCTGTAGACGTAGGTCGCCATGAAGGCGAGTCACGATAATGGAAGAGAAAGGTGAACGGTTGTCCAGACCAATAAGGGGGGTGATGTGGAAGTAACGGGAAGAGAGGAGGGGCAGAGGAGGGTTGGGTAGATAGATAGAGAAAGAAGGCGGAAAGTTCGCAGACTCGGGAGGCAAGGCTGAAGTGGGGTAGGGTCGAGGCTGACGAAAGGTTGGGCCAGTGCCGGTCACTACTAGATAGATATGCCGTGTGATGAAGATGCCGTGCAGTGCAGGGATTTTCTTCTGGTAAGACCGTGAAACCCGAGAGATGGGACGGGATTTGTAAGAGATAGTCGAGAAAGACGAGTGTGGTTGGGTAACGAGGACTTGGTGGCAATCCGTGCTTAGCTCAAGGCGGGGTAATAAGCCGTAGTGGGAATCGCGAAGGAGTACTTTAAGTAGTAGTAGGTAGTAGATGGAGGGAAGGGAGTGAGTGAGTGAGTGAGTGAGTGGGCTGGTGGGGAAGATACAGATCGCCAACAAGACGGCGGGGTTGATGTTTCGAGGAGAGACGAAGAGAGAAGAAGAAAGATGGAAGGTGGAAGTGAGAGATGGGAGATTGGGAGATGGGGAACAAGGAGAAAGAAAGACGGCGATGACGAAGGCGGTCCCTTCTTTCTGCTCTCTTTCTTGACGCCGACCACGTGAAGGCAGCCCGCCCAGCGCCTCGTGATGCCCACCCAATCGGGGGTTTCGCGACTTCGCCTCTTTCTCTCTCTCTCTCTCTCTCTCTCTCTCTCTCCCTCTCTCTCTCTGTCTCTCTCTCTCTCGCTCGCCCGTCTTTTCTATCTCCATCACTCAATCGTTGTGACCCCCTTCCCGGGCGTCAAATGGGATGACTCCTACCGGTCTCTCTCCTGCGATGACATACTCCGGACAAAGAAGATGAGGCTGACAGCGCGCCCGATGCACTCTAATCTGACTCTGTACAACTCGGGCGCGCCCTGCTCTCCCGCCTCTCTCCTCGTCTCCCAGGGCGAGTGATCCTGTATCCATTCCCTTCTGGGCCTTCTGAGGTTGGGATTGGGATGTTGACACAACGTTGGATCAGACTTTCGAGATAATACAGTTCCACGGATCCCAGTGGATGGGACTTCTCCATAACCATGGGTTCTAGCCGTCGGCCACCTGTGGATCGGGACAGCGCAGTAGTATCCAGCACTACTACCACTACTACTACTACTACTACTTCCACCCACCCGCTGCCATCGAGGAATACAATAGCGACACGGTTACTCTGTACTCTGTACATAGTTGGGGAAAGACAAGGGGGAAGGGATGGAATTAAATTCCGAGTCACCCCCGGTGGCGTTCGCCAAAACTCACTAAACCGTGCAGGTCCCCCCCTTTTGCTTTTGTGCTCCTCATCCATTTTTCCTTTTTGAGACTGCACGTCCGTCTCCCTTGGGCGTCCTCTCCTACCTACCTCCTCCATCCTTCTAGCTAGATAGGCCCCTGTATCCTTCCTCTTCATCTCTACCGTGGCCCCTGGCCACCTAAAAATGTGAACTCCCATTTTGGCTGCGTCGATCCTGGACATCCCAGCATGCCAGTCCACCCATTCCAGGGGAAACCCTTGACCAAAGGACGGTGTGATCTGTTGGATTCGCATCCTTCGCGCATCATCTCTTGAACGTCAACCAGGTATGACCTCTCATTAACACTAGCCAATTGCCCGGCCCGCTGGTCTTTGTTCGCCACACGAACAGCCCGAATCAGCCACTATCTTTAGTGCAACGGGTGAAGTCCAGGGCTGTATGTGTCAGGCTATTGGCTTGGGGAGAATTAGCCTACCACCTTCGTGCATGAGGAACATACCTTGCTCTTTGCTTCTTGCAAATCGCTAGTCTGCCTAGCTTACCAGATGTACCATGGTTCCCCGCCACATATTGCTGATTGTCAGCCAATGGCCGCTTGGCTTGCCCGTTCGGATTTATCTTGCCCTCCGCTAGGGCGCCATCCTGGACAGCTGCTTTGGCAGCTGGAGAAACGTGAGGTCTTTTGTTACCTAGAAAGGAACATCCCCAAGACGATCTCGGCCTCTGCTTGGTCTTCGGCCGAGGGCTGCCGTCCTCGGACCCGAAGCGTCCTCCTCTGAATCAACATAGTCCAGATCGGTTGACGGGCTACTTGCGGTTTGACCCCTAGCGGCAGTCCGTGATCCATACAGGACGCATGGAATCCAATGCACAGTGTTATCTCTGCAAAGCCACACCGTTCGACTCGACTTGTCTCGCTTTGATGGACACGTTTGAGCAGCGAAACCCTCTGCGGATCAAGGCAAGGGTCTTCGCCAGATGTGCTTGCACCTGGTCCCCATCTCCTCATCTTTCAGGAGAGGCAAGCTCGGGTACCGTGGTACGCGGGAAAAGGCCCCAGAGCCTCCCATGATAGCTAACTTTTATTAAAGACCACTGTGAGGCAAGATGACCCAAATAGGATGATCCATCTGATATCGAGTATCGTAGGTATGCAACGAGGGTTTCCAATGCCTCTGTCAATACCCTATTATTGACCTCAGCCACAGTAATATATCAGAGTTCAGACGGGCCATAAAGCAGAGATTCAGCCCCGATGAGACCCACCACGCTGCATACCGGGGCCTCCGGGGAATGTCATTACCGTGTACGATCTCAGATCCGTCCCAGCCGCCGCCTGCGAGGCTCGCGAACCGACTGTTATGTTTCCTCTCCAGCCACACCACCCTTTTCTCCAGCCCACAATGGCACATGTAAGGCCTCAGGCCAGGTACCCAGAATTTGATCCCCATTTGGTCTGCTTCTCGAAGCCTGACTTGTTCCAGATCGACTCCGTATCGGTCCAAGCCAGGCCAGAGAAGATAGAGATTCCAAATGCAGAATGCACCCGGACCAAATGGGAAATAGATCTCAAATGCGACATGACCGTCAGTCTCACACGGGAGATACTCCGTTTTAGCTGGCGCTAGACCCTTCCCTTTTCTCCAGAATGACGCCAGCGCATATTGACAGGGGCAACAAAAAGAAGGAAAGAAAATAACGCGCAAAGGGGCCCAGCGTGACCTAGGTCTCGCTTCTCCCAAGGGATTTTCCCAACCCGCAGGTGTGGGGGGCTTGATTTTAAAGAGCGTCGTGTGTCCTCCGCTGCTTCAGAATAAGCGATCTTTCTATATCTTCTCACTATACCAGACAGTGACTGGGGCTACTGTGGCTTAAGCTAAGGCCACGCTTCATCTCCCTGTTACCACCCCCTGTCAACGAATCCACAAAGTGGAGATTTGTCTGAGCTTCCCACCATAAGTCATCCCTCCTTGTGCCCCTGCCTTAACATCATGACTACATCAAGTCGCTCAGCCGGTAAGCGGTTGCCTATCAGTTGTCAAGCTTGTCGAACCAGAAAGATACGCTGCTCTCGTGATGGACGCCCTTGCCAGACCTGTGTTCGCCGAGGATTAGGCCCCGAGGACTGTTTTTACTTGGGACAACCTAGAATGGCATCTGCGCATGCTTTGGCGCCACAGACACCCGGTCAGAATGAATTATTTACACGGATCCGCAACCTCGAGGAGCAGCTTCAAAGACAGGCCCAATTGCAGTCATGCGATTCTGTATCTCCAGAAAACTCTCCTAGTGCGACTAGCAGTCTTTTTGAATCCGACAATGCCATCGACCCAGAGTCGAGAGAGATAACAAGCCCTTTGCTTAGCAGCGTCGGTACCCTTCAAAGATTTGCTTCTGGATACGTTCGCTATCTGCCGTTGGCAACCCAGTGGGGCCAAATGAGCCCTACGGCCCCAGGAAGCGATTCTCTGCCCAATGTCGATACGGAGATACCGGAGGATAGCGATGACCTGCAGGTTCCTTTGACAAAAAGCTGTATCTCTAGACATGAGCATCTAGCGATTCTCCCGCCTCGCCGGTACTGTGATGCACTGAAGGATATATACTTGCGGGTTTTTTCACCTGTATGTGGGCGCGATCGCTTGTATTCCTTTCCATCACCCCATCTAATGCCTCAACTGTCGTCTGTCTGTACTAAGTGAAAGACCAGCTGTTCCACATTCTTCACGACCTGACCTTCGAGGCTGAATACCAACAATTTTGTCACGACCCTAACAGCGTGACGACGGCGTGGATTGCCCTACTCTTTGCCATTCTGGCAATTGCTGTCACTGCCCTGGGGGATGACGAGCCACTCCTCTCCGACTTGGGCCGTGAGAAAACTGTCAGCCGAAACATCAAGCTTCTTTCTTCGCGCTATCGGTCCGCCTCGCTGCGCTGTCTGGCATCAGACGGCGTCCTCTCTCGCCACTCCATCAATTCCCTCCAGTCTCTTCTTCTGATCAATTACGCACGGATTCACCGCGGTCTGCCAACATGGACTCTGCTAGGCTTCACACACCATGTAGCCATCTCTATGGGCTGTCATGTGGATCCGGATCAATTTCCCCTGGGACTCATCGAGCGTGAAGAGCGCAGACGCGCATGGGCCGGTGTGACGATGCTCTTTACGGTTCAGAACACAGTATATGGTCACTTTCACCAAAGCTCCTCTCTAGGCATGAACCCCCCCTTAGAAGTCAACGACGTGGACCTACTCACGGGATCCCTCTCTGCAAAACCAACGCGCCCAACACACATGACATACCTTCTACTCGAGTCTCGCCTGAACAGAATATTCTCCATGATTTGCCGCACCCTCTTCGGCTTCCCAAAGTACAGCCTATCCCAGCTCGAATCACAGACCCTCGCTGTTCACGAAATGTGCGACCAGCGATACCAGCTCAACACGAACCTCGAACCTCTGCCGACCCACCACGTGGCCAATCTGAATATCCTCTACAGCTCCATCCACCAACTCCTCTTACTCCTCCTCCGTCCAAGCTTCTGTTGCTACCTCCAGGGAGTCTTCACTCCCGAGACCTGCGCATCGCGGACCAAATGCATCGCCTCCGCCAAAGCGTCTCTGTTGATCTATCAGACTCTCGATGGATCATCACAGTTCGCATCGTATAAATGGTACAATAGTGGTCAGGGAAGCTTCCACGCCTTCCACGCAGCCGTGGTGTTATCCGTGACCTTGATGTACCCAGAAAGCCAGTACGAATTTGTCGAGACAAAAGAGATGCTCTGGAAGTCGTTGGATGTCTTTGCAGCTTTGTCCAATCGCAGCAATTTCTGCAGTAAAGCCGTTCCTGTCCTTCGTCAGATAATGTGAGTCTGTCCCGAGCCCCACCCTTCAATCCTGGGAGGACACCTCCCCCTCTCTCTCTTCCTTCTTCCCTATCTTTGCTTTTCTTTTTTTTTTTCTTTGTTATTTTGCTAACACTCAAACCCAGTGACACAGCCAGCACCCGAGGCCAACAAGCCATCCTAGCCATAGGCCCACACGTCAACCTAGGAAGCTCACCGTCCGATTACACACAAGCCTACGCCTCTGCGACGACGGACTACAGTATCACCGAGCCACTCTTTTCTCTCCTTCAGCCTCAGAGCTGGGTCAGTCCTAGCTCCATCCCCTGGGATTGCTGGAAGTTCCTTTCCGAACAGGGATGAGTGTCTCACGGAGGGGTGTGGGTATGTGTTTACTTGGCTGTTGGAGGATTGACAGCGCACATGATATGATTTGATATGATACAGGCCTTTTGTCTGTTGCTGTAGGAGTCAGGTAGCTCCGCAGGCTGGTCTTGTTGTGACTGAATTAGTGATTCATGATCGATATGCCGTCAGATTCGGATAATCATTGTCTTGAATCGGGAATCTTTGAAGGTCGGACATGGGAACTGCGATGCCTCTGCAATCGGGAGTCCAGAGCGCCAACGGCTTAATGGACCGGACAGGCATGGATGCATCTTCGGGGAATGGACAACGGCAACAGGACAAATAGCATGACTGTCCTGCTAAATGACAGAACCTCCGGCCAAGCCTGACCGCGTCAGAGGCCACGGTGGGCAAAGTGATCTCGACAAACAGGAGGTGAAGAATACTTACTAGTCTTGATAAATATTAATTAGCTCATGAGGAATGATATATATTACTATTACTAACAATCCCACTGCATATATCTGTTACTTATCTTGCGTGGTTTGCGTACGCTTATACATCCAATCATTCATCCAGCCATTCATTGATTCATCCCTCATAAGTCGTACTCACGCATAAGTCCTAAATCCGCAATCACAAACAAACAAAAAAAACCAGTAATCCAACCACAATCCAAGTCCCAAATACAATAGACACCAACCAACCCGCTATTCCTGAACCACCACCTCCACCCGCTGCGAATCACATTTCCCATCCAGATCATCATCATCATCCTCCTCCTCCTCCTCCTCACCTCCCTCGCCAGCCACAACAACCTTATCGCCAAACGACGCCGCAATTTCCTCGAGTGTCCTTTGCTTCGTTTCCCTAAATTGACAGAGTGGGGGGGGAGAGATGAATTAGTATTTCTGAGGGATGGAACCCGCTATACGGTACGGAATGGAAGGGAGTTCACTCACGGAAAGTAGAAATACGCCACGACGAAGAAGAAAACCGTGCAGGCTACGAAGACGTAGTAGTAGTTCTCGCCGATGTTGGCGAAGGCGCTGGGGCCGGCTTCGGTGACTGGGGTAGATGGTTGATTAGCTGTTTGGATTTCTTTTTGCTTTGTTTTTTATCGATTTTGATTTGCGGGTCTCGGAATATAGGAGAAGGGATATAGGAAAAGGAAGAGGGATGGATGGATGGACGAACTCGCGACGTTAACTATGAAATGCGATGCCGCTGCCAGTCCCATCACTTTACTCCGGAGGGCGATGGGGAGGACTTCTGCGCCGTAGAGCCAGGTTGTACTGTTGAGCATACCATCTACCTCACTTCATTAATTCATGTACTGTATTCGGAAACGACAGCAGGTGACTTACAATACGCAACGACAAAAAGATATATACCCAGGATGGCGAACCCCTTCCCGACTTGGTTATTTGTGCTTTGGAACTCCCGCTGCATGACGGCGGCGTAGATCTCGATGAGGATAATTCCGCCGAGGCCGGATAGGATCATTCTGTGATTTATTTTGTTTGTTAGTTGGAGATTTGGGGTTGAGGGGAATGTACGCACTTTCGACGACCCCATTGGTCGGTTAGATATTTGGTCGTGAGGCAGTTGGCGAGAAAGGCGACGGTGCCGTATACGCCTGCTAGTGCCAGGATGGTGTGCGAGTCGATGCCGAGGGACTTGTATAGTATTGCTGGTTGTTGTGAGTATGGCTATTGTTCGTTGGTTGAATAAGGGACTGTTGGATATGCTTACTTTGGTAATACTAGAGGAGTTAGTGAGAACTTCCATGCGGGTTATAGATATAGGACACGCACCTGGATAACATTCACACCGGTGAGGGCCGTCATGGTCTGAGCGGCAATGGATCTGTTGAAGTATATCAGAGACATCGCTCGGAATTGAGTAGAAGATATTGTAGGAGGGAAGGGACCTACACCAGTGCTCGGCGTCGGAACAGCCTGAAAACATCCTTGTAGGATGTTATCTCACGCTCCTTTTCATATTCAATCTGTGAAACCATGGCTGTAAACTCCTGGTGGACTTCATCGGGGCGTAAATCGCGGCGGATCCTCTTGTACTCCGCCCGTGCTTGCTCAACCTTTCCCTTTCGAATCAAATGACGCGGGGAGTCGGGCATGAATGTGATCAGCCCGAGGAACATGATGATACCCCAAGGGATTTGTATCCCAAGGGGCAGTCTCCATTGTACTGGCCCGTAGGGAGCGAAGCTGCAGGCATATCCGACCCAGTTGGAAGCCATCGTTCCAAACGCGATGCCACAGCCTGAGATGCCACCAATCAATCCGCGATAACGTGGGTCTGAAATCTCACTGAGGTATATTGGAACCGTAGCGACTAGTCCCCTATTGACAAAAAAAATCAAAAAGCATATATGGTTAACACCATGTTAAGAGATATGCTAACATATGATAGATAGAACTCACCCAACAGCATAGCCAGCCAACACACGGCCGGCAAGGAACATCCCGATGTTAACTGCGGCAGTCTGAACAACGGTTCCGATTGTAACCATTATGCATAACAGTTCCATAAATCGCAGGCGACCCAGTTTATCTCCGACGGCAGTCTGGGTCAGAGCACCCACAGCTTCGCCGGCAATGTATACAGAAACAACCTAGACAGCCTCAGCGAAAGTCCGGCGGATATTGGCAGTCCCAACGCACCGCTCCTGTGAGGCCATTCGAAGGATGTTCCATGTAATTTATCCAGCTCTCATGGGCGATTGCTTATATGGTCAGCCACAACAGTGTTTGACAATATTGGTGCCCTCTTGTATGCTTACTTGTCGTTGCAATCCCCGTGTCAAAGCCCTGTTCATTGATCCATCCAAATCAGCACTGGCCTCTCTACTTAACACACAGGAATATGGAATCAACATACAAAAAGGAATGTCCCGATCGCCGCAAAAAGCGCGATGCCGATTGCGTACCAAAGCGCCATCTTGCACAGGAGAACAGTTCAGCAACAAAGAGACAGACTGAGGACCGTAAGTGCCCAACGACGACGCAAGGGAAAAGAGCCGTCTTAACATATAGCCGTCATACGTTGAACTGGGAAATTAAATTCCCGCTCAGCCGAGGGTGCGCAGTGGTGACAGCCACTCGGAGGATGGCCCATCGAGGCGCCCATGGGGTCTGAAGACCTGGGGAAGTGGGTCAGAAGCTGGGGTGATCATACTCTGCGGGGTAGAGAATAGGAGCTAGCCAAAAGCTGCGAATTTGACTCTCATATTCGGGGTGCATTTGTCCGATGCAGTTGACTTTGTCGAAGGAGGCAGCTCTTCATTTCGCGTGTCTCTGTCGGAGATCATCGAGGGGGAAGATCATAAGCACCATAACCGATATCTTCATGTAGAGGCAAAAGGGACAAATGCAGAAGGGAAAGCGAGAATCCGCATTAGAGAGCAAATGCGGGGTGGCAGTCGTCGATCCCCCACGGCCCTCTCGTGGCATTGGACCGTACGATGCGCAGGGGAGAGAGCTTAGTACCATCATTTGCCTGATTCACCTCGCTTGACTTCCGATGCTGAGACAGACAAGCGGGGTAGTTGGGTTGGATTGACCTGAGATGGGCTACGTAACAACAACTTCGAGGTGCCTGAGCCTGATGGTTGTCGGTTTGGGATATATATATAAATAAAGTGGCTGTCCTCGAGCTCAGCGATGTCAGCTCGAGCCACTCCACTAACAGGCATTTTGGGAAGGGCAAGATCGAGCAAATAGTAAGCCAAACACAAGGATTCTATCCACACAGCACTGACAAAGTAGATACAAAGTACCACTTTCATCAACTATTCTCCTCCATACAACCACAACCACTCAACCAGCCACTAACCCCAACCCGGCAACCACCCAGCCCCTTCCAGATCCGGCTAGCCCCTCGCTAAATCGACACCAGCGCACTAGTGCCTTTTCCGCCTCCCGCCGCGACTATAAAAGCCCCTTCCTCCCGCACCCTTTTAAAATTTTTTCTTTTCTTTTCCAGCTCTCTTTGCCTTTTGGCTTAGATCAAGTGTAGTATCTGTTCTTTTCAGTTTAATCTCTGAAAGTGTTCTAAGGAACACAACATTGATTATTCTTATTTTTGTACCCCGTGGCGGGACCTCTGTGCTTGCGCATGTCTTGCCACACAGTGTCGTCGGGCTTACACTACCCCCGACCGACGCGAACCTTTTTTTTCATCAACGTGGTCGGCTTGTTCGACTGCTTGGAGAAGAAAATAATTTGGACAAAGTGTGGTTTGGATGGATTTATCTGGATTGTGTGTGTGGTTGCAGCGGTGGTTTTTGGTTGCGTTGCTTTAGCCGGTTAAAATCAGTCTTGGACTGCTTGATTGCCCTTGGTCATGATGAATGGCCATCCTCGTACTCCATGGTAGCCTCTGAAGAATCCTTGCATTGCGGGCCTGTCGCTGTAGAAGAAGAGTTGTTGCTTCATGCAGCTAGCGCATGGGAACACTGTATACAGACACTATACTAGAGACCTTCGGGCCTGCGTAGTCGATAGCCGATAGCCTATTCTAGTTTGCCTAGAGTATATATTTATATATGAAGCCACATCTACGTTGAATTCACGGCCTACGGCACTGCAGCCAGCTCAGGGATAGTTCGTCAAGAGACTCGTCAACTAGGAGTCATATATTCTTTCTTTTTTTCTTGAATATGAGATCCTATTCCATCTTCCATTGCCAAAGTCATAGCCGACGCCGAATAGCGGACTGTGCAATGCAGGAAACCCAGAGCCGAACAAGGAAATCGCAAATCTAGAAGACAAGGGCGGCACCCTTGGTCTTCTTGTCACCACTGTTGAAGAGAAGCAGGTTAGCATCATCGCTTCATGGGTCGCGTGCAGACAAAAACGGGTGGAAACGTACCCAAGCTCGAAGTGCTTGCAGCGCTTCAGGGAGAGCTGCTTCTTGGTCTTGCAGGCAGTGCACTCGAGACGGAGGACGATCTTCTTGGTAGTCTTGGCCTTCTTGTGGAAGACGGGCTTGGTCTGACCACCATAACCGCTCTGCTTCCGGTCGTAACGACGCTTACCCTGGGCGAACAGAGAGGCCTATATGGATATCATGACTGCATCAGTACTGGTCCGCGCAGGCGATGGATTCAAGGTGTGCGGGTGCGGGCAGTGTTCACCTTTCCAGCCTTGTACTGGGTGACCTTGTGCTGGGTGTGCTTGTGGCACTCCTTGGACTTGCAGTACGTCCGGCGGGTTTTCGGAACGTTGACCTGAATGCGAGAGAAAAAAGATGGGTCAGCCTCTGCGGGTGCAGAAATATGTACAAGGCAGTCTGTTTCCGAGTTCCCTTCGTCGTCAAGGATGGTGATTCACAACGGTACGGTATCACAATGGCTCGAGTAAAGCAAAGCGAGGAGTCACTAGGCTAGGCTAGAGATCTGGCGATGACGACTCGGTCGCTAATTGCTGGATTGGTCATTTCGGGTTGGATCGTTCCGGTCGCACGCAATGGTTCTTTTTCTGCACTTTATCCCACAAATACTTCGCGGGGCAACTCGCACGTCGAAAGCCCCATTGTGCATTGTGTCTTGGTCCATTTTTGTTTGCGTTATGTTTCTTGTAGTTGAAAAGTCTCTTATCTGTCCGCAGCGTCGATTGTTGCGTTTCGTCAAAATCTCGCTTGATTCGCAGCAGCTCCGTCGGTTTGTCGAAAAGGTATTGTATGGTCGTCTGCCCTCGCGAAAGTACCAACTTTTTTCGTATACGCCTCTCCGACTCCCAGGAACACGGAAACAGAACTGCTGAAATGATCAGAGCAGCATCCTTACCATTTTGACTGACTTGGCCGGATCGCGAACTTGGTGGTCGTTGATAGTCTCTTGTCGGGTCGGGAGGATCAAGTCAGGCTGGCCGTGGGTTGTGGGATTTCGTTCGCTTAGGGCGCGGCCTAACCGCGTTTGTGTGCCTCCCGCCAAGACTAGGGGCCGTGACCCGTTGCTGCCTCAGGCCGTGAAAGGACCCATCCTCGATGTCATCGTATTCTATTCGTTCTTAACTTCTTTGAGGCTAACACTTTGTATTCCCCGGATTAATCCAGAGTCTTAGAGGAACGAACCCCTTGCCGGTCAGGACGTCTTCGCCTCCCCCATAGAATGATGTTCCTTTACAGAATTCCAAGCCTCTCTCTTGCCCAACAAGCCACTCCCCCTTTGCAGACATGACCGCATCTTCTCCAGGCCAATATTTCTCCCGGAGCCTCTCATTGATCTTCTCCACCCTTTCTACCAGTGCAGCCACTCGCTCACCATCTACCCTCTCAGCCCCCTCTTGCCCTGGACTCTTTACCAGAAACCCGTCCTGGGTGATAAAGCGTGCGATCGTAATATGCGCAGAGAGAGCAATGTACCTTGGCTTCATCCGCAACCCTGTCGCGGTGACCATTTCAGATACATCACGTCGCAGATGGTGATATGTGTAACCACCATCTTTCCCATTTTGGACTGTATCTGTCTCCAGTCCGGTTGCGGGAAGAAAGCTCAGCGCCATCGCAGTCGCGTCGTAGCTGATCATCGGCTTGACCAGACGCGTCCGATGATGGAAGGTGTAATCCGCCAGGTCTGGCACAATGCCATGGCCTTGGAGATGAGAGACCAACTCCTCGACTTCCAGCTGAGGGCGGCAGCTAGCGATCTCCAGCGTCGTCATGTGCAGTTGGCTCGACGGTGTGAACCAGATGCCTAGAAGAAAGAAATAGGGTGGTCAGTACGGAGTAGTAGCAATTAGGCCACACAGGAACCGGTGGGAGCTCGGAATCACACACTTGGAGCAACATCCTCGATGTCCCGCTGGATCTCGGCGACCAAATCGCGAATATGCTGCGGGGGTCGAGCGTAGAGCGTGAGATTGTGCCGGGGATCGACGAAAGGAGGGTCCGTTGGCTGTCTGTGCAACTTCCCTAGGATCTCATCGATCTGCCACCCTGGGAAATCAGGGCTGAGTAGTTTCGTCCTGTATTGTGCATTTCTGTTGGTTCTATGCGTTTCGTATCGAGCGTGGATTTGTGTCTGTTATGGGGTGAGTGAGGGTTCTTAGTCTGTTCGAAATTCCGGGGTAATTACAGTATCATCCTGACATTCTATAATCAGCTGATCGAATGGATTAGGGTCTTGTGTACTTTTATCCATTTTAGCTGCTGCGATGATGAGTCTATTTTGAGGAATAAAGGGGATCTCTCTAGATGAACGACGGGAGAACAGTGGCAGTTGATACTATCGGGACGCCAGCGGCTACTGTACTATATATATCCTGTTGGATTTGAGGGGCACAGGGGAGGACCGCTTCACGGCGAGTCATGACACACATATAGTATCTAGTACCATAGGAATTTAGAAACAAAGGTACCAGCAATAATAGTATTTTGCAGAAGTGTAGAATGGACAAACCGCCCCCCCCCCAAGCCACCGTTGTGTCTGGCAGTCTGCTTACTCTATCGCCGGCTTCCCTTCCCCTTCCGTATCTATTTTGATGCCCCACCAAAAACCCCGCCGAAGCTTTCCGTCACCAACCCAGTCAAACATCCACCGGCTTCGTCGTTCCCTTCCCTAACTAACCTAACTTGCCCTCCCTCCTCTTCAGAATAGAGCGTCTCGCGTTCCACCTTGCTTCGTTTTCCGTGTCCACCCCTCCCAACCCAAATCCTCACAGTCGCTATTCTCTCAAAATGTTGATCAAGTGAGTGCAGCGCGGTCGCCGCCCCCTGTCTTCTCCGCAGTCCAGTCCGCCCATGACGCAGATGCACACCCGCCAGATATGAGACGCCAGCTAATACACGCCTTCCCACCCACCCAGAGTCCGTACCCTCACCGGCAAGGAGATCGAGCTGGATATCGAGCCCGACTACAAGGTAATATTGATCTATCGTCTTCCACCTCGCTTTCTTATCGGTATGATACTGTGGTGTCTATCGCGCTGCGGCTCTAGCTAGCCGCAAGGCTGAGGCCGAGTCGAGTCGAGTCGTTTGCATGCATACACGTGTACCGCATACATACATACATGCCCAGAATCTGCCACCATATCGGACATTCTACTAGAATGCCCCATATCGCTGACACGCTTCGCAGGTGTCCCGGATAAAGGAGCGCGTTGAGGAGAAGGAGGGTATCCCGCCCGTTCAGCAGCGGTTGATTTTCGGCGGGAAACAGATGTGAGTGCTTTTTTCGTGGCCTTCGCGGTGGTCTTTGATGTGAAGCTGACCCGTGTTATCTCGTGTGATATATAGGGCCGACGATAAGACTGCCTCGGAGTATAACCTTGAAGGTGGCGCCACACTACACCTTGTCCTTGCTCTTCGTGGTGGGCTGTGATTGCCCGGTTCCGTGTGCGTGCATGAGAGAGAGAGAGAGAGTCAGAGAGAGAAGTGCTCTATTAGTATCCTTCAGGCCGGCATCCTGAACGCGTCGCAGCGTACCTACCTACCTCGAGTCATATGCATGTCGTTTTCCAGCTGGACGATGATCCATAATGTGCTACACCCAACGCAGTAATGACAGTTTTCTTCATTGAGGATTTATAAAGAATGTCACGTCATTGTCCCGGCGGGAAGTGAGAGGTCGGATTCTGCGAATAGAGTACCTACCTATGTACTACCTACCTGAACGGCTTTTTTTACAGGTCCTGCGCTGTAAAATGTTGAGATGTTAGAAAAAGAAAAAGCATAGATACAAACATAAATCGAGAAAATGGGGCCTCAGGAACCAACGTCGCGCATCAAGCCAGCATTGTTTGGGGCCGTCTTATGTAGAAAGTTCCCGGTAAAAAGAGATGATAAGAAGAAAAAAGGTCTATGGCGCTTGGCCCGAACCTGAGTATGTCCAAAAAGGAGAAGAAGACTAAAGAAGAAAGAACCTTCACTGGTATCATTTTGCAAACGCCATCCACTCCAGCAGCTGTGCACGCGACCCGTACTGGTATTAAACGCCAATCCTATATAATGTGGGTAATCCCGTATACCTAACAATGCACGTCGACTTGATAAAAAAAGATATATGTGCCATCAATTTACTTTCTTTTTCTTGGGCTGGATGAAGAGACTGGGGGCAGGTCTTTTTCGAGTCATTGGGGGACGAGGTGGTGGCTGTGCCGTAGCTGTTGTTGGCTCATCGATAGCGGCCCTCGTCTGAGAGCCAGCCGCACTGCCACCGTGGGGTTGCGCTCGGGGATGAGATCTAGACTCAGACGAACTTCTTGAAGGCGGTGATGTCGGCGCACTTCTCGAATTTGGCTGTGAGGTTGTTGAAGACCATCCTGCTTTAATCGCTCGTAGTCGGGCTTCATTGTCCCGTATCGTGGGATTTAATGCCGGGCTGTTCTGGGAACCAGAACTGATTTGCGACCGCGACCGGCCGGGCGCTCTCATAGCCGGGGAATCCTTTCGCTGAGGGGCAGCAGACTCAGGAGGGCGTCTATGGTCCTCAATGAAAGCGATCGGAGCCTGTCTGACCTGGGTGGCTCTGTTGTTGAGATGCTTCGTGGGAACGGCCAGAGCGGGATTCCTCCTCGGAGCTGCGAATATGTTGTTCTTTTTCTTTGTATCGGACCGTGGAAGATGGGGTCGTTCAAACCCAGATATCACGGGGTCTGAGGACCCAAAGCCGGGTTTGGAGGAGAAGACAGGTGCGATTCCTCCCATCCTCCGATCGAACGAAGCATAACGTTGCTTTGCTGTCGGTCGCTCCCGGGGGAGACCGATGATGCGCCGGTCAGTGACGAACTTGGCACTGTGCTTCTCACGCTCCGAGCTGATGCCATCTAGAGCCATCTTCAGCTTTTCTGCATCCTCATCCACTGCCCTTTGGACCTGCGCTCGAAGGTCACAATATACGTCATACCAGCAATCAGGTCTCTCGGGCAGTTCGTACTCCTCCCATCTTGGTATGTCTTTCTTTATAAACTCGAGCCAGAGTTCCTCGTCATCTCGCATAATATGTGGGGACTGGAGTTCCAGGGATCTCTATGAAACGTGGGGGAGATTGACCGTCAGTCAGCCACGGGGCAACTCGCTGAACGATGGACGGACGGGGACCGGGGGCTTACCAGTTTTGCGGGGCTTTCGACCTTGAGTAGAAATGGACGAGCAAGTGCGTAGGGAAGATTGCCGACATCGTCCAGGGCTTGGGATGGGTTATCGTCTGAGCGTTTGGGAATGGGATGGTTGGGCTCTACCTACATTTCACGTTCCTAATCGCAGTCGCCGTGCAGAGCTGCAGGAGGGACGGCGGCGGCATGGTCGTGTATGGGGATGAATACCAAAAAATAACCAAAAAACGAAGGGAGACCTTATCATATATAAGCAAGAGGTGAGTGAGAGCCCGGTGATGAGGGCATGTGAAATGGCCACCGGTGATCGAGACAGCACGAAGTCAAGGCCATGTCGAGGCCATTGACCCTTTGTACGTGGTGAATGCGCCTTCGTCACAAGGCGGACGGATCGTCTCCCCTGCCTTCATTGGCCAGACCCGTGCCCAGCCCGGCGGACGCTTGGATTACTGCCGCCAAGCACCGCCTGATACCCGGCGGTGAGGGTTATCGCAGCATTCTGCGGGCAGAATATCGGGGATAACCACATGCTCTTGGCTGCGATATTATGTGCGGGATATTCACACCTGGCCCATCACGTAGTAGTAGATAACCAGGACCTACTTATGATATAGGCAAGCCGGGGGGATGCGGCGACTACGCGAGATACTTTGACGGAGCCTTGTCCTCGGGCGAGATTCCATTTACTGTGCCCTGTCAGGCGTTGCTTTAACTCCCAAATGCATTATCTTGCTGTCGGACTTACTAAGCGCGCTGAATACTAGATCTTATAGGATACTCAAAAAATGTAGGCTGAGTTGAGGACACAAATCATTTGTTCTGCAGGTTAAATCAGGTCTTGAAGTCCGAGAAACGTCATTGCGCCTAGCCGATTCATCACAGTGACAAACATACCTGCACTTGCGCAGACATTGTGTAATCGGGGGGACTGCACATAAGAAGCTTTTCGTACAACTCCATTCGACCAGCCATCTGCCACTACCAACAATCGACTTCAACCATAACGCCAAGATGTGGTAAGTCTCTAAGCTGGCTTGAGTATAAGATGCTTTCTAAGTGAACCGCATCATAGGTATGCGATAGCTCAACCCAGCCAATATCTCGTGCTCACCGGAGCCGGGATAGGGGACATCCAAATCCGTAAAAAGGCACTGGTGATGCCATGGTAGCGGGTAAGGACTATCCACAAGCAGTGTTAGGTGCAGCTAATGAGCTTTTCTCAGTGCACAAGAATATCGGTCTCGCCGTATGATTATTCTCTGAGCCTTCAGGCCATGACGATTGAAAAGCTGCAGTTTTGTCTGCCGGCAGTTTTCACGATTGGTCCTGACAACAACAAAAAAGCTCTTAGGAGATATGCGTTGATTCTGTCTGGCTGCTCACAAGGGGTTGCCTCGGCGTCGGCGTCGGACGGCACAAGTCCAGGGCAGAACCATGTTCACGACATCGTTCGAGGGATCATCGAGGGCGAAACACATGTGATCGTTTCTAGTATGTCCATGGAGGAAATCTTCAAGGAGAGGCAAGTATTCAAATCAAAAGGTTAGTGTAGAGCGCCATCCTGGGTATTCAGACTGATGCAAATAGTGATCGAAAATGTCCAAAACGAACTGAAACAATTTGGTCTAAAAATGTAGGAGTGTATCCGGTCTAGGGGAAATGGAACACCTGCTTACTTATGATAGCTATAATGCCAACGTCAAGGAGCTCCAGGATGCTCCGGGAAGCGAGTACTTTGCCTCTCTGAGCCGGAAAGTCCATGAAGGGGCTCATAACCAGGCCAAGATTGATGTTGCGGAGGCACGCATGAAGGGTGAAATTGGAGAGGCTGAAAAGCAGGGCAGAACAAAGCAGGAGCTCTCCAAAATCGACGCGGACGCTGCTGTTCTGGAAACCAAACGCAAAGCCGAAAAGGTAAAGGCAGACTCGGAGCTTACCAACCGCAAAACGGAACTGGATTGCACCATTCAACTCAACAAGATTTCAGCTCAGCGCCAGACGGAAATGAGAGATGCTGAGTTACAGAAACAGGTTGAGACCAAGCGCGCAGAGACCGAGCTAGAACGTCTCCGAGCCGAGCAGGTCACTAGAAGCCAGGTTGACCGTGAAACAGCCCAGGAAACGGCCGATGCTGCCTACTACACGGAGCAGAAGGCGGCCGAGGCACGGTTGTATAGGCAGAAAATGGAGGCAGATGCAGCCTGTAGGTCAACTGCTGAAGGCATGGGGAGGCATTCCATTGCTAACTCCTCTCAGTTTACCGCAATAGCAAAGAAGCCGAGGCAGTCTTTACTACCAAGAAGCGGGAAGCCGAGGGAGTACTCGAGACGGCCAAGGCATACGGCTCCCTTGTTGATGTCCTCGGTGGCCCTCAGGCCTTCCTGCAGTTCAAGATGATGGGAACCGGGCTTTAAAAGAAGTTGGCCGATGCGAATGGCCGTGCCATCAATGGACTTCAGCCTAAGATCACCACATGGAATACTGGCAGTAAGCATTGAGTTCCCCATTAGCCACCTGGTGTGCATTCTGACAAGAGCATCAGATAGCGGACATATTTCCGGGGATTCAATGGGCTCAATTCGAAGCCTCATACAGGGCCTACCCCCTCTTCTGAGCACGATCCACGAACAAACAGGAATATCTCCCCCATCCTGGTTCGCAGAAATGCCCAAACCTGAGACTGACGACAGTAACCTCATCAGTAACTAGGCGAGGGTTGCCCAGAGTATTGGACACGGGGTGGTTGTGTCTCTAATAAAGGGACCGCAGTTGTCTTATCGTTGAATTGCACCTTATTATACGGCGGTTGCTAGATTCCCAGATTGCCCATCGTCAACATGTACTGCTGCTGATATTCTATCCATGCGTATCAATTAGCTAGACAGGACTCCGAACGGAGTCCAATTTGATAATTCGGTTGTAAGAGGTTTTCTGAAGTAGATTAATAGTGTTCCGCTGCTAACATCCAACGTTGTTCTGGCTCCGCAAAGCGATGCCGGGGATGACGGAGTTGCAGCTTGAAGAATATCTGGGCCTCCGCCATCTCCGATCGTTTGCACTTGTAGAAGTGAATCACGTGCATCTCCACTTGCCCCCCCCCAAACAAACAGTGCAAACGGGCTCTTGATAGCATCATCGTGGAGGGGCACCAGAGCAGAGGCAGCAATATCCCATTCCAAAGCAGTTGCGGAGCACCGTCAGACCTTGCGATCCCCAAAGAGAAATCAGATCAAAATCTACCAAGTAAACCAACCGGACTTGACAGGTAAGTCCCATTATATCTTTCAATGGTTTCGTTCGACCTCCGTTCACTACCGGGACACTGGGACTGCGGTTCGATAGCTCTGAGATGCTCCCGCTTTAGCTTATTGAAACAATGTTGCCCCCCCCAAGTCCTCTTGTGCCCATTCCTGCCTCCACAATATACACCCTCAGGCAATGTTTTCCTTCGCGCCTGTTTAATATTTGGACGAAGAGTGGCATGATTTCTAACCAAAAGTCTATACCAGCGTCTCCTTGCTAATCATGGCTCCCCGCTCTCCATTGGAAATCGCCACGGCATCGGTTCAGCGCCTGGTTAAGGAGGAGGCATCGTACCACCGCGAGCTGCAGGACCAGACGGCAAGAGTCAAGAAGTTAGAGTCCCAAGAGGGAGGTGACGATGAGAACAGGGAGTACACGCTGAGACAAGAGGTGAGGGATACCGCAGTACAAGACCTTTGACGGATGTCGCTAAGAATCGTTGCAATAGCGCCTGGCCGTTGAGGAAACCAAGAAGGTTCTTCCCACATTGAAGCAGAAGATTGAGGACGCCATCGCCAAGCTCGATAGTCTGCTGGTGAGTGATACACTTGAGCAGCTCTACGTCACCCCCATCGTCAGGCACTAAGTGACTTTACAGATCGAGGAAGGCAAGAAAGGCCCCGAGAGCAATGTCGAGCAAATCACCGCCGCTAAGGAAGCCATTGCTCAAGCTAGGAAGGCTGAGCGGGAGATCTCTTGAGGAAATATATTACAATCTGATTCGTGTGCTTATTTCGGCCGTGAGGAAATGTCTAGTACCAAGATAGTTTCCTGAGAAAAGCAAAAAAAAAATTCAATGTAATTTGATAGTCACCTTGATGTGAACGCCACCGACCAAACTCCTTGCTCAATGAGTGGTAGAAAATCTCCGATAATTCAGGTAGTGTCCATTTTGTCTGCACGATCATCCTGCACTTCTTCCCCTTCTTCCAGCTCTTCTACCTCACCCTCGTCTTCCATTGCCGTGTCCTGATCGGGGGAACTCTTCTTTCCATCATCCACCGCGGTCACTTGTCGTAAGGGTGACACTGCGCCGGTCGCGCTCGTCCTTTCCACTTGCAAGCTAGCCGGGGATCGACCAAGATCGTCAGGGCCTTGGTGGGAAGGCGTCGCACTGTCCGACTCGTGTCGCGGTGTGTTAGCTCCACTGGACTTTCCTTTCGAAGGATCATCGCCATCATCTCCCTCCTCGCCTTCTTGCATGCCCTCCCTCCGCTCCACCTCTTCCTTTTCGTCGCGAATCAGGCGGCGGAGTTGCATTCCTTCTTCGACGATGCGACCGAATTGTTCTCGCCGTTCCGACCATGTCTGCGCGTATTCCGTGCTCTCCTTCTCCAGCTCGGTGATCTCCGCCTGTAGCTTTTGTAGATTCGCCTGTTGATCTTCCCGCGGCTTGAGGAGCCGGTTGCTGGTGATCTTCTCGGCCAGTTCATCGTAGCTTTTGCGCAACGCCAGGAGACGCTGCGCCTCTCCCAGCTGAACCCGCAGCTCTGTTGTGTTGTCGCGAACCGATTGCATGGTGGAGAGAATTCGAAGCTTTTCCGCCGCATACCGCTCGCGCTCTTTCTCGTTGCTGGTCAGGAGGAATTGAATGCGCGCGATGCTGCCTTCGAATGCCGCGAAGTCCAAAACCACGTCTTCACGGAAATGGCGCCATTCCTCCAGCCGTTTTTGTTTCTCCGCCTCGGCCGCTGCGGCGGCTTCATCGTCCGTTCCATCCGGCGGAGGGGTAGGGGGGAGGGTCGCATTGGACACGACGATCGAATCATGGTTCAGAAGACGCTTCGAGATGCGCTTGAATGGCTTCTCTTCGACGTTCAAGAGGCGGGACTTGTGAAGTCCATCTGGAAAGGCATTAGTGTAACGACAGGGAGGGGGTTTGTCTCCAGAACCACTCGACCTTCTTCCAACTGATCCAGTAGCCCGTACGACGCCATCCTGACTGCGTGCAAAAATGTGTGCTGGTTGGTTTGTTGGGGACAAATCCCGGATGGTGTGAGTAAATAACGTAGATGCCGAAGGTGCAAGCAAGCCTGGGCTGGGAAAAGGCCGATGCGAGCGGTCGGGGGATCCGCGCTAGGCGGAAACCGTCGTGTTGCTGCTCGGGGCGCTCTCGCCCTCCCGCGATTTAATAATGCCCGCGGGCTTCATCCCTCTCCTATTCCCATTTTCCGATTCGATTGACTTTGGATCGCCTGTGTGGTCAAAGGTCCTTGGACCGTCCCGGCCAAGCTACATTTCCCCGGCTGTCTGCCTGCTCGTCATCATTTAGATCGGCGTAATCTATCTATCTATCTATCCATCCATGCTGTCGTGATCTGGACCGGCTGTTGGGGCGCGGATCCCCGCAATAGAGAATAGGAGCTTGATTGCGCACGCATTGCACGCAAACGATGCCGGATCGGCTGCTTCAAAGCATTCACCGCTATCTGACGGACGACCCCTCACACATGTTTTAACTGATGGAAGCTATCTCCGGGACTGACTCGCTTATGCTTGGTTCGCGGCAACCCTTTTCATCGTGATGGCGGAGATGTACTCGGGGCTCCATGTGGGCCAACGGTTCAGTTCGCTGGAGGAATTTAAGGCATTGGTTCGAAGCATCTCCGTGAGACAGCACTGGGAGCTTCGAGTCACAAGAAGCAACAAGAAGAGTGTGGTGATAGGCTGTCGGTCATCGAACAATTGTTACTTTCGTGTCGTCTGCCGTGCGAACAAGAATGCAACTTACATCAGCAGCCTCCAGGATAGCCATAGCTGTCGACGCAATGCGACTTCCACCTCGAGGACCCCGGCTCGCTCCGAGGCTTCGCATGTGCGGTTTCTCCTCACGGAGATACCCAAGCTCTTCGACATGAAGAACAATATTAAGGCGCAAGAAGTCGTGGATGCCGTGAAGCGATACCATGGATATGACATCTCAATGCGACAGGCACAGAGAGCCCTGATTCGGTTGCAGCAGCGAGAAACCCAGAACCAGAGTGAAGATACCAACAGCCAGGATTCCAGCGGAGAAGACCGACAGGACAGTCCGCCGTCTCCCCTAGAAGGGCAGGCGGATGGTTCAGGCTTTGGCGCTCTTTCTGGCCAAAGATGGATTTCGGACAGTCTCCAACAGACTACTATTCTGGAGAATATCCCACCGAGTGAGGTTCACCGGAACTCAGCTATGCCAGCCCCGCAACTCCACAGCCAAACTATGCAGCCACCGCCTCAGGTACATTCTTCCCATCAAGGGCCTCCCCCGCGCCAGGTGCCTTCTTCCAAAGTCCAATCACAGGATCAGATATCTCTGGGTTCTAATCTTTATTATTCTATTAATTCTTAGTTATCTTTCTATTCTATGCCCGCTCTGATTTATATATTCTTCCCGGAGATTATATATCTGAAGAATTAGATCCAGTCTCTAAATAATAACTAGCTTATAACCCCGCAATTAGCTCTTATAAATTTTAAGATTAAATTTATCTATATCACCTGCGGTGTATTGAATCAGAGCTTCTTTCTTAATTATAGAAATATTCCTGGCGGATACTATTTATTTCAATATTCTAAACTAAATTAAAATATAATATTAATCAGCGGCAGTTCTTTAATATAATCAGTCCAAATAAATAATAATAATTATTATATTAGAGTCCCGATATTTGAAAATACTTCTGTGGCCGATATATATAGTATATAATTTCTATAAATATTAGAATCTCTGAATATTCCTCTTATATATATATAATTATAGCTTTAATATAATATAGTATATACTTAAAATCTTTAGACACAGATTAGACTAAATAATTTATAAATACTTCTAGTAATATCGCAGTAATATATATATAAATATAAAATAAAGTTATACTACTCTGAAAAATCAAGAAAAACTCTGTAGAATAATTATTACTCTTAAATTAAAGATCCCCTGTTATCAGATATATATATTATATTATATATCAAGTCCAAGTACTGCTGAATTAACAGCTGTTTTCTTATTTTATAATTTTAATCTAATTAATTTAGTTATAAATATTATATATAAGTTATAATCTCTTATACTCAGACCAACTAAGTCTAGATTAAAAAATAAGAATAAGAGCTCTATCGGCGCGCCGCGGTTTAAGTCTTCAGTTAATAGTCAAATTCTATTATTATATATTAAGAGATTAATAATATAAATAATAATAAAGAAAATCTTTTATCAGCCGGGCTTATCTACAGCTTATCTTAAACTTAGATACAGATCTACTATTCTTATCAGATATTTAAAAAACTAGATCTATCTTGGCTGTAAATTATTAATTAACTGATAAATTTAATACAGAATAATTCTGTTATTTCTAGTTATATTAGTAATAAAATTAAAAAATTCTGAGAATTATTTCTAATTCTGAGAATAAATCAGCAATAATATAGTATATCTAAGTCTTAATTAAATCTTTATTAGCGGTGGCTTTAATACTCTAGAAATTTGGGCTGATAAAAGACTTGAAAAACATATACTCTGTTATCTCTTATTAAAAAAAACTGTAAGTATATTAGACTGCTGTACTGAGTATCTAAAATTATTATTTTATTTAATTTTTATTAATATATTTATTAGTCTATATATATTCTGAAGCCGAAATAATTATATATCTTTTACTGATAAAATTTTAATTAAATATAATTAAATAATCCCGCTGTTATCTGAAAATAATATTTCAGATAGATCTAATAGAAGTAGTGTTCTGTCTCTAATTAATTTCTGCTTGTTTTATCTAAATTACTATATTTTATATTACTGCTTTATCAGATTAATTACTAATATAATCTATAGATATAATAAATCGGTAATAGACTGCGGAGAAGATTCTGTATAATTAGATTAATATCTTATCTATTAGATAATTGCTGATTATCTTTGCGGATCTGGCGGTTTCTCTATTTATTATATTTATTAATTAAAATAATATTAGTATTACTCTTTTTATAATTACCCGCGATCTTTATATCTCAGATACTATCTTATAGGCGGGTATATTATCTCTTATTATAAATATTATATTTATAATATTATATAACCGACTTTTTAATATTTTTAATTAAAAGATAGTCTATCTATATATTCTAAGTTTTTTTTATATTACAGATCTGCTGTGCGGTCTTTTTTAGAATATTCTGATATTTTATATTTTTTAGGACTTAACTGAAGTAGCAGATAATAATATTATCTCTCTGATTATAATTATTATATCTGATATTATAATATTTTAAGACAGAGATAAGTATCAGAGTATCTTAGATACAGCCCTGGGGCTTGATAATATTATTAGTCTATTTATAGATATAGTTTTTATAATAAATTTGATCTGGCAAGGGCTTTTCTGGCTTATCTCTCTACTCGCTGTGTGTTTTATTATTATAGACTATTTTTTTATATTTAATAATATAAAGAAGAAAAGCTTTCAGAAGAATATCTATTAGATTAACTTTTATAATATCTTGATATTATTTATTAATATTATCTTCTTATTAATCCTGATATTGGAAGATGGTTTCTATTTTAACTAGAACTCCATAATAATAATTAATATATTTATAATTAAAGACTGTGTCTTGATTATATTTATTCTGATTAAATAAAAAATAGCTGTGCTGTTTATATTTTTAGATATATTATTATCTAATTCCGGCTATACTTTCCAGCGCAGATATTAATATAGAATCAGTAGTATTTTTTAAAAATTAGATTCTCTATACTTTATTCTTACAGAGCTTTCTTCTGAGAGCTGTCTATTAATTATCTTTCTACTATCTACTCTTATATTATTAGAATACTTATAACTAATCTTCTATTATCTCTGCTTTATTAATAGTTTTTATAATATTCTATTAATTAATAGTCTTTATATACTCTGATCAGTATATTTCCCGATATAAATATTATAAAGAGATGATTTGGACTGGCTTTTTTCTCTGAATACTATAAATAATATACTTCTCTGATATTTTACTTATTATATTATATCTTATTTTTTTGATATCTATTCAGAGAAGCCGGATTAATACTTCTATTTAATTATTATATCAGCCCGGCTGTTATTACTGTTATTATTGTTATTACCGGGATAAATATAGGCTTTATCTTTTAATTAATTATAATTATATTCTAAGCTTATTATATAAAGACACAGCGCGCTGTTATTATCTCAGATTAGAATTTTTTTTACTGCTTGAAAAATATATATAGCTTAATTATCTCAGCTACTATTCTGCAAGTAATATTATAATTCTATTTTTTAAAAGTATATAAGAGTGTTGCTGATTTTTTTTATTTATTTCTATCAAAAACTAGTATTTCAGATACCGACTAAGATCTGATTTTTATTATATATATAAAAGTATTTTATTCTATATTTATTTTTCAGGTTTTACTGATAGAAATCTATTTTATTACTTATTTTTTAATCCGCGATCAGAATCTAAAGAGATCTAAAAACACGCATAAGATAGAAGAGAAGAAAAGATAGAAAAAAGAACAGAGAAAATAAAAAGAGATTTAAGAACAGATTAAAAAATAAACTATTATTTAAGATATTAAAGTATAGACTAAATAAATCTCTGAATCTGATATAGATATTAGCAAGAAAAATTCTGCTTTATATATATATATAAAAATTAAATCAGAGCTATAAAAGTTACAGAATATATTAATTAATTAGAAAAGAAGAAGAAAAAGAAGAATAAGAATAAGAATAATATATATAATATAGATAGTATTTAAAACAGAATAAAGAACTTTTTTTTTATATTGTAATAATTCTATTCAAAAATTATATATATCTAAAATAAGATTTAATTTAATAAATAAATAAATAGATAATAATAGAATACTCTTTATAATTAGACTTAAGCTATAATCACCAAGGGCGCTAGTCTCTATAACTAGCAAGATAAATTAAGACTAATATTTTAACAGCTATCTATTTTTTTCTTTTTCTTTTCTTTCTCTTCTTCTTTTAAGTTTAATTTAATTATTTTTTTAAAATATTATCGCCTGCTTCACCCCCTGTAATTTTCTGTTAATAATAAAATAACTAGTATAGATTTTACAGAAGTGTCTATAAATATAAGAGTATCTTCTCTCTCGCGAGATTATAATTCTTAAAAGCGCGGAAGAATAATCTGCTTATATTATAAAATTAAAAAACAGAAAATTAATAGGCGGATTTTTCTTTCTTCTTTTTATTTTATTAATAAATATATATCTGACTGCTGGCTTAATTCTAATTATATAGTATCAGAACCTCTGCTTATACTAATAATTAAGTACTAGTATAATAATAAATATTCTGTCTGCTCTAACTACTATAAAGCAGAAATAATATATAATAAAGCTACTATATAATAAAAAAATAAAGTTCAGAATAAATAAGACTTCTGTCTTTCTTCTCTGCCCAGCTATAACTCTTAAACTAATCTTTTATTATAAATATATCCAGATATTATAGAAGTATATTATCTATCTTAAGTCTTAATTAAAATCTAGAACTATAAGCAGTCAGATTAATAGCTATATTATTTATTCTATTTCTATATTTTTATTTTCTCAGCACTCAGAAATACTGACTAATCAATTAGCTAGATCTGATTAAAATATTATTAAGAAGTTAATAAGATTTCTTACTCTTAACTTCTCCAAGATTTTTATATATATTAATTTCAGCTCGGGTCTTTTTCTAGTCTTTAATCTTAGAAAAATAGTTTAAGCTATAATATAAAATCAGATATTATCTTCAAGAATAATATTATTAGACAGATCTGATTTTTTCTTAGAACAGAAAGCTATAGATTTCTCTTTTTAACTCTTAAATAAAAAGAAGAATATTTATAATAATAATTAAGCTTAATAGTTCTGAACAGAGAAAAGATTAATTTAAAGTAGTAAATCTTTTAATAATAAAATAAGCTTATAGATTCTATATATCTATATAATATAGATCTATATTTACTATTTATTTCTTAACCGCACGGAGTTATAATATCTATATAAGACTAGATAGTAAATAATACAGAAGAAATAAAAGAAACTTATTAAAAAAAAGCAGTTTAATATTTTTAAACTATATTTAATATATATAATCAGAGCAATATTAATTCAACTGAGTAAGATCTATATATATACTTTATCTAAGATATATAATTAAGTACAACTTAAAGATTATCTACTAATTAATTTATTAGTAATTTTATATAACCGCGCTGTAATAATTATTAAATATATATAAAATATAATTTATAAAAAATATTAAAACTATAATACTATTAATTATATATTATCTTTGCTCTATATCTAATCGGGATATATAGTATATAATAAATCTTATTATATATATTATTATTAATTTAGAGCTGTATTATAAGACTAATAAAATTAATATAAATTTTTTTATAGCTTAAATACAGTAATATCTATTCTAAACTATCTATTACTTAAAATAGATTATTTTTATATTTCTGGATCGCCCGTTTAATATTATTAATAAATATATTAATTTTTTCTTGTCAGTAAATATTAATAATAATATTCGCGATTCAGTCTTGCTGACTATATTTCTATTATCTAATAGAATTATAATCTTAATCTTTGCTATTTATCTTATTCAACTGCGCCGAATTAACTCAAAAATTTAGTATAAGATATATCGGGCTGATTAACTATTATATACTTTATAAATAAAGATAAACTATTTTTTTCTTAAATTTAAAAAATAGAAAGAATCTATTCTGCGGTGTTTCAGTAAATTAGATCTGGATTACTTAATACTGTACTACAATCAAGCTTTTTAATTATTAATTTAACTATTTTTATTCTTTTTTTCTCTCTCTGATCTCTACTATTATATCTATCTTCGCGCGGTTAAAAATATCTATCAAATCCACAAACAATTATATTAAATACTTAAATACAGCTACTCTTTTCTAGCTATCTAAATTATTTTTATAATCAGAATAATTCTTCTGTATATTCTATAAACACACACAAGTAATATTTAGACTATTTAGATAAGCAATAATATTCGCGCCTGCTCTGCTGTTCTATTTATTATAGAAGAGCAAGCCGAATAAATTAAGAAATACCGCGATGCCTTTGAACTGCTCGTTAATACAGTAATAAAGAAACTTAAGAGCAACGATATCTTTAAAAAAATAAATATAGCCGAGTTAATAACCGCCCAGAACAGCAGCTGCGTTAATATAGATATATTTAGAGACTGTTATTCCGAGCAGAGCTCCGCCGCCGCCGCTGCCGGTGTGCCGCCAGATACAAACCCGACAGCACCGATACAGACACAGACACAGAGAGATCCGGGTACTCAGAATTATAGCGTGCGCATGATATTAAAGCTCGCGCCTTAGATTAATCTTGAAGAGAATAGTCTGTTCTAAATACCTAATTTCGAGATCTTGAAGAGTCTGTCCGGAAATCTGTGAGACAGTGGGGATTTGACTTTGTTTGGGCCTCTTTGATATTAATATCAAGATCTTATCTGCGTCGCTGGTCGACTGAACTAGTATGTACTAGTTATAAAGAATATATTAGTCTGAGACGCGCCAATTATAAGAACACGTACGATGTCCGCATCACGATTGTGAAATATGTCGCAAATCCAAGGCAGTCCTTGTTAAACCGTGTCTCAACCAACCGTTCGTAACTATCTACTAGAAAAAAACAGCCCCTATAATAGTAACAGCGCAGCAACCGCACCTCATCCATGATAGAATCAAAGTATGTCAGGAATCGCGACACTCATTTCTCACCACAATAACACAGCCGGCTAGTCATGGATATATGGAACTGGGACTGGACTGGGGCTGGAACTATCTACCTAGCATGTATGACTTCCTTCCTTCTTCTTTTCCTATATGATTTCCAGTACAGAGGGAAACAGTACATACGACCATAGGGTGTAGAGAACAGGGCTTCCCGTCCGCTCAGCCGTACTTAAGCCACACGCCGGGAGGTTAGTAGTTGGGTGGGTGACCACCAGCGAATCCCTTCTGTTGTATGTTTTTTTCTTTTTTTCTTACCTCTGATTCGTGGAGAGGGTAACACAACCATACTAAAAAAGTGGGCGACCATCAGTGTATCTCCCGCGTTGTATGGTTTTGCTCACCTGTTATTTTTTTTTTTTTTTTTAGATCATATTGTAGGGGGGAGGGTGGTTTAGGCATAGGTAGATCTGGTAGTGTGGTAGGGACAGAATGAATGATCGGATTATCTGGCATGGGTTGAATGGGGTGGAAAGTGTATACAGGGCCAGTACTCTGTACACTACACCGTACAAGGATGCTCTTTCGCGGCAGCAGATGCAAATGCGTGAGCTGTATGATAGAAGTGATGCGGGTGAAATATATAATGGAGTATCTCTCTATCTAGTTACATAGGGGCCCGGAGGCGTGCGTAGAGAGGGTCACAGCATAGTTCAGTAAAAGTCAAAGATGGTAGCTTACTATTATTTATATATATTTAATAGTTTGCCACACTCACCGACCATTTCATAATAGTTGTCAAACTGTTACCTACAGTAACAGTTAGGTTGTGTTACAGTTGCTTACAGTTGCAAAACAGTTATTTATTATTATTTACATATAATAATAATTACTAACGATACAACCTCACCCAAACCGGGTAATTACATACAAACGTTGTTAAAGTTGAATACGATTCAGAAACTATTATATAATTATAATTTAACAAGAATAGTTCTGTAATAAAATAGATTAGATACAGAAGATATCTATTACTTATGAACAGAAACTGTATTTTATAGATATATAACAAATATTAATCATAATTTCTAGAGATTATCTGGTTATACTCCTTAAATAATAGTAAGATTCTTATACAAAATTTTCTCAGAAGTAATATATAATCATATCAAAGTAGTAAAAGACCAGAATATAATAATTTATTATTTACATAAAATCAATATTCCATGAACAGTATAATTTCTAGAGATTATCTGATTACACTACGAGCCAGACCGCGTATCTCTACCAACAACTCGTCATCTTCGACTTCGATGGCACCCTCTTCGACAACTACGAGGCCATCGAGCACTCCATCCGCCTGACCTTCCAGGAGCTGCTGCCCACCCACCCCCCCCCGTCCCCGGCCGCCATCCGCCCGCTGGTCTCCACGGGGGCCCCCCCGGCGACACCTTCCGCGCCCTGCATCCCGACCCCGGTGTCTTCGACGAGGCCCGCCCAGAACCAGCCCGTCGTCATCATCAGCAACAAGGCGGCGGCTGCCGTGACGGCGGCCCTGGAGAAGTCGGACCTGCTGAGTTACGTCCCCGAGGACTTGATCCTCGGTTAGAGGGGGTATCTGGAAGATATTAATATCGGACTAGAATACCCTGTAAAAGGCTTCCACAGGATACTGTTACCTTGATAGCAGGAGAGACCTTGAGAGGGCAAGACCGGGAGATCCTCCAGTCCATCGAGAAAAGAGAAAATTTCTGAAAGACATTAATATCGGACTAGAATACCCTGTAAAAGGCTTCCACAGGATACTGTTACCTTGATAGTAGGAGAGATCTTGAGAGGGCAAGACCGGGAGATCCTCCAGTCCATCGAAAAAAGAGAAAAAATTTCTGGAAGATATTAATATCGGACTAGAATACCCTGTAAAAGGCTTCCACAGGATACTGTTACCTTGATAGCAGGAGAGATCTTGAGAGGGCAAGACCGGGAGATCCTCCAGTCCATCGAGAAAAGAGAAAAAATATCTGGAAGATATTAATATCGGACTAGAATACCCTGTAAAAGGCTTCCACAGGATACTGTTACCTTGATAGCAGGAGAGATCTTGAGAGGGCAAGACCGGGAGATCCTCCAGTCCATCGAGAAAAGAGAAAAAATATCTGGAAGATATTAATATCGGACTAGAATACCCTGTAAAAGGCTTCCACAGGATACTGTTACCTTGATAGCAGGAGAGATCTTGAGAGGGCAAGACCGGGAGATCCTCCAGTCCATCGAGAAAAGAGAAAAAATATCTGGAAGATATTAATATCGGACTAGAATACCCTGTAAAAGGCTTCCACAGGATACTGTTACCTTGATAGCAGGAGAGATCTTGAAAGGGCAAGACCGGGAGATTCTCCAGTCCATCGAGAAAAGAGGAAATATCCTCCAAAGTGGAGGAGAAATGGCTATCAGAAAGAAGTAGAAGATGGGGGGTGCGCTTAGACGCGTCTTATGGATATCAACAAAACTCTAAATGGCCTGTAGTACTGCAAGATGACAAAGACTGTAAACAACACCTCGCATTACCGAACACGCTTATGACGTCCCGATAAGTTTAATATACGGGTAACACTTATTCATAGTAACAGGTGTATTGAATATAGAATAATAGATATTACATCTATCAACACATCAAATCTTAGTGTTATGACCGTGTTTTTGAATATATTTAATTGATTACAGTATCACTATGAGTACATGTAGTAGTACTAGTATAACTCAAAGTACCTAAGTAACTTTATAGTATATACATTTGAACAAGTACTAGTACTTCGTTTAGTACTGTGATATTGAACTGTGAAGATATATAATTTGAACAGCTGTTATCGGAATCCATGGTTTTATCCACACTGGGGCGCGTCTATCCACACTGGGGCGCGTCTATCCACACTGGGGCGTGTCTATCCATACAGGTACGCGTCTGTGTCACTCTCTCACTGCACCACGCATCTTCTCAGTGAGTCTTTGTATTATTACTAACCCCCCCTCCTGCTGATCATATTTCCTCCAATATCTGCCGGCCTCTTATATCTCTTAATTAGTTTATTTTATAACTATTAATGAATCATCTGTGGAAGCCTTTTGTAGTAATAACAACAATCTCATCTCTTGCAGAAAGGATGGCCACCGCGAGGACTATGTCCAGCTTCTACAGAAGAGCAAGCTCAAGCAGGACAGTGATAGTACTATTATTTAGTGCTACTAGGAAGGTCCTGCAAATGCCTTTCACAGGACTCTCTACTACAGTCGCACTACTGGATAGCAGTAGTAGCATGGCTCTGATAACTATAATAGAAAGAATCAGCCTTCTTTTATCACTGACTTAGGGATTACTATTCTGCCACTCTGTCTTACCGCCTATGTCAAGTATGCCTTCGGAGTGGCTGTCTGAATAGCTTCTTTCTTATATTACTACCAGTACCGTTCACTGTGGCCCTCTGAATAGCTTCATCCTTGCATTACTACTAGTACCATTCACTGCGGCCCCGCAGGGCCCCGCCGGGGGGGGGGAGCCGCCTAGGGCTATGTAAGAGCTGCCTCTCCCCCCTCTTCTTCCTCTCCTTCCTCTCCTCTATCTCCTCTATCTTCTCCCTCTTCTCAATCTCACTCTTCTCTACAAAGACCTACCAGTACTGCTGCGCTTTCAACCAGTCCCTCTGCCACTACTGCCTCGATCGGCCGCCATGCCCGCCGCCATGCCCGCTGATCTCATGGCCATTATCACTGTTGTGGCCGTTCTTGTTCCGGCCGGCGTGATCCTCTACAAAAAGAAGCCCGCTCTCTTCACCGCGGAAAACATCCTGAAACTCCTGGATTTCTCGGTCAAAGTACTGGAGAAAGTTTTCGCGATCCTGAAGATAATCAAGAAGATCACCGACATTGCAGTGGAAATTCTGGAGGCATATAATAAGATAAAGAAGGCGCAGAAGGCAGCCCAAGCCCAATGGAAACTTCAAGTAAGTTTACATCTCTCTGAGTACATGATTGACATATAACTGATATATAGCCAGTACTATCTTACTATCGATGTGCCAGAATGTTTCGGGAAGGTTGTTACTATCGGGGATGCGGGATGGGCCAGGCCGGGGGAATATGATTCAATAAATTATCCAGATAATGATATTATTAAAATCCAAACTTTTGTAAAGTTTATAACTGCAGAACAGCCAGATATACTCTATAATAGTAAGTTGACAGTGAATTGACAGTAAGATAACAGTGAATAACCTGTGAAAAACTCACTTACTATAAAAAAAAGAAATAGTAATATAATTCTTTGTAGATAGATTAGAAATAGAAAAGCAATAAGCTTTTAATAATAATAAATAGTTATAAAATAAGCTTCAAACAGTTACTTTCTTGTTATTTTCTTAAATATAATTTCAAAATAGTGTAATAACTATTATATACAGTATAACAGGGATGCTTACTATTTATTTTAGTCAGCAACTATTAGGAACTGTTATACAACTGGTCACAACTAGTTATAACTGGCCACAACTGGCCACAACCTCGCGGTAACTTGCGCCAGCGGCCTACTATAGTATATTCAGGATCAATATTTATAATCGATCTACCGAGACATTTGAGCAAGCAAGCTATCTAATCTACTTAATATACAAACAACACGTCATCACGTCCGTGAAGCGAGCACATGCACATTATTGGTCAGTAGTATCAATCATATCATAACTCGTCCTTGACGGGCGGCGGGGGCATGGGTCTTCCGCTGTCATGGGCCAGATCGACGCCGTTCTTCTTGCGCCATTTCTCCCACAGCGCGAAGAAGTCCTTCTCCATGCCGCTCTCCATCTGGTCCGGCAGAACGACCGTATACTCGACATACAGATTCCCAGGCTCTTCGTCCCCATCATGATCATGGAGATGGCTTTCCGAGTAGAATGGCATGCCCTCGCCCGAGACCGTCTCAACAGACAACGGCTGCACGACCTGCCCACGACTCCGCCCCAGACGAACAACATGTCCATCCAAATGCGTGATATTGCGAGTCCATTCGCCCATCCAGGCCTCCCGCAGCGAGAGCGCCTCCTTCCAAAACAGATCCTTGCCCTTTCGCCGGAAGAACGTCCCGTCGGTGCGTTCCTCCTCCGCGCCACCAACCTCGGGCTCCTTCTCATCCAGAACGATGACCAAATCGCCCGCAATCCAATCGGGGCTTTCGTCAGCCTCGTTCTCGAACACGATTCTCGTGCCCTTGCCCATCCCCGGCTCGACGGTGGCAAACGTCTCGACCTGATTCTTCAGAACTTTGTGTCCATGACAGACGGGACACGGCTTCTTGACCATCTTCCCTTGCCCGCCACACTTGTCGCAATGCATCTGCACCTGCTGGAACATGCCTGGCGCGAGCTGGTGTTTCTGAATGACGACCCCGCGCCCAGAACACTTATCACACGTGATGACCTCGCGATCCGCCGACCCCGTGCCCTCGCACGAATCGCAAATCTGCTGCTTCTCGACCATGAACGAGAAGTCCCGCCCATTGTAGAAATCCCGCAGCGGCAATCCAACCCGGAACTCCTGGTCGGGGCCGCGTCGATGCCCCGGCGCATGTCCGAAGTGGCCGCCCCCGCCAAAGAACCGCGAAAACAGATCGAAGGGGTCGTGCGCCTGGTGGCCCGCCGAGCCGCCTTGTCGGTGCTGTTCGACGCCCTCGTGGCCGTATTGGTCGTAGATCTTCCTCGTCGCTGCCGTGGAGAGGACGTCGTAGGCTTCGGCGATTTCAACGAACTTCTTCTGTGCGGATTCGTCGCCTCTGTCATTACGCCGGATGAAACGTTAGCATGGTCCTGAACACCCATCCTCTCGCCTCCTCGAGAAACAGAACCCGAAGACCCAATAAATAAATAATAGAAAAAGCGGCAAAACTTACGGGTTCTTATCCGGATGAAACTTCTTGCTCAGATTCCGATACGCGCGCTTAATATCCCTCTCGTTGGCCGACTTATCCAGCCCGAGAGTCTTGTAGTAGTCTTCCGCGGCGAGCGCCAATTGGAAGAGACATACTGCGAGGGCCAGGAAAAGACACACGGCGCGCCAGGTGGGGAACATTTTCGGTGTTCTCTGCCACTTTTCCGTGGGGGGAGTTTGTTCCTTTCTTATGTGGGGAGTGGAGACGGAGATTATGAATGGGATTGCGATGGCTTGTGGTTCATGTGGATGTGGTTGTGATTGTGGTTGTGGTTGTTATCTAGCCAGGTAGCTTGGTAGGTAGCTAGGTGGTGTTGGCCTCGGCGGAGCCTCCGGGTAATGCCGTTGATGAATCGCGGGAGGGGAGTAGCAAGGGGGTGAGTGGGTGGGTGGTGGTTGTGGTCGATGAAAATGAGTGGTAGGGGTGATGCGATGGCAATGATAGCCCCGACGGCACTCAAGATCAGTGAAGATCTCAAGAAGCAGGGAGGGAGAGGCCGTCTGTAAGTACTTGAAGAAGAGGAAGTGTTATCGCGGGAAGGGATCGAGAACCGCCGGCCAACCCCAATCCAGCAAACCGATTAGGTGGCCGCAACGCCGGCCTTTCTGTTCGTCCGGGCCGGATCACGTGGCTCATCCCATGTCATTAAACTCCAGTACGTACACGGTAACTACTCCTCCGTACATCACAAATTGATATAATATGGGAGGCGTTCTCCCCAACCCAAATCAAAACCCCCAGTCCTGGTGCCAATCCTCCAACGCGGACAGCGTGACAAAATCAAAATAGACAATCATGGCGGTCGTAAAACATAGAGAGCAAGTGAGTAATTAATTATCTTCTTAGGCCCGACGCGTAGGAACATCGAATATGTCATTCCGCCAGGTTCTCCCCAATCCATGGCTCTCATCGCCCTCCTCAATGGCCTCTTGAGCCCGCAGCGCCTCGTCATGCCAGACTTTGACGAGACTGCCGGGGGCAAAGACACCCTTGAATACCCCGCTGCCAGGCGGGTCAATGCCAACGCGGGCCTCCACGTCGGTGTCGGGGATGGCCTTAAGCCGGGCCATCACAGCCCGCACGAAGCTCGCAAGGTCGTGAGGATTGGCAATGCGTGCCGCGCGCAAGCGTTCCCGAGCAAACACCAGCTCTCGGTTGAGCGCGAAAGCAGCTTGGACGATCTTCTCCGCGATCTTCTTCTCCAAGACCCGACGGACCAGGTGCTTGAGGAAAGGCTTCGTCACCCAGAGGAGCCACTTCCACTTGCTGCGATGAACTTTGTAGTCAAGCTTGTGGATCCGCACACGGACACCGCGAAGGGTGAAGATTTGCTCCAGGCGCTCCCTCCCGACCTCGATGTCAAGAGAGATGTCGATTCCGCGCTTATCCAGGTAGAAGCTCGCAATCCCCTGATCTCTGAAGTAAAACAGCAGGCCGGAGTGCGCACGAATCCAGTATCCAAACTCCGCGGCACTGATGTTCAGCCCAGAGACGGTGGTGGTGAACGTGGTTTTGATATCAGTCGCGGTCTTCTTCGAATGCTTCTTCACGATATCAATGTCATTGCGCGTTGTAACATGCATCCGGTACGGTAGAAATGACGAATAGTTGACGGTATGGCCCGGCTCCAAGATCAGACTTTCCAGTAACAGGTCGACTTCCGGCGAGGAGATCTCTAGGCGCGGGATTGGGATGTATTGGATACTGCGGAGGATCAGGGGGAAGAAGACTTCGACTAGATCCGCGGGTAACTGGCCCTCTCGGCTATGGTAGCCGTCCGAGGCATCCTGATACAGCTTGTTGGTTGCGTCGACTAGTTTAGACACGGCATTATCATTAGAGACCGTCTGCAGAGCTCGTCTCGCCTGTACCAGGAAGGCGTCCACATCCTGACGCAAGTTCGACTCCGCCTCAATCTGTTTTGACCTTTCCTTGAGTTCATCAATCTTCTCGTCGGCCGAGTCGAAAAATTTTGGATCTGTCAACATCTCCTCGATCATGGACCCGGTCTCGGATATAAAGGTCTCGAACTCTGGGTCTTTGTTTGCGTGCTGCAGCACCTTCTCAAAGCGCTGTTGTAGGGTCTTCCATTCCTGTGCATCGCCGAAAGATTGGACCAGGAGCCAGAATTGTTCCACGGCCTGCTTGAGGTCCACATTGACATCTACCTCTTCTTCAGCTGTCGTGACTACATCCGAGGCCGCATTTGCGTATGCTTTGGCGTATCGCGCAACCAACTGGGCCAGAGTAGCAACCGAATCCGAGTAGTCGGAGCGGTCACGAAGCTGCAAGACGGTTCGCTTCAACCGGTAGAGTAAGGCTTCTTTTTCTGGTCCTGCCAGATGCTCCTTAGCACTGTGGAGTGCCTCCTGACCGGTACGAGCAACCCCGGTACCTGCGACCTTAGCCACGTTGGCTGCCTCTTCACGTAGTTCTTCGTTGTCTGCCGCACGACCCTCATCTGCACCTGCCCCCTGTACGGCTTCGATGTCTTCCTGGGAGGGCTTTAATTGCCTCCCCACTTGCTTCGAAGCACTGGATAGCGAGAAGGCCGTGTCGGAAAAGATCTGGCGCCCGACGGTGGCTAGATCATCGACAAACAGACGGAAGTCCGCATTGGTCAGGAGCAGGCCTCCAACGGTGCGCAAGCTATCATAGGCTGAATCACATGCATTAGCTGGCTACTCGAGGTCCCACGAAGTCTACAGCCCGGCATAGAAACGGAAAGAGAATGGAAGTCTGTACCCGCTTTGGTATCTGCTCTGGCCTTCGTCTGGGTGGCCCGTTGCTGGATCTTGTTCGGGTCTAGGGATGCTTTGGACCGTGACAAGTGCCACAAGAAGTCCTGCAGTTTATCGTCCCCATTCTTCTCCTGCAGGAGTTCGATAAAGAGCTGGATCCAGAGACGGAAATCGCGAACGATTTGACGGCCCACGGAACCGACATCATGGGTATGTGGGGATAGGATGTCGGAAGCTAAGAAGGAGCGGAGATTGATGATGGTCTGTTCTGTAGACGGCATGTACCCATCCGAAAGGGCACGGATCATCTGGTAGGTATGCAATTTCTGATGCAGGCGACGCTGGAGGGTGGTGTCCTCCTCGTAGCGAGGGAGGAGGGGCTCCGTCTCTCCTTGCGGCATGGTGGAGGATGCCTGGCGGCACTGACTGGCAATGGCAGCTTAGATGAGTATATCAACCGAGGGTGGGGGGGGGCATGGAGTTTAGTCGAGTCGAGTCGACCAGAGGAGTGCAGCCCAGACAGAGAGCAGAGAGATGAGGAGAGGGGAGAGAGAAAAGAGGGGGAAGGGCCAGCTCTGGCTGGGTTGGCTGATTCGAGCTTCCCGGTTGCTGCTGCATTGTCTCGAGGCCGGGGCCGCGCCCAATCACCATTGCGTCACCGCTGCGATCGCAGTCAGGTGACCCGTCAGCATTCATTACTGTTGTTCTACGGAGACCATCTCCTTCTCCTCCCTCGATCTACCGTAGGGGAAAGAGCGCGATGCAGCAGGGCCATAACACCGCAGCTTCGACACGACGGTCACCTCCAATATAAGACAAAGGGAGGGCCCTGTCAACACGGCAGCCTGTACGGAGTACAAGGACCGAATATGTTAGGGTATGGCTGTTACGCGCACCTGCAGGGCTGACGATGAGAATGTGCGGAGTATTTCACCCTATCCCGAAAAACAGCCAGATGGACCCCTCGACCAATCTGGACTGTAGTAATCGGTCCCAAGTGCGGTTGCCCGTCCCAACATCGCCTGTTGGGGCCAACAGGGCAGCAGCCTCGGGTGCAGGCAAGTTGGACTTGTACCATGTCAGGGTCCAAGCAGCCCAATTGCAGCCCCGTTCAGGGTGTCAATAATGCGGGAGATCCTGGCTGGAAACACCCCAACAAGGCATGATCCAGAGTATTATTTGGGATGGATGGTCGGCCAACGGTCGTCCAACCGCCGAATCCAGGGAGGGATGATCAACACCGGTCAAGCTTTGTGATCCATGCAGCTCGAATCCGGGGGTAAGAGAGGAGCTCCCTGAAGTGGGTAACCCGGTCAAGGCTTGCATAATTGCGCGGATGGGGGTGCGGGATGATGGATCGAATAGGTACCAACTTCAGCCACTGCCTTGACGCAAGGGATTGCTACTGAGCACGATGAGTACGCCAGCATACCGGAAACAGGCTTCAAGAATAATGGCTCAAGAAATCGCTCAACGTAAGTAGTCCACACCACGACATTGTGATGGGTCGAAAGTGAGAGAGCAAGAGCAAGAGCAAGAGCAAGGATCGCTCTGACGCGGCTGCATCGGCAAAGCTGCCACTGAGGGCGGATTCAGGAACCGAAGCTCGATGCTTGTACGGAGTAATGCATCGCACTAGCCTCGTTGCATGCACAGCAAGGATAATGACCACCCTCCCGCCCGATATCTTGTTCATAACCTTCTCATTAATAATAAGACGAGCCTCGACCGCGAAAAAGGACTGGCTGGGGAAAGCGAATTTTTGCGTGCTTCCGACGGAAACAGCACGGATCACGTCTATCGTACTAATTATACCACTCTCCACCGCCCATGAGGTCCAGGGGGCCATTCAGGAACGGAGATTTGCTACTGTAGACATTTATTGGATCTCTGCTGGGTTCGGTCCATGCTACGGAAGGCTCTCGTCAACGCCGACCCCATCGGATGCTCCATCGGTCGGGCCCGATCGGCGCGGGCAAGGCTGTTTCAGGCCGCTGTGATTGGGCAGCAGGGCCGTGGAATTTGGAGTCGCGATTATTTGGAGAAACGACGAAGCAAAGAATTTTAATTCGCGCAACCTGATCGTCGCCATGAGCAATCGTGTTTCGAAAATCGAGCAAAATCTGTGACTTGAGCATGGGGGCCGCGCATGATCTTCCTTTCTTCCTGCATCATCATGTCTGCGACACGGACTTCGGGACCGATTGTCCCTTGCCCGGAATACTCCGTCAGGGGACGGACGGGTCAGGCCAACCCTTGAATGACGACGCATCGATCGGACTTTGCTGGCAGACAGACAGACAGCTGTGCCGGGCGAGTCGGACACCATCTGTATGCCTGCAGGGATGCCAGAGAACCGAGAAGTTAGAAGACGACGACTTCAACCAAGTGAACAACACCAACACATCGCACCCGCTGGCAAGACCCGAACTCGGGCATTGTCCGGGCCGCGTTGCTGCGGGGAATCCAGGCGGGACTGGCGAAGGCCCATGGATGAAGGATGATGGGAGGGCAGGTATCTAGCGTGAATAACATTCGGTCCAGAATCCTTCCTGGTTCAGTTAGATCGCTGGGAGAGCCGGAATCCTGTAGGCTTGACCTAAGCGGGATTTAGCCGGCTTTCTCTGCCACATGAGACTCGATCCACCTTATCCCACCAGCACTGGACCCTTTGCTGCTGTTGGACTAGCGTCGCCTGCGTGATTCCGTAGCCTGTGCCGACTACTGTCCATCGGCTCCACTGACGAAAACCAAAAGGCGGCGGGAAAAAGGGAAAGGAAAAACAAAAAAAAGCGAAGAAACATGCGCGGAGGACAGGAATCGGGTTTCCATGTCGGAAATAGGAGGCCGTAAACCAGGAAGACGAGCCGGAGCACAACGGGTGACATAGCAGGCCATCGCAGATACATCATGATCATGATCATCGCTGATATCATGACTGGTAGTCATGCCAGGTTCTACACTGGTAGCATCCATACTCTGCTCTCCTTCGGGACGGTACGGAGTCCGGAGTATATCGCTGGAGCCAGTGAAAGCGAAAAGACTGACAACTACCGGGTACAATCCAGAACCGTGAGATCGCTTACTGTCTTGTGGTACTCCGTACTTTCTGGAGTACTAGATATACACTGTATACACGGTCCCATCTCCCATCTCCCAACCATTCAAATGAAAATCAACAATAATTAATAAATAAATTGAAAAGGCATGTCACCTGCCACATTTTTCCCAACCAAAAAAAAAAAAAAAAAAAAAAAAAAAAAAAAAAAAAAAACCACCCCACTGGTCCAATGTGCCATGCACATTGCACACACCCACCCGCATCGTACTTTGTGCAGGATGTAAAAATAACAATTACAAAGATCAGCCCAAACACAACAAGAAAAATAAAAAAATAAAAATAAAAATAAAGCACCGCAATTCCGTGTCAATTGCCATACCTGGTGATGTCCCTATGCTCAGTGCTACAACGTAGGCGTCGTCCTGGAGCCAGAAATACCTCGCCGCCCCGGGAGAAGGACGGAGAAATTGAGACTTTGAGAGAGGAAAGAAGAGTGCTCTGGACCTCCGCGAGTTCCTAAACAGCAACTTCTGTGCGTCGTCCGCTTGGGAATTCATTTTCTCCGCATTTGTCGGATTCGGAGTGACCTCCCGTTTGGCCTTCTCCACTCCCCGTCCGCCTGGTAATCCAATCCCATCTCCTACATTCCTTCCCATCCCCCCCCCATCTCCAAGCTTCGTATCCCACTCTTTCTCTCCCACACCCGCTGGTGACCACTGGAACCACCAGTGACCCAGCCGAAACGGTTCGCTGCCATGCAACCATTGTACCCCGATCCCCACCGGACCGGTCCCGGTCGTCCTGAGTGGCCCCTTGCCTCCCGATTCTTCCCGATTGCTGTCATCCCTAATCAATCCCCCGGCCCTGGTTCATAGTCCTGACGACCACCTCCCCCGTTAGAAAGAATCATAACGCTCGTTGCCAGACCTGTCTGCCTGCCTGCCCTTCGGAATGCGGTGGATGCCTGCTCAGGGGCCCTCAATGCGACTAGTGCAGCCAACACATAAAATCAGACTGCCACCAGTGGCCTCGTCGACTCAATTGATCCTCGCATCCTCCCCCTACTCCTACTCTGTCTCTGTTGCTGGAACTACACCCTCAGCCTTTGCCCGTATCTCTACTGTCTCCTCGTCGTCTTCTCTGGCCGTGACTCAGCCTACCACCATGGCTCGTTTTCCCGCGCAGCAAAGCCGGTCCGTCCACGCGACCCCGTTGGTGAACCATGCGGCTCCTGCGTAAGTTCCGCGCACCTTCTTTCCCCCCCCCATTAAAAAAAAATGACGAGTCCTCCCCTCCCTTCATCACACAGCCAGACCTCTGCCTCTCTCTCTTCCACCACTGTGTCTAACGATGTCTTCGTCTTCGTTTAGAGAGTCCAACTACGACACGGCCAACCCGGCCTACATCCGCAAATATCTCCGCACCTATGGCTTGACGCCCCCGCGTGCGGAGTCATATGAGATCCAGAAGACTCGCTGTACGTAGACCGGGAGACGGAGCTGGTCTTGATGCTGGCGTCAGCAGCAGAGCTAATGGACATGCAGGCCTCGCCCAATTGGCCCTCAAGACCACCGCCATCGACAAGTTCCTCTACCTCAGCACCCTCCGCAAGAACAACGTCCACCTGTTCTATCGGCTGGTGACGGATCACCTCAAGGTCAGTTCGGGCGAGCCTAAGCACCGTCGGGAAAAAGATCCCGCGGATCGTTTTCGTCTGTCAGACAGCTAACCGGGAAGTAGGAGTTGACCCCTCTGATCTACACCCCCGTCGTTGGAGAAGCCTGCCAGAGATGGTCCGAGATCTACCAACAGCCGGAAGGTGAGTTGCAGCTCCCCTGTCTAGCGTGACTGTCACGGGCTGGAACCGGATGCTAACCATGCATGACTAGGCATGTACCTGAGCTGGGAAGACCGTGGCAACCTGGCGGCTGTCATTTCCAACTGGCCCCAGCCCAACGTTGAGATCACATGCATCACCGACGGTTCCCGCATTCTCGGTCTTGGTGACCTTGGCATCAACGGCATGGGTATTCCCATTGGTAAATTGGCTTTGTACACTGCCTGTGCGGGTATCCGACCCGAGGCTACTCTGCCCTTGACTCTGGATCTGGGAACAAGCAACAAGGCCTTCCGGGAAGATCCGCTGTACATGGGCAGTCGCCGTGACAAGGTGACTCCCGACGAGGAGCGGGAATTCCTGGATGAGCTGATGGCTGCTCTCACTGAGCGGTGGCCCGGGTAAGTGCCTCTCGTCCTAGATTATGGGAACTGGATGGGAACTGGATGGGAACTAACAGTGGACCTCGGTGTAGCATCGTTATCCAATTCGAAGATTTCAAGAACCCCTTCCCTGCTCTGGAACGTTACCGTGACGTTTACACGTGCTTCAACGATGACATCCAGGGTACCGGTGCCGTTATCCTCGGAGGTGTGATCAACGCCGTGAAGCGCTCTGGCCTTCCCTGCAAGGACCAGCGTGCCGTCTTCTTCGGCGCGGGAAGTGCCGGTGTTGGCGTTGCCAAGCAGATTGTTGACTTCTTCGTCCGCGAAGGCATGACTGAAGATGAGGCCCGCGGGTGCTTCTACCTCGTGGACACCAAGGGCCTCGTCACTGCTGATCGTGGTGACAAGCTTGCGGATCACAAGGTCTACTTTGCCCGCACAGACAATGACGGCCTGCAGCTGAAGACTCTGGAGGATGTCGTTGACCATGTGAAGCCCACCATCCTGATGGGTCTTTCCACCATCGGCGGTGTGTTCACCCCCGAGATCCTGCGCAAGATGGCCGAGTGGAACAGCAACCCCATCGTCTTCCCTCTCTCCAACCCCTCGTCCAAGTCTGAATGTGACTTCGAGACTGCCGTCAAGAACACCGACGGTCGGGTCCTCTTTGCTTCCGGTTCTCCCTTCCAGCCCATGTCGTTCACCAACTCCTCGGACGAAACCCGCACCTACTACCCCGGCCAGGGCAACAACATGTATGTCTTCCCTGGTATCGGACTGGGTACCATTCTCTCCAAGTCGGTCAAGGTCACCGACAGCATGATCTACGCCTCGGGCGAGGCTCTATCCAAGGCTCTCACTGCCGAGGAGATCAACCGTGGTCTCCTCTACCCTGACCTGACCCGCATCCGTCAGGTCAGTGTTGTGGTGGCCCGCAATGTCATCCGCGCGGCACAAGAAGAAAAGGTCGACCGTGAGACCACTCTGCGCACCATGGACGATGAGGCCCTTGACGCCTGGATCAAGGCCCGCATGTACGACGCTCACACCGAAGTGTTGGCTCTGGAGAGAGAGGTTGGATCCATTCTGGCCAGCCTGGGGCCCGCCGCTTTCACCCTTGACGGGCTGAACGAGGAGGCCGAGAAGCATGCCAAGCTGTAAGCTTCAGCATCGCATCTTGTTCTCTGCATGCCCCAATCTTTGGGGCCCTCAAGAGTTTCTTTTTTTTTTCTTCTGATACACTGGCTTGCCCAGGTTGACTTGGTTTTGCTTTGCAGCGCGTTTCTTGTTTCCTGAATCTCGCTTGGAAGGATGCGCTTCTTGTATACCCCCATTCTTTCACGGATTCCAGACTCTTCTTTAATGACGATTCTGTGTTGTCGGATACTGCCGATGTCGGACTAGGTTTTGGATAGCTAGATACTGGTCTTGTGTTGGGTAAAACGGATGATTCAACGATCCGGACATATTTTTCTTCGGGTTTTGTCGATCTATTCCTCATCATCGTAATTTTTGCTTTTTTCTCCTGATCTGTAGACTTTATTCTCATTAGTCCCTCATCATGGGCTCCAGATCCTTGCAACAGCCAGTCACCATCATCTTAGGCCAGCCCGCTCATGCACGAGGGGTCATGTGACGGTGAGGGGAAGAAAGGCCCCCGCGCCTCGTCGCGTCGTGAACAACCTCACTCATCTCCTGTGAGTCGAACCCCTGCACCCGTCACCAGACACTTATTCCCATGACCCTCCCAGAGATAATCTCATGCTCTTAGTAGCAGCAGCAGCAGCCAAGACCAGGAGCCAGACCTCGGCATGGACTGACCGCGTCATATCAGACTCATCTGCCTAGGCACGACGCCCACTACACCAGCCGACCTGCATGTGACGTGGAGATAAGATGAGGAGAAGAGGAGACACGAAATCCCCCGCACAGGGTCCTCCGTCGGAATCCGTTCAAATAAGCTTCTGCAAGCTAACGATAGAGCTGCAGCTCGCGCAGGGGACAGCCCGCTGCGGACGGTCAGATCGGCCTCCCACTCAGGGTCCGATGGGTTCCACCGCGAACGAAGTCGATAATTGGTCGGAAGGCGAGGCTGGAACTCGCCGCGCCCAAAATGGATTGCAGCTTGTCCAGAGGAGCTGTCAGCCAGCCTGTCAGATAATCGGCTTCCTCCCTACATTGGCCGCGTGTTCGGGTGGCTGTATCCCGGTGTCCGGCTATCTGCAGCCTGGATTTCCGGTTGCCCGAGAAGGATAGCCGGGAACACTTTTCACCACCCTCCGCGCCGGGGAAACCGAGGAATGGGGAAAAGCTTGGCCATCTGGGTTGCTACTGTGGTGGCTCTGGGTCTTTGGAGTTTAATTGGGTTTTATTCTGAGGATTGGAGCGGTGGTTGAACCTAGAATCGCCGCTGGCTGCTCTGTATGGGTGCGGATCACGGTAACCGGCAGTACTGACTTTTCGGGCCGGATTGCAGAAGGTGGGTGGCCAGGGCAAGTGGATGGCAGAGCACAGGCAGAATGTTGTTTGGTTTCATACTGATCTTGCATCTTGCTGGGTAGTTATGACCCTTGTTCGAGATGCCATCCACGCTCATCTTGGGCGCTTCACGCTGATAAGCATCTGCAGCAGGTCTTGGCTTCGATGCTAAGCCAAACACAGAAACGGTCTTCTCCACCAGCGCCATGTGGTAATTGCTCCATACTCCTCGGATGCCTCGGTCGCCTTCCGGGCCGTCGGCCACTTGGCCACCCGGAGATAGTGGTCGCTGATAAATCACCCATTTTTTTTAGGGCCTCAGGTCAATATTTCCTCTTCTGTCCCTGTTGTCCCGAAGCAATAATCAAAGATGACGCCCTTGAACGAGCCCGTGAAACTCCCCTGCGGATTGGTCTTTCCCAACCGCCTTGTCAAGGTGGGATCAGATTCCTGTAATTCCGAATGGTCATATGTTTTCGTGTCTGACTGGCTGAAGGCGGCGATGGCCGAGTCCCTGGCAGGGTCGGGGAATGCCCCAACGCCCACGTTTCTGGAGGCATACAACCAATGGGGCCAAGGAGGTTGGGGTGGTCTTCTCACAGGTCAGACTCACAGAATATTTGCTGAAGCCTGTCGGGATACCCCTATTAACTGCAATGCCAACGAGCAGGAAATGTGCAAGTGGACGTGGATCATCTGGGAACCCCTCTAGACGCTGCCATGCACGGTGAATACTCAGGCAAGGAGAATAACGAAGCCTTGGTTGGACTCTGGAGTCAATATGCCACCGCCTGTCAGCGGCATGGAACCCCGTCTATCGTGCAGCTCTGCCATCCCGGCCGCCAGTCTCTCCGGGTTGCTGGTCGTAGAGGTGTCTTCGCTCCGACAATTGCACCTAGCGCCATTCCCCTGCAGCTGGGAGACAGTATGGTGCAGCGGCTGCTCAGCTGGCTCGTCTTCCCTCCGCCCCGGGAGATGACCCAGGGTGATATCGAGAAAGTCACTCGTCAGTTCGTTGACGCGTCCCGTCTGATGGCCGACAGCGGGTTCTCGGGAGTTGAGCTGCACGGTGCGCATGGCTACCTGCTCGGTACGTTGACTACTCCCCCCTTTCTCGTGACCATGAGCTAATGTCGCAGATCAATTTCTCAACCCTAAGGTAGGATGTGTCAGCCGTTGAGAAATACGTAGCTAATCCCCGGATAGTCAAACAAACGGACAGATGCGTACGGCGGCTCTGCAGAAAACAGAGCCAAGTTCGTGGTTGACATCATCCACGCGATCCGAAAGGTCGTGCCTGAAACATTTGCTATCGGAATCAAGCTCAACTCTGCCGACCACAGCTCCGACTCCTTCGAAGACACCATGACCCAGATCGGACTTCTCATGGAAGCGGGAATCGACTTCCTCGAAGTCAGCGGCGGCAGCTACGAGAACCCGACAGTGAGCCAATCCCCCCTTTCCCAACCTGACACCTTTCCACCAGGCCAACAGACTAACCTCTCACCCAACCCTTCCCCAGATGATGGGACCCGAGAAGAGCGCGCGCACCGTCGCTCGCGAGGCCTTCTTCATCGAGTTTGCCACCGAAGCCCGCAAGCGATTCCCGGGCCTCGTGCTCATGCTGTCTGGCGGATTCCGGACGCGCGCTGGCGCCGAGTCAGCCATTAAGCAGAATGCGTGCGACATCATCGGCATTGGGCGTCCGGCTGCCGTTAATCCCAAACTGCCTCTGGTGTTTCTGGACGAGAAGGTGTCGGATGAGGAGGCTCAGATGGTGTTGAACCGGGTGCCGGTGCCGTCCTTCTTGCGGCTTATCCCGTTGAATGTCGGTGCTGGTTTGGAAACGGTACGTTTCGCGCGCTTACTTGCTTGTCTCTGGTGTGTGGTATGCTGACGAGAGCAGAAATACTATGCCGACCAGATTAAGAGATTCGCTATGGGTCTGAAGACATTTGTTCCCGGGATCTGAGAAGAAAGGGACATGCACATATTGGTAAATAGCGTCGTCGCTTGAATCGGTGCCATTGTCATCTAGACATTTGCCTGTTGTACCTACCTACATTGACTTCTATGCTGTATATGACAATATTTTCAGAGATTCGAGGAGAAGTTAATATGGGAACTGAGAGGAACACCGGATTAAAAAAAAATGCATCTCACAGTGTCAGTAGAATTAAAATGCTGACAGCTACTGTTGTATACTCCGACCAGCCCGCGCTAAACCCAAAGCCGCAATTCCCGGCAGAATGCCACCGCCCGGCCCTGACAACCAATTTTTCTCTTATCAGACCGCGCAAACTCCGCATCACCAAGACAACAATTAAATCCAATCCAAATCCAAGCCCACCCTTTCTTTCCCTCCTTCTCCTCCCTCATAAACCCCAAACCCCTCCCCTCAAACCCAACCAAATCAAAAACCCCCTCCAACCCGCCAAAATGGTCCGCACCCTCAAACACCACGAAAAGAAACTCCTCCGCAAGGTCGACTTCCACACATACAAATCGGACAACAACCACCGGGAATCGACGATCCGCACGCGCTACCACCTCCAGGACCCGCTCGACTACCGCAAATACAACCAGCTGTGCGGCTCGCTGCGGCAGCTGGCACACAAGCTGTCGGAGCTGGACCCGGAGACGGACCCCGTGCGCCGCAAGCTGGAGAGCGAGGTGCTGGATAAGCTCTGGCGCATGGGCATCCTGAAGCAGTCGCGCGAGCAGGGGGCGGGGTTGTCTCGCGTCGAGAGGGAGGTCACGGTGTCGGCGTTTTGTCGCCGGCGGTTGGCGGTGTTTATGGCTAGGAGTGGGATGGTGGAGAATATTACTGCTGTAAGTCTCTATTCCTCTGTCTTTGTCTCTCTCTCTCTCTCTTTTTTTTTTTTTTTTTTTTTTCTTTCCATTTCATTTCATTCTTCTAGAGAATATGTATGATATACTAACGAGACATGTCTGGGATACGCCCACTGCAGGCCGCGACATTCATCGAACAAGGCCACGTGCGCGTGGGATCCGAAGTCGTCACCGACCCGGCGTATCTCGTGACTCGCAACATGGAGGACTTCGTCACTTGGGTCGATACTAGCAAGATTAAGCGCTCCATCATGCAATATCGCGATAACTTGGATGATTTCGATATGCTGTGAGGAAGAAGAGAGTTTGGAGAGTGAAGCATGGATGGATTGTTGTGTCTCGTCGATACCCATATACATTTTACTTTTTTTTTTTTTATATATATTACATCACTTTTTACTTTTTTATACAGGTTCGTTGTCGTTGGTTGGCATTTTTTTTTTATATCTCTATTATGTTTTGAAGAATTATGGTTGCGTGGCGTTGGTTGGGCAAAAGTTTGAACACTACGATGAATGGCTTTTTTTTTCTTGTGAGTTGGTTTGCTTTTGCTGCTGTTGCTTCTGCTTCTGCTGCTCATAAATGGTTATACATATTGTGCGGTGTTGAGGAATCAAAGATTGAATTGAATTGCTCGTTCTATGGCTGTTGGGTATCAAATACTAAGCAATCTCCACGCCAGGCAAAGAATGATGATAAACACTCGCTCAGACAAATAGGTAGGTAGGTAGGTGGCAATCGATCACGTCCCGCCGTGAGATTACACGAATAAAAACAACGTCACGGAGTCTTCAGACGATTGCCCATTCGGTGGACAACGGACTTTTTCGAGAGCTTGAAGCCGCGCGGAAGCGTTGCGCTGCTGGGCTCGGTCTCGGTCTCGTACCCCGGCTCTTCGGGGATGTCCATTCGAAACCGCCGGACACTACCCTCGTAGTTGGCCTTGCCGTCCTTTCCCTCCTCGAAGAAGGGCGTGCGGCTGTCCCGGGAGCGACACCATCTTGGGGCCACCCGGCGCCAGAACCCGCGGACTCCGCTGCTGGCGCGGTCGATCTTCTCGTATTCGCGTCTCCGGGTGGAGGGCGATGTCCAGTCGATGACTGTCACTGTTGGGTGGGTGGGCGAGTCGCAGGTGGAGTCGTAGGCGGAGAAGGTGGACGCGCGCAACGGAGGCCGCGGGCTGGGGCAGTCATCCCGGCTGGCTGGATCGCGATAGGTGGAGATGGAAAGCTGGGGTCGGAGCATTGGCGGGGAGCTGACGTTGGACGAGGATCGAATAGGCCGCGAGGGCGTTTGAGGAAGGTTGGATGATGGAGGTCGGGAAACGCGCTGGCTGGGTTTCGACAGCCCGTCATCCTGGAACAGGCGACATGATTCGCGATGCAGAGCAATCAGGTCTTCACGTCGGGCCGTCTGGTCGGATAACGGGGTGAGAGAGGGGGTGGTGGTTGTGCGACGGTGCGAATGGAGCGAGCTGTGTCGACTGTGTGTGGTTGTGGATCGGCGGGGGGTGCGAGACGAGGAACGAAGCTGTTCGGAGGTTTTGGAAGACGGCGACGGGGGCGAGGTGGTTCGCTTGCGCTTGGAGCGGCGCTTGTCCGAGGAAGTTGAGTTCTTCGAGGCTTCTAGGCCACTGTCCATCTCGGAGGAGGCATTGGAGAGTTGGTCCGTCTCGGTGGGCGAGGTGCCTGCGTCCACAGTGACTTGGGTGAATTCGGTGACCTCGAGCGTAGTGGTGTAGAGTTTGGGGTTGGAGTCGTCGTTCACGCCGGGTGAAACGACCTCAGAGGTGGTGATGTTGAGAGAAGGGACCTTTGTCATTAGACAGGGCGACACCTGCTCTGGCTCCGGGCTGAGCGGCAGTGGTGACGCCGGAGAGATGGTCGAGAGAGGGCGGGCGTCGTCGGTACTAATAGGGATGGGGAAGCCACCAGGAAGAACGTGGCGGTGACCCGTGAGCGTGGCCGCCATTGTTTTTATGCTGTATGGCTGTATGTATGCTGTACCTGCACCTCCAGGGGCCAAGAGCCACAGCGCCGCTATTGGGCTAGTTATTTGGTTGAGTTTGACTGGGGATGATGCGGTCCAGCCGGTTCACATGCTCCCTGCCAAATGGCACCAGTCAGGAGGAGCAGCGAGGAATGCGGGGATCACCAGCCAGAGGACATTGTCAGAAGAGAGAGAGAGCGAGAGAATCCCTGCAGATAATGGTAATGACAATGACCCCCAATGGATGGTTGGCGTCAGGAGGACAACCCGATCAGATTAGGGTTCTGAGAGGGGAAAGGTTGGGAAGAGTCAGTCAGTCGGACCCGATAGCACGAGATACTGCCAACAATAACCTGGTACGGAGTAAAAGAGGAAAAATGAGAGACGTGACGCTGAAAGAAGGGAGAAGGGGTCTCAGACAGAATAATATAGCCAGCAGCGCTTTCACCGACTGTGCATTCCAAGCGCCTTGAGACCCTCCAGGGCGGCACACCAAACAGGTTCCCCGCCAGTCTAGTTGCATAGTCAGTGGATGGCAGCAGATCTCATCCTTACGTAGCTTGTCTTGCTAGTCAAGGGTGAACAGGTTACTAGTCTGGTGGGTTTGAAGCGATTAAGTGCCTGTCTATTTCCTGTCTACTATTTTCCTGTCTAACTACTCCGTACTGTAGTACTTGATGGGAAACCCTCCCTCCAACTGCGGGCTCAACAATCATACAATGAGGTTAGTGGCCCAATCTGGGTGGAAGAGACAGAGACACCCCCACAGTCGCCCGAAAGTTTAAAGCCATTATCATCATCCAGTGTGATAGGTCCAAGCCTGCAAATTGATTTCCTTGTTACCGGAGATGGAAACTGCCATCGTACTCCGTAGATAAGTAGTACTTTGGTTCCTTCTTTCAAGATCCCCCCCCCCCTGCGGCCGGTGTTCCACCAGGCGCCAATCCGGAACGACTCGACCTCGATGTCCCTGGCACCCTGCATGGGAACAGGAATCAGGCGCCAATGGAAGCGAGGGGCAGCAGGGTTTTCGGGGCCGGTGCACCCACTATTATTCAAGCTGACTCTTTCTAGTCGGACATTAGCCCCTACCTAAATCCTTCGTTCCAATGAAGTCAGTGGGCCAGTGATAGTATGATTACTACTTAGATACCACAGCAAGGAGACGGAGAGGAAAAGAGGGGAGGGAAGCCACTGGGGATCCAGACTGCGGCCATTCCTCCCCTGGGCGCGGTCACATTGGCCGATGATGGCCCCCACCTGCCAATCCCCCCCCCCTGCCCCCCTGCCAGCCAATCTCTGGTTCCGCCCCCCACCCGTACCACTTCCCTTCCCTCGAGCGCCTGTCATTGGAAGGAGGGGGTTTTTTTCACCGCAAGTCGTGGGACTGTCTGGACCTTACCATTCCTCTGTGGGAAATGGGCATCTGGAAGTATCTACCTTAGGTAGAGATGTTATGGGTTTATATTATATGGGACAAAGGAGGTATCTATAATGTCAGCCAAATTGAGGATTCGGATCCCCCCTCGATTTAAGGAGGTAAGTAGGCACCTAGAACAAACAAAACACTAGCCTAACGTCTGGGTGACATTACCACGAGATAACTACTCCTGCAGCGCTTGTCAGCCAACAACGCTGCCTGCCGCTCCAACCCAGCCAAAGCTTCCGGAGTACTTCGTACGGAGTTCTGTTTCCGAGCTGTAAGCCCATCGCAACCCATGATTTCTCGCCCGAATCGCCTCTTCTTTGGGTACTAAGTTGTAACCTTAACCTCCTGTACAGTGTGCTACTGCCCCTCCCGGTCGGCCCTGCCTGCCTAGTCGGGCATCTCGCAGGGATTGCCAAGGCCGAGTTTCACTTACCGCCAGCGTACGGTATTAAGGAGCGGGCACAGCGCAGTCGACGTGATGGTTTGAATTAGATAGAAACTGCGAATCTATCGATAGATTAACAATCTTACCTACTTCCATTGTCGAGAAATCTCATCTTACACATTCCCAACAAACTGCGAGTTTGAGCAGATATCTGCTACTAATAATCTCCGAAGCTGCACGTCCAACGTTGACTTGGGCCTTGAGCCACTAGTTAGTGGCCTCTTGGCATGCCCTATAATGCCACTGCTTCTCCAACTCCATGCATGCAGCATATGCTGTGTCGACTGTTCGACAATCGAACGGTTCTTGTCTGCCTCCAAGAGCGTGCTCAAGGCAAACACACGTGGGCTGCCAGCATCGCTAGTGGCTGTCAGCTCATGCGCAAGTGCGTTCGTTGCCTTTACCCATCTCACTGGTATCAATCATTATGACCTCTGCTTGACGAGTCTCTGGCTTTGGAGCGCCGAGCTCCCAACCAGTTACATGTTGGCCACAAATTCCTAAACTTCTGGTGACGACCTACGTACTATATTTAGCTGCTTGGACGCCATTGAATTACCTCGTGCGTACCATTAGTAGGCTGTCGCACCCAGGAAACTGCTAAAGCTCCTTCATGGTATGTGAGTCAGAACTCCCGCAGTAGTTCTATTTTCAGACGGACTCTTGCCTCAAAATGATGTCTGTAGTTGACAATGCTTCTGGTTTAGCTGGGTTACCCGCTACACTCCATACGTCACTAACCTCGGATGCCCTGCACTCCAGCAGACTTCCACTGGGCTTTGGGAAGCCTGAGTCCGAGAAAGATGGGGGTTGAGGTCTGTGGCTATTGAGGTGTTCTGCAACTATAAGATGAGGTTATGGGACTGAAGGGGTTTCCGTAGAGTAGCTCCCACTTCTTCCATCGAAGCTTTTTCAGGCTCTCGGGGCCTCCCTCTGAGATCATGACCTCCGGACGTGTGTTCCGTATACTTGCCTGTCAAAGTTGGGATAAGGTTCGAACCCCTGGGGCTGGTTCCAGGGATTCCTGCCAGAGCCTGACAAAAATAGCCCATCCAGACTCTGGGCCCTTGGAAAAAGCTTCCACTGCACATTACTGATTGGTGGAGCCAAAGTGTACCTGCGTCCTTCTATACAATAAGTACTATAGTAGCAGGACTGGCCTCTATCACCACCGCAACTGTCTGACAGATTCTCCCTTCTTGCTGGCTTTACCCCCCCAGCCTGTCAATGTGTCACTGCTCATGCTGCCAGTCAACAACAGCATCTGCATTCTCCAATCTATGTAGAGCTCTTTTCCAAGTATATCAAAGACATAGAAAACCTCTCTAGTGACAGTCTCTCCCGCATCTCATACCTCATACCTCATACTTTGTAACCTCTTCCCGCCGCAACATATCGATGTCATTCCCACGCAGTCTGACCGTGGTCATCCCCCCCAATCCCACCTTTTTTTTTTTTAGAATAGACTTTAAAGAGTGAATACAATCTCATTGCAGTATGTCATGGTGTTGCGCTCTTGACGACATGAACCCGCGTTTCCCATTCACTTCGATCCCCCAGGCTCCCAACCGGACAGGCATAAATACCCCCTCAACCCCCCCCCTCGACCCCCTGATGTTTCTCGTCGCTTTCTTCCTCTTTTTCTCTCCAGTGTTTCTTGGCCATTCACCTGCTGGCTTCCTCTTTGCACATTCTTGCCTTGCTTTCGTAGTGCCCTTGCCCTTCCCCTCATACTTCCCTTCTATTTATACCGCCCTTTATCTTGCTTATCTTCTTGCATATCTTTTATATACTTTGGTTCGTTTCTTTACTGTGTTCTTTGTGGCGTTTTTGGCAGCGTTCTTGCGTTCATTCGTCTTCGTCATTACATCCCCTTCTAGATAGACTAGATAGGTGGATAGCTCATCGATCAACAGGGTGACAAGGGTCAAAAGAAAGAGGAAAAACAAGGAAGAAAAAGAAGAAAGAAGAACAAGAAAGAAAAGAAGAAGAAAAAAAAAAAAAAAAAAAAAAAAAAGAGGCCTGCAAAAACACAGAGCAAAAGAGGCCAGTTTGGGAGCTGGGGGATCAAAACAAAAAAACTCGGGGCATACCAAACTAACTCTTGCAGTTGGGCCCTTGGTTGGGTGGCTGGGTCGGGCCTGGGACATCGGACAGTGAAGACATCTTGAGACGGTGAGTGACTCCATCCTGCCTGGTTTGTGAAGGATCACCTGGCTAACCATCCTGCTACCAACTTCTATGACTTGGCTTGACTTGACGCGGTCAGCTGTTGCAGGGGGGGTTACTCGACTGGCAGAAGACGACGCCTCGCCTGGCTGTCCTCGGAAGACGCCAGTGGATATGGATATATTGGGCAGGTGAAGTGCTTCCTTATCAACGTCATCTTGGAGCATGTGGCTAACATACCCGTCTAGGAACAAGGGTAAGTGTTCGCTTACTTGATATCAACATGCTGTTGATCACGGCTAACGTGCCTCTGTTTCAATAACAGAAAAGACACCATTATCGACTGAGGCGGATTTGGGATAGCTTCAACGACAAAAGCAACGACCCTTCATTGGCTTCACTGACTAGGTTTTTCTTTCTGCATGTCATCTTCCTGTTAGAGCACATGGCTAACTTGTATCTGTTTCAGCAACATGACCAGCATCCCACTGTAGGCCTCGGCAGGTGGGTCTGGGATGGCTTCAACAACAACCCGACTGAACCATCTCCGACAACAACATACAACTTACAGCTTGCCATGGGCTTTTCAGCAGCCTGAGGATGGGTGGTCGGGTCGGGCAAGGGCCCCTAGTAGGGCGCAACAACAACTTCGACAACAACAAACCCTACGACTTGTAACTTCGAACCTCGGGACATCGGACACGCGGGATGATTTGTCGGTAAGTTCAGCATGGTCTATGTTGTGGACTTGTTGACATCATTACTCACTTGTTGATATAGCTTCCAAATAAGTCTCCATCGGCATGTAGATCTCGCACATAGGAAGCTTCTGTAGAAGTTGGACGGGACACAATAGTTGGTAAGTGATTATATTGCCGACTTTCATGGAAGTTTGTTGCTGACATGCCAATATAGATTATAAGATTAGATCCATATGGGTGAAGGCTCTCGGTTGTTTGTTTTTTTATTCTTTGTATTTAAGTGTTTTTTCAGCTACTTGGTTGGTAAGTGATCTATTACTGACTTTTGTGGACGTTTTCTGCTAACAAGACAGTATATATTGGATCCATAGGGGTGGTGATGCGCTGTTGCCTGGTTGCTTTCCTTCTTTGCATTCTTCAGGTTTTTTCAGTTGCTTGCTGTGCTTCTTATTCTTATTCATCTTATTGTTCTGCTTGTTTTCCTGCTTGTTATTCTGCTTATTGTTCTTGTTATTTTGCTTGCTGTTCTGCTTGTTGTCCTGCTTGTTGTTCTGCTTTTACTGCTTTTACTGCCTTTACTGCCTTTACTGCCTTTACTGCTTTTACTGTTTTTACTGCCTTTACTGCCTTTACTGCCTTTACTGCCTTTACTGCCTTTACTGCCTTTACTGCTTTTACTGCTTTTACTGCTTTTACTGCTTTTACTGCTTTTACTGCTTTTACTGCTTTTACTGCTTTTACTGCTTTTACTGCTTTTACTGCTTGCTTGCCCTGCCTGCCCTGCCCTACTTATCCTGCTTGCCCTAATTGCCCTGCTTGTTCTGCTTGTTCTGATTATTCTGCTTCTTCTGCTTCTTCTGATTATTTTTCTTGTTCTGCTTGTTCTGCTTGTTCCGCTTGTTCTGCTTGTTCTGCTTGTTCTGCTTGTTCTGCTTGTTCTGCTTGTTCTGCTTGTTCTGCTTGCCCTGCCTCTTCTGCTCGTTCTGCTTGTTCTGCTTGTTCTGCTTGCCCTGCCTCTTCTGCTCGTTCTGCTTGTTCTGCTTGCCCTGCCTATTCTGCTCGTTCTGCTTGTTCTGCTCGTTCTGCTTATTCTGCTCGTTCTGCCATGAAACCATGCTAACACATGTGACAGTGTTTTACAAACAGGCCTTGGTAGGGTGGCAGGGACGGGCCTGGGACACGACTACGACTTCGACAAACCACGACATCATAACGATATACGGACGACGGATCGGCGAATAAGGTAAGACTGGTTGGAGGATGGATGGAGGTGGGGGGTGAGTTGGAATCTGGGTTCGACATCGACAAGCGGGCAAGTGAGCCATCAGATGAGTTGGAAAGGGTATAGAACTGGGTTCGACAATCGACAATCGACAAGCGGGCAAGGAGCCAAGAGATGAGTTGGAAAGGGTATAGAATCTGGGTTCGACAAACGGCCACGAACGAGCGAACCGAACGAGCGAACCGAACGAGCGAACCGAACGAGCGAACCGAACGAGCGAACCGAGCGAGCGAACCGAGCGAGCGAACCGAACGAGCGAACCGAACGAACCGACGACCGTATACGAACCGAGCGATCAAGCGATCACGACAGCGGGACGGACCGGGTATAACCACGACAGGGGTGGAACAAGGTCGTGGCAGCTGAGACACGGAGTGAGGATATGGGTTCGACAGCGGACAAGTAGGCAGGGATATAAAGGCAAGTTACCCCCAACCCGCCAAAGTGTCTTTCACCACGCTGCACTTTATTAGGGCCCAGCAATCAGGCCCCGGAAGGGAGGCAGGGTCGGGCCTGGGATATCGAACGCTCAACGACGATGACGACAACAGCAGCAGCAACAACAACAACAACAACAACAACAGCAGCAACAGCAGCAACAGCAGCAACAGCAGCAACACCAGCAACACCAGCAACACCAGCAACACCAGCAACACCAGCAACAACAGCAACAACAGCAACAACAGCAACAACAGCAACACCAGCAACAACAAGCGCGCACCGGCGCCATCAAGGTAAGTAAAAGGCCATATCACCCATAAAATGGATCGATCGACAAGCTAACTTGATGATGACGAATAAATAGAAGAAGAGATAGACGGCTATCAGCTATCAACCGTGTGTTGGTGGGATCTTTCCCATATACGAGTAAGTTCCTGGCGAATCTTGAGATGGTGAGATATACTGACTGACTGACTGACTGACTGATTGGTAATTGGTTTGTGACCAGTTCGACCACACGAAACACGAAACACGAAATAATAGATTGTTCTCGGTTGTTGGCTGAAGCCGTGTGGTGGTGGGATCTTTCCCATATCTAGGTATGTTTCTGGCGGTTCTTTGTGGAATGAGGCATTACTGATGTTTGGGTTGGTGCTTGTCGGTGTCGGTGTTAGGGGGGTTGTCTATAGTTGAAAGGTTTGCGCGGTCGTTTGGGTTGCGGCTTGAAGGTTTATTATGGTTGGGAGGAATTACGAGTGAGGGAAGGAGGGTGTTGTTAGATCTAGGGTGTGGGGGTGGGGTGGGGAGGGGGATGGGGATGGAGAGATGAGAGGAAGAAATAGACTCAACAAGTCCCATCTATCCGAGAGGGAATGATACGAGATCAGGAATCGACATTCAAACAAGAAAATACCGCGCGTGGAGAGTAAAGAGCAAAGACGCCAGCCCAGTCAAGGAATAGTATTCTTGCAGCAGTCATAAAGATAAAAATGAAAACGTCATGATCATCAAGCGTCGCAGGCACCAGGCCCGAAGCAGCGAGGTAAGATAAGTGAGTAAACTTCCCAAGCCCAGCCCAGCCCAGCCAACCCCCTGCCCACCTCACAACACATATACAAGCTCATGATTCTCCCAGTCGGTAAGGTCCAGCCATCTAACCATGATACATGAGATTAGCACGCAGCCACATATGAGAGAGAGGGAGAGAGATGGGGAGAGTAAACAGAGCCAGCAGGAAAGAAGAAAGGGCAAAAAACAGAACATACTCTTGATTCTCCAACCGGGTATACTCAGGCCTTGCGCGGATAGCGGCCTTCTTCTCATTCTCTTTCTTGTACCACCACCAAATAAAGACGAGAATAAAGAGACACACGCCCCAGCAGACAATGATGGTGATCTCTGCAGGAACGTACCGGGGTGCGTCCTGAGGACGGAAGACTTGGGGGCCTGTTCATCAGACAGCACATACCAATTACACATTAGCTCACAACTCCCAGACACGCACACGCGCAAAGGTAGAGACCAAACCACAACCCACAAAACATTGAACAATTCAAGAGAGAGGGGAGTAGAAAAAATCAAAAAACTCACCAATAATATTCCCCGCACAGTACCCAATAAGATAAATCGCGGCAACAGTGGTCTTCTTAGTGTAGCCGGCCACATTGGACGAGATCATGGCCAACAGGGCCACGAAGGGCGTGGCGCTCGCCATGGTCATGTAGTAACCGATCAACCGGCCCACATTGTTGGACATGGGCAGGGCGACGATGAGGATCATCCCAATGATCCCGGAGATGATGCCGCCCGTGCTGCAGAGGAGGCGCTGGTTCGTGTATTGGCCGAGGAAGCCGCTTCCGAGGAGGGAGATCACTTCGATGGCGCCGCCGGGGACGCCGTACAGGAGGCTTTGTTCGGCGGTGTAGCCGAAGCTGGTGATCTATTTTTTTCTGTTAGTGGGTGTGGGAGGGGGAAGGGGTTGGATCGGATTGAACTGGACAGAACTCACCAGCTGACTGAAGAAGTTGGTGATCCCGCCGTTGGGAATATCCGCGATCAGCGCGTAGAAGAAGAACGCCCAGGTCATCGGGTCGAGGAGGGCTTCTTTGACCTGGTGGAGCTTGAAGTGCTTGTTTCCGATACCTTGCTGGTTGACGCGGACGCGGGCCAGCGCGAGGACCCGGTCTTCCTTTTTGAGCCATCGGGCGTTGAGCTGGTTGTCGGGGACGACCCAGTAGAAGAGCGCACCCAGACAGATAGTCAACAGGCCCGTCACGAGGAAGATGATTTTCCAGGGCTCGATGGCGGAGCCGTGTCGGTCTGTCCCTACGGCGATGCCGTAGGCGACGAGACCACCGAAGATCTGGCCCCAGCCGTTGAAGCTGAACCAGAAATTGACCCGGCTGCCTTGTTCGGATTTGGTGTACCACTGTTGGGTTGGGGGTTAGGGGAGGTTGTTGGAAGGGCAGACGGATCGGACTTACCTGGGAGGTTAGGAGAGCGAAGCCGGGGGTGACGGATGCTTCAAAGATACCGAGGAAGAAGCTGAAGGGGTCAGCGTTGGATCAAGGAACATGTTGATCGGATAGCATGAGGAGAGGGGTGATTTACCGAATCGCAATAGCTCCGGAGTAGTTGCTGACGGCAGCAAAGCAGGAGAGAATCACTCCCCAGGCCACGATGCACGCCGCGGAATACTTTCCGAGGGGCAGCTTCTGAAGAAGCCTGTTGGTTGGGTATTCCCACGCCAGGTAGCCTTGACTCCGTCAGTCCAGTCCTGTACGATGCTTGGGATGTAGCATAGCATGTGATGTGACTCGTCCGATGTACTGACCGAAGTAAAACAGACTACTGAGCCATTGGTAGTCATCCCCCTTCAAGTCCAGGTCCGTTTTAATGCCCATGATACTGGCGTACGATAGTGTTGTTTCTGCTGTCCGTTAGTCTATCGCCCAGGCAGCCATAAAGGGAATGGATACACTGACTGTCCAGGAAGTTCATCCCGTATACTAGACACATGATGGGCATGATGTGCCAGTCAATCGTCCTTAGAAGCCGTTTGTTCGTCGCCTCGTCCAGGGTGATGACTTCCCCATGGAACTCCTGGAAGACGGCCAGCGCCTCGTCTGCATCCTGAGCATGTTCCGCCAGGGTCGGGTCGACCTTCTTCGTTGTGTCCTTCTCTTCGTCCATTGTCGGTGACGGTGGGGATTTCTCATCCGCCATCGTTTATGCTGTCTGGCGGGGGGAGATGAAGTGGTGAGGGGAAGGCGAAGAAGAAGACGAAGAGGGGGACAGCCAGCTGGGTACTGGGATCGAGGAGATTCAACAACGGGGAGCCCAGAGAGAGGCGAGAGAAGTCTCCTTGAGGGTTATAAATCCCCCGACCGGAAGGTTATCAGCCCTTGCATGGGTGCAACCTCGGTGATAAGCCGCTGATCGAAAGGTATCTGATATGGGAGGGACTCTGGGGTATAGAGCGTATACCGTGCAACCCCACCTGCATTTGGCATGGACACTAGATAGATAGCTAGATAGATAGCTAGGGCGAGGAGAGAGAGAGAGAGAGAGAGAGACCACGGCTTATCCATTGGGTGAAATAGCCGACAGCCAGCTCGAGCATCCGAGTCCGGTTACGCGATGCGAGGCGAGGTGGCAGATGGAAGATGGAAGATGGAAGATGTGGATGCAGAGTTGCAGATGACAGACGGGCTTATCGTGCGACTGCCCGCCAACTCCGCTTTGGACATTCCGTGTCGATCAGCGAGAGCACTCTCTATCCACTAGGATATCTGCAACGCAACGCAACGCAAAGCCAAAGCTCGGAAAATCCCCGATCAGTGTTATCTCTGCTTACAGCGATCAAGCTTATCAACCGTCTCACCTCTTATCAGCGACGCTTCGGTCGAACCCAGTCAGTCCTCCTTGGCTGAGTATCTAGTTGGCTCTACGAGAAATCGATCCAGTATGCGCAAGCTTATCTGCACCGATGCCACAGCTCGGCAAACAGGAGATGTAACTGAACAGAAAAGCACCATGCATATATCCTATTCATTTTCTCTCTTTTTTTTTTTTTTTGTCTTGTTTTGTTCTGTTCTGGATTGAATCGTATTGGTTTCTAGTTCGCTCCAATACGGGCCTGGTACGCCTCCCATCCCTCCTTCTGGTACTGTTGGGCGGCCTGCACCGGGTCCGCCGCGGCATAGATACCGCGGCCGGCGATGATGAAATCGGCCCCGCGGCCAATCGCTGACGCGGGGGTCTGGTACTGCTGGCCCAGCTTATCGCCCTTGGACGAGATGTTGACGCCAGTGGTGAAGACGACGAAATCCTCCTCGTCCGACGCCGAGCTCACCTCGGACTGCACCTCGCCCAGCGCCCGCGTCGACACGAATCCCATCACGAAGTTCTTGTATTTCCGCGCGTAGTCCACCGACGAGGTCGTGTACTGGCCCGTGGCCAAGGAGCCCTTGGAGGTCATCTCGGCCAGGATCAGGAGGCCGCGTTCGGCGCCGTAGGGGAAGTCCGGGGCCGCGGCGGTCTGGGCCAGCGCCTCGACGATGCCCTCGCCCGGCAGGATGCTGCAGTTGATGATGTGCGCCCACTCCGAGATCCGCAGCGTGCCCGTGTGGTACTGCTTCTGGACGGTGTTGCCGATGTCGACGAACTTGCGGTCCTCGAAGATGAGGAAGTTGTGCTTCTCCGCCAGCGCCTTGAGGCCCGAGATCGTCTCGTCGCTGAAGTCCGACAGGATGTCGATGTGCGTTTTGATCACCGCGATGTAGGGACCGAGGCCTGCAGTCCGGATCCACCGTTAATAACCAAACGATTGATTGCATCTATGCATTGGGTGTCAGGTCGGCCTACGGTCAGCGAGATCGAGAAGCTCCTTGGTGGTGGTCACGTCGGCCGAGACCGTCACGTTGGTCTTCTTGGCCTCGGCAATCTCGAACAGCCGCTTGGCCAGGACATTGGGGTGCTTGCTGGCACGGGCGCCGTAGGTCAATTGCGATTTGGAAGACATTGGTATGGTGTCTGTCGCGATGGAGGGGCTGAATGCGGGGCGGGTTGGTGGGTATCAGGGAGGCTGGTGTGGCGTGCGTGCTGGAGGCTTGTCTCGGTAGACTTGCGTACTTGGCGAGAGGGATCCGAGGCAGCAGGGGAGGGACACCGGGTGGGACAGAAGCAATTGATTATTCCGACGACTGCGAGGGGGAACTGTTCGAATGTTGCAACGGTAAAATCATCGCCAAGAGCCCCTCCACACGCTCCAGCCACATCGGCCACGGGTTGCTCCGGGCCCGACTGTGGGGTCAGCCACCGCTCGCTCCAGCATGGAATGGAGACCTTAGGCATCCATAGGATAACAGTCCATGCATGCCCTTTCTCAACGGGAAGAAACGCTCAATCTCAGTTCAAATTTATACATCATAAATACACAGGAGATACAAACTATCTCAATATACATCCCCATCATCCCGTAGTCTGGGACTTCATCAGGGGAGACCAATCACTCAGAGCAGTTCCTTCGCAACCCCAAACACGCTCAATCCCCACAAGGCGCCCTGGAGGAACCAGAAGGCGCCTCCCCAAAGACGGCCCTTCCCACGGGGCTGAGTGGAGTACACATATCCGTAGAGGTACACGGTCCGCGACGCAACCCACAGGGCACCAAGCAAAGTCGCAAGCTGGGGGTATTTCAGGCCCGCCACCAGGGTGAAGAGCATAGTCTGGCTGGAGTTCTCGAGGAAGTTGGCGTGGGCGCGCTGCGCGCAGTTGAACTTGTGGGCGGCCGGCTATGGAGGGGGAATCATAAAGTTAGTTCGATTGAATGCTGGCAGACCACCAACCCCTTGACTGATAACCATTGCTTCAAGGATTGGCTGGTTGGTTGGGTGGGTGGATGCAGTGGATGGATGGATGGAATGGGTCGGTCCGCTTACATTGGCCTCGCATTGCTCCACGGTCGCATAGGAATGAGGATAATGGACATTGGCTCCCTTGCGGAGACCGCTCACGATAACTCCGTGGGCGAAGCCCAGGACAGGGATCAGGCCCAGGGAGACGGCGATGACATAGCTGGAGAACGGTCGGGGTTAGTATGGTGGTAGGTAGAGGAGATGGTGGCATGAAGTGCGTACCCGTAGCTTTCGGGAACAGTGAGAGAAAGCATGGTGAATGAATGGATTGATGTCAGGGAGGATGGGGATGGATGGATGGCTGTGGTTAGTTCCGGGCAACCTTAGTATCAAAGGTGCGAAGCCAAGCCAAATATATAAATGTGCCGTGGCGGCCGGAGACGGGATCCAGCGCATGATCCTGACGGGTCCCTCACCGTCCCGGTTCCGTGGGGGCCTTGCAGCCTCAATTGTGGGTACGCGGTTGGTAATGCACCCATGGATGCGCCTCGAAGGTTCTACATGGATATGATTCCTTGTGCTTGGTTTGTTATGGACTACAGTGGATGGAATGTTCATTTGCATTTATCGGAAACAGTTGCCCGCCACACACACCTGCCTCTCCCATTACCCCGACATACGGCTCACGCTTCCATACTTGGCCTGCCAGGCGAAAAAGTACAGCAACGCCCCCAGAGGCTGGCCGACAAGACAGAAGCTCACCCAGAAAATGGAGTTGCCAATCACTTTTCCGAAAGGGGATTTGATCTTTTCTAACGGCGCCGTGATGATGATCAGCGGGAGTTGGAGCAGCATACCCGCAAATGCCACGCCTGGTTTCAGTCAGTCCACATCAAAAGCTCCCACGGGAATGCATCTCATACCGATCAGGTTATGCGTCGGAATGCCGACAAGCACCTCGTGTAAAACAGCGGAGAGCGTAAATACAACCGTGCTCGCTGCGAGGGGGCTCCACCCTCGGCCAACCAGCGGCGAGTATACATGCCTCTTCATGAAAAGGTACACCGGGCGATTCCACGACCGCCAGTACACCCCGAGACTGGGGCTGTTCCACCAATCCGTGTAGAATTCCCGGTCCCCGAACCGCAGAACTTCGGCCAAGGCATTCAGCAAAGACTGGAAGAGCGCGAAGAACCCAGCGAGCCAGATGATGAGGGAAATGGTAGAGAGCTTCATCACCCGCTCCAGAATAGACGCGAAGTCCACGACAGCAATCTTCTCGATGGAGTTTCGTAAGACGGGGGCGGCATATTGGGCTGACAGGAGCCAAATGAACACGGCCAGACAACAGAATTCGGACAGACGCTTGGCGACAAAGGACCACCGAATGTGTGATGACCTGGGATACACCGGCTGGTAAACTAGCGTAGGTGCCAGCCAAAAGTATATCAGGTTTCCTCGGGTGATGTTGTTCGGGTACGGACAGGCCGAGTAGATATCCGGGAGGGCAGACTCGATAGACGGGTTGAGCATGGCCTCGCGCAGGTCACGGTTGGTGAACGCATATGAGCAGATCTTGAACGACACAATGAGCGCCTGGAGCTCGCAGACAGTGCCGATACCCGGGTGGTGAACGTAGAAATACACGACGAAGCTCGTGATGCCCAAGCTGCAAAGGGTGTTCAAGCAATGGGAAAGCGCAGACAGCCGCCAGGTCCATTTGAAGACGCGCTGCTCGCGCTCATTCGCCTCAATTGAGCCATCCTTCTTCTTCCGACCAACGCTCCGCTTGGCTTGCGTGGCCGCGGCCCGCTCGATGAGATAGGAGACATACAGATGAAGAGGAACCAGAGCAAAGAGGATTGATCCAAGAACGACATCCTGCCTCCGGTAGTCATGGCATTTGATGCAGATCAGAACTCCGTACTATCCAAAGATGTCAGCCTGGCTCGCATCAACCTCGCACTCTACATCAAGCTTACTTTCATGAAGTTTTCGATGATAAGTCGGAGATTCATCGCCACTATTTCGTACGATGACGTATTAGCCACGCGCGTCAGTGCGCTGACGGGGGAGAGGGGATCTAACCCAGGACGATCACCATGAGATTCCGGAAGCCTAGGAAGCTTGCGGACACATTGGGTTCGCGACTGAGGCTCGAGTGTCGGACTCTCGAGTGGTAGGCTTCCACATGCCGGTATTTACTTCTCCTCCTCCATTTGCTGGCGCCATTGGTCCCTTTCGGGGAAGACGGGTGGGCGTTGAACGCTTTCCGGCTTAAGGGCGCGGTGGCGACGTCATTACCAGTGCTAACAGCTCTAGTGCTCTCAGGGGTCTCTTCGTAGGGCGACATGGTGGCTTTAGACTTCAATCACGATCTCCCACAATCCAGTCGCGTCACAAGCTCGCAGTATAGGAGGACCAGCCACCTGTTCGGTTAAGAAAAAAAAAGGGTTTTTGAAACTGCCAGACCTCGGGTTCAATCCAATTGCGGAGATGGGGTTAGGATGCAGGACAGAGAATCCCACCAGGGTTCATTATCCAGAACAAACATGACAGGAATGAGCAGTTGGGGAGGGAGAGAGAGAGAGAGAGAGAGAGAGAGAGGAGCAGGGGAGAGAGAGGGAGGGGGGGGGAATGCGCCATAATTATAGAACGATAGCACGGCGGCGGCGGGGTCCGGCAGGAGACACGCATAATTGCGGCGTCGAAACGGTGTCGCAACGGCCTCGGGGCCTCGGGGCCTCAGGCTGATCCCGCCTATTCCAGCCATCCAGGCCGCGGTTTGGCGGGCCTAAATTTCATGGCTTGCTGGGCGGTTGGCTCTCCCCCGGCCAATGACCGGCTCCCGTCCCAAGTCGGTCTGGTCTGGTTCGACCTCCCGACGCAACACTCAAACCCCCAAAGAACCGCGCAGTCAATCAACTGTTGCGCCTGCTGCAACTCCTCCTCTTTCCGCTGCATGCACGACATGTTGGGATCGTTCTAGCCGGGGATCCTACCACCACCAGGCTCAGCAGCATCGGCTAGCTGTCTTTGCTCCCCTCCCCTGTCATGCTAGCGACCTGTTCCCCGATTCCTCCGTCATCCTTTCTCTCTTCCCGGTCACCTACCCTGCCTGGCTTACGCCGTACGCTTTGTCGCAATGGCCTTCTATGACGATTCTGGGAATGACTCCCAGTCATTTGGCAGACCCCAAAAATCTTACGATGGTGGAGTTGTGGGCCCGCGACGACCAAGTACGTTCTCTCCGCCTCGACACTTGTCGCGTCCTGGGTTTGTTCTCGTTGCGGCCGTGCGGCTAACAGCCGATATTAGGACTTGTCACCGATTATGGCTCGTCGATGGTACAATGGATACGCACTCGGAAGCCCCGGTACAAGGGAGGCCATTCGGTCGAGGTGGAAAGGCCTAGTCCCAGCTACATAGTCGATGTGAGTTGCGCCATGCGCTCGCGGACCTTCTCGTGCGGCCTGTCGACTAATACGAGCGGTGTTTTCGTGTTTTCCTTTGTTAGGTCCTACCCCCACTTGCTCGAATTCACTCTCCAGCGGATACCATCCCCGTCCGGCATTTACATCAGTCGATTGGAAAGTCGAAGAAGCCGATCACCGTCGTAAGATGGACGCCGGAGGGAAGACGCCTATTGACGGGTGGGCATACGGGAGAATTCATGCTGTGGAACGGAACCGCTTTCAACTTTGAAACGGTCATGGATGTACGTGCCGCCCAGAGGATGATCCTGTCCCCACTTCGAGGAAATTTGCTGATGGTTGAATAGGCACATTACGACCAGCTGCAAGCCGGAGTAACCTCGCTATCGTGGGCTCACAGCCAGGACTGGTTGATATCCGGAGGGCAGAAGGGTGATATTAAGTATTGGCGGCCCAACTTTAACAACGTCGAGACAATCGACGATGCGCATCATGATGCTGTTCGCGATCTGGCATGGTCCCCCAGTGACACCAAGTTCCTTTCGGCATCCGACGATACGACCCTGAAGATCTTCGACTTCACAGCCAGAACCTGCGATACCGTTCTCAGCGGCCACAACTGGGACGTCAAATCCTGTGACTGGCATCCCACCAAAGGCCTTCTCGTCTCTGGATCAAAGGACCATCAGGTCAAGTTCTGGGACCCTCGCACAACTAGGTGCTTGACCACACTTCATAGCCACAAGAATACCGTCACGGCAACGCGCTTCTCTCGCGTGAACAGCAACCTCCTAGCGACGTCATCTCGCGACCAAACGGCGAGGGTATTCGACCTGCGGATGATGCGGGATATTTGCATCCTCCGAGGTCACGAGAAGCCCGTGTCGTCTCTTACGTGGCACCCTGTCCACAGTTCACTCATATCGACTGGTAGTGAGGATGGGTCGCTGTACCATTATCTACTCGACGAACCGAACTTGCCCTCTGGACAGATTCCTACAATCGCACCATACGATAGCCCGGACCCGGCTAACACCCCGGCGCAGGTAATTTACCCCGCTCACAAGATTCAATACGCACACGGGGCCACGATCTGGTCTCTTGACTGGCATCCTCTCGGTCATATTCTTGCATCCGGATCCAAAGACAACTTCACACGGTTCTGGTCCCGGACTAGACCCGGGGAGACTAGTTACATGAAAGATAGGTTCCATATTGGCGAGGAAGCGGCGGAGGCGCAAGGGACATGGAGTCGGGGCTTTGGAAGACGGCAAATGCGCGAAGAGGAAGAACAGGAGCTTCAGGACGAGGCCGACAGCTTGATCGACCAGAAAAGCCATCCCGGACCTGGTCTTCCTGGCATCCAGTTCGCACAGCCTGGCGGTCCGGCCCAACAGGACGGGATGGGTTCCTTATTGCCAGGAATTGGCGCTCCTCAGCCTCCGCCGCAACCTGCATTTCCCGCCTCGATGCCTCAGATGGACCCCGGCCGCCTGGCAGCCCTCTTGTCCACTCAGCCGCCCCCTCAGCCGAACCATTTCCCTCCTCCAGCCGGGTTGCCCGGGTTTCCCATGCACCCTGGTATGTCAGGGACCCCGCCAGTGAACGTCGATCTGGCGGAGCTACAGAAGCAGCTTCTTTCTCAGGGGATCTCTCTACCCCAAACCTTTCCCCCACAAAATTTCCCTGGCATGTCTGGGGGTCTTCCCGGCTTGCAGGGGAGTGGTACACCCGACTATGGGTATGGAAGATAAGCCCACCAGCAGTCTCTTAACGCTTTTATCTGGTTGAACTGGGAATTGGCGTAATGGCAGGTAGCGCACTCGGGGTTTGGCATGGGATTGACACTTTTTCAAAAACACCACATATTTTCGAATGTATTATAGTCGGTCTCGAAGCGGAAGTGCACGTAATCAGACGATGATGATATGCCATCGGTTGCTCATTGAGAGAGGGATGTTTGACATGGAGTGCGATCATGACGGAGCATGCTTTGCCTTGGGTTGCCTTTGTTCACAGTCCGCCTTGCATTGGAAAGCTAGACAAAATGAGGACCAACACATTGATACCACCCCATAAAAAGGGGATCCACGTTGACATCCTGAAATTCCCAGCTTCGTAGACAGCACCTAAACTATCTGGCACTCAGCCCCCATCCGTTGCCATCGTGAAACGCAGCTTTGGTAGTACTCACACGAGCCCGATGATACTCCCTGCCAAAAGCGCCTCCAACCCGCCAAGAATCATATAAACCAAAGGAACAGCTAGGCAAGCCTTCCAATTTCGGCACTGCATGGCCACGGCCCATGAGGCCACCAAAAGATGACTCGCCCCATAGAAGATCAAGGTCCACCACAGTGTGAAGCGCCAAATGTCCTCCGTGTAGTAAAGATAATATGCGTCTTTGCCGTGCGTCGGGAAGATCTCATAAAGGGACGGAAAGGGAGGGGTATGGTAGTTGATAGGGACCCTATTGTTGGCCATTTAACTGCGGCAACGCGGCGTCGCGTGGCCGACGGAGGTTATTGTATAATAATATGAAAACGGGTGGCCACCATGATACCCAGTACGGGAAGTATGGGGTGCAGACAGCATAGCAGCAGCAGCAGCAGCAGCAGCAGCAGCATTGAGAGACGAGGGTCAAGGAGAAGCTGATAAGATCCGGCCGGTGGTTTGCTTCGTTTGCACTGTTTGCATCCGGCAAGAGTACCTCGGCAGGTGATCTGGGGTTCTCCGCGGTCGCTCCATCAGCAGCTCCCTCCCTCCCGTCCCTTCGTCGCCTGCTCCATTGGCGCTTGTTCCACAAAATGGCGACGGAGCGCTCTCTGGGCGCTCTCCTGCGATCACTTCAATCCTCCTCCAACCTTCAGGATGTCTTCGCGTGAGAATCCCCTCCGCCCCTTTGCTCCGCGGACGCAACTGACCTTCATCCCTCATCTGCTAGCTTGCTTCCGACGGCGACGAGCCTCTTATCTGTGCTGGGGAATCCCCTGAACATCACCCTTCTCGCGTCACAGCTGCTGGCAGCTCCGGCTCTTTGGGATCATTCCGTCGATCTTATATCCTGTCGAAAGATCCTCAGCGTCTTCAATACCGCCGCCATTGCCATCTTACAGAGTGAAGCGTCGGATGACCCGAGAATACCCTACACGAAACCCAGGAAGATCGAGCGCGAGGATTGGGTAAAGGCGATTGTCAATGGAGCGGATGAGAAGTCGCCGCGGTGGAGGCACACCATCCTCATTGGTGGTCTTTTGCTGGGGTTCGAAGGTCAAAACAGACAGGGATTGCCGTGGCATGTTCGAAGGAAACTCGAGGGGGCTCTTGTGACGGCTGCGCAACTTGCTCTTGAAGAGCTGGACCCTCGAAGTGAGATCGATAGCCGATGTATCACCATGGTCTTGAATTATTCCTTTGAGCTTCTATCCGATTCGGAGAGGGGCAGGCTGGACTATGACTTGTTGCTCCCCGTCCTGATTGATGCGACCTATCTGTCTCCTGAGGGCCTCGAAGGGGGATACTTTCTGGGCACTGTGGACAAAGACGTGGTGGAAGCGCCCGGAAAGCAATTCCAGTGGTCGGCGCAGTCCGACACGTTTCTACGCCTGTCAGCAATATCCTCCAGTCCACTTGTTTCTGCGTTGGGACCGCTCTCTCGAATTATTGCACATGCTATTGAGAATGTGCAAGACCCGGGATTGGTTGCGCAATCTCTGGATCATATCACAGACTTTGTGCGTACGCTAATGGTGCAATGGCGCCAGAACAAGTTGTCGGAGATCGATAGAGCCGAAGAAGCCGAGTTTCTAGACCCTGAGTCACTCAAGAGTACGATCCCAGCCCTCTGGAGACTGCTCCGCAACTGCCTGTATTCGGTTGTGATTGTGCTCCGGGCTGTACTGGGAAGAGTGATCAATGACCATGTGCTAGCTGCTCATCGCAGTAAGATACCCGAACGTAGATAAAGCCAAGTTTGCCCGCTGACTGTCTCAGGTGCTCCGTTCTTATCGATGCAGGCTCTTCATATACTTCGAAACCTTTACTTCGTTTCATCCCGCATTGGGCAGAACGCTTCATCGCAACACCTGTTTGTGACGCTGGCGGCTGTCGATATCCTTGCACAGTACCCAGACCTAGCTGAGAACTTCCTGAGAAGCATCAAGCCCAGTGAACTCGGCCAGATCCCGGCCCATCCTATCGAGAGGTGCCTTGATCTGTTCTTCCTCAATACCTCGGAGCTCTTTACCCCTATACTATCCCCTGCGTGCAGCGAAGAGCTGCTCATTGCGGCTGCAGTTCCGTACCTTCCTGCGGGAGGAAATAATCATCTGCTCGAGATTTTCGAAGCAGCTCATAGCGCGGTCCTGGCCGTTTTTGCCATCCCCAAGAACGCAGCCGTGGCAGCAAAACATCTGCCGTTCTACATCGACAATCTCTTCGCGGTAAGTATTCTTTTGGTCAATTCGATCTCCGTCTAATGTCCTTCCAGGTATTCCCCGATAATCTGTCAGCCCGGCAATTCCGCCTCGCCTTCAAGACGGTGATCCAAGTCACCGCGCCCCCGTCACCTATCGCGAACACACAGCGTCTTCTACCCTCTATTCTACTAGAAGTGCTCTACGATCGAGCATTGCACGCATCTGATCAATTGCTATTACAGCCATCGCAAGGCGAGGGTCCCGACCTGGGCAAATCCCCGCCAGTCTCGGAACAAGCAGCGCTTACTCTCGCCCTGATCGATAGTCTCTGTTTCTTGCGCGTTGAGGGACTCGAGGAATGGCTTCCCCTCACAGCACATCTACTCAATTCGATCACCGGGCCCGATATGCATAAGATGTGCGTGGAGCGGTTCTGGGAGGCGTTGAGCGGCGGCGAGATGGATGTTGAACGTGCCAACTACTGCGTCACCTGGTGGAGCACGCAGGGCGGGCGGGAGCTTGTTCTGTATGGGGCCGAATCCGGGGAGACAGCCGAGTCCGACGAGGCTCAGGGGGCCTACATGAGCGGAGCCATTGGCGACGTCGCCCGGGAGAGCAAACTCTAGCTGCTGCTGCTGCTGCTGCTGCTCTCTCTCCCACTTCCTGTATATACATGAGTCCGCCGAGTATGGGTTACGATAGCGCACGGCGTTGGGAGCATTTGATACCATTTAGCGATGTCAATAAATTTTCACTGTACACTCACAATCCCTCCGTAACTATACAACCCAGCCCAACCCAACCCACTCAGACACCACAAATCCAATCTCACCTAATAGATACCAGGAATCCCAACCCAGCTCCTCTTCTTGTACTCCTCATACTCCTCCCCAAAGAAAGCAACCAGGAACTTCTCCTCCCCTATAAACCGCATTAGCCACCAACCCAGCCCAACCCAACCCAACCCCACCAAGCACAACAGAAGAAGAGTCAAAGGGTCGGAAGCAACTCACGATAAATGCGGCTGGAAAAAAACCTCCACAGCACAACGGCATACCCCACCAGACAAACGACATTCCCCAACACCAACTGGGTGCCCAACCCCCACCAAAAGAACCCAAAATAGCTCGGATGTCTGAACACGGCATACACCCCACTCGTAACCAACCGATGTCCATCCCGGCGCGTCACCTGCACCGTATGATTGAAATTGCTCCCCGCGTGCGCCATCGCCAGACTCCGCACCGTCTGGCCCACCACCATCAGCACCAGACCCAGGAGGACCTGGATCGTTACCCTGGCCCTGGGTGTCGCTGTTTCAACACCCTGGTACCGATCCCCGTCACTCCCGGAAAAGAAGACATTGGCGAGCAGACACTCCAAGACCGCGGAGCCATGCGCGATATTATACGCCCATCCGTTCGACGAGAGCAGGAAGGCGGAGATATTGGCGAAGCGGGTGTTGTGCGCAGCCGTGATGTAGTATTCGAGGAAATGAAAGAGGGAGAGGCTGGCGAGGAAGAACGGGATGCGCCACAGGGGCGTGTAGAGCGGGGGACTGAGCAGGAGGAGCACCGTTAGGGAGGTGGATAGCCCCAGGACCGTGCCGAGGAGGAAGGCTCGGAGGGAGATCCCTGAGAGGGATTTTTGGCCTGTTGGGAGGAGGACGTTGTCGATGGTGGAGTCGTTGGTTGGGGGCGATGGTGGTGGTGGTGCTGCTGCTGATGCTGATGCTGGTGGTGGTCGGTAGGGACGCCAGGTTGGGGAGGGGGAGGGGGAGGGTGAAGCTGGGTGGGTGTCTCCTGCGAAGGCTGGCGATGGAGGCATTTTTGGTGGATTGGGGGGGGGGTTGTATGTGGAGAATGAGTAGAGAGTGTGGTGTGCTGTTTGTTGGTCTGGTGCGGTGGGTTAGGGATTGGGCATGTTTGTGTTGGTGGATGGTGGATGGTGTGGAAATCGTCTGTTTATGGCGGAGGCCGGAGAACAATCGCTGTTGGAGAACAATACGACGCGAAATAATGCGGAGGTCCGCCAAAGCTACACGGAGTAAGTAGGTGGCTGCTGCCTCAGGCTGCGGGTCTGCGGGTCCAGGGGATCGAGCCGAGGCTCGCGGGTGCGGGTGCTGGTGCTGTTGCAACCATCCCCATCCCTGGCCGGAGAAGTAAGTAGGTGTTAATGAAGTGTTTACTTAATGGTTTCAAAGCGCGCTTGCCAAACTATGCAACTTTGTCGGGCCCGTGTTCTGCGAGTTACTTCTATACTCACTCCTCAGCTTTGTAGGGAATCCTGACATTCACAACTATAGGATGTTTTCCATGGAAATGGGGCGAACTGGGCGGGATTCACAAGACTTGTAAGGCGTGTACTCAACTAAGGCGACATAATGACAGGTCTCTAGTAATAGTGGGATGAATAAGCTCAAATCAATAGACAGTGATAGGTGCTTTAACCCAAATCTATTTGGACGCGGGGACAAACAACATTGTCCCCGGGAGCAGGAGCAACGTCGAGTTGCTCTTTTGTCTTAGTCTCTTAGGATTTCTTTTCATGAGGTTTTTGACGGGTGCTGGTTAAATATGTCTCAGGCTTAAAGCGGCCCGGATGTCAGACAGGGTTTCAGATCCTAGAAACACCTGGTCTTATATGGATGGTCTATTGTATATGTCTTCATCTGGAGGCAGACAGAGCGTGAGGCGAAGATGATAGAGTCATGGCATGATTCTAGTAGACATCTGACACAATGGAGTTCTTAGGGGTCTGTGGGGACTACTTGGTTGGAGATGAATATACTTTGCTACTGAAGGTATTCGGTCACGTTTACCACCACTGGTGGTGGTGGTAGTAGTGGTAGTCGTATTTCACCAACCTCCGAGACCCAGAGGTGGAAGAGCTAGACGCATCTTTGTGATAAAGTTTTACAGTTGTATATACAGTAAGGAATGGCTGACTTTGTCACAAAAGGTAATCGTAAAGTATATTCTTGAATAAGTTTAGCTGTATATGCATAGGTACCAGTGCCAGTACAGCTGCCGCAGAATTCCGAACAACTGCGAAGTATGCAGCCAGGGGCTATAAGGAGGCCACCATTCTCCGTCCGGCTTGATAAACAAAGAGAAGCGCCCCCGTTCAACACAGCCTCTCCTTGTTTGTCGACCGCAACCATGATGGACCTCCAAGAAAACAGAAAGCGCATGCTCCGTGGGGAGCCCTTCCACGCGTTTGTACCTGACCTTATAGCGGATTACATGCGTTGCGACCGTGCCTGTCGCCGCTTCAACAATGCCGACAATGTCTCTCATCGGAAGATGCTCGAGCTGTGGAAGGAGTAAGTGAGCAGAAGGACACCCTGATGCCCGCCGGACCAGAACTGACAGCGACAGTATCATCTGCGATGACACTCCTCTCCCACCTCCCAGCGAGGACCCCGCAGAGGACGAGAAGCTCCTGGCGAAGCAGGCATGGATCGTGCCTCCGATCCGGATGGACTACGGGTACAACGTGAAGGTGGGCGAAGGCGCGTTCATCAACTTCGACTGTGTCATCCTCGACACCAACCTGGTGACGATCGGGGCGCGTACCCTGTTCGGCCCCAAGGTCAGTCTATACACCGGCACGCATCCATTAGATCCGGCGGTGCGCAACGGGATCGAAGGCCCCGAGATGAGCAAGCCAATCCACATCGGCGAGGACTGCTGGTTAGGCGGGAACGTGACCGTGCTGCCGGGAGTGACGATCGGCAAGGGGGCGGTCATTGGCGCAGGAAGCGTGGTCACCAAGGTGAGTACTATCTTCGGAAAATAAATATAACGCTGAACGAGAAATCTAGGATGTTCCCGCCTTTCATCTGGCGGTGGGGAACCCGGCGAAAGTGATTCGCAAAATCGAAACTTCGATGACGGAATGATTTTAATCGTCGGTATTTACCAAGTAAGTATTCTTCTCCAGCTTCCCCTGCAGGGTGACTCGGTCCATTGGTCTAACTATTGGTAGAAGGAGAGAGAATATAGGTGGGGATGATAGACTACACCGGCCACATTTATGTTCCAACAGTACTAGTAATAATATAGTAGTGACACAAACCTTCCTCTCTACTAGTGACGGTGTATGTATACAATGTAAGGTGTAAGGTTAGTAGTAATGTAGATTGTTTTGTGTGGGGGAGGGGGGGGCTCTGGCCGGATCGACGCAGCAGTGGGGACGAAAAAGACCCTGGAAACAGGCACGGACGGAATGGTAGCCACCTCATAGGAGGATGCATGATTGTAATTGATGGCTGCACCCCGCGCTAGGTAGAGAGCTTAGCCTGCGAGCAGTTCAAGTGGAGTTGGTTGGGCCGATTAAGCTTCAGGGGGAGGGGGGGGGACTGGGAGGGGCTCTAGCTGATGTTGGTTCTCGCCTAATAGTTAATAATGGCTCGGAGGCGGGAGGAAGATTATTCAATAATAATAATGTTCGTCGCCCTCTTCTTCCCCCTGCAGCTCCCCTGCCTAGGATTGGGGCTGATCTGGAGGGGGATTTTTCTACTCGTGGTTATCCTCCGTCACTAGTTTTATAGTTACTCCATCCAAGAAAATCCAAGAGATAGTCACCAAGGCGTGGAAATGTAATAATGCCAGTCAATGCGAGAAACAGGCAGACCCGTTGCGGGAAGGGAGGGTGCCACAAGAGCCCGGGGAGAAATGTAATGATGATAGCATTATTGCAAGACAGGCCCGCCAGTATCCGATCCACACGAATAGAAAAGAAAGAAAAAGACGCCTACCTACGGAGTAGTAGTAAGATCCTAATAGACTAATAGTAGGTTAGTTAGTCGCTACTGGTCTGTCTGTCTGTCTGTCTGTCTGTCTGTTGATAGCAGCTGCAGTCCTCAGCAAGATAAATTATCTATAGATAGACTGATGAGGGTGTGAAAGACACCCGTCCCAAAAATAAACTCCCGATTGAACGACTGAAAGAAAAGCACGGTACTTGTTGTAGAATGTAGAGACGACTAGGTAACAATTTAGCTGCCGCCCCCGATTTGCCCTGAACCCGCCAATCCGCTGCTCCACCGCAACGTCAGAGCTGCCGGGTCTCGCCCGCCATTCATTTCTTCACTGTCGCGTTTCCCCATCCATTTCCCCCTCTGGTCCTCTTCACTCTCCTCTCCCTCCCTCCCTCTCTCTCTCTCTCTCCCTCTGCTCGAGTGGACCTGTTCAGCTTCGGTCCTTTGGTGACCTGGAAAGCCATTTCCTCCCCCACGGCTGCCTGCCTGCTGCCTGCCTCAGCTGGCCGCTCTCTCCCCTCCCTCCCCTCCCCTCCGACCTTCCAACCTCCCCGTGTTGTTTCTTATCCGGAACCCTTCCTTCCAAGCTAGCTATCGATCGATCTATCTGCCTCCTACTTATCTGTCTAGTTTGACTGTGTCTACCTCCCACCGACCATCTCCCTCCTCCTCATCCTACTAGTCACTTCGTTCACACTCTACGATCACTCGCTTTCTCCGTCCTGTTTGTGTCGGCGCGGGCGCTCCTTCCCGCCAATTCCTCCCAGTCTCTCTTCTCTCCTCCTCCCCTCTTGCCCGATTTCAATCAAACGCCTCAAACCTTCAATCCCTCCCCGTTAATTCACTGCATCACCCCGCCTTCCCTGTGTTCCCATTCTCTGGGCTAAAACAAAAAATGTCATGGCAGCTGCCCCGCTAGAGAGCTCTAGCACCCCACCTGACGCTAGTATCTCGACCGACTCAACCACCGATCCAACGCGTCCGCTCGACCATCCCATGGAAGAGTCTGATCCCCAATCCACCCGGAAACGCCCCCGCCTCGACAGTGGGAGCGGTGCCTGTGAGTCGTGGTCCCTTCCCAACGAGACTTCCGCCGCTCGACCCTCCGATCAGATCCCGGATGCTCCTGCCACAACCGGCCAGGAAGCTTCGCCATCTCCCCCCGCTAGCCGAGTCGCCATCAAGCTGAAGTCCCCCGTGGCCGGCAACATGGCCGCTGCTCCCGACGACCCCGCCGCCGCCGAACTGCCCACCGCTGGTCCTCCCGCTCCGTCCGCCGACGAAACTGGAGCTGACGCCTCCACCGCGATCTCGCTGTCGTCGTCGACCGCCCAGAGCCCGGAGATCGAGGTGGCCGACCTGGAAGATATGGATCAGGACCCCAATACCTCCAGTTGGAAATCCCTGGGAGACGCGATGCGGGAACCAGTGACGCCGGACGTGGTGCAGCTCCACGACCAGCCGGCGCTGACGGAGTCATTCCCAAGGTTGGACGTGACTAGTGATTTGCGGGAGAACCTAGAGGAGATCTGTGTCATCATTGAGAAAGGTAAGGGCCTCCAACGTTGCCCCAGGTCAGCGATTGATCGCGGTGCCCTAATTTGATTCTTCTGCAGCGGCATCGCCCGACGTGCCAGTATTCATTGCGGTAAAGGTCTGGATGGACGAAGTCGCAAATAACTTGGATCAGTTGTCGTATGAAATATTGGCGGAAGACCGGGGGTTTTGGGAGGAGCTACCTACCGTTGTAGACAGCGTGTTGCGCAGGACGTGAGTGACCTCTATCACTCTAGCCAGGCAAATTCCCGGCCAAATAGTCACAGTCTTCCTTACTGACAACAATTTAGCCAGGATTTTCGACCTGATCAAGGCCGCGGGCCCTGGGCTTGTTTGGAGGAGTTCTTTCTCGACTACGCTCAATTGGCACTCCACATCATTCGCTTGGATAACTTGCTCCTAAGGCAAGCTGTCGAAGATGCCGATGCGCAGATGATAGACCCCATGTCGAGATGCTACTTCACCTCCCTGGGTTGGATCCTGCAGATAAATATCATCCCATTCTTCCGTTCTATGGAAAAGACACATGCGCGCGATATTGCGAATATGGTCGCTCGCATCAACGACCGGGTTGCTTCCCCGCCCTTGGATATTATCCGCCATTTGTCTGAGCATGCCGCCTGCATTATGGCCCTTATTACCCGGTGGCCACAGCTTTCGGCCTCCTTGGTCTCTATTTTGACTATTGTTCACAGCCTAATAGAGTCGGGGAACGAGCGGAAGAGATACCGGGCGGATGATGCTCTGGTGGACTCAGATATCTACCTTCGTACCATGAAGCGTGCTTACGCGTTGGTGCGCGCCGCGGATGAGAACTACCAGGCTCACATAAGTAAGAAGTCACCTTGGGTTTCCAGTGATACGAGCGAACCGATGCTGCGTTACATTTCATTTTCCTACCTCACACTATGCCTTCGTGATCCGGAGTTTGCTTTGCAGGTCGCTCAGGATCTCGCGTTACAACTTCCCGAGGATCTGAACCCCGATGATCGCGCTCATATCATACATTACGGTTGGAAATTTGCCGTCCTGAAAAAGCACATCATGGACGGACGAATGGAGCTACGCGTCCATGGTATAGAGGCAATGCAGGGAGATCTGGTCAGTGTATGGAGACAGCATATCCAAGGGACCATGGATGGCGTCGAACACCCCGTGGTCCAGTATCTTGTGGACTTTTTGAGGCAGAATCGGATTGTCGAGTACATCGTGGGGATTGATTCACATCCTCAGCTAATCAGCAGAAGTTCGAACATTGCCGGATTTCTTGTTGTCACGGGTACTTATACCGATGCCGATACTGATACGCTATGGAAGACTGTAACCGAGAGCCCAGATCCTCGGACAGTATCCGAAGTGCTGGGCATGCTATGCAAGACCTTCCATATGCATGTCCCCTCATCGCCTGCATTGGTATATATGTGCTCCAAATTAGTGGATCTTCCACTGGCTCGCTTCGATGCGCGGATGGTGGATTTCTGTGAGCAACTTCTCCACCAAGTGCGCGAGAAATACAGCGACAGGAATCGCCGAGACCTTGCCGATCGGATCCACGTGGATGCTATCCCACTGCGCTTGTGCGTGCGTCTGATCCGCGAGAGTGCTGCTGCCGATGATTTGCCGGTGGAGCACAAGGCCCTTCTGCAGAAATTCGCCGGCGCACAGCTCAGTTCATTCATGGATATCGGCCTGAGCGAGGTGGACAAGATGGACACGTATGAGCAATGCCTTCAAGACATTGCGGAAATGAACCAATTTACCGTTGGCAGCATTCAAGCTCTGAACGCTCTTCTTCCCGGCAACGATCCCCAGGAGCTCCGAAAACTTGCTGAGGAATTCGACCTGACGCGTCTAGTGATAATCGAGATGGCGCGAACCGTAGGGATGGACCAAACGGACTTCACGGACCCCTTTTCTCTCAGCGGCTTTTCGTCACGGATCCACATGTTAGCCCGGATTATTGATATGGTGCCCGACTCAATTACCCCGGCCTTTGCTGATACGCTTTGGCGCAAGGTCTTCATGTCAAAATCCCTCGCGCAGCAAGGAAGGCGAAGCCTCTGGGATATGCTTTGTGGGATTACCCGTTTTAGTGCTCAGGCGAATCAGTTTATAGGCCGCTGTATTCAGGTTTACCTACCACAGCTCTCACCTGCCGAAGACTACTTCCCCGAGGTCCTTCAGTTTGCTAAGCAGACCATCAACTACGAGGTTCGTTTCAATCCTCCGTCAGTTGCCGGCGAGGATGAGGTCGTTACGATTCCGGGTATGGAACGGATTTGGGGCTTTATTCTGACTGCTCCGCCTGGTACTATTGAAACGGATGCAACGAACTTTGCCATCGAGGTTTATCTCGACCATGCGGTCATCAACCGGTCACCCCGTTCTGCTGTTGAGGCTACTCACATTGCTCTAGTGGATCGTTGTGTCGACCAGCTTAAATCCGCTGCATCAAAGCTGAAAGCCTACCACGGGAATGCCGGTGAGGCCTTGGATGGATCGTCAGAGGCCGTTGGTTCGGAAAGTGACGCGGTCCAGGCGGCTGAGTTGAGATTTAGCCGCTCACTGCTCTTCCTTCGCCAATTCTTACAGGGCTTGCGGAGCCGTCCTCGGTATAGCCCACCGCAAGCCTTGCCTCTTGATTTGCCCGGCAAGCCTGCCAAGGGCGATATCATTGATATCCGCTATCAGACATTCAATGGTGGCACACAGTCAAAAGTTCGCTCTTTGCAGATTGGGGATCTTTCAACTACTGCGGAGCTCATGGAGACCCTTGTGCAGCTCACCGGGTTTACGAAATTTGGTACAATATCTGGCGGTCGAAAAATCGATCTTCTTGAAAAGCCCGGCAGCACTATTCGGGAGTTAAAGCTCGGCTCAGGACTCCTTCTTGTCCGCCGAGACCAAGACAGTCGCGAACTGGCATTGACAGGAAGACGTCACTCTTTAACGTCAGTGGATTCTGAAGTCCTCAAGCACTTTGACGATCTTTATGATCTTCTTGGGCTTGAGGATTATCTGGCACGTGAGGTAAGTGGTTTAGGCCGTACCCTGAGTAAGGCTTTTACTCGTATTCTGATCACCAGTACAACAGATTTATGATTTTCTTGTTGTTTTCCCGCCCCAGGATAGGGTTCTGCAGTTGGTGAAGTCCACCGACAAGAATGAGGACGACATTTTTCCAATGGATAAACCATACAGTCTCCTTTATTCGGTTAATGCGCTTTCAGTGTGCCTGCGCGAAGAAGCCCTGGAGGTAAGAATGCCACACCCATCAACGCATATGGTCCGCTAAACGTCATCGTTAGTCTTCTCCAAATCAAGACTATGTATCTCACAGTGTCAACATCTTGGTCTCTGCGTTGACGCGTCCTTCAATGGCAGAATCCTTGGCAGACAGTTCGGCTAAACTTCTCTTTGCTACTCATATTGTCGAGTGCCTTCTGTATGCGCTCTTGGTTCGACCAACTCCTAACGATGGGGCATCAATTATACCAAAGCCCGCGGCGTTGGCCCAACAACTGTTTCACTTCATCAAGGTGGCTCGGCAACTACCCAACTCCCGCCTTCCAGAACTCGGCATTACAAAGCTGATATGCAACTCATTTGCCGTTCTGACGGAGGGCTCTGTACGGGATCTCGAGTTTTGGGAAACAGTCAAGCAACAGGCGCAATTCAGTGACCTTCTAAAGTCGCTTCTCTTGGACGAGCATCGTCAGTCCATTCGAAAAGGCATTGCAGATAACATAGCTGTCGCCTGTAATGCTTCAAAGCTACTCAGGAAGCCGGCGAAGTCAGTTAGCTCGGAGACGCAGGAGACGCGAGGATCATCTGTTCCCCTTGAGGAGCCTGTTAGAATCGACATCCTTGCAACGATCTGGGAAGCTTTCGTTAAAACTTTCCCGGTGACACTGGACTATGCGCAACAGTCTCAAGAATTCTTCGAAATCGCCATCATGGTTTTCCGCTCGGTTGCGGAGAAGTCACCGCAAGACCTGGTATTTAGCCAGTACTTGAAGCAGTGGAGCACCGTCATGTTGCGCCATCAAACAGAAGAGGCAAGTTATCCTCAATTTATTGGCTTTTCATGTGCTAATGTCGTTCCACAGTTTGTTGGTCGAGAGCCGGTAGACCACCTTATCCTTGGCTTTGCTCGGCTCCTGAGGTTATGCTTAGATCTGGCAAATTCTATCAACTCCACGGTGGATACCTCGTAAGTTCAAATCGTCATCCTACATCCCTTTTCATATGCTGATTCCACAGCGACCTCGCCGAGAGTCTGTTCGACCAATATCTCTTCCCCGATCTCTCCGTTCCTTCCTCCGACTCCGGTGTCATCATACCCCACGTTCCTGTCATGCATACACAGACCCGTCAGGAGCTGTATGCTATCTTGAGTCAGCTCTGCAAGTTTGATAGCAACTACTCAAAGATTGTAGATCGTCTTGAAGATTTGATCCCGCAAGGTTTGAACTCCCAACATTGCTCCCTTCTAAAGATAACCTCTCTGACTGATCTCGGCCTAGAAGACTACACCTACTCTTCTTCCTGGGGCTTTGATCGTTATAAAATGATTCGGTCGGCGGAGGGTTATGCCGGACTAAAGAATCTCTCTAACACATGCTATCTGAATTCTCTTCTCACCCAACTCTTCATGAACGTCGGGTTCCGTGACTTCATGCTTCAGCTTGAACTTGAAGATCCGGAGTGCTCACAGAGGCTGCTCGTTGAGACGAAAAAATTGTTCGGGTACATGCAAGAAACGTGGACTAAGAGCGTCGACTCGCAGGCGTTCGTTGACACAATACGCACTTACGAGAACGAACCGATCGATGTTACGATCCAAATGGATGTCGATGAGTTCTACAACCTCTTGTTCGACAGATGGGAGGCCCAGATCTCAGATGCAGAGAACAAGAGGAAGTTTCGGTCGTTCTATGGAGGACAGTTGGTCCAACAGATCAAGTCGAAAGAATGCCCCCATATCTCCGAGCGTCTTGAACCATTCTCCGCAATCCAATGCGAAATCAAGGGCAAGGCTACCCTTGAGGAAAGTCTCCAAGCCTATGTCGAGGGGGAAATCATGCAAGGAGGTAAGATCAAGATTATGCACAATGTATAAGCGAGCAGCTGTCCTAACCATTAGTATCAGATAACAAGTACTCCTGTACATCGTGCGGGCGTCATGTAGATGCCGTTAAACGTGCCTGCTTGAAAGACGTGCCTGATAACCTTATTTTCCATCTGAAACGTTTCGATTTTGACATGGTGACAATGTTACGGAGCAAGATCAACGACGAGTTTCAGTTTCCCGAATTCATCGACATGAGTCCGTTCAAAGTTGAGTATCTCTCAGACCAGACCGCCGATATTCAGGAAGACGTCTTCGAGCTGGTCGGTGTTCTTGTTCACAGTGGTACAGCTGAATCTGGCCATTACTACTCGTACATCCGCGAGAGACCTACGGTGGGCGCCAGAGGCTCGTGGGTCGAATTCAATGACTCCGATGTCAGTCGATTTGATCCGGGCAAGCTTGCGGATCAGTGCTTTGGTGGTTATAACGATTCCCTGCCGTCCTCGTCCATGGGTCAGGTCCGGTACAACAAAGTCTGGAACGCTTACATGCTATTTTACCAACGAGTTTCCAGCATGGATGCTGCAAAGATGACCTACAGGCCCACAAAACCCCACTACCCCGTTAGTGTGCCCTTGCCCACCGATCTTGCGAATCACATCGTGATGGAGAATGAGCTGTTCATACGGACTTACTGTCTAATGGACCCATACCATGCATTTTTCGTCCGGTATCTTCTTTCCGTGCTGCATGATGTGAAAGATCCTGGGGGTGAACCGAGGACCAAGCTAGACAAGCATGTCATCTTCATCGCCTTAGACACGCTGGAACAATTGCTTTCGAGAACCAGAGAGCCCGTGGGTCTTGAATTGTTTGTGACTGATATCCTCAGGATAATTACCGATGTGCCAAAGGCTGCTCACAGATCATTGCAATGGTTTGCCCAGAAGCCAGCAGCGATCCGCAACTTGATTCTAAGGAGTCCCCACGCAGCCGTTCGCAGCAGTTCGATGCGGATAATCATGTGCGCCCTTTCCAAGCTCCATGATCTCTACAATAAGGAAACCGACATCACTGAAAAGGAGAAATGGGAAGACCGATACATGGATGGATTTGAAAATGTGGTGGGTACACTGGACGGTCTGTGGTCAACACTCCATACGGCCAGCCGAGCATGGGACGATTACTTCGAGTTCTTGTTCCTACTTGCAAACTTCGGGAAGTACGAGGCCGGAGTTGTGCTCAAAAACGGGTTTCTACTCAAGTGCCTTGAGATCGTGTGGCTCGAGAATGAAGATTCGAAACGGCTAAGGCGCCAGTACCTGTCGCTTGTCAAACTGATTGATAAAGGTAGAAGGTTCTCGTACAGGAAACTGATAGATCTTATGGCAATGCTTTTGGCGCACATTGATCTCACCAAGCCGCCCACTCCAGATGACAAAAGACGAGCTCTACCGAGTGCCAGGTACACCCTCACTGCGTCGGAGAATGTTTTAATCCGCGCGCTAGGGAAGCACAAGGAGCTGGCATTCCTGAAAACCATCCTGATGCACAACTACAGTCCTCCGGCGAGCAAAACCATTGTCACTCACTTTGTGGATGCGGATCCCGATGCTGGCCTCACGGAACCAATTACAATAGTCTTGGAGCAAGGCCTCCGGATGGGACCTGCCGAGCTATGTGCCCCGTTTCTAGAGGCCGCGTTGATTTACTGTCGGCGGGGTTTTGATGAGGATAGAATCGCTAGACTGATCGACTTTGTCGCTAAAGGAGTCGAAACCATCAACGACAGCGGTGGCAAGGAGCATCTCTCATTCTTCACGAGCCTCATGGGTAGTCGCAATGATCGGATTGGGCTGAACGAAGCTTGGTTCTTGACGCAGCTTGTCGACAAATCTCCGGACTGGGCCCCAACGCTGCTCATTTTCCCAGAGAGAGCGGTCAGGAACATGACCCTGGAAGTTCTTCGACAGATATTATTCAGTGGCGAAGCGGAAGACATGGGCGACGACTGGCAAACGCATCAGACCGAAGTCGCCAGGAAACTGGTGCACACAAGCGTTGACAGGTTGCGCAAAACATACCTCGCTGTCCCGGGCTGCAACGTTGAAGGCAAAACTGTGGAAACCATTCGCACCGTGATTGAACACTGCCTGACCACTTATTTTGGTACCAGCGATGAAGACCAAGAGGTCATTCTTCAGACCCAGGGTATGTCCTTCAAAGAGGTGCAGTCGATTGAACCATCACTGACTAGGAGCTTTTCCAGACACCATCGGGGCCATTGATGACTTGGTAGTCGACGTTCCGGAAGAGTTGGCGTCCGGTGAGTATTTTTTTTTTCATAACATCCCTGTCGCCGTCTAACTCCTGGGTGCCCAGTGTCTGATCTGCCTTCTTCAGAAGAATGGGATGATAACTCCGCAATGGCAAGTGATTCTGAGATGGGACTGGCAGGCTCTCCGTGAGGTTTGCTTCCGGCACTGCCCCTGGAACGCTCCAATTGTATCACATATGAGAGACGAATTTACGATAAAACGCTTTTTGTGTGCTAATGGCCTGCATTTATCGGCGTTTTCTAAGCTCGGTTCTAATAGAATTGGGCCTTGGCTTCCATTCCGCCTAATGTTGCTGAGTGAGCTTGCTTGCTTATTTTTTCTTCGCTCGATGCGCTTTTGTTTCCATACCATGTGTTAACTAAGTGGGAATTGTGTCTACACAGCCTGTTCTTGTTCCTGGAAGGGCCGGCCCTGTCTTGCTGTCTCTAAGCCCCAGATGAGATGATGTAATGCCAATGGAAATCCCGCGGCGGTTGATTAGAACTGCGAGGGTTGAGCGTCCCCGAGCCAAACCAGAGTTGGAGCAGGAAGCATAGTTAGTAGTATAGTAGCATCCCAATATCACGTAACGGAGCACCCGAGCACCCAAAGAGAACATTTTATCCATTCCCGCAGGAATCAGTCTAATTTTACATTCGTCTATCGCATGCAGCGCCTACCAGGCACCGGGTGGGCAAGTACTAAGAGCGGAAGTCATTAAGGAGCTCAGATGAAAGAGATGAAGCACCACCTAGAGTTAGGTAGATCCCAACGGCGGTGCAGTTTGAGTAATAGCATTCGCCATCAGCTCAAATGGGACCTTTTCCCTCCAGATCTGGGTATTGAGCGCCAGCGCCCATGCAGGGAGGGAAAAAAAAAAAAAAAAAAAAAAAAAAAAAACCATTGGTAGGTAGAGAAGATGAGGCCCCCAATTTTGAAACAGACATTACACATCTTCAAACTCCTCGTCATCATCCTCGTCCGACTCCTCTTGCTTGACCTCCGGCTCGACCTTGATCTTCTTTGCCGCTGGGCCGTCATCTCCGTTCGTAGACGGAGTAACCCCCGCGGTGGGGGGCGCACTGATACTGGAGTCCGTGTCCAGCTCGCGCTTAATGCCGGTCGACGAGGTGGAGGGATTCATAGGCGCACTGGTCGGACCAGCACCGCCGCCACCAGTAGGAAGCCCACCCACAGCCGGAGACGCGGCATCACTCGCAGAGACGCCTCCGACGTCCTCGAACTCGTCGAAGTCGTCGGAATCGTCATCGACACTGCTGGCGTCCTCCTGCGCTTGGAGGGCCTTCTCCCGCTCCATCTCGGCGTAGTAGGCAGCGACCTTGTCATCAAGGGCATCCAGGGTGGACTTGCGGTCCTCATCCTCCGACTTGATCTCGGGTTTGATGTCGACGTCCGTCTCCGCCTTCACGGAGGGCAGATTACCCGCGGACGTCGAGACCGTCGAATGCGTATGCCAGACCGGCAGGGCATTCTGCTTCTCGACCGCGGCCTTGCGCGCCGCCTCGGCGGCCTGTTCCGCGGCGCTCTTCTCTTCGCTCGACGTGAGCGAGATCTCCAGCGCCGCCGAATCGGTCTTGGTATTCCCGCGCACAGCCTCCTGGGTCTTCGAAGGTACCACCACGGCGGCACGAGTCGGATGAATCTGCTGGTTCCGGATGACATCGACCTTGTGATCCCAAGCGGTGTCGAAATCATTAGGGGGGATCTCGACGGTATCGATCTGCTTCAGCAATTTGAGCATCTTGTCCAGCTGGGCCATCAATTTACTGTTCTTCTCGTGGCCCGTGCGATCGATGCCCTCGGCGCCCTTCACATCCTCGGTGCGATCCAGAATCGCCCCGCAGTTCTGACACTCGAAGCCTTCCTCCGAGTACAGACTCAGCACGTCGAGTTCCGTCCATTCGGCCCCGCAGCGCAGGCAGATGTATTCTTTCCGTTCGTCGCTGGGCGTGTATTGCGCTTTGATGGTCGATGTTAACTTCGACACTTTGTATTTGATCGCGTCGACCACCGGGTGCAGCGGGATGTAGTAGTATTCGCGGTTGACGGGGCGGGTGGATCCGTCGCGGATTTCGGCGCGTGTGCTTCTGTTGGTTTGGATGGGTGGTTAGTCTAGTTTAGCTGGGTCGGAGGGTGGTGCTGTTTGCTGTTTTGCTGTTGGATGTCTTGCTATGTTATGCGGGAGTGGGGGAGGGGGGATCGGCAAGTGTTGCAACAACTGGGATATTTCCATACACTGCGATTAAACGGTCTTCGCGCAGCTTGGCGCATAGTTTGCGGAGGTCTTTTTGTTGCATTCCCAGGAGAAAGGCGAGGTCTTCGGCGTGGAGACTAGAGAGAAGAGGGGGGGAGGGTTAATGGTTAGCTTTGAGTTGAGTTGAGTTGGGGTGAGGTGAGGTGAGGTGAGGTGAGGTGAGGGAGCGGGTTTGACGGAGACATACACGGAGTGGATGAAGAGCGCATCGACCACGAGGATGTGGCGGGTCTCGTAGAAGGCGCGGACCACGCTTCGGATGAGGGTGTTGGCGAGGTCCATGGTTGGGTTTTTAGGAAAAGGTGAGAGGGTGGGTGCTAGAGTGCTGGCGGCGCAACCGGCGCAAATGTTGATGGGTTGGAGGTCTTCCGCTGGATGTCAGGCCCGGCTTCGGGAGGTCCACATCCTTTGCTGGGGGTGAGGGCAGCGAAGGTGGATGAGGAGCGAGGTCGGTGGTGGTGGGGGGACGAATTGGGTGTGCGGACCCCTGCGCCGTGTGGTTGTTGAAGGAGGGAGGGTTTGTATAGACGAACGACAAAGAAAGTGGTTGATCGCTGCCTTGGGCGGGAGGCATCAATCAGTAGCTGAACGTTTGCCTGGGGCAGGAGAAAGGAGCATACAGAATACAGAATACAGAATACAGAATACAGAATACCACTAGCCGTAGGTGGCTAGCGGGGGATGGTGATCGGGCTAAGCCTGATCCGGGCTAGAGCCTGGAGGACGGCGGAGGAAATCCCGCAAAAAGAGGCTCGACAAGCGCAAGTCAAGCAGCCTTCTCTCTTTCCCTTTCCCTTTCACTTTCCCATGCCCTCGCACGTCTCTCTGCAACGTGGTTTGCCTGCATTGCGCCAGACCCTCTTCCCAAGCAGGGTTTTATTTCCCCCGAACGCCCCCCAAGCCCGCTTCTTCAACGCCGACTACATCCAGGAGCTGAGAAAACGTCGCATACCATGGACAATAACGAAGGAAGACCTGCACAGGCCTCAGGCGGAGCTGCTCGAGGTCGTAAGAGACGGGATTTGGGCCGGTCAGAATGGAGGTGTGTTTGCAGTCCCGCTCCCTGAGAATCGATTCGAATCGGAGGAAATGGCCTGCGCATGATTTGGACCTCCGGCTAACCAAGCAAGTCGGCAAACGATAGATAAGAGAGCCCGCAACGATAGACAGCAGGAAGCTAAGCGCCAGAAGCTGGAGAATGGCGAGGAGGTGAAAAATCCCGTCTACGCGACGACATTCTCCCAGGAAGATATCGAGGGCGAGCAGCGCCGGCCCAAGAAGAAGGTCGCCGTTCTGCTGGGCTACTCAGGGACTGGATATAAGGGCATGCAGCTGTATGGTCACCGATCCGGTCCGGGATGTGACTGTCGGGAGTGGCGCTAATCGCTTGCAGGAGTGAGACGGAGAAGACGATCGAGGGAGAGCTCTTTGCTGCCTTCGTGGCGGCCGGCGCAATCTCCAAGGCCAACGCCACGGACCCAAAGAAGTCGTCGCTCGTGCGGTGCGCGCGCACAGACAAGGGTGTCCACGCTGCTGGAAACATCGTCTCCCTGAAACTCATCGTCGAGGACGAGGACATCATCCAGAAGATCAACGAAAAGCTCAGCCCGCAGATTCGAGTTTGGGACATCCTCGTCGCCAACAAGTCGTTCAGCAGCTACCAGCTGTGCGATTCGCGAATTTACGAATACCTCATCCCCACCCACTGCTTCCTCCCGCCCCATCCCAGCACCTACCTGGGCAAGAAGCTCGTCGAGTACGCCGAGAAGGAGGGTGATTTGGAGGCGTACAAGGCCAGACAGGAGGAAGTGACCGGACACTGGGAGGAGATTGACGAGAAGTACATCCGTCCAATCCTGGAGAACGCCCCCGAAGACATCCGCAAGCTCGTCGAAAAGGTCCTTCACCTCAACGACGAGGACCAGTCCGCGCAGGGTGACCTCTTCGACAAGAAAGACCAGCCTGCCGAAGAAGCAGCCCAGTCCACCGAACAGCCCTCTGTCGAAGACAAGCCCGCCGAGTCCGACGCTGCCGAAGAAGCCCGCAGACGCCAGATCTTCGACACCGTCAAGGCCGTGAAAGCCGCCTACCTCAAAGCCAAGAGAGCATACCGCATCCCGGCAGCCCGTCTCGCGCGCGTCCAAGAAGCCTTGGACAAGTACGTCGGCACGAACAACTTCTTCAACTACACGATCCAGAAGGTGCACGCGGACCCGTCCTCCAAGCGACACATCAAGTCGTTCAAGGTCGCCGCGGAGCCCATCATCATCAACGGCACGGAATGGCTCAGCCTCAAGGTCCACGGTCAGAGTTTCATGATGCACCAGATCCGCAAGATGGTCGCCATGGCCGCCATGGTCGTCCGCTGCGGCTGCGACCCCAACCGCATCGTGGATACCTACCGCGCCACCAAGATCGCCATCCCCAAGGCCCCCGGCCTGGGTCTGCTCCTCGAACGCCCCGTCTTCGACTCCTACAACAAGAAGACCTCCGAAACCGGCAAGGCGAAGATCGACTTCGACAAGCACGCCGCCACCATCGCCGAGTTCAAGCAACGCGAGATCTACGATCGCATTTTCCGTGAAGAAGAGGAGACTCATGCGTACGTATCCCCCCTTCCCCTTCCCTTCCCCCTTCTTTTTTACCACCCCTAACCTCCTTTCTATCTGCCACCATAAATCACCATCCTTTCCCGCCCCCCCCCTCAAACACCATAAACCAATCTAATTATTCCACAGCTTCTCTGCCTTCTTCAACCACCTAGACCACTACTCGCAGGAGGAATTCCTCTACGTCACGTCCGGCGGCATCCCCGCCGCCAAGCTAGTGGACGCCCCGGCCGCAACTGAAGAAGGCAAGGGCAAGAAGTCACAGAGAGAAGCGCTCGCGGAGGTGGAATCCGGAGACGAGGATGAGGGCGCTCTTCCTAATGGTGGGGAGGAGGGTGGTTAGTTTAGTTTAGTTTAGTTCAGTTAGGGTTGGTTATCTTGAGATAAAGATAATTTTCTTATCTTATCGCCGGGGTAGATGAAGAAGGGGTTATGGTTGTGCTTGTGGTTATGGTTGGGGTGTAAATAAGTCGATTATAGTATCTACTATGCTTAGATGAAAAGTATCAGTTTGTGTATCAGTTGTGAAAGTGTATTTGGGTTTGTTAAATAAGTTACTGGTCAGTGCCGTAGATGGGTGAGCGTGGTCTTGGTCAATACTGGATTGTGGAGCATGGGGTGATATATATATAGTATTTGTAGAACACCAACGTCCGTCCAACAATCCACACCCGCGGATCCCTGAGATACTCCACACAATCAGACAAAATCACAAACAAGGATTTTCATTATGTAGAATATCTCAAAACTATCGAACAGGAGTATGAAAGAAAAGAAAAGACATGTTACAGTAGCTAGCAATGTCTAATCGAACCGCCTCAGGCAACAGATGGTACTGAGATTCTTGATACAGTTTGAACGCGAACTGAATTATGGACTCGAGAAGAAAAAAAGGCGCTATGTATCACAAAGGGCGGCTGAAGAAAGCAGGAACACGAAGAAAAGAAAAGAAGAGAAAAAAAAAAAAAAAAAAAAAAAAAAACGCTGGCAGAATGAACAGTGCAGGATGCAGGAATTTTCAAGGAGAATGCAGCCGGCTGGACTCCAACACCGAAGACGAGAGAAAACACACGGGAGAAAAAAAAAAAGGGGAAAAGAAGGGCAAAAGAGAGAGAGAAAAGAAGACAAAGGGGATTAAAGCAGACAGGCAAGTGGGGGAGTCAACTTTAGAACATCAGAGAGCGCGTCTTCTGCCGGCGAGCGTCCGCGTCGCGAACGTCGGGCTGCGACTGCGTGTGTTTGTGTCGAGGGCGGGCCACGCCCGGCGCCGGCGCCGTCGGGGTGGGAATGGCCGTATCCTTGGCGGGCGGCGGCGGAGGGGCTTGGCCCAACGGCCGATCGCTGGTGGTGGTTTCCCGCTTCACCTTCATGCTCCGCTCGCGCTTGAGAACCAGCTCCGTCCACATCTTGGCTTGGCTGCTGCCAGAGGATCCCTTGCCCACAGCATCCGCGAGGACCTTCATCCAGCCATCTTTGTCGGCCGCACTGTCGGCGTAGAAATCAATGACCTCGCCGTTGCCGAAGCGGATGCGGAACCCTTCTTCCACGAACATGTAGCCCTCCTCCTCTTCGGCAAAAGCAGACTTGCGGCGACCACCACCCCGAGTCGAAGTTTCCTTTTGCATCAGGGAGGATCGGTCGTCAATGAGTTTGGCCGCCTTCGACAGGTTGATGGTTGCGCGGGGTTGACGCGTAGTCTCATGGTAAGCGGTCAACTTGGAACCCTGAAGCTTGAAGAAGCGACGGCGCCAGAACTATAGAAAAGGATTAGCTTCAAATTGCGAGGAAGGTATGGGTTGTGGAGTGCTTACCGGGCAGTCACCACCCTGTTGAGACAGAAAGCCTTCGTAACTGCGAGAAGAGACAGTTTCCGCTTCACGCATTTCCCGAATGCATGCATTCATGCTCTTGGGCATATCGTCATCCTTGGCTGCTTTGGGCTTTGGCACAAACAGTAGCTGAAGCTCTAGCTTGCCAATCTTGTAAGGAGGTCGACGCTGAGAGGCGGTGCTGTTCGTGCTCTTCTTGCTCTTAACACTGCTGGGCTGTTCCTCCACGGCCCACTCATTGAAACAGGCCACATCGACCGTGTAAGGACGGCCGAAGGCATGCTTCTCGTGGTCACTGAGGGAAACATAAGCGCGTCCAAAGCTTCCGTCCCGGGCGATAAGAGTTCGCAGTCTTTCCCACACAGGGGCGTTGACATCTCTGGCCTTGCTTTGCTGAGATACAAGTTGTTGCTTCATCTCGAGCTCCTTGCGCTTGCGGGGAGAAGCAAATACGCGACTGAAAGTAGAGGCCTTCTGTCGGGCAGGGGATGCGGTGGGCTGAGGCTCCGGGACACGCAGCTTCTCTTCATCAACCTTCATCTGGAGAGTCAGTTGGAACTCGAGATCATTCTGCACAATGAGCTCAAACTCCTGGCCGATCGGAGCGGTCTTCCCCAGTTCCAACCAAGCCGTCGTTACACAATGAAGACCATTGTCCAAGGTTAGGGCAAAGTATGATCTCTCGCCTAAGATATTTGTCAGTCAATGGACCGAAACAGAGGAAGAGATAGAGAGCACTTACCTCGTGGGAGAGGCAGGTCGAGATACTTCATCCCCACCACCTTGACAAACAGGCGACCACGCTCCTCACCCTCTTCCAAGGCACCGTTCAGGGCAGGCTCGGTCTCCTCAATGGTTGCCGGAGGCTCTTGGACGCTACTCTGCTGACCCGGCAGCGGGGGCACGGGGCCGGCTACAGGCTTCTTTCGGACCATTCCGCTGGACGTCCTCATACTCGCACGGCGAGTTTGGCCGTTCCAAGGAACAGTAGTCCAGGTCTGCTGACTAGGCTTGCGGGAAGTTGGTGCAGCCCGAGCCGCCGCGGGAGCTTCTGGGTTCGGGGCCGTTTCATCTTCGTTCCGACTGCTGGCGATGATGACCTTCGTGTTGTGCCGCATAAGGTAACCTCTCTGTTTAGGAGCACTCAGATTAGTCAATTGTCCAAAAGTCAAGGGATGGGCTCCCGGTCCATGGTCTGGGGTCTCCTGGGTGTGGATGACAGAGGGGAGGTGCCCTAATCGGGATAGGGAATGTTCAAACGCCACCTTTTGGGTCTCAATCACTCGATCGAATTCTTTGTCCAGGCCAAATCCAAGGCTTTCCTCCTGGATGCTGAAGGGGATATCTAGCTTCATGAGACTGGGTTGTCTTTGGGTATGTTCCTTCGCGGTATGGGCTGGAGCATCATCGTCAGGGGCGGAGCCCTTGGACTCGTTTGAGGTCTGTTTAGTGAGCTGGGGCATCGGCGGAGGAAGCTGCCCGCTGACCTGGCGACGGGTCGCAGCCATTTGCTCCATGTCAGCTGGGGTCAGAGATGGACGAGTCTTCAGGCCTGTTCCAGGGGCTTTGACCGTCGCGATAGGATCGGGTACACTTTCGTCAGGCGACATTTCGCGGTCGCTGTCGTCGCTGCCACTGTATTCGCCCTCTTCATCAATTGGGTGTCGAATGACCGACTCAGGAGTCGAGGGCTCCGATACCTGGTCGTGGTTGTCCGGCGTCACCGGTCGCTGCAGCGATTCCCGCATGGCCTCCATCTTAGAGGCGGACAGCTCATTAGCGTTGTGCTCCGGCTCCGTTTCGGTTGTAGGTTGTAGCGCAGGCGCCTCATCGGGCAACACGGGCACCGGTGTGGAGTGTCTGTCCAAGTCTTCGAAACCCTGCGGTTCGCCCTGCGGTGTTAGGTCGTCATCTTCCAACGGCATGCTTGACCGGCAACTCTCGTCATCACCAGCCACATCGTCGTTCAAAGACTCCTTAGAATCTACCGTTTCATAATACTCTGGAACGTCATAAAGATCATCATCGTGCTCTTCGGGCTTGATCACCACGCTGCTTTGGTCATCATCGTCATCGTCGTGGCTGTCATCATCATCATCTTCATCGTCCTCTAGGGATGGAATTGGAACATCAGGGTCATAATGGTCATAGTGGTGGGGACTCGATTCCAGCTGGGACGCATCTTCGAACGAGTCATCGAGATAGCTTTCACTCTCACTCTTGCGAAGGTCGCGAAGAATTGAATCCCTGGAGATGCGGGGAGCAGAGAAGACATCGGCATCCTCTTCAACCGGGTTCTCGGGAACCTCATCCGCATTGGAATCCTTGTCCTGTGCTTCGCAGTCGGTATGCTCTTCATCACCTGCATGTTCGGAGTGTGGCTTGGGCGGCTGGACAGTTTCATGCTCTGGATCCTGGTTCTTGCTTTCGTTTTTCTGGATCATCATCAGACGCAATCTGTCCTCCAACGACATAGATGTACGAGCGTGATCAGTGATATCTGACTTGCTGTAAGTCGCAGGGCCCGGAGGAGACGGCAAAACTCGCTGCCCACCGCTTCCAAGCTCAAACGCTGCAGCCAGCTTGCCTGGGGACGAAGTCCGATTAGTAAATGACGGACGACTAGCAGGTGGAAGGGGTGGCAGTGGACGGCGCTCGCCATTCGAATCCAGAGACTCGACGCGAGAATGCTGCACGGGAGGTTCCTGTCGCGTGGACGGCTGGGGATCGGGGCTGTGATCATCTTCATCCTCCGTGAATGGATCCTCATCCTCCTTCACGAGATCGTCATTCGCGATGGCCGGGCTCATGTAGCGCCAGTCTTCCGGCAAAACAACAGGGGTTTTCTCCAGATCTTCCAATGAAGCATCAAAGCTGTCATCCCGGTCGAGGGAAGATTCGCGATCGAAGCTCACATCACCTTCGTCTTCTTCCGATTCGTAGCTTCCTTCACGGGAGCCCGATGCAATGGAAGAAGGGTCCGGAGTGGTCATTTCGTACTCGTTGACTTGCGGTGGAGCGGCGTCGAACGTGACACTCTTGGCATGGCGACTTCCATCGATGTCGGACCAGATCTCATTTTCGGGGTCGAACCCTGCATCCTTGAACCCAAAGCGGCTCGCTCGAGACAGAGATGATTTCGCGGGGGGAACTTGGTCCTTGCTTGGGGATGGGGGTCTGGGCCCGATGTCCTGGTTCTCTGGTTGCCGCGTCGGGGATGCAGTTTGCAGCGGCTTCGGTGCCGGGCGACTTGTGACCAAGGGTCTCTGCGGGACGTAAACATTTGTGGGGTCGTACTCCTGGTTGTGATCGCGGAACATGTTACTGTTTTTTACTCGGGATGCGCGCTTGAGATTCTCGAGGGAGGGGCGCTTAGACGGCGTGAAGGACGCGTCAGGCTCGTAGGGGCTCTGGTTCTCCAAGCTTCGTTGGAACGGCGACGCCGACTCGCGACCCTGCCAGAAGAGGCGCGGCGATGCAGGCCCCTCATATGGGGATGCGTCGTGAGACTTCATTGTCTGTGGGACCCGGTTAGGCTGGATGTTGGAATATTCCCGAGACGTGAAACGGCCTGCCTACCTTGGTACTTTGGTTCCAACTGGGGGAGTTCCGTCGTTGGGCCATGGGGCTCACTTCGGACAGTGGCCGTTGCACAGGGTTGCTCGCCATCTTCGATAATCAGACGAGACGATTCAAAACAGAAAGGACACCGACTGGACGCAAGCGCCGGGCAGACAACAACGCTGGAGCGGCTGAATCAGCAATGTGCCTTTCTTCACAACACCGCAATGCAAGGCCCATGCAACCAGGCTTATCCCTTGCTGAGGAAGAACGCGCCCATACCTGATCTGTCCACGCTGGGAAAAAGGACTACTAGGACCAAGCAGTCGCGCAGCACGAGGTCGAGAGGTGAACGCGGTGGATCGAATACGACAGGTCCGATTCCCGGAGAGTAAATAAGAAATGGATTGCTGGAATTCACTTGGAGGTGGAGCTGCTCATGGGAATCGTATCGTGACAAGACAACGGGGGAGGGAAATGCAAAAAAAGCGCGTTACAAACGGAAGATGACGCAAAGACTTGCCGATTCGTCAGGTCGTTGGATCCTTTGGGGGGGGATTGTTGACTCGGGTAAACGAAGGGATATGGAACGAGGCAAGCAACTTGGTAGAAGAAGGAAGAAGGCAGAAGGCAGAAGGCAAAAGACGCAACAAAGACGGACGAACAGCTGGAACGACAATGGAATGGAAGAATCGAAGACTAGGTGAGACACACCAACACCAGCGGACCAACGAGGAGGGATGGAGGGAGAGGAAGAAGAAGGTGGGAGGGTGATGTTGTTGAGTAATTATACGGTAAGTCGAGGTACCGAACCAGAACAGACCCTGGGATGCTGCACCACCGCAGCAGCAGAGCAGCAGCGCAGCAGCGCAGCACACCGCGGCTGTTGACATCTGGCGGCGGGAGTCGCCATGGCAACCCCTGCGAGTTGCCCGGTTTGCCCGTTCTGGCAGCCTCGGCGCCTGAGGGCCTGGGCGCCTGGCGTGCGGCCCCGATCGCGCTAGTCCCGCTTGGGCCGTGGCGCGGATCATTCAGATGGCCCGAGCGCCTTCCTGTTCGGGCGTGGCGCGGAACGCTGATTCTTTCCCGCCGCCCGCCAATAATCTCCATCATTTCACCCTCTGCCTTCCTCTATCCACCTCCCTCCTCCTCCTCCTCCTCCCCCCCTCACACGCCCATCATGAATCGCATCGGCAGGCTGTCGTTGCCGAATCGCTCTCCAGTATGTCTGCTCTGCCAGACCCAGGCCACCCGTTCCTCGCCGCTGGCCGGCTGGCAGGCCATCCGCTCCGTCGGCAACCTTCGACAGCGTCGCCAGGCCGCCCGCATGACCTTGTCCTCCAACGTCGCCAAATCCTCCTTGAAACCCACTCGCTCGAAAAATGAACGCCCGGGCCCTTTCGCAGGCATGAACCGGACAACGGCCCACATCCCCGACACGCCACGGTCACGATCTCAGGCGGCCCTCAAGCGCTCGGGGGACCCCAAGGACAAGGACGCCGCTCGCAAGAGCGAAAGCCCGCTCTACAAGGCATTGAAGATGCAGACAGCCCTGCACCCAGTGCCATATGGTCGCCGAAGTGCCGTCAAGTCGCAGCTCGCCGAGACCACGAACTTCGACCAGTTTCCTCTGCTGCCCGTGGTCCGCAACTCGATTTTCTCCCAGGCGTTACCGGGCCTCGTGGATGTCGTGCCTACGCCAATCCAACGGCTGGCCATTCCGGCGCTCCTTAAAGAGTCGCCCCCGAAAAAAGCTCCGAAGCCTGGGCAGGACGTCGAACATACGTACGAGCAGATTCTTATGGCTGCGGAGACTGGGTCGGGGAAGACACTGGCCTATTTGATCCCATTGATCGACATGGTGAAGCGCACAGAAGCGGAGAAAATCGAGCAGGACAGGAAGGAAGCGGAGAAAAAGTCGAAGAGCAAAGAGGTGGACATTTCACCTCAAGTGGAAATGTCGAATGGAGCCCGGCCACGGGTGATCATCCTGGTCCCTACCGCCGAGCTGGTTGACCAGCTGACGGCCACGGTCAAAGCCTTTTCGCATACCGTCAAGTACCGATCTGCATCCATCTCCTCCAACATCTCGTCTGCCCGGATCAAGAAGGTGCTTTTCAACCCCGTTGGCCTGGACATCCTTGTCGCCACCCCTCACCTGCTCGGCGTGATCGCGAAGACCGAGCCATATGTCTTGAGTCGCGTCTCCCACTTGGTCCTCGACGAGGCCGACTCGCTGATGGACCGGTCCTTCTTCGAAATGTCGAATGAGATCATCGCCAAGTGCGCCCCATCCCTCCAAAAGCTCGTCCTTTGCTCAGCCACCATCACTCGCGCCCTGGACAACGTCCTCCGCAAGCGGTTCCCGGACATCAAACGTCTGACCACGCCGAACCTGCATGCCATCCCTCGTCGTGTTCAGCTGGGTGTGGTGGACATCCAGAGGGATCCCTACCGCGGAAACCGCAGCCTGGCCTGCGCGGACGTGATCTGGTCCATCGGAAAAGCAGGCGACACGGAGGCACAGCACCCCTTCTTGGCCGGCACTCCCAAGGTTAAGAAGATCCTGGTCTTCGTCAACAAGCGTGACGACGCCGAGGAGCTCGCGCAATTCCTCCGCACGAAAGGAATCGACGCGCAGTCGTTCTCCCGCGACGCCACCGACCGCAACAAAGAGCTACTCACCGAATTCACCGAATCACTCGTGCCCCCCACAGCGGAAGAGATCATGGTGGCAAAGAGGAAGAAGGCCCAGGAGAACGCCATCCCCTTCGTATACGAGCAGCCTAAGGAGGGCCTGTCCCGCCGGCTCCCGAACACCAAGGTACTCGTCACAACTGATCTGGCATCCCGCGGTATCGACACCCTCCCCGTCAAGACAGTCGTCCTCTTCGACGTCCCGCACAACACGATCGACTTCATCCACCGTCTCGGCCGTCTCGGCCGAATGGGCAAGCGCGGCCGTGCCGTGGTCCTGGTTGGCAAGAACGACCGCAAGGACGTGGTGAAGGAAGTGCGCGAAGGCATGTTCCGCGGCCAGGCTTTGGTCTGAGGACGAGGACATTGCGAACAGAGACGATGGAATTTTGTACTATAGACCCCCCCCCCAACATCAACACACCAATCTGGCCAGTATCCATACGGATAGATGGCCTTCGACTTGACGACCGGCGTTTGGAAATAGATGGCGCTAGGATAAACACTCACACCTCGCATGACTCCAAGCAGGACATAAGTTACGGATAGATATCTAGTTGTATTTATTATAATTGAATTGTATAGTAGTCTCACTCACTCACTCATCACCTGACCTCACCAGCTGACTTACTCCATAGATCATGTACTAGTATACTCAACCTCGCCCACCCATCTCCCCAAAGAAACAACCAAACACAACTCAAACAGGAACATCCTTCGCGACACTCAACCAAAACGCACACCTCTCCTTCAACTGCACAAGGCGAAGATTCTCGAAGCCCGCATCAGCAATAACAAACTCATCCCCGGTGGCATGAAGATCCGGGACGCCTGGCTCCGACGCATTCGTCAATTTATGGGCGTTGGGGTCGCCGGTCTGGATGAAGCTGGCAAATGCGCCGGTGTAGCCTTTGTATATCAGGGGGTCGGTTTCTTGGATGGTGTTGATTGTGTCCCACTTTTTTTTTTTTGATTCTTTTGTTAGATAATGTTGGATATGGATAGATAGATAGATAGATAGATATGATTAAAGAAGTGTAGGGAGGGAGGGAGAGAGGGAGGGACTAACCCAGATGGTATCACTCCCGTGAGTGGCGGGGGGGATGCTATATTCGCCGACATGGCCGGTGGTTGTGGCAGCGGAGGCGACCCAGTAGGCCGGACAGGCGAGGACGAGGTCTCTGAAGACCAGGCCCGCACGGACGTAGGTTGTGTTGTAGGTGATGGTTTCTGAGCTGCCGTTGACAGGGTAGTATTTTGATTCGATCAGGGAGATGTCAGTGGCTGACAGACCGGGGAGGAAGCCGGTTAACCAGGAGTGGAAGCTGGCGAGGGATGAGTTGAAGCCGCCGGCGGTGGCGGCGTCGTCGAGACCGGAGGGGATGAAGTTCTGGCCCTCGTGGGTGTTGTACATGCCCCAGATGAGTTCAGTTTGGAGGTCGTCGGACTGGATGGCGTCGGTGAGGGTGTCGATGAGGAAGTCGCCGTCGATGACGGGGGCCCAATTGTAGGAGCTTGTGGTGTAGGTGTTGTCGGCTTCGATGATGAGGCTGGCGGAGCGGATGGTTTGGACGTCGACGGCCTTGAGACAGGCCAGGGTGTCGGTGGCGTTGGCGCAGCCGGTGAGGCTGGTCAGTTGGTCGTAGATGGCTTCGGCTTGGGGGGCGTTGTAGGCGTAGGTCTTGGGCCAGAAGGGGGAGCTGGCGAGGGCTTTGGAGAAGAGTTTGGGCTGGTTGCCGCGGCCGTTGGCGAGAGTCTGCGCGACGACGGAGCCGCCGCCGGCGGATTGGCCCCAGATGGTGACGTTGTTGGGGTTGCCGCCGAACTGGTCGATGTAGCTCTGGACCCATTTCAGGGCGTATTGCTGGTCCAGGAGGCCCGGGTTGAGGTCGGAGGTTGAGGAGTCTTTTATCGCCTGGCCCGGGAGGAAGCCGAAGGCGTTGGTGCGGTAGTTGGGGTAGATCACGATGTAGTCGTTCAATGTGCTGACGTTGAGGATGGGATAGGCGTCTGGCGGAATGCCGAACGATGCACTGCCTTCGATGAAGCCGCCGCCATAGAAGACAACCAGGACGGGGCGGTTGGCGGAGGCGGAGGCCCAGGGGCGTGAGTAGAGGCCTAGGAAGAGACAGTCCTCGGAGCCATTGACGGTGCGCTGGGGGCACATGTCGAAAGATTGGTCGCTGTCGTAGGTGCCATTGGTGATGTTCAGTGGAGGCTGGGGGGCCCGAAAGCGATTTTCCCCTGCAGTAGTTGCGGCGAAGGGGATTTTGCGGAAGTATGAAATGTTATAGGTTGCATCGTAGCTGCCTTGGAACTGGCCATAGTCGAGTGTGATCAGGGGGGGCTCGTAGGCAAGGGTGATGGAACCCGTCAGGAGAAAATATAGGACCAGGAGGAAGCGTAAGAAGTCCATAGTTGTATGGAGGTTATATGATCCGATCCAGGTGAGTAGGGCTGGGGGAGTGCTTGGACAGAGGCAGTGTCTTATAGCACAACTTGGTTTCAGCTGATGCAAACGTCGGCATCATGCAGTCCGAAGTTCATTTAGATTCAATATGGGAGAATTCCGATCCCCTGGTCGTTTATTTAACCGGGGGGAGACCGGAGGCAGGATAAAGAGCCCTTCGAGGCTGCCATTGGTGCAATATTATTATTGCCCTTCCTGATGCAACGATGGCGAAGATGCGGAGTTGCAGCAAACTGCGGGGGAGGAAAAGATGAGTTGTTGCACAATGCCCGTCAGTAGACAGGGTCCAGGTTCATTCCAACGGCCCTGGGATGGCGTTGATCTCGGGTAAATACAATAGGGGCCCAAGAGCCAGGAGCCAAAAGCGGACCAATACTCTATACAGTGTAACAATATGTCAGATAAATGCCGTGTGAGGCAGACAGCCAGCGAGAGATCAGGACGAGATCTTCCAAGATTACGCAGTCCAAGTCGCCGAACTGTCGAAGCCCTCGTGGTCGTCGTCATTCAACGCCGGTACTCAAAACTCCATGCCCAAAATATCCCAAACCTACCCATTCCTATCATTACATAGTCATCCGAAGCGACCGCGTCCGTCGTCTGCTGGCGCGCGTGTTGCGTCGGTCATCGCAGGCCTCACTCTCCTCCGTGTCGGCATGAGGCTCAGACAGCTCAGGCGTCGGGGTGATGCCAAAGCTAATTCCACGGTCCTTACGGGTAACAAGCGCCTCCTCATCAGGGTAGAGGAATCGGTGCACAGTGCGGTGGTCCATCACGCGTTCTTCGTCGTCTGCCGGGCCTTCTCTGTCCGTCTTCGGCCATTGAAAGCCATATAGTTTAGAGTGGCGTTCGCACCGAGGGCACTCCCGCCGCGTCAGATAGGAATCTTGTTGCACGAACCAGACGTTGCATGTGCGGCAATCAACCCATCGATCGTAAGCCTGTGCGAGCAATCTGGAGGTCTTGGTGTAGTCACCGGGAACGCGAGCACGAGGCGGCTCGACCTCGACCGAGGGAACGACTTCCTTGTTCCGGGACCTCCTTGGTTTTTTCACAACTGTTCCCAGCTTCTCATCCAGCTCCAGGGAGTCAGACAGGTCCGACAGTGCATCCCCGTCGGTGCCGAGTATGCGTCGTTCTCTGTCTGCCGGGCGAGGGATTGAGAGGTCGAGGTCTTCCCCAACGGTCAACGGAGAACCTCGAATGGACGATTCCGTGACCTCCTCAACTTTGACCTGTACGGCATTGTCACATACAGACGTCGCCACTGTGGAGGTCGAGGACCGGTGCGAATCATCGGCGTCGAGTGAACTAGGTGAATCGGGTTCTGTCACAGTGGAGCTCTGAATGGTCGACTCGACATGGTTATCGACGATGGGGTCGCTGATGGTTTCCGTGACCGAGGCGGGTGGCACAGCCAAAGCCTGGGCTGAAAACTCGGTGGCCGCTGCGGGCTGATCCGTGGCGGACTCAATGGAAGGGGTGAGGTCGGAAAACAACACTTCAGACCGCAATTTGGAATTTTGCCGCGTAAACTTGGTTCTTTTACGAGGTGTGGATACAGGTGAGCTTTCCGAATCCGTGTCCTGTGCGTGCTTGCGTTTCTTGGGGGAAAGCAGAGCGTCGGTGATTATGGCCTCATCGTTCGAGGCTGGCGTTGAGTCTTGGTCTTGGCTCTCCTGCTCGGAATCGACCTGGGGCGCCCAGCCATTCCGGACTGCCCGCTCGCACGTCAAACAAAGACACTCGCAGTTGTCAATGCCAAAATAATCGTCTCCGTATGAGACCGTAATTTCCTCCCCAATATGAATGTTGCGGATGGCCACCACCTGCATCCCTTCCATGCCTCGCGTGACCAGTCGTCCGTTGGCATTGCAGTCGTGGTTGGCGAATCGAGCGGGACCGAGAAAGAAGGACGGGGTTTTTCTCCGACTCGACATGACAATACTGAAGTCCTTCCGCTTCAGGTCGAGATCCTGTTCCTCTTCACGCGTCATGGGCACCAAGGTCCCGCTGAGGTACTTGATCTCCTGGCCCTGCTTGATGAATTTACGGGCGCAGATGGCAGCCTCATGCTCGGTGACCATGTAGCGATTGGTTGTAGTGATTTCGAAGGGCGAATCAGGGAGATACATCTGGACGTATTTGCGGAGGTGTCGGCGGAACCATTCCTTTTCACGGTCGGTGGGCAGCTTGGCCAGATATTTCTTCAAACCGGACATGTTTAGCAGCTTGCCCTCGGCTTTGGCTGCGTCCTTGCCCACGATGATGTCGTGGAGGATTATCCCAGCGACCTCATCATCCCTGATGCCGCGGGCGGGGTTGTACTTGGTGCGGTTCTTGCGGGTATTTGTCCAAAAGTAGGCCTGTATGCATAGCAGAGTCAGTGATTAGGTCGAGGAAGATCAATCGAGGCTCGAAAACGTACACGGTCAACCAGCGCATCCGTTGCGACGTCGTCGTAGCTGGCTAGTTTCGCAAGCGTCAGACGATCGCGACGGTCGGCGGACGGGCTCGATCGTGCCTTAGACGGCGGCATGGTGAAGTTCGCGATCGGGAAATCCCATGCAAGAAACGCTGATGGGTGAGGTATGGGAGTGGTGGTGGTGGTGGAGAGGGCGTCTGTCGAGGATGAGAATGAGACTGAAGCGTCAAAGCGTCAAGGGGAAGGAAGACGCAGCGGAAGTCCGGGATTCAGACCGATCTAAAAGGAGATGGGCGCCAATGGTCGGAACAAAGGAGGGGAATACCAAGAGAGTTAAGGAACGACGTGAATACGGACTGTGAGGAATGACATGATGGAACAAAGGAAAGAAAAGAGAGTCAGTGAATGTTAGCGCGCATGACAGGCAGATTGGGGTTTTTGGGGGGGAAGACGGACAGACGGACAGACAGACAGACAGTGAGCGTTGCCCATGCGATGGGCTTGTGGCCGCAGCCCCCGGCCGGGGTCGGTCGCCGGCGAAACCTGCCGGCCCGCGACCTGCTCGCATTTCTTTCGGTCCTCGCCGACACCCTCTCGACATCACCGTCCTGTCCCCCCCCCGCTCTTTCCCCCTCAGGGCCTACAGTCACCATGATTCAATTGAAGGTGGGTGGACGGTTATACTCCGATGGGTGATTCCTGGTTTCCGGGCTGACTCTGCTCGACAGACGATGCTGAACTGCATCGACAACTCCGGCGCCGCGGTTGTCGAGTGCGTGAACGTCTTGAAAAAGAAGCGCCCCGCCACTGTCGGTGCGTTATTACCCCGACTGCATTGAATATTGAATACAGAGGAGGCAGAGTCCTAACAATTTATCTTGTGAGACAATAGGCGATCGGATCGTCGTCGTCGTCCAGAAGCAGCGAAGCTTCGGCCCCGACACCACGAACAACGTCGGTATCGCAAACAAGGTCCGTCGAGGAGACATCCGCCACGCCGTCGTCGTCCGCGTCAAGAAGGAGATGCAGCGTCCGGACGGATCCATTGTCAAGTTTGACGACAACGCCTGTGTGCTGGTGAACAAGTCCGGGGATCCCATCGGAACGAGAATGAACGGTCAGTCGCGCCGCATACACCAGGCCCGGGGGGTCGAAGTACTCTTTTACTAACAGCCAATCCAGGAGTCGTGGCTACGGAACTACGATCAAGGCAATGGTCTAAGATCTTGTCGCTGGCGCCCATGCATGTATAGGAGAGTTTATACCTTTTGAAAGCGGATTGTACTTCTTTTTTTTTTCAGATAACTAGCTTGTAGCAATAGAAACTTCTTTCTCGTCAAAACTCCCCGGATATCGCCAAAACTCCACAAACATGCTGCTTCAAGAACCAGTGTCGGGTATCAGGTACATGAAAATAGATAAAAAAAATCACGGATTAAACGAAAACGTTGCCGCACGAGCAACAGACATAGTAGAGTTTCTGGGGGTAACACGTCAGCGATGCCAGCACGGAGACCGTAGACACAGGCAGAGAGGCTCACCATTCCAGTTTCGGCGGAACGTTGTTGGGACTGGAAGAAGACAGCTTCGGCTTCACCGCAGCTCGGGCAGAGCTTGTTGGAACGAGGAAGCTAAAGGAGAGCGCGGGTTAGCCACGGAACTTTCAAGGCAACTTGGAATGTATCCATGACGCGAGAGCAATCTCAGCCCTAGGAGCACGTCGAGAAGGAATCATAATCCTCTTCAGATAATGAGTCCTCGGACGACGAGTCACAGATAAAGCAAGTGATCTCCTCCCCGCAATGGGCACAGAAACCCGGGAGACAAACCGTAGGATCAGATCCCACATCCTGGGTCACACCGGCGGTGTCTCCGACTTGGGTATTGAGCTTGTTCTGGTAGACGCAGTAGGAGGTCGCAGGCTCGCCGACGTGGCAGGTTCGGCATGTGAACATCAAGCGGTTGTTGACGCGATCTTCCTTCGGGTAAAGCAAGTTGGAGCTGCCAACGGTTAGCGACGATTCGTTCGCATAAGATACAAGAGACAATCGACAACAGAGGGGCTGGGGGTTGTGGGGGCTTACCATTCACGGCAGAAGCGGAAATGGATCTGATCGGTAGGCTTGCTATCGCCACCGGCGGACGGGGATGGGCTTGCAGACATTTTCGCGATCTTTGCTATTGGGTTCGTGAAACGACGCGGAAACGAAAGGATCGATGTCGGGAGAGCAGAGGTCGGCGAGAGGGTGGATAGTGAGTGGAAATTTGGATGGCTTTAAGCCGGACGAGAACGACAGAAGTGTGGCGAAGTTGGGGGAGGAGGAGAAGACCGCGAAGATCGGAAGAAGCCTGGAAGGGTCGAGGCGGAGTGAACGGCCACGGCAGTACTTCCGTCCTGAGTTTGCCTGGTTTGCGGAGTTTGCCTGGTTTGCGGCTGTCGCTCCTCCCCCGCAGTTTGTCCCGCAGCTGCTGCAGAGCCAAACCATCACTGCTTCTGCAACGCAACTCTATATACCCGCGGCAGCTTCCTCTCCTCTCTCCCTCCGGTCCATTCTTTGGCCTCGCGCTACTGTCTAAAACCTCTAGACGTCTATAAATATCATAGATATAAAGATACATTCTCACAGCACCATGGTATGCTCCCCCCCCCGCTCCCCCACTTCCTCCTCCCACGTCATCATCGTCAGATCGGCCCTCGTCTTGCAAGAAGTTCGGAGTCAGTGTTGATTCTCTTTGTTAGGTAGAAACAGGTCTTCCGGCGGGATGGGAGGTTCGCCACTCCAACTCCAAAAACCTCCCTTACTACTTCAACCCTGTGACCAAGGAGTCTCGCTGGGAGCCCCCCGCGGACACGGACACCGACAAGCTGAAGTTCTACATGGCAAACTACCACAGCGGGCCCGCCGGACGCCCGGACGGAAACGGTCTTACTGAGGGGAAGATTCGCTGCAGCCATCTGCTCGTCAAGCACCGGGACAGTCGGCGGCCCAGCAGCTGGAGGGAGGCGGAGATCACGCGGTCAAAGGAGGAGGCCATCGAGATCCTCCGGGGCCATGAGGAGCGCATCCAGGCGGGTGAAGCCAGTCTGGGAGACATTGCCGTGTCGGAGTCCGATTGCAGCAGCGCCAGGAAACGCGGCGATCTGTATGTTTACTCTCGGTCCTTGTATGTATATTGTCAGTTCACTCGGGGCTAACTTGGTCTAGGGGCTTCTTCGGGCGCAATGAGATGCAGAAAGAGTTTGAAGATGCGGCCTTTGCCCTACAGCCGGGCCACGTGAGCGGCATCGTGGAAACTGCTTCCGGTGTCCATCTCATTGAACGGTACGTCAGCTCTACAGTTGTTGGTTTATCAAATGCTGACCAGGAGGGTCGTCACAGTGTTCAGTAAATCTCACGAATGGCATATCGATTATAAATGTCCCTACAGTTGGAAGAACCCATCATATCTATATACCTCGATTCCGGCAGGATTTCACAATGCCAAGATAGCGTTGAATAAATTCCATGATGTAGCTTACGTGAATTCATCACGATGAAGGGAGCCTTCAACCAGGAAACAAGGCCGTAGGACCGTTCGACTGACATGATCTAGATGCGAGGCAGCCAGCCCTATCATATGTCTCTTGGCTGATGCCTACTATACGAATGGTAACACCGCTACTCCAACAAAGAAAAGGTAATAATTTCAACTAATAAAGAAATCTAATACAAAACAGTAAGGATTCCAACTCACAAAGAAATACAAGGAAGGCTCCGGGTAATAATGTCACCAAGAGGAATCTTCCTCTTCGAAAACCAGGTCAGATGGCTCCTGGCTCTGATCACGGTAACAGAAATGCGTCCTGTCGTGCAGCTCAAGGGAAGTCTTACAGCGGGTTCTCGAGAAGGCCCCGCCCGAAATGTCAACCGGGCAATTGGCCTGCAGGGCGAACTCACGAGCGACATCGGGGCCCTCTTCGACGGAGTCGTAAAGGAGCATGTACACCGCTTCAACCACAATCTCATACGCCAGAGGAAGTAAAGTGCCAATCCTCCCCTCCCACTTTTGCATCTCCGCCATGAACGTCGTTGTCCACCATTTACTATATCTCACATACAGGTCGGCAGGCTCTACCTGCTGCCGACAGGTATCTATCTTGAGAACTTCATCTCGATAGAGCTTGTACAGTCCGTCCCGGTATTCTTGGACCTTGTTCCTGTAGCGTTCAGCAAATTCCTCATAGGCAGCACGGTCCGCGTACAGGTAGACTTGGTGTCTGGGGATCTTCATTCTGGGCGCTAACGTCGGGTCCGTGGGATCCATGTCCTTTTTCCACCCGTATAGGTGGGAGATGGTCTGTTCGTGCCGGCGGTGGCGTGGTTTGTCGTCGCTGGAGCACAGTCCACTAGAGGCTGGAATGAGCTGGTGCATGAAGTGTCGCTGGGCTATCATGGCGTCGGATGCTCGGATGATGCATTGCGCGTGCAGTTCTTGGAGCTCTGGAGATAGCTCGCTATAGATATCTTCGGGGATGCACACGTCCTTCAGTTGGATGTTGAAAAATTCGAACTCTTCAGGGTTGGGTCCGCCTTCCATTGTAGTGACAGCGTCGAACAGGCTGCGTCTATAAAGAGGGTTAATAGTTTAGTCCCTGGAGCGGCTGCACTGGTGCTTTGTCTCTATGAGGGAAGACGCTTGCTATCAGACAAAGACAAAGGGTAGGCGATATGCGCACTCAACCAATGCTGCAGAGATGGTTGGGAGTCGAAGCAGGCAGGAGACCAGGCTATTTATATGTAATAGATGAGTGCTGACAAGATGCGCGGAGGTATGGAAAAGGCCCCGTAGAATGGGCAAGGACATTGTCGAATCGAACGGGCGGGCGAGATATCCCATCCTTCACTCAGTATTCTCGAGACCTCTTCAGGCATATTCCAGGGCCATGCTGTCCGTGAACGCATCGATGTGTTTTCGGCATCCTCCTGCCTCACAGAACCAGGGAACCTTCCTTGTCTTTCCCTCTACACTGTAAACTCTGGTGGAGATGCATCAGCTATAAATAAAGCCATGAAGCCCTCCAGTGTTTTTTTTTTTTTTTTCATTTCCCTACCATTGGGCGTCTGTCTTGAGGATTCAAATAACAACCGATCACACCACTACACCAGTTTCTCGATTCCTGACATTCAAAAGATGAATTTGGACTTCAGTACCGTGACTTACAGATTGGAGTGGAATCCTATCATTAAGAAACTAGCGCATAATAGGCACAGATGCGCCTTCAAGGAACATGAGAAAGACTTCCCAGTTGATGCGCAACGGCTAAATATCCCCGATCGAATCTTCAACTGGGTGGACGATGCCTTCAAGGAGCTCATCCGGCAGTGCGTGATGAAGGCCGAAGTTGCCCTGTTCGCGGAACGCGCGTTTCAGGAACAGCTTGCAGGCCGGTTCGATGGCATCTGCTCCACGGAAGTGAGCCAGCAGCTGAAGGACAACCATAAGCGGACGACCGCGGTGATGCAAGGGTTTTCCCAGCAGGTCGCATCGCTGAACCCGCGTCTGTTCGCGTACAGTCCCAGCCGGCGTGCGTTTGAAGTGTGGGCGACTGGGGTTAATACCAGTCACCGAGCCTTCCAGCAATCTTTCGAAGACTACCTTCTATCCAAGGCGGCCGTCGAGCAGTACATGACCACAGCGCCGCCGGATACGTACAGGGAGGCCTTGTTGGCGTGGTGGAATGACGTCTTCAACGTGGAGATGACCAGGTGGGAGAGACCCAACTCGGGGTTTAATCAATGGCCTCTTTCATACGAAGATATCATCGAGGAGATCTGTGTCCGCGTGCCCGCTGTTTTTGTTCAGTCTGAGACAGCCGTTCAAGGGTTTTTGCGGGTTGCTTATGGTGAGGACCCTCTGTGAGCAAGCATATATATATGATTCTTTTTGATCTTGCTTTCTTTCTTTCTGTTCGGCTGTCTGTTTTTCGTTGTTTTTTTTTTTTTTTTTTTCTTTTTGTTTTCGGGTTATAGAATAGTGCTCTTAGAACAGATTACACCCTGGAAATAAAATTCCTCTGGCTGTTTAAATCTTGGAACCTCTTTATATCTAGTAGTAGTAGTAGTGTCCTGGGACAGAATTTCTACCTGTAGATCAATATAGATCCCCTTTACGCGACCGGACCTCTCTCTGCAGCCTCTTCGGAAAAGATGCTCTGTAAAATATATTCATCCACCTGGGTGAAAGAACCAGTAGTTTTATTCTCTCCCCATCATCACACTACACTATGTAAATGTAGCCTATGCAAGGAACTAATCCATGACTTCAACATCCTCAAAGTCAAGGAAAACTTTACACCATGTTTCTCTCTATCCAGATGACTATCATATACAAAAGATGAAACTGAGAATCCGGAGTCTTCCATTGACGGATTAGGCATTATCAGGGACAGTGAAAGACCCCCTTCCCCACCGTGGAGTCCTTCCCTGCCTGCCTTTCTCCCTACCACCCAACAACATCTATCTACACCTCTCTTACCCAACGCTCCTCTCCATCTCCATCTACCTCCCCACCAAACAAACCCATCATCGCTTCCAATAAACCCTCCTTCTTGCGACCCTTTCCTTCCCCGCCAAATCAAATTCATCCCGGCTGCATCTCACGTGAACACGCAACCCTACTTACTTCCCCTTCCCGCATCACCAAAACAAAGCAAGTGAGTGAGTGAGTGAGATTTCCTTTACCAAAACAAAAAAACACAAACGACAAAGAAATATTTCTTGAATGGTTTTGTTTTTTTTTTTTTTTCTAGTAATGTCTCTTACTCTGGGGGAGAGAGTGGGATTTACCGATGGGGATGTTCCTATAGTAGTTTCATGTGTGGCGGGTTACTATAGTAGTATATAGTATATATTCCTTACCCTTTCCTTGTCTTGCCTTTGCTTTCAAGTTCCTGTCCCGGACAAACGAATGGACAAACGGGTTCAATCGCTGAGCTGACTCTGTTTCTATCTATCTAGCTTCCTAGGGGGCCTCCTGACTAGATAGCGATATCTAGTTATTCAGCTACCTAGGCTGTTTACCTGTCTATACATCTACTCCCCATCTCCCCATACTCCCCATACTCCCCATCCCTCCACAACCAACACCCTCCCCCCCTCTCTTCCAAAAGAAAAAAAAAAGAAAAAAAAAATGTGCATAACCCTCACCACCAAATATTCCACCTGCGGCTGCATCTGGGACAACATCTCCACACGCTGCCGAGGCCTGCGACCATGTCACCGGCAAGAGATGATCACGCTGGAGGACCTAATGAAGACGACGTGCCAACGATGCCAAATCACCTCCGAGCGGACGGAGCGACTCGCGGCGCTGATTGAGATGATGGAGGACAGCGTGATCGACGACTCGGGGATGGTGGTGGAGGAGGAGGAGGAGGAGGAGGTGGTGGTGGATGCCGAGGAGGAGAGATTGGGCTTGGGCGGGGGCGGGGGCGGGTTGATTGTGATGGGACGGTTGGGGAGTGGCGAGGATAGGTGGGTGAGGAGGACGAGGTGTGATTTGACGAGGGTTTGTGAGCCCGTGGATGCGAGGGGGTTGAGGGAGAGGGTTAGGGTGATGAGGGGGAGGGGGAAGCAGAGGGAAGGGGGAGGGATAATGGGAAGGAGGGGGGAAAGACGAAGAAGTAGTTACTAGGGGAATAAATGAATGGGAGGTCACGGATGAGTTGGGGATGGGATGGGATGGGGGAGGAAGTTTCGGGGTCTATGGATTTCACTACTGCTAAGGAGGAGGAGGAGGTGGTGGTGGTGGTGGATAAGATAATACTGAGTCTCGTTTCAATAATGGTATGGCATCATCTCTGCTCTCCAACATTCATTGTGGTATACATTTCATTTGGCTGGACCGTTTCCCCGGACCGTTCGGGGAATCAAGCAGCTCTCGGACTTCATAAGTTGGTGTTTAGTCGCTCGAGGCGGGAGGTAATGTTGTCGATGATGGCGGACCTGGTTCGCGTGTTAGACTAGTGTGAAGATATAAAAATCGAAAGATTTCGGCTTACTCTCGCTCCACCATCTGCATGGCATCGGCGATCTTCGCCCGCTGGAGTCGCTGGGGAACCCGTGGCTGTCCACTGGGGGACGGGGTGCCTGGTTCGGAAGCCAGAGGCGACTTGGCTGCGATGGTCTTCACTTCGGTGAGTAGATCGTCCGCGATTTCCCTGACCTGTTGGGGTGTATTAGTTTCTATGTCCGTACGTTGCACAATCCAGAGAAGAGACTTACGGCATCGAGTCGGTGCGTCAACTGGCCGTCCTCGGGAGTGGAATCGCCGATCGAGTCGGACATCGTCTTGACTTCCACGACCCACGACTTTTCCTTGTCGCTGAGAGGCCGCCCGCCCGACTTCAGGACCTTGTTCCGCAGCGTTTCGTATCTCTGCACAAGCTGAGCCTGCTTATCCTTGGCAGCCTGCAGCCTCTTGTCCAGAACCTCTCCGCTCTTGGAGCCCTCGATCCGCTTCCCGTCTTCACCAATCTCACTAGAAACACCCTTGACCCGTTCCGCGACTTCCGCCAGCTGCTTGAGTTGATCTCGCATCTCACCCTGCAACCGCTCGCAGCGACGGAAGAGATCGGACGCTGCTCGCTCCAGGGCGTTGGTATGGGCAGACAGGATGCGGTGTGCGGCGGCAACCAGGTCCAGCGTCGCGGGAGATAGCCGCACTTGCTCCTTGAAAGCCTGGCGTTGGCGGTGGGGGACGTGCTTGTCAACAAAGAACTCCAGAGGCGGCTCGGCATAGAAAATGGAGGGAACCTGGTACGGGGGGCGACGAGGGGGCAGGACAGGGGAACCGGGCGCCTGGCCATCGTGATCGTACAATCGCATATCGTCAATCTCCGGGAGCGACACCTCGGGGGCATCTAGGATGGCAGCATGGGGGGTAGAAGACTGGTAGGTAAGCAGCAAGTAGCCGAGGTCGTAGTCGTAGTAGATCAAAGAAGCAGGCAGGTGGCCGGTCAGGTCTTTCGCGCCAGCATCGCTTCCTTCGACCTCCAAGATCCGCTCTCTCAAAGACGCCGCGCCTTCGCACAGAATCTGCAGGCGGAAGGCCGTGCCGGTGGTATCCTCCGACTGCAGCTCGGCCTCGAGCCGCTGGACCCAGGAGGCGAGAGAAATAAAAGTCACATTAGAGGAGTTCGTGACAAAGAAGCCGTACCGGGAGTAGACATCCTTTGTGAACGTGGGCCAGTTGTTTGATGATTGGCGTTCTCCCCTCATCGTATCCAACGACTCTACCAGAACCAAGTCCGATGGCTCGGAAATAGGCGTGCTGAACACGTTCTTCTTCGCCTTCGGAAGCCATTGCCCCTCCACCCCATCGAGTTCAAGGCAAACGTGGATCCTGCCGCTTCCAGTTGCGAGGCAGATGACGGTAGCTGACAGCCTGTCGTCTCCGCCGTCGTCCAGGGCTAGTTCGTCCTCCTCACCCATCATGAGAGCGTCGAGGTCGACCTTGGCACCAATCACGAGAAGATCACACAGGTCCAGATCGTCAATCTCATCTCCAGTATCGAACCGGAACGGACCCTGCAATCTCGGGATCGCACTGGGGTTGGCCGGACGGGTGAGAACTTCCGATCCTGAACTACTTTCCGAGTCGAAGTCGGTGAGCAAGGGCTCCTGGTTGTCGATTTCCGCCAGCCAGTCGTACTGTTGCCGGCACGCGGTCAGCTGTTCCTCAAACTCGACGGGGTCCTCCTCCAGAGCAGCCAGCTTGGGAATGATGGCCGCGGACAGTGACGGAACAGTCGTCGACGGCGCTCTCCACTTGGTGGGCAACAGAGGACACAAAGCGTAGAGGTCGCCCGGCCTCATCGCAACCCACAGGGTCATTGGTGCCCAGGCCTCCTCTTTTTCAGTCCCGGTGCCTCCAAAGCAGGCGGATGCAACCTCCATGTCGATGAAGTCCGCAGAGAAGCCCTTGTTCTTCCCGAATCCCGACGGCGCAAAGTCCTGGTCCGACGAGGTTCCGTCCACCAGCTTCCTCAGATCGACCGCCAATGTCGGACGATCGAACGACCAGTGGTTGTTGCGATCCAGCTCCCACACCCGAACAGCGGCATCTGCAGTGACCGTCACAAAGCAACCTCCAAGGTTGTTGTGCACGCCCAGTGGGTGCCACAAGGCAGACACCACGGAGGACTCGGGAATGACATGGGTTGTCGGGCCGAGTTGGTAGGATTTCGTGCGGATGGGGGTGTCGTCGGTGCCGGCCAGGTGCGCTGGGTCGGGGAGCACGGCGATGAAGACGGTGTGGTCTGCGACAATGGCCAGAAACGCGCCATTCGGGGAGGGGATGAGCTGCCGGATTTTCTCGTAAACAGGCACCACCAAAACCTAGAACCGTCAGTCCATAGCTCCCATACAAAGATTTCCTGCCTGATCCCTTCATACCCTGTAATGCACACCCTGGTCACCGGTCAGCTCCTTCTGGTCCGTCGAGCCGTTCCTCGCCTTAGACTTGTGCTGCCATTCGTTCTTCAATCTGGTGAGGTCGGACCAGCGAATCTGGTTATCGACGACCGTAAACAATTCATTCCCCCTCTTGGCCTGGATGCGCGTAGGACCAGAGTAGACAGACTCTTTGAGGCCCTTGAGACTTTCCGGGGCCTTTGCGCCTGAGCTGGCGAAGACGGAGGCGCCGGGTGCCGGGCGCGAGAGCCAGGGAGGAGTGTAGCTGATGACCTTCGGCATGGTGGAGGGTGTTGTGGATGGTGACAAGTCTGAGTGGGCTCACAGTCGCATCCCGCGCAGCACAAGAGAAGGCGGGGGAGCAACAGGACAACGATTCGAATGCGCAGAGACCCAAGACACCCAGAGCAGGAGCTTGCTTGAAGATCGGGGGGGGGGAATTTTGGCGGAGAAGCAGCGCAGCAGCGGATGGACGAGAACGAGCGGCGCCCGGCAGACGCGCGCCAAGAACGGACGGCCCTTGCGCTGCTCGCCGCTCTGCTCCCGATCTTCTTCTTCCTCCTCCTCCACCGGCTCTGCTTCACTGCTTTTTCTCCTTTCTTGTCCTTCTTTCCTTCCAGCGGCCCCAATCCTTCCATTCATCATGAGCACCCTTCTACACAACACCGTCGACCGTCTGGACCGGCCGAGTGCCTACTATGTGGGAAAGGTAGAGCTTCATCCCTCCAACGGCGATGCGGAGCATCGAGGCCATTGACATCGCTATCACAGAACAAGAGACGCAAGTACAGCCAGGACGAGCCCGAGAAGGTCGAGGAACCCGTCGACAACCTCAAGAATGCCACCACTCTCTATGTCGGCAATCTGTATGTGTCTGGAGCTCTTTTGCGCCCGGATCTGTGTCGTGGCGGGCGGGTACTAACGATCGACCGCAGCTCCTTCTACACCACCGAAGAGCAGATCCACGAGCTTTTTTCCAAGTCAGCAGCCGCGCCCCAGCACAATCAATGCGAAGCACACGCTGATGGATGATACAGGTGCGGAGAGATTAAGCGTCTGGTGATGGGTCTCGACCGGTACAACAAGACCCCTTGCGGGTTTTGCTTCGTGGAGTACTACACCCACCAGGATGCCCTGGACTGTCTCAAGTACGTCGGAGGGACGAAGTTGGACGAGAGGATTATCCGGACCGATCTGGACCCGGGATTCGAGGAGGGACGGCAATACGGGTACGTATGGACCTCGTCGGGAACCCGTGCAGTTTCTGACCTCCGCGCAGACGTGGAAAGTCGGGTGGTCAGGTCCGTGACGAATACCGAGAAGAGTACGACCCTGGTCGGGGTGGTTATGGCCGCGCATACGCCGAGGACCAGCAACGGCGGGAAGAAGAAGACTACGGTGCAGGTAGGTAAGGAGAGCGGATCGTTGTGGTTGGCGCAAAACGGCGTTTTATGTACAATCTATTTCTATCGCCTTGGTAGAACAGGGCCCCTCAAGAAAGAAAAATTTACACCCGATACCCAATGCCTCGACAGACTCTATACAATCAACCACGCTGGAAATCATGCAAGATGCTTCTGTTGCCGTCTCCTGACGGAGTCCTCCACCTGGCGCAACCACCAGGCGTGGATCCGGGCATCATCGGTCAGCTCCGGGTGGAAGCTCGTTCCGAAGACGTTGCCTTGGCGGACGGCGATGATATCGCCCGTCTCCTCGTCCGCATCGATGTGCGTCCCCTGGGTGGCCAATCGCGCAGCCCTCCCGGGAAGAGTGGCCAGCACCTCCACGTTGTCCGCCATTGCCTGGCGGGCCGCCTCGTCTTCCGCCTGCCGCGAAGGCGCAATGACGGTCTCGTCCCTCTGGGCCTCGCCAACCTGTTCACCGGTTTGGTGGGGGAGAATCTTCTCCACGACCGGAGCCCGGATGAAAACGGCTGGGAAGGAGGCCTGGTCCGCACCCAGGAACGGCAAGTCGAGAGGCGCCTGGAAGCTCTCCGTCTGTCGGCCGAAATGATTCCTGTTCACACGCACGTCGAGACCCCCGATCAGCTCCTGGCCACCCTTCTTCGTCCGATTGGCGGATTCGGCGAGCAGGATCAGGCCGGCGCAGGTGCCCCAAGTCGGCTTCCGGTGGACTCTTGAGGCGATGTCAGCCGCCACGGCAATACGATAACGTCGGAGAGGAGCAGACGGGCAGCTTACTTGACAAAGTCTCGCAAAGGCTCCAGGAGGTTGGATCTCGCTGCGACGAGGGAGATGGTTGTGCTCTCACCCCCGGGCAGGACGAGGGCATCGCATCTGTCCAACTCCTGCGGGGTCCGGACTTCGATGAACTCCCATTGCGAGGCGGAATCGGCCTGTTTCGCGGAGAAGCCGGCGGCGGCTTTCTTCAGCAGCTGGACATGTTCGTAGAAAGCGCCTTGCAGGGCAAGCACCCCGACCGTAATACCACTCATTGCAACAGGCAACTGTAGGAAGACACGAGAGAGAGAGAGACGAAGAGGGAAGACCGCCACCACCGACTAGCACTGAGTCAATCCCCGATAACGTTCAACAGCCACATCACGTAAGCGGATCATCGACGGGCCGGGCTTATCGGCACGTGCTGCCCCGCGCCGCCGATAGGCCCAATGCGGCAATGTTCTGCCTGAGCTGGCTGACTGCTGCGTTTCCTCAGCTGCAGTCGATAGTTAATTAACTGAGTGTTCAGTCTGTAGGTCTGGCCTGAATTCCTAGTCAGTCTCCACCGAACATGACTTGATGATCCTCGTGGAGACCCAATCTACACCCTACACTTCCCCACCCGCTTGCGCCCAGCAACCACAAGCAGCAGCTATACCAACCACATCTCCCTCTCTCTCTCTCACTCTCACAACAGCAACAATCACAATGACAATGACAAAGCCAACAACCTCCCCCCAAGACCCCCCTCCAAAACCCACGGTAGCCCGGTGGTACATCGACACGCGGCGCCTCACAGCCACGACGACCAGCCTCCCGCTGCTCGAAACGCTCCAACCGACCGAGCGCGACGCCGTCCAGAAATTCTACCACCTGAAAGACAAGCACATGTCGCTGGCCTCCAACCTGCTCAAATACCTCTACATCCACCGCGCGGGCCGCATCCCCTGGGCGCAAATCCACCTCAGCCGCACCCCGGCCCCGCACAAACGGCCCTGCTTCATCCCCTCCCCGCAGCTGCTGGAATCGCATCCCGAGCCCATCCCACCGATTGAGTTCAACGTCAGTCACCAGAACTCGCTCGTCGTGTTGGCGGGGACTACCACGTCCCCAACATCAACACCAACACCAACACCACCACCATCATCATCATCATTGTTGTCACACTCTCCCAACCCAACCCTCCCAACCTCAACCTCCCCCTCACCCCCCACCCCAATCCTAACGACCCCCCAACTCGGCATCGACATAACCTGCACCAACGAACGCCACGGCACGCGGGGCCCCGAACCACGCACCCGCACGTCCTTCGAATCGTACATCTCCATCTTCACGGAAGTGTTCTCGGCGACGGAGCTGCACGAAATCTCTTCGCTGACACACCCGACGCGGAAATGGGCGCTGACGTCCGCCGCCGGCGTCGAATACAGCTACCGGGTGTTCTTCACGTACTGGGCGCTCAAGGAAGCGTATATCAAGATGACGGGGGAGGCGCTGCTGGCCCCGTGGCTGCGCGAGCTGGAGTTCTCGGATGTGGTGGCCCCGGATGTCGGGGAGGGGCCGTATCGCGGGACGAGGGTGTGGTTGAGGGGGACGGAGGTGGAGGGCGTGAGGGTGGAGGTGGTGGCATTTGAGGGGGATTATCTGGTGGCGACGGCGGCGAGGGGCGGGGGCGTGGGGGAGCAGGCTGTGGATGGGGAGGGGGATGTGTGGGAGGAGTTGGTGAGGGTGGATTTGGAGAGCGATGTTAGGCCTTGTACTGCTGGGACTTGTCGGTGTTTGGTCTCGGGGTAGGGCTTTGTATATTGTATATGGGAAGGGGTGTGGTGGGTACGTAGTAGCGTCGGTTGGAGGTTTTATATATAGTAAACTCCATAATGGCAGTGGGTATATTCATAGATGGATGGATACTAGATATGATGGTTGGTATTCCACAAGGCTCAATCAAGAATAGTAAGTAGTATGTCTAGGAAAGCAGGGGTAAGTTATGCTTCTATATACACTCTAGCAATGAAATGGTCCCGCATAGTAGTGAGTCCGGACGCGGACGCCAGGAAATCTCATCTCGGTCTGGGTCGGGCGTTCTTTCCCACCCGTCCATACTTCCAGCCAGCCGCCATTCAGTCATACCTCGGCTCGGCAGCCCCCTCCCCTTCGCGACCTGGGATGTATTCCGCTCTCATCTCCCACAAAGAAACACAACTCAAGAAAGCGAGAACAAGAAAGGATACACCCCCACCGGCATGAGACCAACCCAGACCCTCAGACGAACAATGCCAAGTAGCACGGGTAGACAGGTACGTATATCAATACGTACCTAGCCACCCCGTGCGCATCCCATCACCGCCCTGCATCAAGCCGTGACTTCGTGTAATCGTAGCGATAGCGAACGAGGAAAGAATAAGATGAAGAAGAAGAAGATGCAATCAAGTTTAGTAGCAAAGGGGGTAGTAAATGGGTCAAAATCTACAATTGTGCACTGCACCGCTTTTCTCATTTTTCCTTTTTTTTTTTTTGTGTGTGTAATCTTCTCCCCTTTTCGTACAGGTGGTCACAGCTCAACGGAGGTGGAGGATCCGTTCGTCGCGGCGGAGTCGATCTCCTTTTCGTCCTTCTCGGACATCTCAAGGAGGGTCTTGAGCATGGACTCGCGCGTGGACGTGGTGAGGGCGTCGACGTCGGCGGGGGTGAGGCCCTTGGTACTGATTGGGGGGAGGACTGGATGGATGCGTTAGCTGGAGGACGCAGTCGATTGGAAGTAGTTCTGGAAGCATACCCTTGATCTTGATCGTGCCGGCCTCGAACCGCATGTCCCTCGGGGACAGGATATGCGAGTAGTTCTCGGTGACCACCGGCACGATCGGCACGCCGGCCTTGACGGCGAGGTGGAAGGCGCCCTTCTTGAACGGCAGCAGCTCGGGGCTATCAGAGTAGCTCCTGGTGCCTTCGGCGAAGATGAAGACGCTTTGGCGGTGCTCCTGCATCTCCTTGGCGGCGCTGTCGAAGGCCTTGACGGCGGTTTCGCGGTTGGCGCGGTCGATGAAGACGGTGCGGGAGAGGGCCATGAACCAGCCGAGGAAGGGGATGTGGCGGAGGGACTTCTTGGCGGTGACACTGCAGTAGGGGGGGAAGATGTGGCCGAGCATGAGCACGTCGAGTTCGGACTGGTGGTTTCCGATGAAGACGGCGGGACGGGTGGTCAGGTGCTCGGTGCCTTCAATGATGTTGAAGCGCACGCCGGTGGTGTATCGCATGACCCATTTGAAGCTGCGCGCGGTGGCCCACTGCGAGATGCGGCCGTAGCCGACGAGGCGGAGGACGATGGAGGCGATCACGCCGTATGTCGCGCAGAGGAGGAGGGAGCCGTAGGAGGCCAGACACCGCGCGACAAAGGCCGCGCGGGGCACTTTCTGGCCGATGGCGAACAGGGACAGAGTCACGACCACGAAGGAGCTGACGCCCGAGGCGACGTAGGAGAAGAGCGACATGGTGGCGGTGGAGACGGCGGAGACGGAGAGATGTCTAGGGGGAACTCTGCTGCGGATCTGCGCGGTGGATGATGGGTTAGTACGAGGCTTTATAGACTGAGGGCGGGGGAGTGAACGAACCTCTGGGGAAGGACGGCTGGGGATGATGAGGTCAGGCGAGCGGGTGGTGGGAATGGAGCATGACCCAGCAGCAGGGGCGGGACGGAGAAGGGGGGATGAGATAGGGAGGGAGGGATGGGAGAGAGGAAGAGGGAGCAAGGGAAGAAGGGGGTGGGGAGAGAGAGAGAGAGAGAGAGAGAGGGAAAAGAGGATGGAGGAGGACAACCAGGGAACAGAACCGGGAGATCGTCAATCCATCGAGGCCGAAGAGGGCGAAGGCGAGGATCTCAACCCGTCCACTCACCGCCTTTGCCTCTGCCTCTACTACTACTACTACTACTACTACTACGACTATGGAGGCGTGAAAGTATGGACATACTGATAACAATGCATAAGAATACGTCCATTATGCAGTGACCGGACGACCGACACAATAAGAGAATATGTTCAGGTCCCGTCGTCCGGCCTCGTCACCTCCACGCTAAGATACAGACAGAGAATCCAGAGCCTCGACCCGTCGCGAGTACCTCATGCACGAACAAATGCCCTCTAACCAACCCACCGGCCAACGCCCTCGTAATGCTGATGCTTGCGCGAATTCGATCCAGGAAAAACGCCGCCCCGTGCCAATGGTGAACCCAGGGGACCCGGGGAATGGTCCAAGAGAAGTAGACCAAGGAATGTGGGGGAATGTCGAAGAATACTAAGAACAGGGGAGAGAGAGAGAAAGAGAGAAACTATCATGCCATGTCTTCGTCATCCTCCTCGTCGTCATCCAGAGACTCCATGGCGTCCTTGATGTATTGGGCCGCCTGCAGAGACCAGTCAGGATCCAGTATCATTCATGACAGAAGGGGAGCGCCTTACCTTGGGATCCAGATTCAACGCAGTCGTAAAGTGCTTGATGGCATTGGCCTTTTCATGCAGCATTTTGTACAGCTTGCCCAAGAGATAATGCACATTGGCCTCGTCCGGTGCCATATCCTTGAGCACCTTCAGCTCCGCCAGGGCTTGCTTGAGTTCCGAGAGCTTCATCAACACCCGCGCCTTGCGGAACCGAGCCAGAACGGAATGAGGAGCCAGCCGGCATGCATTGCTATACTGCGTCAGGGCCCCTCGGGGGTTGTTCATTTTCTCCAAGACAAGCCCAATGCAGCAGATGAGCACCGCGTTCGTCGGGTTGATGTTGGCGGCAGCGCGGAAATGGGACTCGGCAAAGTCGAGCTTGCCCATCTTGTCATATACAGTACCCAATCCGTACCAGGCATTGTAATGGCGAGCGTCGGCCCCAATACCGCGCCGGTACGCGTCGAGCGCCTTGTCGTACTCTTCGTTCGCCACGTACTCGTGTCCCTGTAGCGTGAATCCGTAGGCAAACTGCGGATCCAACTGCGTCGCTCGCTTGAAGCACTTCAGGGCTTGGTCGTGGTCTCGTTGATGGGAAAAAGAGTTGCCAACCGCACACCATGCCTGAGGGGACAGACGGTCAATCTCCATCAGTTCGTGCGCCAGGTATGCCAACTCGACGTCATTCTTCAGATGCCACAGTACTGTCGAGTAGATCTCCATATCGTCCAGCCGTGACGGAGCCATCGACTTGACTCGCACAAAGTACTTTTCAGCCTCGGAATACATTGCTTGTTCATAGTACGCCCGTCCAATTTGCGCAAGAACCCAGGGGGTCTCCCGCTGGCCCTGAGATAAGCCGTTGAGGGTTTGAATGGCTTCAGTGCACCGATACCGCGTCAATGCCCAGTATCCACAAGCCAGTTTGGAAAATAGCTCCAGCAACCAATTCAGGGATTCTACGCATTTTGACCTTTCAAGTGAAGCCCCCCTCGAGGAGGAATGATGGGTTCCGTTCAGCCCCGATGTCCCTGACCGATGTTCCTTGCTCTCACTGTCGTGCACATCACCGATATGTTTTCGATTTCCGCTTACAACACGCCCAACCTGGGTGGTGGTGGTTGTAGTACGACCCTTCGTGCCGGTGGCCCTCACCTTTTTAAGTTCCCTGCCGTCCTTCGCGCCTAGCGCCGTACTGGAAAGCTTGCTGGTCGTCGGCTTAATTTGGTTGAAAAGCCGGACGCTGCGCCGCTGCGGTGCGCCAGGTTCCGAGGTAGGCGGTGCTGGATGAGCCACTTGGCCCGAAACTGTTCGTTTGCGATCCCCTACCCGATGCCCATGCATAACATCTTTCTCGTGTGACGCAGCCTGTCCATCCAGGTCGGCCCTGGTTCTTGTTCGGGGTCGAATGCCCGTGGGCTTCATTTTCGGTGGGGGGTCCACGGCATGGTCGGCGCTGATTGCTTGTATCGTCCTGTTTTTCCGGGCAGGAGCCAATGGGGGGTCCCACGAGGGCTCTGTGGTACCTGCGTGGGCGGCACGGACGTCGTCGGACTCACTGCTCTGACCGCCGGGCGTTTCTGTGCCATCGCGAGCCGCAGGTACTGCTGGGGTACCAGTCGAGGCCACGCTCACCGTGCTTCCGTTGAGCTTCTCCCACAGAGCGGAGCTTCCGTGCGTAGGAGCTGACTCGGGTCTAGACGTTGCAGTAGTGAATGGATCAACACTCGAGTTCAGCTTCGCTTGCGACTGCAAGGGGGCTCCTGCATGTGCGGTCTTTTCTAAGGGGGAATCCAGATCTTCATGCGCCGAGGATAATACCAAGGCTTGTAGTTCGGGGCTCATTTTGAAGATGTTCGCGACGCGCATATTGACTCCTTCGGAAAATCAGTGATGGAACCAGTCTGGCCGGAAACCAGCACTTACCAGTCTCACATAGCGCTAAGTAGGCATCCCACATGAACGGATTCAGCTTGAGCGCATCGGCGTAGCATTCTATAGCCTTCTCGGGCTGGCTATGCGCATGCCACAATTTCCCTTGTAGACATAGCACGGCCGGCGCATCCGGTAGGTGTTGTCTTCGCGATTCGCTATGTTTGTCTGGAACAAAGAACAGAACATGTCAGCCCTGGCCGCACGGCGACACACAAACTTCCCGCCCACTGGGAGTACACGCGATCAGATAAAGAGCGCCGGGTAATGCTTACTGAAGTTGTTCCTTGAGGTCCAAAGCCCTTTGCTTCGTTCCAACGCCGTAATTCCGTCCAGGTATCTCCCTAAGTCCAAACACGCCTGGGCAAACACATATGCGCAGCCAAGGTGTGTTCCTCTCGACCCAAAGTTTTTGCTGTAGTCGTATGCCGCCTTGACTTGACCGTTCTGCAGATAACACAAGGCGAGGAGGTATGAGGCTTCGGACGTTCTGGGCTCGTACGCATGCAAACGGCCGGCTAGGAAGAGCGCATTCCGGACGAGATTATTATCCAGGTGGTAGTATATCAGCTGTCGGAGCTGGCCCGATATATGGGAGGTTGACGGCGACATGGTGAAGTGCGACGCCCATTCACAGAGGGACAAAGGCCGATAAGCAGTTCGGGGAGGAGGTCAGGATAGGAGATGGGCGGTGGTCGAGCCCAGTGACGAAAGGACGGATGGGATAGCTAGGTGGGGAGGGTTGATCGAGGAAGGGCCCCCTCAGTACTCGGGGAGGAGGCGGGTGATGAGTCGTCAGATTAGATGTAGTAGTAACACTCAGAAGTGAGGTCTGAGGGGTGGCGCGCGATGAAAGGCTGGGTCCACAACACAGCGTACAGCGTAGCGGTTCTTTCACAGCATGGGGATGGGTGAAAAAAAGGAACAGTCAAGAATTCACAACAGCCACAACCCCAAGAGGGCCCACAATACGTAGCGCGACTCCCTGCCTATCCACTTGGAGAAGGTCTTCACAGTTGTGATCTCCCCCGCGGTTGCTAGGGGGGGTTGGTGTGTTGAGGGGCGAATGCGAAGGCGTGTCAGAGGGAGTGAGGAGTGAGGAGTGAGGAGTGAGAAGTGAGAGTGGATGACGTCCGGAGGACTCGTGATGCCCTTGAGATCCAGGGAAGGGGTCAGAGGGACGCAAATTGCATGTCGCGATCGACAGAGGCCAGGCACAAGAGCAAAGAAGCAAAGCACGCGAAGAGGAAGCCAAGCTAGCAGAGGCCGGGGGCGATGGGGTGGAGTACGACCGGGGGCGTCACGACGCCTTTCCTGGACCATGCGATGTTTTGGGAGCAACTGTGGCTGGTGGAGGCGCGACCGCCGCGGCTCCCGTTGTGGTGGGCAACGCCATTCCCTCTTCTGTCATTCACTCTCCCAGTAGATCATATCATGCAGCCTCGATTTCTCCTCCCCCTCTAATCCGTGCCCCTCTCCTTCCTACCCCAGTCAGCGATCAGCAGTACCTTTCCTTTCTATCCTCCGTCACCATGGCTCAGGTCCGTCCTCCCCGTCCACCCAGCCAGCCCAAAAAAGACCTCACCACTAATTCCCTCCCAAGAAAGCAGCCAAAACCCTCGCCGCGCGCAATGCCTCCCTCCTGACCCGCACGCACATCATCAGCGGCAGTCTCCATGCGCTATTCCTGATTCTCCACTGGCTCTTCAACCGCCCGCGTTCATTGACCCCGTACCTGGTCCTCGCCTGCCCGACCCTCCTCATCGAATTCTACCTGGAACGACTCGGACGGCCGACCTTCCACCCCGTCGATGGCTCGCTCCGCGCCCCCGGTGAGGATCTGGGCGCTGCGGGATTGACGGAGTACATGTGGGATATCCTGTATTGGACCTGGGGCTGCATCGGTGCGGTGTGCGTTTTCGGTGACCGTGCCTGGTGGCTGTGGGTCGTCGTGCCCTTGTACTCGGTTTGGCTGGCGTACACGACCTTCACAGGGATGAAGAGCGGTCTTGCTGGGCTGGGAGGTGGTGGTGGTGAGCAGTCGGAGCAGGCGGCTGCGGAGAGCAAGAGGCAGAAGAAGATGGAGAAGAGGGGCGGACAGCGGATGCAGTATCGGTGAATCTGCTGGGCGATGAAGGGGGGGGGGGGGTTCACTGTGGTGGGATACCGGGGATGGGGATGTGGGAGCTTGTACCTCCTTTCATGAGGAGGGAGGGAGCTATGTATAGTGGGGGTGCAAATTTAAACCCCTTACGGTGATGACGAGGACGAAGGATTGATTGCCAACGTGTGAATTTGAGCAGAGAAAAGCAACGCTTCTAATACGAACAAGACCGACCCAAGCGACCCAAGAACGAATAATCGTGGTCGGCCGTTACAGGATGGGTCATCATACAAACAAAAGCATCCAGGTAAGAAACAAAACTGAACGGGCGGAGGCAGAGAAACCCCCAATAATTCACCAGGCGGTGTCGTGGCGTACAATCGTAGGAACTATATGGGGAATAATCGAGGTCATGATCGATCAGAGATAGCAATCAAGTCGCGAACAAGAAAATTGGGATATCAATCATAACAATTGCAAGCAAAAGTCAGCTTCAAAACCGACGGGTTTCGCATCACAGCTCGTCTCCGGCATTGTCCTCGACCGCATCGGTGGAATCACTCGGGTCGCTTTCCGCGGCCGCGGAGGCAATGCTGCTGGCAGTAGACGCTAGACTGGCGTATTCGGCCTGGAGACTATTTGTAATAGCCTCAGCTTCATTCTCGCTGTCTTCGGTAATTGGTGGCTGTTCCTCATCGTTCTCCATGGAGTCTTCAGCAATTGATGCATCAGCATCATCACGAGCATCATCGATTTCCTCGGTTTCCTCGGTCTCATGGGAGGCGATTGACGGTTCATCCTCGGGGATGGGGCTAGGCGCACTGGGAGTATCGGCATCGGACACCAGAGCGTCTTCGGTGGCATCATCGAGCGTTGAGGAAGATGTGGGAGCCGGTCGTGGTGTTCCATAAATTGAGTACAGTTGATTCATGATCTCTTCGGCATAAGCAGAGTCTTTGCCGACAAGGAGCTCAGAGATAAGATTTTTGATAGCCTCCTGCTCGGCCTGACTGGAGACTCGTGGCTCCTTCTCGGAGACTTCCTCGTCAGGAACATTAGCTGCGGCTGCCCCCCAGGTGGCCTTGTTCGGTGCCTGCTCATCCCACGTGAAGTCCGCAGATGAGTCAATTGGTGAGGCCTGTTCCTCGTCTGCTGCCATGGTTTCACTGTCGCCATCCAGGTCATGCCCTTCATTTTCGACAGCATTACCTGCAGTATCAGATGCAAAGGTTGTCTCGTTTTTGGAAACCTCAGTGTCCATCGTCTCATCTGCCGATGAGTCCTCATCCACACTTGTTTCACGGATAGGCTTGGGCAGGAGCGGGGGAGGCTCGGATCTTGTATCGAAGTTATCGCTCACCTCTCTGGCGGCGATTTTCCATCTTCCAACGTCCCTTAGGCGGGTGAGCTCCTTTGCGGCCGTTTCGGCAACGTCCATCCCGCGGGACAGCACCTCGTCCACGGCTGCTCTCGCTTCTTCTAGCTTTGCATGCTGCGTTCCGAAATCACGGAACCCGTCTTTCCAATCTTCAAACTGGGCCTTCAATGCGTGGTATCTCGCCCAATCCTTGTACGTGATACCATCCATCCAAGCCCAGCGCATCCCTACTTCTTGGAGTCCCAAGTCGCGGACACTATCGAGAACATCAAGGGTGGCGTTGACTGCCGCATAGATACGTCGCATTATATCCTCCTCAAAGGAATTGCGCCATTCCCGAAGGGAGTGAGCACGGTCTCTAATGGCTACTGCGGCTTCTTTGACGATTCTCGATAGTTCATCCTTCGCGGCCTCTTCGGCTTTAGGGGAATCTTCGGATGGCAAAGACTCCGCCAGGTTGTTGATATGTTGCTTGAGGCCTGCCACCTCGTTGTCCACAACCTCCTTCAAAGCGTTCGCAAGGCTTTCTCCCTGCTCCTTTGTTCCAGTGGCCATGAAGTTGTCGATAATCTGCTGCAGACGTTCCTCCAAGTCCTCAAGTCCCTTTTCGGCAGCAAAAGCAAACTTTTCTTCCCAAATCTGCAGATCATTTTCAATGCTTTCACGCGCCTTCGCGGCTTGTTCTGTAGGGGACAATGTCGGCTGCGGCGGTGGAGTTACCTCTGCAGTGGAAGACGAGGTAACGTCATGCGCCTCATTCGCCTTTGGGGAGGAAAGGAACGAAGATGTTTCCTCGGATAAGCTTATCATAGAGGGTTAGTACACGTGACCTGTTTTTCGAGCGGAGGGAACTACCTATCAACTTCTTCCACAACATTTCGCAGTCGCTTTTCCTCCCGGTAGCTAGCCAGTCTCTCACCAATCTTGACGAGCTGGGGCTCTACATTTTCCCAATAAAGCCCGGTGACCCTGGGCCATAGGGACCCATGGATGAAATAGACCGCAGAAGACCAGGAGTTTTGCGCGTAGGGGAGGACCGTGGTGGTCAGCATACCCTGACCGGATGTATATGTCTTTCCGATGAAAGGTCTGTACTTTGCGCCAAAGGGAAGAAGGTAGTCCCTATAAACCGACTTGAGCGCACCGTTGGCTTTTTGGAAGGGGGGCGACAAGGCTGCCTCTACACGCTGAACATGGGGCTCAACCTCCGATTGATACAGGCCGTTAGCCTTGTCCTTGGCAGCTTGCAGATGCGGGACCACTCGGAGCTCCCACTGCTGCTGGCCATAAGACTGTGCTCTGTCCAAAGCGGGTGCTCCATATTTCTCGTAGCCCAACTTGACCACGTGCGCACTGGGTGTGTACACCTTCTCATTGAGGATGAGGACGTAGGGACGCGCCGTCTCGACGTAAGGCGCGCCATAGGCATTGTAATAGGGGATAACATGAGGCTCGACATAGGAGCGCGCCACTAGGTACGGCTTGCAAACTCGGGGTGACGAGTCCGTCAAGTCGGAGAGTTGAGACGGACAGCGAAGGAACGGCGTAATGAGAGCGTACCAAATGCACAGCCTGTTGATTTGGTCGGGGGGGTCAGAACCGTCTGGATGAAAGAAGCTGGCAGGGAAAAGAAGACCTACCGCACGACCAAGCCAACCGTCCACCGAATGGTTCCTCTCGTCCTTGGCTTTGGTTTCTTGTCACTGGCTCCGACAGGCCGGTCGGCGGCCTCCGGAACGCTGCCATTATTGGGAACGGCCATGGTCAATCCTTCCCCTGTCGACGGGGGGTGGCAGAAAACTTTCTCGAGCTCTTGCTGGAGTTGCTCGTCCACCTCGGCCAACATGGTACTCCGTAGACAGTGAAACCGTAGAAAAAGGGCTTAGATCATCGCCTGCACATTCCGACCGGTGGAGCAGCGATAGCACCTGGCCAACTAACCTGGTTGGGGATGGAAGACCGAGCAACTTTTTTTCCCTTTGCGGAATCACAAGCTCTCCCTCGAAGGCGGACGCGACGAGAAGATTCCGTCCCCGTCTTGGCGGCGACGACTTTTAGATGGGCGGCGGTGGTATGAAAGGAAATACAGAGTAGTTAACAGATGATGATATCTAATCGATCATGGAGGGGTCCGTCCCATTCCCTATATTACTATTTAACCCCTCCGGATGCTATAAGCACTAAGTACAGATACCAAGTAGAAAGTAATCCTCTGCCGATCCCCAACAGCACCAGACTGGATATCAAGGCAGTTCAGCAGCTGTGAGGTCATCGCCCTGGCGCACTGCTTGTGGCGCACAGCCTGACAGGACGTGACGCCCCGACCGGCCGCCGGTCGCACGGATCCGCCACGCCTGAGTCGTACTGTACCGTACCGCTTGTCCACGTGATCAGATCGCCCTCCGCCCGGCCTAGCTGAGTCAGCGGCTCAGCGTTGGGGAAGTCGACCACCGCAGCTCCGGCTTGTCCCTTTGGCACTCTCCCTTCGGTCTGCATTACTCGCCACATTCTCCTGTCGGTCAACTTATGCTTAGACCCTGACGGCTCTCACTTTCCGCGCAGTGATATCCCGAAAGCGCTGGGGGAACGACTAATTCTGAGACCTCTGCGCCGTTTCCCCTCCTCCGTCTTCTGTATCCTCGCCCATACTTTGCCCGTTCCCGCATCCGTGAACGGCTCTACGGGCCTCCGAATATGATACCTGACTGCCGCTACTGAGGACGCGAACCTCGTCGACTCGACTGTTGTTGGCCAGAATGGAGGGCCCCCGGGACGATTCCCGCGACTATGCGGCTTCAACGTCCTTTCCGGATCTGATGAACGATCCAGTCTACCAAACAAACCACAAAGGAAAGGAGCGGGAGTTTGAAGAACCAGATACATGTCGGATATGTCGCGGAGAGGGCACGGAGGAGGAACACCTCTTCTATCCTTGCAAATGCAGCGGGAGCATCAAGTTCGTTCATCAGGCATGCCTGGTGGAGTGGCTGTCCCACTCACAGAAGAAACATTGCGAGCTCTGCAAAACGCCTTTCCGCTTTACAAAGCTATACGATCCCAATATGCCGCACAGTCTCCCAGCGCCCCTCTTCCTCAGGCAGCTTATAATCCATTGTTTCCGCACGGTCGTCACATGGCTACGGTTCATTCTCGTCGCATTTGTCTGGCTCGGCTGGCTGCCATGGTCTATGAGAGCAATTTGGAGGGCCCTTTTCTGGCTGGCTGATGGCCGATGGTCTGGCGCTGACTCCTCTCCGCAACAGGCCGCGGCACATTTGGCTCAGGTTGTAGCGAATGGTACTACTTCCATTGACAGCGCAGCTGCTGCAACCACATTGCCGGGGTCAACTGGATTGCCAACAGTTCAGTCACCGGTATCATCAATGTTCGGTTTCTCGGCCGGTGAACCGCTGCTCCTCACGGTGATCAAAAAGGCTTTTTCGGCCCTTTTCTTTCCTGCAATGTCTGGCACAAGCTCCTCAGGCGTGAAACCCTCAAACATGACAACTTCATACAAGCCGCGGCGCCCATCGTGGCTTTCCGACGTGGAATTCTTAAACTCTTTGACCCCGTCCCCCACAATCAACAACATCCTTATTGACACGTTGGAAGGCCAGTTGATCACCCTCCTGGTGGTTATCTCTTTTATTTTGATCTTTCTCATCCGGGAATGGGTTGTACAGCAACAGCCAATGGCCAATATCGCTGAAGGGGAGCGGGAAGCGGCGGTTCAATTGATTGCCAATAATCGCCCTGTTGAACACCCCCAGGAGCCGGAGATTCCCTTTCACATTCAACCTTTGAATCAGGCTATGAATGCGGCACGAGATGAGGGTGTATATGAGCACGTCGAAGACGTTTCCGGTCGCGCGAACGAGGCCCAGTTTGGTTCATCGGCCGAATCGGACCCATTTCGCCTAGACACGTCGTTTCGGGATGATGCGTCTGCCAATTATAGTGATTCGGACGCCCAAGGACCCAGTGGGCGGCCCTTTTCCCGGCTTTACAGTGAAAGTGACGATGAGCGGCCATCCCCTGCAGCCAACGATGATTGGCCTGGTGTGGACATATTTAAAGACCTCTGGAAACGAGGCCAAGGTGAACCTGAGCAGATCCTGCGAATCGTGCGAGAGGAAGGTCGCGAGGAGGAGCTGGGCTGGATTGTCAGTGCCATGACAAAACTCCAAGAGAATCAAGAACACATGCGGCCTTCTTGGACACGTGAGTCGACTCTCCGACAGACTCCTGGTTCCGACCTTCCTGCCAATGACAGTGAGCCAGAAATTGACACAAACTCTACTCAACCACCTGTAACGGAGCCCTCATCGTCAGCAACAATTCGCCAGCCTTGGGATATCGCCACTGTGCCCCAATCTCTTGGAGCTGAAACGCACACTGATATACCACGACGTGACTCTGCCCCAGATAGTCTGCAGCCCTTCTTCCGCACTCTGGATGATCGCCAAGTGCCATCTAATGCCACCCCATCAGTCAACGAGGAGGTGTCTCCCGCCGACGATAGGGCTCAGCCAGATCACAGCCTCAGTGCATCTGCTCCCCCCAATGTCGATCCGTCAAACGCTGAAGAGCCTTCGGACAATGGCATATCCGCCACGGCACTAAATGACCAAGCGGCTGCAAATCCTCCGAAGAACTTTGTTGCCAGATTGTTCGATTGGTTCTGGGCTGATATAACTCCTAATGATCAGGGTCAAGATCGCCCCCATGATGACGACGAGCATCTGGTCGAGGACCCTGCATTGGAAGCCCCGTTTGTGCCGGTACAGAACAATAGGCGCCTTGAAGACGATGGTGCAGAAGATAACCAAGCAATCGCCGCGGACTTTGGGCTCGATGCGAACGATGCCGAGGCCGTAGAGGAAGGGGATGACCTGGAAGGCATTCTTGAACTCATCGGCATGCAGGGCCCAATCTTTGGTCTTTTGCAGAATGGCGTCTTCAGTGCACTCTTGATCTCGTTCACAGTGGCGGTTGGGATTTGGCTTCCTTATCTGTGGGGCAAGATAGCACTGGTACTACTAGCGAATCCGGTACAACTTGTCGTCGGCGTGCCAATGACTGCTGTATCTGTTTTCGCGGACGTCACATTGGACACACTCATCGGTAGCTTGGGCTATCTCATGTATTGGGTCAGTCTCATCTTCAAAGTGGTGTTAAGTCCGTTCGGTGCCTTTGCGCCATTGGGAGACTGGGTCCCGCAGACAAAGTCTGTAACCAGCGCTTCTCTGTCCCTTATCGATGCCAGCAGTAGCAGGCTGAGGAATGCTCTCCAGGCTTTCTTCGTCTTTCACGAATCGGATGTCCCCATGTTCTCGGTTCTCTCCCACCAAGCCCTCAAAACCCATCAAGAGCGCATCGCAACCTTAACTCAGTCTGTCTACACGGTGGGCAAGTTTATCTTGCATGACTTTCCACTCCGGATCATGTCCCATGGCATCGCAGGGACTTTGTTGACCAATAATGGAACGGTCGACATCACCAAAATACTAGTCCAGGCTCGCGACCAAGTTTACGGTTTAATCAACCAACTACTCTACTCCTCAAAGGGCTCGGATTGGATCATCACGAGCGTCAGAGGTGAGACCGCTGAAGGCGTCATCGTCGGTTATGACCTAGCCGTGTGGGACACCAAAGATCGTATCATTGCTATCCTGATGGGTTATGTGCTTGTATCGGCCCTCGGGATTCTCTACCTGCGCTTTACGAACCTGCTTTCCGGCGGAGAGCGTGGCCAGAGGGTTGAAGGTGTCGTCGCCGACATTCTTCACCAAGCAGGAGGAGTGATGAAAGTGATTCTCATCATCGGGATCGAAATGATAGTGTTCCCCCTCTACTGTGGTTCATTACTTGATGTTGCCCTGTTGCCCCTTTTTGAGAATGCCACGATTGCGTCTCGGCTAGAATTCACCTCCTCATCACCCCTCACTTCACTTTTCGTACATTGGTTCATCGGCACCTGCTACATGTTCCATTTCGCCCTTTTTGTCTCTATGTGCAGGAAGATCATGAGGAGCGGCGTTCTCTGTAAGTCTAACTTTGCGTATATTTCGGTGGCTTGTGCTAACATTTATAACCAGACTTCATTCGCGATCCGGATGATCCAACATTCCATCCTGTCCGTGACGTCCTAGAGCGCAACATCACGACACAACTGCGCAAGATTGCATTCAGTGCTCTTGTGTATGGCGCCCTCGTTATCGTCTGTCTTGGGGGTGTTGTCTGGGGCTTGTACTACGCGTTAGACGATGTGCTTCCTGTCCACTGGTCTGCTACTATCCCTGTGCTTGAGTTCCCCGTCGATTTATTATTCTACAACTTCGTTATGCCGCTGGCAATTCGGTCAATCAAACCATCCGACGGTTTGCACAATCTCTATGACTGGTGGTTCCACAAAGGAGCTCGATTCTTGCGCTTATCGGACTTCTTCTTTGGGGAGAGGCAGCGTGATGAAGAAGGCTACCATCACTGGCGAGCCTGGTGGGACATCCTGTCAGCGGCCAAAGGCGACCCAGAATACCCCGTCATCGATGAGCAACAGCAAGGCGATGCAAATGAGGAGGATTCCAAAACCTACTTTGTACGAGATGGGCGGTTTGTTCGGGCTCCTGCTTCGGACCAGGTCCGCATTCCCAAGGGCAGCCGAGTGTTCCTAGAGGTGACCGCGGCCAACAAGCGAGTTGATGGGGCTCTGGACCTAGACCAGGGCCTCCATGGCCGAGCCAATGACATGTTCAGAAAGGTCTACATTCCGCCATACTTCCGGGCCCGCATTGCGGCCTTCATCCTGTTGATATGGTTGTTTGCTGCTGCCAGCGGCGTAGGCATCACCGTTGTTCCTCTGATCATTGGCCGGAAGATGATGCTATCAGCCTTTCCCCAGCGGCCACTGAACGACGTATATGCCTTCTCCATGGGCATGTGTGTCGTCGGCACGGCTGCCTGCATTGTGATCTACTGCCGTGCTTTCTTCGCCGCGGTGAAAGACCGACTGAGCCCATACCTACAGTCGCCTCGACAGGCATGTGTCGGGGTCATGAGCATTCTAGTTGATGCTGTCCAGCTCATCTATGTTCTCACATCCTTCTCCGTCCTTCTGCCGTCCTTGTTTGCTCTGATCGTGGAACTCTATATCCTGGTTCCAGTGCACACGTATGTCGGCGGACCCCAAGCACACGTCATCCACTTCATACAAGACTGGACCCTCGGGGTACTGTATGTCCAGATGGCCGTCAAGTTTGTATTGTGGAATTCCGGTTCTCGGCCAGCGGCCGCCCTCAACGCTATTTTCCGGGAGGGTTGGTTCAAGCCCAATGCAATGCTCACCACCCGGGCATTGCTACTACCGGTTACGTTGGTTGCCACGATTGCGGTGTTGGTGCCACTCTCGCTTGGGTTCACACTGAACTCGACGGTGTTCTACTCCACTCCCGACGTGCACGCCAAGGTATATCGCTATGCCTACCCGGCGACTTTGGTGATCAGCCTGATCGGCTGGATCATCTATCTGGTGCAGCGTCAGGTGGAGATCTGGAGAGTCAACATCCGGGATGATGTCTACCTGATCGGTGAACGACTGCACAACTTCCGCGAGAAACGGGCTCGAGATGTCGGTGTGCCTCCTCGAGTCATCACGGGATAGTGGACAGTCACCTGACGGAGGACGCGGGGTGGTCCACCGGTAGCAACCCGTGAAGGGCGCGTTTTAGCTTTTTGCTCTCTGTAAATCAGTTGCAGCCTCTGAAATAGACCTTTTAACTTTTTTGTTTCACTTGACCCGACGTGACACGGGGTATGCTGTGTTGTACTCGCTACACAGGGCGGCTGCCTGATGGCGGACTATAACTGTCATGGATGGCCGGAATCGACCGAGCAACAGGACCGTAGGACGGGGAGTAGAATACTGTAAATTGGCAGTAACAAGTAACCCTAATAGCGGGTCGTGTGGGCAGACTAGCCAGTGGATATGAAGATCTACGTGTATCTGGGAGGGTCCAATGTATGTATCAAGTTTGCAGGGCGTAAAAGTAGGCACCATCTTAACTCTCGATCAATCAGACTAGGCAGACATGCCAGAAAGTGCCTGCCTGGCCTGCGAGGGGAGAATTACCCGTCAATACGGCGGTCGAAAGACGGTTAATTACGCATCTGCAGGAAATTGGCGGCGGCACCCGCCCCGTGGTTAGTCATCCTGCAGGATACCCCTCGTGCACGTGCCGACGAGGGGAGCGCGGGCCAATCAGGACCCGCCGCGGTGGATCGTCGAAATGGCGGCTGCCTGCCGCCCACGGCGCCAAGCCCGAAGCGGCTAGTGGCGGTACGTTGCTTGCGAACTGTGGCTTGGCGCGGGTGAGGCTTTGCGGGCACTCGCCACTCCCTATTGGTTAGGCAACAGGATTCCCACCTGCACCTACTCTTATTCTTATTCTTAGCCCTTCGCGCTCACGGACGGGCGAAACACCGCCGTCAACACTAAACCACCTCACTACCATCGACCAACGTCCACCTCTTCCTCCCTCCCTCCCTTCTCCCTTCTCCCTTCCCGCACTAGAGGCTGCGATAACTCCTCCCCTGGCCAGACAATGTCTCGCCTCTGCTAGCCGCCCTCTTCGATCTCCGGATGCCCTGATCCCCCCCGATACCCCCCCGATACCCCCCGAATACCCGCTCGCTTACCCTCTCTTGTCTCTCTCTCTCTCTGTGTCTGATTCCTCCGGACTCTACGCGCCAAGATGTCCGTCCTCCGCCATCACGGGGGTGCCTACCTCCAACGGCGCCTCACCAAAATGTACACCGATACCAAGACCTCCTGCGAGAGCGTCACCACCGCCACCATCGCCGTCGATGATCCCGAATTGGTCACCCTGCATCGAAGCTTCAAGACCCAGCGGGACAGATTGCTCGCCTGGGGCCTGGACTGGAGCGACGCCAGTGCCGCCCAGCCGAATGATATCGATGAATCCTTGACCCAGGCCGGCTACAGCGATGTCGTCGAGAGTGTCATGTCCTCCATCCAAGTGCTGCTCAACGAGGCGGAAAGTATACAGCACGGCGGTGCCTCCGATCTGCCGCCGAAGGGCGGGAATCCAGATGCCCCCAAGGGCAGTCTCACTAACCTCCCCGTCAAGTCGCACTGGACCAGTGACGAGATCAGTCGGTCCAAGACCCTTCTAGCCGACCTGGAGGCCTGCATCGACACTCTTTACGACCTATCGCGCTCCCGCCGCAATATGAATGCCAGCATGACCGCTGGCGGGCAGCTGGCGCCTAAGGGCCGATCTCGGCCTGGCGCGGCCACAGACTACTCCATATTGGACTCGAAACCCTCCTTTGACCAGAACCAGTTCGATCTCGCACCATCGCCCACCCGCAATGTGGCCAACCAAGCTCGGCCAGAAAAGATGCCCTCGGGCAAGTTCTCGCTCACTTTGAAAACATATGTCATTGATCGCTCTGCACTGCAGCTCTCGGGCTCTTTGCAGGACAACGACCCGCCCCCGTATGAACAGGTCGCTGCTTCCACTAACTCCCGGGCCATTGGCCGCATGAGAACATCCGCGTCGCCTTTTCTCCACGGCACGAAAGATTCCACGGCCACTATCTTGGTCGAATACACCCCCATGATGCTCGAAGCGTCTGGGAACGCCCCGACCCCCGAGACGAAACGGCTTGACCACGTGCAGAAGGCGCTCGAGCAACTGGTTCAGAATGCGCGAGTCTCCCACCTGGGCCTTTTGAAATTCCTGGGCTATTATATCGACATGCCAAACTCTCGCTATGCTTTCGTGTATCAGATGCCTGTCGACTACTTCCCTTTCCTTCTTAACCCCTCCGACCTTTTGAACGGACTGAAGCCAAAGCCTCTGGTCTCTTTGTTCCAAGCTGGCGATGACTATCACATTCCTAATCTTGAGACTCGTTTCCGCTTGGCCTACGACCTTGTAATGGCCGTCTTGCAGCTCCGGAGTCAGAATCTTGTGCACGGAAATATCAACAGCAGCAACGTTCTTATCTTCCCCGGTTCAACGAACTCGAACAGCAACGAAGTCGGACTCACGGAGAACTTGCGCCGGCCATACTTGACGTCCTTTGCCCAGTTCTCTGGAAACGGACCGTCACCCGAGCCTCTGTCTTCCAGTATGTATCGTCACCCTGACGACAAGCGATCGATGGAAGATGATGCTGCCTGGGCTTATGACCTTTATTCACTTGGTCTGGTGCTACTCGAAATTGGGCTCTGGAATCCGATCAGTCGCATTTGGAAGATGAAGTACACCAACTCCATGTTCAAGCAAAGGATTGAGAATGTCTACCTGCAGAAACTGGGCCCCAAGTGCGGTAGTGCATATCTTCATGTGGTTCAGCTGTGCTTGGACGCCCCGAACTTTCATCTTTCAACCCAGCCATTCGACGACCTCAACCTTCGGGTACCGCAGTCTTTTCACTATCCAGTCCTCGACCTCTCGGCCCCGGACGGTATCTTCTCATTCTCGATGAACTTCCTCTACACGATGTCCAAGATCATCTGGTCCTGCTGCAGGATAGACATGTTCTCTGCCCCAGGTGCTGAGGAGCTGGACGATTGTCTCCCTCTTGCTCTCGTTCCCGGCCTGGAACCAGCTGCGATGAAAGAGCCGGTCAGTGAGTACAAGCCTGCGCCAAAACCTGTCAGATCATTCCCGGAGCCATTCGCCACAATCCCTACGCCCGAAATGAAATTACTGCGTGACAAGATAGGCGTGGACGACCGTCGCGTGCGAAAGCGGACTTGCAAGAAGCTTTCAAACGTGGAGATACCCCAGGACCATCTGAACAAGTGGAACTTTCAGATGCTCCCGCGTCTGAGAAAGCTCCTCCAGAAGATTCTGAAGGACTCGTCCGAATCGTGCAGTGTGACACTGATGATGACTGGTGACACTGTCGACGACGCCAAGACGACCGTCTGCGTTACCTGCGCAAGCGCGAAAAAGGTCAGGGCGGCTCTGAAAAAGTACTTCGTTCTCGACAGCGAGGAGTGGGATCTCCTCGTGCTTCGTGGGGATGTGCAGCGATCAAAAGTCCCACGAAAGAAACGCCGCCGGCCGGCAATGACTGAGGGCCAGGGTTCCGACGCACCCCCATTTGCCCAGCATGATCCGAACCCCTGTTACCAGCCACGGCCGCTATGCGGGGCTTCCATTGGCGCTTTTATGAACGAGGAGCATCTGCCCCCTGTGTCTTACGGTGGCGCTATCCTGGTAGATGGCATGCCGTATGGCATGACGGTGCACCATATGCTGGAATCGCCAAGTGATGAGGAGGATGCGGATGACAACGATACCGGTGGCCCTCTACGGTCTGCTGGGAACTGGCCTCGAGGGACAGCAGCGCCTCCTCAGAACCCAGACTACATGTATTCTTGGCGCGATGAAGGCCAGTCGGACCTTGCCTCGGACCCTGATCTCGAATTTGAGGTTTCGGAGGACGAAGACGCCGACGACGTCTCTCTATCGCCTAGCCTCGATGGAAATTTCGACGACTCGTATCTGTCTGAAGGCTACTCTTCCGATGAGGACGGAGGGAATGGAGATGATGATGCTGCGTCGATAGGCGACACTCCCGGCATTGACCCTGAGGACGAGCCCCCGTTGTTTGTGTGCCAGCCGGCTATTGATGACGTTGACGAGAACTTCTTCCCATGCCCGGAGGATCGCGACGACGAACACCTTGCCTCGCATTCCTTCGGGTACGTGCATGCATCGTCGGGCGTTAGGCGCTGGACGCGAAAGGGCCTTCTACACGAGATCGACTGGGCGTTGATCAAGATCAACGACGACCGCATCGATGTGCGCAACATCGTCTACGACAAGTCAGCCCTTAGCAGGCCAGACCCTTACCGGCAAAGACAGACCGAGACGATATTCCTCAACAACATTGCCCGACTCGAAGACCTGGGAGGGATCAAGGTCCACTGCTGTGGACGAACCAGCGGCCTGCAAACGGGGCAGATCTCGCGGGCGATGACTCTCGTCAAACTGCACGGCCGCCAAACCTTCTCGACCAGCTTCTGCGTCGAGGGGAACTTCGGAGGTAAGTGAGTGCTGACTCGTCTGCATTACATGCCTGTTCCATTCCATCCCAGAGCCCCCGCTGACCTTCTTCTCTCTGTCACATAGTCCCCGGCGACTCCGGAGCATGGGTCTTCGAAAAGTCCAGCGGCCGCGTGTGCGGCCACGTCCTGGCCTGGTCCGAGAAAACGCACACGGCCTACATCGCCCCCATGGAGATCCTTCTCGACGACATCGCCCGCACGCTCAACGCCTCCGTCGTCGCTCTGCCCGGCAGCCCGGATGAGTCCGCGCGCGCCTCCTACTCGATGCATCGTCCGGCTCCGTCCATGGATCCCCCCTACCAGAACACGAGATACCACACCCCGAGACCCCTGCGTGGTCACGTCCCCGTCGATATCAACCAACTTCGCATCGATGACCCCGTCCACTCCAGTCGCGGGTCCAGAGAGGTCTCGACTCCATACCGCGGGTTACCGCCTATTCTCACCCCGCCTAGAAGCCTGGAAAGACAACTTGCTTAGCCTTGCCCGTCACTTGACGAGACCAGGCGAGGCTGGTTTGCTTCACTCCACACCACACCACACAAGACAACCCACTACCTACTACCCATCCACCTCTCCACCTCTCCACCTCCCTACCTCCCCCCCTACCCACATTTTCATTACTATTACTATTCCCCCTCCCCATTGTCATTCCTTAATACTCCCTCTCTCGCTTTGACGTTTCCTATGATGATTTTCCACGAGTGGCTAAGACATAATACCCCCTTTTGTATCTGTTATTTTCTTTTTTTTTTCGGTGTTTGCCGTCTATCTATCTAGCTAGCTAGCTAGCTAGCTATCGGGTCTGATCACGGCAGGGCGGCTGGCGGTTGACTACTACTTACTTACTCACTTAGTCCTCATTCTTATTATATACCATACTCCATACCCGCATACAGATACACATATCCGTGTGTTTCCTCTGATCTATCTATCTATCTATCTATCTATCTACTATTTATCTATCCATCGATCTATAATCTATCTAAATCTGGAACTATGTAGGTACTGTGGTGGACATCACTTATCTTGGTTCAGCTATGCTGGTTTGATCTGAATGTGTGTATTACCTGTTAGTCAGGAAGTAAGTAAGTGGTGAGTGAGTGAGTAATTGGTGAGTAAGTAAGTAACAAAGTACCAACCAAACCACATACATACATACATACACAATCAACCACCACCACCACCACCACTACCTACCTACTATATTTCTACTTCACCAAGTAATGCACCCACATCTCCCAACACAAGCTCCTTACGTACCTGCTCTTTTCCTGCCACACCACACCACACCACACCACATCACACCAAGATATACTACCAACTAGGCAGCTAAATACTATATACTCCGTATTCGATATATGATATATGACAAGGTATGGAAGGTGTTGCGCTTATGCTTATAGGCATGCAGTCATATGATATGATATGAAAGACACATGCATGAAGTCTAATCGAACAAGTAGTTACTCTGGAAGATTACTTCCTTCCAGTCTGTTTATTGGATTATACCTACCTAACCTACCTACCTTACCTACCTTGTGCCTGTCTGCCATATACGTATTTGTTTGATTATAGTGTATGACACAGGTCAGGGGGGTATGAAACCAAAACAAGATATACCTACTAACAACAATGCGTGTTCTTTGCATGGGTGTTTTGGATGTCTTCAGGCTGGGTATGTAAGGTATGTATTATTTTGGTGTAATACAATACATGCCTAGCCGGGGGGTTGGACATGCTGGATGAATCTGGACTAAGTCATCACTCAAATCTCACTGCCTGCCTTGTATTTATCGGGTTATCCCTGCAAAAGAGCCATGCATCCACCCGTCTGTTCTTAAAACCCCAATTAAATGTGATGCGGCACTACTCAGGACACAGGCTACAGATTACAATTCACTCAAGATAAAAGTATTTGAACCATTTGCATTGCAAAGGATAGGAAAAATGCCAGATAAGATACAGAACAGGACAGAACAGAACCATGCTTAATGACAAACAGAACCAGGCGTTACCGACGTTATATGCAGCGCATCAATCAATGAAAATCAAGAACAGCCATGCTAATCCGTGTGCCCGTTGACCCTAACACAACCGAGATCAAACCCAAAACTGCAGGATGCTGTTTCCTCCCAGAGAACGATGCCAAAGGTGGCTATATCAATGTGTTGAAGTGAGAATGAAAAACGAGTGTAAAAATATTGTTCATGGGGCTTTTGATTAAAGCTCCCTTAGTTGGAAGACAGGAACTTGAGGACGGCCTCCTTCTCCTCCACGGGAAGGACGCTCAGGACCTGCTGGACACCCTTAAGGGCACCGTCCCGGTTGTTGATGAGCAATTGGGCGACATCGGTGGCAATGCTCTCAGCCTTGAGCGCATCAACCTTGGTCTGGATCGCCTTCTTGTTCTCCTCATACCAGGTGGCCACGCGGCGGTCATCGTGCTCCAACTCCTCCTCGAGGAAGCCGGTCCAACCGTGCAGAGTGCGGAGGTGCACAGCGCGGGGAGATTCGGTCGATGCGGGAGCGCTGGCAGGGGTAGCAGGGATGGCAACAGCGCCGTCACGAGCAGAAGGGTTGGGAGCAGCAGTAACCATGCGCTTGACGATGAGCTCCTCACTGAGACGGCGGCGCAGACGCCAGTAGAAGAAGCGACGGGCGTTCTTCCAGGTGAGCGCCTGGCGGATGGTGTTCTTGGCCTGCATGCGGCCAGCGCGGTCGTGGAGATCAGCAAACTGCAGAGCAATCTGCAAGTAGACGGGCAGAAGCTGCTCCTCACGGGCAGCCATCTTGGCCTTGATATCCGACAGCTGGTCCTTGCTGAGGGAGGTGTCCTCGAGAGAGCGGCGGAGCTCGCCATAAGTGGCGTCCAGACGAGCCATGGTGTCGAGCTGCTTGTCACGGCGGTACTTGATGTTGACGATACCCTCGGGCTCGAGAACACCACCACGGGCCTCCTCATCAGCGTACATCTCCATCTGATCCGGGTTGATGGTAGGATCGATGACGACCCAGGAACCACCACGGAGTTCACCGTGAGGGGGGATGTAGACGAAGATGGGCTGCTCGTACTTGACGAGGGCATCGACGATGTAGGAACCGTACTTGAGAACCTCGTTGTACATGTCACGCTGACCTCCAGAGAAACCTCTCCAGTTCGCCAAGATCATCACAGGCAGCTGCTCACCGTTGTTGAAATCACGGAGCGCCTGAGCGGTCTTGAAGGCGGAGTTGGGGTACCACACACCACCAGCCTCGGTGCTGACCATTTCCATAGAGTCGGGGTTGGCAGGGTCGGCAGGAGTGACGTTCTCAACGGAGCGAGTCTCAACGGCAATCACACCCATGGGGATGCCACCAAGTCTGGCGCGACCAACAACCACGGTACGAGCCCATCCACCGAGAGCCTCCTCAAAGGAACCAGTGTCGAACAGTCCAGGAAGGAAGCCTTCCTCGTCCTCCTTACCGGCAATGAGCCAGCGGGGATCGTAAGGCTGCTTGTTGGGCGGGTAGTAAGCCACGTCGCGATCCCAGGTGTCCGACCAGGGCCGGATGGGGATCGGTGCGCCCTTCCTGTCGGGAACGAAGGACATCCACTCAACAATCTTCTGCACACCCTCGAAGTCGTCAGTAGCGGTCATGTGAGACACACCGTTTCTGTACATGATCTGGGTGCCACCAAGCTGCAGGTTGGAGGTGTACACCTCCCGGCCCAGGAGCTTGTTGATGGCCGGGGCACCAGTGAGGATGATCGGCTGGCCTTCGACTTGGATGGCTCTGTGACCGAGACGGACAAGGTAGGCACCAATACCAACGGAACGGCAAGTGACCAGGGTGATGGTGAAGATGTCTTCATAGGCCTTGGAGGTAGCACCGGCAATGAGACCGGAGCCCTTCAAGCACTCAACACCCAGACCATCGCGGGCACCAATGACGGTGGTGATCTTGTGGCGCTCTTCGCCCTCATCGTTGATCAACTCAGTGATGACCTCCTTCTTGCCGCTGGCATCCAACTTCTGCTTGACCTCGGGAGTAAAGTACAGGTACTTGAATCCAGCCTCGGGCCTCTCGGCGTCGTTCCAGGCGACGGAGAAGTAGGGGATCAGCTCATCAGCCATACCGATACGAGCACCAGAGTTGGCAGAAAGGTAGATGCGAGGGATGCCGAGCTTCCGGGCCAGCTCAGTGCACTTGTGGAAGAACTTGTCTTCCTGAGGACCGAAAGAACCGATCTGGAAGGTGATGTCGTTGGCAACAATGATGAGCCGTCTGCCACGGGGGTACTCGGGAGTACGAGCGGTGACGATCCAACCAACCATACCGTGGGTGTTGGTGCCGGGGCCTCTGGAGATCTCGACCAGGTTGTCGGAGTCATCGAGGACAAGCTCGCTGTAGTCGATGCATTCGCCAACAGGGGGACGCTGGTCGGCAAGGGACGGGATCTTGGCAGTCGCCCGGGTCCAGCTGTTCTGGAAGGCCTGTCTGAACAGCTCGGGGAAGTCGTACACGTACTGAGTACCCATGAGGTGCGCCTTGTAACGCTTAGGCTGCAGCCACTCCTTGGTCGGGTAAGGAGTCGAGACCGGACGCAAGTGCATAGAGCCGAGCTTGTTGTTGCCACCGTCAATGCTGTGGAAGATCCACTCGCCCTTCTCGGACTTCTTCTCGATGTACAGCTCCACCTGGATGATGAATCCGTAGGTGTTGGTGATCATCACACGCAGAGGGTAGGGGAGGCCGGTGGCAGGGTCGGTGCACAGGATGCGGATCTCAGCACCGGTGACACGAAGTCTCCAGAGGCGGCGACCGAAGCGCTCCAAGAAACCGTTCAGGGCCTGCTCCACATCCTTGGGCTGCAGGTTGAAAACAGGAGAGAAGTTGATGAAGATGTGGTTCAAATCGGAGTTGTTGTTGCCAATAATCTCCAGGGCGTCAAGAATGTCGTTCATAAGACGATCGGCCTCGGAAATCAGGTACTCCGCGGTGGGGATATCATCACGGAGGCGGCCGGCACGAACAACAGACCGGATGAAGTAACGCTTGTCCACAGCCTTGTCGTTCTCGGGGCCCTTTCCAATGGCCTCGTAAACGTGGATGTTTCTGTTCTCAGTGAAGACAGGCTTGATCTTGAACTTAGACAGACGGCCGAGCTCCAGCTGGAAGGCAAGGGCAGGCTCGCTGTGACGGATACTCTCGTCTTCCTCGTAGGCGGGTCCTCTGAAAGTGAAGTATCCGGGGTAGATACCGTTCTTTCCGCAGATGAAAGTGACCCGGCGGACGCGACGAGCAAGCAGCTCTTCCTTGACGTCGGCAAGCATTCCGTTGATCTGCTGGACAATCTGGCTGTCATCGAGGTCCTCCACGTCGCGAATAGCGATGTTCAGGACACCGGTAAGCTCACTCTCGTTCTCAACCTTAGGAGCAGGGCGACGCTTGCCCTCCAGGCTGGCAAGGAGGCCATTGTCAGTGGGCTTCTTCTTCGAACCAGCACGAGGGAAAGCCTCCAAGGCTCTGGGAAGGTACTCCTCGGCGTCCTCGAGGTACTGCACGGGGAAGATAACACCCTTTCTCATCGTCTCGCTGGCGTTGTCACCAATGAAGTAAGACATGTCACTGATGGAGTTGATCCTCTTGAAGGGGTTCATCTCGGCGGTCGGCGTGCTAGGGGTAGACGGGTCGGTCGAGTTGATGGAGCCAAACTCAGGCTGTCCGAGCTTGTCGAGGGTAAAGTCCCAAGACAGGAGAGGAGGCTCACCAGCCTGGGTGTACTGGATACCCTTCAGGGTGTAGGCACGGTAAGCGCGGCGCACGTAGACCTCGAGAGCAGCCAAGGTGACCCAGGGGTCCTGGTGGACGAAGAATCGGGGCAGCACGTCGAAGACAGTGTACTTCGAGTCCACAACCTCCTTCAGCACAGAGAATTCGGGCTCACGGTGGTCCCAGCCGGTCTCACCGTAACGAGATTCCACAACCGAAGAGCGCAGGATCAGCTCCATCTGAGACAGACGCTCCTCCAGTGAGGGAAGGGCACACTGGATGAGAAGCTCACGGGCCTTGAGAGTGACCTTGGCAACAGCGCGAGACTCCAGCTCGGTCAGCTTCTTCAGGATGGGCTTAAAGTGTTTGGCAACATTGCCAACACCCGGCTGGTTGGGCCGGTACATAGCCAGGATGGCGAGAATCAGGTTGTTCTTGGCACCGACGCGGCTGTGGGAAAGCACGGTCTGAACAACGGGAGTGATGTCTTCCTTGTTCTCTTCACGGAGCTTCAGGATGGCGTCCTCGTCCCGGAAGTTGCGTCCAGCGAACAGCGCCTCCACCTCGTAGTACTGCTCCAAGAGTCCGATGAAGACATCGAACTCATGGGCCTTCAATCCCTCCAGGTACTTGTTGATGACTTCCGTCAGAGGGAGAAGAGTGGTCTTGAGGATCTCGCCGTCGGCAGGGTTGACATTCTCCTCAATGAAGCGCTGGATGGTCTTCTGGAGCTGCTTGGCGGGGAACTCGGCCTTACGAGCGCGAGCGCGGTCGACAACGTTCTGGAGCTGGCTGTCGAGCTTCTGGGGCATACGGGAGTGCAGAGCAGATGACTGAGCATTCCACTCACCGTAGGGAAGATCAGGGTTGCGAAGAACCTCGAGGAGCTCCTTCAGGGTCGCATTCATGATGACCTGGTTGTCGTATCCCTTCAAGATGTTCTCAAGGATGCTGTGCAAGAGGGAGAACCTCTGGGGAGGCTTGCTACCCACAACCTGAGGGGCACCGATTTCAGGGAGCTGACCGGTGAAAGGCTGGGCATGCTTCACGCGGGACGGGTCATCCAGGGCGAGAATACCAAGGATGTCACCAGCCTCCAGGGTAGCACCGGGCTGCTTGATAAGCTGGACGATACCATCCTCCTGAGCAATCAGGGGCATGTACATCTTCATGACCTCGACTTCAGCGAAGGGCTGGCCAGCCTTGACATGTTCGCCGTTCTCCACGGTGAACTTGACCAGCTTACCAGGGGAAGGAGTACGCAGCTGAGTCGGGTCGTTCTCTTGCTCGAGCAGGCAGGTCTTGCCGTCCACGCTGAGGCGGGTGGCAGCAGGCTCCTCCTTCCAGTACACGTTGTGACTGCGGCCGTTCAGCAGGACCAACAGGCCACCGTCAGCCAGCGCGCGCACGCCCACAGAGCACTTGGAACCGTTGATGAACATGTGGTAGCTGTCCACACTGGCCCGAGTGGCGGTGAACTTGTACCGCTGGCCTTCGTAGATGAAGTCCACGGGGAAAACCGTCTTCAAGACGTCCTTCGAGGGTACCTGACCCTTCTCCAGTCCCTTGCGGTACTCCTCGACACCGGCCTCGCTAGCCTGGTGCGCCTTGGTCACCGCTCCACAGAGAACAGCAACAATAGTGTCAGGGCGCTCCGCGGTCAGCTTGTTGGAGATCAGCTGGTCCAGCCACCCGGTGGTGATCGTGTTGTCTTCGAACGCCGGAGTCTCGAGCAGCTTGATCAGGTACTCGACAGTCGTGCGGAAATCACCACGGATGCTCAGTTCCTTCAACGCAATGACCATGTGCTTCCGAGAGGCCGAACGGTTCTCACCGTAGGCGAAGATGTGACCGAATTGACTGTCGGAGAAGCTGTGGATACCACCAGCAGTACCAACCGAGAAGTAACCCCAAACGTTGGAGGAACTACGGAAGTTCAGCTCGTGCATGGTACCGCTAGAGGGCTTGAAACCCTCGCCGGGGTCCTCGGAAGTGATACGGCACGCAGTGGTGTGTCCCTTGGGCTGAGGACGGCGCTGGGTCTGGAAGCTCTCCTCGTTGGAGAAGTCAAAGTCGATCTCCGAGGCGTTGTTGGGGTCGACACCGTAGAGCAGACGAATGTCGCGGATGCGGTGCAAGGGAATACCCATGGCAATCTGGAGCTGGGCGGCGGGCAGGTTAACTCCCGACACCATTTCAGTCGTGGGATGCTCGACCTGGAGACGGGGGTTCAGTTCCAGGAAGTAGAACTTGTCATCGGCGTGCGAGTACAGGTACTCAACGGTACCAGCGGAGACATAACCGACCAGCCTACCCAGGCTCACGGCAGCACGCTCCATGGCCTGGAAGGTCACTGGCTTGGCGATCGTGACCGGCGCTTCCTCAATGATCTTCTGGTGACGACGTTGAACGGAGCAGTCACGGCCAAAGAGGGAGATGTTGTTACCGTACTGATCGGCCAGCAGCTGGACTTCCAAGTGACGGGCGTTACCGGCGAGCTTCATGATAAAGATGGGGGAACCGGGGATCTCGTTGGCAGCGGCATTGTACAAGCTGACGAACTCCTCCTCGTTCTCCACCTTACGGATACCCTTACCACCACCACCCTCGGAAGCCTTGATCATGACGGGGAAGCCAATTTCCTTGGCCTTCTCCAGACCCTCTTCCGGCGAGAAGGTGCAACCCTTGTTGTAGATCTCGTCGTCGACCGTCACAATGCCATGCTCGTCCACCCTCACATCGTCCACACCCGTTCCAGACCATGGGATACAAGGGACACCAGCATGCTGCGCCACAATTGTCGAGGAGATCTTGTCACCGAGCGAGCGCATCGCCGATGCGGGGGGTCCGATGAAGATGATCTTCTTCGGCGAGGCGGCCAGGGATTCGGGTAACCGGGGGTTTTCCGAGGCGTGACCCCAACCGGCCCACACGGCATGCACGTCCATGCGCTCAGCGACATCGACGATCAGGTCGACGTTGGCGTAGTTGTTGTTATTCGTGCCTCCCGGAACCTGATTTGACGGTCAGCTAACATTTCGGCCCGCAAGTGGCTGCTTGACCCGATAGCACCTACCTCAACATATTGGTCTGCCATGCGAATGTAGTCCGCGTTTGCCCGCAGATCTTCTGGCGTGGCCATCACTGTGAATTGGATGGCACGCTCGTTGCCAAACGTCTCGTAGGCCCATTTCCGGACGGAGCGAATCTCCTTGACGGCAGCGATACCGTTGTTGGCGATCAGAACCTAATATCCCGTTAGACCGCCGCTGTACCGTGCCACGCCATGGTTCTCCGCAAACTCACCGAGCTGATGACGGAGTGACCTTCGTGCTTGGCCACGAAGTCCTTGACGCTGCTTGGCGGGGCGGCATCGAGGTGGTTACCACCGATAAAATGTGAGGGGATGTCTTGTTTGGCAGCTCGCGAGCTGCCGTGGCCGTTACTGGTTCCGTTGGGGGCGCCCATGATGTAGAATTTGTGATTAGGTATTATAGGAATCCCATGCGATAGATGCAAGTGAGGTATTCAAGAGAATCGAACTAGAAGTCGGAAGAGGCGTCGGCGGAACAGGAGAGGGCGCAGGAATTGCCCGTGGGGTGAGAGTTCACGGGGAGAGAGATGTGATGGAATGGAGGCGAAAGAGAGAGAATTAGGCCCTCCGGGATCTGAGAATGGCGATCGTCGGGGAGAGAGGAGGGAGGGCAGAGATAAGACACGGAGGAATATCTATTCCTGGGGCTGCAATCGAGCGAGGGAGGGTTAGATCACGCAAGGCACACGGCAGGGCAGTATATTTGAGGTGGGATTGAGGCGGGCCAGCATGAGCATGACCCAGGACCGCTGAATCCAGAGGGATTTATGGGATTGTAGCGGAAGGAGGGACCTGGGGAGGGACGGACTTACTGCGACGACCTGGGAGCAGCCGAGCAGGAAGGGCAATGGCAGAGGGAGGGAGTAATGGGAGTGAGGACGAGGTCGACGGGGGGGGGGGAAGGAGAGGGAAAAGAAGAGAAATATGAAGGGCGCGCGAAAGAAAACTGGACCTCCGGTGGTTTCTTGCTTGTTCGGGGACCAGCTCAGCGAGATGGACGGAGTATAACGCTGGAACCGGTAAATGGCCAGTATGGAAAAATACGCGGAGGAGGTTCACAAAAAAAAAAAAACCCTCTCTAACTCCGTGAGTCCGTACAGAGAAAGTACAGGGTGCGGCGCAAGAGAACGGGCCTAATGGCCCGCGCCCAGTGAGAAGGCGCGATCCCCCCCAACTAGCGGGACGGGCTTGTTGGGCCCATGACGTCGGGCTTCCCACCACTTTTGCTCCAGCATTTGTCGGGTCAACAATCCGCCCCAGGCCAATCACCGCCCCCGACCACGGCCCCCTTTCAAGGTCCATGGCACTTCATGCGTTACAGCTTCCAGCGTCTGGTGTAGGAGATTCTGAACTATGTTCGCGGTCTGGCCGTGGTTTCGTGTCAGCCTGGACGCATCTACTTTGGCTGCCGAGGATGGGAAGTAAGGAATAGATAGGCACGGTACATGGTCACTTGTACTTGTACCGAACTGCAGTTGAACCCCCAGCCGGGCAAGCGGTTGCCAGTTGGGGATGCCAACAGACTCGACTCGAGAGTGATCTTCATGCTAGTAGTCCGACACAGCGTCGACTACGGTACTAGCGACCACTAGTCAGTTCATCGTGAACTGTCATTGGGAAGATGCATCTGGAAGGGCCGGGTCATATAGTCCGGGCTGAATAGATACTCCGGGGCTCGGGGCGCGAAACAGATCAGTTCGGCATCGATACAAGCTTATATGGGAGCCGGTAATTTATCTTCTATCTGACGATTCCATCTGGCCGGTCCGATCTGGAGAACGCGCTTAATCTCGAGCATGTATATATTTTTTTTTTAATGTTTTACCTATTTTCATGATCCCAGGGGGATTCCTCTTGGGTAATCCCGCCCATCCGAAGGATGAAAAATACAACCTCCATGGGTTGCGAGGGACCCATCATAACTGGCGGTGGTACCTAAGCAGTAAGGTACTTCCCTACTTTTCGCTCGGCGGGCGGCCAGACCCCTCCACCCGCTAACCGCTTCGGGACTGTGTTGACGTCCCACCGCGCGGAGCCAATGGTAAGCAATGGAGTAGTCATCCCGTTGGGACCGGCCCTCACCAATTCAATTCCATTGCCCAGCGATCGCTTCTGCTCCTTTTATATCACGGAACGCATGGACGTCCACGGAGATTAATCGACGGGCACGTGAGCGTGAGCGATCCGAGTCTCTCGTGCTTCGATCTTATCACTCCGTCTCTTCATTCGGATGGCTGTATATCAATTTCAAGGCAAAGGAGTTGGGAATACAGGCATGAGGGATTATTCGCCCTGAAGTCCATGCAACCATGACCTGGCAGCAGTCGACGTAGAGGAAGCACCTCTCAGGCTCTCATGTTCTCTCATGTCACCTGACCACCGCTCCGCCGGGTGCTAGTCTCGGCACTGGGCACGAGTAGTTCTCTACTACCTGTAACTAGTGTACCAGAACTCCGCCTCGAGTTCAACCCCAATCCCACGTGGAGTGGTTCTGGATCGGGCTCACTGGCCCAACAACCCATTCAATCGGGTCGTCGGGGTTCTTCATGTTTGTTGGCACCGATAACGCGCGAGGAATCTCCCGTGGTTTGCAGCCCTTCTACGTGGCTCTCCTCGATGGTGAACCACGATCTGTCTGTATATCGGAGAGAAGACACATCCACGACTGGGGGACACCATTGTGGACTGCCACTGAAAATCCATATCTCCAAATGACCGTACAGCTGTACGCATACAGGATACGGTTGTAAACTGTATAGTTCTCGGGTCTGGACTGGAGCCGCGTCCCCGCAGTCCACCGCGTATTGGCCTGCGTCTGCAGAAAGCACTTTGTACTTTGTACCACTACGACCTAGGGCTGGACTGGGTGGATCCCCTTCCAGAAATCAGGATGCGTATCCCGCGCCTTATGATATTGTAGCTCTGATATCGTATCAAATCGACCGGGTTGTGTTATCTAGGACCCCTGGGACGTGACCATGGTCCGTCGTACCATGCTTATGACGCTTAAATATCGGCTGGACTATTCCTTTGGGCGCGAGAACCGGGTTACCGGTAGCCGATCTTGTGCCACGACTGGCAGGTGCAGAGAATGAGTGACTTAATCCCGGCATCAACATGACTGACCTATGACTTATCAGATTTCTGCCTACTTCTTCACAAACACTTACTTCATGCCCCCCAGTACTTTCTAACCATCTACAATCACGCCAAAATCAAGCCTAAATGGTGCGCTCCAACATTCTATATCTGACCTTCCCCAAAGATATTCCTATACCATCCAGATCACCACATCACCCCCACCCCATAAACCCCAAAACCGACCCCCCTCCCTCCCCACCCCCACAAACCATCAACTCCCGATTCCTCATCCTGTCCGACACGCACGGAACACCCATATCCTTTAAAGTCCTCCAGCACGAACACCTCGATATCGTCCTCCCCTGCGGCGACCTAACCCACGGGTCTAAGCTCTCCGAATATCGCGACACAATCCAACTCCTCCAAAGCATCCCCATCCCCCTCAAGCTTCTCGTTGCCGGAAACCACGACTTCACCCTCGACGGCCCCACCTACACCAACAAGATCACCGAGGCTGAGGCCTGCGGGATCGACTTCCCTCTGATCCAAAAGCAGTATGGCCACCACGGCGAAGCACGCGCTCTCATCGACACAGCCAAAGACCCAGGCATCGTGTTCCTGGATGAGAGGAGCCATCGCTTTGACTTACCCAACGGAGCCGCATGAGCATATACGCCATCCCGTGTACGTCGTCGTTCGGGAACTGGTGGTTCCAGTACCGTCCGGACGATGGGCATGATTTCAGAATAGGGGGATTCCGTCGACGTGGTGATGGCCCATGGACCTTCGAAGGGAATTTTCTATTCTACGTATAGCGGCCGACGGGCTAGATATCCACATCTATTCGAGGTGGTTGCACGGTGTCGTCCGCGTATGCATTCACTTTGGACATATCTAAGAAGCCTAGGGCGCGAAGGTAGTGAGTTAGCGGGAGACGGTTAGTGAGAAGCCGTCGCATTTTACAGACATTGATCGTGAGAAATCGGCGGTCGTGGCGACGCTGTCGAGTCTGAATCTGGGTGGTGGAACAGATAATCCTGTCCGTCGGGGTTTTTACGCAACCAGTCATTGCTGGGGAGATAGGATGTCCATACATCGCGGCTTACAGATGCTGTTTGTCAACGCCGCTCTTGAAGGCACAGACGATTGTCCGAGACACTCGACGTGGGCGGTCGATTTGGAGCTGCCAAGGTTGGCTTGATTGGTATTTCCCTGAACTTTGTGCTTCCCTGGTGTGCTAATGCTCTGTCTTGCTTGATGCCAGTGATCTTAATAGCCTACCTAACCGAGGTGAGTGTTCCAATATGGTCTAAATGATCCCTAGAACTCCAACTTTAGCTTCTACTACACCAAAGCCCCAGATTACACCCTCACCACCCCAACAAGCCAAGGCCCCAGTGAGACAAGGCTACCATACAAACCTCAGAAACATATACGCCGTCCTGATCCACAACGCGCAGAACCCACGTCCAACCCAAATTCACCTCAGAAAACACCACCGGAAGAATACGCAACCCATCCACCATCCTGTCAGCCCGTATACGAATCCCAGTCCACGCACCCACATACATATACGCACACACCCAAGCCAACCCCATCAGCCCATCAGCCCACCACGTGGAATCCTTCAGCCAAGCCAACGACATCCCGAAATACGCTCTGCGTAAAAGCAGACCCTAATCCATCCCGCACCAGATCTCACAACATCCCCAAACCCAGACAGACAGACGGTAGTAATTTTCAAAATCGCAACACGAACCCAACCCAGCCCCAAACATCTCCTAGGCAGTTATTTACGGATTACCGGTGCCGGCGATAGATGGATCGGTAAGATACGGACTAGGTAGGTACCGTACAGTAGGTAAGCTAGATAGATCGTAATTCGGTCCTCTTCGGAGTTTCATGGTCCTTTCCCCCCCGACGCCCCCGGGGCCCGACCCCCGAATGATGACCGAACGGCAACCAGCAGCAACCCTAATCGATCTGGCATTCTTTCTGCTTCTTTTTGCCTTGGCTGGTCGGATTTTAGGCTCGTAAATACATATTTACGCTACGCGCCGCGCCGCGCCTTTCGGGGATGGACGGAGGATGTGCGTATGTACATACTATGCTACATACTACTACTACTACTACTACTACTACTACTACTACTACTACTACTACTACTACTACTACTACTACTACTACTACTACTACTACTACTACTACTACTACTACTACTACTACTACTACTACTACTACTACTACTACTACTACTACTACTACTACTACTACTACCACCACCTAAATAATAACAAATGCACCACCACTAAATTCCACACCTTAGTAGTTCCACAGTTACTTCTGTACACCGTAGCTGCTTACTATAGCATACGCCGAACTGAACAAAACCAAACCAAACAAAACAAAACAAAACAAAACAAAACCTCAATCATCGCGATGATTGCAGTGATGCACAGCGCATCCCCCACCCCACCCAGCACAGCACAGCACTCATGCTCCGAGTCGGCCCCCAGATCCCCGATCCCAGATCCCAGATCCCCGCCAGGCCCCGAGTGGAGGTCCGATCCCAGCAACCTACCTAGGTACGAGGAAGATACTATATAATATACCGCACCGAGTAGACGCCAGAATGATAATGATACTTGGTCTCATATATCCTGTCAGTATAAAGTAGATAACTAGCAAGATAATGAATAATAATCAAACAATCCACTCCGCAGTCCGCACATGTCAATTCAGATTATTAGCTCAGCTCAGCTCAGCTCAGCTCCGCGCACCGCACCGAACCGAACCGAACCGCACGCCGTCTAAGTACCATGTAAAAGCAAACCCCCCGAGATCGCCGAATGAAGAAGAGAAATAAACCCCCGAGGCGGACGTGTTGTATGTGGTGGGGGTTCAACTTTTTGTTTCTGCGCGATGAATGGGTGGGTTTATTTCCTGTCACTCTATCTATCTCTCTTTCTCTTGCTGCTTGTTTTGATGGTAGTTTGGGTTTCATATTCTAGAAAACGTATGCATGGTAGGTATTTTTATTTTATTTTGTTTTGTTTTTTCGATCTGGTTCTGTGATGCGGTGGGTGGGTGGATGGATGAGTGGTTATACTACTAGTATATATCCGAGTTGTCTTGCCGTCCGTTCACTCTCTCTAGTTATTCGATCTCACACTCGACCCATGAGTGTTCACACTCACTCCGGTAGAAAAACTAATGTGAATACAGAATTGAAAATCCAGAAGTTTGACTGTCTCATTCACTGCTTCTATATCATATATTGATTGAAAATGAGCTTCCACTTTACAGAAGAAATCTTGTGTTGCCAGATGCCAGTACCCTACAGATGGTAACCTAGATTGGCAGAAATTTCCAGGAATCCAGAATACGACATCTACGAATAAACTCATCAAGTCACTGGGTATATTACCTAACGCCTAGGCAACTCACTAACACACACAGAGACCGCAGACATCAAAGGAAAAAAAAACAGGTGCTGAGAGACAGCTTGGACGCCGGGGAGGGAGGGAAACAGAACAGACCCTCCCGGCCAGAGGAAAAGAAGCATTCCGTGCATGTGCCAGTCAACCCGGTCACAGATCCAACTCCACCGCCACTGACTGTACAAGACCGGGGGGTTTCTCCCAAATAGATAGGGAGGGGAACCCCTACCGGGGGGGGGTGTTGCAAAACGCATATGTCTATGAACCTGTCTGTCTAAACAAGCTCGCCAAATGATATGATATGGTATGATCCTCGGAACGGAGAATTCGCGAATACATAACGTGCCAGGGGGTAGTCGATGTGAAACAGAAGGAAGAAGAGAATAAAAAAGAAACAAAATGAAGGAAGGAGACCAAAAAATGAGGGGAAGAAGTTCAAGTGGGAATCGAGAAGTGAATCAACACCTGTGTAGCGGCCGTGAACATCGTAAAGCCCCTTGAGGTTGTCGTTCGGGGATGGGGTATTGGAAGCAGAGAAAAGAAACAAGAAAAGGTTTAGAAGGTCTCGCCCAGATCCTTCGGGTCGGGCGATCCCACTGTGCCCTCGCGCCGCTCCAGCCCGGTGCTCGTCCGGAAGCTGCGCGGCGCGGGGATGGCCGAGATGCCGCTGGGGGTGCGCTTCTTCAGCCCGGTCGGGGTCGAATACGAGGGGAAGCGGGTCTCGCGCGCTTCGCTGATCTTCGCGCGGACCGACATGCGGAACGCCAGATCTTCGTCCTCGTCGATGTTGCTCATGCCGTTCACCTGGCCGTTCTGTCCGGACGGGTTGCTGAGCGACGACCGCGGCCGCCGGCTCTCCGTCGTCGGGTTCATCGAGTAGTGTCCCAAGGGCGTCTTGGTCCGGCTCTGGCGGCTCTCCGGGCGCGTCGAAGGCGTCACGCTAGGATGCGTGCTCTGGCTGAAGGAGCTGGAGGAGTAGCTCGTGCGGCTGCTGGGCCGGCTATCGCCCTGCGTGCGGTTGCCAAACGACGGTCGGTTGTTCGACGCGTACGACGAGGCGCCGTCGCCCTCCCGCACCGAGGAGCTGAAGCTGCTGCCACTCAACCGCTTGCGCGAGTTTCGTCGCATGGTGATGGTGGAGGCGACCGGACTCCCCCCGGCCACGGAAATCGATCCGGAGCGCGACGAACCTCGCGAAGGAGAATCGGAAGGCGCGGGAAGCTTCGATTTGGCCGAGTGGACCCTCTCTTCCAGCTTCTGCATCTTGCCGATGAGCCCGCGGATCTGGAACAGCGACCCCGACTTAGGCAGCCCAGTGTTCTGGGTAGTGCCGTTCGTGCTGGTGTTGCCGTTGGCATTGCCATTACCATTACTGCTACTGGTAGGGGCAGTGGCGTTGGTGGTGCTGGGCTTGGCAAGGTTCGTGCGGGGCTTGTTGCCTTGAGCATAGGAGGAGGTGTTCCGAGACTGAGAGAACTTGGAAGTCTTGGAGCTGTACATCGTCCGAGAACCCAGCAGGGACTCAGATCCCGCCGCTTTCTGGAGCGGAAATCCGGAGCCAGCAGTGGCGGACCTGCGCACGCTGGTCGGCGTCTCAGCCATCGGTGGCGCAGACACCGGCGGCGCGGGAGTGATATTCGTGACAGACCGGCGCACGCTGCTTGACGTCTCAGACATCGGCGGCGACGGGGGCGTCGCGGTGGTGGCCATGGTGTTGACCATCAGGGATGACTTGATCGGCGGTGTAGCAAACATGGGCGACGAAACCGTGGAGGTGCCCGGGGAACGATCGAAGATCTCGGGCGTCTGCGGAGTGGTCGGGGTGGTGCGGTACAACGGCGTCGGCTTCTTGCGGCGACCGCCATACAGTTCGTGGCGGAGCTTCTCCTGCACGATCTCGGTCTCGAGCTTCTGCTCGGACAATTCATCGCGGAGACGCTGGTTGCTGATGCGGAGGGACTCGCGCTCTTTATCGCCGGCCTTCAACTCATCCTCCAGCAGCACGCCGCGCTCAATGGCCATGTTGTATTTCTGCTCCAGATCCTCCAGGGACGAAGTGGTATGGCGGGCCTGACGTTCGTAGTCATCGTTCGCCACCTCGGTGTCCCGCAGCTTGAGCTGCAGGGTGCGGTTGGTGTCTCGCAAAGTGGTGATTTCTTTTTGCAGGGTATTCTGAGCGGAGGAGGCCTCGGATTTGGACTGCTTGAACTTGGACTGCAAGGGGGTCCGTTAACCTTCGCGATCTCCCAGCCTTCCACGAGGAAGCTGAAGGCACCCGGCACGGGGGAAGTCTAAAGGCTCACCTTCCATTCGTCGACCTCGTATCTCAGGATTTCCAGTTTCTCCTTCAGCACGCGCTCCCGCTTCTCGGACGCCTCGATGTCCTTCTCCAGCTCGGCCTCCAGTTCACGGCTGGAGGCCTGGAAGTCGGAAAGTTCCGCCTCGAGCTGCTCATATTGCGCCTTGTAGTAGGCCAGCTGGTCGGAGCGCGAGCTGGACCCGTTAGGCCGGGTGGACGAGGCGTCGTCGGCGGATGGCATGATTCCCGCACCCGCAGAGGAAGCCGGCGTAGGGGACGCACGTTCCAAGGGACCACGTCAGAAGAGCCGCGGGTGAAGGGGGAGAGGGGGGGGGGGGGGTCGTGAAGTAGTCGAGAAGGTGGTGGAAGGGGACCTCAGAGCTGAGGTCATGCACAAGCGGCGAGTTCACCACAACCGTGCGTGAACTGGTGGTGATGGTGGAGGGGCCGAGGCGGTGTCGCAGGCAGTCGGGGAGATTGCGACGGTGAGAGACGGGCGAGAACGGGCGGGACGGAGGGAGTGGTGGGCGAGGATGACGGCGATAGAAGAGACGGGTACGGTCTCAGCGAATTGACTTACCTGGGGAATCCCTCACAGAGGGAAAGGGGGGGAGGGGGAAGGAGGGAGGAAGAGAGAGGGGGGGAGTGTAGGGTGGTGAAGGAGAGATATGGAGGGGAGATGAGAAGATGAGATGGTGATGCTATCCCAGCCAGCAGCAGCAAGCAACAAGCAACAAGACAGGCAGCCGAGCCGTGTCCACGGGGACAACAAGACGGTACCGGTCGTGACGGGTAACTTACGCGCTACGCCCGGAACCGTCTAGCCCCGTGACTTGGCTGCCTGAACCCTATCAACTGCAACCGGTACCTTACTCGACCGTCCTCGGATCGTCGATTGTTTATTTTCTTCTCCTTAATTAATATCCTTGTCGGTTCGTCCTGCATTCTCTCTGGAGGCTTTCCAACAGGGGGCTTCCCCCGACCGTACGCTCGCAGTATCACCCAGGTCTCAGAGTCTCAGACATGGGCGATCCCTTGTTCCAGGCTCTGGCCACCTGCTCCTGGATCTAAGTATATCCCGTCATGTGCCTGTGGCGGCCTTGCAGGGGGTCAGGCACCAATCAGACGGCCCTCCAGCACCCAAGCCACTCGTGATCGCCTCGCGTTGTGATCACAATCTATATTGCTCCACTTTTAGACCTCTCCCTGTATTGCCCAACTCTCCAAATCCACCCGCGGAAATCTCTTCGCTGTATTGCCCGGGTGCCCCACGCCGCTCCAATCGGTTGCTTCGGGGTTGTGCGACCTGCGTCGCCATGTCACTCACTCACTACTCACCACCACCACCGCCAGAGTATCCTTGCTGCTGTTGGCTGTGGCTGATTGGAGTTCCAGCTGATATATACGTCAGTGATCGATGCTCGATGCTCGATGACGATTTAGTCGGCCCTGCTGTACCCCAGGATCTGGCGACTAGGAAAAACGATCCCGATCCTAGCCCTCCAGCATAACGTGCTCTAGTATATATGGTCCGTTCGCTGTTTGTATTCAATACTGTAAAACTACTAGCTGTCAGGCAATAAGGACCCAACGTCAAACCGTATGAAAACATAGTAGCCAGGGAATAGCGTGTCTTAGTGATGAGTAGCTTTCGGACTGGTGGGGATGCACTCTATCTTAAAGAAAGGGTCCTTCAGTTGACGCGATCCGATGGTTTGTCTGGAGTGACTCTTGACCCCTGGGAGGACTTGTCATGTTGCTCACCTTGATGCCTTAAGGGATGCTGGCTAAGAGGAATGCAAGAGAAGAACAATGAGCTAGATAGTCCGCCCCCTAGCAGTGAGTAAACCCGCAACCTCAGCACACGAAGCACAATGAAGCCATCGAGAGGACTGTGCGACCTTTCCAAAGAAAAACCCCCTTCAAGCGCAAAAGTCAAAAGTTTCTACAAAGAAACAAAGCAAAAAGCAAAAAGCAAAAAGAATAACAAGTCCCCCTCCGCCGAGAACCCAGAAGAGGCTAGGCTGCGTGAGTTGGGGGAACGCTGATGACGCTGGCGGAATAAGTAGATGCACACCTTCCGTCCACAGCCATGGTCACGAGCAGCCTCGAGGCCTAACACCAGTTGTTAACTGGGCCCATGTTGAACTAGAAGATTGGCTGAAAGAGGGTGCTTTGTTTGTTTCTGTGGTTTGACGTCTTTCTTTATCCCTTATATTTATCTGACAAAAGGCTGATACTTTCATGACGATCTAGGGAAATGAAGATGGTTGTTTGCTAGGGGATTGATCTATTTTGATATGCAGAGGTAGGCATTGCTGTCTAGACCCGATGAATGGGACCAATTTGTCTAAGCTAACGCTGGATTATACTATAGTTTGCGCCCGCGAATGCGATAACCCAGCCGGATCCCTCCTCTATACTTCGAAACTTCCTTCCTTGCGCTGCCCTGGACGAACTTCTCGATAGCCCCTGACGGGCTCTTGACGGGCTCTTGCTATGTGGATAGATGGTCGGACTGAGACCGCAAAGCCCGAGAAGAAAGGCGTACGCAAGAAGGACAACAGAGGATGCGGCAACCTGGGAGAATACTTGCAGTTGTCGTTTATACAAGATATAGTAGAGAGTTTGGACCATCTCTACACCTTCTCACCCGTCTACAATGTATAGCCATTCCACCGACGATCATATTAAGAAAATGAGTTACAGCCTAACTTTAAAGCCATGCAAGGAACCCCCGGCCATGAGCTAACCCACGTGCTTCGACCCGACAGATCCCAGCTTCGCGTGACACGATCAACGCTCGGTTTGCATACCGACTTCGAGTCCGCCAGTCACCGCAGCGGTAGTTCTTCCCGGAGATCTGATACCTGGGAGGTGTGTTGCACAGGCATGCGGGTATCGGCCGGTGTGCCATCCGTCCGGCGGAGGCAAAAGTTCAGATTGGTCTGGCGTCATGCTTTATTTGACTGTACTTGTTTCCTTCGAGAACCAAACGCGGGATAGTCTGGCTATCAAAGGAACTGCGGCGCTTCTCGCCAAGGATACTGGCAATGGCCTTGGACCAACAAGTTATGTAACCGGAAAAGCCTCTGTTTCTGAAATAGCAAGGAGCCGGAAGTCTGTTTTCAAGAGATGAGAATCAGTACCTATCCATGAAAATGATATTCAATACAGAGTGCCGGTGTAGCTGCAGGCTAATGGAGAGGCTGATCGACCAGGGAAATGAAATGTGTCTGTAGAACTCACCATCGATGTAAAGGTAGGGTAGAGGAGTGAAAATGTGCGCGTCTGACAGCAGAAGATAGTCATGCTACTCCGTGTTTGAGGGAAGACGCTGGTGATTTGGAAGAAAGGTTATCCGATTGCTGTCACAGACTTTCCCTTGATGCCTTTCAAAGCTGTCTGGCCTTTGAATCCCCCTGGACTGTCAATGACATCAAGGGCATAAAAGTCGATATGTGCTGCAGGGTTTCTGTGTGGAATATGTTAGAACATCGTCCCATGGTCCATAACTGTAGTATCAAAATATCCAGGTAAAGGACGTGTCTGATATCGTGATTTTTGAGATAGAGACATACATTTTCCTTTTCACCCCGTTCCAAGCATGCAGCGGGACAGCGTCACAAACGGTATAGCTGCCATTTGATAAGTGCAAGCAAGGAGACGGACTCTGCTTGACTTCCCAGCGCCAGACCTGACCTTCAGGAAGAAACCAGGCCGCCGAGCCAGCTCAACGGCCTGAGGCCTGGAAACCGGCCAGCCAGTCTGACGCTCTCACTCCACGCACTGCCGCAATCCTGATCATTTGACCTGGCAACTCTTTCTGTTAGGAGGAGCAAGAAGCTATTCACTCGCTGGACCCGCTCTAAACACACGAAAGCAGTCCAGAGGGGTTTTGACACCCAACACCCCCCTTCATCTCTTGCAACCTAGACACGTCCACATTCCTTTGTGTTTATCGTTCACATCACGACACAGTTTGGATCAACCAAATCCTGCCTCACACTGCAAAGAATCTTCTCTCCCTGTTTCAACTACTCGTTCGTTCTCTCGCTTCATTTCTGAGCAATTTCAACACAGCAAGATGTTTCCGATTCCAGTTGCGGAGCTGATTCGTCGCATTGACAAGGCCGGGAAACGTTCGATCCCTACTCTGCCATCTTAACCCATCTCATTGCTAATTCAATAACAGAGGCGTTTTCCGGCTACATGACTTGCTGGGACAAGGCCGTTGCCAGAATCCTTGACGAGAAGCGCGTACTCATGTGGGCACCGTTTCGCGGAGGAGATCCTATCGCTCGGGAAATAAAATCTAAGGAGTCGTCCTCGGCCGCTCTCTTACATCGACGCGGCGTGGAGGTGACTCCCTGTAGTAATTGCCAATCTCTTGGTCCATTTACCAAGTGTGTCGTGGCACCGGCTTTTCGAGGCAATGGTTTGCACCGAGGCGCATGCAGCTGTTGTCTCTTCTACCACCATGGCGCATATTGCACCCATCGAGAGTCGTTTCTTGCAGGAGGCGGACGTAATTGGACCGAAGAAGATACCGAGTAAGTTGCCCCCAACTAGCTGGTAGAGACTGTCTAATGCTGAAGGTTACAGCGAGGTCATTTCTGCAGGTGGACTGCTCGAGGCGATTATCCTTGACGGCGACGATGGCTTATGGTTTACTCGTGGTGAGCAAATGCCCGCACGACACCGTGTGCCTCGACCACGTCCGAGAGCCAGAAGACGGGCTCAGCGCTTGACTGCTGGCCATTCGGAAGGTGATCAGACCAATGCCCCTGCTAGTAGCCACATGGGAGTAGGCCAGACCCAATCCTCTGCCAGTCACCTCTCGGAAGGCGTGCAAAGCGAGCCCTCTGTCGGTCTCCATTTGGAAGCCGAGGAGACTCAGTCCTCTCTTGTTCAAGGCTCAGAAGCAAACATGCCTCAGCCATACACCTCTCACAGCTTGGATGTCGAACAGGTTTATCCTGATGCGATCGATCCATCTCTCCAGCCGAGCCAGGCCGATCAGACTGCCCCTTACACTCCCTGGCTGACGAACAATCATTATCTGCCAGTGCCGCCGTTGCATAGCCAGGAAATGTTCCAGGAGCCAATGGATCCAATGTCGTTCTGCGGGGCCCAGGTCGCTGATAGTTACTGGGACTACAGTCTCACCGGCGGTTATGGCACTTCCGCGTCCGCCCAGGCCCCGGCTACAGACTGGTCCGACTATCCTGCTGAGGTTTACAGCTTAACCGGTGACTTGAGTTCTGGTTCGACTGGCGCCTTCCCAAGCCAGCCTGGTCCTAGCTCGACTAATAGCAGGAACCCTGGCAAGCGTGCTCGCAAGGACAAGGGTCGCTCCGAGACTCGCAGGGTTCACTGGGATCTGTAATGCGGGAAGGTTAGCCAAAGGATGCCTCCCGGCCGTCGGGTTGATCTACCTTCTTGGTCAACATACCTCATGCAAATGCCTTCTCTCACGATGTCACACGGTGGCGATGTCGATACTCCATATACCGGTTTCTACCGACTATGATGAGCTCTCGTTGTGCCATTTTGCTTGCGTTCTTGTTTTCGACACCTCATGATGAACATGCCAACATTGAAGATGACTTCAAAGTTCTCCCCGGGATTTCTCATGATGGTGATATCTCTATTCCATAGTGCAGCATGACTGACTATGTTGAACTCGCGTTGTGGCTTTTTTTTTTTTCGCTCGTGTTGCCTGCTTTTCTCGTTTAGTTTATGGTTTCTGCTTGTACTTTCAGCCAGGGATACTTGCCTTTGATCTTCAGTTTCTCATTCTTGACGCGATTTTGTGAGCGGCTCTATCGTCGGATGGGTGGGCAAGTGAGGTGATGGCCTGGAGAGTCAGCTTGAGTGGTCAAGACGTATGCACAGATCTAGCAGGGTGATGTACAGTACTTCTAATGATGAAATAATGACAATTTAGTTTTGTTTTTGACTTTTTTTTTTTTTTTTTTTTTTTTTTTGTTGTTTTTGTTTTCTCATCGTACTCATACAGACGCGTTGATGTTGATGTTGGTGGGTGGTAAGGCTACAGCCGGCGACCACTTGCGGGCACGGACCCACGTGACCGGCAGGGAACACTCACTTTCCTCATTCACGGAGCCGTGCTCCTACAGTGTTGTGGTTGTTAGTGTGTGTTACTCCCTCCAAACGCCGTTTCTCGCCGTTTCTCGCCCCGGCCTGACTTTCCCTATCCCTAATCCCCCCATCCCATCCCATCCCCAATTCCCCCCCTTCCCCCCCCTTCCCCCCCCCAAAAACACTCACCCTTCGGTCTCGGGTGAGAGGTTCCCCCCTCCCCCTCGCCCCCCAAGTGTGACCCCCCACCTCTCGGTACCGGTATGTATGTATCCCTTCCCTGTTTCCCGAGTCGCCTGCTGGATCCGCTGCCGACTCGAGGCATCCATCCTCCCCATCCTCCACCCTCCACCCTCCACCAGTTGTCGCGCTATATCCACGCACAAAACCATCTCGGGTCCCCATCTGCCCCAAAAAGGGAGTGCTGCCACGCACTTTCCCGCCCCAGGCTCGGATGGGTTCGACTTGTCGTTTTTCGCCTTGCCGGACCTGCCCAGGACGAGGTCGAAAGATGATGCTGATGCGCCCTGCCAGACCTGACCCTCTCCCCACCGCCGCCCGTCGCCCGTCGCCATGGCGGACCCCACCGACCTCAACCTGGACGCCCCCAGCGATCTCCAGGATATTCCCGACATGTCCATGCAACTGATCCCCCCGCCGGAAGGCACCTATCCCGATAAGTGAGTATGGTCCCGTTCGTCCCTTCTCCCCTCCCTCCCTCCTGCCTGTCTCTGCTGTCCCTCCTGGTCGGGTAGCGGTCCGATCCGCCGTGGCCCCATAGTGGATCTGATGGTTCATGATCTGGATATGGATATGGATATGGATGATGGCTCACATCGCACATCGTTCTGAAGAGCCACACTCCTTGCCGCTGTGCAGGCCCATGGCAAGACGCATGGGTACAACGTCGTAGTCAAGTCGTCCAGCACGCCGACGGAGAAGAAACCGGGGCGGACCGCCAAGGTGTGGCTGCGCTGCGATCGCGGCGGCCACTACCGCCCGCGCAATGGCCTCACCGAGGAGACCCGGAAGCGCCGCCGCACCTCGCGCCTGATGGACTGCCCCTTCATGCTCGTGGCTGCCGGCACCCCGGGCATCTGGACCCTGACCGTGCTTAACGCCACCCACAACCACGGCCCGATCGTCGAGAAGCCGCGCCAGGTGCCTCACCACAAGGTCCGCAAGGGCCAAATCGCCGCCGAGCCCTACGATTGGCCGCACGATGCCACGCTGACCCCCTATACCACGGCGCTGGTAATCATTGACATGCAGAAAGACTGTTCGTATCCCTCTTTTCCCCGCGGTGGGTCAGGCCGCAGCCTTGGCCTTTTCTTACTAACGGATGCCAACGCAGTCTGTTTGCCGGGTGGATACATGGATATTCAGGGCTACGATATATCCGCTAACCAGGCACTAATTCCGAAACTGCAGCATCTGCTGAGTACGTTTCGTTCCGCGGGGTTTCCCATCTACCACACGCGGGAAGGTGTGTTTTTTTTTTCTTTCTCTTTCTTTCTATTTACCGATCCTCACTGACACGGACAGGCCACCGGCCCGATCTGTCGACGGTATCGAGCAGAGAGGGGTTCCGGTCCCAAAACAATGCCGCCAACATGGGCATCGGGTCCCCTGGGCCCCTGGGGCGGCTGCTGATCCGCGGGGAGGTGGGCCATGACACGGTGGACGAGCTGTATCCGATTCCCGGGGAGCCGGTGATCGACAAGCCCGGGCGAGGGGCGTTTGCGCACACGGATTTCGAACTGCTGCTGCGCAACCGGGGGGTCAAGAACCTGGTGTTGGTGGGGGTGACGACGGACGTGTGCGTGGCGACGACGATGCGCGAGGCCAACGACCGGGGGTTCGACTGCGTGGTGCTGGAGGACGCAACGGCAGCCAGCGAGCCGGGACTACATGCGAGCGCGATTGAGTCGGTGAAGATGGAGGGGGGGATCTTCGGGGCGGCGGCCAAACTGGAGGACGTGATCCATGCGGTGGAGAATTTCAAAGCGGTGACTGTGAAGAAGCTGGCTCCACAGATGACGACGTGAATTTCTTTAGCAAGCATTCTGTCTCATTTGGCATCCGAAGATACTTGGAATTGGGCATCTGGGGATAAAACTGGCTGCATTGGACGGCAGGGTAGAGGAACCATTTGGGACAGGATCATGACGACAGACACGAATACGACTTATGGACTATGTACGAGCAGAGCAGAGCAAGCAGAGCAGAGCAGATTAAGTTAGACGTAACTCACATGGTGTGGTATGGTATGGTATCTTGAACGCCAACGCCGAGGCTATGTATATGTACTAGGAGGTAGTCATCGCGACACAGAAACCCCAAAAAAACAAACCCACCCAGCCCAACCCAACCCAACAACACCCCCTCCCTCCTCCCCTCCCCCATCCACCCTCTCAACCACCCACAAGCACCTACAACCACTTCCTCCCCGCAGCCGTAACTTTGGACCTAAACACCGAACTCTTAATCTCCATACCCTGGCGATAGAACGGGCTCATGACCGTCTTGACATAATTCTCATACACCTCCGTCATGAACTGTCTGACCGCCTCCTCTGTCTGCGGGGAGGTGGGGTTTGCGGCGACGGAGCTGGCGGACGCGCGGGACGAGCTGCCCGCGGAGCCGGAGAACGAGGAGCCCAGGAGGGAGCTGGAGCCAGTCGTGGCGGAGGAGGCGTTGGTGGGGAGTTGGGGCGGTTGGTGTAGGAGGAGGAAACGCGCGCCGGAGGGAGTCAGGAACGCGGAGATGTAGGCTGAGGCCGGGGGGTAGGTGTCGATGTGTTTTAGGTACCTGGTTTGTGGGCGTGGGGGGATTAGTATTGGCGTGTTTGGTTTGGTTTGGGGTGTTTAGGATTGGGGTAGTTAGGATGGTGGGGAGGTGGGGAAGGGGGGGGGGGGGGGGGGGGTGGTTGTTGAGGGAGGAGGAGGAGTGGGAGGGAGGGAGGCAGGGAGATCGTGTAGACGGAAGGAAGGGAAAGGCGGGAGAGGGTAAAAGTGTAGAAAGATAAGTGAGATGGGAAGAGAAAAGACAAGAAAAAAAAAGAAAAAAAAGGAGGGAAAGGTACGCACATATTCCCATTCATCCATTGCGCCTCCTCCACAACATCCAGACTAGAGTGGATGATGAACTGGTTCATGTACTGGGCTGTATCCGGGAAGCGGAAGCGGGCGATGCCATCGCCACCGCTTTTGGAGGTGCCAAAGGCGATGTTGAAGAGGGGGACGTCGGTGGGGGAGAGCACGGTGAAGTAGTAGGACATGGTGAGTGAGGGATTGGATGGGTTGGTGGGATCGGCCAGGGAGTAAGTAGTCAGGGAGGTCGAAAGGCGGCGCGGAGTAAAGTAACAATTCGGAGATGCACCGCAACGAGTAGTGCTGTTCCTGGCGCTGCTGGCTGGTGGAGGCTCACGTGCGATAAGATGGCGGCGGGTGGACACGTGATGTGATGCGCATCATACTTTCTCTCTCTCTGTCTGGAACTCTTTCTTTTACTTCCGTCTCATATACAAACCACCCAACCAACAATCCCTCGACGTTATACACATTTCCAATCAACAGAGAAAGAAAATGCCGCCGCTCTCCCTCGGCCTCAACCTTGCCAAACCGCGACCGGGCGCCGCCCCTCCAAAGCGCAAGAAAGCCATCTTCGACTCGGACTCGGACAACGACAACGACAACGACAACCCCAAGCCCAGCGGCACCGACAACAATGCAATCGAAATCTCCACGCTCGGCGGGCTAGACGACACCCCAGCCCCAAAAGCAGCAGCACCATCTAAACGGCCCCTCCCCAAAAACCACTCCCAACCACCGTCCAAACGCCAACTCCTCTCCGGCGCAGGAGGCAGCGCCAGCGCCCTAAACCCACCGAACAAGAAACCCCTCTCCAAAACCTCCATCTTCGCGGACGATTCCGACAATGATGAGACAGCACAACCCACCACAACCTACGGCCTCAACAAACCCGGCAAACCCACCCCTCAACCCCAAATCCAACCGGAGACCACCAACCTCTCCTCCCTGCACAGCAGCCGCCAACACGCGAAATCCGCCTCGACCATCGATCCCACAATCTACTCGTACGACTCCGTCTACGACAGCCTGCATGCCAAACCCGCCACCAAAAACCCATCCTCCTCCTCCTCCACCACCGAACCCGAAGTACCCAAATACATGACCAACCTGCTCCGCAGCGCGGAGATTCGCAAACGGGACCAAACACGAGCACGGGACCGACTCCTCGCGAAGGAGCGGGAGGCCGAGGGCGACGAGTTCGCCGACAAGGAGAAGTTCGTGACGGGGGCGTATAAAGCGCAACAGGAGGAACTGAAGCGGATGCAGGAGGAAGAGGAGGAGAGGGAGCGGGTGGAGGAGGAGCGCAGACGGAAGAATGCTGGAATGGGGATGGGGGGCATGGTGGGGTTCTATCGCGATGTGCTTGCTAGGGGGGAGGAGAGGCATGAGGCTGTTGTTAGGGCGGTGGAGGAGAATATTTTGAAGGGTGGGGAGGGGGATACGGACGGGAAGGGTGAGAAGGGTGAAGAGGGTGCAGAGGGTGGGGAGAAGACGCCGGCGCAGGTCGCGGCGGAGTTGAATGCAAAGGGCGCCCATGTGGCGGTTAATGATGACGGCCAGGTCGTGGATAAGAGGCAATTGTTGTCCGCGGGGCTGAATGTCGCGCCGAAGCCGAAGGGCGCGGTTCAGCGCGATGCTGCGGCTGCTGCTGCGGCGGCGGCGGCGGCGAGGGCGCCCGCGCGGTTCGGGAATCGTCAGGAACGGGGAGGCCAGCGCGCGCGCCAGACGGAGATGGTGGCGGCGCAGCTGGAGGAGCGCGCGCGGCAGGAGGAGGAGGCCGAGGCGGCGCGCCAGAAGGAGATCGCGGAGCGCAGTCGCAGTCGTCGCTCCGAGGGCGAGGTGTCGAGTGCGCGCGAGCGCTATCTGGCGCGGAAGAAGGAGCGGGAGGCCGCTGCGAAGGCGTCGTAGTTGGCTGTACTACTTACTACTACTTATACACATAAGAGTTGCATACTGGCGTTCGGTATATAGTGTCTGGTTACCTTAAGCAATCCTGTACTTTTACAATGAATGATATCACGAACTGGGATAATAAAATTATCTAGAAAGCAAAACTGTTGATTGAATAGCAATTGAAACCTCCATGCTGTTCGTTCATTTCAACTGAACTGTTTACTATAATGCAGACAAACAAACGCAACAGCCATGAAATGTAACAAACCACCGTACGCACGCAAACAATAGTATGTATACCACAGCGAAAAAAAAAGGCATCGTTACTCATGAAATTCGTAACCCAACTCCGAGAATGCTACTCGATTCGGTCTAAAAAAAAGGGCGGAGGGGGGGAGAGAAGTAATGCTGCTGTTTGTTTATATATGAAGTATAAGAAACGCAACGCAACGCAACGCCCAATTATGCGGTCAGCGCAAAGCTCAACCCCATCAGGACCATCCCCCCGATGGCGAAGCCGGTGCACATGCCGCGATGGTGCGTCAGGGTGAGACCCTCGCTGAACAGCTGCATGGCGACGGAGGTCATGACGCCGGCGGTGGCGGCGAACATGCCCCCGTAGACGCCCCACGAGGGGCCGGAGGCGTCGTCGCCGTTGGTATGCCCGGCGCCCCAGATCCAGAGCGCGGCCAGCGCGGCCCCGGCGGGTTGGCTGATGCCTCCGAGGAGACTGGACCAGAACATGGCCCAGCCGCGCGAGTGCAGTGCCAGGTAGAGGGGGAGTGCCATGGCGAAGCCCTCGCTGATATTGTGGATGAAGAGGGCTAGGAAGACGGTCAGGCCGAGGGTGGGGCTGGCGTGGTTGGTGGCGTAGGTAATGAAGCCCTCGGGGAGTTTGTGCAGGGCGATGGCCAGGGAGGTCTGCAGACCGATTGACAGGAAGGCGTTCTGGGGCACGTGGTGGTGGTGTTGAGGGTTGGTCTTGGTGGCGTCTTCCGGGGAGAGCAGCTGCTCGTCGTCATCGTCAAGGAGCCCGGTGTGCGACGAGGAAGAGCTCGCCTCGTGGTGAGGATGATGATGATGATGATGATGATTATGATGATTATGCCGATGGGAAGGAGGAAGGCCGGCCTCCAGGTCCTCGGGGGCCGCGGAGTCGACCTGCACGCAGACGCTGTGGGGGTGCGGCAGGGCCGGGCGCACGGTTTCCTCGCCCGCGACAGAGATTTCCGGGACCGCCAGGGTCTTGGTGCACTCGTGGCCGCATGCCTGGGAGAACCCGAAACAGGGACCATTCTCGTCGCAATGCGGTTTGACGCCGCCGACCAGACGGCTTAAGCCCCGAGTGAGGCGGATGCGGAGGGAATCTTGACGCACCAGGGCGGGGGGGCTGTGCGAATGCGGGAGGGTGACGGTCGCTGGGGAGGACTTCAAACGAGCCAGGAGGGGGGTCCGCTCGCTTGCAAGGTTTGCGTCATGGGAGTGTAGCTGGGGATCCGATTTGCCGTCATGGTCTGCGTCGGCGTGTGGCTCATGGGTGTGGGCGCAGTCGACGACGTGGGAGGGGATGTACCGATGGAGAAGGGCCGAGGCCAGTCGGATCACGACCACGCCGGCCAGGAACAGCCCAATCAGCACGTATGCGGCGGCGGAGGGGGACAGGCCGGCGAGGATCAGGTATTTCTGGGAGGTGGGGAGCATGCTATAGAGAGAGGTGAAGAGCTGGAGAGGTTAGTCGGATCATCCGATGGCAAGGCAGGCAGCGGATGGATGTACCATGACGCCGGCACTCAGACTGAGTGAGGCCGACAGGAAGGCATTGTTATGGACGATCTGGAACTTCCGGCGCGAGACCCGCCGCAGCAGGAGATCGACACAGATGACGGAGGACCCCAGGACGCAGGCTGGACGGGGTTAGTACTTTGCGGGGGGATTGGGGGGGCAGACTGGAGGGGAGAGGGGGAGACGCACCCACGCCGGAGACAGCGCTCATGACCCAGCCCCGAAGGTCATTGCTGGCAGCCATGATGGATGAGGATGGCAGACAGAAAGGGGGGAGTGGATGGAGGAGAACAGAGAAAGGAGGGAAAGAAAGGAAGAAAGAAAGGCAAACAACGAACGGGGGAAGCTCATGATATCATGTCACGGGGGGGGGCGATTAGATAACCCCTGCATGGGGACCTTGGGGTTCTTGGGGGTTCTTAGGGTTCTTAGGGTTCTCTCCCTCTGCCAGCCTGTCACTGCGCCTGCATTAGCATCATCCCTCACCTTCCCCTCCCCCTCGGCACCATCCAACACCACCACCATCACCATTTCCCCCCTCCCGGCTCCGATCTTCAGCAACAGACTTACTGAAACATCCCCGATCCGCGGCCCCTGTCCCGTCAATCCCGTCACTCCCCCGAACCCTTGTCCCACGCCGCAGTCCCGATTCTCTGGGCTCCCTCGGGGCCTTCCTTCCTGCAACTCCAAGGTCCCCAGACTAATTTCTCATCCCATGCACTCCCTTGCCAATTGGCCCGTCAAGTGGCCCGTCAAGTGACACCGCTAGACCGTATGATCCCTGAAGGCTGCTGGTCTTTTCCAATTTTCCTTGCGAGAAGACGCTGTCAAGAGACATGTATAGCGTACTTTTGGACTGTTCGGGCCCGTCCTGATGTAGTCAATGCATCCCGGTGAGAAAAGGGGGGAATAGGGGCTTGAGACACCACTCAGACTAAGGAGTGGAGTGTCACCGACTCACTGTTGTCACTCGATGGATTATTCCTCTACCTACGCACTTTGACCGAGATTGGGGGCTTTCGTTTCTGTCCTCGGGCTACCTGCGTGAAACTAAATACATGAAGAGGGTAATGGGTGAACAACAGAAATAACATACTCACTTTCTTGCTCGGATAAGACAATAATGCTTCCAAGTTTGGATGGATGGACAGGCAGGACATAAGGGCATGCGTAGATCCCTAGTGGCCGTTCTGGCTGAGGAGCCAACCCACAACTTTGCTCCTACTTCCACCGGGTCTTATTTCATTCCTTTTACTGTCTTGTCAAGATGTTGTCAAACAAAATCACTTCACAAACACCCGGATAGTTGTGACGATGTGATATACCTGACAGATTCATCGAGATCAGATGAGGAATGGACCCATTTTGCCGGGACACGACAAGAGCATCGTGTCTATACACCGTACATCATGCCGGAGAAAGAGTCGTACGTAGCAGTTGGGTCTTGTTCCCGGTGGATGCCAGCAGCCGGGCGATGACCTCGATGTAAGAGCCCAGCGCCGGATCATCACGATGGCCAGCCGCTGGAGGCCCTCAATATCCGACACAAACTGGGACAGCTGGGGAGCAGCAACAATCATTATGACCAAGATGGAGTCGAAGACCCTATAAACTGTCAGCAAAATCTTTTCCCCACGAGGGACACGTGAAACCTGCAGTCAGGTTGGAAATATCTATTATTGTTAGACGCGCAGGCAGAGGTGTGGCGCTGGTTTAGTTTATATGCCCCAATAATTCCCAAATTCCCAGTACGGAACCTTTGAATGTGGATGATGTCTTGGAGAGCCACTATAATCAAGTCATGTCTTTTTTTCTTTTCTTTTCTTTTTTTTTTGGTTGGGCCTTCCCAGGAAAACCTCGTTGGGGGGTTCTCCTTTGTTTCGGTGGTTTTCCGCCATTACCTTTCGGCCCGAATCGAGTTGGCATTAGCTTGATAGCAAGTTTGATGTAGCGATGGCTTGAAGCGATGTTTCTCTTCAGGAGGCTTCAAAAGCTCCCACATGAACAGGCTGTTGTTTCGGGCATTGGTGGGTGCTTACGGGGCAGCTATCTGTAATAGTCCTGAGAGTATACTCATAATGCGTCAGCGAGACTCAAACTATGCCTCCTATCTCGCCACCACTGACAGTGTAAGTCCACGGGGTGATACCATCATACAATGCCAATCGACACAAAAGGTGTCCAGTGATGCTTCATAATCCGACTGCGGTCTTAGATGAAAGTAAACTTGCCGTCAACTCATTCCTCCCACTTGCCAAACCCTACCGGATACTGCTCTGTCAAGCTATGGATCGACCCGTCTTTCTCTAGAGACCTATCAGACTTCACACCCAGAAATGAGTTCAAATGACATCCGGCTGATTCCAGACGTCGCTGAAGTCTGAGACCAGGTTAAGTATTCCCGTGTCAGAGTTCAATTGAGGCAATTGGACATCTGCAGACCTCCTTACACAGTGCTAAGTTTCCGAAACTATATCCACACCTATGCATGACCTCAACAGTTGCCTTTTCGAGATAAATCCCACAGATATGACGCCCCCGTCCATTCTTGGATCTGTCGATCCCAGCCGCCGGAGGGTACAAAGGTGATACCAATGACACTGTATCAACCTAGAAAGCAAGATATCACTACAATAAGAACATCATCGTCAGTGAGTCTGTAAGCACTAACCATCGACAAAGTTGATATACACACCACCCAGCGTGGGATATACCCCGAGCCGTTCAATCATGCATACCATGCCTCGAGAACGTCACACAGCGTGTACCACGTATGGAGGTAAAATGAGGAGAAGAAGAGCGCAAAGCCGGGTCGAGTGACGTGAAGGCCTGTCACATGACGGACAACAACAAACAGAGCTTCTTCTTCTTCTTCTTCTTCGGCCATGTCCCCTATTCTTCAGTTACACGGCCATCAGACTCGACTCGACTCTCGCTTGGTATCGGCTTGCCAATCTACTCTTCATCCCCAGGTTATATAAACCCCCCATCCCCACGACCACCAGAGGATTCGGTTCTCTGCATCCATCCTCATTCGTTACACCAGACCAGGTACGCAAGAAACACCACATCAATCCAAATCAAAACACACTTGACTACACTACATTTGATTGCACTACACTCAAATACACTACCCTCAATTACACCACACCACACCACACCACATCAACCGACCCACCAAGACCCAAAATGCTCTCACCTCACACTCTCCTCCTCACCCTAATCCTCCCGCTAATCTTTTCCCTCGTCACCCCCAGCTCCGCCATGTCCCTGAGCCGGTACACCGCGCCCGTGCCCGCCGCCGCAACGGTAGTCGAGACGCGCGAGCAGCTCAACGAAGTCGTGCGGAAGAACGCGCATACCGTGCTGCACGACCAGGACGGCGGCTACATGTTGAAAGACGAGAGCGGGGCGGTGGTGGCCGTGGCGGCGGATTCTCTGTGTCCGGAGCTGGACCGCGCGTTTGCCGAGGTTGAGGCCAAGGAAGCGGAGATGAAGCTGGCAGGGGATTCGACCGAAAAGGCGGAGGAGGGGGAGGAGCAAGGTGATGTCCATCGGCGGGATTTGGAGAAGGTGCAGGATGCTGATCGGCCGCTGCGGTGCTCGCATCCTAGGTGCTTCAATTCCGCGCTGTGCTTGAGTTATACCGATTGTCATGTGTGTACGAGGTATAATCATTGTATCTGATGATGGGGGAATTCTTGGGGAGGATTCTTCGGAGACGGGGGTTAAGGGGGGCGATATCGGGGTTGGAGAGGTGGTTTTCATGAAGGGTATTTCGTGAGGGGATTACCTTGGGACGGTTTTCTTGTATTTTTCTGGTCGTTCTCTTGGAAAATGTGTTACTGTGGAGGTGTGCTGGATAGTATGGGACTGTGCAGTGGTGTTGATAGTGTGGAATTGCCAAAATGAACAAACAGATCGAGAGTAAAAGGAACAGTGAGCCAACCTGGCAGATATTGATTGTTGGTCGTTGTATGTCATATTCCTGTACAGCTCCCTTCTGGGGCCATTTCCTGGTTGGATACATTCGTAAATACTGTTGTTGAACGCCGAGCTGCCTCTAAGGATGCTTTGTATACTGATTGTGTGTTTGAGATGCTTCGTTGCAGCCATCACTCGATTCAAGAAATTGTGTTTGAAATTGTATTTGGCTTCCACAGCGAGTCAGGACACCCATTGAAATATCTATTTCCTTCTTCACATGGCCTGTAAATGCTGTGTAATTATGGTTCTTCTTCATCAGCGTTACTTTAGTAGGCACCCTGTCTCGGGTTGGAGAACTAGAAGGGCTTGTTCTATACAGGCCTTGATATTGCCGTGAGCTGTCGTGGCAGCTAGTGAACATCTCAGCAGACAAGCTACATCGTACACATACCACTCACATTCAACATTGGAATGCAACTCCCGTCTTGGTCGCGACATTTCCTCCTCGTCCCGCAAATCCGGTCCCCTCGGAGCTGACCTCCACCAGCCCCGGCCGAATGCCTTCCTTGTCCTTCTTTTTCTTCTTCCCCGAGTCCTTGCCTTCGCCTGATGCCGTCGGAGTGACATCCGTCTCGCAGACATAGCAGAGAATCCGGCCGTGCAATGCTGCCGTCAGTTCCTGCTCCTCTTTGCTCGCGTGTGGATCGGGGGCGTCGTGGGGGGTCATGAACTTTTTGACACAGGGTTGACAGATAACATGCCCACAGGGTTTTGTTACTAGACATTGTTAGAGGAGATGCGAACGGCCAGGAAGTGCACATACACGTTGCTTTCAGCGCATTCGTCAGCGTCTTCTTGCAACTCGGACAGACCCGGGCCATGGATCCATCTGACCCTTTCTCCTCCGTGAAATGGACTTCCACCAGGGACTTGAGCGAGTAGCTATGGCGATTGGTTTCCGAAGAAGCCGGACAAATAGGCGCGAGTTTGACGGCCTTATTGGCAGCGATTTCGTTCGGATCGGTGGTAGGCGTGAGGGAGGGCACCCAGAACGAAGGCAGGGCTGATTTATTCGACTCCTGATATCATCAGTAAACCAAATCATGAAGTATAAATCATCCAAATCAAACCTTTTCTTTCTTCAGCTCCTGCTTCAACCGTTCCTGTTCCTCTCGCGCAATCCGAGCCATCTCCTTCTCATCCAACTCAAACACCTTCTTGCGTTTCCCATCCACCTCTATCTCCCGTGCCTTGAACGCCGCCAGCGCCTCCGTCTCCGCTTTCCGCTTTTTCGAATTGTCTGTACTTTGTGACGAGCCCGAGCCCTGATTCTTCTTCGCGGCTTCCAATCCCATGCTAACCAGTTCAAAGTCATGAAGCTCCCGCGTCCGCGCCTCCTCTAACGCGCGATCTTCGTCCTCCGCGAGGCGTTTCTTGGCCTCATCGCGTTCCTTCTCGAGGCGCTTAATCTCCTGCCGTTGGGCTAGCAGATCGCTGATGGCGCATTCGCGACAGAAGAGGTCGCCGTTGGTGGCGCAGGCGACGACGGGGGCTCGCGCCGGGTGGAGGCACAGGCGACAGGAGCCGAATGGGAGGAAGGAGTCGCGGCCGATGACGCCGCGTTTGGTGCCCCAGCTGGAGCGGAGGAGGTCGCGCTCGTAGGAGGTGAAGTGGGGGAGGGAGGTGTTGCGTTTCGAGTGGGCCATGGCGGTGTATTTGTATAGGATATCAATGGAGAGTTCGAGGGTTCATGGATGGGAGTGTCGCGATGCGAGGAAGATTTGCGGAGTGGAGGATTCGGAGGACGGAGTTGCGCTGAGATGGGGATGACTTGGGAGAGAAAGAGAGAAAGACAGATTTTCGATTCCAGTGTACACACGAAGTAGACGAAAAAATTAAGTACACGGAAGAAATGAGGGCCCAATGGCGCGCAGCACCGAGGGGAAACAGAAATGATGGCGATGGAGGAGGGATGAAGGGAAGTCGAAGCCGAAGTTGGGGATTATGTCATGCCGTCGCCCGCATCTCATCAACCTCTCCCCAACTTCCCCCAACTTCATCCCTCCGTCACAAAACAAACATCAGGCGGCTCCATGGCCGCAGGTGCAGCCCGGAGTGGCCGAGGCCTTCTTGCTCTTCTTCTTCTTCTTCTTCTTCTTTTTCTTTGAGCCCTTCCCGCCCCCCTCGCCATTCCCAATAGCTTCACTCTTCTCTTCCCTGAGCTTCTTCGCGGCCTTCTCATCAGCCTTCCCCTCCTCACCCATCTTCTCCTCGGTCTTGTCTTTCACACCCATCTCTTTCTCGGGCTTCCCGTTCTCGCACTTCTCCTTCTCGGCCTTTTCCTTCTCAGCCTTCTTCTCAGCCCTCTTCTTCGCCTTCTTCTCGCGCTTCGCCTTCTCACGTTCTGCTTTCTCGCGGCTCATCCGGTCACGCTATCAGTCACGTCAGCACTCATGTCCAAGCTATAAAGAGCTCCGGCCATGAACTCACCTCTTGCTTATCCAGCAAGTACTCTGTCAGCAGGCCATGGTCTTTGAGAAGAGCCCAGCACACATCGTAGAGATCTCTCTCGGGGTCAACGCAGTCAGAGTCGCACGGAGGGAGCTGTTCGCGAGCCTTCTTTTCTTTCATGGCGCGTCGCTTTAGAGCCTTGGCCTCCAGGGCATTCAATTTCTCGTTAAACGGGGCAGGTGTCTTTTCGAAAAACTTCCTCGCCTCTTGAGGGCCCTGCTCCATGGACTCGATGGCTTGGTCCCACCAAGTAGCAACGGCGGGATCGACCTTTTCACCGGTTTTAGCTGGGTGGCAGGCATTAATTGCAGCCTGGAGTTGCCGTTGAGACTTTTTCAGCGAGTTTTTCTGCTTCCAGGAAGTTAGTTGACTGAATTTCTCGCCGGGGGGAGGGTGGGAGGAGGTGAGCCCTCACCGAACGCTTGCATTCACTGCCAGCATCAGCCTGCGCTTTGCGTCTTGGGGCACGCGGCCGGGGGATTATCTCCTCGGACCCACTGCTCTTGTATGTGGGCCTGGGCTGTGGAGAAAGGACTTCCAGCTCGCTGGCTGTTCTGGTTTGCACTGAATTGTTACCTGCACCAGAACTGACAGAGGAAGGGGCCGACTCCTCGACTGAAGTCGATGTTTCTATCACAGGTGCAGGCTCATCGCTGTCCTTACTGTCTGACTGGCTGTTGCTGTCTGACTGGTCGTTGCTGTCCGGCTGCTCTTTGCTGTCCGGCTGCTCTTTGCTGTCCGACTGCTCTTTGCTGTCCGACTGGTCTTGGTTATCTGTCTTGACATCGGTCTGAGTAAGGTCTTCGCCTTCCATAGTCACAGCCCGTTCGATGACCTCAGGCTCACAATCTTTAGCAGTCAACTTTGGCTCAGCATCGACGTCTATTTCGTATTCCTCGTCAACCTCATAGATAATACTGAGCGGTCTAGGCCCTTCAACCATCAAGGTGTCATATTCAAATCCATTGACAGCCGCTTGAGGAGTCTCGACGTTCTCAACGAGTTGACCATCCTCGCCGGGCTCGTCCTTCTCAATACTATCATCAACTACGGCACAAGTCTCCGGAGATGGCATGGAAGACGGCAGAGTTGGCAGAAATGAGTTCGGAACCTTGAACAATCTAGCCGCTGCAAGCTGTCAGCTATCCCTTCCTCTCCATGTCTCCAATCATCTCATCAAGCCAACACATCGGCTGATAGAGAGGATACTCACCCAGTCGGCGCAGTTTAATCTGACGCATTTTTTCCATACCCTGCACTGTCATAGTGCTAAGTCGGGGTCTAATCCAGTGGTAGGCCCTCACAATCACGGCAGGATGAAAAAGATCAAGAATAAGAAGCAGAAACTCAAGAGGACCCGCGAGACGATACAGGCCCAGGAAACTACCGACTTCTACCAACAGCAAGCAAGCCATCTGGTCAGCATGGAACTTCACTCAAATAAAGCAACCCACTTGCAGGCATACAAAGACGCTGCGCAAGAAATAGAAAAACAAGAAAAAAAAGAAGCAAGAGAAAACAAAGAAACTCACTGATAATAAAATTCCAGCACGCTTTGCTGACACGATAAACAGTGTACAGAGCCACGCTTACCAGAAACGCATTGCAAATCACACCCAGAGATCCATAATAGACCAAGTTGGCATACCAAAAAAGCTTCAACCTCCGCATGCTACCTGGGGCTGGTTCACGTCTCACTCCTCACTCTGGACCCAGCCAGGCCGGCAGGCAGATCGGCGACCTGGGCTGAGACACGTCCCTCGTTTCACTCCGGACCTGGGTAACCTGAGACACGTCCCTTTTCTCAGGAATGAGATAGCTTCTCTTGACTGTTTGGGTAGAATACCACGTCTCAGGGGTTGATCTAGACCACTCGACTAACAAGCCAGACACGTCCACTCACAAAGACGAGGTGACGAAGTGTACTGGGGAGAGGTAAGATGTAGAAGAGAGAGATCACAGGAAGGAAAGAGAAGAGGAAGAGAGAAAAGAAGGGGGGGGGCTTCAAAAAGCGGATCCTCCAGCGAGATATCATTCACAAGTCATGAATTATACGATAGGATACAGTTTTACGGCTTCTCTCGGCGTCGTGAAATATCTCCTAACCGATCTCTTGGAATACAGCTGAAAACAGGTCAAGATAGATGGGCTCGCGATGTGTATTACTTCACTCCGTGTTAGGGTATCTAGGATCCCGTGAACTCATACATCCGTAATAGAGTCCAAGGCTGGAGGTAAGCAATCATAGATCCGTCTCTGGTTTCTTTCTACTCTGCCTGGATAGCAACAAAGGTAGGTTGGGTGCTAGAGACTAAACAGGCTTGTTTCTGGTTTTGTGGTAGCCACAAACTCAAAGATATTTGGCTGCTCCAGCCGTAATGTTGCGACAGTACGACACAACCAGCCAAGCCCTGCTCAGGGTGGAATTCACCAAAGTACTCCTAGCCAAAGAAAGTAGAAACACACTGACTGAGTCTCAAAAAGAAAAGAAAAAGAAAATAAAAACACAATAAGGAACAAAAGAAAAGGGGACATAGGCTGACATCTACACGGAATTTCCAATATAACACGATAAGAATTCTTTTTTCCATTGTATATGATGCTAAAATGTAGCTGAGGTAGGTAGGTAGGTAGGTAGTAGGTAGGTAGCTATTCTAGCATAATTCCTAGGTAGATCTCACCACCAACAAACCAACCAATCAGCCAACCATAGATGATACAGAGACCATACCATCCATGCCAACCCAACCCAACCAAATCAAATCAAATCAAATCAAATCAAATCAAATCAAATCCATCCTTTAACCCATCAACCCAGCCCAAATGCATGCCAGAAACTGTCAAATCGCCAGAGGGAGATCTCGTACACAGGTATCTCAAATATCAAATGCAACGCACCACACGGTAAGAAAGAGGGGAGATGGAGGGAAAGAAAAGGAAAGTTAACGGGAGGGAGATAAGAGAAGGAAGAAAAGGAAGGGGGGGAGGGAGGAAGAGAGTTCCCAGTCCATCCATCTACCCATCCACCAATCCACCCTGACATCCGTCCATCACTACTCCAACAAATGCACGCATACCCAGAATCCGAAAACAGATGCCGATCCGGACCCAACTAGAAAAGAGATGAGATAAAAATAGAAGAGAAGAGAAGAGAAATGGTATCGAAGTCATTCGTGACAATGCAGACCGATCTACTTTGTAGTCTGCGGGTAGAAGAATCTAACAGAAACTTTTTGACTGAGAGAGAGTGTGTGTGTGGAGTTTTAAATAAATATAATAGTAGGTAGTGGTAGTAATACGAGATGGTAGAGAAGGACAAGATGAAATGAAAGTAGATAGAGGGGTATAAAGTTTAAGTCGTCAGAGAGAGAGAGAGAAAAAAGGAGGTAAGCAGGAAGGGATAGAGGGAACCCGACGTGGGCATGATGAGGGTGAGAGGTTGGATTATTTTTCTTGCAGTAGTAAGTAATGTGCGTATTCTTCTTTTCTTCTTCTCATGCATTCACAGCCTGTTCGGGAGGGCTGGGGGAAAGTTTCTGTGGTGTGGTCTCGTTGCTGCCGGCCGTGGTGGAGGACAGTCGGTCTTCGGTCACAGTCGTCGTGGAAGGATCCTGGAAGGCCGTGACGAATGAGCTTTCGGTGAATTTAGAGCTGGTGTCTATGGCGTCGTCGCTCTTCACTTTCCGTACTCCGCTGTAGACTCTGCGCGGGATGTCGTTGAAGTCGCCGGACTCCTCGGGGAAGTGGACGCTATTCCGGGCGCCGGGGCTCACGCTGCGCAGAGAGTGCGGGTGACCCGGGTGCAAGGGCTCCGAAATGATGGAGTTGGCAGCACTGGCAATGCTTGGGTCAGAAGCTCTGGGCTCGTCGGACGGGGTGGGCTTGCGGAGCTTGAGGCGCTCTTCGGGCGGCATGTTCTGCCATTCGCTGCCGAACGTGACGATCGAGGCCTTCTTGCCGTGGACCGTGAAGCTGGCTGATTTGCGTGACAGCCCTCCGCCTTCCAGGGGTCCAGGAGTATCATCTTGCTCCGTCCCACCGGGTGCCGACTCGCGGGACTTCTTGCTACGAGGATAGTGCACATGGGGCACGCCAGGGGAGTCACGGAGAGTCCGGTGGAGGCTGCGGCGGATCCGGCTCGTGCGATCCATCTGAGACGTTTCTTGTGAGTCTGAAGGCTTCTGATCGATTTCGCCGTCCATGATGACAAGAGATTGTCTCTTGGACTGGGGCGAGGTGCTTGCGTCAAGCAAGCCAGCCTCGCGAAGGATTCGATCTTCGCCCTCGTCGAAGCTTCCGGGAGCCGTGATCTTGGAAGCACGGGAGCCCAAGCTGGAGACCTCCAGTCGACTACTAGCGCTGAGCACGGATGCTTCTCGAGTCAATCGGTTCGTGGGGGCGGGAGAAGCTGACTTCGTGCGTTCTTTCAGGTCGTCGATGGAGAGCCGTCTTCCGGCGCGAGAAGCGACCTCGAACGAGGCGAAGGACGCGGGGATGCTGGGTCTTCGGACATCATCTGCAGCAGGCTGTGATGACGGTGGCTGGTTGATAGAGGGCGGCTTGATGGATTCGGGGTGCGGCGAAACCTCTATGATCGGAGATATCACCTTTTCAGCCACACTTTCTTCCTGTGGTTCTTGCACGGAGGCGCCGTCTGCATTTGGGATCTGTAACTGCAAACGCTTCGGGTCGGCTGGAGGTTGCGCCTCGCTGTCTCCTTCACCCAGCTCTCGGACGAGAACCTCACGGTAGCACCTGGTACGCCAGAGATCCTGCCTCACCCATTTGAGCTTCGCGGCCATCCGTCCCGCCGCCAGAATCACGTTCTCTCGCGCCCTGGAGTGCACCGGAGTTAGAACCTGCAGATGTCTAGCGCTTCTCAGCAGATCATCCAGTTGCCGCTGGCTCACGAAGAGCTTTTCGTTCGCCTCCCGGATCTTTTGGCGCAAAATCTCACTTCTCACGACAATTATGTCTTCACCCACCTCCGTCTCAGGATTTGGGGAAGGTGGCTCTTTGTCCGCGGAAGAGTCGGTAGAGCCCCTGCGGCTCATCCGATTCCGCTGCGCGTCGTAGTTTGTGGCCATCATGCCTTTGCTCCGAACGCCAGTTGTCCGAAAGGCGGAGGCATAATTCAGCTTCGCCAACCAGTCATTCATGTCGGATTCACTGTTGGCCAGGAAGACCTCCTCCATGGCGTTGTGGCGAACGAAGACAAAAGCATGCTTGTGCTTCTTGTAACCAGAATCTATCAGCGCCACTGCGTCCTCGGTTGGCATAATGCCGTCAGGTTTGAAGTCCGTCAGAGGCGGTTTGAAAGTGACAGCTCCACGGCGAGCTTCCTTCTGGTGGGATTCATGCTGGTGCATGAGCGACTTCACCCAGTTCACATCCCGGAAGAAATACAGCTTCGAAAATGTGAGGAGGGCACCCCATTCTTGCCATGGGGATCTTGCCTTCTTCTTCTTGGGGTCCTTGCGCCACAGTAACCCCACCTTGGCCACTTTGATATCCACCAGACCTGGACTAGAATCCACCGGATTTTCCATACTAGCCGGCATGAATGCATCGGGCCGTGAGCGAAGTGAGATTATCTGCAGAATAGCTGCTTTGGAAAATGCCCGATGAAGGCATTCAATATCGGGCGGACCTTCGGTTCCATCGCAGCGGTACGGGTCTTCCAAGTTCATAACATCCTTCAGGCTTGGTCGTAGAGAGTCAAGCTTGCCATCCATGATCAAAGTATAGGGATCCACCGGCTCTTTGGAGGAACGACCCAGATGGTCTGAGCTAGCGGTCTTGAACAGAGTTCGTCGCGGCTTGGCGATCTGACGCCCGTTTGGATTATTATCCTCGATGTGAATGAAGGGGGTATACGAGATGTTCTCATAGAAGCACTCCAAGATATCCTCGGCGATTCCTTCCCCGCGGCAATTCTTGACATAGTCCGGCTTTTGCATCTTGCGCTTGTTATTCTTGTTGAAGACATCAGTGTGCAAGATCAGGATCGAAAATGCAATAAAGTAAGCCTGGTCTGGTTATGAAGGTCAGCTAAATACTCAAGGGGCGACGGAAGAATATGTACCTGTGCTGGCGAAGATACCGGGGTTACATTCGTGGTATCTATCAGCAAAGCTCTGAATGAAGCGATCGATCTGCTGGGTTTCTTTGGGCAATTCCACTTCCATCAACAGTTTCCTGACAGCCATATCAATGGGGTCCCCAAAGAAAGAGAATCCCCGCATGTACTTCCGCAGAGCGGTTTTGTAGAATTCATCATTCGACTGGGAGAGCACGCTGGCGATAACACTCTTCGGGACCGTTGCCTCCAGTCTCTCCAGATAAGAGGCGGGCGTGTCACTCTCCTGTCGTTCCGGATACGATGGCCCTTTGGAAACCGGAGTCTCTGTCCCTCGGGCAGCGGGGGACCCGCTTCTGGGAAACGGTGGTTCCGAATTTTGTCTCAACCGCTGCGGGATGTTGAAGAGGTCGCCAAAGCTCTTGCGTCCGCTTGTCGAAGTGGACGTTCGCCCTGATGAGGTGAGATGAGGCGATGGCTGTTGCTCGCTATCTCGGATATTGGCCAAAGAATCCAATGTAGACGATCGAGCTCGCGACGTGGGAGGTCGACGCTGGCGAATGGAGGGTGTCGAGTGACTCGAATGGGCTGAGTTTGCTGAATCCTTTCGCAGGAGGGGAGGGCGGGGAGAGGAAACGCCTGTGGAACGTGATGGCGACGGCAGCGGGGAAACATGATCTTGGTCTTGATCATCTGAGACGTCGGATCGTTGAATGGAACGGCCGTGGACGGTCTTGGGCGTACGCCCATTGAGCGACTGCGACCCAGTCGGCTTAGGGGGGAGTGGGAAAAGGGGAGCCTTGTTTCGCTTTAAACGCGGCATCCGAAATCTCTTCGCACTGGTGATTGACCCTTCGCTCGAAGGAAGCCCACGGGAGGCCCCATGGTCAGGGTGATCCTGGTCAGAACGCGAGGATTCGGAGAACCGCACGTCCGTTGCAGAAGAGCGGTGGGAATCGTTAGGCTGTTCACGGCCACTGCTCCGTATGGACGTGGTCGACAGACGACCCGGTTCCTCTCCACTGACTCGAGACGCAGGTCGGCTGGGATCCACGGTCTGTGACCCTATCGAACCTTGAGCGACATGTCGGGGCTTTCCGTTGAGGCCCGGCTGCTGTGCAGGGATCTCCTCCACCGTCGGCTTTTTCCCGTCCGGGAAGAGCTTAAATTTATTCTTTCGCTTCACAGGTTCTTCGGGCTCATAGGTGGTCGGTGCAGTGGTGATGATCGTGGGGGCTGCGAAGCGCACAGACATTGGATGGTTAGTTGACAGGAACCAAACTGAGGGAGGAAGGGAGAGGGAAATGGAGCAGATCCGAGGGACAGAGGTCTACTTACGCGGAGGCAAGGACGGGACAGGAGGGATATCCTTCGCAGCCTTGGCATACGATTTGGATAACTGCGGGTCCGACGCATGACGAAGCCTCATGAAACTGAAACGATTCATCCGCCAATTCGGGCCGCTCCCCGGCGTGAGGGCGTTCCCAGGATATCTTGACCGGGTTGAGGAGTCATCTGCGCGACTGCGAGATTGCGTCAGACGGTTGTGATTGTTGTCGTCGGCCACATAGTCGGTGTGCTCGCCCTCCTCTGGACCGGCCAGAGACGGTGAGCGCGGCGCGGACTCGGAATGCCTTGGGGGGAGGGCGGTCGTGGACAGGTTCGGACGAGGGATCTGTTCACTATGGCGGGATTGTGGGTGCGGTTCCAGCAACATGCTCCGTCTCTTCGCTTCGCTGTCGGAGGTGCCGATCCGCAGCTTCCAATGCATTGTTGCGACGTTTCCAGGGGGATTTTTTATGTAATCCTGCAGCGCAGCGTGTTGGAGTGACCCATCCGAAATTACTCGACTATAGTTTGCGATCGTCCCAAAACCAGGTCTTCAGTCGGACGTGCGATCGGAGGGAATCTGGCGACCTAATCTCTAAGGATTTTGCGTGAGGTTGTCCCCGTGGAACAAGCCAATTTGCATCGCGAATCGACCGAGGGGGGAGAGACAAGGCGAGCTGGCAGCGCAAGGAGGTGGGGACAAGATCGCTGGGCGGAGCGCGGTGGTAAAAAGGGGGGGGGAAAGGAGGCGGAGATGGTCGGTTCCCAGGCGAAAATGTAGCAGTACGAGATAATTGCGAGGGTCGCCAATGGCCGCCGTCACATCGCCAGGCGGATGATATACGGAGGGGTGGGTGCGCGTCGAGAATTGGGGGCGTGGAGAGAAGGACAGGGAGGTGAGGGGAGGGCCAGGCAAACCAGGTTGCAGCTAGAGACGGGTGCAGAGAGTTTTGCAGGACTCCCGAGGGAATGATAAATGACGAAGGAGGGGGGGAGGAATGAAAGAAAAGAAAAGAGACGGACAGGGAAGAGCAGAAAGAAAAAGGAAACCCACGGAGAACGGGGGGGGGGGGGGGGAGAAGAGGGAGGGGGCCAAGCAGATGATGATGTTGCGGTGCTGACGACGGAGGAGGAATCCAGAAATAGTGGAGAGAGAAGAGCGAGAGCGAGTGGGTTGAGTGGCCGGGCCGATACCACCACCTCCTCCTCCTCCTCCTGCATCCTACACGTGCCGCTCGCCTGCCCTGCCTGCCCATTATTTCCAGCCCGTCAGCCCCCTGGTCTATCTAGATGCATATTAACCTTGACGATTATTATTCCCTACAATCTACAGGTCTGGTCGGCTGGTTCGGATGCACTAGAGATGATGCATAGGATGTGCTTCAGATCCGGACCTGCAATCGGGACTGCAGGCCGTCGGGGGGTTTCCAGTGTTTCCAGTGGGCGGTTTCTATGTTTAACTTCACCCCCAGACGAGCCCCTACCCCGATCCTGAGGATGGTGACTAACGAGATGTGGCTGTATCCAGATATAAAAATGGATATAGGGGGGTGGTGTCCTCATCGCCGTGCCCCTTGGAGTTAAACACACAAACACCTCTTACTACCGGAGGTATGTACCTGGTTCCGCCCTGCCTCCCATCAACGAAGGGAATGAGGATCTGGTCCAGACGGGTTTCATCCCGACCGAGGGACAGGCAACTTTCTGGGGAGGGTTGGATGATTGTGTCATAGGCGCACTTTGACCATATTGCGCTCTGCTATAGCAGCAGCCGGCAGAAAGAAAAGAAAGGGACTGGCTGGTTTTGGGCCCCCCCACCACGTGACCGCGTTCTGGCCACGTCAGGCCCCAAGGCCTGTCGTCATCTCTCCCTCCGCCCGCCGCCCGCGACGGACCTCGTCCCCTGCCCCAATAATCTTGAAAACTTGATTTGCATCATCGTATTAACCGCACAAAGCCGGGTGGTCTCGCTCTCTGGCCATGCCATGCATGCTGCCGGGCCCTTCCAATTGGACTTGCTCATCGACCTTCGACCTTCATCGACCTTCTCCCCGGCGTCCTGACCCTCCGAACCAGGGTTCACATTAGGAACCGAACCGCATGTTGTGACCCGACCTTTCATTTCCAACGTGGAGTGCTGTTACGTCAAGGGGTTGGGGACTGGGATTTTCTGAAACCCGCCTGGAATGGGGTGCATGGTACGGAGTACTCACTCCGTGCATATAACAAGATCACCGGTCACAGCTGACCATGTTTGCGACAACAACTGGCGATGTCTCCACCCTGGAGGGGCCTGGTGAGGTTCGATCGATCCACAAAATCGACTTCTGCAATCTACTTCTCAACAAACCCATACATACATCAAGGAACAGCACTCATTGAGCTACCACAAAGCTTTCGCGACCGAGAAGGCTGGCTGTTGGTAACGAGAACCTCGGACCATCGGGACAAAGAATGTGAACAGAGTTGCCAATATCCGCGGGATGACGCCAAGCAAACAGAACAACTTTCAAAGCTGGTGACGGAGATAAGGACCTTCCTACAGGGTCCTGCGGTTCCGCGCATTGACGGCGATTTGGGAAGCTACCCCAGTTCCATTGCAATCATGCCTTCCATTCTCACTCGCGCTGGCACCAACTTCCTGCTTCCGAGCCATGGCAGACCCGGTCTTGACTGCAGGGTTGTCGGTGCGACCGTGTAGAGCGCACTGCGAGGAGAGGTGCGAGCCCATTTTACCCTGGTGACGGCGCCAAATTGCACCCACGTCCTCGTCATCAAACGTGAGTGCAGTTCGAAGGTATCAAATCTGTTGAGCGCGGGTTTCTCTTCCGAGGTGGCACTGGCGCCTGCAACATGCCAAGAGAGGTTCGGGGGTGCGAGCCCTTGTAGACGATTCCAAGAGTAACGTAGAGATCTTTTGCACCCACCCATGGAAGCGGAATTTGATTTACACATGGGACGTGTTGATTTGAGATCCTTGGTGCAGGTGAAGGTTGGCTGCAAATTTATCGAGATCCTTGGCCCCTCTGGCGTGGAAGCATGGCAGTGTCTGCCAAGCACGGAGCTATGCACCTCCCTCTCTATGAAAAGTCCTCGTAGTTGAGATAGAAACAGTGCCTAGTAGTGGTCAGTAGGCTCGAGCTGTTAAGTACTTGGCACATAGTCGGAGTTTTTATTTATAGATGATGGAAATATAGGATCGCTTGACAACTATCTTACTTGTCAATATATATATTCATTTCCTAACGTCCACTTAACACTACAAAAGAAGGAACCAATAAGCCATCAATAGCTATGGCAGCTGATAGGTTATAAACATAAATTTTCTGGAGTATCTACTCTGTAGCAGTACAGTTATTCGCCGACAGTTGCTGTTGAAACCAGAGACAGCAGACTGGCAGCGTCGACCTTTCCCAAAGCGGGAAGGCAAGCTGGGCGGGCCCACCGGGGCGTGACAGGACACCATCCCCAAAGCGGCTAGCCCCAGGGCTGTCCCTGGACGCGGACTAACCGGAGGCGGCCTAGCTGCCGAGCCATCATGGAAGCTGCATCAGCCATGATCCATCAGAGCTTGAAAGTCCCGCCACCAGACGCAATTAGGCTAATGATCTCATGAGCTATCGACAGCTCAATCTCCTCTATCTACTCCGTACTATCCCTCGGCATCTCTGTGCCGGCTGCGATGCCATGTGCCTGCAAGTGATAAGTGATGTGTGTGACAGGTGACGATCAGCCTTATCCGGCCGGGTGCGGCGCCAGATACTCGACCAGGGCCACTACACGTGTCTGATCTGTATATACATAGTGCACAGTAGGTAGTGCGATGGAAGCCGGCCAACGCTCAGTATATCCCACTCTGTAGAGCAATGGCAGCGGCCCAAGAGGGTGGAGTTACATCGCGTCGTGGGCGGAATGCCCGATGCCGGATGCGCCATATGTTGCTGCCTGAGGCACTCGCGCCGCACAGCCCGCCTCCACCTTCCCGTCGCGGTTTCTCTCCTCTCTCTTCCTCTTTCTCCTCACTGCTTCTGCTTCTGCTTCTGCTCCCCCTCCCTCTCCTCTCATCCCCTCTTCGATCCCTCGTGTCGTTATCCCGCTCTTCTTTCCCATCAGCTGGGAGGAAATGACACGATAGCTCGCACACATTGGGGATTTTCTGCATTCATAATGCGTCATCTCTTATCACTGCTCCTGCTTCTGGTCGCATCGGCCGTGCTGGTATCCGCCGTCCCCGCTGGCTCCAGCATCACTCCACCGCCGCCCCCCCAACCCGTCCACCTCTTGTCGTCGCAGCCCTCCGACCACCGACGGCCATGGACTCGACTCCGGGACTGGGTCATCGAGTCCATCTGGGGAATCGACCAACCCGCCGCCCATCGTTTCCCAAACACTGATTCCCCGCGCGGTCGCTCTTCGCCATCCCGGATCCTGGCGCGCTACGGCAGCGACGTCGTGCTACGGTTCAACCTGCGCAACGAAGATGAGGCGGAAGCATTGGCCCAGGCGGCCGATATTCTTTTTCTGGATGTCTGGGCATCGACACCAGCCTTCGTGGACATTCGTCTGGCGGAGGAAGTCGTGAGTGACCCATTGCGATAGGCATCCGTCTGACTCATGACTGATCCACATTGGTAACCCTGCTAGATTCCTTCCCTATTGGGCCTACTACCCAAATCCCTGCAAACTGCGTACACTCCGCTCATGGACAATCTGGCGGAGATGATTTATACTTCGTATCCTCCGCGAAAACCGGTAGGGCTGGAAGGGCAGGCCGGCTTTGTGCCCTCGGGCCGAACCTCGGCCCATATGGGCGACCTCTTCTTCCACGAGTATCAACCCCTCGCGGTCATCGTACCCTGGATGCGATTGCTGGCATCGATGTTCCCATCTCATGTGCGTTTCATCAACGTCGGAATCTCCTACGAGGGTCGCGAGATTCCCGCGCTCAGACTTGGCGCAGGCGGCCCCGCGGACGCCTCTAAACCCCGTAAGACGATCATCGTAGCCGGTGGCAGCCACGCCCGCGAATGGATCAGCACCTCCACAGTGAACTACGTCATGTACAATCTGATCACCAAGTACGGAAAATCCAAAGCCGTCACCAGCCTCCTGGAAGACTTCGACTGGATCATGATCCCCACGCTCAACCCCGACGGATACGTCTACACCTGGGATGTGGACCGGCTGTGGCGCAAGAACCGCCAGCAGACCAGCCTGCGCTTCTGCCCGGGGATCGACCTCGACCGAGCCTGGAACTTCGAATGGGACGGGGAACGGACCCGCTCGAACCCATGCTCGGAGACGTACGCGGGCGATGAGCCGTTCGAGGGCCTGGAAGCCCAGCAACTTGCTCAGTGGGCCCTCAACGAGACCCGCAACAACCACGCCGAGATCGTCAGCTTCGTTGACCTGCACTCCTACTCGCAGCAAATCCTCTACCCGTTCTCTTTCTCGTGCTCCACGGTCCCACCCACCCTGGAGAGCCTGGAAGAACTTGGTCTCGGCCTCGCGAAGGTCATCCGCTATGCAACCCACGAGATCTACGACGTTTCATCCGCCTGTGAAGGCACCGTCACGGCTGGCGTGAAAGGGGAGCTCGGTCGGTTCTTTCCCATCGGCGGCAGCTCCGGCGGCAGTGCGCTGGATTGGTTCTACCACCGGCTGCACGCGACCTTCTCATACCAGATCAAGCTGCGCGATCGCGGCAGCTACGGGTTCCTGCTTCCGGCCCAATACATCATTCCCACAGGCAAGGAGATCTACAACGTCATTCTCAAGCTGGGGTCCTTCCTGATGAAGGAGGACTCTTTCGACATCGACTGGGAGTCAGAGCTGTACAGCCTGGCCTCGGATCTCCCAGAACCCTCATACGCCGGGCGTAAGAGTGATACACAAACCCAGGGCCCGATTGACCTCGACTATGAGGAATGGGAGATGGTCGACCCTGCAGATGACGACGTTGAAGACGAAGACGAATATGAATATGAACACGACCACTCATTTGAGTTCCGACGCTAGACCGTCGCCTTGTCGCCTTTACTGCCTTGCGCTATATTGATATGATCACCGACCTACCTACCCCGTGAGCTTGCGCGGTTCATACTCACCCGACCTTCCTTCTGTACCACCCTCCCTTGATTGATGACGGCCTGGATGACGATCTTAATGACTAATGATGGGTTTGGCTTGGAAGTTAGGAAATTAAGAACTTACTGTAGTAGGTGGTGAGGCAGTTGGTTAGCTCTGGTAGATAGTGCCTGCCTACTATACATAATTCTTTTGTTATATGCGTTGTCGTATACTTTACTTGTGCTGTGGCACACGCCTACTATATACCCATGTATACAATGTAGGTAGTATTTAGGTAACTACCTAACATGGGCTGATTAATCGTATCTCGAGGTCTTCCAGCTATCTTGCTTCCTTGCTTCCTTGCTTACATGCTTACATGCTTGCTTACCCGCCTACCCCGACAAGTCTGATCATGTCGACGTCGAGCCGAACCACTGCCCACTGCAATTATGCATGCTCAAAGCGAAGCCCTCCCCCCAACCCCCTCAGTCCCTTCTCAAAAGCCCCAGTAGTAGTCAGGTCGATCGGGGTAACAGGGCCTGTGAAGGTGGCGCGCACGTGGCGGTGCCAGTGTTGGATCTGGTCGAGGAGGGGGGGGGGGGAGTGGCGGACGCGGTGGGTAGGCGTTAGGACGTTTAGTACCAGTGCCGGTGCCAGTGCCAGTGCCAGTGCCAGTGCCAGTGGGGGTTATCAAACCCCGACAGCTTCCTGCGCTATGGAGGATCTAACTATTCAACTCGCCAGGGGGCTGTTGTACCTAGGTAGGTAAGGTATAGTACTAGGGACTACTAGGTAGGTAACTAGTAAGTAGGTAGTAGGTCAATCCGTGTTCATTACCATCTATTAACAACTACCTACTAAAGTTACACGTCCCTGACCATCTACCGGTAACCCACACTCCACCGCCCACAACCCACAACCATGTTAACGGTAGTATAATCAAACATACCCAAACCCTTCTCATAACCCCCCAACCAATTGACTCCCCTCTCTCCTCCCCACCCCGCCTCACCTCACAAATTAAAAAAAAAACAACTACTACTAGATCAAAACAACCATGCCACAAAATTCCGATAAAACCACCCCGCCCCAGCATGCCTCTCCTCCTTCATGGCCTGTCTCCGATAATACGCCTCCTCCTCACGATCGACCTGATCCTTACCAGACCACAAATCGGCCTCAGTGGGAACCACGCCCTTACACCTGGTGAAGACCTTATACCCAAAGATAAGAAGTAGATAGAGGGGGATACCAAGATAAGCGACGATGAAGGTTTTGTAGTCAAAGTCGCCCCATTTCTCGTTGTGGGTGAAGCAGTCATAGCTCTTGGTGAGGCAAATGATGATGCAGAAGACGAGGGCGATATAGGATCCCGGGGCGCCGAGGGGGGCGCTGTAGGCGAGGTCGGAGAGGGGGACGTTTTGGGCTTTGCGGGCGCGGACGAAGTAGATGTGGGTTACTAGGAGGGAGATCCAGGTCAGGAGGCCAAAGATGGTGACGAGGTCGACGAAGTAGTGGAAGACGGTTTTGGAGTCGGTGGAGACGTTCATGTAGGCGATGCACGCGATGGCGGAGCACAGGAAGAGAGCGTAGATGGGGACGCCGCGGCCGTCTGTTTTGGAAAGGAAGGCGGGGGCTTTGCGTTCGCGGGAGAGACCGTAGATAGTGCGAGTGGCGATGTAAAGGTCTGAGTTGGCGGCGGAGAAGACGAAGAGGAGGATACAGGCGTTGAGGATGTGGGGGAGGACGGGGATGTGGGCGAGCTGGATGGCCACGACGAAGGGGGAGGCAGCCGCGGAGCTGGACTGTTTGGTGGCAAAAATGAGGTCGGGGCTGTTGTAGGGGACGAGGGTGCCGACGAGAAGGACGGAGAGGATGTAGAAGACGACGATGCGGAAGAAGGTGAGCTTGATGGCGCGGGGGATGGTCTTGCGGGGGGCTTCGGCCTCGCCGACGGTGACGCCGACGAGCTCGGTGCCCAGGTAGGCGAAGGTGGCGGAGACCATGGTGGCCCAGAGGGCGTAGAAGCGGCCAGCGGCGCCGTCGTCGATGTAGGTGTTGAAGGCCCCGGGCTTCTTCCAGTAACGAAAGCCCTTGCGGTCGTGGTCGGGCCCGCCGCCGAGCATGAGGATGAATGAGAGGAGGATTATGCCCAGAATGACGATGACCTTGAAGGAAGAAAGCCAGAACTCAAACTCGCCAAAGAAGCGAACCCCAAAGTAGTTGATCGAGACGATGAGAATTAGGAAGATCGTGATCCAGACGCCCGGGTTGACTCGATCCGGATTGACCCAGTAGGAGATGACGAGGGCGCCGGCAGTGAGCTGGTTGGGGGTAACGATAATGTATTTGAACCAATACCTGCGAGATATACAGTCAGCGAGTAGACTAGAGGGCTTAGGTGTGTGTGAGAGAGAGAAGGAATTCATACGTCCAGCCCAGAGCAAACCCAAGTGCCGGATCACAGAACCGCACAGCGTATCCCGTAAAGCCCGAAGCCAGGGGCAGCCATGCAGCCATTTCCCCAAGACCACACATGACCAGATAGACGACAAGGCCGACCACAGAGTAGGATATAAGGATAGAGGCAGGACCGGCCCTGGGATCGAGCTGTCAGCGGTGCGCACACGCGATATTGGATGCCCACGCCCACTTACTTTGCCAGAGCGGACCCCGTTCCAATAATGAGACCCGTCCCAATTGCACCCCCAATGGCTATAAGCCTGTTAGAGGAGTCTGTGCTGCACGTCAGAGATCGGATCGCACATACCGATCATGGTGATATGACGGGCCTTGAGGGCGCGGCGGAGGTCATGGTCGCCCTGGGCCGGCTCGATGTCCGCGTCGGCCGTGAAGAAGTCAGCGACATACTGCCTGTCGGGGGGCTGTTTGCTAATGGACTGTTGTTTCTCGACCAGGCCGTCGGGGGTTTCATGTTCTGGGTTGCTCATTTCTTAACTCCAAGACTCAGAGGCACTGGTGGTGATAAACAAGGTAGGTTATAAGAAGAGGAAAGGAAGAATGCTAGTAGGGGAAGGTCTGCGACAGGAGAAAAATGTTACAGATGAGAGTTGGAGGGGAGGCTGACATGGAGGAGGGATGTTCCCCGCTGGGGTGAATGAGGAAGGAGGGCGAGGACTGCCCTGCGCTGTCAGCCACTCGACCCTGACCGGATCAGACCCGACCAGACGGCAAAACAGGGTCACCAGGCTGCAGAGTCACACCGGAGAGTTCCAGCCATCAGCCATTTCGGAGTGAGGACTCGGAGGTTTCCAACTGACAGCTGCAGGACGGGGGGTCTGCCATTGGCCCGGTTGACCATGGCTCATGCGCATCGCAGCGGACGGGCTTGGCGTGGTCAAGACAAGGCTCGATTTAGCCAACTACCAGACTACGTACTACTATAATACTCCTCAGCCCTGACAGCAGAACACCCATGGATCCAGCCACCGGCAGCCAGATGAGGCCTATCATGTGGTTGGCTCTGGCGTGGATGGCGCCATTGCGGTGTCTTCCCCACGGGGTATCCCGGGGCCCTCGGCGGGGCCGAGAGTTAGGTAACAGATACCTCCCCGCCAGCCCCGCCAAGCTCGCCAAGAGCCCTTATCAGTTGCGTCCACATGCCCAGAGTCGGTAGAGTTTCTGTATGGCTGGGTCGGGAGGGGAAGTACTACCTCAGTCAGGCCCTCATCCATTGTTCCAGCTTATAGCCGCGACCAGGTGATTCTACAAAAGTAGGTAACAGCAACTCAAATTGGAAATTATCGGCGGTCTACATGTAAATCTAAAAATGAACAAGGGGGTGGGGGAGGGGGGGATTCGATTGCATCGCATACACGAGCGCAATGCTAAAAAAACACAATCATCTCGTTGGTCCTGACACCATCATTATCATAGGTATGACCCCCAAACAGATGTTTCATCCAACAACCTCTAGCTAGGGCGATGTGTCGCTACTCCCGACTCCCCCGATAGTGTCAGTCAAAAACTCACGATCCTCACTACTCTGGACAAGATCGTAGAAAAGCCCCTGGCCGCTCAAGAGCTCAGCCGGCGTGCCATTCTCAGCGACCTCTCCGCCACGCAGAACCAAGATCTGGTCGAAAGATGCGATTGTCCGCAAGCGATGCGCGACCACGATCAAGGTCCCGTGAAACTGGCTCCGGATGGTCTCCTGGATCAACAGGTCTGTTTTGTTGTCCACAGCCGACGTCGCCTCATCCAGAATGATGATCTTCGGGTTCTTTATCAGGATGCGAGCCAGGCAGAGCAGTTGGCGCTGACCTTGGGACATGTTGGCCCCACCTGCGCTGATCGGGGAGTTTAGGGTGAACAGACCCGATTCCTCGTCCTCGCGGCTCTCCGCCAGCAGCTTGACGCGTCGTAGAGCCTCCTCTAGCTTGTCAGTCGGGACCTGCCCGAAGGGGTCGAGGTTGGACCGCAGGGTTCCTGAGAATAGGACGGGATCTTGGGGGATGAACGCGATTCGGGACCGCAAGGTTTGGATCTTGACGGTGGCGATGTCGATGCCGTCGACCAAGATGGATCCGGCTTGAGGCTCCACCAGTCGCAGAAGGGCCAGTGTCAGTGAGGACTTACCGGCTCCGGTCCGACCGACGATTCCAATCCGTTTGCCTCCTTCCACGCGGAAGGACACGTCTTTCAGGACGAGGGGAAGATCAGCCGAGTAGGCAACGTTGAGGTCCTGGACTTCAACCTTCCCTTGCGATGGCCAGTCTTTGGGGACCTCTTCACCGTCTTGCCTCTCTGGTTCGAGTTCTGAATATGCGATCATATTCCCGGCCGCGCCCATGTAGGTTTCCAGCATGCCGAGGTTGTTGATTCCGAGGAACACGGCACGGGAGAACCCCATAGAAAAACTGAGAGAGAACCCAACCAGAGAAGCATCGATGAGGGACGTAGAGGTCAGAAGAACAATCCCCGTGCCGGTGGTAAATATAATGCTGGCAAGAGACAACTGGAGACCCATCCAACGACTGAACATCTGGAAGTGTCGTCGTGCAGATGACAGCCGATCAAGACGCTCGTGCATCTGATCCGCTAGCCAGTCTGCGGCCCCAAATGCTCGGATCGTCGAGACTCCCGCCGCAGAGGATGTGAAATGCTCGAAAATATCGGCCGTGGGCTCTGCGTCGGCGCGCTTCACCGTGGTGCGTGCTTTGATGTAGCGCTGACCGACTCGAACACACCGGTAAAGGAGAGTCACGGTCAAGACGCTCGTATATTTGGATGTATACAACCTGCAGATACTTAGCATAAGTCCGCGAATGGACGATAGAAATTTGTCTCACCCAATGAACGCAATTACTAGGACCTGAACGATACAGTCGGCAAAGTCAGACATAACGACGAGAACATTATCGTCCACGTTCCTGGCATCCACAGTAAATCGTCCCAGTATCTCCCCGATGGGTGTGCTGTCAAGCCAGAGGAGGGGCATTCGGAGGATTTTGTACGTAACTTTGCGCAGTAAGTGCTTAGACGCGCGCAACGACCCCGCAAACCTATGCAGATTGAAAAGAAACTCGAGCACAACGGCCAGGAGCAAAGTTAACAGATAGAGATACAGATAATGCTGTAATCCGCCATCCACACTTGCATCGCGGGGTGTACATTCCTTGGGACGTGCTGAATTGATGCGTCCCATGGTCCGTTTCGACAGGGAGTTCAATAATTGCTTCGCGATTAGGCCTAGGACATATAATACCGTGAATCCGACACCGCCTGCAGCTGCAAAGTAGCTCTTATACACATTCAAGTCTGTCCGCGCGTCGGACCTTTTCGCCTTTGTCTTGGGGCCAGCACTTTTCTTCGGCTTTTCATTAATAGGTGTAGGTTCAATAACGGCAGGTTCAATAGCCAACTCTGATTCAACTACCTCCCATTTCCCTTCAATGGAGTCTGTACCGCCTGCAGAGTTGATGGTGTTGTTTTCAATATGGACAATATATCTTGTCGCCGGTAGACACAAAGAGACCTGATGTGTCGCGAGAATCCGTGTGCGCCCTCGACAAAGCTCTCCGGTCAGTGCGTCGAAGATATCTCTGGACACGTGGGAATCCAAGGCGGAGAATATATCGTCCAGCACCAATAACTGTGCACTCGAGTATATGGCCCTTGCGAAAGAGAGTCTCGCGCGTTGACCTCCACTGAGCTTGACGCCGCGTAGACCAATCTGAGTTTCGTCCCCTTTGGGCAAAGCGGCAAGGTCGTGGTTGAGTGCGCATGCTTTCAGCACTTTCTCGTACCGCTCGTTGTCCATAGGGCTTCCAAATAGAATGTTCTCTTTGATAGTGGTATTCTGGAGCCATGGGGTTTGGGACACAAATGCAACAGGCTGTCCATCCGCTACTGATGGTGCATTGATACGACCACGAAGCAGATCGACTTCTCCAAGGATCGCAGCAAGCAACAAGCTCTTTCCACATCCCGTCTTCCCATGTATAACGCTCAGTTCGCCAACAGGGAAGTCGAGATTGATATCTTGGAGAGTGAAGTTGCGCGAAGAGGTAGTCTTTTCTTGATCATTCGGGGCTTTTACTTCATCAGAAGGCCAAGTGACGGATACGTTGTGAAATGAAACATCCCCTGACGGACTGGAATCTAGAATCTTCTCTTGTTCGGGCTTCCTCAGGTATTGCTCCATGCGGTGTGCATTGGACTTAGCGGTGAAGTAATCATGGAAGACAACAGGAAGAAACCCCAAGGTTCCTTCGAGGTGAGGCAAGAGCTCGATCATGGGGAAGATGACGGACGGAGAGATTGATCTCTCCCTGTAGGCGTAGGTGCATATTGAAGCTGCAGCGACAATAAGGGGGGATGCAACACTCCATACCAATCTTATATTCTTGGTAACGAAGCGCTTGCGCAACTGTTTAATCTCTTCCTGTCGAAACGTCTCGAGGCGCTCCTCCCACTGTATCTCCAGGGCCGAGAATTTGATTTGTCGCAGAGCATGCATAGCTTCGTTAATCGCCTTGGTCCTCTTGTCCCGCGCGACTGAAAGATTCTTCTGCGCAATTCGCTCTTGTTTAATGACGAATGTATGTATCGGTATGCTTATCGCGGTGACAATAATAGCCGTTAGAGTACTTTCCCAGCCGAGTAGTTTGATAAGGAACAACAAGGCGAAGAAAAACCTGGAAAGGGACGCGGGTATATAGTGATTGACGGCGGTGAATTTGCTATAGGAAAGAGTGTCCGATGAGATAAGATTGAGGGCTTCAGGCTTGTCAGAAGCAGCCTTGGTTTTCGTTTCCTTTGGGTCTTTTGAATCTTTGGCACGTAGCGCTTTTTGAAAAAGGGCCATGATAAGCTGTGCTCTCACTGGAATTGCCATCTCCGACCACTGTATCCACAGAAGATGATGATCAAGCACCGTATGACATGTAGAAGATACGCCGATTCCGATCAACCAGGCCCAAGCTTCCTGCGTCGAGCCCTGGTGATCCTCTAGGCTTTTTAGCAGTCGCAAAACACAGTAAGGGGAGCCAAAGGTCAGTACTGATCGCACAAACATAATAGACCATTGCTTGACCAGCTCGGCATATCGATCCGCGATCATGCGATTCCACAGGGATGTTTTCGACGCAATTATTAGCAATGGCTGACTCGTCGATCGTGTGCGGTGGCCCAGGGCAGGGAGCTCGTCAACGGCGACATGACATTCAGCCAGGCGGAGGGCACTTTCACACCAGTGCATAGAGTATTTGTGGAATGCCGACAAGCTGTCTTCGAGATCCACTGGCTTTCCCTCCGGCGTGAACAGCTCGGGCCGGCGGGGAAAGAGGATCTGGAGGATAGCCAGCGCAATAGCTGCACCGGTCTGCACCGAAGCCAGTGATAGAGCTAGAAAGGGCTCGCCACCAGTTGAGGCATCTAAAATATTGCAGCCGACAATGAGAACGGATATTAGCGACCCTCTCAGGGCGGCATTATAGATCCTGACAGGATTTTCACTCAGGGAGATATAAAGAGTGTGCAATGAAAGAACCGGCTTCGCGTCGAGTTAGCGCCATTGTATACGAATCTTTCATTTGGAGCACCTACCCACAGGATTTTGATCCAGTTGAGGAGGCCCAATGGATTAGAAACTGAGAACTGCAACTTATATTGAGCGTAGTCGCCGTTTGCAAAAGCAGCACCGAATCCGATTGCCGAAAGAATGGATGCGATCGAGGTCAGAGGTAGAATGCGGTAGTTGTACGCTGCCTCGCTCTGGCTGGAAGCCGTGCCATCCTGATCCGAATACATGCTGCCACTTACAGCACTTACAGGCGGAGTATGTACGGACAATGGTAGGTATATGAAGCGAACGATCAGTTTCGAAGGGGGGGGGGAGAATCAACCCCCAATTTCTCTGGGGAGGGGTTGGGAGGGTAAGGAGGAAGGAGCTTATCAACGGGGATCTTGTGTGGGATGGTGTCATTCCCTTAGCGCTTAGCCCGATCCTGGCCGTCGCCCTAACTCCGCCCGGTCCGCAGCTATCTCCAGCCATGCGGGTGTACTGCCGTTTTTGAACGATCAATACAAGCTTCTCAACCAAGTTCTGGGATATCTTCGCTTGCAGATCTGGTTCAAAGACCTGGAGATGAATACGGTCTAAGATATTCTTTGCCCACGGCTTAGTATTTGTCAAAGTAGTCTCCATTTCGCGCCACGCAATATGAAACTCTTTGCCCTGGAGGGATGGTGGTCTTGACGAGACATCTTGATTGATTTGGATGTTGGAAAAATTTAGAAAGGGTCTAGGTTCGATATGACAAGGGTTGGTATTTGCTATTCCAATTGATGGTTTCTCCTCAGGCTGATATGATGGTTTATTTTACTTCCATTATGTGATCCTTTGCATCTGTGCTCACCGATTCTGCGACATAGACTAAAATGGTTAGATTATGCGCGATCTTGCCAGAGGGGGAGGGATGATAGGGAAAACCTCTTAGATTCCACGACTAAAATCATGTGTTCAGATGCGCACGTAATGGTTGCAAAGACATAATACCCAAATCATGGTTCGTCGACAGACATCGGCTGGCTCCTCTGGGTATCACTTTGTCAGTCTCCCAGCCCCCCAAGGATGTCTAGTCACTTACTTGCTTAGGGACGATCCAGAAAAAGTTTGAGGTTTCCGCAACGATATCCTGTTTATTAGGCGCGTCTGTTTGGAGCCTCTTTACCATCCCCTCAAGTCCATGAATCCATGACGAGTGATCACACATGTTGTGATATTTCATCGGCACGCCATAACTTGTGTCCATGTGAGGAAAGTTAGCTTGCAATTCTTCATCGCGACGCAACCATAGAAGATACTCGTGCTTTGGGTCATATCCTAGACACCTTTTCATCTTCTCTAGAAAGATATCGTACCGAAGATCAAGAAGTCGAGTGGATAGGATTCCCTGCCAGGTATAGAGTTTAGCCGAGGGGTCATTGAATAAACCAATCGAGAATCGCTCAGGGTCACCATGAGTTCCATCATGGCTCACGCGACAGACAGTGATCCCCTGAGAGACCGATATTGGATCTGGCCCGGATTGACTGGCCCATATATCAAGTCTAGCGGCTTCTTCCTCGAGATTGGCATGTTGTTCCTGAGTGCGAGCTTTCTGCCTCCGGTATGTCCGATCCCGATACGCACAGTCGCAGAGGCATTTCAGTGTGTATTCCTGGTCTATGGCATATTTCGTCCGGAGACGTTCGGGAAAATCGTCCATATTGGCGTCAATGAGTCTGATCATCGCTTGACGGTCGGCTTTAGTTCGAGTTGTGCTAAGCTCCATGTCATTGTCGTAGAATATCTCGTGGAGCAGGTCCTGTGTAGCAAGTTTATCCCACTTTTTGTTATGCCAATCTGTGTCTTCCTGAAACCATTGCCAAATCTCCCACTTGTTCAGCATTCTCGTCCCTTGACGTCTGGAGGAAGGGTTGGCCAGTGAGTCTGCTATATCATCCAGTGAGACACTCGTAAATTGCCATTTAATGGAGTCAAGATCATGCTCACTCAAAGCCATGACTGTTCTGGTCAGAGTGGGGGCCTCACTGTAGAGAGTAGACAAGTAAAGTGAAACTGAAGTGAAAAGAGGAAGTTGAAGTTGTGGGGTGAGAAAAAGAGGAAGATGCTGGTTGCTAGAAGTGGTAACTCCACCCCACTAGAAATTAGGCCGGTAATATCCTCTGGCTTGCACAAAGAAAGCTTTGAAATATTAAATCTTTGAGTGAAGTGTGAAAGGTTTTCTTTCACCCAGTGATAGAAAGCCGATCTTACGGAGAGCCTGAGGCAACAGTCAAATATCCTGCCATGATACGTTGTAGACTGTATGGGAAGAGCATACAGGAACGAGACACCTGCCCACACACTACTTCAACCACCTACAGTATATTTCTCCAACATACTCTGTAGACAGCCTAATATACCATGTCCGATCGAACAATCCAAATATACTACCAATCCACCCTTCCCCTCCCCATTATTCCTGCCCATTTGCCAATAAAACCCTTCCCCCATCCACACAGATCGACGTCCCGTCCACATACGCCTAAACAACAATGGCAGTCAAAATCTCCCCCAAAGTTCAGCCATCGTTGAAAAACCACGAGACACCACTTACCCCAGCCTTACTAACCAAAAACACCACCACCCCAACGATATCCTCGGCCCGCCCCGCCCGACCAGCGGGGACCTTTTCGACCAGCCCTTTAAAGATATCCCCTTTTCCACCCATAGGATTCATGCGACTCGGAAAGACTAGACCCAGCCCAGATTATCAGTATTTATTCCAATTCCCTCATTATCCTCGGATCTTTGAAGAAGGGACAAGCTTACAACCGGGATTAATCCCCAAGACTCTAACCCCAAACCTCGCCACCTTAACCGCCAACAATCTCACCAGATGGTCCGTGGCCGCTTTGCTGGTAGCATAGCTCATCATATCCACATTCGAGGCGTTATGCATACTCGCACAAGAGCTTGTCAGCAGTACCACACCCCTTCCGTCATCCCGACCCAGTTGTCCATTATCGAGGGGCTGGTTCGCGGCGGCGACGAGGAGGGGAAGAAGCGCCACGGTGAGGAAGTAGTGCGCGGTGGTGTTGACCTGGAAGGTTTCTGCCCAGTCGGATTCGGGGCTGGACCAAAGAGAGGCTTGGAGGTCGGGGAGGGATGCGGTGAGGACATTGCAGGCGATCGGGGGGTCGCGGCGGATTCCGGCATTGGAGATGAGAATGTCGAGGTGGGGTTCGAGGGTAGTGATAGTTTGAGCGAGGGCCGCGATGGAGGATTTGGAGGTGAGGTCGCAGGGGTAGCTTGGTTCATGTGAGTGAGGGAGAACTTGGATCGTGGGGAGTGGACGTGGGGGACATACCCTTCTGCGCTCCCCGGGCCGGCAGCATTCAGCTCAGCTACAGTTTCGGCGATGGGGTCGCTTGGGAGGGCGACGATGTAGACTTTGGCGCCGTTGGAGACGAGTCCCTGGGGTTGTCAGTATTGGCACTGTTGGAGGGGATGGATTCAGAGAGGACGACTTGGGCGATCATTCGACCAATCCCGCTGCTGCCGCCGGTGACCAGGGCGACACGGCCCTTGACATTCATGAGATTGGGTGTTTCCAGGGGATTCATGGTGAGTTGTTGGTGGCTTGGTTGAAGTTGCCGTTGAGGGGAGAAGAATATGCGGAGGGGTGAGGGGGTTCCCCGCATTAAGTATCTGGCTGTCGGATTGTCCGACACTCCTTGGGAGCTGAACACCAAAGAGACGACATTACATAAAGATAACGTTATCAATCAGAAATTGCATTGATATAAAATATCCAACTATCAATCAACAAATTTCTTACTCCCGATAGTGTTCCTTAGTTCTTCGCTCCGCAGCATCCAAGCACTGCCTGGTCATCGCATCATCCCGTGGTATCAACCTGACTTTAAAGTCCCTCGGGATCGCCACGAGTGCCGTCTTGAATTTGTTGTACTCGATGTAGTCGGTATTCGGTGGCTCGTCCTCACTGGCCACGATCTTGTACGAGGAGAGAAGACGAACCAGGGCCACAGACAGTAGTCTGCTTGCGATGACCTGTCCTGAACAGGCACGGGATCCTGCCCCAAAGCTCAGATGTGGGAGACCCTGGATTTCTCTCTCGGCTGGGGGATCGACCGTTTCCAGCCATCGCTCGGGATCGAATTTGTCGGCATCGGGTCCGAAGTGATCCATATCTGTCGATGTTAGAATTGGCAGGTCATGGTATCTCAGGAACTGCCTGAGAGCTTACCGTGGTTACCAGCCTGCGCATTAATCAAGACCATAGTCTTGGCAGGAATGATGGCGCCGTTCCAGTTAACCTCTGTCGCGGTCTTGCGAGGCAAACTCATCGAACTAACGGTATAGTATCGCCCTGCTTCCCTGACAATGGCATTGACGTACGGGACTTTTTCCTCGTGAATCGAGCCTAGCCAGGCATCTTGGATATCAGGATAGTGCCTCTTGATGTCCTCATACGCTTTATCCTGCCATATCTGCCCCTCGGGCGTGGACAGAGATCCAATCGCAGACGTGAGAGTGCCAGGAATGGTTTCAAACCCTCCCGAAACAAGGGAAAGGCAGATCGAGGAGACTTCCACCCCGGTAAGCTTCGTCTCCTGATCCTTGAGAATGGCAGCGGAGATGCACGGTTTATCCGTTCCCTTTTTGATCATGGCGCGAACTTTGTCTAGCAGAAGATTGAGGTACGCGTCTCGCCGCTGCCTCAGCTCCTTGGATCGGGCCGTCTTCTGATTATTGGGTGCGTAGCGCAAGATGGGGATGTAGTCCTGTAGGTTTTCCGACGCGCTACGGAGCAACGAGATGGCCGATCCCACGTGAAGGATCTCACGGAGAAGGTCATCGTAGACCTCATCCATGCGAATACCGTAACACAGAGTCAGAGTTGTGTTGAGAGCATACCGCTGAATATACGGTCGGACGTTGAGTTGGACCTCGCCATTCTGGCTATCACAAAATAGGTCTCGAACGATGCAGTAACTCTCCAGATCAAACATCGGATGATAGTTTCTTAAGGCGGGCCTACCTAGTGCTGTCCCTGCCGCCTTGCGCTTCTTCTTGCACGAGTCATCCCACGGAGACGACCCGATGGTGAACCCCTGAGTGCTGCTGATGACTCCATGGAACGTGTATAGCTTGGGACGGTCAATGAGAGCGTTTTGGTGCCGACCCAGAAGCACGGATCTGCAGTCCTCGAACGAGTTGAAGACCACTGCGCGCGTATTGCCTAACTTTATCTGAAAGACCGAATGCCCGTATTGCTTCCACCAGCGCTCGCACACACTGGCGTGATCATCGCCCAGCTGTCGAAGATGGCCGAAGACTGGGATGGCGCCGGGGATCTCTGGTATCCCTTTGATGTGGGGAATATCGGTTACCATTGTTGCCTGGAGTGTCAGCAAGGGACGGACAACGAGGATAATGGTCGTACTTGGTAGATGAAGTACAGCAACAAAGCCCCGATGACTGCATAGATATAGCTACTAAATGTCACGCCAAAGAGGGTCGACATGTCCCCGTCATGGTTAGTTGTATCGAACATGTCTTTGTTGAGTCAATCGTCGCGGTCGCTTCGGTCGTTCAGGTTCGAGTCTGTCGGGGTTTTGGTCACTTTATATCCAACAAGACATTGGATTATTCCAAGAGGGAGGGGATTAAGACATGCAATAACACTAGATGTGAAACCACTATAGCCTGGATGGATGGAATGACATCGGAGGATCCGACCGGGTGATGGAGATAGGAAGCGTACGCGCCTCCCCCCTGCGTGGCGGTCTGGCCGTGATAAGCTGCCGGTCCCCAGGCACCCACCCCGCTTTCGCCAAAAGAAAACATAATTTCTTGATAAGCATGCAGCTCACAGTTATTTAGTACTATAAAGCTATACCTTTGTTATGTTTATCCTATTGACACCAGGTGTTTGCATATTTCTTACAGGTTCTATGCAGCGCCTTAAACTACCCCTCTCATCACTGAACCCTGCCATTCGATCCATGATCTCCTCTCTCCACCCCCAACCAAGAGCAAACGTCGCTCCCGGACCGAAAGCGCAAGTCAAGACCACCAGGGCACAGATGGCCTTCGTCCACGAAAGCGAGGCTCCTGCCTGCTTCAACTCGCGGAATCTCAGTCCCAGCCATACAAACCCGCTCACCATCACGATAAGCTCATCATATTGTAGAAACCGCGCAACCACGTCGCTGAAGGAACTCACGGGCTCGCGATAGCTTCGGAGGCCGGGGAGGAAAATGCTGGTAAGTGACGCATCGGTGGGCGCGGAGAGACAGGCATAGATGAACGTGAGCCCGGAAATCAAAGCGAAACCGCCATATGCGCAGCGGAGGTAGTAGATGCTTTTTTTGCGGTTCTTCCCTGTGAGATATGATGATACTGGGGCGTTTCTCTTGGTGATGAGATAGAATGGGGCTTGGATGATGGGTACAATGATGGGGAAAAGCTGCCATATAGCATTGTACCATTGACGAGACTCCAGTGATGGGGCGAAGAAATTGCCAAAGGTGGGCAGATAATAGCCTGCGGCCATCGCGGCTATGAGGGACTCGGAGATGTATGGATCTACCTCACGGTTGCTGCCGGAAAGCAGTCGGGGAAGAGGCACCTGGATATACTCTGCTGCATAGTAGATAGGGGCCGCTTTGCCGATTGCTACCATTTGCGCGGTGCTGGCCGTAGTTACAGGGCTGCATTGACATATCAGGGCCAGGAGTTTGACATCCCGGACGGGACTCACTCACAGTAGAATTTCATACCAAGAGTGTGTCTTGCGGTAGCTTTCCAGTAGCCATATTCCATAGATCGGACCCAAGTCAATAAGAAAGGAGAGCATATGAACGCGAGACCGCGAATCAGACCCGGTAATAGACGGTAGAAAGCATGCAATCGGGGCCCGAAACAGGTAGTCCAAAAACGGGATGCCATACAGAGGTTTGGTCAAGCTCAGAGTCTCGCCATGGCTTGTCGTCCAAGTACCCAGGGTGACAACCGATATCAAACGAGGCACAAGTTCAACGAGCATGGTTCCCATCACAACACAAGCCGCAACATGACAGCCTATCAATGGAGTGGTCCAGATGGCTCGTTTCCAGATGTCTCGTTTCCAAACTTTGCCTTCTTTGGTATTGTCTTGGATGCCTTGAAATTCATACGGCATTGTGTCTTGCAATGACCAGGCTGGCAGCGATTCACAGCCAATCTTAGCCGCCGTTCCAAAAATACCTTTCGATATGTTTCGGATGAGGTTGTTGTTCTCCCTCCCAGAATTTCAAAGCAGTGGATGCCCGCAAAAATCGATGTCTGCAACAAGAGACTTGTTAGCAGGGGTCCAGACCGATGTAAAAGTATTTTGAACGGTTGTCGCTAGTTGTACCAGTTCGCGCTGCGGACGAGGGGAAGAGACCAAGCCCATCGCAACAAACAACATACTTGCTGGCATCAGCGCGCCCGGACATTTGTACCACTTTATAGTCTCCTGAAGACCGAGCATAAGCCACGGAGCCGACGGCCGACGGACATTAATTCGCACATGAAGATCTGCCAACAGCTCAATCCAGGAACTTGTGTACAGCAGGCAGCAGCAAGCCAGCCTACAAGATGCAGCGGATGGGCCATGCTCGGACGACTGCAGCTCCAAGAGGTTACACGCTTGCTACCAGTCACTACTTAGGCATATTTCTCGGGCTGGGGACACAAAGCTCAGAGGCCTCAGGCCTTGTATTACTGCCGCAGATCTTGTCGCTTCTGGTCATCGCCATAATATAAACCCATCCTCCACAACAGGTCCCTCTTGGGTTGGTTTTCGTCAAGCTATTTTCTTCTTACCATACGGGTCTTAACATTGACTTTATTCGCATTTTTGAGGTCTGGTTCAAGTCTGAATATCACCAAGGAGCTAGCTCAAAAGACCCCGGAGAACATTAGATTGCTCAAGATCACCAATTTGGACGATGGGTAGAAAACAACCATGGTTTAAAGAGCTCCCAGGCATCCCGAGTCCTCGCGATGCCGACGTCTTCTTTTTCTTCGAATATGTGGTCTCGATATGTCAGCATGTCCTACGGACAAAGTCCTTTCGCTTCCAATTTAACACAACCGCGGGGGAAATTACAAATACAAAACTGGAAAAGGGTCTTGTGGGTTTCAGGGTATTTTGGTCTGGAGTGGTTACCCAGTGGAGCCTGGGGCCTGCTGGTGACTAAAGTACCTCGTTTCCATGCTATAGGCTCGCCGTTTGTTACACACGCTATCAGCTATTTCTTTTCAGGCTCAGGTTCCAGAAACGCCTATTCGGAGAAGGCAAAATTGGATTACATGACTGGGATAACATCAGAGATACTACTGACGAAGAAACCACGCGTGGGCCACCCAGGTTCGCACCCTATCCGGGCCACGTATACCATTCTGCTTCCAGTTATTCCTAACTTGCCGTATAGAGGAACCCGTCGGTCTTTACCCTTATGACTCATATGATGGAGTCATTGATGAAGATGAAGACTATGAGGATGATAGGAAAGAGGATAATGAGGGGAATAATATAGCCAGCGAGGAACAAGAAGGAGAGGACAATGGCAGCGGTGGCGACGGTAATGGTGATAGTGTCGTCCAGTCTCAGGTGGCACTGTACATGTGATTGTTATGATGGCGAAATGTCGAGGATGTACTGGGTTTTAACGCTTTATCTCGGGGCTTTATGTTTTGTGGCTTCCTTCACATACCATGGCTTGCCATATACCTTCCGGTGGCCCTTCAGAATTTCATTGTAAATGGGTTTGATGAGCTGGAACTGTTCTTCTCTGTCTTACTCAACGTCTATTCCAAGAACAACTCAAAGACCACCGGATGTGTAGGAGCTCTGCGACAGCAAAAGCTGTTAGCCATCACCAAAGACCGGGAGGGGGTTAGATATATACACCTTCTTTTTTCTGGCCAGTCGCGACCACCAACCACGGTAAACATGATACTGCAAGGGTCTGTTACTGCTGCTGAAACATGACTTCCCTTAGCCCGGTATCAGAGCTGTTATATTTGCAGACAGATTCTGCCGCAAAAAGTGAGGCCGTGAAATTGGTGTATTGAAGATAGGTGATATCTAGCTAGCTGCCTCGCGGGGAGGAACAAAGTGAAAGAGAAAGGGGGAGGAGGTGGCTCGGAGGACCGACCTGAGGTAGCTGGTAATTTAATAAACACCTGCACGGTGAAGTCATGCTACTGAGATGACTACTTCTACCAATAAACATCAGATACTGGGGCCTTCGGATGAATGTATTGACTCGCAAGTCACTGGCAGCTTATAAATACAAAATTGCTACCCCGCCTCAGTCCTACAGTAGTGAGTTCATAGCGTCCACGGCTGGCTCACTCACCTGTTCCTTTCAATTCACCTGTATGCCCCTCTAGCGGTGGAGATATCTGCAGTATGAGGTCAGTCGCCTGCTGATTGGACGGGAGACTGTAACCGACAGAATAGCCATTGTCTTCTGTAGATCATTTTGTGGGGTTCTGGAATAACCCTTGCTTGAACTGCACAAGAGGCCTGCCGGCTGGTGCTTTGTGCTACGGCTATGCTGGCCGCGGGCTGCATAAATCCTCGGCTTGATGCCTGTAATTCTGCTGCTGCTGCACCCGTCCGCCGCATCTCCTGTTGCCTGCTGATCAAGACCGATGATGACTTCAGTCTGGCCGTTTAGCCTATTTGGCTTTTGGACAAAATATGCACTGAAGCATTCTGCATTACGTTTAGTTATGTACTGTCCTCCCTCAGATTGCTCTCATATATCTTGTGTTGGTCTCCCTTTACAGACGGGCTACCTTTGCTAATCCTATACCATCTTCAATGTCTGGAACAGAACAACAACCATGCTCTTCATCGCTTCCATATTGAGCCCTTCTGCTGCTGCGGCGCTGCTGCTTCTGAGCACAAGCGCTTACGTGATCTACCAGTGCTTCCTATCCCCTTTGGCTAAGATCCCAGGGCCGTTTTGGGCCAAGCTTACCAACTGGTACCAAGTATATGTGACCGTCCATAAAGCATCTCACCGGAAAAATGTCTCACTTCATAAGAAGTATGGCCCGGTGGTGCGTATAGGGCCAAATGATCTGTTAGTTGACTTTCCCTTGCCTCCTATTCGTGCTGAGAACATTCAGGAGTGTAGTAGACCAAAAAGCATTCCGTGAGATATACAGTAAGCTTAGCCATATCTTGCAGCGGTTTATCGTTAACAGCAAGTAGAGGCCGGGGCGGGGTTCAATAAAGCGGCCTCGTACGATGTCTTGAGGGGAAGCCGATCGTTTGACCTCGTCGGACATCGTGACGAGAAGATTCACTCCGAACAGCGAAAGCTTGTCGCACGCGCCTACTCTATGAACTCGATGGTGCACCTTGAGCCAAACGTGGATGCTGTCATCAAGACTTTAATCCAGAAGTTGGACGGACTATCGGGTGTTGTTGACTTGGGTGCCTTTATTCAATTATTTGCTTTTGGTATGGGGGTTACCATGAAACTGGACTGAAAAAAAGTTATCGCACTGACCTTCCCACCAGATGTTATCGGGGCCGTCAGCTTCTCTCGCCCCTTCGGATACCTCCTTGCTGGGGACGACCACGGGGTATTTGCGCGCATTCGGACAGCATTGGGCTCATTATCTTGGCTCGGGCATGTGGGTTGGTTTTTCAATCTCCATCAAACTCTGAGGCCCGTCATTGGGAACTGGCTCGCAGCCAATGACCGAAATGGATTCTTCCATCAATTTGCCCGGCAAGAGGTCATCGCCCGGAAAGACCGCGGTGGGGACGACCGGGATATCATAAACCAGCTTTTCACCGTGCAGAAGACGAAGCCGCACCTGAGCGATACAGACATTTCATTTGCCATGGCCTCGAATGTGTTCGCAGGGTCTGATACGACCTCGACTTCATTGAACGCAACCTTTTATCTCCTACTGACAAATCCCGTGGCCTACCAGCGACTGATGAAAGAATTGGAGGAGAAGAGATCCAGTGGTGAGCTAAGCGACCTAGTAACATTCGAACAAGCAGAGTCCTGCACATATCTCCAAGCTGTGATGTATGAGGCCATACGGCTGTACCCTGCGGCCGGGGCAGTACTCGGTCGAGATGTTCCAGCGGGCGGAATGACAATCATGGATTACTATATTCCAGCGGGAGTTAGTTTCATCTATCATTTGCTTTAACTTTTTCGGGGGTCTCCTCTAACAGCATCCAGACAGTGGTAGGGACATCGCCATGGGCCATTCACCGCGTTCCCGAAATTTGGGGCCCGGATTTCGAGGAATTCCGTCCGGAGAGGTGGCTGGATGAGAACGCAAGTAACCTGAGTACGTTCCTCGCGCTTATATGGAGGCTTCTGCTAATATAGTCTCCCAGAACGCTTTTTCTTCGCTTTCGGTGGTGGATCGCGCACTTGCATTGGGAGAAGTAAGCCCATCACCACTTTTCCCTGTCTTTATGCTAAGAATATCAGATATTAGCTGGCTGGAGATGTCGAAGGTATTTCTTCCACTTTGTCCTCAGCTTCTAATCCCACAATCTTAACCATTAATCTAACCTGTGTAGCTGGTCCCTACCATCCTCATGCGCTATAATGTGACCCTGGCCCCCGATGCTGAATTGATTGAGGAAAGCGGGTAAGCCATTTTATCTACCCCTCTACTCTGCCCCGCAGAAACACCGTTAATCATGTCCCAAGTTCTCTGGTATTCCTTCGGGGACTTGAGGTCCTCTTAACTCCGAGACAGACTATTCCGGCGTAAGTAGCAGGACAGCAGGGATATGATGCAGAAGAATTGGTCGACGGCCAATGCCGACCAATGCCGACGGATATCCACTTAGCTTCTCCCGGGCGGAAGACAAATCGAAAGTGCTGAGCGTACCTTGCCGACAGAAAATATCAACTGGACGTCGAATATTGTTACGCAAGAAATGGACTCTAAATTTGAGTTTGCTTTTTTTTTAACACATTCCCTAGTACCTAGGATCACATATGATCACATGATTAACTCCATCAATCTCTCATGTATCAAAAGCTTAGTCTAACCCCGGAGGGTATTCAAGTCGCTCCCGAACGCGAACGGGATTCGCGCACACCCCGACGGGCTTCTTAACTCCGAGCCCTAACTCCCCCCATCCTCCTCATCTCACCAGACAGTAAACACACTCTACACTCCCTACAAACCCCATGGTAATTTAGACAAGCGAGGGATCTCAAAGCTATATAACCGATCATTATTTCCTCCCCTCACCAGACAGTAAACACACTCTACACTCCCTCCAAGCCCCGTAGTAATTTAGACAAGCGAGGGATCTCAAAGCCATATGACCGATCATTATTCCCTGCCCTCACCCTCCCCTTCATAACCAAAAATCCATAACCATCCATCTCAACCCCTCAATCCAACCAAACCCAACCAAGAAACCAACCCTGTCCACCACCAAACACATCTTCCTTACCGGCGGCAGCGGCTTTGTCGGCCAAACCCTAATCCCCCTCGCCATATCCAAGAACTACAAAGTGCACGCGCTATCCCGCACGCTCACCACCGACGAAACGCTCCTCTCACTAGGCGCAGTGCCGATCCGCGGCGATCTCACTTCCCTGGCCACCCTCAGAGAGGAAACACGTCTCGCCGACGCAGTGATCCATCTCGCGACGGCGTATGACTTCAGCAAGACGCCGTCGTACGATGACGTGATTCATATTGACATCGCGGCGTTGGATGCGATCGCCGAGGAGGCAGCGGGGACGGGGAAGCCGGTGGTGGTAACGTCGGGAACGCTGGTTGTGGATGCTGATCCAGATGGAAAGGAGACGGATGAGGCGGGGGCGTGGGATCCGAAGCCGTTGAATTCGAGGGGCAAGATGGAGACGTATGGGATGGGGTTGGTGGAGAGGGGGGTCAATGTGAGGTGTGTGCGGCTGGCGCCGTATACATATGGGCGTGGAGGGAGTGGGGTGAGACGGTGGATGGATCTGGCGAAGATGGTTGGGAGTGTGATTTGTGTGGATGGTGGGGTGAACCGGACGACGACGGTGCATGTGGAGGATGCGGCGGAGTTGTACTTGGTGGTTGCGGAGCGGGGACGCGCGGGGGAGGTGTACAATGCGAGTGGGGATACCACGGTGACAGCGAGAGAGATTTTCGAGGCCGTGGCGGAGATCATGGGGGTGGAGGTGAGGGATTTGGACTTTGAGACCGCGAAGGGTCAGTTCGGGGAGGTGTTGGCGAGGTTTCTCAGTGTGGAGAATCGCGCATCGGGGGAGAAGGCGAGGAGGGAGCTGGGTTGGGAGTTGAAGGGGCGGGGGATTTTGGAGGACATTCGTGAGGGATCTTACAGACAGGTTGCAGAGGAGATGAGGAAGTAGTTAGGTGTCTTTTTGAGTTGGCTTCTTGAATTTCCTCTCGGAATCAAGCCAGCGCAGGACGGACTCACTCCCTTCCCTGGGATCGATTGCATAGTAACACCATCTAGGAGCTATGACCGCTTCGATTGACCCGCCAGACTCGCTGTCGGAATGTTAGTCCCTCTTGACTGAGGCTATGAGCCAACATAGCTAAATTCACAACCCGACGCAGTTAGAAATCCTCCACTTCCTTCACTTTTCGACTCAGTGGGATGCCCCCCAGCTTTACCGCATATCCTATAAGTGTTCCTTTTCCAGTTTTCACTCGAACCAGCTCCCTGGTTAGTTTGCTCTTCTGGTTTTTTCCTTCACCGACTTAATCAGACCAACAATATTCTAGCGATCGAGTCGGTCGGGACTGCTGTGTGGGCGGCGCTCCCGCTCCCTCATGCGCTGAGGTCGCTGGTCGAAACCCACGCCCCAGCCTTTCGCGTAGGCCTCATTCTTACAGCCGTCGCCGCCCACGTAGCTGTATTGAGCGCGTTGGCAGCACGCTGGTGGGTGGTGGCACGTGGTCGGTCCTCGAGTATAAACCCCCCCCTCGCCGGCCTCCTCCATCCCCCTCCGTCCTTGTTTGACCTCCGACTCGTACGCCAGCCTCTCGACATCCTGCCATGATCTTGCTTCTGTGATCCGCTTCTCCTGCTGCCAGCTGGCTCATCTCACTTATTCTCACCAATACCAGCGATGTACACCGTCACACCTAAAGTTCATGTAGTCGTAAAACTCGGTCCAATGGTATGACAAAGTACTGTTGGAAGACTCAGAGGTTGTTGGCGGCAAGAGCGGCAATGTTTACGATGCAATGTGCAAGTGTAATCACTTTCAAGCATAATGAGACTCGGTAAAGAAGGGAAGTAAAACAGAATGAGAATAAACTGCAACTGCAGAATGCGAGGCGATCGGCCGTTATGTTTTCGAGTGTCTCAACAGCTCCACCCCAGACGAAGGTTCGCGCGTGCCAATTCCACCACCTTTTGATCTCTGCTCTTGGAATCGGCTGAAATCATGGTTTGTAGAGGCATGGGTTGCATTGAGTGGCAGTCTCTTAAGGCATACGTTGGAGCGTTATCGTACTTCTCGCAAATAACACTCTCTAAACACTTCACATTTCGGGAGGCGCAGTCAGTTGGTACAATGCTCAGCTTTTGTTTGAATGGTCTTCGTGGTTGTTTTTGTACTTAAATACACATCTCTCTACGCCAAGGGAGCTCCTGGGGGTGCGGGGCCGCCAGCGTCTCGCTAGACATTAATGACAACCACTATTACTACTGCTGTCGGCTGAGAGCACCTCCTCAAAGAACCAAGTCACGCAAAGAGAAGACTTAAATGTTGTCTCCTTGGTCAAAGTCCCATACGTCCTGGTAAAGGATAAGTAAGATCACGATGAGTGAGAGGACTCGGAGGTCAGACGTCTACAGCTACATCTATGCCGGTGAATGTCAGCCAATGACAGTACAAGCATTTGGAAGCAAATGACAGAATCTAAATTAGATTGAAATCTACTCACTGGGTTATAGGCCCACTTTGCAAGGACTCCAACCGTGGCTGCCAATCGCGGAAGGCCGGGGAGTCCCGTCCCCCGATCTGGAATGTGGACAGATTCACGTTGGGCCCACTCGGATTTCCACAGAATCCATCTAGTACACTGTTCTTGGCAGATACAAGACACAATTATTCAATAGAAGGATAGGGAAACCAAATCCAATCTGCATCATATGATTATATCTACGCACCGGGGCCAATGACCGCCCACGAAGACGAAGGACACACGGTTCATCTGGATCATGCAATACATCTCGAAGGATGGACTAGCATCAACGTTGCTTAGCTCCCGGGTCGAGTGGCCCTTTCCCTAAGTAGCCGTCTCGCTGGCTTTCTCACTTGCCTGGTCTCAGTCAACTCCTTTCCCCCCTCAAGGTCCTTCATCTTTCATTGTTTGTCTGTTTGTGACTGTCTGTCAAGCACGATGGCATTGTTAGCTCGCAATATCCTGTCTCTACCCCAAAAACGTAAGTAGCACCCAACGGCAAACGCCCGATCTACTCCCCGATCACTAACAGAGCCCAAATCCAGGACCTGCCCTCCTCGCAGTGCTCGCCAGGCAGCAGCAGTTACAACAGCAACAATTAAGGTATCTCCTCTCTTCCATCCCCATACTCCTCTCCGGCATCAACTGACAATCACGCTTCAACAACCCAGATGGACCACAACGAATAGAAAAATCCAAATCACCCCCCAGACCCCAGCACAAGCCCAAGCCCTCCTTGCCCAACAACGCCTCCGCCGCCCGGTCTCCCCCCACCTCCAAATATACAAATGGCAGGTCAACTCGGTCTCCTCCGCGCTGGAACGCAACACCGGAATCCTCTTCTCGGGCGGCCTCTACCTCTTTGCCACATCATACCTGATTGCTCCCTACCTCGGGTGGGATCTCTCCTCGACAACGCTGGTCGCTGCCGTGGCGGGCCTGCCTGTCGTGGCGAAGTTGGCGTTGAAATTTGCGATCGCCTGGCCGTTTACCTTCCATGTGGTCAATGGGGTGAGGTATTTGGCGACGTCCGGGGCGAGGACAATCGCTAGTAAAGGGCAGATTGTGGGAGTGGCGTGGGGGGTGGTTGGGGTTAGCTTCTTGGGGGCTGTGGGGCTGGTTGCGTTTTACTGATTGTTTATATTAATATCCGCTATTGTATGTTGTTTTGAAGGTGGGGCTTGCAGAGGTGAAGATGGATTCTATTTCGTTCTATACTTCCTACAACAAAGCACTGTTCAAGGTGCTCAACTGGCGGGCTCAGAGGTCTTTGAAGAATCCATAGAATTTAGCTCATAGCGTAACTAATCAGGATTTGAAGGACTGTAACCTGTGGATGTTTCTCTTTGACACCCGTAGAAACATAGCTTACACACCGATCACAAGCACCGTACCCTCCAAAACGCTCATAGACCAGAATCGATCATAACAGCTACGACCTACGAGCCAAAGCAATGCAACTGAACCGAAGGTCCTCTCCTCCCGCCTCCCTCTCCAATCTCATTATCCGTTTTAGTCCCATATCCAATGCCCGGGGACTCAAAACATCCTCATTCTCCGCAAGACTCCCTCTTTCTAGCGGACCCTTCCTCGATCCCTCCAATTCCCACAGCCTCCCATCCGCCTTCACAAAAGATACAAAATGCTGTCCCGTATGCTCTGCCGATGGCAAAGCAGGTGAATCCCCGACATTCTCAACTGATTTATGAGCAATCTCAAACGGCACGTTATTGTACAGCATGTCTGCACGCTCAGCCATCGGCAGCGGTATAGCTCGGCTGCGTATAGCCGCGATTTCAGAATCAGGCCGGATAAAGTCAACCGCTGGTCCGTTGATCACACTGTGCAGAAGTCCGACCGAGCCACAGGCGTGCCCGATGGTCTGTTTAAACCAGATGACAGGTTCTTTGGGGCCGAATCCGGTGTAGTCGTCTTTTCCGGCATCTTCGGCTTTGCGATCGCGGTCCCAGGTTGGTGTGAGCGGGATAATGGCGAGTAGGGCGAAGACGGGGCGAGGGATGTGGGATAGGAGTTCTGGTTCGTCGAATGAGTAGATGTCGTAGAATTGGAGATCGGGGGACACGCCTAGCTTTGTTGCTAGGCGGTTCATCACTTCTGGGTTGTTCTCTATCGTTCATGGTTAGTTAGGTGATTGGTGAAGTAGGATATGTCGGTGGGGAGTTGTGACATACTTACCCAGCATCACCCATATCTTTCTCTCCATGACGGTTGTTGAGGGATAGCTTGTCTGGAACGTGGCTAGGAAGAAGAGGTTTGTCGCCGGAGTGGAGAGCTGAGGATTTTGGCAGGGTATATTATCACGGTCGCCACTGACAGACACAATGGAGAAGCGATGTAAATGGTTTGAATCTGATATTTGTAGAAGATGTTCCTCTAGTTTACTGTTTGTCGGAACCCCGCACGTGAGCGGATGCAGGCAGAAAGATGATGACGAACCGTGGGCCAGGAATAAAGATTCTCGGACAGCCGAGCCAATTAAATTATGACTACGTTGTTATAACTATGGAGAGATAATACGGAGTATGATAGATCGGATTCTTGGTCGGGTTTTGCTAAGTCTCACAGGCTCTCGGGCTTCCAGGCTTTCAGGCAACGATAATCCAACTATCCTTTGTCACTAAACCAAAACCTCCTTCAACCAAGTCATGATGGTTTTATACTGCTCCCCCGGTTTAATCCCAAGCTCAAACGATGTGATAGCTTGGGCGTGATACTCACCAAGCGCGACATTCATAACGGCATTAGGATGTTCCCCCTAAACACATCAGATCAGAACCTCGCCTCAAAGAACCCAAAGTCGGAGTACCCCTTACCTGGATTTTGTTTGCTGTCTCCAACGTCGAATCCAGCAGAATCTCATGCTCTCCTGCAGTAATGAAGATCTTCTTTGCGGGCAAATCCCGCCACCACCCTTCCGGCGCAACCGCAGGCTGGTTGTAGCTATCCGGCTCAGCGTCCCCCAAAAAGAATGGAGCCCAGGAAACTAAATCTTTCAAGCTAATACTATCTCGATATTTGTTTCTTTCATAACTCTTATAGTCAGTGCAAGAGTCAATCATCCACGGCGAGAGCAGCACCGCGCCCGCAAGGCTTTCACTCAGAGACAACATTGGAATTTGGGGGTGTGGGTGAGCGAGATGCGATAAAGCCGACAGGATCAGATGGCCGCCCGCGGAATCTCCATGGAGGACGATTTTAGACGGGTGTTTTCCCAGCGTCTCGATCGCGTATCGGAGAATCGCCATCGCCTGTTCCAGTTGACGCGGGTATGGGGCTTGAGTGGCCAGATCATAAATCAAAAATAGCACCCCGATGTCTATACCGGCATCCTGAAGGCCCATCGTGAGGGAGTTGACATATTCGATGTGACCATTCAGAGCGGGGAAGCAGTAAGCGCCGCCGGGGTAGTACACGATCAACCTCTCCGCGTTGGGGTTACCCAGCCAGAAGGCGGTGGTGCCGTCGGGCAGCTCGACGGTTTTGGGTAAGGTTCCTTTGCGTTTTGCGCGAGCTATGAAGTTTTTGTGAGGGGAGTCAGGAGGGAGAACATATCTAAAGGTTGTTATTGTCTGATCAGGATGGATCGGGCAAGGGTATACACACAGGATCTGGTCGACAGTGGCGGTTCCAAACAAAGTACGGGCGGCAGTGAGACCAGCGTGCCTGGAGATTGTTGTGGCACCGCGGGGACCCCGCAAAGGAGCTGTCAGGGCACTCCAGATCGCGGCGAACACTGAACAGTCGCTAGCATGAGTTCGGGCTTTTGATAGAGAGGAAGTGAGGTGGAGTCTTGGTGCGTACCAGCCTTGGTAACGGCCCAGCCAAGGCCGGCGGCAAGTAGCAGCTTCATTGCGGATGATAGCAAAAATAATACTCTTTTTTTTCTCAGCTCAGAGGAACTGTCATATGATCAGCACCATGCGCGACCGGATCCGCCGTCGGATCGAAGTGCGTCTCTGTTTTCCTAAAATAAGGCAAAAGGCCCGCATGGCTCCGGCCGGGATCGCCGACTAACTTTGCCCAGAGATCGTAGTCGGCTGCGTTTCCACGGGTCCACGCACCGTAGTTCGTAGCCGAGCTTCCGCCCAGAGCCTTTCCCGCGCTGGAGTAGCATTGACGTCCATTGAGGTGTGTCTGCGGGGTGGAAGAGGATGACCTGGTCGGTTGCTGAGTATTTAAGCTGTCCATCATGCTGGCTGAGAACTTGGTATCGTCTGGCTGATTAGATTCTGATGTAACACTAGTCACTCACTCTGTTTGCGTCGTGATTGACATGCATCTTTACGATCTGGAGGTTTATAATACGAGTGCGGTGCATCTACATGGGAACTTCCCATGTAGATGCAACTCCACAGCCAAACTATGCAGCCACTGTCTCAGATATATTCTTCTTATCAAGAACCTCCCCCGCGCCAGATATCTTCTTCCGAAGTCTAATCACAGGATCAGATATCTCTGGATCTTAATTTTTATTATTCTATTAATTTTTAGTTATCTTTCTATTCTGTGCCTGCTCTGACTTATATATTTTTTCTAGAGATTATATATCTGAAAAATCAGATCTAGTCTTTGAATAATAATCAGCTTATAATCCTGTAATTGGCTCTTATAAATTTTAAGATTAAATTTATCTGTATTACCTGCGGTGTATTAAATTAGAGCTTTTTTTTTAATTATAAGAATATTCCCGGCGGATATTATTTATTTTAATATTCTGGATTAAATTAAGATATAATATTAATCAGCGGCAATTCTTTAATATAATTAGTCTAAGTAAATAACAGTAATTATTATATTAAGATCTTAATATTTAAAAATACTTCTATAGCTGGTATATATAGTATATAATCTCTATAAATATCAGAATCTTTGAATATTTCTCTTGTATATATATAATTATAGCTTTAATATAATATAATATATACTTGAAATCTTTAGGCGTAGATTAAATTAAATAGCTTATAAATATTTCTAGCAATATCGCAGTGATATATATATAGATATAAAATAAAGTTATATTATTCTAAGAGATCAAGAAAGACTCTGCAGAATAATTATTACTCTTGAATTAAAAATTCTCTATTATTAGATATATATATTATATTATATATTAAGTTCAAGTACTGCTGAATTAACAGCCGCTTTTTTATTTTATAATTTTAATCTGATCAATCTAGTTATAAATACTATGTATAAGTTATAATTTTTTATACTCAGACTAATTAAGTCTAGATTAAGAGATAAGAATAGAAGCTTTATCGGCGTGCCGCGGTTTAAGTCTTTAATTAACAGTCAAATTCTATTATTATATATTAAGAAATTGATAATACAGATAATAATAAAGAAAATTTTTTATCAGCTGGGTTTATTTGCAGCTTATCTCAGGCTCGGGCATAGATCTGCTATTTTTATTAAATATCTAAAAAGTCAGGTCTATCTTGGCTGCAAATTGTTAATTAACTAATAAATCTGATATAAAATAGTTCTGTTATTCCTGGTTATATTAATAATAAGATTAAAAGATTTTAAGAATTATTTCTAACTCTGAGAGTGGGCCGGCGATAATACAATATACCTGGGTCTTAATTAAATCTTTATTAATAATAGCTTTGATATTCTAGGAATTTGGGCTGATAAAAGACTTGAAAAATATATACTCTGTTATTTCTTATTAAAAAGAACTATAGATATACTAGACTACTATGCTGAGTATCTGAAATTATTATTCTGTTTAATTTTTATTAATATATTTATTAGCCTGTGCATATCCTGGAGCTGAAATAATTATATATTTCTTATTAATAAAATCTTAATTAAATATAATTAAATAATCTCGCTGTTATCTGAAAATAATATTCCAGACAGATCTAATAGAAGTAATATCCTGTCTCTGATTAATTTCTGCTTATCTTATCTAAATTACTATACTTTATATTGCTGCTCTATCAGATTAATTACTGATATAATTTATAGATATAATAAATTGGTAACAGGCTGCGAAGAAGGCCCTGTATAATTAGATTAATATTTTATCTATTAGATAATTACTGATTATCTTTGCGGGTCTGGCGATTTCTCTATTTATTATATTTATTAATTAAAATAATATTAGTATTACTCTTTTTATAATTGCCCGCGATCTTTATATCTCAGATACTATCTTATAGGCGGATATATTATCTCTTATCATAAATATTATATTTATAATGCTGTATGACCAACTTTTTAATATTTTTAATTAAAAAATAGTCTATTTATATATTTTAGATCTTCTTTATATTGCAGATCTGCTGTGCAGCCTCTTTCAGAATATCTTAATATTCTATGTTTTTTAGGGCTTGACTAAAGTAGCAGATGGCGGTATTATCTCTCTGATTATAATTATTATATCTAATATTATAATACTTTAAGATAGAGATAAGTATTAGAATATCTTGGATGCGGTCCTGAGGCTTGATAATATTATTAATCTATTTATAGGCGTAGTTTTTATAATAGATTTAATCTGGTGAGGGCTCTTCTGGCTTATCTCTTTACTCACTATATACTTTATTATTATAGACTATTTTCTTATATTTAATAATATAAAAAAGAAAAGCTTTCAGAAGAATATTTGTTGAATTGACTTTTATAATATCTTGATATTATTTATTAATATTATTTTTTTATTAATCTTAATATTAGAAGGCGGTTTCTACTTCAACTGGGACTCCGCAATAATAATTAGTATATTTATAATTAGAGACTGTATCTTGATTATATTTATTCTAATTAAATAAAAAGTAACTGTGCTGTCTATACTTTTAGATATATTATTATCTAGTTCCGGCTATACTTTCCAGCGCAGATATTAATATAGAATTAGTAATATTTTTTAAGAATTAGATTCTCTGTGCTTTATTCTTACAGAGTTTTCTTTTAAAGACTATCTATTAGTTATCTCTCTACTATCTGCCCTTGTATTATTAGAATACTTATAACTAATCTTTAATTATCTCTATTTTATTAACAGTCTTTATAATATTCTGTTAGTTAATAGTCTCTATATACTCTAATTAGTATATCTCTCAATACAAATATTATAAAGAAATAATTTGGGCTGGCTTTTTTCTTTAAATACTGTAAGTAACATACTTCTCTGATATTTTATTTATTATATTATATTTTATTTTTCTGATATCTGTTCAGGGAAGCCGGATTAATACTTTTATTTAATTATTATATCAGCCCGGCTATTATTATTATTATTGTCACCATTGCCGGGGTAAATATAGGCTTTATTTTTTAATTAATTATAATTATATTTCAAGCTCACTATATAAAGATATAATATACTATTATTATCTCAGATCGGAACTTCTTCTGCTGCTTGAAAGATATATATAGCTTGATTATCTTAATTACTATTCTGCAAGCAATACTATAGTCTTATCTTTTAGAAGTATATAAGAATATTACTGATTTCTTCTACTTGTTTTTATTAAGAACTAGTATTTTAGATATTGACTAGAATCTGATTTTTATTATATATATAAAAATATTCTACTTTATATTTATTTTTTAAATCTTACTGATGGGAATCTGCTTTATTATTTATTTTTTAATCCGCAATCAAGATCTAGAGAGACTTAAGAATACGCACGAGATAGAAGAGAAGAAGAGATAGAAAAAAGAGTAGAGAAAGCAGAAAAAGATTTAAGAATAAATTAAGAAATAGACTACTGTTTAGAATATTAAAGTATAGATTAGACAGATCTCTGAATCTAATATAAATATTAGTAAAAAGAATTCTGCTTTATATATATATATAAAAATTAAATCAAAGCTATAAAAGTTATAGAATATATTAATTAATTAGAAAAGAAGAAGAAGAAGAAAGATAAGAATAAAAATAATATATATAGTATAGATAATATTTAAAGCGGGATAGAGAGCTTTTTTTTTATATTGCAGTAATTCTATTTAAAAATTATATATATCTAGAACAAGATTTAATTTAATAAATAAATAGATAAATAATAATAGAATACTCTCTGTGGTTGGACTTGAGCTGTAATTATTAAGAGCGCTAGTCTTTATAACTGGCGGGATAAATTAAGATTAATATCTTAATAATTATCTATTTCTTTCTCTTTTTTTTTTTTCTCTTCTTTCTCTAAGTTTAATTCAATTATTTTTTTAGAATATTATCGCCCGCTTCATCCCCTGCAATTTTCTGTTAATAATAAGATAACTAGTATAGATCTTGCGGGAGCATTTATAAATATAAGAGTGTCTTCTTTTTTACAGGATTATAATCCCTAAAAGCGCGGAAGAACAGCCTGCTCGTGCTATAAAATTAGAAAGTAGAAAGTTAGTAGACAGATCTTTTTTTTTTTTTTTTATTTTATTAATAAATATATATCTGGCTGCTGGCCCGGCCCTAATTATATAATATTAGAACCCCCGCTTATACTAATAATCAAGTGCTAGTATAATAATAAATATCCTGTCTGCTTTAACTACTATAAAGCAGAGATAATATATAATAAAGTTATTATATAATAAAAGAATAAAGCTCAGAATAAGTAAGATTTCTATTTTTTTTTTCTATTCAGCTATAATTCTTAAACTAATCTCTTATTATAAATATACCCGGGTGTTGCAGAAGTATATTATTTATCTTAAGTCTTAATTAAAATTCAGAACTATAAGCAGTCGAGCTAGTAGTTATATTACTTATTCTATTTCTATATTTTTATCTTCTTAGTACTCGGGAATATTAACTAATTAATCAGCTGGGTCTGATTAAAATACTGTTAAGAAATTAATAAGATTTCTTATTCTTAACTTCTTTAAAATCCCTGTATATATTAGTTTCAGCTCGGGTTTTTCTCTAGTCTTTAATCTTAAAAAGATAATTTAAGTTATAATATAAAATCAGATATTATTTTTAAGAGTAATATTATTAAACAGATCTGATTTTTTTTTAGAACAGAGAGCTATAGATCTTTCTCTTTAATTCTTAAATAAAAAAAAAAATACTTACAGTAATAATTAAGCTTAACAGTCCTGAACAAAGAAAAGATTAATTTAAAGCAGTAAATTTTTTAATAATAAAATAAACTCACAGATTCTATATATTTATATAATATAAATCTATATCTGCTATCTATTTCTTAACCGCACAGAGTTATAATATTTATATAAGA